GGCGTGCGGTGTAATTGCATGTGCGAGATGGTTGAAGCCGTTCCAACCGAATGCATGCGGGAGGCGCCGACACCCGTCACCGGATCCGTTTCCGAGTGATGCAGGCTGTCCAGGTTTTGCCGCGTCAGATTGCTAGGCCGCTTGTATTTCCGGCCGCGGACATTGAAGATTTTATTCGCCATTTTTTGTTTGAACCTAGATTCACTTCTGCTTGTTACCAAACCAAAATGTAGCCCGTAAAGTCCGTTTCCGTAAAATTCTCAAGATGCAGTTGCAAAACAAAATAGAAACCTCAGAAAAATTAGTAGTAAGTGATAATTTGTAATGCAAATTCCCCACGGGAAAGAAATAGATAGAAATAGATAAAATAGAAACTCGTAGTAAAAGTTAACTTTATGCAGCAAGGCCGTGCGTATCTATTATTTACCCAAATAAAAATAAAAACGCTCTGGCTTCGTTGCCGCTCGGGTCCACCACTTGTGATTCCACCTGATTTTGACGATTGGTTTCTTTCACGCGTAGGTTTCCCAACGACTCCAAAGACGAGAGACGCAAAAGAAAACTCAAGAAGATTCTGAACACTACTAGGAATCAGAATAGTATTCTGTTTGTAATGCACTCCGGTGCTTCTCGTGTGTAGTTTAGGTGTTCCTTTGCCTTCCAAAATAAGCTATGCCGTTTGTGCCCGTATTAGGGTGTTTAGAGGTAAGCGTAAATAATTTGTAATGCTGAAAAGCATACAAGCCCTAATAGTTTCCCGTGGAGAAGCTAATGCATCTGCAGTGAAGGTTGACAAACAAAGCATGAATTTGTAATGCTGGCGGCCGTTCTGCTCGGAAATGCCCGACAGCAATCTGTCATGCATATTTCGACCATTTGGTGATGATGCTTCTTCTCCTCTTTCCCTTTTGTGATCGCGCTCACCATTTAGTGAGCGGCAGTGTGGTCTACGGTTCTTGTACGAGCTAAATCAGTACTACAATTTATGACGAAGGGATTTCCGGAACCTTTGATCGTGCTGGTGCTTTGATCTTCAGGTTGATCCTTTGGCCAATTTGTAATGCTGTTTTGATCTGCGGTAAATCTGGGGCTTTCGGAATCTAACATGTATTTGTCTTGCTAATCACGACCGAATTCTTGATTTGGGTGGACCTCACACAAAGGTCCACCTCGACAGCAAAACGAAATAAAAGAACGAAGTTGTTTCACGACCACCGCTCTGGGGGTGGTCGGGACAAGAAGCAAGACGACCTTAAAACCAGCAAAATGGAAGATTTACCCAGTAACACCGTTTCAACAAAATCTTCACGATACGGACATGACTCTGTAATGCACCTCGAGTTCTTCTCGCTACCCAGGATTTTACACTAGTGCTCAGATTCAATTCTGTCCGAACTACACTACTCAGGTTCGACTTCCGCACTTGCGCAGCAGAAAATGCATCACTACAGCCATGGGATGATGGGTGCGCTTTTGCACAAGATAGTTGATCGTCACCTCACAGTCCTCCTCCGGTGCATTTTGTGATACGTCCTTGCGCACTTGCCGCTGTTCCGCACCCTCCACTGATGCGCCCTCCTGCATATCCGCACTTTCTGCGTTTTGTGCGTCCTCCTTCAGTAGCACGCTCTCGTCAAGTTTCGTATTTTTCGCGTCCTCCTTCAGTGCTACGGGCTTGTGCAACGGGTGGAGTTGCGCGTACGAGCGGTCAACCGCTACCGAGATGATCTTCTTCTTCAGTTCCTCGGGGAGGTTGCAGATGGTCGATTATCAAAAGGAAAAATCCCACCTCCTCATATCCAAAACGAAATTTGTGATGCTGTGTTTATTGTTGGGCACACAAATCGACTTGCAGTGGTAGAAGGCCAGGAGCCGCAACTGTGGCCTCGTTTGCAGGCAATTTGTCGTGCTGTTTCCCACCTCCAGCTGCCTCCTGTCATGCTGAAGATGCAAGGCTTTCTCGCGCCACCGAGAACTACAGTCCGCATCTTTTCCCTTCTAGCATGACAAAGCTGATTTGTGACCACAAATCTGCACCACAGATTTCCGTTTTGATAAGGGGAGGGGGGAGTTTTCTTCGTGATATCGATAGAAACGCGAGAAACTCCGTCTCTGTGATGGCGTCCAGTGGTAACCAAATCTGGCTGTTGTACTCGTATTTGGCGTATGAAATGTAAAAGTGTCTGGGTCTGGAAGAGTCATGCTGTTTCTGCATGACACAGAAGGTCTGGCATGGCAGCTCTAGCACCACAGGTTTCGAGAAGCTTCCGCAATGCTGAATCCGCATGACAAATCCCTCATTTTGGTGACAATGCTGCCTATGCATCAGAGATTTTTGTGTGTTCTGAAATGCGCATCACAGTTACATCCTTCCAGACCGAGACATTTTTGCACTTGATATGGCGACAGATTCTGTGTCATTTGTACTGCCCGCTGGTGCCCTGACCGCGGAGGCAATAATCTTATTCAGCCTTTTGACCTCGTCCGAGCCATCGTCTTTGAGAACGACGCCGATCACGTATCCTATGTAAAAACATCCCCACACCTGAGTCAAGATGGGAAATCTGCTAGATAAAAATCAACCAGCTGTGGTTGTTTCGCATGGCAAGGTTGGCCCCGTCGTGTAAACCTGTTTAGCTAGCTCCCGCACCAGCATCACAGATCTAGCATATCATGCTGATTTGAGCGTGACAAACTCCAGAACACAAAGGGGAAGTGCTTTGCATGGGGCTCCGCATGAGAAACATTTTTGGCATGCAGATTTGCATGACAACTCTTGGACGGTGTTTATGTACTGGAAAAGACCAAATTAAAGCACAGAGAAAATTCAAATTTTCACAAGGGGTGGGAATGATTTTACTGAGAATATCACGTTCTTCTTTACCCATTGTTTCTGCCAGGCAGCGTAGGCGCGGTGGTTTTTCTTCTCTTCGGTATGCCGTGCAAAAGTATCTATCGTAATCGTAGTACTGATTGCAGCAGCTCTGCATCACAAATTGACAAATTCCATTTCATCTTTTTCTAGAAGCAATTCGTATTCGCAATTTCTACGAAATATACGATATTAAAATACTTTTGCACTGCATATTCGGCCTCTTCGAGCAGCTGGACCATCTGGCGGCAGAGCTCCGCGTGCCCTTCGACTTCAGGGTTCATGTATCAAATGTAAAAATGTCTGGGTCTGGAAGATTCCGAGATTTGTCATGCAGTTTTTCCAAGCTCCACCAAGTCTGGAATGCAGGGCATAGCATCACAGGTTCTGCAGCCCCTTGCTGATGCCCATTATGCATGAGAAATGCCCTCTGAGCATGGCGAGAAATGGGGACCTTTTGCAAGTCATGCAACACAGATTTTTGTATCATCCGCAACACGCATAACAAGTTCGCATTCTTCCAGACCCAGACATTTTTACATTTGATATCATGTCGTACCGCTCGCTCCCGTGTCGCAGTTTGAACCCGGGGGGGGTCATCAAGTCGGAGTCGGATGACAGTCCGTCGCTCGGGGACGAGCCTGAGGCTGTACTATCTCCGAACCATCTATGCGCCGCAAGTATGTCGTGTCTGGGTCTGGAAGGATGCAAGGTTATATTATGTCATGCTTGTCGTGTGGCAAGAGTTTGCGATGCGTCTGCGTGTCCAAGAAGCGACTCTTTTTTTGGTATATGCAAATACACGGGCTGCCCTGCGGAAAGCGCAACACGAAAGACCCGCGTAAATAAGTATTTCCCATGCTTGGCTATGCATTATTAAAGAGCATGCTTCATCACTATTCACAATTCAGCATTACAAGTTTCCAGATCGAGGTCCAGACATATTTGCAATGCATAAAATCCCACCACCCCACGGGGCGTGACGCGAGACGAGGTATCGAAAGGAAAAATCTCCCCTCGCCATATCAAAACGAAATTTCTGCTGCTGCATTTGTGTACACAAATCCGAGTTGTCTTGCTGGAGAGCACTGCAGGCCCATACTAACTGCGAGCAGAGAGGTTTCGGCCTAGGCAATTAGCACGAAAAGCGTCCGCGCTGTAGGCCCAGCAGCATGACAAACCGCCTGCGCAATGCGGTGGAGCCTGCGGAGTGGCCTTCTTGCAAGACAGACACGATTTGTTACCCCAAAGCATCACAAATTTCCAAAAATATACCTTTTTAGTATGGAGAGGAGGGATTTTTCCTTTCGATACGAGGGCGCGGCGGACGTGGTGACGTCGGCGACGTGTATCCTGGGAAAAAACATCCCCACCCCATAGTCAAGCTGCTAAATCTGCAACACAGATCTCCGTCCAGGAATTGGGAGTTGTGCATGACAAGTTTCCATGCGCAGTGTCGTGTTGGCTAGCAAGGGAAGCTGCACGAGAAAGCCACTTTGTCATCCAATTTACGGCATTACAAATGCCAAAACACGACTGGAAATGCCTCTCATGCGAATGCGCATTACAAACGTTCCTGTCATCTTCGCGCGCTCGCATGAAAACTCTGGGGTGGGGACGTTTTTACACAGGATAACGTGTGGTAGGTCCTCTCTTGGGGCCGCAGTCGCCTGCTTATCAAACGTGAAAAAGCCCCCACCTCCCCATATTCAAAAGACAATTTGTACAGCTGGATTTGTGTACACAAATGTGTTGCAGCGCGAGCCTGTCGGCATAGTGTAAGCCAATTTCGGCACGCATCCGCCTAGCAGCGGAGCATGAGAAACAACTCCTACATAGGCGAAAGCGGCAAACTGGCTGCAGAATGCGCCACATGGGTGCCGCTTGCCTTGTACGCAAGACAAAGCTCCTGATCTGTGGTCACAAACCAACATCAGAAATTGCCTTTTCGATATGGTGACGGGAGATGTTTCCTCACAATATTTTTTGTCATCCGCACCGGTGGAATTTTTCTCGTGCGGGACGATGGGGGCCCGCGGCTGCGGGAGCGGGGGAACCACTGCAGGGCGACCTAACACTGGATTCGTGGCTACTTCGCCGTCAAGCGCGACGCGAAACGTGTATGCCTCTCGTGGGAACCGGGTCAATCGTCCCTGCAGTGCCCGCCTTATCTGCCGCCACGCATCGTGCTGCTTTTTCGTCGTATCTGGCTCGTCGGGAGTTTGCCGGGCGTAGAAGTCGGCTTCGCATCTGGCTCTCGTCAGTGTCCGATTCGGACCTCCGAAAACCGCCTCTGCTAGGTCGTCTCCAGGTTTGATACGGCCGCCAGTGCTCGTTGTGTTGTTCGTATCGAAGCAAAAAACATTGTAGGTGTAACTTTTTTGGAGGAACAGCATTACAAATTTGTCTGGCAGGACAGCAAAAACCTCCTGTCATGCGCAGCTAGTACGCGAAAACGGCCTTTAATAGACCCTACGATGTATGCCAAGCATGACAGACGCAATCATTTTGCATGTTGCGCATCCCAAATTTACACTAACACCGTTTTTTTCTTGAATAGTTCGTGATGAGATCTCGTGCGAAGAAATTTGGGTTGGTTGCGTATCCTCCTTTTTTTCTGTCCATGATCTATCCTGAGGAAAAACGTCCCCACCCCATAGTCAAGCTGGGAAATCTGCTAGACAATTCAGCTAGCTTAGGTTGTTGCGCATGACAAGCTTGGCCTCGTAGTGTAAAAATCCTGTTTAGCTCGCTTATCGGCATGACAGATTTACCCTATTATGCTGATTGGAGGATAAAAAGTCCAAAACCCGACTAGTAAATGCTTGTCAACATGAGGCTCCGCATGAGAAACATTTTGACCAGGCAGAGTTGCGTGACAGCTATGGGGTTGGAACGGTTTTCCTCAGGATATATTTTCGACCAACTTTTTCCAGTCGTCCCACCCGCGCACGTATCCAGTGCAAATGCATGTCTGGGTCTGGAAGGCTGCAAAAGTTTTTCATGCAGGTTTTGCCTGGCAGAGGAGATCCAGATTTCATCTTCACAATTTGTTCTAAGTAGTCTGCAATACAAATGTTTCCTCAAGTTGTCCAAAATTGCACCAAAGCTTCTACTTCTACTACTCTGACAGAGGGCGTGGCAAGTCTATTGCAGCTGATGTCCAGACGCAGACATATGAGCAATGCGTACCAAGTCGCCCACATGGTACGTATGTATTCGCCAACGGGGTTCGAACCCGGTCCACTCCTCCTCCCCGAGCAGCGCCACTTCTAAACACATTTTCCCACGTATGCTGAGGAAAAATCCCCCCTCCCCAAATCGCAAAGGAAGTTGGTGCCTTTGCTCGTATTTGAGTAAGTACACAAGTCGACTGGTATTGCCAAGCAGTTGTCTGTCATGCTGTTGTTCCCTGTTACCAAACAGTTTGCTGTCATGCACGGGACAGACAGTCTGTCATGCTGTTCCCTGCCTCCTGTTGCTACCTGTCATGCTGAAGCCGCAAGGCTTTCGGACACCACCAAGGGCCGCAGTTCGCATCCATCACGACAACGCGACGGCAAATCATGCGCGCACAAATCTCCGCGGCCATATCGGGCGGGGGGTTTCTCCATTTTGGTAGCCCGGCTGAGGCCGTCCGGAAAGACGTCGTCCCGCTTCTGAAAGCATCGGAACTCAGAAGACAAGCTCGCCCCGCCTGAGTACCCGGTCCACACGAAGTGCATGGCGTCCGCTGGGTGGTACTTCTGCGCCGAAGCACTTCGGCTCGGCGTAACCGAGTACACCAGGACGGGCATGCTTCTTTCTCCATCGAAGACCCCCCGGAACGGCAGGGTCCGCTTGTACACCAACAGGTGTACCCGGAGCGTCGGGTTGGTATCCCTGGGCGCCCATGTGTCGATGGCGGACGGCGCGTCGACCCGATCCAGCAGGTGCGTCCTGCCGACACTGCAGAAACCGGACGCCGGCACGATCCCGCTGCTCACCGCAGAGGTTGCAGCTCTGCCCAGGTTGCTATCGTCTCCCGTGTTTATGTCGTCGCTCGGGTTGTTCCCTGGTTTTTTCGCAGTCGACGGAGCTGGGGCTGCTGGCTGGAGGAGGTTGACAGCACTACTTCCCGACGCCGGGGCGGGTTGCTGCGGAGCGGGGAGGGGACCGCCTACAGCAGCTGCCTCGCCAGCGGCCTGTGCTGCCTCCTGCGGGTGGTCCTCGTTATCCTCCTGCTTCTTTTCCAGGTTCATGCCCCCCATCATGAGGTCGGCCAGATCGTCTACCTCGGCATCTGCTTGCGGCGGCTCGCGGATAACAAGCCGCTTATTCTCCTCGCTCGGGGGGTCTGGGAGATTGAACTGGAACGGCTTATAGTAGACCACGCCGGTGAGTGGACTGTACCGGACACCGAGCCCGACTTCGTTATTGTTGCTATTCCCCGGCTGCCGCCAGCCAAGGAAGCCAGAGCCCGTTGTCCCTGCGGTGCCAAAGCCGTGGCGGCGCGGGACACAGTTCAGCGGTAGAAAACCGGGCAGCATGTTGTTGGCTGTCGTCCTTTGTCCTGCTGTTCGTTGAAGAATAAATTGCGCCTCCCTATTGATTTTTTTTGCTGTCGGTGGTAGTTGTACCCTATTGCCGTGGTGCTGCTCAAGTCCTGTTGACGAAATTCGTGCTGTCGTCGAAGAAAAGAAGAAAATTACGTTGTCGTCGTATGTTGTCGTTCAAAAGAAAATTATGTTGATGTCGTTGAAAAGATGACAATGCCCATGTTGTCACCAAATTCCATATTTTTTTCAGTACTATACCACGTGATGATCATGATGATGTTATTCAGTGAAGAGTTCACAAGAGGAATCCTAGGATTCTAGTACAGCGTGTGTATTTATTCCTTAGTAGACACTTGACTCAGCAGCTTTTGCTATTAAACAATGAATTTCGGGAAGACATTCAAGTGAGATTGTTTTCAGCAACAAGCTCTTATGATACCCAACGAAAGAAGATGTCGGGGAGACTCTTTGCCATATCCATGTTGCACGGCTTCGTCTTCGAGCAGTGTATTGCTACTAAAACGCCATTTGCAATATGATCCACATCATCATCTGATTCCAAACATTGGATCTTCGAGCTGTTTCGCATTCGCAGTGAGTTCCGTATAAGACACAGAAAAAGTAGGCGGGGACGGTAAAAACAATCTAGAAAATCTTTCCTGCGGTAGGCGGTCTGCGGAGGATATTAAGTAGGCTCCTCAAGAACTTTGTTTACTGATACGGGCGGAGGAGCAGGATGATCATGAGCGCAACTAGATGTGCTCCTAGAGGAACAAACCGTCAGAATGCGGCTCATCTCGTGGGTGCGGTTGCTTTTTCCGGGAAGTTAGTAGTTGTGAACCACACTGGAGGGCCAGCGCTGCCGGAAGGAAGCACGATCGGCCCGGCTCGAAATGCATCTCCGAGGCGGACGAAAGCGAAGTCACATACTTACCCACGCTTAGTAAGTGGCCTTGGTATTTGGTAAGTTCACTCGGATGAAAGCGAAGTCACTTACATCCCCGGGCGCGTGAACCTGTTCGTCTCGTTCCGCCTTTCGAAGGCGCGTGCTGTCATGAACGACACCGATGCGTGTACGTCTACGTTCTAGCACCGTCGTATGCAGGAAATAAAAGTAGTTTATCGCTGCCCCCACAGACAGGATTGTTGCAGACAGGTTTGTGACAGGAGTAGGAAACACGCGCAAAAAGAAACAAAAGACGCCAAAAAGAAAGTCGGTGTGAGAAATAGTTCCAGTTCGGTATGATCCACCTGCGCCATGTTTTGGCAGTTCCAAAACAAGCCTGAGTGAGAGCCCTTTTTTGATGCGTGTCTGCAATTAGCACGAACAGAATGTGGCGGAACACTTTTGGTGGAAAGGACTTTTTGTTTTCCCCTTCGAGGAAATTCAAAGTTTTCGTTACACGTCTCTCGAGAAAGTTATCGTTTGTAGCCACACAAGCTCTGTAAAAAGACCCGAAATAATTCATAGCTTTTCTTTTCACATCTAATTCAATATTAGTAGAAAAAGCAGGCTTTTTGCTGCACCTTTCGATGCGTTTTCATGTAATTCAAGAAAGGTAAAACGAGGTATATTCAGTTGTATTTCTTATTGGGATCTTCGGAAAAGTAGCGGATTTTTAAGTAGAAAATCGCTTTTGTTAGTTAAACAGTCCACCCATCAGCCCTCCACCACGGTTTTGAGCCTTCGCGTGCGCGTCAGCCTCCTTGCGCACGGCGCGGATATGGAAGTGTCAGGATTGACATCGACAAAATTGAAATGATTTGCCATGCATAAAATGGATGCCAGTTCTTGGAGCCCAGTTTTCAAGCGGCGCATGACAAATTTTGGCGGTGCCTAAATCCAGCTTGTAATGCTGTTTGCGTAACGAAGACGCCTTTTGACATGCTACTTCAGCAGCTCTATTTCTACCACTCAACTACAGGCATACAACCTGCCTCGTCCCTTGCCTACTCTGCAAGACAGGCACTTTGATGTGGGTTGCATTTTATGCATCACAAACTATTTCAACTTTGACGATTTCAATCCTGACACCACCATAGCGGATCTGGTCACCGTACGTCAGCTCGAAGGAGTCCTCCTCTTGGGATCCACCGCACGAGTTGCCATCAAATCGTTGCCAAACCCAGTACGGCTTCGCGATCAGCCCCTTGTCCTGCTCCCGCTCGCCCTCGAAGCACCAGCACCACGCGCTTGGTATGACCTGTTCAAACGTTACAATCTCAAACGTTACAATAGAATCTGAGATTTATTGTCTTGCATGATCAACATGACAGACTCGGACAGCTTTCCACTTTCTGCAATACAAATTTGGGCAGATTGTGCTGCGGATTGGGACTCCAAAACTTGTCATGCGCAATCCTGCGGGAGTAGGGTAGATCATGCACTTCTTGCACCACAAATTCCGAATTCTATTGTAACGCTTGAGATTGTAACACCTGAGCGGGTTATACTTGGCTGCTTCTTCTTCTGAAAGGTGGTCACCGGCTGGACGGGCGGGGTGAAGGATCTAGTTTCGAAATGGAGAGATTATTTTTGAAACACATTTTTCGTATCAGATTTAAATTTGAACCCCGTCTAAAACTACTTCAAATTCCACAACTTCGCATGGCGGATAAGTACCTTAGTCACAAGTCTAGTTCTCAGTTTCTCATGCTAAATCCGTATTCCTAACAAAGCCCATAGGTTTGTTGACTCAGCTCCTTTGAAGGAGCAAGTTTGTCATGCGGATTCAAGTAAAGTGAGGCTTAATTTCTTTGCTTTTTCTCTTCTTGTTTTTCCTTTTCCTTTTCTTTGCGACCGTAGCAAGAATGTGCTTGTTTTTGCCTTGGTTTTCGGTCTTTTCTCTTGCTCGATTGATTTCTTTGCCTTTCCATATCATTTTGATCTATGAGATGAAACAGCGCTCAAAACTAGTTTTCAATATACCCAGTAGCCTCGATTCCGTCCTCCTCGCCGGGTGGGGGGAAGACGTCCGGCACCGTGTCCTGGGCGCCCACAGCCTTTCCGTGGTCCTGGTTGTTGTGCCCAACGCCTGGAAGGTTCCCCATCTTGTTGGTACGCACGACGGTGGTTTTTTCACACTACAGATCCTTTTAGTACACACGACGAAGAAAGAAGAGTCGTCGTGGACAGAAAAAAACAACTAATTACGGTAACACGGCAATGGTTTGGTGGAACAGGAACTACTTTTCCTGCAGGGGTGATGGCATATTTGTCTATCGATTTTGCGTTTCTTTTCGATAGTACAAGTAAGGACTTTGTACCCGTTGTGATTTTGCGTGTTTGGCGTTTTCCGCTTGGAAGCGATTTTTTGTGCTCATCGAACCACACTTTTGACACATCACTCCACGATAACGATAGAGACTTCCGAGCGAGCGCCGACTGGCATTGATACTAGCAACGACGAGGAGTGGTGTACCATGTTTATGATGCACGACGAGGAGGAAAGCTACTTACTTATTTTGGTCCGCCTGTTTGAGTAAAATGCGACTCGGACTGTGGCAACCGCGATTTGCATCGATAAAGACAACCGAAAGCAACGATTTTCGTCACTCGAAGCAGTACGAAGAATTTACAGCTGCGAGCTATCACATTAAGGACGAGTGTAATTACCACAAGTCTCATTATTCGCAAGACCTATTTTTGCCTTTACGTAGACCGACGAGCGGGCGCAGCACGGGCGAGAACACGGAAGTGACCTCCCAGCCACTCTCGAAAGCACCAGAGCGGGTGCATGACAGCCGGCACCTCTGGCTGTGAAGATCGAGATTTAAAAATAAAGCTCCTTTGTTGTTTCGTAGAAGCCGGGTGTACTAGCGATAAAATAAGTTCATTTGCAATCCTTATCCTATTGAAACATAGACCATCATCCTGAAAGCGTCCCTATCCGGGAAGTAGACCGGACGCCATTAGCAGTAGAACATTTCGAAACGGATTAGACTAGAGGAAAATAACGGACCACAGTTTTTTCTACAAGAGAGGATCGTAGCTCAGCAAGCCGGCAAAAACCGATATTAGCAAGTCAAAAATCAAATACCCAGTGGCAGTACAATAACTTGAAGGAATACTGGCACAAGTAGGGTTTCTACAATTACTGTACCTGAAGGCACACAAAATCGTATCAGTTCATTCTAATGAAAATATTTCGAGTTCTTGATGAAGTAGAATGCTCTCTTTTAACATTGAAAATTTCTATTTCGAAAAAAACAAAAAAGTTCTCGGAATAATGTAAACACAAAAAAGCTCCATCAAAACAAAGCGAGGCTACAAGGAGAAAAGCCTTTTCTTTGTGCAAAGCGAGCGTGATTTTGTCGTACTAAATACTCCAGTTGAGCTCAATAAGTTTGATGTTTAGTATTGACAAGAAACTATAGGTCGTGATTTTGGAGCAACTCTACTCGCCGAGAGGTACTTACAACTAAACTTAGCCGAGCACTTTCATCAAAAAGTGTGGACACACAAGAGGTACAACGAATCATCACATTCACTGCTCAATCACACAGCTGGAACTACTAGACGAAGACTCCTCCTCCTTTTCTTCTTTGGTCGTCGCAGCACCCGCTTCCGCCCGTTTCTTCTTTTCCAGTTCGCCGCGCACGCGCGCCACGCTTTCTGCTCGACAGTTTAGCGTGTGATTCCATTCTATCAAATGCAAAAATGTTTGGGTCTTGAAACTTGTCATGCTAGAATGTGGATGATGGAAAGAGTTCCGACTGCAGCCCAGTATGACAACTTTCCAGAACGCATTCTCACGGGCAAGCCGCATGAGTAGACATTACGTTTTTGCATGTACAAAAGAGGCTGCGACTTTTGTTGGTTACGCAATACAAATTTTCTAGGTATGGGAAGCTAGCATTACAAGTTCCAACCTTCCAGACCCGGACATATTTGCAATTCATACATTCCGTCCCCTCGTCCTCCTCCCGGAATTCGTCCTGGTCCACCACGTATCAAATGCAGAAGTGTCTGGGTCTGGAAGAATGCATGTTTGTCATGCTTGTCTGGGATGACTCTAAAATCTGTCATGCACGTGACCCAAGAGCCCAATTGCTCTGTCATGCAGAAACGCAGTTTGTCATGCAGAATAGGCAACACCTAGAAGCTCAGAAAATTGTCATGCTGAGCCAGCACTTGTCGCCTCCTCCTGATACGCCACTCAGCATCACAAGTCTCCAGACCCAGACATTTTTGCATTTGATACCACGATCTCCTTCTGGCCGAACCCGAAGACCTCGAAGAGCAGTTTGCACCACAGGCACCCCTGTTGCTCCTCCGCCACACCAAGCGCCCGCTTGGGGGACGGCGGCGGATACACGTCCGGCTGCGGCGACGGAGGGGGCGTGTAGTCGCGGTAGTACTTCCCGGGCTCCTCGCGGAAATCTTTCTTGATGTACGGCAAATGGAAGTTGCCCCACATATTGTACTTAAAAGAAATGAATATTAACAGCAATGTTTTTTTTTTCGGTAGTGATGAAAAATGGATCTGGTTCTTTTCTGACTTCTAAAGTGACGTGGATCTCGAGTAGTTTGAGATGAGTTAGGAGAACGAAAAAAACTGCCACCGAAATTTCAACTATGGGGTTTTCTGAAGTTCGCTGCCTGCACGGATATTTTTTGTGAAATGAAATCAATCGCGGCGTTTTGCATTGCAACTGACTTCTTGTTTCGAAAATACGAATCTGCTACGGAAGGAGCGGTAATTGCGGCCTCTTTGTTTTCTCTCACGGTGGTTCACAACAAACGCTAAGCACGTACGGATCGACTCTCAACAAGCACCACGTCCTCGAATAACCCTGGCAACGGTTTTCAAATTCCAAAAAAAACCAACATCCCTCGGAAGCTAATCTGCTTGCACCCACAGCTAATTCTCTCTCGTTGTACGACGAACCTCATTGGGAAGATTTTTCATTGCTGCATATCAGAAAGACGCCGGTCCATCTGATATCAAAATCGGATTTGTACTTTCGTAAAAACTAAGTTCAACCTTTGTAGTGTTTTCAGTCCTTAAGCCCACAGCACCAAAAGAACCTCAAGTAAAGCCAATTCTTCACGCTGAGCAGGGGAAGCACACGCTGCAGTAGACCTCAAACTCCTCAAGGGCCGCGGCAGCGAAGTCAGCTGGGCGCAGCGGCTTGTTGCAGTAGCCCGTGTAGCTGGAGGGGTGCGTGCAGGAGCCGTCCCGACGAGCTTCCCACCCTTGCGGGCACGTGCTGAAGTTCGGCTGACAGGACGGTATCGGGTTGAAAAAAATTTTGTCGTATTTTGAAACAGCTTTTTTTGCCATGCACCTAGGGAAAATTTCCGTTTTTTTAGTACTTCGCTACGGTAAGTACAAACAGCCCTTTATTTCTCACCAATTCCAATTGTTCGGCTTCGCAAAATTGAACGCAATTCTGCACCGCGAAGCCATCAACGCATGACACATTCCTTCCTGCTTCAAGACATAATTTTTTTTAATCCGATGATACACTGGTCGCACTGCGCATTGGCTCGTCCCGACGTGACGTGCGCTTCCGCAGCTTTGGCAACGCTGGTTGCGATGCTAGCCATTTTGGTCAGGGACAACTTGCCGTCCACTGCGCGAAGAAAGGAAGCTGCGCCCGCACTCGCGCCTGCAACCGGATAGGACCCAAGCTTCGTCGGCGAGCTGACCAGAGCCGCTTTCACCGCATCGTGCAACTCCCGCTGCTCCGGTGTTTCTCCGACGCTGGCAGATTTGTCGAAGGCCTGCAGTATCACCAGCAAAAGTGCCACCACAATTCACAATCTGTCATGCAATAGTTTCGGTGCTGCGGAGTCAAGTGTGGTCGGTGGGACGAATGCATGATTTGGAAATTTGTTAATTTCTTGAATGACAAACTGTCGTTCCGGCAGGTGGCATTTTTGTCTGTGATATCTGCGCCGGCAATCAGGTCCCGTTCGATGTCCTTGATCCGGTCGTCGTTCGCAGCGTCGCCAGCCGACCCTGCAACGGACGCTTCGGGCGTAGAGGACCCGGCTGCCCCCGAGTTGGCCATCAGCGAACTGATCATGCCGGCAGCCCGATCAGCGGAGCTTGCAGCGACGGATCCCGCCTCGGAGTAGGTACCAGCGCCGACCGCAGACGGAGCATAGGTCACATCCGGCGACCCCACCGGGGTGCTACCGCTACTGCCGCCTGGTCCGCGTGCAACTTCACCTCCACGGACGGCTCCGGGGGCGTCTTTGCGCAGCTTCAAGGAGACTGCGGCGGCCACCATCCAGAAATGCACGGCGCGCGAAGACATGACTGGATTCTCTTTCTCTTTAATGTGTGTTTGCTACTGCCACTTAAAACGGAGTCAAAAAGCTCAAAAAGTTCGCAACAGGGGGGCCTGCCAACAAAATCTAGTGATTTATGGTAGTTTGCTGTGTTTTGTTTTTCAAAAACGAGAAAAAACGAAGCCTTTTGGAAGTAATAAGCGTCGCTCCTGGAGCACTCTCAGATCAAGCACTCTCGCAATTTGTGCTCTGTACGCCAATTTTCGAAAACCTAAGTTTGATAAACCAATGAAAAAAAACCACGACGGCAAGACACCGTTCTCTCGCAGATGACGCCTCTTTCTTGGTCCGTAAATTTTCTTTCAATAAGTTGGGAGCTGAATGGCATGCTCATTTTCTCTTTTGAAAATGGCCTCTCAACATCGGTAGACAGATTGATCGCTCAAGAAATTCGCTGACCAACCAGCAAGAGCATAATGCTCGGCTCTTGCCGTTCCAAATTACTATCACAAACTTGACTGCGCATCGTAGCCGGAAACGAGCGTAGCAATATCTCCTCCAGCACGAGTTGTGGAACGGCAAATGCCCGCGGGCGGCGCATTAGGGCTGTGTGGCGCGCTCGAACCCTACAAACGGGGCGTCGGGAACTGAGTGCAAGCAATCACGCGCCCAAGCCCCGCATCCAGTAATACTAGCGCCGCCCCGCGAGGCCTTCACGCGATTGAGGCCCCCGGCATACGTCGAAAAGACGAGTTGGCCGCCCGAAATAAGGCGGCCGGCAGCAAGAACTCGCGCGCGCAACGCGCGCGCCCGTCGGTTCTGCCGACGAGTGGCCGGCTGGGCGCAAGGGCGACCACTTTGGCAGGCCAGGCGCCCGAAAGGCCGCCGCTCCGCGGCCTCACATAAAGCGCAAAAGGAATGGGTTAGCCGCGGGCAGCACCTGTCCCACCTGAAAAAACCCTGGAAAGGTATCCTGTGTAAAAACGTCCCTACCCGCAGAGTCAAGTTGGGAAATCTGCAACACGAATCCAGAAACTGTGCCAGCCACGCATGACAGGTTTTCGATGTGCTGTAGTGCAAGTCGGAAAGGCAAGCAGCATCAGGAACATTTTCTTATCCTAGTTGCAGCATTACAAATGCCAAATCACAATGGAAAACGCCTCTCATCATGGGGATGCGCATCACACGCGTTGTCGTCTGCCGTTGCAAATAAATCCGCATGAAGGCAATCATGGGGTGGGGACGTTTTTACACAGGATGCATAGGGCTCACACACCGGGAAGTTCGGCGGCGCCACCTCCTCAGCCTCCCCGGCGTCCTCCGCCTGCTCCTCCACGCCTTGCTCCTCCACGCCTTGCTCCTCCACCTTGTGGCAGGCCGCCAACGGGTCGCGCATAAACGCAACACCTATCACATCCAAATATGTCTGGGTGTGGAGGAGTGCAAGGCTTCACAAGCTCGATTGGCACCATGGCCCTCAAGTTTGTATATGCGCTTTACCTAAATAAATCCACAACTTTTTCGAAAAGCTAAGTTTATTGAGAAACCAATGTGCAAAAAAAATAAAAAGCACGACGGCAAGACACCGCTCTCTCGCAGATTACGCCTCTCTCTTGGTCCGTAAGTTTTCATTTGATATCAATTTGGGAGCTGGATAGCACGCTCAGTTTCTTTGTTTGAAAATGGTCTCTCGTCGGTCTCGGTAGGCAGATTGATCGCTCAAGAAAATCGTTGACCAAGCAGCAAGAACATGATGCTCGGCTCTTGCCGTTCCAAATTACTATCACAAACTCGACTGCGCATGCTAGCCGGAAACGCGCGTAGCAATATCTCCTCTGGAACGGCAATCGCCCGCGGGCGGCGCGTTAGGGCTGTGTGGCGCGCTCGAACCCTACAAACGGGGCGTCGGGAACTGAGTGCGGGCAATCACGCGCCCAAGCCCCGCATCCGGTAATACTAGCGCCGCCCGGCGAGGCCTTCTTCACGCGATTGGGGCCCCCGGCATCCGTCGCAAAGACGAGTTGGCCGCCCGGAATAAGGCGGCCGGCAGCAAGAACTCGGGCGCGCAACGTGCGCGCCCCTCGGTTCTGCCGAGCAGCGGCCGGCCGGGTCTCAGGCCGACCACGTTAGCCAGGCGCCGGAAAGGCGGCGGGCACGCCGCCGGGCCGTTCCGGGGCCTCACGTAAAGCGCAAAAAGAAGAGGAGGCCGCAACGGCGGCGAACTGAATCGGCCGGGCGGCTCGCTTTTGCCTCCTCTAGCGCTTAAACGGGCTCCACCACGCTACCCCTTCCTCATATGGAAAGAAAAACCCACCGCAGGTGCGGCCTTACAGGCTTCTTTCGTCCAGTGTAGCGATGATGTCGGAGGTTGTTTCCTTACGCTTTGGCATGATGACAGTGCAGCTTCTAACTAGCAAAACGGCTACACCATGCGAAAGTAGTCGCACAACTGTGGTGGTTTTTTCTATCCCCTAGGCCATCGACGTAGTAGGTCTCCACGTCGGGGGTAGACAGCCGCCGGAGCTCGCCAACGCCAAAAGAGCCTCTACTCCTTGCTCCAAGAAACGGAGGGTGCGCGGGAAATAGATCTCCTATAGTCCGCTCAGGCATTGCAATCTCAAGTGTTGCAATCTTATTGATACTTTGTACTGCAGGAAAGGCCGGGCCTTTCCTCTTTCGTCAGCGATTCGCATGAGAGGGAACATTGCCTCAGACCAGCAATGCGAGATAAAGGAAATGTCGTGTTTCGATTTTAGTTCACACGCAGTACAAACTGCCATTCGTGTTGTAAGACCTGAGTTTGCAACATCTGAGCGGGCCATATCTTTCGGTGGGCCGCACACGAAGAGCTTTCTGCTACTGCCGCCCCGATATGCACTGCAAATATGTCTGGGTCCGGAACAAGTGTGCAAGACTGGTCATGCAGGTTGTCCGTGGCCCGTGAGGTCTGGAAGGCAGGACCTAGCTTAACAGATCACTCTGTGAGATCTCGATCATGACTAAGTATCCTGCGCATGAGAAACTCCCTCTCAACCTAGTAGAATGTGGGCGTCTCCTGGTACTCATGCAACACAGATTTTTGCATGATTCAGATGTATAGCATGACACTTTTTACGTTCCAGACCCAGACATATTTGCGTTTGATACCGGCGCGCAAAGAAAATCCTCCGCCATCTTTGCGCAGCTTGTCTTCAATTCGTACTTGCTAAAGTCGTTGTGGAGAAGCAAAAAGGATTGATAAAACTCGCACTTCTGACGGCGACCTGCCTTAGAAACATCGAATGAATCTAGCATGACCACTTTCAGAGTGGTGCGCTGTTGAATCTTTCTCACTAACAAACAGACTGATGCTTCTTGTAAGAGACATCTCTCCAGCACATCCACCTGGATAGTTCGTCTCAGATTCATCTCTCTAGCACTCTGCACTCTGCAACCCAACGTGTAAAAAAGAAGTTTTTCTTTAAGCTTTAAATCGCCGTGACTGGGGTGCACGTAGTACACTCAACAAAAAGGTCTCTGTAGTAGCACAAGACGCGTCCCTCTCCAACAGCCAGATGAGCGGCTTGCTCTTCAGATTTCTTGTTCCAGCTCAAGCACAAAACCACGAACAACAGGCACCGTTCACGAGTCGCGCAAGGCGGGACCGGTTCATCTCTCGGTACAACTGGTCGGAATGCTTTCCGCAACCTTTTTCTACTATGTCCTTTTCCGTGTCTGAACTTCGCGCAGCAGCGTAGTACTTATGTACTACCAGACGAACAGCAAGAACTTTGTCATGCGCTTTTCAACGACGAAAGTTCGCACAAGAGCTCTAGTCACTGCCACAAAAAACTCAGCCCTGTCACCAGCAGACCACAAAACAAACCAGTTTTATTCCGGCGAAGGTTTGCGTCAGAAACAAACCAGCTTCGTACACTTTTCTTATTCTATCGCAATGGCATGCCGGAGCGCCCGTACATCAGCTATGTTGTGCTGCCGTCGCGGGTGCTTATCACCTGCAAACATGTCTGGGCGGTGTGAAATAGTACAAGGTTTGTCATGCGGATTTTATACCATCAACGATGCCTTTCTTTGGTGAAAACCTTCCACGCATCACAGGTCTTGTAAAGGCTGCCTAATTCTCCCTCTCCCGCATGAAAAATGCCTTAGTGGCGACATAGCATTATATACAGAATTTCATAGGTGAATCGGAAGGCAGAACCACAGGTTTGCGTCTATCCAGACCCAGACATATGAATTTGGGGTGCATATTAAGGTCGAACAGACATTCATCGAGCTCGAGTCGGCGACTTCGCGTAAATGCTGCTCCACAGCAGCAACCTCGTCCCAGTCGCACTCGTCGTGCGCGAAAACCGAGAAACCAAGCGCCCTGCTACCGTGCGGCGATTCACGCGGGCGTCGTGGCTTCAATGACGCAAAATTTGCACTCTCCGAAAGCTCGCGTCGTACCGAAGTATGCGTGCGAGGGCCACATGCGGCAGTCTGCTCGAGCACCTCGCGAAACTCCCCCGGGAGTGAGTCATTCAGGCCGTAGAACGCCACGACGGTTGTATGAATGGGGCAAAAATCCCGATGTTCAGCGCAAAGCCGTTTTTCTTTGGAGAAAAGTTGATGTGGAATTATATTTCGAGTCAAGCATAAAAAACGGACGAAGAAGCGAAGCACGGTGTACGAATACACCATAGTGCAAGGGAAGTAGTAGTTTATGCAGCATGAGATGCGTTCTGATGTACTTACGCAAATAATGATATTAGCGATGCAATGCAAGTGCCTCCTGTTCAACAGAATGCGCTGGTCTTTTGTACTACCTTTCTCGACGATACGTCCGGAAGCGGTCGTATTTATCCTGTGTAAAGACGTCCGAACCGCCCAAGAGTCAAGAAAGCAATTTTGGTCTTGCTGCACAAATCGACAAGGTCTGGCAAGTGCGCATGACAAGTTTCAACTCGCAGCGCCACTGTGACTAGCTGATGTGGCTGCGGCATCGAAAGAAATCGACTGTCTTTAGCTTGTTTATAGCATGACACATTCTAAAACCACCATCAGATCGAAGTTTATCTTTGTGGGGCTGCGTACGAGAAACATCCTGAGCAAGACCAAGGGCATAGAAATTCGCATGTCAAATCAGGGGCGGGAAAGCTTCTCCAGAGGATAGTGTTGCAGCATCCCCAGCTCACGGTAGTGTGAAAATGAAACTCCACGCCGCGCAACTTTTCCGCGGCAAAAGCAGATATTTTCATGAAATTACATAAAAACGCAAACTACCAATGCAGTAACCGAACGGCTATGATGAACAGCGCAGTGGGCTGCAGGGATGATTTGTAATAGTTGACCTTTCATCATCATCTACATTTCGTTTGCAGCGTCTTGCGACATCGAATCGATGACAGAGTAGTCGGCATCACTCACTGCAATACTTTCGGCGAAGATGGGTGTGTTGCTGAGCCCTTCGTCTACCTAGGTACTTCTTTACTTACCGAAACCGGATCTTTGGTGCGTGGACTTTCTTTTGATATTCGGAGAAAATCCGCCATCGAAAGCACTGCTGCGGAACCGCCCGCCCCAGCGTCGCCTGCCGCAGCACCGCTCTCTTTCTGCAGGTTGTGGTGCGGGTTCTCGTGGCCTGCCGATGTTGCTTACCATAACAGGAAGAAAAAGTTATACCCGTGCTCCCGGTTTTTTTTTTGGTTGTAATATCATGTTGCGCCTCCATTTTCAAAACGAAAGACCTTGCTGTCCCGCCCAGGGAGTCATTGGAGGTAGAGCCTCTTCCTGATTGGCTTTGGAGAGTTCACTAAACAGTTCGCGCCAGCAGGAGGAGAAACCAACATGCAAGACAATGACATCATGATGTGGACGCAAATTCAGCTTAAACACACCTTTTGCAGCAAACGGGAGTGATAATTTTTCATTGCGATAGTGGTGACAGTGTCGCGTCGGGGAAGTTGGCTATATCGCCGATGAAAAAATCGTCGTCTACTGCTGATTATCAACTGTAAAAATGTCTGGGTCTGGAAGAATTCAACTTGTCATGCTGATTTTGGATTCTAAAAAAATCTGTATTGCATGAGCAGCAAAAAGAGTCCAAATTTTGCAGCACGGAAAGAGCATTTGTCATGCGGAATAGGCTTCAGGAAGCCCTCTAAAAGTCTGTGATGCTAGGGCATGCATCACAGACTTGAGGAGTCATGCAAAATGTGCATGACAAACCTGGCAATCTTCCAGACCCAGACATTTTTACATTTGATACTGATTTTTTCTTATGAGGGGTAAGTTGTCTGGATAGGGAGAAATACGCAAATGGAATAAATAAGCCAGATGCTTTGCAAAAAATCCCGTGCATGATCCCTGGAACATGAAAAATTTATTCCCGACCCAGACAGACTTGCATTTGATATTTTCATTTTGAAAACCGCTGCCAACCCATATAATCGGAGCGCTTGGTCTAACATGCCTTTGAACTCTGTTCGAGTTCTACTTGCAAAAAGAGAAGGTCGCATGAAAACAAGCTGTTTCGTATTTTTTCCATTACTGGTTATAGTTAGGGTTTATTGTCCCCGAGGACCGAGCCACCCGCTTTCATCTTCGCGTGAACACGCTCCGTGAAGACCAGGGTTCTACTTCCCAAAATTTGGCAACGATGTGTTTTCAACATGGTACCCACCGGTCAGAGAGCAGTCGCTTTGCCGCGTGTACCACGATTGGGGTAGCTGACTCCAGGATCCTGCTGCGCAACTGTTCGTGCAGCTGCGACGTCCGGGTTCTTCCAGAGTGGTGGTCTGTTGCAATCGAAGGCGCACCATCCGCGGTCGTGTTTTCAGCAAGCATCAAGGCGTAAGCACAGTCCACATACTCGCGGAGCTTCAAGTCGCTGCCCGCACACCTTCTCGTGAGCACCGCTGCAACCGCGTCGACAACCCAGTGTTCAGTCCTTGCTTGCTTATCGATTATATCCACTGCAAATATGTCTGGGTCGGAAATAAAATTGTCATGCTAGTTTGTGAGTGCTCAGCTGCGCACTGCAATACGCAGGTAAGCATGACAGGTTTTTCCTTTCCTGTGTGTTCTTTCGTTTTTGCGCAAAAGCAACTGCGTCTTCGCATGACAGCCAAGAGGCTCCTTTCCTGCACATGCATCACCGAGTTAACAATGAGAGTCATCTCGGGCACGCATGATAAACTTGAATTTTCGAGAACCCGACATATTTGCAAGGCATATTAACCAAAGCTTGGGTGCAGCTTAGCGAGCTCAGATTGTGGCAGAAGCGATGACGGGCGCATGGACGCTGCTGCGGACAGAAGTTGTACGAGGTGCCGCGGCTGGACCTGCGACAGGGATGGTGGGTTCATGTTTTCTGGATCGTCTCCGGAGGGCAAAAGCGGTTCGCCGGTGATCTTGCCGGAGTAGTAGTGCGCCCGAAACAGCTGCTCACACCGCTGGACGAACTCGTCGCCCCGTAGCCCTAGAGCGACAATGGTGTTTAGGCAGCACGCGGCCTGCGCTGGCTTGAGCAGGTTTACATCGGCGGCACACCAGGTTTTCGTCAGTTCTCGGAGCGCGTCCGCGGCAAGCGGCTTCACGACCCGCACAGGCTGGCGCAGTACGGCGGTAAGCGTGGTCACGAGCTGATCTGCATTCAGTGCGCCGCGGCGCACCTTTCTTCGAAGATGCCACACCAGATTGCAGTATTGACCGCGGGCTGTGTGGAGTTCCAAGGCCGGCATTGCGGGCTCTTGCGGTGCAAACTCAGTTCGGCCGAGAACGAAGGCCCGTGTGTGGTACAAGGCGGCCACTGCAACGCTCGTAGACGCCCGAAGCTCTTGCCGCTTCAAATCCCAGTAGCCGCGAAACAGCGAAGTGAGCACCTCCTGTCCGCTCACCTTCTCGCGGAAGGGTCGCTCCGAGGCTGCACGATCTGACTTCCCAGTCGGTTGCCCGCGCCGGGGCGATCGTGAGGCTGCATGCAGGAAAGATTTGCCGTTTGCACCCGCTTTGCAGCCAGAGACTTCGTCCGATGGAGTTGTGCCGGTCATCTCGGAGGTCTCTGGCCGACTGGCTCTGAACGCGGTCGATCGCCAGAAGCATACCAGGGACCACCGGCTCGTCGCACGGACATGTTGTTTGGGGAACGGAAACCGCATCAAGTGCGGGGAGGCCACAAAGTCAAATCTCATCATGTGTTGACGTACTATAGCAAGTACCAGTGAACTCGTTGTTGCGTGGTGTCACCTTTTGGTTTTGCACTAAAGTACATATTAATCTCCATCCCCTGCAGGTTTGTTTTCATGTTCAATCATATAGTGTGTTTTCTCATCGAGGAAGAAGAAGAACCACTGCTAGTACTACCGAATGGTGCAGCGCTATCGAAGATCAACTTGGGTGCAACGACTAACAGCTCAGATAGCTGTGCAGCGCGGCGGTGATCTGAGTCAATGCCGCAAAAGAATCGTTTGTTCGTCTCAGATTAAAAAAACCAAACGAGCTGAGAGAATGCACCCCACGATCAAACCACGATCAAACCACTAAAAAAAGCCGGAACACGAACAAGTGTGACGAGATGTCTGAGCGGGGCCGCAGGACTCTGTGACCTACTGGAGTCAGACAATCTTCGCTGGTGAATCTAACGCAAGAGTCGCATCGAAGTTTTCTACAATCAGAATTCGCACATTTTGCAACATCTGCTACCTCTAGTTGAACCTCGTTAAAAAGTCCACGCTGCAGAATGTAGTCGATTCGGCACTGTCGCCTTAGGATGTCCTTTCGCGGCCTTGTGATCTTATTAAAGCCTGCTGTTTTGAATTGATTCACAAGTCCGAGTTACTGGTAACGTTTATAGCAAAAGTTCTCATTCGTGACGGTCTTGACATTATTTTCGAATAGAATTCGCTTCTTAGGTTTCGTTTTTGCGTACTGTGATTCGTTCAGGTGAAAAATAACAAATTGCATAAATTCATTTTCGGACGCTTACTGAGTGATACTGAATAAGTTCTGCCACGAAGTACTCGTCACTGGAGTTGAGAAAGAAGGCCGCAAAAGGTACAGATGGACTGACCTCTTCAGGTACATCTTTACAGAAAACCGCTTTCCACAACCTTTCATGGGCTCCTTTCCAGTCCCTCTTCAAGGAGGACATGATCTCTGCGTGCCATCGAAACACCTGCGTCACGTGAAACTGATCTTCCTCGTAGGAGTATGCATTGCAAATATTCTTGGATATCTTGATCGCTGCAACTTGTCATGCTAAGTCTGTATTTCGTGATTGCTACAAGTTGTCCACTTTTACTGAAGTTGGGAGGCAGTTTCTCATGCAGACGAGGCATGATAGAGATATCGCAGAATCTGAGATGCTGCATCTTCTATGCCAGACCGCATGAGCCATGGAAAACCTGCATGACAACTCTTGTAACTGTCCAGACGTTCAGGGATATTTGCAATGCACAAGAAGACTGTGGAGTATTGGAAGTCAAAAGCCTATGCAGTATAAAAAGTATTTACAGAACTGACACATTGTCTGGCACAGCAAGCAAGACTATCAATTTCTGTCATAAAAAATATACTCAGGAGTGTACTTTCCTGTGTTTCCTTCCTTATGGTCTCTGCAATGCAAGTTTTTTCCTGCCATGCATCGCAAGTTTGTGTTGCTGAAGTTACAACGAATGTGTCACTGTAAAACTTCTTTCCCAGGATAAAACCTCTGCGTCGGGATCCACTTTCTGCCCTTGCACACTTATGGAGCGGAAAAAAAAGACGATTCCCCTGCAACTGTCACTGACGACCGCTTGCTGTATGCAAATCACGTAGTTAGGCAAGGAAACCGAAGTGTCGCGCACACAATGGAAACCGATGCATCGCAGAAGCAATGCACATTGTTCGGACGATCCGTACATACTAGTCGAGTTCCATAATGTATACTTTTTGGAACTGAAAAAAAAGATGCATACTGGAAGATGATGCAAGCAATCGTGAGGGCTACATTTTTTTTCTTGAGTAGATGCGACAAGAAGCTGCGATGTGTAGGCGTTTTGGTGGCCACAATTACCAGGTATATCGCTTGGAAAGGTTGTAGCTGTACTGACGCCAAATTACACGAAACACAAACAACGCTTTTTGAAATTGACTCTATGGCCAAGCCGAACTTTAAACACAGCTTCCGCATCAGCAAAACATTTCGCAAGTTTATATGAAGTGCAAGGGCCTGTGCGTACGTACAGCTGTTCTCTTTGCAGCCATATTTCATGTCCTGGAACGGCATACCCCGGGTTGCGCAGATGAGTTCTTGTACTCGCTGCTGAATGGTTTCGTCATTCGCGTCTGGGTTCATGTTGATCACATGCAAATACCTCTGAATCTAGATCTTGAAGAAAAATGCCGGAGTTGTAATGCTGAACCCTCGCCTCAGGCGACAGTCCAGCATTACAACTCCTCTGGAAACTGTAATGCAGTTTCCGGAATAGCGCTGGCTGTGGTTCCGTTTCTGCGACAGCGCATTTTCTCATGCGCTCTACTCGCCACAGGACCATGCAAGAATCTGTCATGCCTAGCTGCGTATTCAAGTCACGACTTTGTCATGCACTTATCAAGTAGCACCACAACTTTCCAGATTCAGAGATATTTGCACGGCATATCTCCCCAGCCGTTTCGCCTTATGTTCAAGTGCATCTCCAGAATCCTGACGTGCTGCGCATGAGCGAACTCTGCCGCCGCATGCAATTTTCGGATGATTTGTTCCTGTTCCTCCGTCACCCTCCCCTGCTGCCTGCCCATCACGACCATGAGCAAGTCATTTGCGATGAGGAGCACTGGCTCGGGCACGCGTTCCTTCAAATGCCACAAGGGGGCGTCGCCTGCTTGTGTCGAGAGTGCCGGTCTCGGAGGGCAGTTCGCGAGTGCTGCTATCATTTTCCAAATAGCCGCGCTCGTCCACACCGGTTGCAGCGCCAGCGTGATTTCCTCATTTCCGGCGAACGCGAGTGGCCCCGATACTGGAAGATATTCGTGCAGAGCAATGTGTTCGACAATCGGTCGGAGGACGACCAGAAGCGTGACGAAGCAAAACTCGCCCTGGCTTGCCGCTGCATCTCGTTCTGCACTTTTTTTCGCCGCAAAATCGTCCTGCAGTACCACCGGCAGCGTAGCGATGTCCAGGAGGCAAGAGTAACAAAACTCGTGCAACCACGCTTGCACAACCGCAAAGTTTCTTTCCGCGCTGGCATTGCCGCCGATGTGATGCTGCGGACGAAAGGAGCTGGGTGACGCACCCATACCGTCCACCGAAAGATTTTCATATGGGTAGGCAAGAGAGCAAAAGAGCGACTCCGCCCAAGTTTATTCCGCTGAAAAATGCACGCAAAAGCCTCACTCATCCATGTTGCTTATTCTTCCATTCAAGCCATCATGGTAATGCCAAGCAGTATCCTAGGTTTAGAAGGTGCTGCAAGAAAAGTAGAGGTTCTTGCGGCGTACAGTGGAATACGTATGTTCGCACGCGTTTGCCATAATCAACTTGCTCTTCGTCTATCCCCCTGTCCGCGATCCCGACGTGATCACGAATTTGCAGGAAAAAGTTCGCGGCGTCGATGTTTTTATTGTGGTAAAACCAGCCGACCCGTTCGTCTGGATCAGCTTGGGCGAAGGCCTCGAAGCCGGAAAAACGATCGGGGCCTACCACGTACACCACGAGCTCTTCCCCGTCCTGCAGCTCGTCATCTTGCAGTACAGCAACAGGTGATTGCGACGTGGACAGCTCTTCTGTGGAAGAGCCGCTGCGGAGACCTTGGCGCAGGAAGTTGATCAGCACTGATGGAATAATGTTTTCGGTGCTGCTGGACATCCATCTCCATCAAATGCAAACATGTCTGGGTCTGACAGAATCACATATTTGTCATGCAGTTTTGGATGGTAGTTATCGGAATTCGGCCATGCACGCAGAGCATGTCAAATTCTGCAGAGACTTCTTCATGCCTAATGTCCATGAGAAATTATGTCGTCTCCTGGAGGCAAAAATCGCACATCTTTTGCTGACTCAGCGGTATAGATTTTTACCTGGTGCAAAATCCGCATCAGAAGGCCGCGTTCTTCCAGACCCAGATATCTTCGCAATGAATAACCTCGCTGCCTCCAGTTTGAGTTCGTGAAACCGTTCCTCCGCAGGCTTGGTGTCATAGTCGGAGATAGTGACCTGTTTCGGAAGAAACATTTGGCATATGTATGCATCACTATCACTTCAAGTGGAGATGAAGAGTTGTCGCATACCAAATTAGTGAAGGGCGAAAACGCCCAGTCGCAACAAATGGGTGTTGACTTACGCTGAAGCTGTCGCCGCCGGCGTTTGTGAGTTGGACCGTTATGGCGCTGTCGACGGAGGTTTGCGGGAGAGGTTTTGTGCGGCTGGAATCCGCGGTCTTCACCTTACACACCACATCGTGTGGCGCCCCTGCGTCGAGCCGCGTCCGCGGAGAGGTTGACTTCAGTCGCGACGTCGTTTCTGTGGCGGACAACAAAAAATCGTGCACGGCTGAGACAGCAGAAGAGAAGTCGTACGCGGGCCCGCAATCCTGGTAAAAGAATGGCATTCCTTGCCCCTCATACCGCGGCTTGTACATGTTGTAGAAGGCTTTTGGCAAGATCGGTGTACTGTGGGTTGGAGATCTTTCTTCTCTCCACTGCGGCGGGGACTGCAAATGGTACTCCACCGCGAACGGGTCAAACCGGGCTGGGTTTACTTTGCGCAGCGGCGCGCGGTAGGTCTCGCAAAGTACCCGAACGTGCTGGCTTCGCGCAAACTCGATGTGTGCGTTGAGCTTTTGCAGCGTTTTTACCTGAAAGTTCGGCACTGTAGTCACGTCTTTCCCGACGAGCTTGCGCAACAGGTCGACGGCGATGAGCAATAGGGGCTCCGGAACCCGGTCGGAGATTCGGAAGTCTTGTGGGCCGTCTGGTCCTGGAATCTCGAATGACGTGTCGTGGCACGGTAAGAACGGACAATTTGCGACGGCCTCGATCATCTGCCAACACTCGTCCGCAGACAGATCTTGGTACGACTGGAGACACTTCCGGACGTAAAAGAGGGTGGCGAAGATGAAGGGGTTGTATTCAAAGCCGCTCTCGCGTCCCGGATCTGTTTTTAGAAATGAAATGATCCGTCTAAATATTTCGCGTAGCGATCACAGTAAAACCGGAGTAAAAGAGTGTCACAAATTCCTTGCGCACCCATTTGCTGCGCAAGCGCATCATTGCAAAGCCCACACTGTGTGGTGGCATCACAAAATCTGATCGTGAGTTGTACGGTATACGCAGTAGAATCAAAAGAACGTCCCGAATGGACAAAAATTGAATACAGTCGTCTCTCTGCGTCTTGAGCGGTCCTTCTAGCTGCTTACACGTGAGTACACAGGACACGCAAAACTGCCGGAGCCAGGCCTGGGCAACTGCTGCGTTTCTTTGCTCCCACGGGTCGTCTGCAATCGGGCGAAACTCATCGCTAAGGCCGAGAAACTCATCGTTCCAGAACTTCTCGGCGTATCCGTCATACTCTGTCGACTGCTGTGGCCGTTCTGTAGAAAAACTTCCCGAGAGAGACTTGATTTTAAGTCCGACACACATGTCGTTGTCCTTGCTGCGGTCGTTCAGGCAGAAGGTGAAGTCCCTGTTGGGGTCATCTGCTTTATCCCCAGCACGGAGAGAGACGAGAGGGAGATCCACGTCATACATAAAGGTCGTGGCGAAGGGATGCGCTGCGAGATGCGCAGTAGAAAACAGCGCAGCGGCGTGCATGTCGCGCCATTCCTTCCGGTGTGCGTTGTCGAGAACTTTCCAGTCGTGCCCCAGCATCTCTATCCACAATGCTGCGAGCTTACTTCCGTACCGGGCAAGCCGGATGCCCTGTAGAGACAAGCTGTGCCAATTTTCGTGGTCAACCGCTGCCAACTCCGCTTCGGTTTCCAGCTCGGACAACCTCTGGTAAAACGGCAGCTTGGGGAACGGGTATTCAATGGCAGCCTGGATCACTTCGCCGTTTTCCAAGTTGTCCTCGGGGGAAAGCCTGCCAGCAACATCGGATTTCGCCAGTCTTGGCTCGACGCCCGGCCACGCTTCCTTGCACTGTGGATCGGGCTCGGCACTCGGGGTACCTGCGTCGCGTTCGTTCGCAGAGCTGGTTTTGGCTGGCTGCGCGGTGCGACGACGCAACGCGACAAGGACCGGCGGCACAACTTTCTCCTTGGATGACAATTCTATCGAGGCCGCAACCAGGAGGTCTCGAAACCGTGTGGTCTTGGATTTCGTTGTGTAGTCGGGTATCGTGCTGTATGCAACTCGAAAAAACGTGTGTGTTCGAGTCTTTTTCTGTGTAGTCAGATGCGCAGCGAACATCATCACGCCCTGTCATCCATGCATGCATGCATGCCCAACATCAGCATGGCAAATTTGCACTTCGGGGCCCTCCTTCACACGCGAACAGCAAGCATGATTATCTTTCATCAAATTGCGACACACAGTTTTCGAACCAGCAACACCTTTTTTTCACTTCGCTACAACCTGCCGCTGCACGACCGGACCCTGGATTATCGTGAGAAAAAGTGCTTCGGATCATCGTCTTATACGTTTTGTTTTCCGTGTACAGTTCCAAAAGTTTGTCATGCAGCATGAAAGCAAAATTTCACTCATACGACACGACATCATAATTTCACTTCATGTTGTCCCTGTTCATGCATAAACTACGATTCATCGCAACTAGATTCCTGACCTCTCAAGAAAGATGTTTCTAGTACCTGGCTTGCGACTTGCACCTCCAATGTGACCGTCACATCGCCGCCCGGAGAGTCGCCCAGCAGAGGTTCAGGAGGCTGCTTTACCTGCAGATTGTACTGAGAGTTGTTCTCGCATGACAAGGCCGGCAGTTATGACAACGCGCCGACGGAATGATAAATCAATTGAGCATAATTGCATGATTTCTTTCACCAGCAAAGCGAACAATTTCTATACAAGAGATAAGTACCTCAGGAGCTGCACAAAAATCGTTTCCGCAAGGCGGCGTCACGGATGAATCTGGCATTTCCACATCCGACGGCGCGACGACACCCACAGAGTTTGCGTCGGTACTGGAGGAGCTGGAGGGCGCTGGCAGAATGCTGGCACTACTGGAGGTGAACTTGTTTGCCTGAAGAAACAAGAGCTCGTGTTGCGAGCATGACGAAACGAAGTTTCATTGATGATGACATATAGTGTTGTTTTTGCATGACAGATCTCCAGAACCAAATTGTGCATATCATGATCAGATCCCAAAACTATAGTACCTCGCCGTCATCATTGCACTGCTGCTTGACATTCGCGAAGGAAATCCTAGAAAAAACCGGCGTGTAGTGTAAAAATATCAACGTACTGCATTTATACGCAAGAAAAGGAAAACAAAAATTCTTCCGCATGACAACGGACTCTGCTTTGCATTCCACGACTACGACAGTAGCTTGTTACTCTAAACACAGGTTTTTTCGCCTTGCATATCGGTGCCGGACTCGAGTGTAGCCTCTGGCATGGACACATCGGGAGCGAGATCATTCGTGCGGTGGTCGACCGGGCCTGTGTAAAAATGAAAAACCCCTCCTCGTCCCTACATTCGTATGGAAATCTGTGATGCGCGGATGGTGTTCACAGCTTTGTCTTGCACTGCGGCTCTGCAGGTGGCAGAGCCAAAGCCTGTGCAGTCATGTTGTGGAAATGGCGGTTAGCATAGCAGGTTCCTACCCCTGCTTTGTGGGCGCAGCAGCATTACAAATCGCCTGCATCAACATGCGAGGGAAACTGTGGACGATTTACTTTCTTGCACGTCGATGAACGCCGCGATTTGTGATCATAAATCAGCATCACAAATTTTCAGAAGCATGCGTTTTTGGTACTGGTGAGAGGAGGGGTTTTTCTCTACGATAGCCTGGAAAACCGGATCCTTGGGCTCCGCCTACAGTGCTGACGTTGTGCTGCTCCACCTGGTAATAATCGTTTCGGATGCGTGGATCTTTTTTCACAGCTACCAGACAACTGGATCATCACCAGGTCATGCAGAGCAGACTTTCACGTACTTGTACATTTTTTTTTGCAGGGTAGAGTCGCAATTTCATCATGCTGCAACTAAGCTTTTTATCCTGCTCTAAATATAATTTAGTGAACAGCATTGGTACCTCAACACCAGCCTCAGGCTCTCCATCTTCCATTCGCCGCTGGTCCGTCTCAATCTCCCGCTCCATGATTTCGAACCACAAGAAGCGCGATTCTACGGAGACGACAGTTCTAGCTCGGCCCGATGGTGTTGTCGAACCATGACCACGTCGTTTTTTGATGGTGGTCGATCTTGAATCGTGCCGAACAAGTGCGACGTACTCACGGAAAGTAGGTCAGTTTGGCAAATCTGTGGTTCTTTGGTAGTGCCTCGCGCAACGAAGGGGGGGTCCACTCGAAGAAGCCATAAACAGTTCAGGAACAAAGTCAATTTTTGCTGTGCGGGAGGGAAACACAAACAGATTATCAAAATGTTGAAAATCTATATTTAGAATAGATTGCTACCATCAAAGTGTTAAACGCCCTATCATATTACACTGGAAAAAAGAAAAACGCCCTGCTATATCATTTGTTTTTTGTTGATTATTGACCCACAAAGAAAATCAAACTGGACGAATAAAGAGTCGAATTTTTACAAACAATCTACATCCGAATTCGGCAAGCCAATTTGCAAGGAAGAGGGAAACGAAACAATCGCGAAAAAACTACCGAAATATTTTTTTACTGCGGCAGCACTCGTCAGGTTCCGGACTTTGTTCGGTTTCACTCAGCGATTCTGGTCGAAAAAAGCGATTTTGGAATTACAGGAAAGCAGCTCCGCTCAACGTAGGACGATAACGATATTAGCGACGGTCGATTCACGGGGAACTACGGATAGAACAAACAACTGCTACTATGCGGCCTGCACTCTTCTCAAGAAGATGCAGGTGCGCTCTTTCAATCCCCAGTGTGGCTTTGCGAGTTTCAAATATATTTTTGATTGGTGAGTCGCAAATTGTAGTGGCAGCAGCTTCATTGGAGAAACTAACAACGCTGTCTGCAGAGGCATTGGTTACTGGAATATCTAGTGCGAGTGGGTGGACCGCCTCAAATCAAAACTCATCACCGAGTTCGAGTTGGGCATTTTTTTTTCTGTGTAACTACACGATGACAGCAACTATTAACATGTGTGTAACCGGTATCTGCTTCCTTTTATGTACTTCGTTATCTTTGTTTCTATGATGAACTTCCTTGTTGACACAAAAATACATTGATTGTACAGATTATGGAAACGTAAGTCTCGTGGCCCGAGGATCACAGATTGAAAAGTCACGACTTCAATTTTACCTGCTATGCGTAACATATTCATCTTCGACTTTAACTTTTCAGACTTTTTTACCTCCTTGCCTGGTTCTAAAAACATTAAACTAAAAATAGTGTCGTGTAAGCAGCAGTGCGACGGAAGAATCAGATAGTTGGCCTTCAACTACAGTACTAGTAGTTCCTTCCATCGTTATTCGTCCTTCCCCTTCGCAAAACCACCCGTCTAGCTCGAGCTGCTGTGCTATCCTGTGCAAAAACTACGCGCCAACCCCAGAGCTGTCATGCAGGGTTGCATAACACTCAGCAATTCATGCTTTATGCGGCTTCCCATGGAGGGCAGTTTCCAGTCGTGTTTGAAAGTAGATTATCATGCTCCAGTCGGCATATGGAAGAAATGGATTCAGTTAATAATTGCGGCGTCCATAGCTGCTGGATGGTAGGCACAATTACACTACAATGCCCAACTTTTTGCAAACCTTTCGAATTTGTGCACGTAGCAATTGTATCTTGACTATGGGGCTTTGGTATAGGTCCTTACACAGGATATTTCCGCCGCCGCTCCGAACGGAAAGTGCTGCGGGCGCTCCGTGCAGGTCACGCTTCTTATCCCAGAGAAAAAAGCTGGCAGGCTCTATTTGACGCATTGCAAAAACAAACAAGTTAAAGAAGATTTACAAGGTCTGTGTTCGTGCATACCTGAAACAGAATAGTAATGGCTCGCGCATGACAGATTTTTCGAAGTATTGGTGTGTATGTGTTTTTGCATTACAAATATGTTGACCTGCAACCTTTTTTCCGTGGGCGTACTATTCCAGTGCCCAGCCGCTCCACCAAGTTGCGACGTCGGAAACGTTATCAAATGCAAAAATGTGTGGGTCTGGAAATTTGCCAGACTTGGCATGCATATTTTGTATGGCCCATGGGCCTGTAATGCATTACCCGGCAGTACCACAGAGTGTTAGAGGGCTTCCTGATGCCTATTCCGCATAAGAAACGTCCTCATCGTTTTAGCACAAACTGGACTCCTGCTCTTGCTGGTCATGCAATACAGATTTTTTTAGAATCCAAAGACAGCATCACAAGTTGCAACCTTCCAGACCCAGACATGTTTGCAATGCATAAACGTGATCGTTTCAAAGCGACCGGCGGTGGCGTTGTAGCAGCGGAAGAGCTATGCATTGCAAATATGTCTGGGTCTGCAAGGATGCGAACTTGTGATGCGCATTTCACAACACAGATAAATCTCTCATGCATAGGCCGCAAAAGGTGCCCATTTCCTGACACCAAAATGGGGGAGTTGTCAGCTTGGGTCGCAGTGATAGTCCTAAGTGAAGCGATCGGAGATGTCCCACCATGGGGTCGTGGTGAGACTCCTAACTGAAGATGCAGAGTACGAGGATGTCGCAGGGGCTTTGCATGACAATCACCTCCTGGTGCGAAATTCATGACTAACATCTGCAAGAATGCGGTGGAGAAAAATGCATGATAACTCCCTGCAGCTTTGCAGACACCCAGAACCATCTGCACAGGATAGGCGTTCCGCCTTTTCCCACAAAAACGGTAGTGCCCCGGGGAGGCCGTACAGCCTGTAAAAACCTACCGGCCAAGACTGTGTTTGAGTTTTTTCAATTTTCATAATTGTAGGAAAGAAAAATGTGGCTGTGGGCTTGAGTCATGCATGTGCTGCGTTCTTCATGATGGAATGCAAATGCTATAAATAGATTCAACTTGACAGGAAAACACAACTATACTTCCGTTACCTCATCACCTCCCGTGACGACTTCTGTCAGGTCGATTCGCAAGTCTACGCTCGGATAGTAGTAGTCGAGAATTTTGGACTGCAGCCGCAACTTCCGCCGCAAAAAAAATCCGAGTTCGCGCTGGTGTGGATGCATCACTTTCGGGGTGAGTTGTCCGCGGTCCAAAGGGACTTCACCTAGACGCCCGGAGGAGGATCCTGACGGTTCCTTATTCCGTCCGTCCCGCACTATCCCGGTGCCCTCGTCTGCAGTCGTGCTGGTTTTAGACGCAGCGCGGTCCCCTTGCGGAACCTGTTCCTCGTGCGCGGCCTGGGTCAGCTTCACCTTCTGCAAGAGGGCGAGCTCCCGGTCGGTCGCCTGCAGTATTTCCTGGTGGAACCAGTCGGGGAGGTCTCGCTCGTCGAGATGGAATATCGAATGCAAATATGTCTGGGTCTAAAAACTTGTCGTGCTGGTTGGCGAATCTTGACGACGCCGCAATTGACGGCCCAGCATGACACGAATTTTCTGAGGTACTAGGTGTTGTCTACTCAGCATGACAAACGGCGTTTCTGCATGACAGAAAAATGGGCCTTCTGGGTGACCACGTGCATGACAGGCTTTTAGAGGCATGCGGGACGAGCATGACAAGTCGCGCACCCTTTCAGACCCACACATATTTGCATTGCGTATGCAACTTGATGCTTGTTTCCTCGAGATACTCGTCGCAGAACTTGAGAAACTCGTCCGGAAAACGGTCCTGCAGAAACTTCAGCACCTCCTCCTGTTCGTGCCGCATCGCGATCTCGAAGAGGGGCAGAGAGTCCATCGCGTCGAGCACGTGTTCGACAATGTTGCTCTGCAGCACCTTCAGCCACCCGCGGCAACACAGGATCGCGGGGAGAGTAAGTGTGTGGCGAGCCAGTTTATTACCGTTATGGCCGTGCCCGTCTTCGAGGTGCTTCCTGAGAGCGACATTCGGGCCGCGCGTCCAACCGAGATGGTCGACGGCTGGAACCGAAAAAAACAGACCGATAAAGTCCGCCGCACTGCCACCGCGCTCCTGCACCAGAAACTCACAGACGGCCAGGTATGCCTCCGAGGTATCACGTGGAAAAGTTCAGCTACCCTACCGTACTTGTTCGCAATTGCTTCTGTAAGTGAGGAGCATTCGAGCTACAAACAGAAGAGATCATCTCTTGCAAAGCACGAGAGAGCTCAAGCGTACGTCGTTGCGGTGTTGTAAAGGAAGAGCTAAAGATCTTTGTTGTAGTAGACACAGTAGGACTTCGATGAACACGGAGCCTGTAGTGGCACGGGAAAAGACGGATCTCAGAAGCAATTGACGAATGTTGCATGGGTGTACTTACTTTTCCGCATCATATTCGGAAGCGCACCCGAGTAGGACCTGCAGCAAGAAGAACCCCAGACCGTCGCTCCTCCCCTCCCAGTCGTAGTACAAGGACAGCCCGTCTTCGTGTGGTGTCCTGGGTAGTCTCTTATTCGGCAGCGACATGTACCCAAAGGGCCAGAAGTCCTTGATTTCTGCTTTGGTCTTCCCAGATCCTGCGATCGCCTCCTGGTGTTGTTATGATTACATGGTGTATTTTGGGAATGTGGATCACCTCAATGCACACAGGCAAAAACCAGTGCTGGCTATGCTTCGACCGAATGACAAAAATAAACTAAAACTGATGTTGTAGTACTTACCGGCTGTGTAGCCTCTACAAGCTCGTCAAATTCGCGGCAATATATTTCGAGGTATTTCCGGATGTCTCGTCCGTTTTCAAAGCGCAGCAGATCCTCCGCGAGCGTGTAAAACGCCTTGTGATTAAAACGGGGTTCAGCAAGCCATACCGTCAAGTCAGGCATCGGCAAGCGCAAACCCACGGGTTGCCTTTGCCGTTCTGCAACCTGAAAATCTTGGACCATTTTGATTTATTAATTTCTTCCACAAGCGAACTGCATTGATTTTGATGGTACTTAACAAAACGAAAGGGAGCTTTTGTCATGCATATTTCCATCACGTCTTGTTCGTATGAAGGAGCAACAAATTCGTACCTCGTCCTCTGCCGGACCCGGAGTCTCCGCCATGTTGTCTATGTTGGAGGGGACGGTTGTCGAGGCACTCAAATTGGTGTGGAACAAGCGTTTGTATGCAGTGCAAATATGTTTGGATCAGGAAGAATTAGGCAACTTGTCATGCCAAGTCTCGATCACAAAAAAACCTGTGTTGCATGAACGCCAAAAAGTTGCATATATTCTTGTCTGGCAAAAGCCGGGCTTCTCGTGGGAGATGCGTGCTTGCATTTTTCCAGACCCAGACATAGTTGCATTTGATATTTTCCTGGGGTGGGCGAACCAAAAATCGATGTCACAGCGGCGCGCTATTTACGCGTGTCGCCAAAACAAGTCGAAGCCGTACGTACCTGCTGTGCGGTTCATATCTATCTTTTCAGATTTGCAAAATTTATCAAGCACTAAAATGTATTTCACGATGCAATTTTTACTACAGCATTTTGCAGCTACGTAGCAGTCTGGAACAAAATTTATACCGAGTGCAACGACAACGTTGACGATGGTTTTCTGGTTCTGCAGCAATCCGATCGCTTCATCTTTTTTTTTTAACCCTAAATGGGCTGATTGAGTTCATCTTTTGATAGGTAAGATATCAAGTCACGACCGTAGCAGGTGAAAAGAATGAAAAATGCAATTATGCGTGGAGGCTGCAGCAATTTGAACTCATTTCTGTCAAAATTGCTTGCGATAGATCAGACGCTCGATGTGTGAATGATGCAGCACTGTTTATCTTTTAGAAAACCGACCGGACTACGGAACAAAAAACGGACAGCATTGTTGACAAGAATCCAATAAAACCGAAAGCAAAACTTTGGTCGTCAACACACTCGCAACGAAAAAATTCTCTCGACGCCATTTTTTTCTTCAAGTTCAAGCCCCGGGTGGTTTTGGAGAAAAACGAAAACTTACACGATTTCACGCTCGGTAACAAGACTCGCTCATGGAAGATCAAAACAAAACCCATACCAGGTTTTGTGAACACAGTAATCAGCCAAGCACAAAGTGGTTATCTCGTACACTGACTGTTGTCAAGCTGGACGCAGCACCAAGGGGAAGGCATGCCATATGAAGATGTCCATGTCGCTTGTATCAATAAATCACAATTGCTTATTTACTAGTCTTGTTGCGTACCACTCTGCAGTAGCAGGTCTCGATATCGTAAGAGATAGTGTCGCTAGATAGCATTACCATATGCAATCATGGTTCGTGAGACGGAAGAACCACGCTGCCCACCAGCCTTCTTTCCTCCTGCACTCCTCGAGCTGCCTCGCAGAGACGCCGCGTAAGTAGGACCGTTCTTGGAACCCCAACCGGCAAATTTTCGCACTCTGGACAAAGACCGCATGATGCCGTTTGGTGCAAGAGCTGCCACGGTGTCCTTTCACTTCCCCTCGACCCATCTGCTTCTCCGTCGCAATGCAGCCATTCGACCCCCGTCCGGCCGCGTCAAATTTTCGTCGTGGGACTGCAGTACAGTAATTTCGCGCTGCTGTTCTTACTCTTAGCAGAAGACGCAACTTCGTTTTTTCCTTTCGCCGGTGATTGTCCTTCTGCCCAAATGACGCCCGTTGTTCTCGTGCGGCAACAGCGGCCAAACGGGCCTCTACTTCTCATCCTTTTCGTCGCACTACTTCTGCATGCTGTTGGGCTTTCGCTACTGTGAGACGGAGCTACCTTTTGAACTGCTCGGTCGCTTGTTTTCGCCGAACAGTGCTTCTTTTCGACGGCGTAGAACAAGGTGCAGCGAATGGCGGCAGGTGCTACTAAGTAACTTGACGTTCTTCAGTGGGGCTACTGGTTCTCAAGATGGCGCGTGGGTCCCTGCTTTGTGCCGTGTTCGAAAGAGTGAGGGCGTTGCAGAGCAAGTTGAGGCAGAAAGAAAGTTGTGCCACCAGACGGAGAAAATACTGTAAACGCCAGTAGCTCGATGATCGTCATAGTCGTAGAGGCGGACAGGAGCTTTGGTCCACTTTTCGCCGACGGTCTTCAGCATCGATGTTGTAGCAGGTGGCAACTGCTTTGTCTCAGTGCAGAACCGCTGGCACCATGTGTCGCAGGAGCAGAGTGCATCGTCGCTTTTTTCCTCTTGTCGCGAGCGAAATAAATATGCGTCAGTGTCCCTCCTCGTCCGCGATCGGATTGGCGTGGACCATATTGAGAGGAAAAATCCCCCCTCCCCATATTGAAAAGGTATGTTTCCAAAAACTTGTGTTGCAGATTTGAGGTCACAAATCACATCTGTCTTGCAAGAAGACAAGGGCAGAAGCTTCCGCCCCATTATGGAAGCGGTTTGCCATGCTGTTGGGCCTAAAGGGGAGCCGTTTGCCATGCTGAACAACTAGACCTCTACGCCCCTACCTAGCCTGGGATCTGGCCGCCATGCCTCTCTGCAATACAAAGCTGATTTGTGGCCACAAATCAGCATCACAAATTTCCGTTTTGATATGGGGAGGGGGGATATTTCATTTTGATAGACCACGACGTCTTCAATTACGATGTCCTTCACCGGTATCAAATGCAAAAATTTTTGGGTCTGGAATAGTGCCGGGTTTGTCATGCATATTTTGCATGACCCAGGATTGTGTGTGATGCATGCCCTACCATCACAGACTTTTAGAACCCTTCCTGATGCCTACTCCGCATGACAAATGCCCTCCCCGCGTAGCACAAACAAATCATGCAATACAGATTTCTTTAGAGTCCAAAGGTAGCATCACAAGTTCCAACCTTCCAAACCCAGACACTTTTGCATTTGATAACCGGTCTCGCCTTTTTTTCGTCGACCACGGGGCTGTCCTCCATTTTCTGCAGCGTCTCGAACCCGTCAATCAGGCGCCCGATCACGGTGTAGCTCCCGTCCAGGTTGGGGAGCCGCTTGTAGGTCAGGTAGAACTGTGACCCGATTTTTTTGCTTTTCCCCGTGTCCGCGAAGGCCAGGATGCCACGCCGGTCGTGCTTCAGGTCCGGCTTCACCTCGTGCTCAATCTGCCCGCTCTCGTCGATCACCGCCTTGCCGCCTTTACCGTTCTTGTGGTCGGTGTCGCCGCCTGGTGTAGTTCGTGGGTTTTTGTGGTCAACATGATCAAATCATGATCATGATCGCTCAAGGTCATGCCGGGCAAAGCAAAGCGAGACTATAAATTAACGGTTCGAGCCGTATGATTATTGCTCAATGTGGATGAAAAAGAAAAAAACACCGTCGCATGACAAATAAATCAGCTCAAAAATAGTACCTTGTATGATGAACTGCTTGATGTTTCGGTGAAAGGTGGTCCCCTTGTACATCCCGCTCGCACACAGCGCCAAGAAATTTTTGCAGCTTTTGGGCACTTTCTGGCAGTGGAGCTCCACCTTGAGGTCCCCGAGGGTGGTCTTTAGTGTGACAGACATTTTGCAGGTATCAGTTCTTGCGAAAGCAGGAGGGGGGCCAATGGTCGCGGAAAATCTTGTAAAGTAGATCGTGAGTTCTTAGTTTTTACAGTTCTTGCACTACTAGGAAATCTACAAGTGCAACTTATCTTGTTCTCTAGGGGAGGAGCTAATATTAGTGGACGAATTTCTGCTGAAACTCAGAATAATTCACGTTGCGACAACAGGTCATGACGTATCGTTCTACTTCAATATCCCTCGCCTGATATTAAAAGCATGAGATGGATGATGAATCGAGCAGAATGTTCACTTGCAATGGGTGTAAAAGAGAGGTATGCTGATGCGAAGTCAGATGTTTTCATCTTTGGTGATCTTCTGGATCTCAATTAGCGGCATTTAATCTTTTGTGATCCGGAGCGTTACGAATTTTGTTCGGAATTTAGGTTTCGCATTGAAGATCCTCATCTCGACTACCATGTACTAGCGCCCGGCGGGAGCAACATCTTGATCTACCTACTATCGGAAACAAACTGGAACACACTGGAGTAGTAGAGCGCTAGTGCAAACACGCCGCCTCCGTAGTACCACCCCTTCTGCCTCGAAAGCAACGACAAAGGTGGAATGTCTTCGTTCTGATCGAAGAGGTTTTTTTCGAATAGTTCTAGCATAACATGATCGGACCAAAACTTGAGGGGAAATAAATAGTAGTGAAGGGTCCGGTTGTTGTTGTATTGGAGTTGTAAAGGAGTTCCAGTTGTAAAAGTTGTAGTTCCCGTCGTGCTGTTTGGAGCTCGGCGCCGCATAGCTCCTTCCCACATGACAGCTCGTGCTGTCCTTTCCTCTTTCTTCCACAACTACAGTACGGAGTAGATCATCGAGTGAGCAATAACTTTCTACAATATTTTTGATCGGAAATCCACATCATAACATCGCCGTAGCTGGTCCTGCAGTCCTCCCACGCTGTCACATCAGGATGATGAAAACTGCGGGCCTTTGTACGTAAAATACCAAAGCGGGTGTAGCAGCTACAGGCGAGACTGCACACTTCGCTATTTTTACGCATTTGTAAAAAGAAGTGTTGTTCTTACACAGTCTGCAGCTTTATTTCTACTCCTTTCGGAGGTATTATAGCAAGTAGCGCTATCACACCAACCTCAAAAATCAACACCAGCGCCGCAGCGATGTTGTCCCATCAAATACATTATCCGATTGTAGAGTCTAATCGTAAAAAATCATTGTCTCCGGTAACCTCCTTCGCACATAGTTCATTGGCTGTGTCTCCGTCCTGGAAGCACAAGCCGAAACCCGTGCAATATAACTTTCTCTTTCAACATCTTTCTTGACATACACTGCTCTTGTCGTGAAGTAGAAAAAGCGATAGTCTCTCTCTACTTTCGATAGTTCTTCTAGTCCACGTTCTTTGTTCGTCGTCGTCGTCTTGTCGTGGTTATTTTTAATGGCTGTTGTACCAGGACAATGCTAGCACCTTTCTGGAGGTGCAGCGCTACTGCTGCGGCCAGTCTGAAGACTGTCGTATGCATAAGTCACGATAAAAATCCGTTGTAGAGATTGATACCGCGTCGACATTAACGACATTCGCTCCTTCTGACTGCAGCCGAAAGATACAGCACATCTGTACCGTAAATGGTACAGCGCAAGAACTACATGTACGGCCGTGTAGTAGACTAGTTATCCATTTGTACACAGTATATGTAATGCGCTGCAGGCGAATGCAGTTGCCACTTCCGCCAGCAGGCAGCTCGCCCCTCCTCGCTCCTCCGAATACTGCAGGTGACAAACTTCTCACAGCCGAAAAATCTGTCATGCAAGAAACGGAGGGCGAATCAGAAATAGGAGCTTCATTTCCGCGTATATATTTCTGTGACACACGGTATTTTGTCTATTAGTACCTTCAAAATGTCGTGTGTATAATTACTCGAGCGCAATAAAAACTACTTGCACAGGAGCTCCATGTATGCAACTGTCAGTATGACTCCGCAAGCAGCAGCCCTGCTTTGTGCCAGACGCGTGCGGGTTAATACCTCTGAAAGCATCTCTTTCGGAAAGTATAAACCCACACTGGTACTATACTAGTGCCAGGCTAAGCGTAGGCTTTTGATCATTTGCGACGAGTGTTGTTAGAAAGTCTAAATATTGGGTTTTTTTCTTCCTCAACACCCTAAGGCACACACAAATACGGGTTGTAATAAAAAAAGTAAATAGGGTGGTGGCACAGAAGTAGAGAAAGGTGTATTACGTGAAAAAGTAAATACGAAAACGGAATGAATATTGAGTACTGACGTAAGCTTTTGAAGACATAAACGGAAGTTGTGGCAGGATAGCATTGAAAATTGATGTGTCAAAACAGAAAATGATGATACTATCTTCCAAAATTTTGTGAAAAGATTTATATGCAGCAGCATGATAACTACACGTGAAGCAGTCGCCTCTGGTTGTTTCTTCACTTGACCGGTCGTTAGCTGTAAGTAGCCATTTTGTTTATATATCTTGCATTTAGGTTTTTCCTCCGTGATGTAGCTTGCTGCTGAAAATAGATTTGTAAATTCAAAACGAAAAGAACTCCGAAATGCTTCGAGAACAGAAATCTTGATCTGTCTCTGTGCGAATGTGAATTTCATAACGATTGTTGTTCCTTATCCTTAGGTGTGCTACAGCTGAGCGTGTAGCTGTAGCTGGTAGTGCCTGCTGCTTTTTTAATATACCCGCATAGAACATTGCCTCCTAGTATACGGGTACAAAAATTCGCTAGATCTTCGCTAGTTTATCTCTTCGTTGTATGTGGTCTATAGTAAGTCTGGCAACGGCCTAGACAACAGTAGCTTTTTTTTTCGCTGGAATAAAACTACAAGAAGTACTTGTTCTGAGGGATCAAGCTCCTGCTGACCTCAGTGCAGTAGTTGCATAGTATTTTGTTTTGTGTCGAAGTTTTTGTCCAAAATTTGTAGTCGTCGTCGTCGTCGTCGTTTTCCCCATAGTTGTATCGTTCCAACCTCAACTTTGCTGGTACTTTTTCATGAACTATCAACTGTAAACATGTCTGGGTCTGGAAGAATGCATGTTTGTCGTGCTTGTCTGGCATGACTCTTAAATTTGTCATGCACGTTACCCAAGAGCTCCATTTTTCTGTGATGCAGAAGCGCAGTTTGTCATGCGGAATAGGCAACACCTAGAAGCTCAGAAACTTGTCATGCTGAGCCAGCACTTGTGGCCTCATCATGAGACGCCACACAGCATCACAAGTTTCCAGACCCAGACATTTTTACACTTGATATGAACGTGACCCGCTCCTGCTTGTCCTTGCAGCGAAATTTGTCTTATCCTGTACAAAAGTATCGCACTCGTAGTCGTACTAATTGCATTTATGCATTACAAATCTCTTTCTCAAGGCAAATCCGCATTACAAATTCAATTTGTAATGCTGGGTCAATTTGTAATGCGATTTATACTAGTACGATGCTTTTGCATTGCATATGTCCTTCATCTCGTTGATTTCCAATTTGGGCGACTGCCGGATGCACTCCCGCATCAATTCGTGCCCCGGGTAGTACATGCTCTTCATGCTGATCAGGCTCGCAATCGGCACCCAACCACCCGCATCCATTTGCTGTTTTTTATGTATAGCAGAAGCATTGCTTGTGATGTTCATGTGTGCTACGCCGATGTTGAGAGAATTTCTTCTTGCAATGCATTGTAGTACAACAACACCTCGCATGATTCAGAGCATTGTAGTACAAATTTCCACATAAAAATTTATCGCTGTTTGTAACAATAAAGTACCTTCCGCAAAATCCCGCGGTCCTCGTCTTCCGCCTCTTCCTTGCCAAACAAGTAAGACTCGATTTGCTTTTTCGTCACGTTCAACCGAACCGTGTCTGTCATGGCTTGCTGTTTCGGGGACAGTTCCGCCTTGTTGACTAGGTGAGACACCGGAGACAAGTCCACTGCGTTTTCCCGTCCCGCGGTCGTGTTGCTGATCGTGCGGGAGAGCGAGACAGTGGGAGAGGGCGGGTTGTCAACCAGCATGTTGTTGTCATACTCATTGTAGCTGCTGTTGATGGTCGTGGAAATCATTTGTTGCTGCTGCTTCATCGCGGCTTTGTTTGTTCCTTTGGCATGATTTTGATTTCCTTCCCCCTTCTTGTTTCCGCTGGTGTTTTTGTCGCGTTTATTTCCACCCTTGTTCGAGGGTTTTGTTGGTGTGCTATCATTCTCCATGTCCCAGGTCATGCTCGGAAGCTGCATGTCGTAGCCGTTACCGCTACTGACCAAGTTTGCGTCCGGACGAAGCATGTAGGGAATGTTGCTTTGCGGACCGCTGCCCGGCGACATGGGGGCGACCGTGGGCGACCCAGGAGAGACGTTCATGGCCCCGGAAGTGCGGCCCTCCTTCTTGCTGGCCCGCGAACCTGAGTAGTTAGTTGAATAAAAGGTCGATTTTGTTTCGACCAGCACGAATTGTTTTCATGGAGACAAAAGTAAAATATGAATATCATGTACAGATGAGATAAAATCGCATTATAGCCTTGAAGTAGATCAAGTTGGATACCATTACGTCGTGGGCTTACATATAGAAATTTTGCTACGGATCTTCTCAACCAGCATTATGGCCTTTGTAAAGTACCAAAGTCGATGAAAACTAGATCATATTACGACTTTGGTGTGACATCCACCTGTACTATGCTGTACCGTTTACGGTTTCTGTTTCGAATGAAGTATGTTTCTACTGTATCTATAGTTTTTTTAGGGACCACGCACGCACGCTGACGCCAAATTCGGCAGAATATGGAGATGAGTATTATATCGATTCTGGGATCTTCTTCGTCTTCTGTGTCGTATCGGATCTGCCTCTCCAGTAGAACCGCGCAAGTAAAAGTAGATCTTGTTCTTGAAAAACCTCCCGCTGCTTGTACTAAAGCTAGATCTGTTCTTCATCTTCTTTTCCGCGACTTGTCGCAGTTCTTGTCAGGACCTCTTCGGATATTATCTTCTCCAAAAAATACTTCCAGAAATCGTCACGATGTGCACACAGTAGTCATTTTACCAGCCACAGGCGACGCGGTTCTCGGCTCTGGCCGGTCCTCTTCGCAATCGAAATTTTTGCTGCACGGCGTCACACAAAAAGCCCCCGCCGAGGTGGGAAGATGAATTCCTCCTGCGAGGTTCATGTTCATCCTATCCACAGCACGACAAGAAGTAGTAGAGGACCGGACTGTAGCTTTCAAGTTCTGGTCGTCGCTGCACGAAGAACTACTGCTATTCGACGTTGTCTGGTAGTCGTTGTTTCTACTTCTTCCTTCCTCGTCGTCCTGTCGCTCGGCGACGGACTCTCGTTTGATGTTCTGTGCCAGCACACAAGAACTGCCGGCACCGTGAAGATGCTCCTCTGCTTCCTCGCCTTGCCGGCCAATTGTACCCAGATCGGCATCGGTGTCCTCCTCCGCTTGCATCACCACGGTCACGCTGGCTTTCGTGCTTTCACAATCGTCGCTCACACCCGGCGGGAGGATCACTTTGATAGAAGAAGGCAGCTTCTCTTCTTGCTGGTCCTTTTCATCTCTCGCGACAATTGCCATCTTGTTCGCACCAGGTTGGTCTACAAAAACAGTCTCTTCCGCGTCATCCGAAGGTGGCTCTGCAGCGAGAACTTCCGCGAAGATCGTGCTCGTGGTTTGGTCTGCATCAGCATCGTTCTCACCCACTGCCGCTTCGACAAGACCGGTTTCAGAAGTTGTGGTGTCACTACTTCTGAGCGCAGCTGTACAAGGACTAGGCTTCTTGATAGCTGTATCTTGTTGAAGGCTACGAGTTTCATCTTGCGCTTCCCTATCATTTGGTGCAGTGCCGCGAGCTGCCACAACTTCCACAGGCGAGGGGAGAGTAGTATCTCCGTCTGGCGGCCGCTCCCCTTCCATAGCTTCGCTCCGCGCTTCTGGAGCAGGAGCTCCAGCGGGGGTGTCCACAACTTGCAGATCATTTATTTCCGCACTCACAGGTGGAACTTCGTCCGCGAAGAACTCTTTATTTTCCTCCGTTTCGTGTTCTAATTCTGCCTTCCTCATTTTCTCCACCACCTCCGCCTGCAAACTATCTAGCACTTCCTGGTTCGCCTCCGCCGTGCCTCGTTCCGTGGGCCGAAAGGGATTCCAGGCGGTGAGCTCCGCGAGGCGTAATCGGTTCATCGCGAGCCGCAGTTCCTCCTCCTTCGTGCTGTACTTGCGGCCGGAGTGGTCGACCGGGACTTTCAGGGACATTTTTCGGCCGGTGAAAGGGTCCGTGGACTCCACCTCCTCCGGGGGATGATTGTGTGCGGCTTTAGTTGTAACGGTAGAAGTTGCGGCCTGCTCCGGTATTCTCGTTTGCCGATAGTGCGACGCATTATGAGCTGCAAGAATTTCGGACTTGTGTTGGTTGGTGACAGTCGGGGTCGTGGTCGTCATCATCTTGCCACAAGAACTCTGTTCCAGCGTGAACGAAGAATGCGTACCCGCGGTGGAGAGGAACGGCAAAGCCCCATTGGCCGAATCGAGAACGTGGTATTTTTTTTGCGCAACCGGCTTAATATTTTGTTGAGAAGTAGTTGTGGTTGAGCTAGAGGAAGAAGGAGCAGTACCGCCTTTATGATTTCCCCCCTTGCTGGTGGAACTACTACCCGTGCTGTGCGACACTTCGTATAACTCCCCAGTTTCACTCATCGCGACGCCCGAATTTGGCTGATAATGTGCTGTCGCGTTCGACATTGATATTACCCCACCGGAAGTACTAGAGGCGTGATGCTGGTGCTGGATTCCTGCCATAATTTTTCCGTCCCGTTATCCTGAGTAAAAACGTACCCACACCATAGTCAAGTTGGGGAATCGGCTAGACAAATCCACAAGTTTTGGCTGTTTTGCATGACAAATTTGGATTCGTAGTGTAGTGCTGTTTGAGCTAGCTCAGCAGCATCACAGATCTAGCATACCATGCTGATTGGAGCATGACAAATTGCAAAAGACGACTAGAAAATGCTTCTCATGGGGCTCCGCATGAGAAACATTTTCAGCATGCAGATTTGCATGACAACTCTGGTGTGGGTACGTTTTTACTCAGCATACCCGTAGTCGGTCCTTCATCGTCCTTTGGAGAAGAATTTCCCGTTCCATCGCAGTTGTGTCTCGGACTATCAAGTGCAAAAATGTCTGGGTCTGGAAGAATGCATGTTTGTCATGCTTGTCTGGCATGAGTCTTGAATCTGTCATGCACGTTACCCAAGAGCTCCATTTTTCTGTGATGCAGGAACGCAGTTTGTCATGCAGAATAGGCAACACCTAGAAACCCAGAAACTTGTCATGCTGAGCCAGCATTTGTGGCCTCATCATGAGACGCCACCCAGCATCACAAGTTTCCAGACCCAGACATTTTTACATTTCATACGGACAATGTCGGAACAATAGGTGTTCAGATTCGCCTTGCCGCACCCTGCCAGATTTGAAAAAGTACTACTACCCTGGCTACTATTCGGCGCATGGGAAGTTGTAGACACGACAGCTCCGTTCAAAGAACTACTACCTTTTAGGCCGCCAGAAAGATGAGACTGGTCCTTGTTTGCGTTGTGGTTTTTCCCAGAGTTGCTTTGCTTCGCGCCGCTTTTGCTGCTCGACGGGGTCGTGTTGGACGTCGTGCCGCTCGGCTTCTGTTGCTGTTCCTGCAACAAAAGGTAGTCAAACTTCGCGCTGGGAGTTGCAGCTGCTGTCGTGGTCGTCCCGACGATAGTTGTTCCCGCGTTGATATGATTTATTCCTCCACTGGAGGAAGAGGTACTATTTGCATGATGCTGCTGCACCGTAGTTGTTGCTCCAGTCCCGCCCGTGGGTCGTAAATTTGGGTTATTGATTCCGAGCAAGAGCCCGTTCTGTTGATTCGCGGCGGCCAGCACCTTCCCAATTTCCTTCTGCACGCCGACCAGCTTCTCTTGCGCGGCCCGGCGCTGCGCGAGCGTGCCGCCGGACAGGTTGATGCTAGCGAGACTGGAAATGGAGTTATTTAGCGTGCTGTGCAAACTCGGGGAGGCCATGAGCACGTTGGTCGTAGCAGCGTTACTTTTACTCGCGTTACTATTTTGCAGAAAGGCATTCGTCTGCTGCTGCTGCTGCTGCGTCGCACCTGATAAGCTGCGAGATGACTTATTTGTTCCCGATACGCTAGCACTGCTTCCCACCCCGGATAAGCTCTGGTTTAGCTGCTGTGTCGTTGTACTACAACTAGAGCTCACTCGCAAAGCCGCCAAGGCGGCGGAGGGTCGGGTCGGCTTGTGCGACGTTGGGTAGGAATGCAGTGTGGATGAGTGCGTCGCGTCCCGTGGATTCATACCGCCGATAGCTCCTGGTGGTGCTCCAGATTTATTCTGCTGTCTGCTCGAAGAAGCGCTCGCGTGCGGAGGTTGTGCGTGGTCCCGTTTGTTAATATCTAAAAAGCAATCAGAGGTAGGGGGAGAAGTTGTATAAGAAATAGTTGTCTTCTAAAGGTGGGTCGTCGTGCAAGATATGTTTACGTTGCTTTTTTTCGCATGACAAAAGCTTGGCTATTCGTAGTCGTACTATAATGCAAGCCATGCATGACAAAAAGTTGATAATCTATCAAAAAAGTACATTTATTCAACTACTATATATTTTTCTTACCACCACTTCCGCCGGCTGCGCCTTGCTCGTCGCCCGGTCGCTTGGCCCAATGCTTGTCCGTTTCACAAGGAAACGGGAAGACGTTTCCGATCACGTCGAACAGCAAAGTATGACAGTGCACAATTCCCCCTCCCCCTCATTTGTCATGCAAAATACCCAATCCACCGTTTGCCTCTTGGCACTTTTTGCATGACAAGTTCTGGTAGCCCAAATAGCACGACAATCCAATGCATATTTGTGATGCAAAACCGGCATTCTTGCTGGTGCTTGTATTGCCGTTCATGCTATACAAATGTTGAGGAGGGGAAGTTGTGCACTCTCATACAAAGGCTGCCACGCTTCGTTGGCTTTCAACATGGGAAGCAGCGGGGACCGCTTCAACCGCTCGAGGTTCAGGTACAGGCCCTGGACGGCTGCCGGGGACACTTCCGCAATTTTGTCTGAAAAGTGGGTTCATGCATTTTCAAATTCTGTGGTAAGTTGCCTTCATGCGCATTTTATTTTCAGGGAAGTTTTATGCCGAGATACAAATACTGAAATATCTATGGCTGCACAAACAGCAGCACAAATACAATCCTATACTTGAGTTGTATCCCGGTAGCACTTTCTTCGTGTGCCAGCCGTTGTAGGACACTTTGAAGGAGTCCGCCTGGGCCTGCGTTCGAAAGTTGATGAAGCAGTAGCCCACGTTGCACTCCGTGACGAAGTCGATGGGCATGTAGAGGAAATTCATGGAGCCCTTGTAGTCCTCCTCTAACCTTCGCACCAGCATCTCCCGCGTGTACTTGTTCGGAATGTTCTTCAGCATCATGGTCACGCCCTCCGCTTCCGCGCCCTGGCTGGCGCGTTCGTACGCGTCCTTGTGCATCGCCGTGATCTCCGCCTGGCGCGCCGGGTCTGGCGGTTCCTCGCGGATCTTCGCGCGGCGGTACTTGGGCGAGTTGCGCAGGCGGCTGGAGCCGGACGTGGAGTTGCCCGGGGTGTTGGAGGTCGAATTGTCGGACTTTTTGTTGTTGCTTTCCCGGCCCTGGGGCTTGAAGCGATTCGCGGCGGACAGTGCCTTGTACAACGAGCCGCGACGCTGGTTCATCGTCTGTAGAATAGAGTAGTTTGTAGCGGTGATCATGTGATTTCTTTATTTCTGGTGCAGTTGTAAATATCTGTATTAATAAAGCAAAAGTCACAACTCAAACCTTCGTACGACTACGTGGTCAACATTTGCGTTTCTGCATGACAAAAAATCTCCGTCGTGTAGAAGTACTATAGCACTAAAAAAGACTATAAAAAATCAAAGTATAATACCTCTGGCGCGTTGCTGGCGACGCTCCCTGGTTCGTTACCATTTCTTCCCTGCTTCCCGCCCTTTTGGTTGTTTAAGTTCGCGAACTGCATGCGGTTTCCGGCCGCCGAGAACGACACGTCGTCGAGCTGCGCCATGTGCCCGGTCGTGCCGGAGATCTCGCTGGGCGGGGGCGGAAACCCGCCGTGCTGTGCGGACTGCGTTCCGCTGTAACTCGGGTCTGCCACCAGCATGCCGGGCGGCCCACCAACCATGGCCGAGCTGGCGAGCGACCCCATTTGCTGCATGCCGGACTGCGGCATGGAGCCCGGGTAGCCCTGGGGCGCCGCCATCATCCCGCCGTAGGGGTTGGGGATCATGGGCTGCTGCATCACATAGGCGTTCAAATACGGATCAAAGTACATCGCGGGGGGCTGAACGTAGTTTCCGTAGCCGTCGTCCATGCCACTGCTTGTCGCGGGGATCGAGGGGTAGGCACCGTAGGCCTGGTTGGCAGCATTCTGGGCCGCGGACTGCAGGGACTGCACCGAAGTGTGCGAGCTGCGACTCGGATTGGACCCCTTGCCGCGCGAAGTGGAGGAGTATTCCTGGGTGAAGTTTTATCATAATTTGTATTTGATTCATTCTCTATGCGGAACAACGACCGCAATAGAGGTTTTAAGTGGAGACTCAAAAATTTTCATATCACGCGAAATAAGTCGAAGCAAAATTTATTTCAGGTCAAGCTGCAATAAAATACCGCCGAAGCCGTGTTTCCGCTTCCTCGGTGCGTGGACACGGAATAGTGCCCGGTGGTGCTGGTGGTGCTTTGCTGGGAGTTATGCGGGCTTTGCCGCTTCTTCGCTTGCCCCTGCACCTGCTGGCAGGCCTCGAAAATCAAGTCTAAACTGCCGCCCGCGTCGTGAAAAACGTTCCCGTCCTGGTCCCGCCACACTTCCAAGAGCATGTTGTTCTTCGAAATGGAGGACTTCCACAGTTTGCAGGTCGCGGTACCCTCGGCTTGCGCGTCGAAAATGTCCGAGCACACACCGTGGGAGTCGTCGAGAACCTTTGGGTGGAAAGATTTTGTTGAAGCGGTGTTATAATTTTGCATGACAAAATTCGAATTCCGTTAATAATTCAGCATCTCTTTATTGCAGCTCAACTTACTCCTACTGTGCCTGGACGAATTTGGTCCTGCTGCACACCATCATGTTGTGGATGTACAATTTTTTATGCTGTACAACTAATATTGTCCAGAAGAACTGTGAATAAATCATCTATCATCCTAGTGAACAAGAAGTACTAAATACCATGCCGTTCTGGTCGAGAAACGCCCTTTGTTGATTTCCGTTTTTGTCCGTCAGATAGGTCACCGTGATCTCGAGGTCGGCGGGCTGTGCTTTCCTCCCCTTCTTCCCGATAATTTTTGGGGACATCTTCGGCGACTGGCCGCTTGACTGCCCGGAATGGGATTTGCTTTTCGTTGAAGACGACTTGTGGTCCGTGCTGGTGGTGGCTCCACTCATGTAGGAAGCCATCATGGCGGACGGGGGGGCGTCCATCCTGGCTGCCGAGGCTTTCGAGCCGGTGCTGTTTCCACTCGCTTTGCTGCCGCGCTCGTCGTTATGGATTGCAAAAATGTCTGGGTCTGGAAAGGATGTTGTAACTTGTCATGCTAAATCTGAATCATGTAAAAATCTGTTTTGCATGATTACGAAAAGCTGTCCACTTTTGACCTAATCGCGAGGCAGTTTCACATGCAGGATAGGCATGATAGAACTCTCACAGAATCTGTCATGCTATGTCCTGCATACCAGACCTCACGGGTCATGGAAAACCTGCATGACAAGCCTGGCATTCTTCCAGACCCAGACATTTTTGCAATTGGTAGTCGTACGGTTGGCCGGCCAAAGCGGCGGCGAGTTGCTGCTGCAGAAACTGCGTGGCCTGGCTATCAAAAGGAAAAATCCCCCCTCCCCATATCAAAGCGGACACTTGTGATGCTGATTTGTGGCCACAAATCAGCTTTGTATTGCAGAGAGGCATGGCGGCCAGATCCCCAGGCTAGGTAGGGGCGTATGGGTCTAGTTGTTCAGCATGGCAAGCGGCTCCCCTTTAGGCCTAACAGCATGACAAATCGCGACCATAATGGGGCGGAAGCTTCTGCCCTTGTCTTCTTGCAAGACAGATGTGATTTGTGACCTCAAATCCGCAACGCAAATTTTTGGAAACATACCTTTTCAATATGGGGAGGGGGGATTTTTCCTCTCAATACTGGCGGTCGGAGCTTTCCACCTGATTTGTCGTATCTACCTGTCCGGATTCGCGCGCGGATTTTGGCGGTTTGGCCTTCTTGTGGATGTACGCGCTCCTGGGGTCGCGCTGCAGAAACCCGGGCTCACCGGGGGAGCCGATCCCCTCGGCGGCAGACAGGCGGGGACTCTGCTCCGAGGACTGAATTTTGCCAGCTCCGCGGTGGCTACGATTCGATCGGGCACTTTCCTTGCTCGCGGTTCGCTTGCTGCTGCGTCGACTCTGGCTCGGCGAATTCAAGCCCGAGGATGCGGCCAGCTCGTCAAACTGTTCGCGGGGCAAGAGCTGGTAATCCAAGCTTGTAGTTTTTGGTGAGGAATTCGCAGAGACGGCGTCGCGGACGTTCAGCAGCTCAGTCTTCGTATACTGTGTGTGATTGGAACTGCTTTTCTGCGAGGAAGGCGAAGTAGTTTTACTGTCAAACAAAAAGCCCAACATTAGTTGTTGAGAAAATAAAGCTCATAGTATTTAAGATAGTATATTTTCCAGTATTTTTACAGTAGAACTACAGATTGCTGACACGACAATTAAACTCGTACTTATACTCGACAGAAAAAGTACAGAGTAAAACTCGATAGATCTACGCTAGTATACACAGATTGAGACAACCGGGTTTTTGATGTTGAGAGAGGTAAACTTTTTAAAATAGACAGACGTCGTAAGCTACAGATACAAGATTTTTGGAACAGTACAAGATGTGGTCAAAATGTTGATTCTGGTAAAGATAAATGCAAGGTTTGTTTTACAATAATTTCAATCGTGCTGCTAAGGCGGAATAAATGATAAGTAACCTCGTGGCAGCTGCTGTCTTCCTCTGCTCACGTGGCTACTGATTTCTCCAAAAGTGTCAAAGTACGTTCCCAAATTCAAAAGTACTAAAATACAAGTGGCTTACGTTTGCTGTTCTTTCACAAAGAGAGTGCGTGTTTATTTTTACTCCGGTTCTACTTTTTGTTTTTCTTGCGTAGGAATCACAATAATTTATCGAGTTCTGTTTTTGCCGCTGGATATATTTCACATGTACAATTTTTATACGTGCGGGCTGGGCGACAACGAGTTAATGGCGTGACAACAATTTTTGGTATACTATCTTACAATGAGGAGCTCTTTGGATAATAATTTCAAGGATTTACTAGGTCGTTTTTATTCTTCAGTTTTGGACTTATTACAAATTTCAGGTATTCACCAGAGGTTCACCTAGAAAGTAGTAGAACGAGACTTTCTCTCAACTGTATCTCTAGAAATAATAGTGAAGGTTTGCTGGTACTTCTACAGTGGTATTTTTTTGCTTTTTCGGCTGTTGTTTTCCGTAGTCTTATATGTGATCAAAATTCCCAAAAATAGAAGTAATGAATCACAATATTGATGATGTTGATACACTGTCCTTATTGTTATTGCCACCACCTAAATTTTTGGACAGTATAGCTTTATCGGAGCCAAAAATACTACCGAGCCGTATGCGAATTTAAGCAAAAAAGCCTAAATATAGTGTTCAAGTACGTGTGAACTGGAAGTAATTTTTTTTCCGCAAAAGGTTGTAAAAATTCATTAGTTATGGCTCTCTGACACCACAACCGGTAAGCCGCGCCTTCTATTTTTCGAAGTGATCTTCAATATTTTTGACCGCCGCTGTTGTACTTCGCTTCTAAGTTTACGCCGCGTTTTTAGAACGTGATGATGATCTTATAAATCTATTTGCGATAGTCTTATATGAGTGTTCTTGTCGCCTCGATATTGCACAACGATCGTGGTACTTATTTTTGTTTTGCTTTTTTTGTGGTTTTTTACTCAGATCGATGCGCGGTCAAAAAGTTGATGCAAAATTATACTCGCTGCTGCAGAATTTACTCCGCTTTTGATGCGATCTGTACAGGATTGAAGAGAAATGAATTTAGGTCGTTATTGTGTTGCAATACAAAATTTACGTCCACCTCTATAGCCAACACCGCAATTTAGAAGTATATCGCTGGTGGTTGCTCGGATTTGAAGTGGTACACAAAATAGTGCTGATTTAAGATCCCGGGGTATTGATTTACGAAAAATACAAAATCAGGTCAGTGTTCCGATGATGAAAACAGATCGATACAAAATTATCAGTAGTGTGCTGTTGTAAATCGATGCAAAATTTGTAAATGTTGTATAGGACGAAAGAACCCGTGAATGCAGTCAATGCAGGTAGTAATAATACCGAGAAAGTAGTGATTACAGTTAGCAAATGCAGAGTGGGTAGAAAATTGAAAAATTACAAAATTCGAAGGTGTACAACCGAAAAATTGCCGCAAGTGGTTGATGAAAATTGTGGCGTCTAGAAATCAAACCGTTCCCAAAGCGTGTCACCTGATAGTACGCTGTGAACGAATGACGCAGCAAAAATTGTTTCAGACAAAGTAGTTTATACTATCGAAATGTTTGCGCTACTACTTTTCCGTGCGAGCAGCAATTTTGTGTAAGACAAAAGTTTTGATGGTGTTCGGTATTATTCGGCTTTGCGTACAAACTGGCGTGGTTGCTTGCACCGTCTTGCAATAGAATTGGGCGGTAGTTTGATACAAAATCGAATGGAAACCTAGTTGAAGGATTGGTTTGGAAAGTTGAAAATTGTGGGTCTTGTCAGCAGACAAAATTTGGTGATGAATTAGCCGCTGTTGTGTGGGGGTGCGTTGCAGTTTCGGTTTGAAGAATTGTCAAAATCGACGAGTACAGGTGAAGTAACACCACCAGGAAAAGAGAAAAAGGCACTACTTACCATATTTATTGCGACGAAAATATCAAATCGTACGAAGAGCAGCTTCTACCGAAGGTTAAAAAACCTCAAACCTTCGCTCTCGAAAACCGATAAAAATACTTGAATCCATTTTCCATATCATCCGAAAGAGCAGACGAAGCGCTTCGACAGGGCAAACGAAGATGTTGGACGTGGTGCTATCATAATTAGTACCGAACTTTCTTCACCCAAAACAGCGCCAACGTGCTGTGGGGGTTCTAGTGCTGCTTCAAAACCGAAATACTTTTTACGCAAAGCTGTTTGCTGCGAAGAGGCTTTTGCAGATAGGGAAAAACCGAATTTTCATTTCTATATGAGAAGTTAGTGGACCGAGATAAATTTGGACTTGGACGACGCGACAGCAAATATAGTTTTTTCAACGAATATAACAACACCTGGGAGCAGACGAACAGCCGATATTGTACTTCTACCGAAGAAGATGGTGTGAACACTACAGAGCGCAACGAGCAACGGAGTGCAGGCTACCGATAGAACTCAAGTTTCGCAAGAACCCCTGCCCGGGCTTGCTGTTGAGGCAGATTTAATATTTTCTCCTGGGAGTTGTTGTGAAATTTTGATTTGTCGTCCAGTAAAAACCTGTATTATTATATCCACCTCGCTGCCTCATAAGCCTGGATGTAGTCGAACCTAATCCGCTTGAGCATCTTCAAAAACTGATACTCCATCGTGGAGACGTTATTTCGATCGAAAAATCGATGAAAATAAACGTCGCACAAAGTCGCCAAGTACAGATTCGGCAAGTGGTCGTCGATCATGCTATCAACTGCAAATATGTCTTGGTCTGGAAACTTGTGATGCTGAAATGTGCATGATTGAAATCCTTCCAAGTGCAGCCAAGCATGACAAGTTTTCCGAACACTTTCTCAACCGCAGTCCGCATGAGAAGTTGCGCTTTTGTATGACAAAAGGAGGCGTAGTTTTGTTAGTCATGATGCAACACAGATTTTACAGGAATGTCGGACTTGCATATACAAGTTCAATGCTCCCAGACCCAGACACATTTGCATTTCATACATGCGCAAGCCGAGCAAAATTCGCCGGTAGTGCTCCCCGTGGTTTCGGACCCAAAAACAGGTGGGCGCCGCCGTACTGGGGCGAACTTGCAAGTGGAGGCAGAACTTCCCCGGGGGCCGCGGGATCTTGCTGTAGTCGTGGGTCTTCCGTTGTTGCCCGAAGAGGGTGCCGATGTAGTCCACCGCTTGGGTAAAGTAGGAGGTTTCGCTAATCTCGTCCGCGAGGCTGAGTTTGCGATGAGGGGTGCATGGCGGTGAAGTAGATCAGATGTTGCTTTGCATGTAATAATCAGCATGACACGGAAAAAGATCTTGGTCCTCGGGCTCGGCATGGTTTGGTGTGCTTTCTATAGATGAAATGATTTTGTCTTTGTCAACCGGAACAGCATCAGCATGAAAAAAAGTTTTTCAAAATGAAAACTATACCGGTCAAAGCTTTCCATGCTGAGGGCCGACACGAAGTCCTTGCCGCGGACGACGCCCAAGATGCGCGGGTCGTTTGTTATCGAGTAGGAAAATTTAGGCGCGAGCGCAGCACATTTGTCATGTACAGCGCAAATAGTGCGTCGCTTGATAACTGTATACATTAACACGGTCTGGCGGTCGTCAGATCGATGCAACTGTAATATCTCGCCCGCAGTGCACACACCCATTGTTTTTTTTGAAAATATTAAGTACATTAAACGCTTCTAAAAAAATCAAAACACGCACGCCCTCAACTCGCACTTCCTTCCCATCCGATAGCCATCACGGGGTATTTCGCTGCATTCGCCGCACGACCCGGACTTCTTCCCGCAACTGTTCCCCCCTGCTCTGCGTCGTCGTCATGATAGGCAATCGCGGGGCTCCCGAAAAGGAACAGCCTCTTGTTCTCGATTTGGGGAAATTTCCAGTACACCAAAGCCACGGTTGCCGCTCCCAGGGAGTGTCCCGTGAAGACGAATCTGTAGTCCGGGTTCTTTTTCAAAAAGCGCTCCACCCAGAACCGGATCAACTGCAAATATGTCTGGGTCTGGAAGGTTGCCAGACTTGTCATGCAGGTTTTATTCCATGACCCATGAGGTCTGGAATGCGGTACCCAGCATGACTGATTCTGTGGCGTGGTCTCTATCATGCCTATCCTGCATGAGAAACTCCCTCTCAACTTGGTCAAAAGCGGACAGCTTTTGCTACTCATGCAACACAGATTTTTGCATGGTTCAGATTTAGCATGACAAGTTCCACTCTTCCAGACCAAGACATATTTGCATTGGATAAACCGGATCCGACCGTAGACAAACTCCGCGGACTTGACGAATCCTTTGTGGGTGCGGAACAAAACGCGAACCTCCGTGTTGTCTTCGTCGGATGGTGTTTGTCGTTGTCCATCTTCAGTGGAAGTTGTCTTTGTACGAGAAGAAACTGTGCTCGTCGCCTCGCCGGTTGTTGAACCTGCCGTGGGTACTAGCGAAGACAAATTTTTTGGTTTACTATCAGTACTATCCTTTCTCCGTATCAACTGCAAAAATGTCTGGGTCTGGAAGATTGCCAGGTTTGTCATGCATATTTTGAATGACCCATGATGTCTGTGATGCATGCCCTAGCATCACAGATTTTTCGCGGACTTTGTGATGCCTCTACCGCATGACAAATGCCCTTTCCGCGTAGCACAAACTGGAGTGCTTTTGCTGGTCATGCAATACAAATTTTTTTAGAATCCAGAGACAGCATTACAAGTTTAGAATCTTCCAGACCCAGACATATTTGCATTTGATACTCCGGTGCCGTTCCCGATTCCGTTCCGGACTCCCACTGTTCGGACGGGAGGAACTACTCCCAGGCGGTGCAAAATTGACGTCGCTCTGGTCTATCAGCAGAGGCTCGTGAGGATTTCTACCTGCAGTTTTCTTCTCGATATTCAAATAAGCTCGCGAAGATGAGGACGTGCTGCTTGTTCCGGGATAGCCGTTTTTCGTCGTGCCCAATTGATGTTGCCCGTATACAGCATGATCTCCCTCGGGCGACGAGGGAACAAATAACCCTTCGTCTCCGTATATCGCTTCGTCCTCCGGCGGCCGGATTTTGCGTTCGGGTTTTGGGATTCTAGTCTTCTGTACGGATTGACCGGAAGATCTGGTGCTGTTTGCGGAGGAGCCGCGGGAGGGTGGTGCCACTACAACAGCAGCTCCTGTGCTGGTCGGCGTTTCTGCTCTCGGTTCCGGCTGAAACAACGTCGAAAGCTGTCCGCCCTGTAGAACTCCTCTCCCCCGTTCGTCATAGTCTTCTTTGTTCGGTGATTTTGCGCCCACAAATTCGTTGCCGACGTAGTCGATTTCGGGTAAGCTTTCCTTTCGCTCGCTCGCCGGCGGACCGAGGATGGCATCGTCGAGGCTGTCGTGTCTGGAAGATGTTGGGCCGTCTTGTTCTACTACCCTCGGTGGTGTACTACTAGCAGTTCCACTCTTGTTTTTCGGTGCGGGAAAAAGCGAACGCGCCTTAGTATTCGCTTTCACCTTCACGACGTCATTGCCCACCTGCACCTCCGACGGCTCGTCGGAAGTGACTAGAGGATCCGCACTATCCTAAGCAAAAACGTCCCCACACCATAGTCAAGTTGGGAATCTAGCAACACAAATCTCCAAGTTTTGGGAGTTGTGCATGACAAGTTTCCCTCTGCAGTGTAGTGCTGGTTGACAAGGGAAGCCGCATTAGAAAGCCACTTTCTCATCCTGTTTATAGCATTACAAATTCCAAAACACGACTGGTAATGCATCTCATGGAGCTGCGCATTACAAATGTTCCATTCCTGTCATTGCGCATTTGCATGACAACTCTGGTGTGGGTACGTTTTTACTCAGGATACGCACCAGAAGCGACATCAGGTTCCTGATCGTGAGGTCCTCCCGCGGCTTCCCCCGAGCTCGCACGTCGCCTCAACGCTTCTGCTTCTTGCGCTCGTCTCTTCTCCTCGTCCCGGGCCTTTGTCAATTCCTGCAACGGGTCCACGCCAAACAGGGCGCTCCCCGCCTTCGGGAACCGGACCGCGAAATCGACTTCCTCCGCCGCAATATCTGTCATGACGTCTTTCCAAGCCATCGACCCCCGCACAGTATCAACTGCAAAAATGTCTGGGTCTGGAAGGTTGGCACTTGTGATGCTAACTTTGGACTCTAAAAAAATCTGTATTGCATGACCACCAAGAGGAGTCTAGTTGGTGCTACGCGGGGAGGGCATTTGTCATGCGGAGTAGACATCAGGAAGCCCTCTAAAAATCTGTGATGCTAGGTTGCGCATTACAGATATCCTGGGTCATGCAAAATATGCATGACAAACCCGGCAACATTCCAGACCCAGACATTTTTGCATTTGATAGACAGAGAGAATCAACCACTTCAGTGTGTGGTTCACCGAAAGCACAAACGTATCCAGTGCAAATATGTCTGGGTCTGGAAGGATCCGAACTTGTGATGCTGCATTTGGATACTACAAAAATCTGTATTGCATGAACAGCAAAAGAGGTCCAGTGTTTGCCACGGAGAGCGGGTAATATTTCTCATGCGGTATATGCATGAGGAAGCCCTCACAAAATCTGCGATGCTAGGGCATGCATCACAGACGTCAGGAGTCATGCAAACTGCGCATGACAAACCTTGCATCCCTCCAGACCCAAACATATTTGCAATGCGTAAAACGCTGGCTCGTACATTTCTTCCGTGAACGCAGAAACCAGAATGGGATTCGCCGGTAGAAAAGCGTTGGTCTTCGTCGGACTGCTTGTACTGCTGGTAGTGGGTGCAGCAGCAGCACCTCCCGTCGCAGCTGTAGTGGCTCCAGTGCCATGGCGGCCTGGTACCGTAGTGCGGCTTGCGGTTTTTGAATTTTTCCGGCTTGATGTTCCGGGTTTGCTCGGCGATTTAGACGAAGGAGAGCTTGTTCGCGATAAAAATTCCTCTTTGCTCGTGGTTCTTTTCGACGACGTGGTCCCACTCTGAGAGGTGTTGATTTTCTTCTTGTCCACACTAGATGTTGAAGAGGACTTCTGCTCTGCTCCCGGTAGAAGTTCTTGCCCATCTACAAATCCAGATGGAAGCTGCGAGGACGTCGTCACTTCCGAACTCGGTTCTATTCTTTTCTTCCTCTGCCACTGCGCGCTGTCTTGCTTCGCGCCCACGAGGGCGAGGAAGGCCTTTTGGTTCAGCACCTCGTTTTCCAGTTGGTCCATGTTCACCTTCATGAACGCCCCGGCCACCCGTATCGTAAGGAAAAATCCACCCTCCCCATATTGCAAACGGAGTTTGTGATGCTGTATTTGAGTACACAAATCGACTTGTAATGCCAGAAGGCCAAGAGCCGCAGTCGTGGCCTCGTTTGCAGGAAATTTGTCATGCTGTTTCCCACTTCCAGCCGCCTCCTGTCATGCTGAAGACGCAAGGCTTCCCCATGCCAACCAGCCCGACAGCCCGCATCTTTTCCCTTCTAGCATGACGAAGCTGAGTTGTGACAACAAATCTGCATCACAAATTTTCGTTTCGGTATGGGGAGGGGAGATTTTTCCCCACAATAACCCACGTTGCCGCACTGTCCACATACCCCTCGTACATCGGCACACCGTACACAGCCCGCATGTAGAGACAGGCGATCATGTATCCTGAGCAAAAACGTCCCGGCCCCCTAGTCAAGATGGGAAACCTGCTAAACAAATCTCCAGACTTTGGGAGCTGTGCATGACAAGTTTCCATCTGCAGTGTAGTGGTGGTTAGCAAGGGAAGCTTCGTGATTTCTCATCCTGTTTACAGCAGTACAAATGCCAAAACACGACTGGAAATGCCTCTCATGGAGCTGCGCATTACAAATGTCCCTGTCATTGGGCATTTGCATGACAACTCTGGGTCGGGGACGTTTTTACTTAGGATATCATGGTCTCGATGAGGATCGACTTTTCCCGCAACACCGCTGCGTTATCGAACTGCTTTTCGTACAGCTGCGAGTGCACGTCCCGCAGCCGCCACATCACGGAAGGGTCGAGAAAGGAGAAGAAGTCCTGCGCCCCGTGTCGTCGATTGGACAGCATGGAGAGCAAGGTGGTAACCGTGTCCCACATGTGCGACGAGCTGCCGCCCGTTTCATTTGTCTGCTCGTGGGCTGGCCGGTGGATCGGCCGGTTTTGCAGGTCGTCCGCCGCCGCGGCAACCACGTCCTCCTTGTTTTCATCTATGGTTGTAGGGTCAGGCGGGTAATTATTATTCCGGCTGTACGGGAAAAGCAAAAGACTACTAGACGCTGGATCTTCACTACCAGACGCAGCAGCGCTTTGACTCAATTGCGCACTACTGGTCGTCGCACCGCCGAACCAATCAAAGTAGCTATTATCGGTGTCGTTTTCCGTGACAGGCGTCGTGTGAATCTGCTGTGGATAGTCGTCGTCGGGGTAGGTATGGGCAGATATTTCTGGTGGTTCTGGTTCTCCATCAACACGACCTAGAGGTGCGGCACGACGACCAGGGCCGGTGCCACTAGTTGTACCAGGTGTTGAAGAGTTTGAGTCCTCAAAAGGTGGTCCTGTTCTTGGGCCATCTGTTCTTTGCCCTAACATTCTATCCGACGTATCATTCGTGTTCTCCTGCAATCGACCGCTGTTGTTCACCTTCACTTGATGTCTACTTTTCTGTTTCGGAGAAAAGGGCAGTTTCGTGGAAGAAGTTGGCACAGCGAGCGTGGGTCGCTCTTCCATACCTCTTGTACCCTCGTCGCCATTGGTTGCGTCGCGAGGTTGTTCATTCTGATCCTGGTCTCGAGCCAAGTACTTTTCCAGCATCCGGCCCTCGAGAAGATGACCATCATGATCTGCGTCGTCCAACGACCTGCCGGAAGCCGCAGTAGTGGTGTCCTCCTTCCGGCCGCGAAAGGTTGAATAATTCGCAGTGCCCTTCGGAGGCGACTTGGCTTTCTGCTTCTTTTCTTGCGAAGGAAAAGACGTCATGGCCGGTGTAGTTGGTGGGGGAGCTACAGCTGGCGGGCATTTTCATCATCGATCGAGTTTCCTGCTTGATGTCATTGTTGTTTATATTTTCAACATAAACATTTTACGCTACTGCTAGCACGCAACAAGTATGGCTACCCCTGTACCTAGCATGATGAAACAGCTATACTAAAACCCACTTGATGGACAACCCTAGGCACGGGGTAGGGAAAGATAAATGAATTATCCTAGCACAAACCCAAGCTGTACTTGTACGACTCACAACATCTTCCCTCAAAGAAGCCCTTGCCGCTGGCGTCACTCGTTGTATATAGTCTTGGTCTTTTTTGAATGTCGCATGTTTCTCGCTCCTGCAAGTAAAAAAGCAGCAGGGGACGATGATGCAATTAAAGCAGAATAGTCCAGGATCTTTATCTTTTTTTTTTGTAGCCTGCTGTGCTGGGTTTTTTAATCAAAAAATACGACTTGGTGTTGTTGGTGCCATGTCACGAACAACCTGTAGGTGAACTCAGATCGTGCTTGTTGCAGGCAGACGACAAGCAAAATACGTAACCTCGTTAGGTAAACAGACTACCCAAAAAGAGGCTTCGTTTGAGGTGTAAGCATTCCGGTGGTAGAAAGAATGGGTGTCAGAAGTGAAATGTGTTTCTAGTTTTTACACACGTTCTTCACGAAGAATGGGTGTCAGAAGTCTTTGATGGAATGTCTCCACATATGTACGTTTTTTAGATCGAAGGAATAAGAAGTTCACAGTTTTGGTTGTGGTTTGTCTTTGTACAACATCAACGGCATAAATTATTTTTTTCGAGATGGCTGAGGCTGTGTTCAAGTGTCATAGTGTTCGTAGTACAATGACAAAAGTAGTATCTAAACCTCTTGGAAGTACCTCTGAACATCAGAATAATCAGCGGTGTAAAAATATATTGTTCGGGCTGCTCAGTTACAGTCTGGGTTTTCCTGGTTTATTGTGTCCTGGATAGAAAAGAGCTTGATGAGTGTATCCATAATTCTGTTCCACGTTACAATCGCCTTACTTAGATACATTTTTTTCATTTTTCGACCTTTCAGCCTCATCATGAGTGCCTGGATTGATGGGAGAATTTCAACATTGCTGCTACTGGTGAAGGACAGAAAAAAAACTTACTTATCGAGGTGTTAAAGCTCCTAGCGCATGCGGTGGTGTTCCAGCTCCTGCTCCTCCATCGCCCGGATAGATAAGATCTCCTTCTTGTAGTAACGGCCCATCCGGTGTCATCGCTTCTCCGTCCCCACCAAACGGGGGTGTCATATCCGCTTCTCCGTCCCTATCAAACGGGGGTGTCACACCTCCTTCCCCGTCCAAGTTGTCCTGGGCTGGGCGGATCAAGTCTCCGTCTCCCAAGGGAGCGAGGGGCGCGTGTGGGTTCGGAATGATGGGCACGAAGAGGTAACCTATCCCAGTGCCAAAGTGCATGTTTTCTTGTTCAAAGTCAAAGACGAAGGCCCGTTTGCATAACGACCTGAATTATCGAAATAAATCCAATGCGAGTTGTTGTCCCTGACCAGGTGGTGCAGTGAAGTTTTTATCAGGTCAGCTACCTTGAATGATTGTTCATCACACACGGCATGCACAAAGTGGTTAAGCACGACAGTGCGAGGAAGAAAATTGACATGCACTGAAAATAAAACTGTTGAAATGGTGCCTCGCTCCCATGCGATGTTTTATTTTTGCCATGATGGTCGTGGACCACCATATAATATATGAACTAGCCTGTTCTAGCACTTCGAGAAACCATGCCCGCTTGCACATTCCATACCGCGAATGCGATTAATGCGATTTTCGTTTTCCCTCAGCCTCTGAAGGATGGCCTCGTGGTTTAAATCTCGGAAACCAGCGGGGGCGCGCGCGCGAGCGTTCTCCGCCATGTTGTCTGCCGTCAAGTTCAGGTCCGGTCGGGTGTTTTTGTCGGGGTCCAGGACTAGCACCAGTTCGTCGTGTGTTCTCCCCTGAAGATTCGCATGCTCCCGGAGCACGAAGCCACGGTGTTTCAAGTCGTTGTAAAAATTCGGAAACACCCGGAAAAAATCGTCAAAGGTGGGCACCTTCGTGCGTCCGTCGGGGCCAAGGGGTGCTAAGAACTCCGCGTTCGCCCCGGCACAAAGATGCTGCTGAAAGTTGATGCTCACTTCGAGTTTGCCCTGTCGCGCGGCCTGCTCCGCGATCTCGAGAAGTTGTTTCATGATCGGTAAATTATATTCGCGTTCACACAGGGCAAGTCATGTAAGGCCAACTATCGCGAATGGAATCTCATTCATGCGCATCATCTCAATGTAGTTTGTCATGCGTTCCTGTCTTCATCAAATAAGACTTGCCTTGAAACGAGAATAGTTCGCTTCCGCTGGATACTTTTGGACGTGTGATGGAAAAATTTCGCCTTTCCCCCCGCTGCAATCGCCTGCAGCCGCGTCGCATTCAGCGCAGCCGGCAGCGCAAGTGGGTGGCTCCGCGGCTCCTCGAGGTACCGAATGATTTTCAGTTTCAGTTCCCGGGGGAGATGCTTCGAAAAAGTCTTGTGGAGGCAGAGATCGTAGACCTGCATTTAACACGTTGAATAAAGCTATTTTGGTGAGAGAGCCAGACAACGATAACTGCGTGTGCGTTTTTTCTGTGCCGACATACAAGAACATATTCAGCGCTCATCGTACGTGGTCGTGAAGTCCATAGCTTGTCGGATGATTGACCGTGACTACTTACAATGACATCAACAATCTATACGTTGATCTGCAGGCTCGTGACGCGCCGTTCCGCCTTTTTGTGCGCTTTTTCATCCTCCTCTTTTGCCACCTGCTCGCGCAGTTTGGAAAATTGCTGCCCGTTTTGAAACATCTTTTGTGGGGGATTTGGAGATGGTGTTGTTTATTAAGATTTGGGTGCCATCGTGCTGTGTACGGAAGAACGGGTGAAATGTCAACTCATGATAAGCCTTGACGATGAAGGTGGTTGTGGTATATCTTGCGTGGTGCTAGTGCTAGGCGAGAACCAACAAGGAAAAATAAAGTGTCTACAAAGAAAATATTGTGGATAGTACATTTGTATTCCGCCGTCTCGTGGTGACAGTAATCATAAATCTAGTACTTTTACCTCTAGTCAAAGTCACAATTGACTGGGTTTTTCAAGAAGTTGCAGCATCAGGGGTAAGCGGGTAAAGAGGATCTCTTCGATAGGTTAAAGCCATTCGCCGACCTAGGGAAAACGAACCTGATCCTCAGCCTCGCACACCGAACGACCATGCGGAAGCAAGTCTGTAGTCCATCGATGAAAAAAGGATCTTCATCTTTGCACGAGCGTGTCGTGTAGATCGAAACAAGATCTCGATCCTTCATCGACGAGAACCGTCTCGCGGAGGTGAACAAGAGCAACTCCAGGCGGGAAAAGCAAGATCTCAACGCAAACATATCAACCACCGCCTCTTTTCACTTGTTGCTCCGCCTCGTGCACCAGTTTCGCTCGATACAATTGTTATTTTCGCCAAAGGTAAAAATTTAATTCGTGGAAATGAGGGCACGACATCATCGATACTCAGCTTTAGCACCACCTAACGATCAAACGATCAGCATGTTTTTCGTTGCACTCTCTTCATCTTCCGTCCTGTAAGCGGACAAAACTGGAGCAACTCGATCTCCATCTGGGCGTTCTTTCCAAATCGTTTCTTCTACGTATTCCATACTTGGTAATCGCAACCAAAACCGTCCTAGCTTTCTCCTCAGGGTGCTGCCTGCTCGATCACCGGCTCCAAGTGAAGCAACAGCTGCACTAATTCCACCGGCACGGTCGACGTCAAGGACACATCACCGTCGCGGAAAAGCCGTTCGGCATCTTTTTTCTCGAGCTTTGGAAAAAGTTGGAACACGATCTCGGGCACAATGTAGGCGGACTCCTCATGGGCGTCATTATCATCTCCGGGCAGCCGCAGGCGCTTGGGAAATCCGGGCGGGGAGTTTTTGATGCGGCGAATTAATTCTGTCAAGGTAATAGAGGGGCTTGGGATTTCCTCTGGGGGGGGGTCAAAGAGACCAAAGGTCCTTCCAGGAATACCAGCAAGGTTCAGTGCGCTGCTAACGCGAATCTGTTCGCCTCTGCGCTGCCATTCAGTCCTAACTACGCATCGCTCAATGCGGGCTGGTACTGGAGACTGTAGACAATACTTCTTCAGCTTTTCGAGAAATTCTTTCTCGCTTTTGGCGTAGGGATCCCCAGCGGCCAACTTCTGTGCGAGAGCCATCCGAAGCGAGGTTGGCAAATAACGGTGGTCAAACCGGAGATGTACGTTGATGTTGTGTTTGTATTCGGCGCCCGCATTCTTTTCGTGGCGATAACTGAATACCGCACCCAGTTGCAAATCAGTGATTTCAACGCTCGGAACTTTTTCAAAGTAAGCAGACCCGGGCACTTTGCACATGACGTCCCAGGCGTTGCTGACAACCATATCCTCGTCTGCGCAGTGCGGAAGAAAGCGGACCTCGGTAAAAAGAGGTACTGCCAGGGCTTCATAAGAAGCAACCGCCGGCTTCCACACCACCTCCTTTCCAGAAGTAAAGGATTGGCCGCAAACACGCAGTCCTACATCCGGATCCAAATGCAACATTTTTTCGACCTTCGTAAACACCGGGAGATCATCCGGACGCAGAAACGCGTAAATCTTGCGCCCGATTTCGTCGGGAACCGGGAAACGGAACGGCGCGCGGTCTTCCGCTTGCTTTTTCTCGAAACACGTCATGGCGGCCTTCACGGAGACCGCATTGACGTGGTGCTTCGCTTTCTTCGCCCCATAATCCTCGTCCAGTAAGTCGTAGATCTTTTGCAGGGGGGCCCGGACGTTGATGTTGAACAATTTTGACTGCCGGTTCGACGACATTTTGCTGGAACTTTTACGGAAAGTGGTGTTCTAGTCGGGGTTTTTCAGTATTTTGTTTATTGTGTGGTGTGTATTACTACGGCGCAATGCGATAAATGACAATGAGTTCTTTGAGTACTGGGTTCGAATTTGAAGAACTACTGACTGAGGACAGCGCAATCATTACAGTTGGCGTCGGACTGCTCGTACAAGGATGGAAGCATTGCGATCTGTACTATCGAGAGGAAAAAACAAGCGAGCAATCAACTAAACCAAACCTTAGACTTCTGTCGAAAAGACCCGCGGTAAACAGAGCTGCTCCTTTCGGAAAAACAAAGGAACATCGCACCTTCACGGTTGATGGATCTTTTGTGGAACAGGTACGGAGAACTTCTCGCCTTCAATGTATGCGACAGTCAAGAAGAAAAGGCCTAGAAGCGGCTGGCCACCACAATTTCATCCGGATGGTACTAAACGCGATCATAATTCACGAGTACTTCTGCGAGGAACAACTGAATCTAGTGTGTAGTTTAGTGTGGCTTGCGCTTCAATCACATCTTCACATCGACGAGAACACAACTGCCAGATCTTCCAGTTTTCACCTCTTTGTGGCTTCGCTATTTCATCTGTGGTTCTTAAGAATGGCGCACTTATTAGAGGTGCAGCCGTTTCATCGTCTTGATGAACTTGTTCGACGTCCAAAAAAAGATTTCTTTTTCGTACTGAAAATCGTAACCCATAGGAGATCATGTTAAAAGTGTTCCTGTGCTAGGACCATCTTCGCATATCAAGAGTATCACAGCTTCTAGTAGTAGTAGCCGTGGTTGCTAGGATTGTTTATCTCGGCGTCTAATACTACTTACATCAACGTCGAAGTTGCCGATCTCGTAAATTCATTTCTGCCCCCTCAACCGCCTGCCACTGTTCAACAGCCAGGGTAGAACAGAAACACGCATTTACAAATTCCACACCTCTACTTCTTCCTCGACTTCATCTCGAGCACGAGCCACAGGCTTCGGTCGTCGTGGCCCCCTCCGCCCAGCACTCGCGGCTCCTGTCTTGGGTAGTAGTTGCTGCGACCGAATAATAATAAAATCATGCTGGTGGGGTTGATCGGAAAGAACCTCGTGCGCGGAAGATGTTGAAGCTGCTTGTGGTCCCAGCACGGGCGCTCGCAGCTGGTCGTCGTCTTCTAGTCTACTCGTTTCGACGACGACGTCCACAGAGGAGTTCTGTGGGGCCGCTGGGAGCAGGCTGCTGCCCCCGAAAACACTGCTTGATCGCGATTTGTAGCTTGTCAAGGTCCCACTCCCAGGAACGTTCATCAAAACACTGTTGCTCCCGGTCGTCGTGGGTGGAGTACCGATAATTTCTTGGTCGTTTGTTCTTTCGGAGTTCTTCTCCTCATGTCCGCTGGAAGCCGCGGTGGCCGGAAAGCTCATCTGCTCTGGCGGGGAGATCGGGTGCGGGTTTCCAAACGCGTAATCGAGATACCCGCGCATTTGGTTATGAAAAGAAAAAATCCCCCCTCCCCATATTGACACAAGGCACGTTTTTGAAAATTTGTGTTGTTAATTTGTGACCGCAAATCGTCTCTGTGTTGCACGAAGGCAACTCCACCGGCTCCCCCGCATTCTACAGGCGGTTTGGCATGCTATTGTACCTACAGCGTAGACGTCTGTCATGCAAAGCGCCAAGGCCAAAACCTGTCTCCGCAGGCTTTATATGGGTCTGCAGTCCTCGCCAGCAAGACAAATCCGATTTGTGTACGCAAATCCAGCATCAGAAACTTCGTTTTGATATGGGGAGGGGGATTTTTCATTCTGATATTCGCTATGAGAGTTTCATCTTTAGCTGGAAAATGGCAAAATGTTGGAAAAAAATTGTATAGCATGAGCTCCCACAGGACAGAAGGTCTGTGTTGCGGGCCACGTTCTTACTGAGACTGTGATACTATTATACTCGTCCGGCCTGGTAGTTTTCAATGTTTGAAGGTCATGGAATAAAGAGAGTTGTTGCTCGCGAAAAGTAGCATGACAGGAGTTGTCCTCGTGTGTGCTCCTCTATACTTGCACAAGCATGAAAGATTCCTTTTTCCTGGCAACCACTCTACGTGCGGCTACTGGCGACTCTGTCATGCGGAAAAATCGCTTGAAAAAAATAGAGCAGTGTTGCTGCTGCTATTCTGTCGGTGACAAATTCTTTCCATCGTGACGACCATTCCCGGCTGAATACTGCACTCCCATACTCTTTCGCAAACTCAGGGCCCATCAGCGCTTGCATCTCCTCCCAGCCTTCATGCGGGCGTGGCGCGACAAAGCTTGTTGGCCTCGCCGCAAGGCCAGAGAGCTGTAATTGTTTGTTTTTTGGCAAAAGAATTAAAATATCCTCTGTACTTTTCGATCGCCGGCTTGCAGCGGCGGACAAGCTACTAGAGGTTGTAGTTTTTGCTGCACTCACGACTCCGCGTCGTGGTCCGTGGTGCTTCTTGTCGGCAGTTGGAATGTTGCGCAACGAAAAATCACTTTTCATGTTGAGTGGGGGCGGGGCGACAGGAAGGTCCACGTCTGGCGGCATCTTGAGTTTTTCCCGTCGTCGAGCCGCTGGCTCCTGCGATGAAGAAATCTGGGGCGGCTGGATAGTCAAAACGTAGTCTTTATCAAGTGTAAATCGAACGAAGATCTAGGTCGTGAAATCCTAATTTTTATTCACTGAGTGATTCCTGCATTTCTTAATATTTCCCGAACAGTGGTCTCTTCAATTCTTTTTATACGGCAGAAAAAGAGGATAGTACAGGCAGGACACGGTGAACAAAGGATTTTGGATGCACATAATCTTCATACCTGCACCGTACAACCGTTGATTCGTATATATTCGGACGACAATCTGAGCTTCGTCTTAGGGTACGAAAAAACTGACCACTTTGTATGTTCCGTGCACCATGTAAAGCCTCGCATAAGCAACATGCCACAAGACCCGACCAAGATCGGTCCAAACATTTACACTGCGTAGTTATCTGTCAACATTTTTCTCCCCTTGCTGCCGGGACGAGCGCGGCCGCCCCCGAGTGGCTTTACTACTCTCGATATCAATTGCAAAAATGTCTGGGTCTGGAAGAATGCAAGATTTGTGATGCAGGTTTTCCATGACCCGTGAGGTCTGGAATGCGAGACCCAGCATGACAGATTCTTTGAGGTCTCTATCATGCCTTTCCTGCATGAGAAGTTCCCTCTCAACTTGGTCAAAAGCGGACGCCTTTTGGTACTCACGCAACACAGATTTTTGCATCATCCAGATTTAGCATGACAAGTTCTAATCTTCCAGACCCAGACATTTTTACATTTGATACTCGAAGATGATCCGGCTTGTGCGGGAACAGCATCGTCCCTGTATCCTATTTAAAAACGTCCCCACCCCATAGTTGTAATGCAAATCTGCATGCTGAAAATGTTTCTCATGCGGAGCCCCATGAGAAGCATTTTCCAATCGTGTTTTGAAATTTGTCACGCTCCAATCAGCATGGTATGCTAGATCTGTGATGCTGCTGAGCTAGCTCAAACAGCACTACACTACGAATCCAAATTTGTCATGCAAAACAGCCAAAGCTTGTGGATTTGTCTAGCCGATTCCCCAACTTGACTATGGTGTGGGGACGTTTTTACTCAGGATACCCTGCTCAGCGCTCGGCCGAGCGGCTTTACTGTAGTCCGCGAGGTCGACCTGGCGGCAGCTCTGGGTTGTCCCATCGTACCACCAACGGCCTTGTTCTCTACTTCAATTGGTGGAACTTCTTCTAGTACTTGCAGCCCTTCTTGGTCGTTCGCTGCCGCTGCTTTCGCTGCCGGGACGATATTACGCGGCCCGCGTCCGGGCCCCGTAGCCGCTACGGCTTTCTCCACTCTGTTCATCACGATTGCCTGCAGCCGCAACCGCTCGGCAACTTTCCGGTCCCGTTCTCGCCTTTTCCTTTCCTTTCTGGCCCGTTGCCGCTGCTCGAACACGTCGCGCCGGACCCGGGCCTATGCATCGGAAATGCGTCTAGGTCCGAAAAGCTGCAAACTTGTGATGCGCATTTCAGATGACGCAAAAAGAACAATCTGCCAATGCATTGACAGCAAATAAAGGCGGCAATTTCTTATCGCCGAGAGGGTGGATTTGTCGTGACTATTAGGCACTGGGCGCGCGTCTTCCCGAAACCTGTAGTTCTAGGCTTTGCACGCCGGAAATTCTGCGTCAGCACGCTGAAACAGCATGACAAACATCTGCAGCTTTCCAGACCACGACCCAGTGATAATTGCAATGTATAGCTTTCGTTCGCTCACCGCCTCGCGCCGCTCGGAATCCGCGCTACGGCAGAGGGAATTAAGAAAGCCTGCCACAACTAGCGCCGACACAGCGAGAACAACTGCCAGGACTGCCATGAGATGCACGTGTGTTTCGGTAACTGCTTGTTCTGCGTCGCTTTGCTGCTGCGACACCTTCATCCCCCCTCGTCCTTGCTTGCTCGTGCCGTCCGTTCGTGCGGTTCCATTCCTCATCTCGCGGGTGAGGGCCGCCGCCGGAGCTTGAGCTACAGGTGGAGCCGGCCCCTGGCCGGGTGTTGGGTCGTGTAATGCAGGTCCCCCCGGCCACGGGGTCGGCGCACCAGCACCACCAAACGCTTTCGCCCGTGCAGCGGGCGACGATGAGTGGTCCGCCTCAACATTCTTGGCAGAAGTGGATTTTGCCGTCGTATGAAACGCAAGCATGTATGGGTCTTTAGGAAGAAGATCTATACGCAACACAGACTTTCGGTTCTTTCGTATGATCATCCAGAAGATTCACAACACGGGGAAGTTGTCTCAGTGCTACTGCAATCTTCCCGACACGACCCAGACATATATGCATTTGGTACGCCGGTGTAGATGTATTAGTACTTGCTCGCATCCAGGCAATTTCCTCGGGTGGCGGAAACGCGTCTAGAAAGTAATACACAACCGCACCAAGCGAGTTCGCCGGTTCGCGACCCGCTGCCACGAACTCCTGCATCGAGCTATTGGTTTTCAGTAGCACTTCTGGGTCCGTGCGAAACAGCGTGATTTCCACTTCGGCTCGCCGCAAGTGTGGATTGTTACAATCGAGACCGCTGTCCAGGATCCGCATCAAGATCTCAGCAAGCTGCCGCCGCGAGTCAGTTTTTTTCAAAAACGGGTAGCGGGTGGTTGCGAGGTGTTGCACTTTATCGGGAGGAAGTTCATATACGTCCGTAGGGTTGCGATTCGATTCGTTATGATCAGTGACCGGAACATTTTCCCAGAGGCCCATGACACCGTCCGCGATCCTGAAAAGTTTGTGTGCCTTTTTATATGAGGCCAAGACGTCCGAATAGTCGCGGGGGTTCAGGAACTCGTCGTGGTACAGCCCGTCTTTGCCGGGGCCAATGCGAAAGCGAAAGACCTGTCGCCCCCGGCGGGCGCGTTGTTCTGCCAGCTCTCTCCATGCCCCGCGGATCACCGGTTGTACTAAGGTCGAGGCGGTACTAGCCCTTTTCTGTGGTCCGGGCACGCCTTGTCGATGAAACTCTTGATCCGCAATGCTGGCCATTTTCACAGACTATGCCGCACAAATATCTACTACCTGGGCCAAGAAAGATGATGACTATACATGCATATATTTAGGTGCAGACGTCGTCTACTATGCCTGCGGTCTTACATTTACTTTTCTCCGGGTGGAACAATCTCTATTGCAGGACCACACCTGACCTCCAAGTCCCGAGCGCGTCTGTCACGCAAGGATACGGTTTGCAATGCGTGCCACGACTCTTGAGACAGTGACAGCATGATGCCAAAATCTTGTCCTGTTCGGATGCAGTGGGAGGTGTCTACTTCCAAAATCAAAAAAATTATGCAGAGAGCGATCTGATGCAGCATATTCAGATCATCTTCTCAAACCCCAGACATGTTTGCCTTTGCTATGAGAAATGTTGCCAACTCCAAGACCAATTGAGGTCTGAAGTCTTTCGCCATTTCCGTCTTGTAAGTAAAGTCCTTCTCTTGCCGTGGACCTGTCGGCGCGTCTTCGGCAAGGATACCCGGGCCAAAATCTAGATTATAGTCACGCAAATCACTCCCTTTGGGCGCGTACGCCATCTCAGAGAACCCGAGCGGCTTCCGCCCGCCTGTGGGACTAACCGCGCCGGGAGCTTCGGAATCCAGTTCGTGTCGGTACTTTTGGAGCAAATCTTCTGGAAGACCAACTCGTAGCAGCTCGGAGAAGGATGCACTACTGGGATTGGTAATCCTATTCTCGTACTGACCTGCACCTGGTCTCGTGTAGTAGTCGTTCGTCCCGTTTGAGGCAAACGTGGTGCCGCGACGCAGGGTATCGTGTGCAAATATGTCATCTGGATCTGGAAGGATGCACAGCACGTGAACGTTATGACGGATGATAAGTATTTATACAATGGCGCTGGTCGTGCCTCGTTGTCATGCAAAAACGCGGCTTCTCGTTCTCACACGGGTTACGCACTCCAGAACCGCTCAAAAGTTTCTGCGTACTGAAGTCATTTTGCCTTATTTCACGTATTGACATGACAACTTTCGCGTTCCAGACCGAGACATGTTTGCAACACATACAAGGCGGCCAGCCGCACCTGAATGCGGTCGAGCGGCGGATCACAGTGCTTTCCGGGAAATAGAGACGGTTCTGGAGCTGGAACTACGTCCCACCAGCGAGGCGTTACCCCCAACTTGTCGCCTATTTTCCTCAATTTGTCGGCCGTTGACCGCAATGTGTCGCCGGCCGTTGCCTGCAATTTGTCGGATCTGACCACGACCGCGTCGGCGTCTGGAGCAAGCAACAAGCAACGCTTCAGCAGATCTACAAGACGGCTTCGGGCAAGGGCATCCCAGGGCGAGACTGTGTACAAAAGCGCTGCCATGAAGTCCAGAAACCTTCTGCGGCCTCGCAGGAAATACGTTCCAGCCAGAGCCCCGCGCAACGCGTTCGACATTAGGTCGGATTCCAGGGTGCGTTTTGCTCCTGGTTCAGTTCGCGGACAAAACCAGTGACTCCAATGCTCCGCGGCACGTGTTTCCACCAAGCCGTGGGAGTTTTTGGGGGAAGACAAGATCTGAAGGAGAACGAAAGTGTCTTGCCACATGGAGGGCTCGACCACCAAGGCTGCATCCTCCTCGAGCATCAAGGCTGGTGCATCTCCCCTTTTCGGGACGTCCTGAAAGTAGCGGAAGTCAAAGTGTCGATACAGGAGAAACCGGTACCTCAGGTCGCTTCCCGAAAACTCAAAAAACGACGGGCTTTTCCTTGCCAAGTACCACAAAAAATATCTGCGGTACAAAAGGGAATGGCCTTCCGTATGGGCCAGGTCGACGGAATGCAGGAGCCAATCTTCGAACTGGTGTGACGTATTCACAGCCCACCGGACTGCCGCAATGCTGGTGCCCTGTGGAGGTCCTGCACCATTTGCTTCCGCAGGAAAATTAAGACTTTTCTGCCAACTATCCCGAAGAAAAACGCACCCACATTGGTATTTGTCATGCGGTTTTGCACTTGCAAGAAATAAGCTGTTTCAGGGGATTTGTCACGCTATCATCCGGATAAGATAATCTTTCGTGACGCGGCGCCTTCACTGGCTGCACCTTCAAGAGGGGAACTAAGTGTATATGCAGAGTCAAATGTTTATTTTGTCGTGCGCAACATCAAAGGCTCCTTATCGATCCTTGAGTTGTAATATTGCGGGAGCCACATGACCTCGACTATGGGGTGGGCCCTTACGTTTTCTGCAGGATACCAATCCACAAGGTTTGTGACTGCCTCTTCGCTGTTGGCGTCTTCGTAGTCCAGGAAATATGTCGCCGCAAGCCTGTGGTCCCTGTTCTCCCTATGAAATCAAAATATGGCTGGGTCTGGAAAAGTGCAAAGCTTGTCATGCACATTTTGCATGACCCGTGATGTCTGTGATGCATGCTCACAGATTTCTTGTTGCCTGTCTCGCATGAGAAATGCCCATTCCCCGTAGCAAAAAGTTGACTTCTGTTGCTGCCAATGCAACACAGATTTTTTTCGAATCCACAGGCAGCATCACAAGTCGCACACTTCAAGGCCCAGACATATTTGCAATGCGTACTCTCTCGCGCTCCGCGATTCGACGGCGAGCTGGCGTGCGCGGAGCTTCGGACCCCGAAAAAGAAGCAAGTCAAAGGAGGTAGACACATCGAAAGTAAGTAGTTTGTTGTTTCCCGCCACTAAGGTTCGGCTTTGTTCCGATATGCTGTCCAAAAACGTCCCCAACTGCGCACCCCATGCTCAAGAAATGCGGAAGATTTTGCCAGTACTGTACAAGAAATGGATTCGCCTGCTGGTGCATCTTCACAAACATTCGGCACGAAAGAATGTAACTGCTGACTAGCGAAAGCGAATCGACGGCGGTACTTTATTTGCAGACCCACTCAGTCACAGCTTTTGCAGTTGAACAAGACTTTAGAACCCGGTGGAACATAGAAAAATCGAACTGAATTATATCTAGTCAAGAACAGGTGCCCCTCTCATGAGTTGTTGTACCAGTTGTAGCTCCTGCCACGTGAGCCTGCGCTGGAAAAAAGGCGAACCTGATTGACCAGCACTCTTGATTTGATTATGGGGCGCTGGGGACTTTCATTTTCCACAGGATATCATCAGCTGACTTGTCATCACCTTCCTGCTTCCAAATTTCGATGGCCGTGTCGTACTCAAACGCCAGCGAGAGCTTTACCAACACCAAATCAGGCTCTTCCGGCGTGAGCCGTGTAGCTGCGTCTTGCTGTTCCCAAACTTCTTCCGGAACTTCGTCCAGCAAATCTGCCAGGGCAAGATCGCCAAAACAAGGATGCGCGGGGCTTGCTGTCGGTGCACTACTGGTACTAGCCCCGGTTGGACTAGACGAAGCTGCTATTAGACCAGAGCCATTTCTCCTTCTGAACTCTTCCTGCGACGGAGGCTCTTGTTTTTCGATTAGTGTCACCGTTCCACGACCAGACGCTACGACCACCTCGTCCTGCCGTCCCGCGCCGGCGAAGTCAGTCGATCTTGACTCAGAATTGTTAGCCTGTGTCGTCGTGTCAGTGCGTTGTTCCAAAAGAGAGTTACTATCTCCGCGCGGGCTTGTCCGGAGCGACAAACGACAGTTGCGAAAGGACCCCTCGTGGGCGGGGCGGCCCTGAAGCCGCAATTTTAGGGCGGCAGGAGAGTCGTCCTCGGTACTGCTCGCAGGAAGATGTTGAGCTACTGCCGATGTTGACCTGCCAGCGTGCTGCCCCGCGTGTTCCTGATCTCCTGCTGAGGTTGAGCCGTGCTGAACCGAAGTGCTGTTGAAGTGGTGGCGCTGGTCGGTGTGGGTGTCAGCACCTAGTTGGCGTCTTTCGAAGATTAGCCGTAGGTACGCCAGCGCGTAGTCCTCTACGACCGCCTGCGCCGAGCGGGCAAAGAAGCTGGAGAGCTTTACGTCCTGGCTCGTTGTGTTCGACGGCATGCGTGGCAGGGGGACCGGATACAGGTTTATGCAAAGAAAAGTGCTGTTACAGAAAAAGACACACATTGTGTTGCAGGCCAGGCAAAATAGACTTGTTATGTCATGCCGGATATATTACTCAGGACCAGGAGCGTAGTTTCATACGTGTTTATTTCCCTTCTGTTCTGTGCATTGCAGGTTTTCGTTTTGTTCGTCACGCAGGACAACTTTGACGTGTTGCTGAACTTGCAAAAGCATTGTCACTGTAAAAACGCTTTTTTTCTTTGGATAAGCTTGTAATGCGGCTTACTGTTGTTGCCGTGGCCGTGGCCGTCACCTTCCCCAACAATATTCTGAACCGCCTTGCTTGCGCTTTCCCGCGGGTCGCGGATTATTTCGGGAAAGTCTCGCTGGTCCAGTGTCGTTCGAACCGCGACGCGGGGCTCCACGGGCATAGTGATAAAGGCGTCGGGGTCGGCGGAGTTGTACATATCCTGCGCTCCGGCCTCACCCGCGGCCTCGCGGAACCACGCCTCGCGGTCCGCGAAGGCCCACCGGAGGACGCTGGTACCGAGGGGCAGTGCAACCAGCGGCAGGGCGGCGGGGTGGAAGGTCTTTTTCAGGTTTCGGAAGGTGTGCTGGACGAAGGATGTTAGAGCAGTCTGTGTAGTAGTGGTTTCAGAAGTTCGCCCAGTTCGCTCGTTAGCAACTTCTTCAACATCGCGGGGCTTGCCGCCTGCAGAAAGCGCAATAAAATACCGCATATCATCTTCCACACCACCGGCACCGCCCGCGTGAATACTACTATCCCCCGTGGCTGCCGCCCCCGCGCGCACGCGAAACTTTATCTCGGTCATTCGTTCCAGCTCCTCCGAAAACAACGAAGGCTGCCTATGCTCAATAAACACCCAATCTTCATCATGATCCAAGAGATTTTATCATACACATCGAGTACTTTTACTTGCCCATCTGGCACTTCTTGCAGGGGTTGTCGTGTAAAAATGCGGCTCACCGTCTCGCCCGTGAGAGGCGAAAACACATAATACAAGAATTTTCCAGTCGTGCTGGATGGAAATCAACAGAAGGATTTTCATCGTCGTGCTCAGCAGGAGATCCTTTAAGTGCAATTAGTTAAGTACACTTGGCGGCCAAAGCCAAACAAAGTTTAAGCATGCTTCTACGGGTCGTTCTTACATCCAAATAAACTTCTGGATTGGCCAGTAGCAGAGGTCACCTCCTCTGGACTCTCGGGAGGAAGTCGGGTAACTTTTTACACACGATAGGGTCTTTCCGGTACTACAAGCTGCTTTGCCGGATCGTCGCTGCCACTGCTGCCGGGTGTACTAGCAGGAGCATCGGCGCCTGTACTGTGGTCGCCCTTGCCAGTCGTGCCGCTGGGTCCTCTCGCGGCATGTTCCTGCCCCCCGCCACTGCTCACGGCGGTTTGCGCAAGAAAGTCCGCTGGCACTCCCGGAAGAACTCCTTCAGCACGAGCTTCATCTTCTGCACGACCACGAGGACCGGGGCGAAGATCATCACCATCGTCCACTGCAAAGCCTGTTATCGTCCTTTGCCGGCGTGTGTTGGCTTTATCGTTGCCCTCTCTCCTGCGCACGAGGGAGACGGCCCACAAGGGTTGGAGTTGTTGGGCCGCAAGGTATAAAAATAGCGGAAAACATATTCCGGTCGCGGCCCTTGACGTTCTCGCGGAGAAAAGCAAGACCCGCACCAGCGGCGCCATAATTATCGCCCTTGTGCAGCTGGCAGCTCCTGCTGCTCTTTGTTACCGTCGACTTCCGCAAAACTTACAAGACGTTCCGGAGTTTGATCTTCGCTAGTACTCTTGTCTTTACGTTTTCGCCTGTAGTAGAAACCGGGCTGCTGGAAAACGGACAATCAAGTGCTTCCGCATTCTTGGCTACATCACGGACAAGAAAAGGAAAAGTTGTAAAAGAGATACTTACAACTGAAATATTCGTTCTTCGGGAAAAATGGATAAAAGTGCAGTATGAGTGAGTTCATGATGGAGTCCAACAGGCTGTGACATTTCATGCATCGGCGTTTATTTTGAAAGCGGGCAACCAGTACACTGTAGTAAATCACCTCGCGAAGGGCGGGAATGCGAAGCAAGCACCAACAGACCGAGACACAACACCGATGACTGCATTGAACTCAACAGTACTACCGAAAAATAGACAAGCCACAACTTTATGTTTAATCATCGTTCTACTTTTCAGACCGAAGGCAACAAGAAGAATGCGTCAAAGGGTAGTTGCTAGTTGTTGTACCGAATGAGACAGACAGTGCCCAGGAGAAAATGTGTCCAGCAGTTAGATAGAAATACCGAAATTGTCGAACTCAAGACAAATACCGAGTCAGAAAAAAACCGACAGCATCAATAAGTTTGGCCACTGCAGCTTTACAGTCACAACAAAGGTTCTTCGCAACAGAAACCGAATCAACTCGTTGCTCGAGCAGCTGTTGTCAAAAGCGATGGAAAGTCAAACCGACCATGATCCAACCAGTGAAAGTCCGAAAAAATAATGCGACTCTCGCTATATTCGAGTTCGGTAATCCACACATCATACTCGTTTCAGCTGTCGCGCAACCCACTTTTCGCGAGAAGCCCTTTTTCATTTACCTGAGAAAGATCTGATGTACTACCCGTAAGCGGACGCAAGACGGCAGGGTGAAACACAAAGTGGGAGTGAAGAAGATGAAATAGCGTCGTGCTACAAGCTGCACCAGTGCAGTCCAATGCACATGGATGTCACGCCGTGTACAGGAAATTAGCTTTTCTTCAAGTGCAATTGCATAAGTGCTTCAATGTTGAGCATTTACTTCGCATATAAAAGCGCTTGGCTTTTCAAACGTTTTGGAGATCACGACCGTCACGTCGTTCCAGAAGCTGTGTTATCGTAAAAAAAGTGTTTCACTGTAAGGATTTTGCAAGTTTTGCATTACAAGTTCGTATACACATGACCAAGAAAACTTGCCATGCGCGGTTTCTAAGGGAAAACACATTGAAAAACCCAATGTCTTGTATGTGTAGCAAGACAAATAGTTGTGTGCTCCATTCTATGCATCACAAGTTCACAGTGAACAGGTTTTTCTTGCGATATGTGTGGTCTTCCACGTAATATCGGTACATCGTCGCGAGGATTCCGGTATCCTGTGCAAAAGTAACGTACTCGTACTAATCGCATTCATGCATTACAAATCTCGTTCCTAAGGCAAATCCGCATTACAAATTTAATTTGTAATGCTGAGCCAGTTTGTATTGCGATTTCTACTAGTACGATACTTTTGCAGTTCATATCCGGTAGCAGTACTGGTGGAAACATCAACACCAAAATCATCACTATCAGAGTGTTTCCCACCGTTGTTCCCGCCCGAGCTAGACGAGGAAGCAGTGGTCGCCGCAGTGGTCATCCTCCCGTCCAAGCAGCTGCTGCGGTCGTACAAGTGGATCTCTTCCTGTAGCAAGTCGAACGTCCGTCGAAAGTATGCGTTGCAAATAGAATGTAGTACGGCGTCTCTGGGTCTGGAAGGACACTGTGAATTGCTGCTTCTCGACTAATATTTTTACACAAAAATCCGTTGCATGGCCGCCAAAACAACAAGCCACAAAAATGGGTTTCCTTGTTGCATTCTCCAGAGTACAACTATCGGTGCAGTAAAGTCCGACAAGAAGCATTTACTGTAAAGCTCCTGCGCGACAATAAGATAGAACAAATGCACTCTAGTACTAACTTCCAGAGACTCCGACATGACATAATTTGCCCTTTGGATAGAAACACATGCTTGGCGATAAAGTCTTTATGGTCCTGGATGGCCACGATGCTGTCGGAGGCTTCGCCGATATTCACTGTGGTCGTCGCGAGTTGATGTGCTGTATGCATGTTGGCAAATTCATCTTCATTTACATTTTCACCTGGATAGTTCCGGTGGTTACCGGCATTGAATATTCCCCCGCCGGCCGCGATAGTATGGCATTCGTTCACGACGTCAAACATTCGGTCCATTTCAGACCCGGGGAAGATGCCGAATTTCTGCCCACAACCCAGGGCAAATGGGGATTTTGTAACATACCCCCGCCCGCTTCTAATGCGATTTTTTTTCCCCAATCGCCATGGTATGGCGCAAGCGCGCGCCCGCCGGACCGCCCTTGGCGACCAGTTTGTAAGCCTGCCGAGGGTTCTCGATGTTTTTTAATTTTCGCTCTTTTTTCAGGTTTTTAGTCGGCCGAAGGGCTCCGGGCATTTTCACCGACCGCAGCTGACTGGCAGTTTTAAAGCCTGCGGAGGGATTGCGCTTTTGCGCATTTTTTTCTCTTTTTCCATTTTTCAAGTGGCTGGGGCGACCTGGACATTTTCACCGCCCCCACCTGGGTGGCAGTTTTGAAGCCTGCGGAGCGATTGCGCTTTTGCGCATTTTTTTCTCTTTTTCCATTTTCTAAGTGGCCCGGGCGACCTGCACACTTTCACCGCCCCCACCTGGGTGGCAGTTTTGAAGCCTGCGGAGGGATTGCGCTTTTGCGCAATTTCTCATCTTTTTTCATTTTTCAAGTGGCCCGGGTGATCTGGGCAAAATCCGACGATTGCTTCCACCCACGTTATGAAGCAATTTTTTGCCATTTTTTTCAAACTTTTTCCAGTTACGAAGCGGCCCAAGGCTTCCGGACAGGTCGCGGGCCTGCTTCTCCAACGCAGCTGGCCAGCGGGCGGAGCAAAAAATAGTCCGTCTCTTTTTCAGATCTCAAGTGGGCCAAACCGCAGAAATGCTCTTTTTCTACCTTCTCCCGCTTGGTTTCTGCCGTTTTTGCGACATTTTTGACCTCCTGGCCATTTTCCCATCTGGTCCGCTTTTTTTCCCTTCTCCCGCTTCATTTCTGGCCATTTCCCTGACCTTCACGCCTCCCGGCGGCTGCCATATATGGTAACGGCAACTGCCTTCGCGCTGCGTTTGCTAAGCAATATCGCAAGCGCGCAGAGCGCGCGCGCCGGCTTCGTGGGCCGGCGCGCGCTCTGCGCGCGCGCGCGCACGCATTTGGTTACCAGATTATTCCCCCGCCGGCCGCGATATTAACCCCAGGATGGTATTCGTTCACGACGTCAAACATATGGCGATACTAAGGACGGATTTTCGAAAAATGTAAAAAAATTTCAGGGGTCGCGCATGTCGCCCGTCCCGTTTGACGGGAATTGCCGGCGCCCCACCTCATGCTTGAGCAAGATAGCCGAAAGGCCCCGCTTTGAGGCAGTGAGAAAGGCAGACCGGCTTGAGTAGCAGCTGCTGGTGGCCGCATGGCTTCCGGTTCGCTCTGTCGCTTCGTCCGACGAGTGTGGCGCGCAGAGATTGGTCGGAGCGCTGTGCCGGCCGCGGCTACCACAAGAAGGCGCATCAAAATCGGGTTGGCTACCTTTGAGCCCTGCGGCCGCCATCCCGTTGCCCCGCACGCCGACAACACTCGCCGCCCCTCTGGGGTTAAGGAAAAGGCAAAAAAACACGGGCGCGGTAAGCTCTGGAGAGGGTTTGCCTGCGATGAGGTAACTGCCTTCGCAATATTGCGCTGGCAAATGCAAAGCACACGCACGGCGCGGGCTAGGGCGAAAAAAAGACGCTCCGCCCGTTCGCAAACGATGCCGCGGCCTCTTCCGTGAGTTCCTCTAGAGGCTTGCCCTTCCCGTCTTCCATAGACCCCCATTGTGGGCTGCGGTTCCCGACATCCTGGCAAGCCCCACGTCGAACGCACTCGCCTCTTGCTCATTTCAGAAAATGAAAGGCCGGATCCACCCCCGGACAAAAAAGAAGCAAACGGCCTTTCGGCTACCCCTGAAAGGCCTTTTTTGGGTACCCCTCGTAGCATCGGGGGAAGCGCAAAAAAGGGCGTTTTTGGCTACCCCTCCTGGGTACCCCTCCCGGAGGGGTGACACGAACAAGACATCAGGCCAAGAAACACGTTTTGCAGGAGTGCGAAAGCACCAGTTGCGCGCCGTTTTTGTCAGTGCCCGCAAGCCTCGCGGGCGAGGCTGTTTGTTCAGTTTTTCCGCGGTGCCTCGCGGCGCAGCCGGGAGCCAGCGCGCAAAGAAGCTTTGTGCGCTATGTAGATGCAGCTGGTTTCGGGGTGGTGCGCCTGAGCACAGAAGAACGACCCCAGGATGGTATTCGTTCACGACGTCAAACATTCGGTCCTCTTGCATTTGCTGAAAATCGTGTTTACTAGTAGTTCCCTCTTCCACAAAGCACAGGGTGTCGAGCAGCAGCCCCTCATCCACCGAAGGCGGATTTTGATCTTCCGTGTCGACTGGGTCTCGTCCTTGCAGCTGCTCTTGGGCCGCCCTTGCGGCCTCCAAGCTCGTACTAGTACCTCCGGTTGGTCTGGGTTTAGCTTTAGTTTGTTCCCTCGTCGCCGAACCTCCTCGTGAGGGCCGTGAGGGGTCGACGTGGCGTAGTCGACCACGCCCCAGCGCCAACAAATCCGGGCTCTTGACGTACCTCAAATGATGCAGCACCTCCGCGGGCTCCTCGATCATCTCAGTGTTCACGAAGATGGTTGCCTATCCTGTGCAAAAGTATCGTACTCGTACTAATTGTAATTATGCATGACAAATCTTGTCCTGAATTTCAAACAGCATGACAAATTCCATTTGTCATGCTGAGGTAATTTGTAATGCAATTACTACTAGAACGATGCTTTTGCAATTCATATTGCCAGGGGTCTAGTTGTAGTATTTGTTGTGCCACTTCTTGATGCTGCCGCTGCTGCTGCTCCAAATCCTCCGCTGGAAGAAACAGCAGCAGTCGAAGGTTTATTCTCCGCCGCACTTGAAGTTGAGGATGTTGAACAGGCCCCTCCAGTAGAAGAATTTTTTTCAGCTGACACAATCACTTCCTCCGTCCAGGCGAGTCGCAACGAGAAAGTTGTCGACTCGATGGTTTTATCAAATGCAAAAATGTCTGGGTCTGGAAGGTTGGAACTTGTGATGCTAACTTTAGATGCTAAAAAAATCTGTATTGCATGACCAGAAAGAGGTGCCCAGTTTGTGCTAAGTACGCGGGGAGGGCATTTGTCATGCGGGATAGGCATGAGGAAGGCCTCTAAAAATATGTGATGCTAGATCATGCATTACAGACATCCTGGGTCATGCAAAACATGCTTGACAAATCTCAGAATCTTCCAGACCCAGACATTTTTACATTTGATAGGTTTCATTCACCTGGGGGGAGATCTGTAGGAAGATGGTTCCTCCGCAAGAAGAACCTTCACTCAATATTTTTCCAGGTTGAATATTTTCAGTGGAGTTGTGGCCCTCGTCGTGTAGTTCTTCGATATGATCCTCTTCTTCAATTCCCCCGCGGACGGGCAGATGTGGAAAAAGCTTTTTCACATGCTCCAAATTTTCGCACTCCGCGAGCCGGAAAAGCGCTATGCATTGCAAATATGTCTGGGTCGGGAAGATTGCCAGATTTGTCATGCAGGTTCAACATTACGCATGGGGTCTGGAATCCAGGATCTAGCATGACAGATTCTGTGAGCTCTGTATCATGCCTATCCTGCGTGACATACTCACTCCCAACTTGGTCAAAAGTGGACAGCTTTTGGCACTCATGCAACACAAATTTTTTCACGGTCCAGATTTAGCATCACAAGCTGTACCCTTCCAGACCCAGACACTTTTGCATTTGATAAGCCCCAGCAGGCTGCGATCCTCTTCGGACTCGCAATTTCGAGAGGAGGTCGAGGCGGTCAGAGGGGAGGAGAGTATGGTAGTGCCAGGACCGAAATCGACAAAGTTGGATAATAATTTGCGATGCATAAAACGGATGCCAGTTGGTGCCTAGTTTTCAAGTGGCGCATGACAAATTTGGGTAGAACCGATGAAATCCAGTTTGTAATGCTGTTTGGGTAGGAAAGACGCCGCTTGTCATGCTAGTTTAGCACCTCTATTTCTACCCCTCAACAGGCTTACAATCTGCCTCCCTTGCCTCCTCTGCAAGACAGGCACTTTGTGGGTTGCATTTTATGCATCACAAACTATTTCAACTTTGACGATTTCAATCCTGACGCTCCCGTAGAGAGAAGCCTATGATTATCCCCAGCACTGGAGGAGGAGGAGGGTATGCAGCGAGCAAAGTTAGTATTATGTCGAGGATCCGGTTTTGGATTATATCATATTTGTGATCATGCGAATGATTTGCTTTTGCATGCCAGCAGGATCTGCGTTGAGACAAAAAAATAACCAGGTGTAAGTTTTTTTTCATGCTGCGCAAAGCTGAGTTTGTCATGTGATAATTCACGAATGGTAAAGGTAAAAAATACTAAAACACCTGTAACTGTATCAGAAACAATCAGCCAGACACATTTGGTTCCAAACCGAAGCAGACATATCATACGTAAAATGCAGTTGATAGTGTTGGACAGCCGGCCACTGCTGTTTGTCGTCGACGAAAGGCGGTTTTTTTGCGGCTTTTCGGAAGAGTTCGACGACGTCGTTGGCCCACAAGCACGATTGTTCGGGAGCATGGTAACCTTATTATCACCGCCGCTGCTGCTACTCTTGCCGGTCGTGGAGTCATTTTGCCTTCTCGTGTTGCGATCTGCACTTGAAGACTGTAGTGAGGCTACTCGTGCAGGAGCTTCCTCACTGGTTCTTACCAGCAGTTGACCACCGTCAACATCTTTGCGTGAATCACGTTGTGCTGCTGGGACTTGCACTTCTGCCGAGTACTTGGCTGTCTGTTGCTCGTCTGGCTCCTCTGCGCAAGGAATCTTCGCAGAACATCCTGATTCAGACAAAAGTACTTTACCACTTCCGGCGTTTTTTCGCCGCTGTCGCAACTGCATCTGCTGCGGCTCTGCGTCGGTTCTTTGGGAGGAGGTTCTTTTGGAGGATGGAACGTTAGAAGTACTGGTACTAGCAACTGATGTCTCGCCGGCGTCCGGCCCACTTGCAGCCCTACGGCCTCTGCTCTCGCAATGCACAGCTTTCTCCTGCTCCTGCTGCTGACCAGATGCAGGTGGATGTCTTTCCCCGGTATAATTAGTGGCTCCTTCCAGCACAGGAATAATATTATCGCTTTCCTCCTCCTCCCCTTCCTCCTGTATGGTTGGGTAAAAGTAGTTCTGTCGCTGCTCTCGGTGTAGTTTTCGGTCACTACTTCTGCAGCTTCTTGGCAACTGCGCTGTCTGGTTTGCTGTACCGGCACAGGATGAGGCACTCTGATCGGGGTAGGTTTGGTGCGGTTGCTTCAAGTTTTGGTTCTTGTTAATACGGGGAAAATCTTCCTCCTCCTCCTCGTCTTGCAAGATAGTCGGGTAAATGGTGACAAACTGCACGCCCGCACCTAGATCGCCAGAGGGGTCCAGCAGCGGTATCTGCACGGGGGACGAGAAGAATCTTTTCTGCATATTACAATGAAAAATGCCCCCACCCCCGAACTTGGGAGCATTTGTATTGCAAACCTTTCCAAATGAAACATTTGCCCGCTTGCATCTATCAGCATCACCTGTTTCCAATCGTGAATAGCAAAAATTTGTATTGCAAAAGACCCGAGAAAAAGTGGCGCTTGTCATGCAAGCGTTGCGATACACGCCTACACTCTGCATCAGAAAGATTCATACTCCTTTCATGCTTTTCATTTGGAAACTTCGCATCACAAATTTTTGCAAAATTGGGGGTGGGGACATTTTTCACTGTAATACTGCAGATACTTCTCCAATTTCCCATACCACACCTTCCCGTGCTGCAGCCAGAGAAAGCGGTAGATAAATTTTTGCACCACAAGCCATTCGAAGAAGAGGAGAAGGACGAAAAAAACATCGATCGCTTCGGCCAACAGCTTGTGTCGGACGTTTCGCCAATACAGCCGGTTCGCGTACTCGGTTTCCACACGGTTTACCCAAAACAGCTGGTCAAATGTCGATCGTTCTGGGTATCGTAAGAGAAAACAGTTTCACTGTGAACTTGTGATGCAGAAAATTCATCAGTGAAGTGTTTGTCTTGCTACACATGCACCATAAGTGATTTCTACCGGTGTTTTCCCTTAGGATCCTCGCATGGCAAGTTTTCTTTGTAATGCGTAGCGAACTTGTAATGCAAAACTTGCAAAATCCCTACAGTGAAACAGTTTTTTCTCACGATACTGGGCGGAGATCATCTACAACTGTGGCGGACTTTATCGAGTCCCTTCTCGTGCTATTGGTGACTGTGGAAAGCCGAGATTTTTTCTTTCGGCGGACAGAGGAAGACGCGGAGTTGCCGTGCGGGGTTGTGGTGGTACTATCAGGCGACGAGGAAGCATTTATTTTCGTGCCGAACTTCTTGTCCACCTCTGGGGAAGGTGAGTTGTTGTGCAGCAAGTCTCCATCATCTGGAGAGGACGAGAAAGTGCTGCTCGTTGACTTCTTTGCTGCACTGCCTGTTTTTTGCTCCGAATAATTCGTCTCTTCAGCTCCAGATTTTCTAGCGGTCGCGGATTTAGCGGACAGTCTCGTGGCTTTCTTGCAAGGTACAACATCACCTCCGGCTTCATCCTCTTCGCAGGGCCCGCCCTCGTAGTTGCCCCGGAGACTCACCCGGCCGCTTTCCGGTTTCGTCTTCACAGGCGTGGACAAGCCGCCCGCCACCTCTGCAGATTTGGTGTCCACCTCGGAGGTGATGTTCTCCTGCCCCTCTGCCGAAGTGTTTATTTTCAATGGAGGAGTACAATCACGTTGTCCGTCGTTGGAGGGAAGTAGATCATCCTCCTCCTCCTCGTCATCCGAAGTAGATTCTAGCTGCTGCGCTGCAAGCTCCTCTCGCAGTGCCTTCTCAGCCTCCTCCTCTTCCCTTGCGGCCCTTTCCGCGTTCGCGTACTGAATTTCCACGGTTTTTCGCAAAGCTTGCCTGACTTGGTCCACCCAGATGCTCGCATTTTCGTACGTGTCCGCCTCGAACTTCAGCTGCCGGTCGCAAATCCGCACCTGCCAGCGCGAGCTCTTTGCAGACACCAGGCTCGCTTCGGTTTGCAGCACCGGCAGCGCGAAACTGCCCTTGCACCGATCCCGAATATTCACCGAGTAGACCTCGAGCTGCGGGTCTCGGTGCCCCAGCGGGCCGTAGATCGCGAGCTCCAACAACCTCTCTACGCGGTTTTCGCCGTGAATCGGGTGGCGCCAGGTCCGATGCTTCCGCAGCGTGTGCACTTTCAATCGGCTGGAAAAGAGCACTATGCATTGCAACTATGTCTGCGTCTGGATTTGTGATGCAGGACTTCAAGGACAACAAGATCTGTAATGCATGAATACCATGGGCCAGCAGTTTTTTTGTCGTGCTGGATGGAAGTTTGTAATGCTAAACACGAATATATCCACAAGGAGTCGAGGGAAATTTGTCATGCTGTTATGCCGTACAAGCAGCAAGCTTGCAACGCAAGTATCAGCAACACAAGTTTCCAGACCCAGACATTTTTGCATTTGACAAGCACGGTGCGCTTGCTATTCTCCTGCCTGTTCTTGCCGGACGTGGAAATTCTCAGCAGCTGGTGTTGAGAGGAGGGTCTAGCAGTACGGGTGCTGCTATCAAGAACTACATCGGTGCTGCTGTAGGAAAGCCGGGGTCTACTTGATGATTCGGCAGTTGTTGTGTGGTTCATGATCCCGTGGTCGTAGCTTGTAGTAGTTCCAACACCCGGCGAAGGTAGTACACCAGCTCGTCCTAGATGGAATGGGTTAATATGGCCGGAATTTTTATCCATTTCGCCCATGTCGTGGTTTTGGTTTTCCACCACGCCCCCGCCCCCGCCGCAGAACCAGAGGCAATCCGACGCCGGAACGACCAGCGGGCCTCCACCACCCGAAGTTTTAGTCTTCCCGCCGCTCATTTTTCCACCGTCTTCGCCATCGTTTTCATTTGACCACGCGGCCTTTGATGTGCCGTAATTCGTGTTCATCGACTCCACCGTGTTGGCGTAGCTCGAGGCGTAGCTCGTAAAGCACCGATGTAGCCGCTTCGGATCAAGTGCAAAAATGTATGGTTCTGGAAGAATGCAAGATTTGTCATGCATATTTCTCATGACCCATGATAGTCTGTGATGTATGCCGTAGCATTGCAGATTTTTAGAACCCTTCCTGATGCACCTTCCGCATGAGAAATGCCCTGTCCGTGTAGCACAAATTATACCCCTCTTGCTGGTCATGCAATACAAATTTTTTTAGAGTCCATCCAAATTCAGCATCACAAGTTGCATTCTTCCAGACCCAGACATTTTTGCAGTTGATAGAGCGCTAGAGCTAGTAGTCGACGTACTGTCGTGGTCTAGCAGGCCGACTGCATCTTCTTCACCGTCCGTCACCGGAGGTTCAGGAACATCAAAGCCACCCACCATCGACTGCGCTAGTATTTCTTCATTGAACACCGCGTAATGACTGTCGTCTGCACCGCGGCAAACTTGCACAGACAACCCCAAGCCGGTCATCTGCTGCTCGCTGGTAGAACTCGTTTTCTTCTTGTCGTGGCTCGTCCCTAGCGGCGGTTCGCTGTCTGTCGTGCTGTCTTTATCGACTTTTTTCCCCTTCGGATCATGTTTCGACACCGACTCCCCTTCCTTCCTTTGTCGTCTGTAACTGTCCGGTGTGAACCGCAACGAATTTTTAGTACTTTTCCGGCTGGCCGTCGCGAAAAAGGCCGCGGCCCGCAGACGGCGGGAGCAGAGGACTTTTCGTAAACACGATTTCAAGAAGTCGCGGAACCGCCTCCGAGACCTTTCCCCGCCACAGTCGATGTAGCTGTAGGGGTTCTTGCAGCCAAGAGATGCGGTCGGCTCTGCCGCAACAGTAGTAGAGCAACTTTTGGAACCCCCTGGTCCTCCTGGTGCAACATCCGCGGCAGCTGTAGTACTTCTCGCGGCGACGGGGTCGGAGCCCACGTGATCTTGTTCACCCCCGGCGGTACTGCTTGGCTCCCCGATCACTGCCGTTGGGTCCAACCCCAGCCGTAAAACCTCGAGTAAGCGGAACAGCGATTCGATCGCGGCGAATGGGGGGGTGAAAACTGGAGGAACTACGAAGGCACCGGCAGCCGCGAATATACTTGTCGGACGAGGATGTTGTTCGTCCGGCGATGCTGGCCCCACCGGCCCTTGTTCCGGATCCTCTACGGTGCTGCCATAATCTAGGACTACTTCCGAAGGGATTTTGGTCGACGATAAGAGCCTCGCTGCCGCGCTGTCGAAAATCGTTCCGTCTGAGGTCGTCCCGCCGGACCACCCCGAATCTGCTCCTTCATTGGTCGTGGCTTTATTGTTCATCTTGCCCGTAGTTTTCATTTTGCCTTCGTTCTTTTTCATTTTGGACGTTGTTTTCGCTGATGGCAGCAGCTCCGGTCTTTTGTGGCAAAAATCTTGGTCTTCACAAGCGGTCGCGCCCCCGAAGTTGTCCGGCTCTAACATGCTCAGGTAGGTTATTAAGAGGAAAAATCCCCCCTCCCCATATCGAAAAGTTATGTTTCCGAAAATTTGTATTGCTGATTTGAGACCACAAATCACCTCTGTCTTGCAAGAAGGCAATTCCACAAGCTTCGCAGCATTGTGCAGGCGGTTTGTGATGCTAATGGGCCTACAGCATGGACGTTCCTCCTTCTAGACGCCTAGGCCGCAGCCTCTCTACTTGGGATCAGTATGGGCCTGTATTCCTCTCCAGCAAGACAAGTCCGATTTGTGTACGCAAATCCTGCATCAGAAACTTCGTTTTGATGTGGGGAGGGGGGATTTTTCCTTTTCATATAGGTAACCAGATGGCGACCGCAGGCTTGAATGGCGGAAAGCAGAGGTGGGGATTTAGTACCATTCTTGCCAGGTTTCGTCTCGCTCGTATCGTCGAGGCACGACCTCCTCCCAGTGTGTGCAGCGGGACCTCCGCTGCACGACTTGTTATCTACTTCTGCTTCCTCCTCACTGGTACTATCCCTAAGGTCCTCATCATCCAGCGCTACCGCGTGCAACAGGTCCATCTCCGCGTCAGATCCAATGCCGATCCCGAGCGCCGCGGCCTTGCTGGAGCTGCTCCAACTTAGGCACCACGTTGCGTGCTGCAGGTCCTCAAAAACGTCCGCGATCAGGGTTTGTTTCCGCTGTCTCTCAAACAACAAGTTCAGGCCCGTTTCGAGAAGCTGGAAAAAACTGGTTTTAGCCTGCTGCGTGGCCGGGTCGAACTGCTCCTGCACCTGGTAGAACGGGTCATCGTGGACCCGCGCGAAGAAAAACAGGATGTTGGCCGGCACGAGGAGATCAACATCATGGAAGCGATGCTGCTGGTTTTGAGGCTCGTGATGTAGTTGATGCTGCGGAAATAAAAACCGCTTGTGCAGGTGCTGGGGGCCGTCGTCCTCGTGGTGGTCAATAAGTGCAGGAGCACCAGCATCTCTTCTAGTACCACTGCTTTCGTCACGCTCGCGAGTGATCGACGTCCTACCGAGTTGTACATCATTATTGTCTTGAATATCCTTTTTATGTGAAGATTTTGAAGATTTTTCCCTTTCCAGTTCCATTCGGTGTGGAGGTGTCAGTCCACCTCGTCCAGCACAACTGGCGAAAAGTTCTGTGCTGTTCCCCACATCCTCTCCCCAGCGCAGAACCGCGTCAAAGTGCTCGACGATATCAAATGTAAAAATGTCTGGGTCTGGAAGAATGCGCGATTTGGTTGGTTGGTTGGATAGCGCCGGTCGCCGGTGCAGGTCCCGCCCTCCATCGATTGCGATCCGGAGTAGCCGGAACACAAGGCCCTAGTGGCACAATCGATCGACGAAGCCCTTTATAACCAGGTCACGGACATCCGGCTGCCGTGGAGTCATTCGCGGGCCAGGCAACGTCTAGGAGCTACGGATTAGGGATCTTGATGGGCGATTTGTCATGCAGCTTTTCCATGACCGATGCGGTCTGGAATGCAGGACCTAGCATGACAGATTCTGTGCGATCTCTCTCATGCCTATCCTGCATGAGAAACTCCCACACGACTTGGTCAAAACTGGACGACTTTTGGTAATCATGCAACACAGATTTTTGCATGCTTCAGATTTAGCATGACAAGTTGCATTCTTCCAGACCCAGACATTTTTACATTTGATAAACGAGGGTGTACACGGCGACGCGGTAGTCCGGTAGTACTGTGACGCCGAGTATCAAATGCAAATATGTCTGGGTCTGGAAGATGTGTGTCATGCTATTTTTGCATGACACAGAAGGTCTGGCATGGAAGCCCTAGCATCAGAGGTTTATTCGAGAAGGTTTCGCAAATCGCAATGCCTCATCCGCATGACACAACCCCCACCTTGGTGACAAGAAGTCGGCGCCTTTTGCTGCCTGTGCATGAGAGATTTGTGTGTGTTGTGCAATACGCATCACAACTTCACATCCTTCCAGACCCAGACATATTTGCAGTGCATACCGAGTAGGATTTGCCCGGTCGCGAGGACGCAGGGGAAGCCCTCGAAACTGTATCCAAGAAAAAAACTGCGTAAGTGTAAGTTTGTGTTGCAGAAAATGCAAAACTGTTGCACTTGTCATGCTCGACATGCATCAGAGGCAATTTCCCTGCGTGTTTTCACGTACTAGCTACGCATGACAGGTCTTCTGTGTCATGCAGAGCAAACTTGTGATGCTATTCCTCCAAGAAACTTACACTTACACAGTTTTTTTCCTGGATAAACTGCTCGAGCTGGCCATTATATCTTCAAGATGGATAAGCTTTTAAGGTGTAAAAATGGTCCTCGACCAGGGTAATCTAACTTTTTGTTGTCCTTAGCTGTTCATCGTGAAGATGAAAAATACGCTTAATTTAGTACAGCCAGGCTGTGTCAAATATGGCAGATGAGATATTGTCATCACAGTTTATGACGAAGACGGATCCTGATAGGCGGTGTTTGTTCCGATCAGGGATCATCCCGATTGTCGGCTCCTGTGCATCTACTGTTGCGAATAAAACTGCCGTTTTTTGCAGGAATGAAACGTGAACATAGCCAAACAGCGGAACTACATAAAAAAGCGGATCTTCATCGTTACTCAGCGCAACAACTTCTTCGGACATGGAAGCATCGATCTTCGAGAACTACGCAAGAAAGTAAGCATCGGAAAGGAATGAAAAAGGTCACGCATCATCCATGTGGGACAGCTCTGTGCAACAGAAATCAAAAATCAAGCAAAAAAACTCGGCAACGACTAGCCCGTGCGCAGCCAAATCGGTTGATACGTCGATCTTCATTTTCAAAGATACTCGTGCCTTACCACTGTCTCAGCCGACAAACGCCAAAGGGCCACACGACGAACATCTTCGAGATTGTGCTAAGGAATTTCTGCACTTATGCTGCACTTTTTTGCTTTATCTGGAAAGCAGGGGCACTACTGATGCTGATTTTCCGACGGTTAATATTTGAGAATTGCTCCTTGATACAAGTTCATCTCCGATTCCGAAAAAGTTCGCTCACAGCTTTACTACTCGCTTTTGAAGATACAAGGCATTGAGGGTTCGTTACAAAGCGGCACTAGCGGCGTAATTTCTTCCCAACATCAGAGGCCTTTCTGCATGATCATTCCCCGATCCCAGACAAGGGTTGACAGCAGCGGCGCCTGTCGTTTAGTGTCACTGATGAGTACCTTGCGCACGTGTGCGAGATAGCGGACCTGTAGTGTCAGGCACTTAGACCGGTATTCTCCCGGTAAATATTTCAGTTGTTACAAGAATTAAGTAGTACTGCATTATCCCGCCCACATTTCGACAATTTGAATGTCTGACATACTGGTACTTACTATTGATAGAAAAGGAAGCTCTATCGTTTGGTTTATTTGGTCGTATTTCCGTCCGAATATCTTCGGAATCCACTAGCAGTACAGACGGCCACATAATTTCGCACATATAAAAATCTTGAGTCGTGTTATTTTCGCAGATCTTAAATTTGAATATCGGTTTTCGTTTTCCCGCATAAACTTTTTGAAGCTTGGGAAAGGAGTAAAATAACGGCTACAAATGCTTGAATTGTAAAGTGACTTTGATAACTAAAGAGGAGCTCAAGTACATGAAGGGGAGAAGAAATCAAAAAAATAAGGGGGTTCTTATTGTCGTAACGTTCTTAGCACAAAACGCATCAGCTCCTCGAAATTGAAAAAACTTGGATTTTTCTGAAATCCTATCGCTGTTAAATCTGACTGTCGTCGAAATCGCACCGTAAATGGAAATTCTTGGACAATTTCTCGAAGTTGTCCGTCAAAAGCACAATCGTTTTTGTAAATCACACAATCTCCTCTTCTGTATTTTATTTCGGTAACATAACATCACAGGGGTTATCATCTTCAGCACTGAGCCACTGACGGCTCTGTTTGACTTGTTGATAAAGAGTTTTTCCTAAAAAACTTTGAATTTCGTATAGTAAGCGAGTGAAAACATTTTCACCGCATCAAGAATTCAGCGAGTTCCTTGTTATACATCAATTGGTATTTTTTTAGATGTTGAACTTGTTCCTCGTCCTACCGTATGAAATGTAAAAATGTCTGGGTCTGGAAGAATGCAAGTTTGTCATGCTTGTCTGGCATGACTCGGGAATCTGTGTTGCATAGGCACGAAAAAGCCTTCTTACCTGTCATGCAAAAACGCAGTTTGCCATGCGGAATACGTAAGACATGGCAGCCAAAAAAATTGTCATGCATAGCTGCGTATTGCAGTGCGTCTATCATTCATTTTTAGCATTACAAGTTTCCAGTCCCAGACATTTTTGCATTTGATATACCGCTTACATCTCACACCTGCGCTTCAAATCCTTCCGCATGTTTTCCCGGAGTCGGTGGCACAGCTGTAGGTTATCAAGTGCAAATATGTCTGGGTCTGGAAGAGTGTAGACTTGTCGTGCAGGTTTTCCATGACTCATGAGGTCTGGAATGCGGGACCTAGCATGATAGACTCTGTGAGGTCTCTGTCATGCCTATCCTGCATAAGAAACTCCCTCCCAACTTGTTCGAAAGTGGACAGCTTTTGGCGCTCATGCAACACAGATATTTGCATGATTCAGATTTAGCATGACAAGTTGCGATCTTCCAGACCCAGACATATTTGCAATCCATACAGGTCTCGTCTCTGCAACGTGACCCGGCTTCCGTGCGTCGCGATCAGCAGCGAGTTTGCGCAGAGGAGTGTCAAGCCCTGCTCCATCTATCGCAAGAAAAAACTGTTACAGTTACACATTGTGTTGAAAGAACCGCAAGACAGACGACCTTTGTAATGCGGGAAATGCTTGCGAGCCTCGTTTCCTACGTCTTTTTCCTTTTGATCTTTGCATTACAAGTTTTCTCTTCCACACAGAGAAAATTTGTGATGCAGAAACTCCAACAGATGTGTAACTGTAACACTTTTTTCTTGTGATACCATCACCTTCTGAAACAGCGTGATCGCCTGGAGACTCCACTTGCGGTGGGCGTAGCCGAGGTCTTCCTGCTGCTCAAGTATGGAAACAGCAAAGAGCAGGCGGATCGATTTGATGTATATGCGCATTTATTTGGTTGTGCAGGTGCACTTACGATGTTTCTTGTTCACGGACATCACAGCAATAATATTCATGCACAAGGAGCACCCGCCGCATGACAAATCCACAGCGGTCTTTGTAGTTGTCTCCTTTGATATGCCGCACCGCACGCCGGAACGCCAGCTATCACAGGAAAAAGTGTTAACGTTAACGGAATTTGTGATGCAGCAATGCATCACAAGACATTCCAAAATTTGTAATGCATAGCATGCATACTGGGCTACATTTGTGATGCATGGCTGCAATCTGTGAAAACCGTTAACATTAACACTTTTTCTTGTGATACCAGCTTAGAAAACATCACGTTCGTCATGGACTGTTTGGACTGGAGGAACCTGTTTTGATCGTGATTCAAAATCCTATCAACTGCAAAAACGTCTGGGTCTGGAAGGTTGGAACTTGTGATGCTACCTTTGCACACTAAAAAAATCTGTCTTGCATGACCAGCAAGAGGAGTCTAGTTTGTGCTACGCGGGGAGGGCGTGTGTCACACGGAGTAGGCATCAGGAAGCCATCTAGAAATCTGTGATGCTAGGTCGTGCATTACAGACATCCTGGGTCATGCAAAATATGCATGACAAATCTCAGAATCTTCCAGACCCAGACATTTTTGCATTTGATGAATCCGTGTACGTGTTCGATGTAGTTCTTTGTTTAGCGATTGTGCACGACAGACATCAACAGCTGACATCAGATAGTAAAAGCGATTTATGCACCACTGAACCAACATGACCTCCATGAAATTCGCAGCAGATTTAAGTAGTACGCGATCTCCTGTTCGATCCGTTTCTGTTGGTGCAACCCCACGCTGGTAGCGATGACGCGCTTCCGCCCGGCCAGATACGTTTTTGCGCCGATCGGGCGCCGAATGTTGACTTGCGGGTCTTCATCTTTCGCGACCCGGAGCACGGAGGTCTTTATGCATTGCAAATATGTTGCCTGGCACTGGAAGGAGGGGCACTTGTCATGTCATGTCTGGATTGTGCAAAGATTTCTGTTGCATGATTACCAAAAGGAGGTGTCCACTTTTCAGCAAGTTTATTTGCGGCAGTTTCTCATGCAGGAGGGGTGTGATGTTGAAGATATCACAGAATCTGTCATGCTAGGTCCTGTATGCCATACAAGATGGGTCATGGAAAACATGCATGACAGGTCTCGCAATCCTCCAGACCCAGACATACTTGCATTTGATAGTCTTCTCCCGGAGCACGTTCGCATTGTTGGCGACGTCACTCGGGTCGAACTGTTTTTCGTTTTGGCTTGCGTGAAATCATGATTTATTATCAGCATCACAAAAACCGGTAAAAAATTCTCGTTCTAGTAGTACGAAAAATTTTCTTTGGCTCCTGTGTCGTGCTGTGTGCTGAACATGGCTCGCAATCGTATGAATGATTTTTACGCAAAATATTACCGAGATCCGATCTACTGTTCATCATCATCTCACAGCGCGCCATACATTATCAAGCTATACCCTCATCACTCCCCCTTTCTTCAGCTCGAGCGGGCCGGCAACCCGTGGCTGGATCTGGTTGTGATCCACCGTAAGAACCAAACTGGTGTTTCTCAGCATCTCCTCGTCTGCATCGAAGTTATTTTGGGTGCCGTCCGTAATATCCTTGTTGCCTGCGGGGAACTCACCGTCACCCCCGTGATCGCCTTGCAGCTCTTCGTCCCCTTGTAGCTGCTCGAACGTCGGCGCCTTCAGCGGCTGGTGCGCCGGTTTCTTCTTTTTCGCGTTGTTCTGGCGATTGCTCGTTTCAAAAACGCCGGCAGAGGAGGAGGACGACGCAGCGGCACCAGAGGTCTTGTTTCCCGCGGCGGCAGCTCCCGCAGCGACAGCTGCTTGCTCCCGCCCCCGTTTCCGCTGCATGTAGACGGGCATACGGGACGCTGCTGCACCGACACTTTGGTTCGACGTTTCTTGGTCCCGCTGACTGTCCAGCAGTCGCTCCTGTACCGGTTCCTCCTCGCGGGTCGTCGTGGTACCGAGCTGCTTCTTCTTTGTCTTTATGCATTCCGAAAGCTAAAGTATTTTCGTACTGGCCGCTATAAAGTTCTTTATTTTTGACAAAAAAGGACAAATATGGCGTCGATGCAGATGTAGATGCAGTTTGCAGCAGCGTGTGCATTTGACACATCAGACATACATCAGGCTGTTTTGATATCATGCAGGTTGTTTTGGTGCCATGCTCATGCAGTACGTATCACAATTCATAGTCCGAGACTGAGTACTACCAGATACTTTTGCACGGCATAGTGTTGAATGTACTTCCGCTCTTGCCTTTCGCCTCCTTCGCCGGCGGAACATCACCCTGCTCTGCAGCAGCAGCAGCCTTTTTGGCGTTTGTCACCGTCTTCTTGTTTTGCTTGTTTCCCGCAGCAGGCTTGAGAATCTCGTCCGCCATCAGGTCGTCTTCGAGATATGCAGTGCTAAAGCACCGTACTAGTATAAATTGCATTACAAATCGGCTTAGCATTACAAATTGACTTTGTAATGCGGCTTTGCCTTAAGAAAAAAATTTGCAATGCATAAACGCAATTGCTACGAGTCCGATACTTTTGCACAGGATACGAGATCGATGGCGCCGATCATTTCCGGGGAGTCGTCGTCAACACCGTTCAAGCTGTTCTGGAATTCGTCTTCCGGACTGCCCGCATCGGAGTCGACGTCCTGCAACACCGGAGAGGAGGGAGAACCGGCGGGGATCTTCTTCCCTTGTTTGGTGGAATTATTCTTCCCATAATTTTTCTTTCCCGTGGACTTGCTGTTGCGCTTCTGCTTGTTCTGCCCTTGGTCAATCTGCTTCTTCAACCTCTCGGGCATTTTATCGTCGGTGTGGGCAGGAGCTATGTTGTTGCCACCCTCGTCGAGGAGCGGTGGTGCCACGGAAGTGTTGTTTTTCCGGGTCGACGAGGTGGTCGTTGCACCCCCAGACACCGGTTCCTGTTGGCGGTCTTCACTGTTTCTCGCGATACTCGTGGACACGTTCGACAGACCGGAGGTTCTCTGAAGATTCTGCGGCTTCTTGTCAGAACCTCCGTTACTGCTCGACTTGTTCTGCTGCGCTCGTCGGGAGGTCGTCGTGGTGTCGGACGCGGGTCGTCCAGCTTGTTGTGCAGCGCCGGAGGACGGAGAGGTTGTGCCAGCGGTACCGGCAATAGTCGTGGCAGCAGGACCCCCTACTTCATCGCCGGCGATGGTGTTGCTTCGATATTGTTCTTCCACGCCGCTACGGCCTACGCTTTCGTTCTCCTTTCCCTTTGCTTCCAACACGCTGACAATCTTCTTGAGTCCGGAGGTGTCGTGCAGTACGTGCTCCTCGCAGTTGGCGAACCCGTGAACGACTTGCTGGAAGGTGTGTGCTATACAGTGCAAAAGCATCGTGCTCGTACTACTTAATCGCGGCCATGCATTACAAATCCCGGGCTCAAGGCAAACCCGCATCACAAACTTCATTTCTCATGCTGAGAAAATTTGTCATGCGATTCGTACTAGTACGATGCTTTTGCAATGCATATGTGCGTCCGTGGTCGCAGCGCAGGTGTGCGCAATCTTCGACATCATCATGGCCTTGATCTGCAGTTGCCGCAGCGACATCTATCGCAAGAAAAAAACTGTGTAAGCGTAAGTCTGTGATGCAGAAGATGCAAAACAGTTACACTTGTCATGCTGGACATGCGTCAGAGCCTCTTTTCGTACGTGTTTTCACGTACTAGCCGCGCATGACATGCTCTCTCTGTCATGCAGAGCAAACTTGTGATGCTATTCCTCCAAGAAAGTTACACTAACACAGTCTTTTTCTTGTGATAACATCTGGCTCTGGTTTACTTCCCGGCACCACCGATATTCCTCGTCCGTGATCCATGAAGAGTCTTTCGCCCACTCCACATCGTTCATGTTCATGGGCAGGTGAAACTCCTGGAAGATAAATTCGGTGGTTCTGTTATCCTGTGTAATAACGTCCCGACTCCAGAGTTGTCATGCACATTTGCAATGACAGGAACACTTGTAATGCGCTTCCACATGACAGGCATTTCCACTCACGTTTTTGCATTTGTAATGCTGCAAACAGGATAAGCAGATGGATTTGTGATGCGGTCGTCCTTGCTAACATGCACTTCTACACTACAGACTGCAACTTGTCTTGCGTGGCCTCCAAAACTTCTGGATTTGTGTTGCTAAGTTTCCAACCTGACTATGGTGTGGGGACGTATTTACTCAGGATATCCGTCGTCGTCTTCGTCGTCCTCCCCGGCAGCGTACCGCGCGACTTTCTTCGCGGCTTCCCCATTATCAAATGCAAATATGTCTGGGTCTGGAAGATTGCACGGCTTGTCATGCACATTTTGCATGACCCGTGATATCTGTGATGTATGCCCCAGCATCACAATTTTTTTGCGGGCATCTTGATGCCTATCCCGCATGAGAAATCCCCTCTCCGCGGAGCAAAAACTGGACGTTTCTTGCTGCTCATGCAATACAGGTTTTTTTCGATTCCAAAAATAGCATCACAAGTTGCATTCTTCCAGACCCAGACATTTTTGCAATACATACCCATGCGTTTTAAGCAAGTTCTTGAACACCCGCAGTTCCCGCGCCTCGTCCTCGTCCTCTTCTTCGTTCGCGTCATTCGTGGTCTCGTTCTGGCTGGGAACGCGTTTCTGCTCTTCCTGCTCCACGACTTGTTTTTCAAAAGAACTGCTGCCGTTCTTCCCTTGTTCCCCCGCGGCCAATAAAGCAGCTTTACTTTTCGGCTTGGACGACGTCGACTTCGCTCTTTTCTTGTCCCCGACCAGCTCGTCCTTGAGCACGCTCTTTTTGAACTTCTTGCTACTGTTTCCTTTATTCTTGTTGGCCGACGCAGTAGAGGGTAGCTTCGAGCTTTTGTTCTGCTGCTGGGGCACGACCCCACCGACCAGCCCTCGCTGTTGCAGCGGATGTTGATCTACTTCTTCTGCAGGAACAGCCAGTTGTGGTGTATTGTTGTTGGTCGAGTTGCTCGTGCGGGGGTCTTTTTTCGACGAAGAACCCGACGTGTTGTTCGGCTGGACGGTGTTGTTCGGCGTAGTGCTGCCTCCCCCGCTGGTAGAGGTTCGCATGGCTGCCTGCTGTTGCAGCAGCGAACTTGCCTGTCCCAGAATCTCCTTCGCGTGCCTGGGCCGCGGAAGTGTAGTTGTACTGTTGGTGCCGCTTACAACAACCGCTCCGGAGGACTTCGACGTTCGGCCCCCGAATTTATTGTTGGAGTTTTGCTGTGCAGGGCGCCACTGAGACGAATTGGGGTTGATCGTTTGCTGCGGCTCCACCATCAGGGAAGTAGTAGCAGAAGCAGTAGCAGCGCCGCTGCCGAGCTGCGGCTGCCGCAGGTCGGGGACGAGCGAGGATTGCACCACCATGGAAGATCCGGCAGATCCATTCTTCTGGAAAGAACTCGGGCTGTTGGGGTCGTTGACGACGACCAGGCTGCCGGTACGGAAAATCACGTCCGGTTGCTGGTGTCCTACTTCTACCTGCTGCTGCGAGAGTTTGTCGTAGTTCAAATTGTTCAGCTGCGGGGCGTGCAACGCCGGCGGTTGTTGTCCTGCTCCGGGAGCTGCACCACCAGTTGTCCGGAAAGTAGACGAAGACGAAGCTGCAGCACTCGCAGGTTGTCCACCGTCGGCTTTGCTGCGCGGCTGTTGCGACGTCGAAGCAGGCACTTTTCCCCGTGTAGTTCCTGCTGCTTTCGATGCGCCCAATGTCGTGGTCACAGCAGCACTCCCTGTAGCGCCACTTCCCTGCGTCGCACCGACGGCACTACTGCTCGCCTTGTTGGCCGGCGGTGCTTTTGCATCGGTGGACTTCGCGTGGCTGTGTCGGGCCCGGACAGTATCCTGTGGAAAAACCAAAAAACTACCCACTGCGTTACTCTTGTTTACCTCGCGCGACTTCTCGTTTCCGTATCCGTTTGACTATATTGAAAAGTAAAATCCCAAAGGGAAGTTTGAGTAGAGCACGTTTCCGTTTGACTATAGCTACTTTCTTTTCTTCCAGACTTCTCACAAGCATGACCAATTACAGTTTCCAAACACCTACTTAGTGTAGAACGCCGCCCATGCAGATTTTTGCATGACAAGTAGGAGTACATCTTGTGGAATGGGTATTAAGTACTTAGCGGTTTTTACCCAGGATAAACGTCATCGATGAGCCGGGCCATCTTGGTTACTTTTGCGTACAAAACTTGCTGTTCTTTTCTAGTTCTCTTCAATTCTCTCTCACGACCATGATACACAAAAATTGTCCTTGATATTACAGAACCATCATCTACTTCGTCACCCTATCGTAGATTTCAAATTTCAATTTCTTGCTTTTGTGGTGCCGTTTTACAACTATTTGTATTTGCCGGAGTCTTGACCTGTGTAATTAGATATTTACCACTATGTGCTGTGAGGGTACTAGTAGCCGGAGCGAATCGGCCACACTTTCAGTTGAAATTGAAATTGATTTTGCGCTTGTTGGCTTTCTAGCGTACTATCCTGAATAAAGACTGGTGGGTATTGCTTCCCTAGCGGGATGATGAAGTAGGGGAGCGCTTCAACAATATGAATATTGCTCAAAATTATTTCCCTTTGCAGGACGAGGTACTATAATGGGCAGTTATTTCTGCTGCTGCGTTCTGTGGGGTCGTCGTCGTCGTCGTTGGGAGACAAAGGAATGAGCGTATCATCTGTAAATCTAATATTGCGGCAAATATAGTTACGTCTTTGAAATCTTTCTCGTGTAGTCCCGCTGCAGGGGAGCAAAACACAGCTATCTTTTTTCCAACTAGCAGTGACGAGACGACTCGCAACGAAGCGGCTCGATCTTCTCGGAACAACTCAACCAAAGAAGTATCCGATTTATGTGCTTCTGCTTCCTTTTACAACTCGATTTGGACGAAACTCTGTAATATTCTGCCTTCCTCCGAAAAAACAACTACTCAGGCGATTTTTTCTTCGACGTTTGATTCGATCACGAGGAACAGGTTTTACTGCGCTAAATCTTAATTTGCGCTTTAGGAGGTTGTGTCATCTCTTCCCCCTGCCTTACGCTACAAATACTTTTTTTCCTATTTTTCCAACAAACTGTATACAAGAGACGAAAAACAATCACTGCGTCATAGGTCGGTCTTCCTTTATGATACAGTTGCATTTGTTTTCGAAGGTTTCTATTCTACAATTGCATTTACGTCGTTCAAAGTCATTCTGCCCACGTTGCCGTGTCTCAGCGAAGATTTACTTACTACAGCTGCGTGCTTCTTGTTCTCCGACAAGAAGCGCAAGAAAGTAGTTCTTGGAAAACAGGCTTGTTTACTATCTCCGGAGAAGTAGCTGGAAAACAAGCTGTTCTAATTTTTTCGCGAGACCTCCGCGCAAAATTCATTCTTTGAATGGTTGCTCTGAAGAGCCTACCACGTGTACTAGCTGTTTTTTAAGCAGCTACTACAACACTTTTACTTTACGTAGGTGTAAATAAGTAGCAAAATACAGTTGCAATTTTGGGATTCATCCGCTGCCGCTTGGACGTTGTCACCCGATAAGATAAACAAGTCAGTGCACTATATCGTACTCGAGGTATCAGACGGGGGCTTTCATCTTTTGGTACAGTGTTGCATTTTGTTTTGGTACAATAAATGAAACTACGTGCGAGCTACTGCTCGTTGCTTTTTTTTAGCACCAGAGATATTAGATCGGTCAACACGATTTTGTCATGAGGTGCCGAGGTAATAATTGAATATCAAAGTCGTGTGAGAAGTGTCAAGATATAAGAACTGCGTAAGTGTCAAGATATTGAATCAAAGTGTCAAGATATTGAAATTGAAAATAAGTTTAAGTGTCAAGATATTTTTGCATAGGTGTCAAGATATTGAAATAAAATAAGTGTAGTGTCAAACTGTTATCGAGTAAACAAAGTGTCAGGATCAGCCCTGCTAGCGAAGACCACCTCCGGCGCAGTAGAACTGGAACTGACGCAAGCTTTCTTTCTCGAATAATTCATATTTTTTCGAGAACAGAGTTTGAATTTCATGGTAGTTGCCAGTATCCTTCTTCTCCCGGCCCGTCTTCTCGTCTAAAAAGCATCCCTTTTCGTTTTCACGCGTCCAACCGCACTGCAGAGTACTGGCGCGGAACCGCAGGCGAAGACCCGGAGGACCTTATCCTGAGGAAAAACGTCCCCACCTGATAGCCAAGATGGGGAATCTGCTAGACAAATCAGCCAGGTTAAACTTTGGTTGTTGCGCATGACAGGTTTGGCCTCGTAGTGTATAACCCTGTTTGGCTTGTTCAGCAGCATCACAGACCTAGCGCATCATGCTGATTGCAGCATTACAAATTCCAAAACACAACCAGAAAATGCTTGTCATGGGGCTCCGCATGAAAAACATTTTGAGCATGCAGAATTGCGTGACTGGGGTGGGGACGTTTTTACATAGGATAGACCTGCTGGCGGATCGCTGTAAGGACAAGTTTATGGATTGCAAATATGTCTGGGTCTGGAAGATTGCAACTTGTCATGCTACATTTGGATTCTACAAAAATCTGCTTTGCATGAACAGCAAAAGAGGTCCAGCTTTTGCCACGCCGAGAGGGCATTTCTCATGGGGTATAGGCATCAGGAAGCCGTCACAATCAAAATCTGTGATGCTAGGGCATGCATCACAGCCATCACGAGTCATGCAAAATGTGCATGACAGACCTTGCATCCTTCCAGACCCAGACATATTTGCATTTGATAAAGTTTCGCGACAAACTGCGTTGTCGGTCCAGCGCCCTCTCCGAAGTCAGCCTTTCCACCACGTCCAGGGCCTGCGGGATCGGAAGCACCGCGTCTGCCCCGACGTCGCCTATGAAAGCGTCAGGACTGAAATCGTCAAAGTTGAAATAATTTTTCATGCATAGTAGATTGCAAGGCATGAAGTGCCTCTCTTGCAGGAATGCCAAGTGAGGCCGACTGTCAGCCTGTTTGGGATCTGTGATAAAGCTGCTAAACTAGCATGACAGGCTAAACTAGCATGACAGAAGACGCCGTCTGTCCCTAAACAACATGACAACCTGGATTTAGACGGTGCCGAAATTTGTCATGCACTGCTTACAAATTGGACTTCCAGTTCCAACGCGTATCGATTTTATGCATTACAAGTCATCTCAACTTTGTCGATTTCAATCCTGACACTCCCATATCGCCCAACGCGGAAATGTCGCGGCGCAGCGAGAGCTATCAAAAACAAAAATGTCTGGGTCTGGAAGATTCTAAACTTGTGATGCTGTCTCTGGGTTCGAAAAAAATTTGTATTGCGTGACCAGTAAGAGGAGTAGATTTTGTGCTCTGCGGAGATGGCATTTGTCATGCGGAATAGGCATGAGGAAGCGCTCTAAAAATCAAAATCTGTGATGCTAGGCCATGCATTACAGGCATTATGGATCATGCAAAATATGCATGACAAATCTTGTAATCTCCCAGACCCAGACATTTTTGCATTTGATAAGAGCTGCCGACTGATGTCCTCGCGACTGAGCTCCGCGCTGTGCAGCCGGGAAAGCGTATCAAAGGAAAAAAGTGTTACAGTTACACACGTTTGTAGTGAATTCAGCATCACAAAATTGCCTTGCATGACAGATGAGATGAAAACTTGCCATGCAGAGTCAGAGATCATAAGGCAAAATACATATAGACAAGAAACGAGGCTCGCAAGCATCTCGCGCATGACAGAGGTTGCTCGTCTTGCATATGTCTTGCAACACAACGTGTCAGTGTAGCACTTTTTTCTTTGCATAAAGTGGCGGGGGGACGGGCAGCCGCCCCGCCTGTTCCTCGTCCGCCGCCGGCGTCGCTGCCGTAGCCACATTCACTGCGTCCCCAAGCGTGAATTTCATGCCCATCCCGAACACGAGCAGGCCCGCGCTATCAAGTGCAAAAGTGCATGGGTCTGGAAGATTGCCAGGTTTGTCATGCATATTTTGCATAATGCATGAGCATGATGCCTGTAATGCATGACCTAGCATCACAGATTTTTAAAGGGCCTTCTGATGCGTATTCCGCATGAGAAACGCCCGCTCCGCGTAGCACAAACTGAACTCCTCTTGCTGGTCATGCAATACAGATCTTTTTTACCTTCCAAAGACAGCATCACAAGTTGCAACCTTCCAGACCCAGACATCTTTGCATTTGGTACGCGCCGAAGAGCTGCAGTTTCGTCACCGGTTCGTGCAGCAGCAGCACGGCAAAAATTGCGGAGCACATGCGGTTATGCACTGCAAATATGTCTGGGTCTGGAAGAATGCAGTAGTTTGTCATGCAGATTTTGCATGACCCGTGAGGTCTGTGATGCATGCCCTAGCATCAGAGATTTTGCGAGGGCTTTCTGATGCTCATACCGCATGAGAAATGCCCTCTCCGCGTGGCACAAATTACACCTCTCTTGCTGTTCATGCAACACAGATTTTATGTAGAGTCCAAAGGCAGCATCACAAGTTGCTTTGTTCCAGACCCAGACATATTTGCATTTGATAGCGGTTCAGATTGGCGAAGATGGAGCAGGTGTTATCAAAATGCAAAATCCCCCCACCCTATATCAAAACGGAAATCTGTGATGCGGGATTTCTGTACACAAATCAAATTCGTCTTGCAGAAGAGCAATGCACGCAGATCGCAAGCCTGGACAGGGGCCTCTTATTGTAGGCACCTAGCATGGCAGACGTCAGCCCTGGAGGCCTTACGGCATTACAAATCGCCTACATAACGCGGCGGACAGCCTCAATTCGCCTTCTTGCATGACAAACCGGATTTGTGGCCACAAATCTGCAACACAAATTTTCAGGAGGGTGCGTTTTCAATATGGGGAGGGGGAATTTTTCCTTTCGATAGGTGTAGGAGCCACAGGCGTCAATGAGCAGAAACTCGGTGAGCAGCCACAAGGCGGACCCGATCCCGATGCAGAAGATTGCCCGGAGAAAGTTCGGGAAATTCATGTTCGGGTACTGTTGCTTCAGCGCCGAATCTTCCGCCAGGAGCTGCTGGACCCGGTTGTAGGGTAGCCACGCGGACCCAACTCCGTCCTCGTGCTCCATGAGAAAGGACAAGAAAAGGTAGCAGCACCAGTTAAACGGCAAGATCAGCTGCAGGGTGCGCACGGCGCTGGGCATCTTGATACTTTGCGCGTCCGCGGCCGTCAGTTCTACTTTGGCCGCCGGGGGCTGCTGCGGGTTTTCGGCCGCGACTTCGTCTTCCCCGATGGAGTCCAGAGTGGAGTTGCGCGGAATTGTTCCCGTCTTCGAGGATTGCTTCTTCACCAGGAGCGGGGAAATTTCGTTTTCCTCCTGCTGGCCCTCAGTCGCTCGCTGCAGTTGTTTTTCGGTGAGGTTTTTTTCGTAGTTGCCCTGCACCAAATCCACGATGATGATCCGGAACGCGCGGGACAAAACCGCTACGATGCTCTATCGTATTTAAAAACGTCCCCACCCGATAGTTGTAATGCAAATCTGCCTGCTGAAAATGTTTCTCATGCGGAACCCCATGAGAAGCATTTTCTGTTCGTGCTTCGTATTTTGTCATGCTCCAATCAGCATGATGCACTAGATCTGTGATGCTACTGAGCTAGCTCAAACAGCACTACAATACGAGTCCAAATTTGTCATGCAAGACAGCCAAAGCTTGTGGATTTGTCTAGCCATTTCCCAATCTAGACTTTGGGGTAGGGGCGTTTTTACATAGGATATGCTCCAGATGATGCCCAGGGAAAAACTGGCCGACGGACCGGCTATGGGGAAACGCGCGGCGGCCAAGGCACCGGCACTTCTCTCGGAGGAAGTAGAAGGGAGCATGCTTGCTGTTGTTCCCGTAGCTGCGGCTAGTAACAGATGCAAAAAACTGGACTGCTGCTCCACGTTCGTAGTATCAACCCCGAGGACGGCGGCTGTTGTAGAAGTACTCTTGCGACCGGCGACCATCGCTTCTGCACCCGCAGGGGTGGATGTTGCGGTTGGGGCGGAGGTCGTCGCGGCGGGGGCCGCACCTCCTCCGGGAGCGATTGCGTTGTCCGACTGAATATCGACTGCAAATATGTCTGGGTCTGGAAGGATGCCAGACTTGTCATGCAGGTTTTTCACGACCCATGAGGTCTGGTATGTAGGACATAGCATGACAGATTCTGTGAGAGTTCTATCATGCCTATCCTGCATGGGAAACTCCCTCTCGATTAGGTCAAAAGTGGACACCTTTTGGTAATCATGCAACACAGATTTTTACATGATCCAGATTTAGCATGACAAGTTGCTTTGTTCCAGACCCGGACAATTTTGCATTTGATACTGGAAATCACTGAGTCCGGACCCAGCGCCGGCCGCGAACATGCCGCCGAGCACGATGGGCAAGACGGAAGGTCATATGGGATTCTCAATTGTATACATCCTCAACTGTTACATGAATTTGTGATGCAGGAACGGAGCTTGCAACTCTTGCATTAGAAATTTATTGCCAGAGTCAGATTGTTCCCATCCTGTTTGGCTCTAATTCCAAAATTTGTCATGCGAAGTAGCTTCACCGTGTGGATGCTGATGCTCATTTTGCATGACAAATCATGCAACAGTTGAGAAGGTAACCGAGTTGAGAACGCCATAGCCCAGGTCCACCGGTTGTACTGCACGTTGGGCTGCAGTATGAACTGCAAACATGTCTGGGTCTGGGAAGTTGCGAGATTTGTCATGCTAGTCTGGCATGACTCTGAACTCTGTATTGCGTCGTGCCCGCGAAGTAGAGCTCTTCCTATCTGTTTTGCAAAAACGCAGTTTCTCATGCGGGTTACGCAACTCTGAACCACGGAAAACGTTGCCATGCGGGGCAGCGCATAATTACAGTGCGCTCACTCTACTCCCCTTTCTTGCATCACAAGTTTATTCCAGACCCAGACATATTTGCATTTGAATTTGATATGCAGGACCGAGGTGACGACGATGCTGACGGCCGGCCCGACCATCATGACGGGCTCCACCACGGACACTGGGAGGTACAGTAGACAGGACAGGTAGCTGAACCCCGAGAGCACGTTCAGCATCACATTCGCCACCAGCAGCGAAACCGGCAGGCCGAGAAAGCTGTTCTTTTGCTGCTTGAACATGGCTATCAAATGCAAAAGCATCGCACTCGTTGTATAAATGCATGACAAATAATTCCCTCAGCATGAGAAATGAAATTTGCAATGCGCATTTACCTTGAGAAAAAAATTTGTAATGCATGATTGCAATACGAGTACGATACTGTTGCACAGGATAATGGCGTAACTCTTGTGACCCGGGGTAATGGTGAAGTTGTACGCATTGCCGAACAGCAGGTACAGACTGGTCACCAAGAACACGTGTGTGGCCACGCACACGTTGAGAAACAGTGGCGCCTGGAAGTTCAGCCGCCAGTCTAGGAAGGTGTTTGTGGTGGTCGTCGTTGGTGCTGTTACACCAGCTCCAGGCGCATTCTCATTTTCGACGGCGTGCGGGTCCTGTGTGGAGAGTTTGTAGACCAAAACATAGAACACGTAGCTGCCCGTGTGCACCAGCGCCTGCAACACCTCGCTGAATATCATGCACGGGGTGGACATGCGGGCAGCTGCTGCACCCGGCTGTTGGACGAGTACTTCTGCCGGTTGCCGCTGCTCCGCCGCTTTGGCGTCCGCCGCCACGTCTGGCATTTTGGTCTACTAGCTCAACAAAAAAGTGTTGTTTCTTTCTCCTGCTATTTTGCCTTGTCGGACTTCTCGGTGGTGTTGTAGTTGCACTAGAAATTTGTTGGTACAGAGAGAAGTAGCGCAGTACTGATCTTTTGACTTGATACCGCTTTTGCTATTCACGAGTTCTGGTGCCACGAGCTTGCTTCAAAATCTTCTTTGTTTTACTACACTATTTAAAAAAATGGTTTACGTGCAGTAGCTCTTGCGCTCGATCTTCAACACTCTCGATTACAACAACGACGCTCCACGAGAACGGCCCCTCCCACGAAGTTTCACGACGAAGAGATGAATTTGAATAAGTACCGAGAGAGTTACTATTTCAACATCTGTACGAGAAGTGGATGAATGCCTGGTTCGGTTTTCTATGTGTCCTGTACATGAGGTTTTGGCTTTGCTCGGCGCGCGACGAGTTCGGGGTGAACACGTTGATGTAGCACTAGCATTGTACATTACAGCGGAATCTATAACTCCGTACCGACCTGCTTCCATCTCCAGGTTTAACAAGCGCAGACTATCAGTTTCATTTCGTGCCTCTAGCTCGTCTGCAGCCGCGCACATTGCTAAATCAAAAACCGTGAGTGCCATGTTGATTGTTCCAATTCACGTTTCTTTTCGAACAAGTAGAAAATCATTTTCTCGCGTAAGTATGTGATTCATTTTTTTCACATTTTCGTTTTGTTTTTCTTCGGTATCCCCGGAATGTGAAAGGTTCGGAGAGTCGTAGTTCCATCCGGATTATTAAACGCAAAAGTGTCTGGGCCTGGAAGAGTGCCAGACCTGTCATGCAGGTTTACCATGACCCATGAGGTCTGCAATGCGGGACCTGGCATGGCAGATTCTGCGAGAGTTGTATCATGCCTATCCTGCATGAGAAACTGCCTCTCGATCAGTTCAAAAGTGAACAGCTTTTGGTAACCATGCAACACAGATTTTTACCTGATTCAGATTTAGCATGACAAGCGGCTTTGTTCCAGACCCAGACATGTTTGCATTTGATACGGATTCGTCGACTTCATTTCCTCCACGTCTGGCGCCGCGCGAAGTAGCATGTGACGGCTCGCGGGGGTCTTCACTTTTTTTTCGAACAGTGTGTCTCTGCATCGCTCGGAAAAAGTTTTTCACTGTATGGATTTCCATTTCTTGGAACTTTTGCATTACAAATTCGTTCTACATGACAGAGAAAATTTGATGCCATGTGTCCTGGTTCCCATGGCAAAACAAACCTGACAATGACTCTCGGTCGTGCATGCGCAGCAAAGCAAACATTTCTGCATTTCAATGCTTCTGCATGTTGACAAGTTAAGTATTACAGTGAGCCAGTTTTTTCCTCCGATACCTCCCCCTTTTCGCGAGCCAGGTTCCGGGCCTTCCGGTAGATCTGCCGTAGCTTCGAGGACATGCGCCCCCCGCGCTCGCGCCGGTACCGCCTCTGACTGTGGAGGGGCAGAATGGTGGGCAGAAACAGGTGGCTGGTCATGTTTGACAAGTTCGGCAGCCTGGAGGGAGATCGCGAAGAAGACCCGAGGGCGACAAGAGACCTCCTCGCGCCGCCGACGTGGTCCACCGGTTGTAGTATAATTCTGCCGGAACAAGAACTGGTGTTACAGCTGCTTCGCTCGCACGGTGATAATACTTTGCTACCAGCAGATGGGCACGAGGATGAAGAAAATCCGCGACGCGATACCGTCGTCCTTGAACCGGCGGCGAGAAAATTTTCATGTCGTCCAGTAGTAGTAGCGACACCGCCTCCGGCACCGTACAACCCTGGCGCGAAAAGCCTTCGGAAGGAACAAGTAGCACAAAGTCGCATGGAGGAGCGCGGCGCCCTTTGTTGCGCCATAGAAAAATTACGGGATGCGAAGATCAACGACGGCGGCATTATTATATGCTCGCTTCAAAGTGCGTACAACAAATTTAAGTACTTGAGCGCAGGAGATGAACGGCATCTATTTCTAAATACGACGCCTGCTTCAACAAACGGTACCGTTTTGGTCGCCTGTACAACGAGGAGACTGGTAATAGGGCTTAGTTACTACTTATTCCGCGGCAAGAGCTACATGCTGGGAAAACAAGCGACCGCAATTAGCGGTCGCTTGTCCTTCCAGCCAAAACCAATGGGGGGGGAAAACACCTTTCCGTCGGAAACACTTCGCCACTCTATCGGCGGCCAAAGGTGTGGCCGAATACGAATTGGAACAATTTCGAGGGCAGTTTTTTGGCGGTGCATTTCATCTTTCTGCAGGACGGAGGTTCAGATTCAGATTTCACTAAGAACGTCGGTGGTCGTAGAAAGCAATGTCAAATATTCTCATTGTCAACAACACACAAGTAATGATACGTAGCCTTTTGTGCCTTTTCGTTTCGCTGGATACTGTAGGGAAGTCGAGCAAAGCCAAAACGTGTTGGCTGTGGCTCTTTCTGCCACAGCCGACATTATCAAAAACCAGGAAGATGACCTTAAATCCGCATGCAGAACCGATGCGCGCTCGTGCGGACAACGGTGACGGTCTAGCAGCGCGTGACAAGTTTTGACGAAAGTGCTAGAAACAATTACGTAGTTCGCAGAAAAAGAAAGTGAGAATTGTCAACCAAATACCGGACGAGAAAGGCAGCAGTCCGAAAAAAGGAACACTAAAAACGTACTGTACTATACAAAGATTTCGAAAAATTGCAACTAGAAAAAGTTTGAAGTTTCGCGAGCAGGGAAAGTATTATCAAGTCGGAAGCGCAATTCCACGGAATAAGCAGACGGTTGATTCCTCTTTTTTTTCGCGAAGTAGAAAGTACTAGCACCGTTACTGCGGAAATTTTGTTGTACTGAAAGGACGTGCATTGATCAGTCGACCTACCATATCTAAGTTGGATCCTCGGAGAAGAAATTTTCTGTCATACGTAGACCGGTAGTGAGGCCTATTTCTGATGCTAAGTTCAGCAATTTTGCTCATAATTCTCCTGCCGATCTGTATTCTCTTCACGAAAAGATCTTTTGATTGCATTTCCTTTTGTGGTAAAAAATGCAACGAGAATCTCCACTCATCGATTTTCAGACCACGAAAAATTGTTTTTGTCTTCTTCACCCGTCGGCCTCGTCCGCGGACCAGCCCCTGACGGGAATGTGGTAGGCCGCCTGCACGGCTGGGTACACCGGGAATTCCTGCCCGTTATGCACTGCAAAAGCATCGTACTAGTATAAATCGCATCACGAATTTCCTCAGTGTCAGCATGAGAAATTGTAATGCGGATTTAAATTGAGAAAGAAATTTGTAATGCAGGAATGCGATTTTTAGCACGAGTACGATGCTTTTGCAATGCATATCCGTCCGCTGCCAGCCATTTCCCGAAGACGCCCGTGGGCGCCGTGTACGCTGTAAACGTGTCCGGCGTTTCCGCTGCGATAAGGCTGGAATCCAGGTACCGCAGCAGCCCTTCTGTGTCTTCCGCCGTCAGCCGGTGCAGCAACCGGTTCGATGCACCCTGCAATGATCCCTCTGATGCGCCGGCCTCGCCGCTTTTAAAAGGCTCGGAGCGGAAGAGGAACCTGTCATGCGCGCGTTGGTGCAGTAAGTTTACTAGTACCAAGAAACGAACCGAAGTATGGTCCTTGGGATGATGATGATGATGATGATGATGTTACCCAGTAAAGCTGTGTGCTGATAAAAATCTACCAAGCAGAGCTATCTTGTACAGGAAAACCAAAACATAAACGGCATCAACGTCAACATAATATACCCAGTTCCGTCCTTAAAAATTCCCACGATAAAGGAGGTAGAGGGCAGTGCGCGCACCGAGTCCCCATTGCCCATGGCGTGCAGCTTCGCCTGGATCAGGTAGGCGTTAAACAGGGCTCCTTGATGATTATTTTGGTGGTGCTGGTACTTTGCCCCTACGGTTGGGATGAAAACGTGGGGCAATCGAGCGACCGGGGAAAGTTCAGCCGCGAAGTTGCCGCCGGTGAGCGCCCACGCGACCAGCCCGGTGGGGAGGTAGTCGCGGTTATGGAAGCGTCAGGATTGAAATCGTCAAAGTTGAAAAAATGATTTGTGATGCATAAAATGCAACCAGCAAAGTGCCTGTCTTGCAGAGTAGGCAAGGGAGGCAGATTGTAAGCCTGTTGAGGCTGAGGAGTAGTAGAAATAAAGCTGCTAAAGCAGCATGACAAAAGGCGTCTTCCTTACCCAAACAGCATTACAAACTGGATTTAGGCACTACCAAAATTTGTCATGCGCCACTTAGAAACTGGGTTCCAACTGGTCTCGATTTTATGCATTACAAAGTATTTCAACTTTGTCGATTTCAATCCTGACAGATCCATAGCGGTCCGCGAACCCGTAGTCGTGCACGATGCTCTGGTATGCAAAGAAAAAAGTGCTACAGTTACACATTGTGTTGCAAGACCGGCAGTACAGACCACCTTTGTCATGCCGGAAGTGCGTTGAAGCCTCATTCCCTTCGTGTTTTGCCTTATGATCTTTGCATTGCAAGTTTTCTCTGTCATGCAGAGAAAACTTGTGATGCAGAATTCACTACACCCGTGTAACTGGTGTAACACTTTTTTCCTTGGATATCTGGATCAGAAGCGGATAGGTGCGCGTCTTCAACCTGTATGAGAGTACACAATTGTTCCCCCTCTTTCTCATTTCTCCTGCAAAACACCAACTCCTACAGGCTGTGCCTGTGCCTCTTGGCAAAGGTTTGCATGACAAACTCCGGAAGCCCAAACAGTACTACTTACACTGCTGTGCATCAAATTTGTCATGCAAAACCGGCACTCTTGTTGCTGACGCTTGTATAATTATGCCGTTCATGCAACACAAATGAGGGGGACTCGAGGGGAAATTACTGTGCACTGTCATAAACTGCGGACCGTTTGCACGAGCTGCTGCTGCACCTTTTGGATGTTCTCCTTCTCGGTCCAGTCCTATCCAAGAAAAAAAGTGTTACAGTTACACATTTGTAGTGAATTCAGCATCACAAATTTGCCTCGCATGACGGAGATGAAAGTTGTATTATGCAGAGATTATAAGGCAAAACACACACGAAGCGAGAATCGCAAGCATTCTGCGCATGACAGAGGTCGTCTGTCTTGCATGTTTTGTAACACGGTCTGTAACTGCAACACTTTTTTCTTTGCATAAGTCCGGAACGGCCATCTCCCCGTGCACCTCGCTGGTCGTGTACCCGAGCGTATCACGAGGAAAATAAATCCCCCGTCCCCATACTGAAAGTGAAAAGGAATATTTTTGAAAAATATTTGTAATGCTGATTTATCACCACAAATCGCATCTGTCTTGCAAGAAGGCAACTCCACAGGCTCCCCCGCATTATGCCGGTGCTTTGTCATGCTATTGGGCCTACAGCTCGGACGTTTTTCATGCCAACAGCCTAGGCCAAAACCTCTCTTTACTCGGGCTTGATACTGGCCTGCAGTCCTCGACCCAGCAACACAAATCTGATTTGTGTACTTACGCAAATTCAGCATCAGAAACTTCGTTTTGATACTATGGGGAAGGGGGATTTTTCCTTTTGATAGAGCGCGTTCATGAGCAGGTAGATGGCGTAGTCCGCCTGGGGCACCAGGCCCAGCCGCGTCACCGCGCTCTCCAGGGGAAAAATTTGCTCGTTGTAGTTGAAACGACGGGTCGGGGCGTATCCTGAGCAAAAACGTCCCCACCCCTGAGATAAAGATGGGGAATCCGCTAGACAAATCAGCCACCTCTGGTTATTTCGCATGACAGGTTTATCCTCGTAGCGTAATCCTGTTTAGCTAGTTTCGAAGCATCACAGATCTAGCATACCATGCTGATTCTAGCATTACAAATTTCAAAACACGATAAGAAAATGGTTCTCATGGGGCTCCGCATGATATTGAGAAACTTTTTCGGCATGCAGATGTGCATGACAACTCTGGTGTGGGGACATTTTCAACTAGGATAGGGCGTCCGGAAGCTGATGGCCCAGCTGTTCGTACCGGTGCCGCAGGTCGTCACGCAGCACGGCCGCGAGGTCGCTAGTATCAAATGCAAATATGTTGTTCTTTGATTCTGGAATAAACTTGTGATACGACAAAGCGTGAATGTGTTGACTAGGACAGTTTGTTGTAGTCATCGCACAGCCAAGCATGACAAGTTTCTCGAATGCTCCAAGTATATGCCGGGCGCTCATTAGAAGTTTTCATAGTTATACGTTATTTTTGCATGACAAGAGAAGTCGTGCGCTTTTGAAGATGTAGTCCTCGGTGCAATGCGAAACAGATTTTCATTTCCAGGACTGTTAGCCAAACATGACAGTTTCCACCTTTCCAGATCCAGACATGTTCTTTGCAGTGGATAGATGGCGCGTCCCGATGCTTTTCCCTGCTGTCGTCCGGCTGTTTCCAGGTCCTGCTGCACGATCGCATCCGCAGACTGCCACAGGAGACGCTCGGCGATCGGGTGCAGCCGCTGCTTCCAGGCGGGCAAAATATCACGAGAAAAAACTGTTACAGTTACACATTTTTTGAAGTTTCTGCATCACAAATTTTCTCTGTGTAGCAGAGAAAACTTGTAATGCGAAGATCATAAGGGAAAAGAGGAAGGAACCGAGGCTCCCAAGCATTTCCTGCATGAGAAAGGTTGTCTGTGTTGCCGGTCTTACAACACAATGCGTAACTGTACTTAACACTTTTTTCTTGCGATACAAAACCGCCGTGCTCCACTCCGCCTCGTCGACGCCGTCGAACAGCGTTTTCTCCTGATTTTCAAAGAACTCGGCCACCCCGGTCTCCGGGATGGCCCGGGTCCAGAAGCCGTTGGCCAAGTCGCCCGACTGGTGCTTTTCGATGGACTGCAGAAACGCCCACGCCGTGCCCACGGTGCGTCCCGCCGCCAGGTGTAGGCAGGACGGTTGCGGTGTCGTGTCTGCCTGCCCGCCGAGTAGGGTCGCCGGGTCGCGGACAAAACTGCAGGTTTCCGCCAGCATTGCCGCAGGTGCGCCGATGGATCCCACCCCGCTGGAAGTCTGGCTGCTTGTGCTTGCTCCAGCATCTCCGAGCTGCAGGGACGGCACCGCCACACACGCGAGGATCATAGCTGCGGCACCGGCGCAGGCGCCGACAGCGCCGATTTTTCTGCAGCAGTCGTATCTGCGACGGGCCTCCTCCGGGACGTCGGTAGACGCCAGGGGCTGGAATATGCATTGCAAATATGTGGTCTGGGTCTGGGAGGATGCGAACTTGTCATGCTAAGTCTGGATCGTACAAGAATTTGTGTTGCATGACTACCAAAAGCTGTCCAGTTTTGAACAAGTTTAGAAAAAGACTGTCATGCAGGATAGGCATGATAGGGACGTCGCAGAACCTTTGATGCTAGGTCCTGCATTCCAAACCTCATGGTGCACGGAAAATATGCATGAGGAGTTTGCATTCTTCCAGACCCAGACATATTTGCATTTGATATGGAACTGCATTGCGCGAATACTCGCTGGTGCACCTGCTCCTGCAAGAACCCCAGAGTCGGACGAGCTCGCCAGCTATCAAATGTAAAAATGTCTGGGTCTGGAAGAATGCAACTTGTGATGCTGAATTTCGATTCCAGAAAAATCTGTATTGCATGAGCAGCAAAGGGGATGCAATTTTTGCTACGCTGAGAGGGCATTTGTCATGCGGAATAGGCATCGCGAAGCCCTCAAAAAATCTGTGATGCTAGGGCATGCATCACAGACATCATGGCCAATGCAAAACATGCATGACAAGTCTCAGAATCTTCCAGACCCAGACACTTTTACATTTGATACCAGCATGCTGTTTGAGCTCCTTCCGAGATGAGCCCCCCGAATTGATGATCCCTGCAGGCCCATCGGCGTACTTCTACCGGAGAAAGAAGCTCCTGCGCCCGCGACGCCTTGCGCGGCCCAGGGCTGCTGGCTCTGGAAGAAGTTGTAGGTCGATGCCTGTGCAACTGCAGGGTCGACCATTAGAGGCGCAGGAGCAATAAATTGTTGACCCGCGGGAAAAGGAACAGAGGAGCCGCGGCCGGAGCGCTTATGAAATGCAAAAGTGTCTGGGTCTGGAAGAATGCAACTTGTGATGCTGAATTTGGATTCCAAAAACATCTGTATTGCATGAGCAGCAAAGGGAGCGTAATGCTTGCTACGCGGGGAGGGCATTTGTCATGCGGAATAGGCATCAAGAAGCCCTCAAAAAATATGTGATGCTAGGGCATGCATCACAGACATCATGGCTCATGCAAAATGTGCATGACCACAAGTGTCAGAATGTTCCAGACCCAGACATTTTTACATTTGATAACGCTGCAGCGCCAGCAATTCCGCCTGGTTGACATCCAAGCTTGGGGGAGCTACACCGAGAAGTTCTCCCGATGATGAGCCAGGCGGCACAGAAACTCCCGCTTGATACATGAAAGCCGGCGCACCTGGTCCGCCCCGGGGGGACGCGGCGACCTGCATGTTGCCACGGGGAGTGAAATATACATTGCAAATACCTCTGGGTTCTCTGGAAGTGTCTAAGGTTTGTCATGCAAGTTTTCCATGTTGACCCATGCTGGCTCTGGAATGCAGCATCTAGCATGACAGATTCTTTCAGATCTTCATCATGCCTGTTCTGCATGAGAAACTCCATCTACTCACTGTGGTCAAAAGTGGACAACTTTTGGCAATCATGCAACACAGATTTTAGATTTTTGTATCGTCCAGACTATGCATGACAGGTTTCAGCGTTCCAGACCGAGACGTATTTGCAATGCATATGAAAGGCGGATCCCGAATCATGCCTGCGGTGATTGAGACGCCGAAAACACCAGGCGGGGCTCCTCCTGCAAGTAGACTAGAGAAATAAATTGTAGCTGCGACGGGAAACCGAAACCGAAACCGCCGGCAACGGGAAACCGCATTATCAGTTTGCTTACCGCGACTTCCTGCCACTCGTGCCGCCATCTTGATCTTGTTTCCACCAACGACCTTGGGAAGTTGTAGGGGTACAGGCTGATCGGACGAGCAAATCAAACAGACGACAAGCTTTTCAAGAAGAGCTGCAACTAGCACCGAGACGATGAACGATTTGCTGTGCTGGCGTTCTTTTTTATCCAGGATAGAAAGAAGAACTCGGGTTTCGCTGTCCACTTGTAGTACTTCTATGTGTTTATAATTCTGCACTCTGTGATATAGAAGGATTTTGAGTTTTTAATATTGCCAGATATTAGAACTTACTGTTCGCGCGAAACAAACGGCAAGAAGGACTCCACAAACATACGGGGAGGATGTACATAGCTGTGCCAAGAAACCAAACGAGAACTACAACAAAAAAAGCAAAGAAAATCAGGAAACCACCAACAAACAAACGGAACAGGGAAAATATCTGTCATGCGCAACAATCAATGCATCAAAATCGAGCGTCGTACCGATCCCCGATGGTTATTTTCAGCAATAAGTAGCACAACAAGTATTTCTTATTCTTTCTTAGCATGCCAGACATAAACTCCATCATATGCAAAATGTGCAAAAGCGTTGTGCTGATCGTGTTTTTGTTTTTCGCTCCTGGCGGTTACCACCACGAACTGCAGTGCCAGCTGCTGCTGTGTCGTAAATTAGATGTAGAACAGTGGAGCACGTACGAAAAACAGTGGAGCACGTACGAGAAGCGCTGCAAGCAGCACATTCGTTTTTTCCTTTCCGGTTCTGATTAGTCTTATCGGAGGGGCGCTGCGAGTAGCAGTATCAGTAAAAGAATAAGTCCATTCAAGTCAACATTTTTGCGCACCGATGATCTAATGAATTATGTTTTGCAGTACATCATTGGTAAAAGCTGAAAAAGTTGTAAACAATAGGATGCAGGAGCAAGCACGCCTTGCTGCGTCGAAACAAATTTGGAAGATGGATTCAAGTCCGTAAGTACTGCTATATGAAGCTGGAATTTGAATCTTTCACTTGAGCGATTTTGTATGTGTATCTATACTTGATCTTGAACTTGTCATGGTTCCTGCAACAATAATTTTAGTCGTGAAATAAGGAGCCTTCTTACCCGCCCCCTTTTTGTATTGGTGCGTGTGCCCTGTGTTGACACTAGAGCCTGCTGTATGAAATTGAAAACATAAATTCGTAGTGAAGATGAAATAAAAACTTGCACGAACTTCAACATGGAATAATTTTGATGTAACCTTCCACGAACAGAAACAGAAAACCATAACTGCCCGTCAAAATGCATTACGAAACATCAATTGCACTGGTTGCTTCGTGCGCCTTGAGAAACCCTTGAAGTTGAATATCTTCAGACAATGCATGCTAGTAAAAGAAACAAATTGAAATTCAAATCATAAAATAAACTCGTCAGCACCAAAATGCGCAACGGTGTTGGTGATAAATGGAATAAAAGCATGGAAAATAAGTCAAATCGCAGTAAAATGTACTTATTGTAGAAGATGCATTGCACCAGACTGAAAGCAGCAAGAAATAACTTGCACCACCACTACTTAGGCGGCCTCACTCTCGTCCTCGCCCGCGCGCCCACCGCCGGTCCCCTTCGCGGCGTCCAACACCGACTGATTCGCCCCGTCGGCGCGGTCTGCACAAAAAAAAGGGGTGGTTTTTTCGGTCTCTTCTTCCTTGCAAAAGGGTCAAATCATGTCGACAAGAACATTAAACGAAAAGTCAATAGATTATTTTCAATTGCTGGCAAGGGCAACGACAAGAAACAATCACTCTCATCGCAATTTGCAAAAGGCGAGGGCAAAGGAAAAAGAAAAACAAAAAGAGAAACAAAGCAATGAGAATAAAATCAATACCATCATCTCCGTCTCCCGCCGGTTTTTTTCCCTCGCCCGCCGGGTGGGTTTTCGCCGCCTGACCCGCCCTGTCGGCGCGGTCTGCGAGTAAGTAGGTTATGTTTCGATCTCTTCTTCCTTGCAAAATAGCCCAAATGGCGACACCACCAAAACGAAAATAGATTTGCAATGGCTGGTACTTGAGGGGGGCAAGATGCAATCATTCTCAACGTAAGTTGCAAAGGGTGATGGCGGCAAAGGTAAAGGTAAAGGAACAAAGAGAAACAATAACACAGCATTGATAAAAATTAATACCATCTCCCGCCAGTTTGTTTTCGTCGCCCGCCGGGTTGTTTTTCTCGTCCGGCTCCAGCGTGCGGCGCTGCAGAAAGCTTGGAGAGTATCCTCTTGGAAAGCGCCGCCTGCATCGCAGAACTACTTCTTATCTTCGAAGCAGTAGCACTTGCATTACAGTTCCTCATCGATCTCGCTGATAGAAACACAAACATTTCTGATGTCGTTCGTGCCACTAAAGCATTTTCTTGATGCAGGCTAACACAACTCTGTGTTGCCACCAGCGGAATGCGGTTCTGGACCGACAAGAGTCATCGTGCTTTCCTGCACAAGCAGCATCAAGAGTTTCGCATTCGCTTTTACCAAACTGAAATGCATCAGAAACTACACAAACTACGCTGCAGTTCACGACCACAAGCGGGGGCATTTTTCAATTTCATAAAGACGGCGACGGCACCACGACGACGGGCTCCGTCGGCGGAACGACGACCGGAGCAGTGGTCCGCCGCTGCAGAAAACTCCGCGGGCGAGACGGCACGACGACAGGCGGCGGGGCAGCGGGAGCCGGGGGAGGCGCGCTCGCGTCGGGCGGGTCGCCAAAACGATTTTTGTTCACGTCGTTCGCGCCGACAAGGTCCTTCTCTTCCTCCGCTTGTTGATTCGCGCCGCGTTCCAGAAAGTCAGGCGGCTTCTCAACATCCCGTGGCAAAAGCTCCACGCCGGCGATCGTACGTCCTTCGCCACCGTCATCACCCGCTGCAAGTTTTTCGGTCGTGTCCCCTTCGGGAAGGCCGGGAGGAGTGCTGGTTTCGAGGTTCCGCGTTTATGGATTGCAAAAGTGTGTGGGTCGAGAAGATTGTAACTTGTCATGCTAAATCCGAATCATGCAAAAATCTGTGTTGCAGTTGCATGAGTGCCAAAAGCTGTCCACTTTCGACCAAGTTGGAAGGGAGTCGCTCCTGCAGGAGAGGCATGACAGAGACCTCACAGACTCTATCACGCTAGGCCCAGCATTCCAGACCTCATGGGCCATGGAAAGCCTGCATGGCAGGTTTACACCCTTCCAGACCGAGACACATTTGCAGTTGATAGCGTTTCCGCGATCATGTCTCCGTCCGACTCAACGATGAAGGAGCTTGCTAACCCCGGCGGCTTGTCGGCTCTCATCCACTGGCGCCCCGGCGCCGGCGGGCGGGAGCGCTTGGCGGTGGGCGATGTCGGTTTCCGCCGTTTCGGTCCGCCGTCCGTGGCCCGGAGGTCCGCCTGTCCTGCTCCCAGTGCGGGGCCCAGAGGCCAAGCCGCGCTCACAAACGGATTGGCGGCCTTGTTGGCAGGTGTTTCAGTCTCTTCTTATCACGATCATGAAATTCCCCCCGATTGTTCCCTGTCACTGGTTCACACTACACAGAGGAGAAACGCCCAACAGCTTGAGACGTTGAGGGCCTCGAGTGAAGACAGGCTGGCTGTGGCCACAGAGTTCATCTCGTACTGGTACAGCAGATCGAAAAATAATATATACTCTTTTGAAGAACTACGACTTTGATTGCAGTCTTGCAACATTTTTGTGGTTGCAGCTTTGCAAAACTTGGACGTACATAGCTCGGGTTTCACAAAACGGACACCCTGGAACCCGAGTCAAAAGATTAATATGCTTAGATTTAGAATGCATTTGGATTTTCGCTTATTTGCCACTGGAGCTCATCAGGAACAGGGGCAACGGGACTAAATCTTCGCTGTGATACGCCGTGTGCTCCCTTTGCCAGTTCCTCGAGTACCGCTTGTGCAGCCGGTGCACCCGCTGTCAGTGTCAGATGGAAACTTTTTCTCACACCGCGGCGAAAACTTAAACTCTTCTGGGTGCTCGTACTGTTTCATGCAGAGTGAGATCATGCAGCTGCAATTATATTCAACGAAGCCAGATACAGACTCACTGCAGAAGCTGATAAAAATCACAGCACTTCTTCGGAGGACTCTCGTCCTGCAAGCGGAATAAGGGAAAGCACCTTCGTCCTGCAATCGCGGTGAGAAAAGGGTTGTCCACATGATACGCACCGCTTTTTGTTTCCGGAGGCCCAAAGTTTTTTCATTGTCCCGCGCACACTTGTGCTTGTAATTCTTTGGAAGTGCCTCCATTCTTGCCACAACCTTTTGGAAAAACTTCCTGATCCAGGGGAGCCACTTTCGCCTGTTCGTCCTGTCCCAAACCGTTGCCAAAAAGAGTGAGGCCATGGTATGTTTTTCTAGCGTCGCTTTCTCAATTTCAAAGCTTCTGCCGGTCTCTTTGTCCTGAACCTTCGTTCTTACCACGAGTCCTGGGTTGTTCGTTTGTTCCGGGGCGGGCACTTGGGGGGCAGGGTTTCCTCGGTAAAAACGTCCGCGCACCCCCCAAAGGGAATTCTGCAAGACACACCCAGGACTTTTGGGACCCATGCATGATATAAACAACCTGTGCTGGTGCTACAGGAGTGAGTTAAAAAAATTTGGCTGCGCAGGTGCAGCATGATCGTGCCCAATTACAGTCTCTGGCGCATCACAAATCCACTCTGTTGTCCTGATTTAGCGACTTTCAAGTACGGTTACAAAAACACATCCCGCTCAGGAAGAGCCCCATGAGGAACATCATGAGCACTCAGATTTGCATGACAAATCTGGGGAGATGGAGGCATTTTTAGTCAGGATACGGCGCCATCAGGTTCTCCTGCCTTCTGCCGGGGGGACACCCCCTTGTAGTCCCGCCCTTGAATCACTGCAACGATATTATCGTCAGTGGACAGGTCGTCTAGCCGGATGGCTTTCTGAAAATTGAAAATGCCCCTACCGCACCACAGCCAAGTCGCGTGGCCTACTGTAGTTGTGCGAGTGCGCTAACTCTAAAAATTGCGAGAGCAGAGGAAACCACAGCAGAGAATTATGTGTTGGGAAAAAAGGCAGCAACAGACATGCATGCTCATCCTTGTCCTGATGTCATCTTCAAGCTGCAACGTTAGCTTCAAAGCGTAATTTGCTGTGACTGTTGCCACCAAAACCATTCCTGATGTCATAGTCATTTGTTCTGTCGTATATTTCCGCGACGTGTTTGCCTCGGTGGCACTCTGCGCTCTCCTTACGAACTATTCAAAAATACCTCTTGAGCATGGAGCGAATGGGGTGACTTTCGATCATGATAGCTTTTCTCTACCTGCTCTTGTTGGGTTGACACTCGATCCCGGATTTCTGCATCATGCAGACCTGCGTCAACTAGAAGATTGGCGTATGGCCTGCCCGGTAGATTTTCCTCCTCCGTGCCTTGGTCAGCGGGCGTGCGTGGTGACACGAAACGAACCAGCGCTCCATCCGTCCTTCCTTCGAGAATGTAACTGGGTGTGGCTGCAATTTCCTGCTCAATTTTTTTCTTGCTTTGGTTTGTCTGCGAAGTGAGGATAGCATAGCCTTCATCATACTCCGCCCCATGTGTAGGAGCGTGCACGACCTCCCGCGTCGTGATCTCGTACAGCGACCAGACTTCCCGGCTCATCATCGCGAACTCTGCTCCCTTGAACCCCTTCACCGCATACCAAGCAGGCACCATGAAAGGCGGAAGGCGACAGTCTCCCGCGTTTCGTTCTTTGCCGTCGTGCAGGTTTTTCTTCTCGCAAGGCGTCAGAACGTGCATGTGGTCAACAATAACGCCATCCAGTTGTTCTCCCGACGCAGTTTCAGGCAAGCCAAAAATGAAAAACCCGATCCGCCCTTGGCTCATTTTGTCGTTGTCTGCTTCAATAACGTAAACTGGAGTCTCTATCCCAAAGAAAAAGACAGGCAGGGCGCATTTTTCTTTATAATGCAAAAATCCTTAATCCACCCGAAAAGCGAAAATCTGTCACGCCCGAGCCCATGGCGTGCCTTTTGGAAAATGCACTGGCTGGACTCCGGACAAACCTGCCGCGCTGAGTGGCTCCGGCCTCTTTCTACCTCAGAAGGCTGCCGGACCAGCTCAGTCGCTCAGCAGACAGGGCGAAGACCTCGGGCTGCGTTGGCTCCTGTGCAGATTCGCTCTTCAAGGTTCACCGCCGTCGCCTTCTTCCCTCATCTTTTCCTTCGTCGTTCCATCGTCTGGGCCTCTTGCGGAGTCTTGGGTCATTAAGATCCCTACAACATTGCGGGGACTACTCCCCGCTTCGCTGCTGGTGGATTTGATTCAGGGCGGGTTCCCGGATGAAATTTCCACTCAGAACTGGGGATCTGGATGGAATTTTCTTTCAGGATCCTCAGGGCCTGACAGCAAAGAAGCTAGGTGAAGAGGACACGCTGTTCGCGCCCCTTCATCATCATCATCAGTACATGGAAGAGTGTCTGGGAGGGTGCTGAAAGCGACAAGAGCCGCAACGCCAAAGAGCGTGGCGGAGCGAATGCAAAAGACAACACATTTTTGACGCGCGTCTAGATTTAAGCTAGGAATTGAGCCCCGCGGCGCCAGCCGCCGGCAGGGAAAGGTAAATGCAAAAATGCCGAACGTCTGCACATAACGTGGGGGGGGGTGCAAAGATGAGCAGAGCGCAGTGGGACCAGAGCGCGCCGGCAGAACAAAGCGCCCGGCAGTTCACTCCTTCTCGCAATCTTTGACACGACAGCAACACAGACCCCTTCGTATCACCAAACTGCACAGCTACACAGTGGGAGAAGGAGTAAGCCACACTCCACAGCCCCTGGGCTGGGTTTTCACTCAGGGCGCGGGACCTGAGTGAAATTTTCATGCAGGTTCTCGGGTCTGGATGAAATCTTCACTCAGGATCTTGGTCCTGAATTTCAGAGCGCGAAAACGTGAAGACACCTTTTGCGTTTGTGGGGAGCAGCGGGCGCATCGGGATCCCGTAGAAGCTTCAGGCGTGCGCGGCGGTAGGGTTTGGATCACATGACCAACAGCAACACTGTGTATCTAAATCTACCTATTATCTGCAATGGAAGAATATTAATATGACATTTTTCCAGTACAAGAAATAAGTCTGGCCTACACCTGCCTTTCTTTCTCCGTGGGATAGTATCGTCCTTGTACACGGCGATCCGCTTTCTATACTCCGTGGTTTGTGGACACCCGTCCAAACTCCGTGGCCGCGATAGGTATGCATTGCAAATATGTTTCTTGGGTCTAGAAAGTTGTGATGCCAAAAGTGCTCGAATGATATGAAGCCTGTGCTAGAGGCGGGCCACGCATGACAAATTTCTGTGCAGCTATGTCTAGCGTGAACTGCATGACAAGCGAGAAGCACTGTAGGAGCGCAACAAACAAGAAAGAAATGGATTGACATACCAGGGTCTCAGCGTTCTTGTCTCAACGTTCTTGAGGCCGACGGGAAATCGTCTCAACGATCGCCCGGCGACCTCAAACAACGGTCGTTGGCAGTGGCGGAGAGGTAAGCCCGCCACCATTGATGCAAGGCGAGGGCGGGCGGTGACACACAAGAGGCGCAAGAACGCGGTAACACACACACGCGCAGGGGCGCGGGCGCGAAAGAACCCAACACAAGCAGAGGGAAGACTCGTCGGCCAGGGTCGTCGGCGGCCGGCCGGCGGCGGGTTCCCTGGCCGGCGAGCAGGACCACAAACCCCAAACCCTAGACCCTGAGCCCTAAAACTAAACGGTGCTGAAGTTGAGATGCCGCGGTCAACGTTAGAGCATTTTGTCTCATAGTTGAGACAAATGGGCGTAGTTGAGATTCTGGTTTGTCAATGGGCGTAGTTGAATGTCTGTCTTGTCGGCCAACCAGGATAAACTTGCATTCTTCCACGACACCCAGAAATATTTGCAATGCATATTTCATCCAGGTGGCCCTGTGCCGATTTTACGCCGAGTGCCATGGCCGCGTTTGGTATCAAAGGCAAGCAGTTTCGCCTCACCAAAAATCCTGATAAGTGTACGGCTTTACACAAATAAAAATGCATCGTCCTGCGAGTAGACGTAGACCACGAAAGAAAACATACAAATCCCCCTAGATCTTCTTCCAGTCGCTCCATAGGAGCGAAAACACACAAAAACAGAGGCTGCTGAGGTATTGGGCAACGCAATGTGATCATGACCAGCAGCCACAGCCTCGGCTTACAAAACACACAGCACGCAACCTCTTGCGCTAACGATACTTTATGCAACATTTCAGACGAGACCGCATGTCGACGTGGACGTGGTCCACTCGTTTATTACATCTCTGGCTCGTCTCTCACATAGGAATTTGCCATCATGGCGATTTCAAATTACAAAGGCAGCGAGCTTGTTCACTAAAACATAGTACATTGATGCTTTCTACTTCAAACAACTTCCAACGCAAGACTGCTTCTCTACAGCGTGCGAAATCTACCTGCGTTTGATACTTCTGACAACCGCTGCAAAAAAGCCTAAAAAAAGCCGCAACAGAAAAAGCGGACATAGGTGGGGCGCCGGGTGATTTTTTGGCACCCATCTGTCCCCGTTGCCGGCCGCAAACGCAACGGCCCGGGCTGCGATCGAAAAATCACAGGAGGTAGGCCTCTAGGGGGGCTCACTCAACGGGCGCGGCGCCTGGTGGATACTTATAGGGCGCCCGCCCGCGCGTCGGGCCGGCGGCCTTGTCCTCGGCCCCCAAAGCCGAGGCCAAGACGCGGAGCACGCAGGTGGGGCGCCGGCGGGTTTCTTGGCAACTTCGCGACTGGAGGACGGATGGTTGGATCGCAAAGGCATCGGCCAGGGCTGCGAAAGAATGAATCCCAAGAAAACTAACAAGCGGACTCGGGTGCGGCGCCGGGTGGTTTTGGGGCACCCACCTCCTACTTTCTTGCTAACGGTCCAAAACGCCACGCCCTGCGGTTCTGAAAAGCGCAAGCAGGCGGGCGGGCCACGATGCGGCGCCACCCCCCCACGCACAGAGGGCCTGCCGGGGGGCGAGGGGCTGGGAATAAGACGAAGAACAAGCAGAAGCAGGCTCCGTGGGTGGACATGGACGGGTCGGCTAGCTTGCTTGGGGGCGCGCAAAGGCCTGGGCGTCGGGGCATTATTTTCCCCAGAAGCACCACGAAACCCGCCCGCGCTGTGCCGGCGGGCCACACCCCCTGTGTGGCGCCAGATGGCCAAAGGCCTCCAAGCGGGCGCGCCATACCGTGCGCCCCAAGCGTGGGCGCATGCCCATGCGTGCGCAAAGTTCTCTCGGGCACCGCAGCGGCTGCCGAGACGCGGGCGCGGCAATGAATCGGCGCAACCCGCTGGCGCCGAAGATAGGGACACAGAATAAACCACAAGGCAGGCCACGGCCCAACGCGGGCAAGGGCAGCGGGGGGGACTACCTTCTGCGCCTACCATAATGCTCTGCCTCACACGAGATTTGTCTGAACGCGGCCACACTTTGAAACACGCAGAAAAAAAAACGCGAATCTTGACGGTATGATCGATTTTTCTTTGGGGTCGGCAACGGCCGGGAAGATCACTCGTTTGCCCTCTATACTACAGCGTGCGAAATCTACCTGCGTTTGATACTTCTGACAACCGCTGTCACCGTCTTCGCGGCAAGGTCGAGAACGGTGTGCGCCACCGACGCCAAATGGTCCGCCACCGACGCGGCTACAGCAGAGCCGGCAATTGCGTGGGAGCTAAAGGAAATGGCGGGCACAACAACTTTGGCGGCCGCCGCGTAACCAGCGACGACAGCAAAAGCCGGCACAACGGTGTTTCGCACGAAATCAAGGAACGGCTTCTCGTATGCAATGCATACATGTCTGAGTTTGGGAATATTAGCACAAACATGCCAAGAACTTGCGATGATGATGAAGATCCTATCATGCTTACTAAAAACTCGTCATCATAACAAAACTGTCATGCCAGAACAGATGAACAGGCGCTTCGGCATTACTAGTCCTGCACAGAGGCTGTATGTCAGTGTGGTCATGTGCTGCGCATGCAGAGGCGCCCACCAGTACTCTGCAAACGTCGACACCTGGATCATTTTTGCTCCACTGGACAACTGTTTCCCCATAGTGCTCTTCGAGACGCAGACACATTTGCGATCTGTAATTCAATAAAGCCCTTTTCCCGCTTCACAAGCGCAACGTCAACTTATGCCTTGCTCAGCTGCAACTGGAACAACTGCAGGAGGAACAATGTACTATTACAGCTTTATGCCTGAACCCTCTTTCCCCGAACAGCATGACCACCCGCGACCCAAAATTGGTCTTCGACGCTTTTGTGTCGTGCTCTGTTTTCCTGCTCGAGGACGAATCTCATGCGCACGTAGAGAAAGGCGCAGCCCACGGAGGCTTTTCGAAGCTTCAGGGAAGCGGGGTGCGCGAGCCTGACCCCGCAGGCACATAGTGCGGCAAATTGCGAAGCGGGGCCCTACTTTGTAAAACATAACAGATGCAGCATGCTCGGGACGAATCTTGCGTAAAAATGATTTTGCAAAGCAAGGAGGCTAGGGGCTAGCCCTGCAAAGCTCGGCCGTGCTATGTCTCCCTCCGCTCATTGCAGGGGCTAAGAAGCAGCATGCGTTCGCCCGTTGGATGTTGATCTTTCTCACGCGTACAATGCTAGCGCAGACAGGGTAAAAGAGAGAACAAAGCATCCTACGGTGCCCAAGGCCGCGAAGTCTTAAACTTTCATTTACATCGGGGGCGAAAATCCGCGAACGCGAAGCTTCAAGATTTATAACTTCATATTGGACAGGAAGGGAAGGGGGCAGGTTGGTGGGGCGACAAGCAATCGTCTCAACGATCGCCCGGCGCGGCAACCGGGGCGAAGGTGCGCAACACAGCCAAAGGAGAGAATCGCCCGCCAGGGCGTCTGCCCTGGCCGACGACCAGAACAAACCCTAGATCCTAACCCCGAAATCTGAACGGTGCTGAAGTTGAGACGTCGGGGTCAACGTTGGGGCGTTTTGTCTAAACGTCGAGACAAATGGGCGTAGTTGAGATTGAGTCTGAGGGAGGAGTACATTACAAGCTTTGTGCCGTGGGTAATTATTTCGTGTTACTTTCGATATCTTGATAGCTTCGAATATTCTATGTGCTAAAAATCACGAACATGACTGCGCATTCAATGATGATGTTCATCGTTATTCGGCATTGTCACAGCCCATTGTTCCAACCAACATTGATGATGCTCCAGCTCCAGGGCGTGCCGTACAACTTTCAGTCCGTTTAAGGATCCCACGTCAAAGTACACGCCCTTGTTATGCAAAGAAAAAAGTGCAGCTACAGCAACAGCTGCACGTTGTGTTGCAGACCAAGCAACAGTGGCAAGCTCTGATGTCATACACAAAATGCTTTCGAGGAGCCTCGTTTCATACGTGTTTTTCCTTCTGGTCTCTGTATTGCATTTGCAAGTTTTATTCTTTCTCGCCATGCAGAGAAAATTTGTCCTCGTGTATGCTGAATCGACAACAAATGTGTCACTGTAAGACTTTTTTCGTGGAATACAACTCGTTCACGCACCTCCAGTCTGGCCTTCGTAATCGCGTTTCCGGCAGCGGCGTGATATGAATTGCAAAAATGTCTGGGTCTGGAAGGTGCTGACACTTGTCATGCACGTTTTGCATGAGCCATGACGTCTGTGATGCATACCCTAGCAACACAGATTTTTTGAGGGCTTCTTGATGCCTATTCCGCATGACAAATGCCTTCTCAGCGAAGCAAAAATTGCATTCCCTTTGCTACTCATGCAATACAGATTTTTTTGGAATCCACATGCCGCATCACAAGTTGCCATCTTCCAGACCCAGACATTTTTACATTTGATACGTGATGGGCAGGCATGTCCAATCTGGGTCTTCGCTCTCGATCATACGGAAAACAGCCACCAGTCCAAGATGTTTTTCAGAATAATATAAAATGCATTTGATTTTCGACGAGGACACGAAAAATAAGGCGTTCTTGTTCTTCCATGATCTGGAACGACAAATATAAAGTGATCCTCTTGCCAGTACGTAGTTGTAGAGGCAGCTGCAGTGCGACCTCCAACTTGGGAGGTCGGGGGGCAGCACAGAAAAAAAAAACCTCCGCGCCACTACTGATTTCTATGGAGCTTTCCTTCTGCATCTAGCTGTTGTTCCACCCTTTCTTTAACTTTATAAGCTCATTAATTTTGTGGGACGTTCATCACCTCGCTCGACGTTGACACTCTGGTGGGCTAGCAAGCTTCCGTGTGATAATATTGAGAGGAAAAATCCCCCCCCTCCCCATATTGAAAACGCATTCGCCCGAAAATTTGTGACGCAGATTTGAGGGCACAAATCCTGTCTGTATTGCAAGAAGGCAAAGCCAGAGAGTCCGCCGCATTATGCAGGCGGTTTGTGATGCTGTTGGGCTTACAGAGCCGACATCTGTCACGCTGGCCCCCTACGTCAAAACCTCTCGACCCAGGCTTGGCATATGCCTGCAGTCCTCTCCAGCAAGACAGACCTGATTTGTGTACGCAAATCCAGCATCAGAAACTTCGTTTCGATATGGGGAGGGGGGATTTTTCCCTTTGATAGATAATGAGGTCTTGGACAGCAGCAGCACTTGTAGCTTCGTGTCCGACTGCCACCAAGGCACGAGAGTCCTGGTCCCCCTGCACGGTTTGGCGTGGAGTTCCTGGGAAAACTTTGTTCTTCACCCACGTGAAGAGACCACCGACTCCTGCGCCCTTAGCGCGATTCCATAATGATGGTTGGCGATGATCCTGCACAGCGGGCGGTGCGGAAACTGGGGCTTGTTGAGGGCTTTGGGGCCCACTGTATGGAAGCGAAAAGGATCGTAATCGACAGAGTTGAAATGCTTCGTAATGCTATAAAATGGATGTGGATGCCAGTTCTTGGAAGCTCACTGTCACTTTATATTAAGCGGCGCGTGACAATAAATTTCCCGGCCATCGGAATCCAATTTACGTTGCTGTCTGGGCAAAAAAGAAGTGGTCCCTTGCCGTGCTACTTTAGTAGCTCTGTCTGCAACCCCAAACTAACACGCCTACAGTCGCCCTTACTTGCCTGCCCTGCGATACAGATATTTTGGGGGTTCTTGTATTTCATGCATGACAAACTAATTGTTCAACTTTGTGGATTTCGATCACTGGTGCAGAGCGTTAACGAGGGGTCCAACCGTCCGCCAGTTTCAGTTTCCGCTTTCCATCATCACACAGAAAAAAGCTGGCACACCATATTCATACCCATACCAAACAGAGGATGAAAACCAAGCACAGAGGGCAGTATCATAAGCGAATCTTGAGCATCTGACTCAGACCCCCACGCAGCCTAAATTTTCCTTTTCATCCCTTTCGCTTTGGGTCGTGCATTCATTTTTCATTTACGCCGCACAACATGGCATGCTAGCTTTTTTGTTCTAGGATAGCGATTCCTTCCGAACGGCCTGGACTTGGAGGACCGAAAATTCTCCTCGTGACACGAGCCCGGGAGGAGTCACGTGTAGTAAAGTTGAAAAAATCTCCCCCACTGGCGCCCCTACGGGTTTACTATTCTCAAAGCACAAACAAGAAATGCAAAAAATCTCCTTACTAGTAATACAGGAAATTATAGTACAGTTTCAGTTTGAAATGTAAATCAAACAACGGCCATGAATTAGTATGTTTATAGTACTGGGTTTTTGCGCCGTTTGTTTTCCGCTTTTGTTCGCGGTGTTCTATACAGCGGCCACGGAACTGCTGCTGATGCTCTTGATGCAAAACAATCGGATACCACGTAGCTGAAAGTTCTTCCCGGCCTCGAGAGGGAGAGACTTACTTTTCACCGAATAAGCCGTGCGCGACCAGGACCAACTTGAGCGCCTTGACGGCAAGCTTCATCCTGATTTTATAATTTCCGGCGAAATTTTTTCTCCACCCGGTCGCGCGGGTTCTTCGACAGGTCCAGTGTGCGTCTTCGTCTCTGTAGTTCTTCTCCTTTCGCACGTCGGTTGTAAATGTTCACTCTATCTTCCACCGGTGTGGCACCGGTCGGTCTGTTGCAGAGTAGTTCGATATATATGCTTTCTGAATGTTGGAAAGGTTATGTCTAGACATTGTTGACAGCGAAAGAAGAAAAACCTCTTTTTCTCTCGGAACAAGGCATTCGTTACGTTGCTTTTTACTCAGAAACATATACACTCTCAGTTGTGATATTGCATCGAATGACGCAAAAGTTTATCCCTACTTCTCAATATACCTTTTCTACTTCGGCGTCCTCGCTGTCCCCCCCGGTTTGGTGGATGAAGTAGCGCAGCTTCTGCAAGATTTTTTGTCCTCCCGGTGTGGCCTCTATCAACCGCAAAGAACTACCTCCCGACCGCTCTGGGTCTGGAAAGGCAAAGGAGTTGAATAATGGCAGAAAGCTCCTGCTGCATGAATCATGCAGTAGGCACGAGTTTTTGCGCTTGTCGGCAATTGCGTAGGTAGGTGCTACTTCTATTGGAAAGTAAAATTCTAATCCCTATCCCAAAGGGAAGGTTGAAGATCAGCGCTGTAAGTAGCAGAGCTACGTGAAAACAATAAAATCCTACGAAACACTTTCGTTCACACCGAACGTGGTAGAATCATGCCTCAAAATTTCTTTTAGGCTCAGGCAAAGGAAATAAGAACGTTCCAACTTTAGCTTCCAGACACAGAGGTGGTCGCGATCGAATTTATTTTCATATGATAGCAGGTTCGTATCGCGTGGACGTGCTTGAGAAGCTGTGCTAGAATCGCATGTGCTATCAAATGTAAAAGTTTCTGGGTCTGGAAGATTCTGAGACTTGTCATGCACGGTTTGCATGAGCCATGATGTCTGTGATGCATGCCCTAGCATCACAGATTTTTTGAGAGCTTCTTGATGCCTATTCCGCATGACAAATGCCCTCTCCGCGTAGCAAAAGTTGCATTCTCTTTGGTACTCATGCAATACAGATTTTTTTGGAATCCAAATGCAGCATCACAAGTTGCATTCTTCCAGACCCAGACATTTTTACATTTGATAGACGCCGACTTGATCTTTCTTCTCGTGCTGGTTCTCGGGGTGGCCGGTCGTCCTGGACGTCTTTGGTCTTTGTTCCTCGCTTATTAAATGTAAAAATGTCTGGGTCTGGAAGAATGCAGGTTTGTCATGCTTGTCTGGCATAACTCTGAAATCTGTCATGCACGTCACCCAAGAGCTCCGCTTTTCTGTGATGCAGAAGCGCAGTTTGTCATGCAGAATAGGCAACACCTAGAAGCCCAGAAACTTGTCATGCTGAGCCAGCATTTGTGGCCTCATCATGAGACGCCACCCAGCATCACAAGTTTCCAGACCCAGACATTTTTACATTTGATAGACGTCGACTTGATCTTTCTTCTCGTGCTGGTTCTCGGGGCTGCCGATCGTCCTGGACGTCTTTGCCTTTGCCTCTCGCTGTGTTCGGTCCTTGGACACTTCGTCGAGAGGGTAATTCTATTCCGCGACGTCGAACAGGAAAGTCGTGAGCAGGCCTTTATTTTGTAGTAAAGTGAAAGTACTATAGTGCAAGAGCGCTTTCAAAAATATTCTTGGTGATGGCGCCTGATCAACATTGTTAGAAGCGCATAAAGAACTTCTGCCCCGGCTAACTTTGCACACGAACAAGATTTAGCAGATACACAGCTAAAACGACGTCAAGGTAATTGATTCTAGGAGCGTCTGTAGCTTCATTTCCGGAGAAGAACGATGATTTACGCCGTACCTAAGTATCAAACAAAAAAGTAAAATTTTAGTTTTCTGTTTCAAAAAACTACTCTTACACTTCCATACACACTAATGAAGAGAGAGAAGGGGATAAGACGTAATCAGTCCCTGGGAAAGGAATTTATTATGTGGTAGAACTACAAGTACAAGAGGACTTTATGTAGTTACTACCCTTCTTGCCCCTAGCAACCGAGAACGTCTACTTCGGTGCTACGCGAGTCTCTTTCACGACCAAGAGAAACTTCTAAGACCGACGAGGGAAAAATATTATACCAACATGTTCATCATGGCCGACCGACCGAAGCGCTTCTTTGTACACGGTACTTGTTCACGACAAAGTGGAGGTGGCAAGGGCGTAACGACACGACAATGTCATCGCACGTACCGACGCACAGCACGCTATGCTACTCTCGCACGAGGACACCGATCAATTTCAATCGCATTTTTCGCAACAACTAAAGTAAGTAGTATCCGAGGAAACATAGGTCGTGTATAAACATTGGGTGCGCTTGCACAAAAACGCCGTGAGCCCAAAAATGCCCAGGTGCAGGACACGTACGACATAGAACCGAAGCGAAGAACTCAGTGGAGAAATATATCCAAACCGACTTTCAAGAAGTACGCGGCTGGAAATTATTTCTCAGAAAACCGATCATGCTGTAATTTGGGAAGAGATGAAGTTGGCCGACTGATAGAACAATCCTCTCGGGATTATTGATTCCAACGTAAAATAAGCTGCATAGGGAACTCAAGCCAAATTCGCAGAGAATTATAGAAGTCCGTAGCTTCCTCACGCTTCTTTCGCGACACCGGAAGCAAAAGCGCCAAGAAAGACGCTGGCGCAGAAGTGGCGGACTTCATGAGAACCACGCGCGGACTTCACCGAGCTTTTTTCGCAGGACTGCTCAACGCAGTCAAGAGCTGGCACCCTATCTGCTGCGGGGCTCAATTGATTGCAAACCCCTTCGCGGGTCTCGTGAGTGGAAGCCTTTACCTCTAGCCACGCAGCATGACGGGTGTGTTCTTAGTCCAACACCAACCGACGGCCCACATCGAATAAATATAAAAGCTCATGATTTATATTTTTCATTAGTTCCCGTAAAGACCTGAATGCAGCGTCAGGCCTGCCTTCCTGCGTCGAAACAAATTTGTAAGAACGCATATCCGACAAAAACGAAATGATATAGTACTGCTATGTAAAAATATACGTAGACGCAACTTGAGTTTTACGCTCGGACATGTCGCGATTTTGTGCGTAGATCTGTGTCCTCGTTGTTCCTGCAGCCATTTTCAATCGTGACGTCAGGAGCCTTCTCCCCCCCGTGGTCCCCTTTTTGTTTTGGGGCCGCGCCGATGCATTTCGTTGACAATTAGAATTACTAGTACACCGAGCAGGTGTTGTTAAACGTCGGGATAAAAAAAAACATAAATTCGTTGTGAAGTAGAAATAAAAAACTTGTACGAACTTGAACATGATATTGTTGTTGTATTTCACTTTCGCCAAGACCCACTCAAACCTCATATAAAACATTTTCATCAATTGCACTAGCAATGGTTGTATCGTGCGCCTGTCGGCAATTGAGAAATCCTTGAAAGACAAAGATATCGTACAGTGCGTGCTAGTAAACGAAATTCAAAAAGGAAAATACACTCATTAGCATCAAAAAGCACAAGCACAACGGCCACGACATCTTGGTGATGGAATAAAAACATGAAAAATAATCAAGTAAAATGTATTGTAGAAGATGCATTTTAGCATTTTCATTTCATCAGATTGAAAGCAGCAAGAAATAAACTTGCACGAACACTACTTCGGCGGCCACAATCTCGTCCTCGTGCTCACCGCCGGCCCCTCTCGCGGCGTCCTACACCGGCTGATTCGCCCCGTCGGCGCGGTCTGCGAGTAAGTATGTATATGCGTTTTTTTTTTCGATCGTTTCTTCCTTGCATGCAAAAGAGCCCAAGTGGCGACACCACTAAGAAAAATAGATTTGCAATGGCTGGTGCTTAACGGGGGCAAGAGACAACCATTCTCATCGTAAGTTGTAATAAAGGGTGATAGCTGCAAAGCCAAAGGTAAAGGAAAAAGAGAAACAATAGCAAAGCATTGATAATTAATACCATCTCCCGCCGGCTTGTTTTCCTCGCCCGCCGGGTTGTTTTTTCCGTCCGGCTCCGGCGTGCGGCGCTGCAGAAAGCTTCGAGAATATCCTGTTGGAAAGCGCCCCTAGTACTACCACAGAACTACTTAGAAGGAGCAGTAGCAATTGCATTGCAAAGTGGCCTCATCTCGCTAATGGAGACATTCCTGATCTTGCACCTGCGTCTAAAACATTTTCTTGAGGCAGGCTAACGAAATTCTGTGTTGCCAGCAACGCAGTGTGGTTCTGTATCAACAAGACTCATCGACGTGCTCTCCTGCATAGCTCTAAGAGTTTCGCTTTTCGAAACCTGAAATGCACGACCAGAAACTATACGTAAGTGTATACATTTACATCCTGTAGTTCAGCATTACATGCGGGGGGACTTTTCAATTTCATAAAGAACGTGACGGCACCACGACGACGGGCTCCGCCGGCGGAACGACGACCGGAGCAGTGGTATCAACTGCAAATATGTCTGGGTCTGGAAGGATGCGAACTTGTGATGCTGCAGCTGGATTCTACAAAAATCTGTATTGCATGAACAGCAAAAGCGGTTCAGTTTTATTTTCCATTGCGAGAGGACATTTCTCATGCGGTATAGGCATCAGAAAGCCCTCACAAAATCTGTGATGCTAGGGCATGCATCAGAGAGGACATCAGGACTCATGCAAAATGTGCATGACAAACCTTGCATCCTTGCAGAATACCCAGACACTTTCACATTTGATAAGTGGTTTGCCGCTGCAGAAAGCTCCGCGGGCGAGACGGCACGACGACAGGCGGCGGCGCAGCGGGAGCAGGGGGAGGCGCGCTCGCGTCGAGGGGTGGGTCGCCAGAACGTTTTTCGCTCACGTCGTTCGCGCTGATAAGGTCCTTCTCGTCTTCCTCCGCTTGTTCAGTCGCGCCGCGTTCCAGAAAGTCAGGTTGCGTGGTCTCAACATCCCGCGGCAAAACTGCGGCATTCGTGACAGGACCTTCTTGTTCGCCAGCGGCCTCCACTGCAGGATCCGCGGTCGTGTCCTGTTCGGGTAGGCCGGGAGGGGTGCTGTCGCGGCTCAGCGTTTCCGCGATGTTGTCCCCGTCCGATTCAACGATGAAGGAGTTTCCAACCGGCGGTGTGACGGCGTCGTCAGACGCAGTGGCGGTCGGAGTAGAAAGGAAGGAGGACAGGGACAGTTTTGTCGAGGAACCACCACCGCTGGCGTCGGCGGTTTTTGTCTCGTGGTCTCATGATCATGAAATCATCCCCGATGCCCTGTAACTGATCCACATACAGACAGAGGAGAAACTTCTACGCCCAACAGCTTGAGACGTTGAGGGTCGTCTCGAGTGCAGAAAGGCCTGCTGTGGCCACAGAGTTCTCCGCGCACTGGTACAGGTACAGCAAGTCGAAATATGATTTATACTTTTTTGAAAAACGACTTTGATTGCAGTCTTGCAACTTTTTTTTGGTTGCAGCTTTGCAAAACTACGTATCTCGAGTTTCACAAAATGGACTACTTGGAACCCGAATCAAAAGACTAATATGCTTAGAAGGCATTTCGATTTTCGCTTATTTACCACTGAAGCTCATCAGGAACAGGGGCTACGGGACTAAATTTTCGCTGTGATACGTCTATTACCTCCTCCGCCAGTTCGGTGAGTGCCTTTCCAGCAGCCGGGTCAACCGCTGTCAGTGTCAGTTGGAAATTTTCTCCCACCCCGCGGTGAAAACTTTTGTTCCGGGTGCTTGTACTGTTTCATGCAGGGTCAGATGCAACTGCTTTTAATATATTCAACGAACTCAGAATCAATCACTACAGGAGCTGATAAACATCACAGCAGCTCCTCCTGCGAGGACGTAGACAAGGGAAACCACTGTCGTCCTGCAAGCGCGTCGTTTGGCGCGCTGCAGCGTGTAGTGCGACCGAGCACTCGATTGCACTTTTATGTTTATGTATGCCTATGCGCAGCAGTATAACCAATTACACAAGGAGCGATGCGGTGTGAGAAAAGGCTTTTCTTGATGATACACACCGTGTCCCGTTTGGGGAGGCCCAAATCTGCTTCATCTTCCGGCCTACACGAGTGCGTGTATGGAAGTGGCTTCATTTTTGCCCAAACGCGTCGGAAAAAATTCACGATGCCCGCTTGCCCGGACTTCTTCTTTCGTGAATTCGTCTTGTCCCAGACGGTTACCAGATTGATTGCGGCCTTGGTATGTTCTTCCAGCGTGTTTTGCGGAAAATTTTTTATTTTTACAAGGAGACCTGGGACAGGTTCTTGGCCTTGTTTTGTTTCCGGCAGGGACTTTGCATCGGCGCCAGCTTTGTCATCCGTCATGGGATATCAACTGTAAAAGTGTCTGGGTCTGGAAGAGTCATGCTGTTTCTGCATGACACAGAAGGTCTGGCATGGAAGCTCTAGCATCACAGGTCTCGAGAAGCTTTCGCAATGCCGAACCCGCATGACAAATCCCACATTTTGGTGACAGAAAGTGAGTAGCTTTTGCTACCTATGCATGAGAGATTTTCGCGTGTTCTGAAATGCGCATCACAGGTTACATCCTTCCAGACCCAGACATTTTTGCAGTTGATATGGGACCCACCTCCGGAAAGTCGCGGCCCTGAAAGACTGCAACCACATTTGCCTCATCGCTCAGGATATCAAATGTAAAAATGTCTGGGTCTGGAAGATTCTGAGATTTGTCATGCATATTTCGGATCACGCAAGTGGCGTCTGATGCAGGCAAAAGCATCACAGGTTTTGAGCACGCCTCATGATGCCTGTCCCGCATGAGAAACTTCCTACTTGCGTGCCAAGAAATGGACAGCTTTTGGCGCTCATGCAGCACAAATTTTTGTGTGTTCCAAAGTTTGCATCACAAGTTCCAACCCTTCCAGACCCAGACATTTTTGCATTTGGTACAGGAGTTTTGTAAGACGTGTGCGTAGCCAGGAGGTTTGTCGCAACGTTCTCCTTGTTTCGTCTAGCACTTTTTGGGCTTGATCGTCCTCCGGCCCGTTGCTTGATACAGGAACCACACCTGAGTCCTCGTCCGGTGATACGTAGCGAACGAGCGCTCCATTCGTCCTTCCTTCAAGAATGTAACTGGGTGTGGCTGCGATTTCCTTTACGATAAGTCGCTCGCTTTGAGGTTTCGGCGCGTTGATGATGTCAGCGATGTCAACTTCTTCGTCAGCACGTTCTTTTTCGGGTTCTTGCTTTTGCTCCTCTTCCCGCATCGTGATCTTGTACAGCGAATAGACTTCCAAGTTCGTGAACACCTCCTTCGTTGCATACCAGACGGGCAACATGACTGGCACCCCAGTACAACCGCCGGCGCCTCGTGCTTTTTGGTATTTTAAGTTTTCCCCTTCGCAATGCGCCAAAACGTGCATGTGGTCAACCATACTGCCCTCCCATGCGGGCCGCGTAACTTGTTCGTCAGCATTGCCGAAAATGAAAAACCCGATCCGCCCCTGGCTCATTTTGCTGTTGTCCGCTTCAATCACGTGGACTGGGACACCGTCGTTGTAAACGGCGATCCGCTTTCTGTATGTCCCGCTTTCAGATCCCAGTGTTTTGTCCAGATTTTTCTGCCCGACTTTGACGGCGATCCTCGTTCCCGTGGTTTTGACCAGATTACGTAGCCCCGTGTTTGCCGCCGTCGTGGCAAGAGCGGCAAGAGGTGCGAAGGGAAACACGGCAGTGCCGATCAGGGCGCCAACGCTATATCAAATGTAAAAATGTCTGGGTCTGGAAGAATTCACGTTTGTCATGCTTGTCTGGCATGACTCTTAAATCTGTCATGCAGGTTACCCAAGAGCTCCGTTTTTCTGTGATGCAGAAGCGCAGTTTGTCATGCAGAATAGGCAATACCTAGGAGCTCAGAAACTTGTCATGCTGGAGCAGCATTTGTAGCCTCATCATGAGACGCCACCCAGCATCACAAGTTTCCAGATCCAGACATTTTTACTTTTGATACGCTAATGGCGGGAACAACAACGTGGGCGGCCGACGCGATGCCAACGTTAACAGCAGCCGGCAGAGTATCAAAGAAAAAAAGTTCGTCACGATCACTCATGCGCATTCTTGCAATACAAAATTGTTTGTCATGCGTAAAAATGCATCACAGCCAAACTTCGTTAGGGATTTCCCTAGTGTTTCTGCAATACAAGAAAAGTTTGTGATGCTGAGAAGATTTGTAATGCAAAACCTGCAAGTTAGTGACTGTGACAAACTTTTTTCTCTCCATACAGAGCGGTGTTTCGTATGAACTCGAGCAACGGCCTTTCAATAATGCCCGTGTCCCGCTCTGCAATCACGACGTCAACTGTCAGCTTGTTCCTGGATCCCACTTTAAGGTAGTTGCCCTCGTTCACGCGCGTCCAGTCTTTCTTCCGCATTCTCGTTATGTATTGCAAAAATATCTGGGTCTGGAAAGCTGGAACTTGTGATGCTACTTTTGGACTCTACATAAAATCTGTATTGCATGAACAGCATAAGAGGCGCAATTTGTGCTACGCGGAGAGGGCATTTCTCATGCGGTATGAGCATCAGAAAGCCCTCGCAGAGTCTCTGATGCTAGGGCATGCATCACAGACCTCATGGGTCCTGGAAAATCTGCATGACAAGCTTCTGCATTCTTCCAGACCCAGACATATTTGCATTTGATACTCGTCGAAGGAAGAGGCTCGATGGGGAGGCAGGTCCAATCTTCGTGTGTGCTGAGGTCGTCGACCACCGGCACTAAGGCACGAGAAGAAGTGGCGGTCGCCATTTCCTCCTTCTGGTGCGATACACTTCCACCACCTCCCCTCAAAAAATTCTGTGCCCGCGAGAGCAAACCGCCCACTGTGGCTTTAGCGCGACCAAAAATAGAGCCCTGGTCGGCCTTAGCGGCCGGTGCGGATGCGGTACTACCATCGGTTTTTTGACGGTTTTTGGGTTCGTCGCTCTTGTGGTCCGTGCCAGACGAAAACCATGACCGTCTTGTGGGCCACCATCCGCCACCTTCAGTTTCTGTGGCTTTAGCTGGTTCAGTGGCTGGTAGTTTGGATGCGGAATCTACGGGTTTTTTTTTGGAGGACTCCTTCTCACTGCTGCTGCCACGCGAAAACCACGAAAACCATCCGCCAGTTTCAGTTTCTGTTTTCCATCATCGCACAGAAAAAAAGCAGCTGGCGCACCATAATATTTATGCCATAATCATAATGCCAAAGAGAATATGCTGGAAAGGACAGCGCTTTATGCGGGAGGACTGGGCATGTTGTTCATGCTGTGCAACCCTGATGTCATTTCCTTTTCCATCTTCCCTTTGAGTTACGCTTTTACTTTTTCATACATAATTTGCATCAAAAAACACTACAGCGTGCTAGCATCGTTTTCTGCGATATCGATTCCTTCTCCTGGACGGCCTCGACTTGGAGAATGGAAAATCCGCGGTGTGATACGAGACCGGGAGCCACGTGAAGTGAGGTTGAAAATCTTCCCTGCTGCCACGAAGTTCTTCTTTGAGATCTCAAGAATTTGAATTTGAAGAACGGCGGGCCACCACGCGAGCTCTGTATACAAACTTTTCGCGTCGTCCTTTCTGTTTATATATATTTCGAACTGGTGTTCTACAATACTTACTACTGGCCGCGGTCACATTCTTTTGATGAAAAATCCCGGACCCGCGTGGCTGAGTCTCATCTTAAGGCCTCGAGCGGGGAACATTTTCCGCTGAATAAAAGGTGCGCGACCAGGACCAACTTGAGCGTTTGTGTGAGCTTCATCCTGCTTTCTCTGGTATCAAAATGAAAAAAGCCCCCACCCCATATCAGAAGCGGAAGCTGCGCGAATTTGTGATGCTGTATTTGAGCACACAAATCGACTTGTATTGCTAGAAGGCCAAGAGACGAAGCTGCGGCCTAAATTGCAGGCAATCTGTCATGCTGTTCCCCACTTCGAGTTCCCTCCTGTCATCCTGGAGCTGCAAGGCTTTCCCACGCTAGGCAGCACTACAGTCCGCATCTTTTGCCTTCTAGCATCACAAAGCTGATTTGTGACCACAAATCTGCATCACAGATTTTCGGTTTGATATGGGGAGGGGGCATTTTTCATTGTAATATCTGGCGAAATTTCTTCACCTGGTCCTCGCCCGGCTTGGAGATGCGGTTCGACAAATCGATAGTAGGTTTCAATATTTCGACCTCTTTTTCTCGTTTATTTGCACATCGTTGTACTGTTTCGACATTTCATTTTTCACCTGAGTTCTTATCCCTCGATCGCGATCCAATTGAAAAAGAAAAACAAAGTTCCATAAAGAGTTTAAAACCAGTCGGAATGGTTGGTATATGTGCCTACTTCTTGAAATTGTTTTGTCAGTGGTACTAGAGAGAAAACTGCAAGTATTTTTGATACGGCAATGTTAACATCATAAAGAGAGTACTAGAGGGGATAAGACTTTCGTACAAATAATCCCTGGGAAAACATAAACCATCACGTCGTGGTCACGAACAAGAGAAATATGTACTAGCAAATCAACATAGAGGAGCAAACTACAAACACGTCTTAGGTAGGCGAGTTTCAGTCACCGCGAAGAGTGGTTTCCAGGAGACCGACGAGGGAATATTTAAGTATATTATCCAACAGCGTTATTTTCAAGGACGACCAACCGAAGCGCTTCTGTACTGTACGGTGCTTCTAGTTCACGAGGAAGCCAGAGGTGCGGAACCACACGACAGCATCATTCTCGATTGTGCCGACGCGCTAACATTTGACCTCCACTTGGGAACCGACAAATTATCGCAACAAATTAGTTAGTAGTAGTACTATCCGAGGCATAGCTGTGTTGAGTGCATATACAGGAGGACAGCGCGGCCAACACAAAAATGCTCACGACCAGGCGATGTACGACACGGAACCGATATATACTCAATGGAGAAATAATCCAAACCGAGTTTCAAGTTGTACGCAGCTCGAATAAATTTGGCAAACCGATGAAGATATTGTCTCGGAAAAGAACTTAACCGACTGATAGAATTCTGCCGGGATTATTCATTCCAGCGTGAGTACAGGCCAAATCCGAAGACGCTCCGTTCTCGCATGGCGACACAGGAGGCAAAAGCGTCAGGAATAGAGCTGATCAATCCTTTATCTTTTTCTCTTTCAATATTTTCTTGAAAACAATCGAAAAAGTACAAGTTCGCGAATTATAGCGTCGTATTGCATTTACTATTTCGTTTCGAAGACCTGATAGATCTTGATATCAAGTGGAGTATTAAGTCGACATTTTGGTTCTGTTACTCGTTCAAACTACCTTCGTCAGCTCTTCTACCTCCGTCGCGGCTCCTCACGTGAAGTCCAAATCGTCGATATTTAAAGTTTTTGACCAAGCGATAAGATCATCCTCCCCACTTGTGCGCAGCGACCAGGGAGAGGCGGGCGTCAGCCGGGTGCTACGGCGAGACGGCGACGCGTGCCAGCGGGTCGGGCTCGTAGTTGAACTTGGGGAAGTAGACGACAGGCTCGAAGATACACCCAACTTCTTTTCCACGACCCGCCCAGCGTCACCTCCCTTCGGCGAGTTTGCTAGTGCTGGAGAAGCAGTTGTGGCAGCACCGGTGGTTGATGTAGACAACTTGTTTATGATCTCGTGAGGTCGCCGGGATGATGAACTTGCAGCCTGGTCCTTCCTTACATCCGCTGGTACGTTCGCTTTGTTTTCAACCGGTGTGGCACCAGTGCGGGTACTGTAGAGTAGTTCGATAATTTCTTGAACGTTAGAAAGGTTATTTGTTCTAGACGTTGACAGCGAAAAAACGGCTTCTTCTCTCGGAATGAGGCATTAGTTGCGTTGCTTTTTATGTACAAATACGAAATACGACCTCAGTGATATAAATTTCGTCGACAGAGACGCAAAACCAAAAGTTTCTTCGAATCCTGCTCAATATAAGTAGTACCTTTTCTTTTTCCTTGCTGCCCCGCCCGGTGACGATACCCCAACGCCAGTCTGGTGAAAGTAGTGCTTCTGCAAGATCTTTTGTCCCGGTGTGGGCTCTATCAACTGCAAACATGATCGCTCTGGCAGCTGTGGAAAGCCAACGGAGGTGCAGTATATGAAGCTGCTGCATTTTCGTCTTCGCAGCAGGCACGAGTCCATGCCCTTGTCGGCAATGCTTGGGGACTACTCATAGGTATCGAAGCACTCTACCTACTTAAAAAAATCCCGAGCATAGTTGTAGAATCATGCCTCAGTTAATCTTTTTAAGCTCAGTACCCTGTAGGAAACTTTCCAACTTCAGCTTCCAGACACAGAGGCGATCGACTTGATTTGCATTTGATAGGTTCGTATCGCGTGTAGCGCTGTTCCTTGAGATATGCAAAGAAAAAACCAGTTTCACTGTGATGATGTTGCAAGATCTGCATCACAAGTTTGGTACACATGAGACTAAAAACCTGTTATGCGCGTTTACCAAGGGAAAACACGCTTGAAATTCCAATGCCTTGCAGGTGTAGCAAGACAAATACTTCTGTGTTCCATTTTCTGCATCACAAGTTCACAGTGAAACAGTTTTTTCTTGCGATAGGAGAAGCTGTGCTATCGCGTCATCGACGACGTCGACTTCTCGTGCTGGTTGCGACCACCCGGGCTCTTGCCGGTCCTCGTCCTGGGCGCGATCATGATCTGCCAGCGGCAAGGGTTCTTCCTCCCTCTCGTCCGTGGAGCCGGCTCGTCGGTCAAAAACAGGAGCCTGGGCACCATGGGGTAGTTGTAGTTCTGTTGGTGTTGTTCCATGATGATCCTGCTGTGGCTGCCGTGGGTCGTGCTTCTGCTGCAGAGGCAACATTTGTGTAGTTTCTGCTGTTCGTGTTTCCCGGCGTGGGTCGGAGGCCGTGGGGTTGTCAGGAGCGCCGGGCGTTTGTCGGTTTTGTTTCGACGGACCACGCACTTCCTCTTCATGAGCTTTCCCTTTTCTTTCTTTTTCTGTCTCCGACATCGAAGAAGCAGCACCACTAGTGCTGTCGGCTTTAATATTAGTACTGGTCCACACAGGAGGAGGAGGTCGTGGACCTTCTTGTATTACGCTGCTGGCGCCAGATGAACTTGCGGTCCTTTCCGGGAGGAGGTGTTGGTGGCTTTCCTCCGGTTTTTTATTACCTGACATTGCGACTTTCGACGGCGTGAGCTGCTCGACCACTTGCAGCATGTTGTTCTGAAACTTCGCAAAAATGTCCTCCACGGCGGCGCTGCTGATAATTCCTGTAGTTGTGAGGGGCGAGGTATTTGACGGCGGTGTAGTTATTCTCCCCGTAGTTTCGATGTCTACCGCTTGTCGTGGCAAGAAATACTTTTCTTGTCCGCGATCCTGCTGAAGATCGTGGTCCGGAAGCGCAGCCCCGGTGTCGTCGTCCTCGTATCAAATGCAAATATGTTTGGGTCTGGGAAATTGCAAGACTTGTATATGCTCTGCTGACAGGAGACAAAGATCTGTGAAGTAGATGCACGTTCCGCTACCGCGCTGCTTTTTAGTATATGCAAAAACGCAGCTTTTCATGCAGTCTACGCAAGAACTAGTCCCTCAGAAACTTGTCATGCGTGTCCCCGCCATATTGGATGTTGCTTGTGATCCGCAGACTAGCATCACAACTTTCCAGACCCAGACATGTTTGCAATGCATACCTCGAGACAGACGTCCAAAGTTTGGCTGTCAGTGGACAGCCCGTACAACTTTTTCATGCTCTCGATCCGCAGGAGGCGTCGCTTCTTGTGCGTCAGGTTGGTTGTGGTGGCAAGATTGGTGGTTGTAGATAATGCTGCTCCGCTGCCAGCGCCACCTCCTCGTCGGTGGAGAGCGGCCATGCCGCTGCTCGCGCGCGGTCTCGAAGAAGGAAGACCGGAGGAGGTAGTTCTTCTCGCGAACTGAGACAGTCCAACTTCCGCGTGCCTGCCCTGGTCCGCGAGAAACTGTGCCAGCGCATCCTGTTGTTCAGCGGCCTCCTGCTGTTTCCCCGCCGCGGGAGAGGAAGATGAAATGGGCCCGGTGCGGAAATTGTAGTCGGGTAGCAGCTCCCGGGCTGCTGTCGTGCCATCCGCTTCTGAGAGCCGCTTTTCCGGGTGTAGCAAGCTGTTCGAGTACTTGCGGGTAGACGTAGGAAAGGCCTGGAGACTGTTGCTGGCGCGCTCCCAGTATCGGTGGTATTCGGTCAGTTGGTCCGATTGCGTGCGTCGCGACGAGGTACCATTTCCAACCGTACTCGAAATGTTTCCCCCGGCACGACGGTGGTCGCCGTGCTGCGCGAACTCGCTGACCTTGGCGTGGTTCGCGATCACCTGCGCCAGCCGGTACTCCTGCCACGGACCGATGTAAAGTGGCATAGTACGGCAAAAGTTTGGTAGGCGTTGGTGCCCGCGGGCGCTGGGTCGCAAGCACTACTCCAGCAGGATTGGATTTCTCTTTCCAGTTCTATTTCCTCTTCGAAGCGGTTTTCAACTGTCACTACGTGAAGTTGGAGATCCGCTGCCGCACCATTCAGGCTTTCGACAATCCCGGCAACGCGAGAGGCGGGGGGCATCTTGCGCTCGCCCTGGTAATACCGGCCATGTTTGTGTTCGTAAACAAAAAAAATCGTCTCAGGCTACTTGCTGTAGCTACGGAAGTTCGTTTCTGTTTCTGAATGAACAAGTTAGTAGCATAAACATCGTACAAGTTCGTTGACTTATTTCCAGACGACCCAGATCGATAAGCATTTGCATTTGATGATGTGATTGTATTGGTCGTCATCTAGCGTGGCAGAGGCAGACAACGAAAGCTACAAGATGATCCCATAGGACGATAACGAGGACCACGACAACGACCACTCTTTGATGCAATTGACATGATGTTTTCGTACGTTCTGCAGAGTGAGGCGGCCGAGCCGAAGTAAGGAGCCCTCTGGCTCCTACTAAGGTTTCTATCACCACTATTTCTGCGTGTTTCCAGCACTTAGCGTGTCTAGTCTCCACTCAACACGCTTTCTAGTCTTTCACTTTCTCTACTGCTCAATCGCTCGGTCTGCTCTCGTCGTCATCCGTCGAGATCATGTTGAACCTTTCGGAACGACCAGGCTCTCGCGTGCAGAACGCTAGCCGCTCAAGGCTCCCGCCAGGAGAACATGTTGCGCTGGCAATCAAGGGCTCGTCAACCGTTTCGAGTTTTTTTTCAAGGACAATTTTTGAGAGCAGAAATGATGTAGTAAGCATCGTCGTGCTATTGCATCTCGACAAAAGACTTTTGTTTACCGTATGTGCCCCGTGTCGTGCGGCTGAGCGGTTGAAACCGCAAAGACAACCGCGGTGTCATAAAGAAAAAATGATTCTTGTGGTTCCTCGTGTAGTTCTACCGGCATCTGCCTTTACACCAGGCCCATGACTTCTGGCGGTGAGCGGGGTCTTGTTCCAGCTGCTGCCTCGCCAAAAACTTTTGAATTGCCTCCGGAACAAACAAGACCGACCGTTTCAAAATCCTCTTCCACGTGCAACCGCAGCGTGTCGTCCGGCACCAATCTTCGTAGGTCGATTGGCAACCCCGTCCGGCCCACGTAGCCCGCGGTTACGGAAAATTTCACCGCGTCCCAACTTGTCAGCACTTTTCCGTTTGCAAAGAGTTTTAGTGGCGGGTACTGCAGATCGAGGGAAGTAGGGTCGTCGTTGTTGTCGCGGACATGGTCGCTATTAGGGTGTATATCCTGATGTAGAAATTCTTCTTCATCGTTTGAGGGAGACGAAGAGGACATAATTCCCGTGTTTTTTTCCACCGTGGCCGAAACATCAGTGATCCAAACCTGCAGCAGGTCCTGCTGGTCAGGGTCATCGAGGGGATCTGGTGCCTGTAGGTGCTTCTTGTTGATGCCCGAAGAGGAGGAGGAGGAGGAGGAGGACGACGTGGCAGGGGCAGAATTGAAGATCACTTCCTGCTGTTGACCACTACCCTGGTTATTCGCTGTCGTGGTTTTTTCATTTATCGTGGTGTTCTTGACCACCTTGCTCTTTGACTTTCGTTTTCGCATGCCGAGCCGGAACTGGAAATACCTCTGTCTGCCACCCAAGAACTGGGAGATGGTCGGAGAGCTGTAGAGGTCGAGGTCGTGCTGACACCAAGCCAGCTTTTTCCGCACGTTTCCGACCACCCACACGGCGGGGGAAAGAACCACTTTGTTGTCCAAAGACTTGACCTCCTCCTCCACGTGCATCACTGCTGGGTACTCGAGAATTTCGATTCCGACTGTGTCGGGCAAGGCGTACGGGGCGTCCAGCTTTCTTTTATAGTCGGCTGGAAGGTCCGGGAGGCGCCGGTAGGGGTGGAATGTATTCGGCGCGAACGTCGCCTCGCCCCACATCTCCCCCTCCGCGAGCTCCCGGGAGTACACAAACCGCACCTGATGCAGGTCCTGGATTGGTTTCAGTGCGGCGGGGGCAACATGCGTCACATCGTCTTCGAGAGCAGCCGTGGCAGTGGTAGATGAGGACTGTGCTTGTAGTTGCATCAGTGTTTGTAGTTCTCCTCTTCCCCCTCGTCGTGCCGCGTTAGCATCCAAGATGGTAGCCTCGGGCACCGGCGTGTCCGCGAAAAGAGCAAAGGTGATCATCGAGGACTTCGGTCTACAACTTGTACTTGTCGCGCTGGACAAGGTCATCTTATATTGCGGAAGCATCCTCCCGTCTTCCGTTTTTTGTGCACTACGAGAATCAAGCCGATTAGAAGTTTTCCCATCCACCTGGACGCCTACCAACTTGCTTCCACGCTGTCCAAGACCCTTCTGCTCCTTCACCGCCTGAAGCTTCTGGGCAAAGTAGGGCGAGACTTTGCTTCTCGCCACGGCAACCGGGTCAAGGTTGCTTTCATAGTAAAAGTAATCCGCCGGGGGAGTAGGAGGTTCTGCGGCAGCTGGTGGTGCTGTTGACAACAGATTTGTATCCGAACAAACCATGCCCTGCTGTGGTCCCCCAGGCACCTCCGGATCTGCTGCGTGGTCTTTGGACGATCCAGCTGGCATTACGACAGGTTGGTCCTCGCCCGAGCTGCCATCCTCAGTTCCACGAAGTAGAACTTCCTCAATTTTGCACCGCAGTACGTAGAACGAGAAGCAGTCGTCCCGCCTACACAGGTCGTTGCCCTCGCGGTAAAATCGAAATTTCAAAGCCATGTTGGCGAGAAAGAAAACCTCGGAGTCGACGTAGTCTTGCTGAAGGACGGCGGAACCGGAAGTAGGATTTGCATTTTCATCTACAAGAACTGAATCTTCGGAATCAGAACTGACGTCTTGGGCCCTTCTGTTGACCTCGTCCCCCGGGAAGGAAACGAGGAGTCTGGGTTTTTGGTTTTGCAGCTTGTTTACAATTGGGTCAAGAGCTGCAGGTGCCTTCTTGTCATCGTAATTCGAATTCCCCGCAAGCAGCTGCAGCTTCGACGCGTTATTATTTGCACCAGTTGCATAATGTTCATGTTGGTTCTTCTCCTTCCCGCGCAGATTCACCAAGCCGGTGAGGTATTCGATGCGCCGGGGGGTCGCTTGGCCCTTCACTTTCCCTGACGTCGCAGTGATCTCCATCTGGAAGGGGGGCGTTGTGGTAGTAGAAGTGGGCGCAGGAGCATGAGTAGACACGACTGCGCTTGTTCCAGATGTTGTGCCATGCGTGTAGTTCTGCTGTATCATTTTCACCTGTTCCTTCTCGTTTGTCCGGTCCATTCGGTTCTCCACTTGAGTTGCCGCAGTATCCGTTTTCAGCAAAGTCTGTTGCTGTTCCTGCGATTGATTCTTCCAATGAACAGTTCTGCCGCCGACCTTCCACCGGACTATGCGCGCATTGGGAAAGAGCATCTCCGCTTCGATTTTGCCGTCCGTGCGTGTTCCAGCACCCCTCTTCGCTACCACGGGGTTTGCTTGTTTCATGTTCAACATCTTTGCGGGGTCTGGCCCCCGACAAGTGCCATTTTTAATGTGAAAGATATCATTTCCTCGGGAAAGAACAAGCCGTACTTCATCCTCGTACCCCCTCATTCCCTGAACGTAATAGCTCGTCACCGCGTTCCGGTGCAGAAAATGCTGCAGAAACTCTATGGCCAAAGCCGTTTTGGAGGAGAGTCGGTGTAGTGGTCCTTGTAGCAGTGCAAAGTGGACCATCGCCCCGCTGCTGTCCTGCTTCATCTGCATTACCTCTTCTTCACATGATGCTGCACCGTTCGGAGCTGCAAGAGGGGGAGAAGCTTGTTCTGCGCGATCACTCCCTGGCAGCTGCACCGTCTGCCGTTCAGAAGTATCACGACCACGAGACGGCGAGACGGGTGCTCTCACTTCATCCAGTAAAAAGTCGGGAGGCAACACCAATTCAGGACCCACCTCTATCGCAGCAAGATCCGCAGTGGGTGTAACAGCAGTTTCAGTTGCTGTGGCTGTGGCAGAAAATGGGAAAGCGGTTGCAGTGGCCGAAAAAGATTGCTTTGCGCCGGTATTTATCGTCACCACTTGGTCGTAGTTGCTCTGTGGTAAACAATCAATTTGGTCTTGCAACATTGTCGCACCAACATCCACGTCGTTCTTGCTCGTCCCATGACGTACTTCAAAATCCGCAGGAACTACTACACCAGTCGCAACATGACGTTTTGGTGAAGACCAGTCAACAAAGTCCGTCAAGAACACGTGCGGCGGCAGGTGCGGCACCAGCAGTAGGGTTTCGCTGTGCAGACTCACCAAGATTTTCCCGTTCGTCAACTGCAAATCGCAAATTTCCTTGGCCGTCAGCCAACCATTGTGCGCGACAAGGGAGAACACCTCGGCGGCAAGATGGATGGCGGATGATGAAAAACGTCGGGTGGACTGGCTGTCACCAGAGGGCTTGTCGTCGTTGTTTTTTGCACAGATGTTGAGCTGTGCTGTGTTCATTCCTTGTTGCTCGCCGCCGCTTTGCTGGTGAACGCTTTTGCTGCTGGTCATCTCATCTCCCCTAGCTTTGTTGTTCGTTCCTTTTGCGTTGTAATTCGCCTGCAGCTGGTGCCCACCTTTGGAATAATTTGTGCTGTCATGAGTACTACTAGTTATGGTGCCGTTTTTCTGTGTTCCACGCGGAGGACCTCCATCTTTACCTTTTACGAAGGAGCCCTTGAAAGGATGAACAAAGCCTCCCTTGGCTGGAAAGAAGTTGAGGCCCATCTTCGGCCTGCCTTGCGGGACAAATTGAGAAAAAAAACCTCCGGTTGTTGCTTGTTCCGTGCTTTTGTCGTAGCTGCCTTTTTTTCCAAGAAACCCGCTAAAGATTATTCTTCCACCTTGCCAAAAACTCGTAGATTGCGGTCGGCTGATGGTCCGCGTGGGTGCTGGAGGTTCTTGTTCTTTCTTATTGGCATTTACAATGCTGTTGGCAACATCGTTAACGACAGGCGAAGCAGATTTATTCTTGTCGCCACCTTGACCTTTTGATATTCCCTTTCCGCCGACTAGATTATATCGTTGCTCCACCAGCACCTTCGGGGGTAGAATTGTATCCGGGCTTTGTCGCAGCTCTTCAGCCAGGCGGTCTACCTCACTCTCGCAGCTGTTGAGGGGGTCATCGAAATCAGACGGTACGCCAGTAGCTGGGGTGGTGAGCAAGGAGCCGTTCTTTGACAGCAGCTTCTCTATCGCTCCTGGAACCCCGCCTGTAAAAGTTCTTGAACCGCCCCTACTAATATCTGCTGTGGTCTTGTAGTTTCTTCCACAGGTGGCGGCCTCCACAGCTGTAGTTGCCGGGGATTTATTTTGTTGCTTTTCTTTCTCAACAACATCCGAAAATGATCTTCCTGCAGCATGAGCCACACCTTCTGGACCTCCTTGTTGTCCTTCGCGAGCAAGGAGCGCAATCAGGTCAGTTATGGCGTTCTCAACTGTTACATTCCCAACTGTTACATGAAATTGTGATGCAAGAATGGCAAAATTGAAAGGGATGACCTTCTGCGTCTTGCATGACAGATTTGGCACAGATTCTCCGCCTGTTTGGCACTTCGAGCATTTGTCATGCGAAGCAGCTAGGTCGTGTCGATTCTGAAGGTAGTTTTGCATGACAAATCATGTAAACAGTTGAGAATGTTGTAACGATTGAGAGCCCCATATCAATAAGGCCTTGGATTTCTTTCTCCTTCTCTTTCTTCAGCTGCTCTGCTTCCTTCGTCTGCTCGTCTTGCTGTTGGTCATTTGTGCCGGTTTTAACACTGCAGGGCTCCACAGTAGAAGCAGCTCTAGCTCTAGAATCAAGGACTCCCAGCTCCGCGTACGCGTCTTGCAACCTCTTCACCAGGTACAATTCGCGTTCCGCCTGCACTAACTTCTCCACCTTCTCGGCGTGGCACTTTCTTACCCGCTGTAGCACCGCGCCGGCCTCGCCGAAATGACGCTGGGATGTTGACCAGGCGGCTCCTTTTGCGGCCTGGTGCTGGGCCCGCTTGCAGGAAACGAGGAATGCGGAAACGGGAAAATGGTTCAATTGCGAAGATGTTGTTGTGCAAGGAGTTGTGAGTACATCTTTCAGGGGCACGGCGGCGCCAGCATTTTCGCTTTTGCTTTTCTTCGTCTCTTTACTATTCTCTGCGACCTCTTCGACCTGTAGTTCTTGTTCGCTTGCAAGAATTTGTTCGTGGCGCAACAAGTTCGACGGAAGTTCTTGAACCGGGGCGCTGCGACGTTTTGTCGTTGACATGTTGATTTATCGATTTATTTTTCTTTATTTCGCAGCTCAGCCTCAGACTAGTTCTCGTTCTTGAGGGAATTATGATTCCCAGCTTCCTTAATGCCGTGCATAAATGGGGCCGTCGGAACAAGGATGACGGCGAACCTACTTCGCCCTTTGTTTTATGGAAAAAGAACATTTTCATTGTTCTCTTCGTTTTGTATAGGAAGTTCTTTTCTCGAAAACACAGGACGAAAAAAAAGCTCGACCACTGTAGGTATTCTATTGTTGTCTTTTTGAGGTCCTGAGTCGTAGTGGTCGCGCAGGCAGGATGGGCAAAGTTGTAGTCCTTGCCATGATTAGCGTATGAAGTTGCAGCTTGCTACATACCAAGAAAACCAATGGGGTTCCTGAGTGTCTTAGGCCGTCGATCTGTAACGGCAAGAGATGATCGATAACAGACCTGGACGGCCATCGCAATGACATTGCGGATGATCCATATTTACAGGGCTAGTGCGTTTGAATTGACATCGTACAGCCTGCATCTGGCAGAGTTAAGCATATATTTTCTGGTGCTGCTGGTTTGTGATTGTCCGGAACACTGATAATTCCTTTCGGTGGCTGCTGTCCTCGCATCCCTGTACGCTTCGTGCTTCATATACTTAAACTCAAATCGGCTCCAAAACTTAAAATCTTGGTTTTCGTGTAAATCCGATAGAAAAAATATAGCAAAATGTCGCCAACTTTGTCTTTGGCGTCAGCATTGACGTCTCCAAAACACGTATACAAAACGTCAAATTTGTGCCTTCGTGTGCAGTATGAGTTGCTCGAGCTGTGTGCAGCACTTCGCCAAGTTGATTTCGCCCACGCCAGGAGCAGTACCTCCCTCGCTATAATTCTCGTGTTCCACTAAGTAGTGGTGCTTCACAAATTTTAACAGCAATAAATTGCTTTCCAGCTTCGCCGCTAGCTGGAACTTGTTCATGATCTCCGTGCCGGGTTTGATGTTGTTTGAGAACCCTGTCATCTGCTGCTGGTAACCACCACCGCCTCCTCCTCCGCCACTCTTGCTGTTGTTTCGACTCGAAGCGTTGTAGTGTACTATACCCGAGTTGCTATTTTTGCACAGATCCGTCGAGGCTTTCAGGGCGTACTTCGTCAACAGCTTTCCCGGGTGGTGACGCTGGAGGGAAAGCGACTCCAAATTTGGATACTTTTTCTGAAACAACTGGAGCGCTTTCTGCTTTGCTAGATCCGTGGTGTTGGTACTAGTAGAGTCGCGGGGGGAGCAGGGGGAAATCAGCATGTTTCCATTTGGAGCAGATGATGCCAGACTGTGCTGGCTCCGTTCCTTCAGCTGCTCCAATAAGCTGCAGCACTCTACCAGACAGCACGCGCTCTCGGCGGGCTGGTGCGATTCCGCGTATTTCTCTGCCAAAAAGGCAAACTGCTCCGCGACGCGCCGTTGGTCCTGGAACGAGGGGAAAGAAGGTGGCGGGGCCATCGGGGCCACTCCTGCGGCTGGAGTCGAAGTTGGGAGTGTCAGTGGGGTCGCTGTACTAGTGGCTTGTTCTTCGTTGCATCGTGACGCATTTTTTGGTGCCGTCGTCAGTGCGGGCGGAACTTCTAGCTGGAAGTCAGTAACAGCAATCTTTGGTTCGCTTGGGGTATTACTTCCCTGTACAGGATCTGGTTTTACTTTGGCGGTTGTGCCGAGATCTACTGCTTCCTGGGGGCGCTGCAATGGTCCTCGCGATTCTACTCCTTCCATCATCCCAGGTGTAGTAGACCCGTGTCGCAGCTGCGCTGTGGACGATACTTCTTCGATAAGCGGCTTTTTTGGAGATGATGAGGAGGTTCTTTGATCCGACGTATTGAGCTCTACCACTCCTTGACCGGTTAGTTCCCGAGCAGGTTCCGGCTTCCCCCGGGGTTCCACGACCCTAGACGCAGGGGAGAAGATTTTCAACTCCTCTGCAGTACTGTTAGAAGATGTAGTTCCACTCCCACCGTGGAGGTCAACATCTCCTGATTTCGTTTTCACGGGACTCGGCAACCGGATTTCGTCCAGGGGCGGCTGTACTGGTGGCGCACGACTGCTCTGCGTGTGGTCGTCGTGTTTAATCTTCGTGGAGGACTTTAGCTCCTCTATCTCTTCAGGATGAACTGAGGGCGCTGGTGGTGCTTCGTTTTTCTTTTTATCCTTCAGCCCCAAAGCTTCGGTTGTACTAGTAGTGGCAGGATCAGCAGCGGTGGCGAGTTTCTTCTCCGGAGTTGTTCCTGCAAGATGTTGTTGAAGAGCAGCCGCTTCTTCACCCCGCTCGAAGTTTTCTTTCTCCTGTTCCTGGCTGACCATGACAAACGACAGGTTTCCGATCCCACCACTTGTGATGTTTGAATTTTGTCCGTCAGAAGTATGCATTGCAAACCAAGCATCGTTTCAAAGTAGTCTGAATCAAGAACTGTATTTGTAATGCGGTACCCGAGCGGTGTGCGAATGCATGCTGTCATGTAAAATCGCATCAAGATCGTCAATCTAAGTACTTGTACTTTTTCAATATAGTGCTTTCTACGATGCGCTTGTTGCATGGAATAGTTTCCGTTTTTCGAGGCGGAGCCTCCTTCTTCGTCATCTGCTTTCTCCACCCCGACGTACAATTTATGAATTGCAAAAGCATCGTACTAGGGTAGTATGAATTGCATTACAAATTTCCTCAGCATGAGAACTCGAGTTTGTAGTGCTGAATGACCTTAAGAAAAAGATTTGTAATGCGTAGCTGCAATTACTACGAGTACGATACTTTTGCACTGGATACAATTCTCCGTCGGACAATTCCTTGACGGAAAATTTGCACTCTTTCAAATCCTATCAAATGCTAATATGTCTGGGTGTGGAAGAATGCAATTTGTGATGCTGTCTCTGCATTCTAAAAAAAAATCTGTATTGCATGACCAGCAAGAAGAGTTCACTTTGTCCCACATGGAGACGGTATTTCTCATGCGGAAGAGGCATCAGGAAGCCCTCTAAAAATCTGTGATGCTAGGTTATGCATTACAGCCGTCATGGGTCATGTAAAGTTTGCATGACAAGTCTTGCATTCTTCCAGACGCGGACATTTTTGCATTTGATAAATCCAAGTCCCCCGCGACGTACTCGTGGTGCATGAACGCGTTGGCCGGCAGTCGCTTCGCGGGATCCTTTTCCAGCAAGAGCGACAAAAATTTCTTCCCGTTGTCGCTCAATCTGCAGCTTTCCGGGAACGCGGGCCCGTTCGCCTGCTCGATGTTGGCCAGGAGCTGCATCGGAGTATGGATTTGCAAAAAATTCTTGCTTTATTCTTGTTCCGTACTTTACACGACGACGACGACACGTAGCCATGAGATTCAAGTTGCATCACAAAATGTTGATTTTCCAGCTGTGTTCATCTTGATCTTGTACGGTGCAAATATAAGAATTTTTCGCTTCTGATACGGATTCGGCCCCGTGAAAGGCGTTTTCCCGACGAAGCACTCGAAAAGAATGGCGCCGACCGACCACAGGTCCGCCCGGGAGTCGTACTTTTGGTGTTGCAAAATTTCCGGCGCCATGTACAGTGGCGAACCGCACACCGTCGCCGCCATGTCCTGGGGAAGCAACGCGCGGGAGAAGCCAAAATCCGCGATCCGCAGCACCGGGTTGTTTTCGCTGTCTTGGATGAGCAAGATGTTCTGCGGCTTCAAATCCCGGTGGATCACGTTGTGTCGGTGTAAAACGTTCAGACCCGAGGCGAGCTGGCGGAGAAACAACCGCCCCAGCGACTCGGAGATCGATCCACCGTGGGTGGCGATGTAGGAGGAAAGGTCGCTATCCCACGAAAAAACTGTTTCACTGTGATGGTTTTGCAAGATCTGCATCACAAGTTTGTTACACATGACACAGAAAATTTGCCATGCGCGTTTCCCAAGGGAAAACACGCTTAAAAATCCATTATGTTGCAGGTGTAGCAAGACAAACACTTTGGTGTTTCGTTCTCTGCATCACAGGTTCGCAGTGAAACAGTTTTTTCTTGCGATAGTCGCCGCCGTTGCAGTACTCGAGGATGAGGTAGAAGTGGCTCGTATCCTGAGTAAAAATGTCCCCACACCAGAGTCAAGATGGGAAATCCGCTAGACAAATCCATAAGCTTTGGCTGTTTCGCATGACAAATTTGGACGCGTAGTGTAGTGCTGTTTGAGCTAGCTAAGCAGCATTACAGATCTAGTATCTCATGCTGATTGGCGCATGACATCGGTGGTCTACGGGCAGGCTGTCCCGGTGGCGCTTTGGCCAATCGTACAGAGAAAAAACAAAAAATACAAGTTAGGTAGGAATACATTTGAAGGTTATGAATGAAGTCAAAAGTCGTAGAGACAGTATTAAAGTAGTTCCTACGGGCATGGTCACGATTGGGCAACAGAGGGTAGAGTCACGATTGGGCAACAGAGGGTAGAGCAACGAATTGTTACGCATCTATCCGCTGGTCAAGTACGAGGAAAACGAGAGCAGCATCGAAGAAGAGAAAGGCGCGCAAGCAGGGCAGCCCAGCAGCAGCAAAAATATCAAGACAAGAAGCAGACTACCGCCACCCGGGGTCCTACCCGACCGAGAACTGTACTGGTATGGGCCAACATACCATAAAAGGTACAGAAGAAGGGTAGGTGCTCGCGTAAAGAGAAAGATGACCAAACCTACAGCGCCCGAGGGTGCATGCTCACCACTGTAGGATAATCTCTTTACCGTCTGCCAGCAGACAAGCCACTGAAAAACAAGGCAGAGCAAAGTAAACAACCAGGTTGGAGCCAGCAGGCCAACCGCAACAAGACCGCGAAGCAAGAGATTGGAACCCGCAGGTCAATCAGAGCGAAGCGACAAAGGGCAGGCGTAGCGGCCAGAGCAAGCATAACGAGAAAAAATATCTACTACCGTTGGTAGGTCGTGCAGCGAGAGTATTTCAACGAAGTTTTTCAGAGGATAGTTTGACGTAGTTCAACGCATTCACACGAAAGACGTACCGAGTGATAGCGTGCACTTCTCATCACGAGATCGTAGAACTATTCATTGAGTGTTTACTTTTTTTCTTGCAACGACTACTACAAATTATACCTCTATAAGTTCAACTCCATACTTTTGTACTACACTACTGCGCGCTTTCAGTCACGAGAAGCTTTTTGCTTGTACGCATCTCGGTCACAGACGAAGTGTATAAAGACCGAGACCCGAAGCAAACCATAGATTCATCATTGTGCGCTAATTTTTTAAAAAAATATGTAGTCTTGCGTAGTTCTAAGTTCCTGGTGATGTTTGGAAAAGAACATGATTGCACGTACACGATACCTCGCGTGTACATAAAGACCGTTTTCTTACCTGCCCTGGAGAATAGAGATCATAGATTTTTGAACTTTGGGCCGCAAGCCAAAAAGGGCTCCGTCAAGAACGACAGTGGAGACCCAAGCGCAGCAGGAAACCTTGCTTTGTTGGGGACATGAGGGAAGGAGGAGACGGAGAGAAAAAGCAGGACCAGCAAAAGCAGAGCAAGAGTAAGATGCCGGGGACACGAGGAGAAGAAGCGAAGCCAGCACCAGAGGAACCAAAGACCTACAACCGTCATGGCATCCGCGAAACAGAACAACGGGCCGAAGGAAAGGACCCTCAGCCCCGCCACCCGCGGAGGGAGAACGGGACCCACAAACAACCCGGCCCCCCACGAAGCCCGAAAGGCCGAGGTGAAAAAGGGTACCTCCCGGGAGGGGACCCGGGAAACACGCAAGAGACGAAGCCGAGCGACCGCCGCCGAAGGAGAACCACCCGAGGAAGGTAGAAACCTACAACCGTCGGAGCACGGAAAAGAAGCGGTGTTGGGGACCAAACCCAGATGAGTCACGGGGCGCGTGCCCAGGCGACACATCCGACAGTGAAGGCCCAGTCGGGTAAAAAACCGAAACCCGCCAGCCACACCACCGGGACGAACATGCGTAGAGACCTACCGTAGAACCGCTAGGAACGGCAACGCAGAAAGGCCCGCCGTAGAACCGCTATGAACGGCAACGCAGAAAGACCCGTCAGTGACCTAAGGGCCAGCGGAGATGGTACCCCAAAGAAAACCACCGGTGACCAAAGGGCCAGCGGAGATGGTACCCCAAAGAAAACCGCCGGGCGCGAACATTCTGACTTTAGAATGAAAATTCTCATGCTCTGATCTCTATTGTCTCTTGTCGTTGTTCTTCTTCGTTGTTTTACGTCGTTGTTCCTCGTCGTTGTTCGGTTCTCCAAAAAATTGTACAGATGACTGTTTTTCGCGGTTCATTATCTTGTTCATTATCTTGTTCGTTAATTTGTTCATTCTTTGCGCCTTGTGTCACCAGGTTGGTATTCTTGTTCGTGTCGGTTAGTAGTGGTAGGAGGAGGACTATGGGCAGCACGGTGTAATTCTTTGGCTCTAGTACCAGTCTGGTTGCCGGTACGAGGATGGTCGCGGGCAGCTGAACGGGCCCAGTAGTCCATCTAGTTCCATCTGCAGCACCTCGGCATTTGCTCGATCAACGGAGTCTTCCATAGCCCATCCGTATCCGGGCACGAAGTGCCAGCGGATGGAAAACTCCCAGTAGTCGCGTGTTGTGTCCCAGGGTGAAGCTGGGGAGCCAGTGGAGTTGCTGGTAGACATGGACTCAGTTTCCGGACGTGACGACGAAGGAGCAGAAAATGAGGAGGGTGCGGAACTTGCTATTCGCTGCGTGGGGTCGTCCGTAGAGTTCGCGCGCGTCAGCAGCAATCGCTCGATTTGGAATATTGTAGATTCCTGGGTAAGTCCGAGATCGTATGAAGGTGTTTCAGGGAGCTGGACGAACGGATTAGCCGGCATATGGTTCTGCTCCGTGCACGCCTGGACCGATGTCGTCCAGCTTCCCTCTTCACCACACGGTGGCGCGTCATCTTGGACCTGGAGCGGGCTGTCTTGTGGGGAATCGAAGCACAGACGTACCCGCTGCAGCGGGCTACTGTTCTCGTCTGACATCGTCAGTGCTGTTCTACTGTCCTCGGCGTCTAGATGTGTGGGTAGGCACTTTGGTAGGCCTTGTCAGGAGGGGTGTCAGATTCGTGCGCAGAACTACCGCCGTCTTCCCGGCTATCTACGTCGAGCTCCACTCCCCTCGTAGCGCTGCTCACGTCACGATCGCACTACTTCGAAGCGAAACTTGTGGGATAGGCCCTCGCCAGGTCTACTTCTACTTGACTGCGTTGCGACTTGCACTGCCTGAGAAGATAAAGGATAAACAAACCCGAGCAATAGCAAGCTTTCCATAAAAGTTCGGGCGTCTTATATCTTAATTGAAAAGGCTGAAAACCAGTATAGCTCCGCGTCATACACTAACAGCCCCTTCCCTTTATACCAGGCCTCGAGTCCGTCGGGGGTCGTCACTGTCTCTCGTGGCGTCTTACTGTTTTTTATTTTTTTTTTTTTTTAGAAAAACCACTGCAACAGCAGTGCGCGCCTACAGTGCTAGTCCCGCGGAAGATCTTAGTCTAGCTGGTGCTTTTGATGCTGCATAAAGAACGAAGGAAGAGCCTTTGCTCAGCTGTTGCTAAAATGTGGCTAAACCGAGGAAGTCGAGTTCAAAGAAAAGCTCTGCGCGACAAAATACTAGATAGATACGAGAAGACAGTCACGAAGTTAACAAAATGAAGTCGAAAATTGAAAAGGGAAGAAAATGAAAGCTACTATAATCTACTACTTTAAATTGTTTATTGAGCAAGCACACTCCCGTGCTGTTTCCTGTAAATGTTTTCGTTTTATTGGAATGCTTGATGTAAACTGGCGAGGTCTACCTACTACACACAATGCAGCCACTCTTGCAGTGTCTGCGGGCTGCTGGGTCTGGAGTGGATGGGTGGAGTGAAGCTGTTACTGCGTGGTCGGCGGTAAGCTGTAGGGAGCCTCTGTACTCGCTGCAGGGTGGGAGTCCAAAATCGGAAGAAGCTTTCTAGCTGGTCCTCCCTCGCCTCGATCTCAGCAATTGTCTTAGCCGGGACCATCAGCATGGGGCTGATATCAAGGAACGGGTTGGGCTGGGGCATGTGGAGCCACGCCTCCGTCTCATTTTGCTTCTCCCGCTGTAGTCGCTCACACTTCAATCTGCGTCGCTGCGGTGTGGTCGCAGGTGTGCGGGGAGTAAAGATTTCACGCGCAGGGTCGCGATGCATCTTACGGAACTGTCGGCCCCACGACTTCATGACAGATTTCCAAACCGCATTAGAAAATGCTTCTCATGGGGCTCCGCATGAGAAACATTTTAAGCATGCAGAGTAGCATGACAACTATGGTGTGGGTACGTTTTTACACAGGATAGCTCGCGGATTTTTTCAAATCCCGGAACCGAACAATGTGGGGGGATTGGAGCTTTTTCAACACCGCCACCTCCTGCTTCAGCTGCGCGGTCTCTTGCACGGTCTGCCGGGAAATTACTTTCACCGCAACTAATTCCCCAGTTTGCTCCACGCGGCCCTTCCAAACTTCCGCAAAGCTGCCCTTCCCGATCTTTTTGTCGAGGATGTAACCGCCAGCCATGACAATGCACAACTCCCCCTTCCCCTCGTTTGTCATGCAAAATACCAAGTCCCCCCTTTTCATTTCTCTTTGGCACATCTTGCATTACAGATTTCGGAAGCCGAAACAGCACTAGACTGGGTCGCGAGTAGTTTGTCATGCAAAGCTGCATTTTTACCAGCACTTGCGTTGCTGTTTATGCCATTCAAATGAGGGGGGAGGGGGAGATGTGCACTCTCATACCAACCTGCTTCTTGCTCGAGGTTGTCGTGGAGGAAGACATCTTGACTTTCGCTCGTCAGGTGTATGTATGCTCGTTCTTGCAAAACTTCAACCCTCACGGACTATGTGATGCCATGAAAATAAGAACAACGGTTTCGCTCGATGAGGAGGCGCATATTAAAACGGATACGAGTATAACGGGGCGGTTTGATACCGTGGGAACTGTGTATTAAACATTTAGAAGATCCGATTGACAGATTTGACGAAAGAGTGCAGCACAGTCAGCAGTCGGTAGTAGACCAGGCGTAATTCCAAACAAAAGCAAAATGAGTGCCTAGCATTGGCAAAGCTTAGGCTAGAGGAAGCTTCGTCGCTTGTCGTCCTGATACCTTTTGTTATATCAGGTGCTATAACGATACGAACGTGAACATCAAAAAAAAAAAAAATGCTCAGAAGGTCAGACCCGTTGCGGAGGCGCGTGCGTCGCAACATGGTCGGTGAAGTTCAACAAATGGGGAAAATTTCAGTACGGCTACCACATATGAATACCTCAATGGTTTGTCCCACTACGTTTGATGCTGCTGGTATTCAAGTCGTCGGATATAATCACATACGACTACTTCATGCTCACTTGAAGTTTCCAGAAGTGAATTCCAGGATTATCAGTCTTGCACTACAGAATCGTCATCTTAATTGTGATATCATTTATCGACCCTCCGTTAAATCGGTGCTCTGCCTCAGCTGCGTCCTTCTTGTCGTCGAAAACTATCCACGCAATCAGCCGAGACCCGTCGTCGGCGATGGCCAGCGTCGTGATGGGTCCAACCTCACTAAATACTTTTTTCAGCTCTTCTTCTGCTATGTTGGGGGGAACGCGCTCGAAGCAGATCATCCTGTTCTGGCCAGTGTACTGCTGAACGGCGGGCGGAGGTGGTGGGCACGCAGCAGGAGGATAGGCATGCGCCTTGCCTTTTGCAAAATCCTTTCCGTTCCACTTTCCCTGTTCCTTTGGTCCACCGGCGTAGGCATGAAACTTCCATCCCTTTTCGTATTTAGCAAAAGCACCAGGTGGCGGAAACTTGCCGCAGCCCTTACCTTTCTTGAAACCTTTATCGAAACTGAACGCCGACGCTTCAGCCAGCTTTCTTTCAGCCGCTTCGGCCCGTTCTTGCATCGCACACAGGTCGCTTTGAAACTGTACACGCTCCTTCTGCTGCCTCACTTCCTGCAACTCCGCTTCTAGTGCGCGCGCCTCCTTGTCATGTGCGTCAAGCATCCTTCGCGTCTCTGCGTCCTCCTCAAGTTCGGACAGAACTACTTTTTCCTTTAAAACAACGACCTTCTCCTGGAGGCGGTCGTTCTCCTTTTGCAGCTTCTCAACCTTTCTCCGACTTTCCTGCCTAGCTTGTTTTTCCGCCTCGACCTCTTCCCGCAAATCCTTGTTTTCTCGCCTCAGCTTCCTTTTCTCCGCTCGCACCTCAGCTAGTGAACGTTCTGCGGCTTTCACGCACTCTCGCAGCTTCTCGATTTCATCTTCTTCTGGCACGACCGCTGATTCTTGCTCCACCGAGGGCAGCACACTAGACGAAGTCGCAGAACCGGTTGCAGGTGCGCTGCCAAATAACTGGAGCAGCGATTCTTGGATGGCGTCCTGCGGTTCACCTTCATCTTCGGTGACCGATTCTCCTTGCGCAGCTTGTTTTCCGGATCCGTCTCCGTGCTTCTCCTTCAACAGCGTGACGCACTCATCCCCGCCACCATCTTCGTCGGCTCCGTTGGTCTTTTCTACCGGATGAACTTCCGTCCCGCCAGCGGAAGCAGACATGCCAGCACTTTGCAAACCATCCCAGGCGGTTTCCAGCGGAACTTCCTGATACCAGGTGTAGTCCGATCCGTATACGGTGTCTGGATGCCCGACAAAAGCGTGCTCAGATTGCCCCAACTGCGTAAATGAGCCCGCCGACTGGTAGTTGCCGGCGTAACTGGGCCCAGCGGATGCAGTGTTCGGGAGGGTCACGTGGTAATGAGCATTGCACTGCAGTACGTAATGCACCTGCTGTGTTGCAGTTGAAAATTGTGGTTGTGGTGCAGTTCCGCTCATTTGCGCATGGTCCTGCTCATTTTTCAAGTCGCGGTTGCGCAGCTGCTGCGCAGTCTCCACCAAGTTCACATCAGAGGCGTCGTAGGGAGAAAAAAAGTTCGCGCTCCGCTTCTGCTGCTCATCAACCATTTTCGCTGAATTTTTCTTTTTTCAACTTTATAATTGTGACCAAGTCATGGGAGGTTTTTGCGTTAGAATCACATCAACAACGTCGATTTTATGATAACATAAGGAAAAACAACAGCACAGTTCGTCATCGTTTGACTCAACATCGGCGCATTCACTCTTGAAGCTTGCAGCTTCAGTTGTAGAAAATTTTCGTTGGTGTACTGCCACTTAAAGAAAATTCATCCGTGCTCAGAAACCGGACTACAACAAGCAATTACAGCCCAGAAGGAGAAGCAGCCTCTGCAGGTGAGAGGAGTGGGGAGCAGAAGTGGAATGGAAGACCGCGCTCTCCACCTTCGCTTCTTTCACTCGGTCAATAAATTTGCTTCCTTTCCAGCACGGCGAAGCTTATACTCTCGAACAGAACTGCTACAGCCGCCTATTCATTGGCTGAAAGAAAAAGAATCGAAAGCAAGGACGCACAATGGTCTTTCTCCTGCTGGCTTTTTTTGCTTTTTTTTGTACTAGGCGCGCATCAATGGTGAGTGTCGTGAACAACAAAAGCTTTGTATTTTCTCGTATTCCAGCGGATAAAGAACTGTATCTATGTGGCTGCGTCAAGCGGTAAAAATAAACACAGCGGATTTTTTAATAAAATCGTGCTTTTGCGCGGTAAAATAAAATCGTGCTTTTGCGCGGTAAAGCTCTTTTGCTAATGCCGGTATCTTGTTCGATTTTGCACATCCTACTTCTCAACTGGCTCCAAACTACTACAAACCTCGAAGCGGTGTTATTTCTGCTATTTCTTCCTGGTCGCCCGCTCGTCCTCCTCCGTCAGACCCAGCAGAGGACGCTCGTGTAGAAGCAGATGCTGCTATGTGCGCGTCGCCGCTTGCTCCGCTTGGCTCCGCTCCTCCGGTTGCAGAGGGTGCTGGGGTCTGCGTCGCGATTAGCATTTTCGTTTTCCGTTCCTCGGCTTGCTTGGAAAATTGTGTGAGCCAGGTCTTCAATTCAGTTACGATGTCTTTTGGTCGTTCTGGATAGAACCTTCCACGTAAAACGGCCGGCTCGCGACGCTTCTCTTCGCCGGCTTCGAACTCCCTGTGGTTTTGTCCGGCCTTCTCCTTTGACCTGATGGCAGGCGGAGGCTTTTTCGCCTGCGGAGGACGTGACGTTGCAGTTTTGCATTTCCCCTCCGGGGCCAGTACAGTTTTGAAACCGGAGGGGCCGCGCTTTTGCGCTTCTTCTTTCTCTCTCAGGTCGCGGCGAAACTTCGCCAGTATTAGCAAGCGCGTTTGCTCCTTTGCAGCGGTGCTTTGTTCTCCTGTGCTTCTGTTTCTGCGAGCAGTAGAAGGTAGCGGCGGGCCGTGCCACTGATTTCTGCTGTCGACGCGATCAGATACTGGATCTAGAGCCAGTAATTGCGCCGTAAGCTGGTTCTTTTCCTGCTCCAGTCGTAACGATTCAGACAACAGCTTAGCGGTGCTGGTTTCACCACCCAAATTAGAATTCACGTAGCCAGCTGGATTCCAAGATTTTCCCTTCAACCCTGCGCTAGTGCATTGCCTGTTCTTGTTTTTGCCCGCTAATACTGCTGTGACATTGTTCGTGCTTCTTTTACCGCCATTAAAGACATCCCAGTTAACTGCCTTGCCCTTCCCGTGTCCGGGTTTGCCGTCTTCCAAAGCCTTCGCACGCTCACCGCCCTTTCTCCCTTCCTGGAAGCAGTTCTCCGCTGCCGCTGGCAGCGTTGTTCGCATCAGAAACGGCTCGGCTTGTGTTCTCTCGGCCGTGTTCACGTGATGTTCCTGGGCTCGCAATCTGTCGGTAATTTCATACCAGGGTGAGTCACTGCTTGATGTTGCTCCTTTCACGTAGGCAGCCAGATCCACTTCCAAGCGCCCGACGCGGGCCAGTAGTTCATCGTTTCTTCTGCTAAGGTCCTCATTCTTTTCGCGGAGCGTCTGGTTTTCTTCCCGCAGGTTCTGATTAGTGTCCTCTGGTGAACTGTAGTTCAAACATCCTTGCATGAACAGTTCCGAAACGGCAGACGAGTCATCTGCGGTGGCGACCTTCGATTCTTGCCCTTGCGCAAGGGGATATTTTTCTCCCTGCGGCGTGGTCCGCCCGACAGCGCCCTCCCCACCCTCGCCAACTCCATCTGCATCATTTTTCTTGCCACTATCTGCCGCTTCTACTTCAGGTCCGCATACAGTTGCCGCAGTGGCAACGGCAGTTTGTAAATCATTCCAGGCACGGTCCATCGGCACTTCCTCATACCAGGTGTTGCCCGACGTCGCGTACCCATCGTCTGGATGTCCGACAAAAGCATGCTCAGATTGTCCCAATTGCGTAAAGAAGCCCGACTGGTAGTCGTTCTTGCCGCCACAACTAGGCGCACCGGACGCAGTGCTCGGAATGGTCACGTGGTAATGCGTGTTGCACTGCAGCACGTAGTGCACGACCTGTTGTGCTGCTGTAGTTGACTGCGGTGTTGCTTCTGTTTCGCGATTCATTTTCGCGTGTTGGTCGTGATTATTGTTCCATTCGCGCTCCTCAAATAGCTGCCGCGCAGTGGTTTCCACCAGTTTCACATCCGAGGAATCGTATGAAGATAGGAAGTTTGCGCCCTGCTTCTGCTGCTCACCAGCCATTTTCGCTTATATCTGTTTTCCAGCAATAACTACGAGCGAGTAAACAGCAGTTTCAGTTTTTTCATTAAAACCTCATCAGCGTCGATTTTACCCTATACGCATCGAGGAAAAGCAGCAGCGCAATTCATTTGACAACTTGTCGGCGTATTCATCTCAACAACCAGAAACGAAAGACTGGAGGTTCACAGTCGTTTATGCAAAGTCTAAAGAAAAATTGTCCTTTGCATAAAAAAGAACGGGCAAGTGCAGCAAACAATATATAGTTTTGATCCTGTGCCAAGTGAAGCGACCGTAGAAAATGGAAGGAGTGATGAGCAGAACTCGCGTTTTCGAATCGCGTATCGCAACTCACTTTGGTTAGTATTGGTCGGTCAACCTGCTTCAATCTCACAGGGACGAAGCGAGTATTCTCGAACAGAACTGCTACCACCGCCTATTCAGTGGCTAGAAGAAAAAGCATAGAGAGCAAGGACGACGTACAATGGTCTTGCTCCTGCTGACTTTTTTCGATAATTTTTCTTATACTAGGGCGCGCATCATCAAATGTGAGTGTCGTGAACAATGTAAAGCTTTGTATTGTCTCGTATTCCAGCGGATAAAGAACTGTATCTATGTGGCTGCGTCGAGGGGTAAAACTAAACACAGCGGATTTTTGAATAAATTCGTGCTTTTGCGCGGTAAAAAAAATCTTCTAAAAAAGTCTGTTTTTTGCTCAAAAAATTAATATCACGACCTGGCGTGGTCTCTTATTTTCTGTAAAAAATGGGTTGCGTTGCTTTTTTTCATTTGCATTTGCTGGCACTTCGCCTTGTCGTAAGTAAAATAAACTTCAAAAAGTTTTGTTTCGCTACACCTCGTTGTGCAGCATCTTCTCGTTGTTCCTCCAGCGAAAATAAATGCATAAAATCAAAGTTGTATTCTCAGTTGCAGCTAGCTTGAGCTTTGGTTATGATGTTTCGTTCTTGTCACTTATGAAGTCGCGGTCGTTGTTTTTGGTGCTGTTGATTACTGCACAAAAGAACCCGTGTGGAGGTCCCTGTTCCGTACTATAGGAGATTCTTGCAAGTATTTTTGTCAAGAACAAGAAAACTCGATGTCATTCCTGCGCTCCATCCTCGACGATGTTATCGACGAGAACTACCTGCATTCCATATTGTTCGGTGCTATTGCTATAAACAAGAACGACAAATGAAAACCTGCTAGTACATACCTCTGCTGAAAAAACGCTTATTTCAACGCCATCAGCTTGGTGAAAAACAGCCCCACAGTGTTCGTCGCAATAAAGGTTTCGTCGATGATTCCCTTGACTGCCATGCCGTTCGCCTTTATGATCGTCACCTCTTCCTTGGATGCAAAAAAGTTCGCCACGTCCTCGTTTCCAATCGCATCCTGGTCGCCGGAAGTTGTACTAGATGGCAGAAGTTGCGTACTGTTCGTCGTCCCCACTCCTGCTGCAGCATCAGCCGGATTTTTCGCACGATTCACGCCTCGGTTGGCTATCACCGTGTTCAGCGTCTCCAGCAGGTGTGGGGGCAATTGCGGTGCAACGATCTTGTAGATCTCGTCTTCGTGCTGGTTGTCCTTCTGCTTGTTTTGCTGCTCGTAGTTCATCCTCGAGGAGGGCTGTTCAGGAGCCATCTGCTTCTGCTCCATGTAGCTGCTGTAGGTGGTGGGAACGGCGCCCCCTCCGGAAGAGGAAACGCGCCTGCGCTTGTTCTGGTGCTGCGCACCACTTCTTTCGAACCCGTCGTGGTCGTGGTGCCTTTCGTAATTTTTGTCACGCCCACCGCGCATCGTGGCGGCCGATGAGTTGTTATCTTGAATTTGATCCGAAAGAACCTCGTCGGGCTCCGGGATAATGTCATTCCGGCGCTCCTCACGGTGCTGGCGGTACGAACCAGCACCTGGTTCGCGGCCTCCGCGCCGGCGGCTGCTCGTACCTCGTGGGCCCGAGGCGGCGGGTGGTTGGGTTTTAGTACTACGTGCATCTACGGCTCCTCGGAGGTTGTTGTTGGCGTTGTTACCTGTTCTTCCCCGGCTGTGGTCTCTACTGGGATGTTGTTGCCCTCTTCCTCTCGAGTCGGTCATATTTCTACTATTCTGTGCGGTATTCATCTTGGTCGTGTGCCGGCGTTGTTCTCTAGAAGACGAGAAGTCCTTCTTTTTCTCGTTGTTTTGAACGATATCTCTATCCCGAGAAGAAGCTCTGGTATGATTATTTTTGTTCACAGCGTAGTTCTTATTGTAGTCTCTACTCTCCCTGTCCCTCCGCCGTCGTAGTTCCTCTTCTTCTTCGCGCTGTTTCTCCCTTGTTTCCGCCCGCTCGCGCTCCTCCCGCTCTCGTCGCACCCGCCGCTCCTCCCGCTCTACCCGCGCCTGCTCTTGCTCTGCCCACTCCTGCCGCGCGCGCTGCAGCTCCTCCGCCCGGTCCCGTTCTTCCTGCGCCCGCCGCATTCGCATTTGTTCCAACTCGCGCTCCACCCGTTCGCGCTCCACCCGTTCGCGCTCCGCCCGTTCGCGCTCCGCCCGCTCGCGCTCCGCCCGCTCGCGCTCCGCCCGCTCGCGCTCCTCCTTTTGCTCACGGACGCGCTGTGCCTCCCGTTCCCTCGCGGCCCGGTCCCGTTCTTGCTGGATCCGCAACTCCTCGCGCTGCCGAGCTTCCTGTTCTGCCTCACGCTGCGCTTTTTTCGCAAGTTCTTCTTGTTCCCGCAGCTTCTTCAGCCGCGCCTCCTGCTGCGCGGCCCACAGCGCGTTCTGCTCGTCGCGCTCCGCCTGCTCCTGCCGTTGTAGTCGTTCTTCCCGTTCTCGTCTCTGTTCCGCCTCCTGGTCGACGTGGCGGTTGCCCCGATAATTATTGTCTCGGCCGCGGCTGGTGTGGTTCTTTCGCGTAGTAGTGCCTTGGACGGATTGGGATTCGTGATCTCTAGTACTGCGGGCAGGGGCCGCACGGTGGCGGTCATAATTTTCCCGACGGTCAGCATGATCTCCGTGATGCGACTGTTGTTCCCGACGACCACCTCGTCCGCGGCTGCGACTGTTGTTCCTCGCCGCACGATAGTTGTTTGACGTAGTTTCTCGTGCGCTGCCACGGTCGTTGTGCTGTCTCCGGTCGTCCGTCCTGCTCCGGGGCGTCCTGCGGCGGTGGTGGTTTTCGTCTTGGTTTGGATGGTTAGTTTCCATTTGTTCGTCTCCTCGGGGCAGGTTCATAGAAACAGTACTGGGTATAGAAAAAGTACCAATACTTCCATCGGGGTTCATGATCAAAGCCTCGCCGGTGCGGACCGCGTATGTCGTCTGCACTTCTAAGGGTATGAGTTCTTCGGGGGGACAAGTGAACGTCTGCGACGCCGGGGGGAGATCCCGGGCAATGCGCTGGGCGGCGGGAGTTGTAGTTCTGTGCGTTGGCAAAAGTTCTTCCGCAGGTGGATTTTGTACAGCTTGATTTTGGTCCACCACGACGGGCGGCGGCGCGGCCGCTTTGATCGAGGATGCTTTCGCCGGTACAATCTCGCCCTTCGGAACCCGCACGAGGCTTTCAGCATTGTCAGTCTGTTGCTGCTGTTCGCTGCCTTCCTTCGACCCCGGAACGCTTTTTGGCGGAGGCAACCGCCACCCGGTGCTTCGGCAATGTTGCGCGATCAGGGCCGCCAGCTTGGGGTTTTTCTGCACCTGCTGCTGCAATGCTGGGTTGTCCATCGGGTGAACAATCGCCGGCGGGGCTACTTTGCTAACCGCGGGGGGTGCGGGGTTTGAGTGGTTAATATCTTCGTTCTGGTCAACTACACCTGGCGCTGCGCCTCCGCTGTTCTTCGGGGGCCGCAGATCCTGGTCAACTACCCGTTTCGAGTTCGACAGGTCTGGCATCGCAGGAAAAAAGCGTTACAGTTACACACTGTGTTGCAGGCCAAGCAAGACAGACAAGCTCTGTCATGCCGGATATGCATAGGATCCTCGTTTCACAGGTGGTTTCCCGTAGGATTTCTCCATTACAAGTTTTCTCTCTCATGCAGAGAAATTTGTGTTGCTGAATTCACTACAAATGTGTAACTGTAACACTTTTTTCGTGGGATATCCGGGTACTGAAAAGCAGTAGAACCACGACCGCTATTTGCAGCGGGCGTTTGGTTCTGCTTTGGGTTTTTATCTTGCTGTTGTTCACGGTCTACTTGATCATGCTCGTCCCACCTCGGTCCTCTGATATTAGCCTCGGGCTCCTGGTGCATATCATCCTCGTGGAAAGGGTTAGAAGCTGGCGCACCCGCGGCCCTTGGAGGCGTAATATCACTCACTGACGTCCGTTTCGGAATGGGCTTTGCCGTCATGAGCTCTGCCGGGGCGGAGGTTCTACTCGGAGGGCCCGCTTTGGAGGCGGCTTTCTTGATCGCGTGGCTGGTGGGGAGGGCGGGAATGGAATCAGGCCTGTGTTAAATTTATGAGTTGATGTGTACTACTAGTTTAATATTTTTGGAATGAAGTTAAAGCGGTATTACAGTTTTTGTTTTTGTGCCTGTAACGCGCTGCATGAACAGAACAAATAAATGAATACTGTGCCGTCCCAGCCTGCGGAGAGTCGTTTTCTTCGGTCATCTTCTGCGTGCTGCGGTTGTCCACCTCCGTAAGCAGCTGCTACAATGGGTGGTGATTGAAGACAGCCTAGTATCAAGGTTGATAGACGCGTCCTGTTTTTTTGATGTACTTTATTTGGGAAGATGTTCATGTTGACGAAATTGGGATCGGGATTGGGGGCTCGGGCTGAAGAAGATTGCTGCATGAAAAGAAGCGAACCTGAAATAGAGATGAAAATTGTCGTACAGCAAAATAAAAGATGCAAGTCGCAATTGTAGTACAAGTAGTACCTGCTGAAGTGATAGCAGCTCAGCACTTCATTGACCACTTTTCCAGCCTAAATCAGACGTCGCTCACGTAGTTCTTCTCTGGGCTCACCAAAATGTCGCCAGTTGTGCCGGATGCGTCGAGGAGAAAACAGTTGCGTGAAGTAGATTGGGTGCTTTCCCGGGTGCTGGTTCTCGTCGTCGCAATATGTTGATGTTATTTTGCTTGTTCTGGAAAACTTTCTAAAATTCCTCGTATATTGCTTGAAAGGTCAGTATTTGAAATGCGGTGTTCCAAGAAACACGGCTGATTCGTCTAGAGAAATGTGTATTTCTAGGGTCAGAAGACGAAGAGAGCGAGTGCGAGGGTGACCATGTTGGAGAAAAAATCACAAATCGGGAGGGGTATCGCAAGTCAAAACAAGTCTGATAAAGCCGAATTGCGGGTACTTATTTGTCGTACGGCTACGGGTTGACAATCAGAGTTGATGTGGTTACTAGATTTGTACGGCCAACAAACTTCTGCGGGTGGAACAGGAACATACGCAGTGAATAAATTTTCGAATACAAATTCTGAATCTTCTAGAAATAAACTTTAGTACAAGAAACAGGTACTACTTTACAATCGAAATTGACAGGAGTGTCCAAAAGCAGGAGAGGTGGCCTGTGGAAATTCATTTTGTACTGAACATTGATTGTAAAATGATGTCGAAATCTTCGAATCACACTCTGGTGCTGACACAATACCTATTTTTATCTTGTTCACATCGTACAATGAATTGCGAATTTTAATAAATGCTCAAGAACAAAATTTAAGCCAAGACCATCCGCAAGTGTTTTCCTTTTGTAACTCGGAAAAAAATTTCGATCTCTTTGCTTACGTCACTCGAAGGAAATCCCCATTTGGAGATTTGTATTTTTGCACGCCACCAGCGCCCATTTGGAGGGAACAATTTCAATCTACGATTTCAGCCTCGTAAGCCAGATAGTTTGCACAGCCGCAAGATCTTCACATTTACTATTGTGGGAACTTCATGATCATCACTCATTTCGTGTTTGCGTACTAGTATCAAAAGATTCAGATTCAAGATCATACACAGCATCAGGCGATGAAGCTTCTAGAATGACCGCATGCAGTTCTCGCATCATGATTGCCAGCTGCACATCACAGGTGCCGAGTCTTCTATCCAGGCTACCAATGTCGCGTCATTAGGCTTAGGATCTTGATTTCTTGAGTTAAACATGCTGTGAGTGGCTCTTTCGCTTTTCTTTTTCAACACCTCGTCTAGAAGAGCAACAGACTGGTAAAAAGACGGGTCCTGCTGGAAGATGTAGGTTTGGTTTTATGCAATAAAAACCGGTAGCTTCTGGTGAATTACGCGACGGCACACGGGGCAGTGCTGCAGCTGCGTGGAGCATTCGTATCAAAGTGAAAAAAGCCCCCACTCCATATCGGAAACGGAGGATGCGCGAATTTGTGATGCTGTATTTGAGTACACAAATCGACTTGTATTGCTAGAAGGCCAAGAGACGAAGCTGCGGCCTAAATTGCAGGCAATCTGTCATGCTGTTTCCCACTTCCAGTTGCCTCCTGTCATCCTGGAGCTGCAAGGCTTTCCCACGCTAGACAGCACTACAGTCCGCATCTTTTGCCTTCTAGCATCACAAAGCTGATTTGTGACCACAAATCTGCATCACAGATTTCCGTTTTGATATGGGGAGGGGGCATTTTTCATTGTAATAGTTCGGGACAGCAAACCAGGTGGCAGCACGGGTAGAAGACGACCTGACTGGTACCGTGAGGAAAGATCCCCCCTCCCCATATTGAAAACGTATGTTCCTAAAAATTTGTGATGCTGATTTGTGACCACAAATCCTGTCTCTCTTGCAAGAAGGCAAGTCCAAAGAATTCGCAGCCTTATTGAGGCGATTTGTATATGCTGTCTCACGTAGATGGCGGGCCTCTGTCATGCTAAGTGCCTACAACAAAACACCCCTACGCAGGCTGAGGCTTTGCTTGTAGTGCCTCACTGCAAGACAGGGCTGATTTGTCTACACAAATCCAGCAACAGAAGTTTCCGTAACAATATGGGGAAGGGGGATTTTTCACTTTGATAACTGGGCTTGTCCAGACACACACTGCACATCCGATCGGAGGAGAGAATTTCCTGAGAATTTGTCATGCTGAAAATTTTTGCCTCCCAAACAAAACTTTATTTGGCACGCATGATAGAGCCGCTCGGAAACGGAATAAAGTAGACTCGAATAGCAGAGCATCAGAATCACCATGTGGTTATCATACATGATAATCGTACTCTGGTACAACATATTTGACACCTGCAGTTCCGATTTCTGCTGTTCGACCGCTTGGTTTTGCGCGAAAAGCTCCTCTTTGATCTTCTTCAGCGCCTCAATTTGCTGTTGGTATTCGTGCTGGTCCAGGGCCGACATTCGGCGAAACATGTGCTGCTGCCGCAACAGAATCTCGTCCGTGTTATGCTTTTTCCCCTCGAGCCAGTCATACCTGCGCTGCAACGCCGCGGCCCGGGCCTCGGAAATGGCACAGCGCTCCTTCCAGGATAAAGTGTCCAACTCCTCCTGTGATTATTTCGTTTCAAATTTATTGTATTTGGGCATGAAAACAAGTTCTCGGTTGTTACGTGCTGGGGACCATTGTCATCCTGTACGAACAAAGCATAATGCACAGTAGGATTAAGATGTTCTTTACATCGGGCTGGGTCCATCTTCGCGTGGGCACGAAAGACAGCGATAATCATGTCGTAAAAACCTGACTTGGTTCCGGCCAGGGGGGCGGCGGCTCATCGGGGTCTACGAGTTCGGAGGACATGGCAGGAGCTTTGCTTCCAGCCATGAAACCACCTGCGTTCTTGCTGGAGGAAGATGATGAGCTGTACATCAAGTCCCGTCCTGTTGGCGCTGGACTCAAGACCGACTGCACAAACTGCGACACGTTCCTGGCCGCCTAGTCTATGGAAGCGTCAGGATTGAAATCGTTAAAGCTGATATAGTACTATAGTTTGTGATGCATAAAATGCTAGTCGCAAAGTGCCTGTCTTGCAGACCAGGCAACTGCGGCCGATTACAAGCCTCCTTGGGGTGTGAGATAGAGCTGCTAAAATAGCATGACAAAAGCAGTCATCTTCTCTGCTCAAACAGCATGACAAATTGGATTTTCCATGCTGCCTTTTTTGTCATGCGCCACTTGCAAACTGGGCTCCAGCTGGTATCGCTTTTTTGCATTACAGATTATTGCAACTTTGATGATTTCGGTCCTGACACTCCCATATGGTCGAAAAGCTCCGTAAACGTGTTCGCGTTCGCGTTGTTCGCGTCGTCGGCGAATAACCTATTGGACGACCCGGTGGTGTTGCGTGGGTAGTCGTACTGAATTCTCGGTATCGCCGGGTCGAACGGGGGCCGGGCGGCACTGCTAGAGGAGGAAGAGGACGCTATCCTGAGTAAAAACGTACCCACACCAGAGTCGGGATGGGGATTTTGCAACACAAACCTAGGAGTTTTGTGAGTCACGCATGACATAAACAGACTGTGCTACTGCGGTGAGTCACGCATGACAAGTTTCAGTCCGTAAGGTAGTGCAAGTTAGCAAGGAAAGCCGCATCACGAATCGATCTGCTGATCCTGTTTACAGCATTACAAGTTCCCAAACACGATTGAAAATGCCTGTCATGGGATTGCGCATCACAAATGTTCCTGTCATGGCAAATCTGCATGACAACTCTGGTGTGGGTACGTTTTTACTCAGGATAGACGCACCAGCGGCAGCACCCGTAGTAGTTGTACTACCCGGCAGCAGCGAAAAGTATCCTGTGTAAAAACGTACCCACACGACCATAGTTGTCATGCTACTCTGCATGCTTAAAATGTTTCTCATGCGGAGCCCCATGAGAAGCATTTTCTAATGCGGTTTGGAAATCTGTAATGCGCCAATCAGCATGAGATACTAGATCTGTAATGCTGCTTAGCTAGCTCAAACAGCACTACACTACGCGTCCAAATTTGTCATGCGAAACAGCCACAGCTTATGGATTTGTCTAGCGGATTTCCTATCTTGACTCTGGTGTGGGGACATTTTTACTCAGGATAAAAAGGGCTGGATAATGGGATTCGGGCGTGGAAGATTTTGGTCCCGATGATCCCGTGGCGTCTCCGGCAAACTCCGCAGTCGCTGCCGGGCCACCGCATCGCGCTCCCGGACGATGGCCGCTGGGTCCGGTGGAATTTGCCGTGCCGAGTTGGTGTCCGATGTGGAATCCTCGCGGGCGGTGGAGCTCGCATATGAACTGCAAATATGTCTGGGTCTGGAAGAGTGTAAAATTGTCATGCAGATTTTCCATGGCCCATGAGATCTGGAATGGGAGACCTAGCATGACAGACTCTGTGAGGTCTCTGTCATGGCTATCCTGCAATGAGAAATTCCCTCCCAGCTTGGTCGAAAGGGGGCAGCTTTTGGCACTCATGCAACACAAACCTTTGCATGATACGGATTTAGCATGACAAGTTGCAACCTTCCAGACCCAGACATATTTGCAATGCATAGCGCACTTACCTCCGCCATGTCGTCGGAAGGAAGCTGCTGCTGCGAGGGAACTCCCGTCACACCAGTACTAGCGACATTTCTCGCCCTGCTGCTGCTACTGGATGCTTGCTGAACTGTTTGTAACTGATTCGGGAGCTGCACACCCGATGATCCCCCTCGCGAGGGCGGCGGAGCGGCCTGGCCAGTATTATTTCTACTGCCAGACGAGCTCGAAGATGGACCCCCTGCTCTACCCCCGAAAGGCGTCGAGTTTGCCAGCGCCGCGTTCAGAAATGGCTGCTGCAGTCGGGGCGCGGCGCCCAGGCCGCGAGTTTGATGATGCATCGTTGATGAACTCGAGCTGCTGGCGCTCGCTTGCTGCTGCTGTGTCCTCTGCACTTCTTGTTGCAGCTCTGCCGGAGGTGGCGGTGGTGGGGGCGGCTGCGGCTGGGCACCCTCTACTGTACCAGCGGATTGTTGTTCAAAGCCCCTCCGCCCTCGGGTACTACTCCTCGACCCTCGGCTGTAGGAAAACATGGAGCTGCTCCTGCGCCGGATGGTTGTCGTCGACGGTAGAAGCCTGCGGAATAAAGATCCAATCGCAGCAGAGGTCCTCGTCCCGGTAGTCCGGCCCCTTGCTAGCACTGCCGTCTGTTGTTCCTCTGATGTCGCTGTTGATGCCTCGGTCGTTCTACTTGTGACCGCATGTACTACAGAAGCTCCTCGTCGTGCTGTTTCGCTCCCCTCGTGTTGCGCGCTTGCCTGGTGGGGGGTCGACATTCGTTATTTCTTCTACTGTGCATTTATTTGTTCACCTCGGTGTACTGTGGTGTCCGTCACGCTGACGCTTTAATATTTGGAAGAAGTACAATTTCCACTCACGACCGCGATGAAGTAATAGTAAACAAACTGGAAAATAAACCATGCAGTGTCGGAGAGCTGCTGTGCCCAGGACCAGGACGAGTGAAACCAAACAGAAGACTCTAATATTAACTACGCTGATAGAAGACCACTCTCAGAGCAGGCAGACGGGAAAAGGCTTTTACTTTTGCTGAACAGGAGAACACACGAAGTGCAAGAACATCGTTGCCCCAATGCGATGAGATGCTGTCGTTCATTTTTGCCGAAAAAATTGGAACTTCGTTCTCCCTTCTCGGTAGTCGTACATTTGTAAAAATGAGAATAGTCCCAGTCCCTCTACTGCGTTCAGAAGCACCAAACAATGTTGGTTACAACTCGTGGATGCATATGCAGCAATGCGCGTCGGTAGAAAAAAAATCATGCGGGGAAAAACGATAAAAGTCGAAGTCGCGTTGGAAAGCCGACGTATCGGTCGCTGTGCTAATACAGCCTCCCTGCTAGTAGAAGATGTAGAAGATGTAATATTCGCCTGTCGCTAGTACCTCTACGGAGTTGATGGAGTGGTTCCGACTCTCAAATCTATACTTGAATTTGCAACTACAAGGTTGCGGCGTCTGCTTGCTAACACCAGTAGATTCCGAACAACATCTTCCGAACTTGCAGGGCGCGCGCATCCGAAAATGAGCGAGAGCTACCGGTGAAGCTGGAAATAAACGCATGTTGCAAAATAATAAATCACTACAAGCAGCCAGCTACTACTGCAGCGCAATTGTTGTACTGATCAAATCTTCCAATCGCTATGTTTCCGTTGTGCGGTCTGATATCGTGGTGGGGCGGACCACGTTCTTGCTTACTGTCGGTCGAGGTGTCTCTCTGTAGTAGTGGTCTTGATGATTTTTTTAGTGTTAGTTTTGCCGCAGCGGTTATCTACTTTCGCGGCGACAAAACCAGCGCTGTTTCAAGGTTGTTTTCATTTTACTTCAGCCTAAGAAGACCGAGACAGTACTATGAGGAAGCTCTACGTAGTGCAGGTAGATTTTTTACATGTTCGATTTTTATTTACTCAAGAAGTTCATAGAAGAAGTACTTGGTTTAGGTTTTACTACAAGAATCTTATAAATGTTGTGAGAAGTACTTAGCAAAGCTGCACTGGGGTCTTGTTTCGCCGGAGAAATATTGTAGAAGTAGCAGCACATTGACATTTCCCGTTGTGAGCGGTGTCTCGACGGCGCTACAATATTGACTACGAGGTCAAGGAAAAAAGGACAGAAAAAATGAAGATACATCGTACACTTGCCGGCCGCGACCGTCCGAAAGGCGAAACTGTTCTTTCCACCCTAGAGATAGAGTACAGCTAGAGCAAATTTATAACTCGTCTTGCCGAATCTGCTACAAAAAGAACTCCACTCCGTTCTAGGGTGGTGGTAATATGCCTTGTGATTCTGTCTCTTGTTAATTTTTTCTGCGGGTCCTTAAGTCTGTTTCTATTAATGTAACAAGAAGTGGCAGTTATGGTGTACGCCTAGTGTACAGTGGTCATAATCTTCCAGAGGCAAGTGTAAGTATCATCTGTGAGTGTCTTTGTCGTTTTTTTTTTGTACAAATATGGAGAAAAAAAATGAATATCATACTGACCCCGGCGTGATCCTGTCTCGGAGCCCACGCAACCTGCCGCGCGGTAGCAGAGCCTTGCGATTTATTGGCTACATACAGGAATAATTTCCGCATGGGTCGTCGTGATATGTTGTCAGCATCAAGAAGCAAGCCGTGAATGATAACCTACACAACACAAGAAAAACCAATGCGTTTAGTATGTCTGAGTTGCGTATCATGTGTCTTGGAGTCTTTCGAGTGTTTACGCAACAGAAGACTTTCTTGGTTTCAGTGAAGATGCAGGATAATTTTTCAAGACCATCACCATTCTTTACTCTTCACGAACTTACAAAAAATCTTGATGCGACGTGACTATACTGTGACTATAGATGAGATTCTGGATGTGTTTCGTCTAAGCTGCTGCAGCGCAACGAACGAGCAACTGCTGGGAACTACTGTAAAAACTGTGACTATAGAATGAGATTCTGGCGCGCGCGCGTGCGCTCCTTTTGCTAAAATTTTTGTGACTATATCGAGAAAAAGCGTCGAGTGACTTTTGCTTGCTAATAATATTTATGGGGGTTCTTGTTGTTATAGAGCCTCTGTTGTGACTTTTTTTTTGCTGAAAATTGAAATACTTCGGAGTGTTTCTTCAATTTGGTTTTGGGAGTAGTAAACGGGCACAGCACGCGGGTCTTGCGTTGGTCGTGTTTTTTTGCGAAATAAAATCATTGCGCCTCTGGCACGAGGTTCTGGTAGCAGACCGCATCGGCCGCAACGCCTTCGAACTTTATAACTGCCGTGATGAAGCCCATGTCGAGCTTGCCTCTTGCAAATTGCGGAAAGCAGTCGCCGTAGTAGAAGACCTGTAGTGGTTGTGGAAGTAGTTATTCTTATTTTCATCGCGATTACCTCCATTTCTCATGCAAAAAATCTATGTATTGGCTTCGGCTGAACTACACACATCGATGTTCACATGAATCCACAACTCCTGCACCTTCACCTTCACAACAATACGGAAATACCTTCTCTTGCGGCGGCCCGTTCGTGTACCCTTCCGTCTCCGGTCCCTCGACCCAAAAGGCCGCGGTTCCCATCGTTAAATCGATCTCGCACCAGATGAAATCACCGTGTTCAAAGGGTCGCACGACGAACTCTTTGCACCGGGTCACATCGGCCTTGCGCCGGACGCACACAATCCCCTTCCGGGACACGAAAATGGACTGGATGCGCTGGATGTTCTTCGCGCAGGGAAGTTTATTGGAGAAGACGAACCCGATGCCGTCCGCCATACTAAACCCTTCCTCATTGTCGCCGTCGGTTTTTTCTGTTTGATAGTTCTTGGGATGCTATTTTCATAGTACAGTTTCCAATGTGCTGTGCTGCTGGCCAGCACGCAGGAGAACAATAATTCTCCAGTGTACTAAAAGTAGAAATAAGTATTCCTGTCGTGGTCGACCAGCCGCGCATGTGGAAAAAACCAGCAAATAAACCCTCTTTATATATTTTTACCTCGGAACCGTATGCAGTAGCGGTGTCTGCCCTGGTGGCGTATTCGGTCTTCGGACAAGGTTGATAGCAGGTCGTTGTACGCTTTGCCCTTGATGAAAATCGTCGAGTCGCCGTCCAGCCGACCCATCCGGAGCGACTCGCCGTGCCAGATCAACTGCTCTCGGGTCCACCGGTACCCCGGCGGGGTTTTCATTTCGGCGCGCCGCACGTGGCGGTCGCAGGGACCCGTGATGGGCCAGATGGCGGTGCCTGGAATGGATTTGTTGTTGCAGGTAGAAGTTGTAATGTTGTCATGACGCCGGAGCAAACCGAGGACGCGAATGGGATCTTGCATAAATTTGATGATGAGCTGTATCGCAAACACGAAAAACTGTCAAAATTGTTTTCTACTTCTGTAAAAAAAGTACCATCTCAAAATAGGAAAGTATTATACTGTCTTTCCCGCCTTTCGCATTTTTCCCGGCGCCTTTCTGGACGCTTGGCGTGTACTGCTGCCTTGGCGGCTCGTGGTGCTGGTTGCGGTAGGCTGCGGCACCGTCTTGCTGCGTCGTCGGGGAGGATTTGCCACTGGGCGCCCGGGTCGTCTTCGTGCCCGAAGCTGCGGAGCTGGAGGACGAGGAAGTTGGCCGCTTGTCAACCTGTTGTGGTACCTGCTGCGCCGGCTTGTTTGGATAGAGGGGAGACGGAAAATGTTGAACTTGATGTGTAGTCCTTGTTCCCCCGAAGTGCTGTTTTTCCAGCGCTCTACGCTGCGCCGCGGTCAGGCCGCTTGCGTCGATAGTGGTATCGTCGTCCTCCTCTCCGGTCGTGGCCGCAGGGTCTAATTGTTCGAAGGGGTCCTGGACTACATGTTGGTCCGCAGCAGCGAAGTGGTGCATTTGCTGCTGCGCCGCTTGAATCTGGGCCATCATGTAGGGATCCAGCGCAAACTGGTGCGCATGATGTGCAGCTGCACTCGGGTCCAGGTGGGCCGTAGCGTGTTGATCCTGTTTTCGATTCACAGAAAATAAATTGCGTCGTGACAACTCGGATCATTTCTTGGCAGCATCAAGCAACATCTCCGCATGGGATAGAAAGGCAGCGAAAGTTTTTTAATAAAAATATCTGCACGCACAAAAAGAAAATCCTATCTGTCCGCCAAGTTCATATCTACACAGTACGATGTTGACGTTCTTGCACCAGCGCTACCAAAATGTTAATATTAATTTAACATGCAAATTTAGAAGCAAAATTCTATACCCCTGCTCCCTGGCCCCCCGGTCGGAATCCCGGCGCGGTTCCCGGCGGGGGAAGCTGCTGCCCGGGTGGTGGTACTACTGCCGCAGCGTAGGGGTTGTATGCGGCTGTACCTGGTGAAGGAGCACCAGCTGCTGCATCTGGGGAAGTTGTAGCAGCTCCCCCATGATACATCATGTGCATATACTGGGCCGGATTGCCGTACATGGCCATCATGTGCGCCGGGTGAAAAAACGGGTTTATGGCAGCTGTATACGCGGCATGTTGATTTTGTGCCGCGGTTGTGGTACCACCAGGGCCCGTGGCACCAGCTCCACCTGCGCCGTTTGCGGTGGTCGCTGCACCAGGAGGTGGAACTGGCTGCATTCCAGGCAGCAGACCTGGTGAAAACTCCCCTGGGAGTAGATGCTGCCCGGCGTAGATTCCGGGGTGAAAATTTGGGGAGCGGGAGCCAGTCTGCGTCGACAGGTAAGAACCCCGGTTCGGGTTTGTGTAGGAGTACTCGCTGTGAAGAAGGTTTTGGTTTGTGAGGTTTTTTTGTCACTGACCGAACATCTTTTTTTACTAGAGTTCTAGACGAACTGCACCTGCTCTTAATCTACTCACACGGGGACCATACGAATCGATCGAATCGAATATAAAAGTAGGCGACTCTACTTATTCGCATGTTCCCATGGCTTCTAAGTGTAAGAATCTTCAAGGTCGTGGTGCATAAAAATGAAGAATCGTTTCAAAATAAATACGATGTCCTCGGATAGCGCCGAGATCCGCTTTTGTTGTTGCCCGACCGACTGTTATCTCTACTGCCCGTGGCTCCGCCGCCCTGCGCAGTTCCTGTGGCAGTATATGCTCCCTGTTCTTTTTGCTGCGAATAGGGCACGGTGCCGGCTACGTGGTACTGCGGCGCCGTTTGTGGGTACACAAACTGGCTCGTGACGTGCGAGGGTCCTCCGGGGCTGATCATGTTCAAATAGTTGTGCTGGTCTGCTACGGCTGGCGCACTGGTTATTCCTGCAGTTTTCGTTCTAGTTTGGTTTATTTCCCCATTGGACCCGCGGGTCGTATTGGTGTCCGGGCCCCGGCTGGAAGAAGGTTTCTTACTCCTACTTCCTCTACCACCTCCTGATACGCTGTGTTCATTATTCGCTGTCCCACCTGCAATTCTGCTCGCGATTTGCTGCTGTAACTGCGCGTTGGCGATGTTAATCTGTTGCTGCTTATACTCCCGTTCTCGCCGGTCCCGCTCCTTTTTCGCCGCGTTATTGGAGGTTCCGAACTCGGGGCTGCCATGATGCGCTGTCACCACCCGGGCGGGAACGGACTTTGTCTTGTTCAGAACCACTACGTCGTCGTCTTCGTCGTCGTCCGACACGATTTCGACGAACGTGCGGACCATCTTCACCGTTTGGTGCGCCATCTTGCAGAGGACGAAACGGTCTACCGAGAAGCTGTGAAGAAGATGCGGCCAATAGTAAGAAGTACTGGCTCACCTGGTACGCCGAGTAGTACTATTTACCCCGTCTGCGATGTCCTCCGGCTCGACTTCTTGTTAAAAACCGTACGCGGCTACGATGACGAGCAATCAGTGCTGTCTAGACGGAGAGGTTCTTGTGTCTCTCTCCTCCTGACGGCAAAAATCGGCGACGCAATAGGTTTAGTGGCAGGGGACGCGACGCGGTCAAAAATTCGGATTCCCCGTGCTCTTGCGGTCATTATGTAGTGTATGTTTGCAATCTCATTTTCATTTAACCCTGAAGTGATTCTGCAAAAAATATACCTTCACATAGACGATGAAAAGTACTGAAATGCTGCAACCAGGATAATTTTTGAATCGTGATTCAGCTGTTTAATATTTCGTGCGGCAAGACTGCTCACTTGGACTCCTTTCAAAAAAAAAAATACACAGCACCACCCACGCACTTTCTGTGCTACTAGCTACGGAGAGTTTTATCAACATTTGCCTTACTGAAGATGCGTGGAGCTCCGGATGCGGATCCTCTCGCACAACTAGTACGCCCAGTGGGAAAACAAAAAAGGCCCAACTCGACCGTCAAGCAGAACAATATGGTACGTGCTTTAATGCCATCCCACCAGCCTAGATATTCAAATTGTTGATGCAACTTCCTGCGGCCGGATATGCGGTGGCTAGTGTGCAGTGTGTTGTGCTGTAGTAGTTCGAGTAAAAAGTCAACTTGTAAAGTTTTTCGATCCAATAGAAGTATAAAAAATGGAAATTCGACAAGCGTGCGATGAACAAACTAGAAGTAGAAGCCGAATAAAATTAAAGAAGTGATAGAATTTGTGCCGTGTCTTTATCTTGGATGGTTGTCAGTGGATGAGAGCTGTCGGTGGTATTTTTGGTGAATAAATTGCACGTCATGTGGCATAAATGGCGTTTCTGTTTTCGTTGGCGAGTCTGGAGGTACCAAAGATCTTTCAAGGTTGTTGTGTGCAGCCATAGCCGGTACTGATACCAGGTAATTACAGCTCTCTACTTCTAGCGTGGAACCGAAATAAAGTACAACGCCGGCGCGTTTGCGGTGCTTCGGGCCTTTTTACAGAATTTCAAGAACGTCTCTTTTTCGTTTATGAAGCAGTTTGCGATGATGTTTCTGATTGTTAACAACAGGTGTGCGCAATAGCGTCCGGCAGTCATGCTGGTGGAGCCTTTTTTTATTGTAAATCGCAAACATATTTCTTCTCCAGCTTTTTTACACCGATCCACGTATCCTTGTGTGACTCATACTACCGCACTCACGCCCGAATTTGCTAGCGTTGTACTGCTATTAGCTAAAAGTAGGTTTTTCGTGTTTGTCTCAGGTACATTGCTCGTAGAGTAGATTGAGCAGTACATTGCTCGGAACGAAGCGGACCAGCAGGACCGTCGTGATCGTGAAGCGGACATTGCGAGGAACGAACGGTTTGCGCAAGCTCTGCAAACCGCCCTGCACGGCAACAGCAACACCACTACAAACGGAAACAACAACAACAACAACGTCGCCCCCGCCAACAACAACCCCGAGTACGTGACGATTGGAATGCTCAACCAGTTCCAGCAGCAGGTGCGGGAGGAAAACGCCCGCCGGGAGGACGCCTTCCGCACTGAAGTCCGCACCGAGATGCAGGGCTTTGGAACCACGCTGCAAACCGGTATGGCGCAGATCAACAACACGCTGCAGAACATCCAGATGCAGCAGCAACAGTACGCGGGCGTGGCTGGCGGAGGAATGATGGGTGGCGGTGCCGCCGCAGGAGGCGGTGGTGCTGGCATCGGTGTCGCAGGAGCGGGTATTGGCGCCGGAGCTGGCGGCATCGGCGGTGCGGGAATCCCAGCTGCCGGTGCGGTCGGTGGAGGATTCGGAGGTGCGGGCCCCCCCGGCCTTGGTGGACCGGGATTAGGCGCTGGAGGTGCTGCTGGTGGTGTGCCCCCGGCTGGAGCAGGTGCCGGTGGAATCGCAGGCGGAGTCGGTGGTGCTGGTGCTGGTGGTGCCCCTGCCCCAGCTGCCGTCCCGGTGGTTGAGAATGCGGCTGACGGAACCGCCGTCACCTTCCACCACAACGACGTCGCCCAGAACATCAACAAGACCCTCCTGTACAACCTCCTCACGCAGCAGGGGAAGGACCTCCTCGCCCAAGCTCTGGAACCCTTCGAAAACGCAACCCACGACACGCGCACCAAGCTGCACACCCTGAACCAGCACGACTGCCGCCTGATCTACCAGCGTATTGCAGCGGCGCGGCGTCAAGCCGCCTTCCCCCACGCCGCCGTCCAGCCGAATACGAACAACAAGAACTCCACGATCATGGGAATCCGGCGGTGCTTCCACCGCAACCATGACGCGCTGGCGGTGCAGTAAAGAAACACGTGAATAGCAGCAGCAATGGCGACGCTCTGACGAAGACAACGGGAGAGCAAGCCGGTGACGTTGCAGCACTTATGTCCATGATGCGCGCGCACAGTCTGCGTGCGGACTGCGCGCACGCTTCAAGGGTCGGAAATACGCCAATTGACAACGCCCACCTCGACTACTTCCTTTTCTTCTACCCCTCCGTCTTGCCGTTTCCCGGTGGGTTTTCGCGGAACTGAATCTCTGCTGTTGCTTGAAAGAGGAACTGTAGATGTTGATTTTGAACGACGATGCTCGCGTTCTTCCTTTACTAGTTTTCTGTTCTTCTGTGACTTGAGGTTGGTGAGGAAAGTTCGGTAGCATATCTGCCCACACGCGCCGCTCAGCATTACAGATTCCGTCTTCACTTCCGTTTTCTTTACTTTTCTTTACTTTTCTTTTCTTTACTTGGCTTTGATTTGGTTGGTTGAATTGCTGCCCACATGCGCCAATCAGCATTACAGATTCGATATGGCAAAAGTGGGGCACTCGGAAAGCTCGTACAGGTCTTGCGGGTTTTTTGGTCCTTGTCCTTTTGTCTCGTGAGAAGAAGTTGCAGCGTGCAACCTAGCGTTTACGTCCGTAGTCGTTCAAAACAACGTACATTTCAAGCGACCAGATTCTTCACAACTATAGGAAGATGATGTTTATTTGTATGAGAATCGCCGCTCAAAGAAGCTCACGGTAGAGCGAAATGATGTGACCAGCGTCATTACTGAACCGTTTTCGACAGCTCTCAGTTTCTCAACGTGACAAAAACAATTTCGGGAAAATGAAAAAGTAAAATTTGTGATGCTAGCCGGCGGCCTGGTGAACAAGCGGAGGTGTTCGGCCGACCGGAAAAACGTCCTTCGTCATCACTTCTTCGTGCTTCTTCGTTCCTTTCCGGAATTCGCAATGTGAATGAATTTGCGATGCTATTTGGATTGAAAATGTACTGTCGACTGTAGAGAGAGTTTTTCAGCCATTTGTCATTTAGATCTCTTCATCTTGTTTTGTTTTTCGTAAGCTGGTATGTTCATCTAACGGCGACCGATTTTTTTGCTGTGAACATTTTGTCACGGTGGTAGACCGACAAAAATTATTTCGTTCTTGACTTGCTATTCGTTCCCTTTCGCTTTCGTGCTGTCGCTGTGCAAGAATTATACAGTGGATCTATCATTCTAGCTTTTACATTCCGAGAACGGCGTGCCCCAGCGCGAAGGGGAACACAGTGTAGATCACGAGTCAAACATCAAGGAGACTCCAGTGACCTGCTCTTCTGTCGATCGAGGAACAGGAACTGCAAACGAACCTTAGCGAGCTGTGGCAGCTCTGCAAGAGCAAGCAAACTTGCCGATACAGTACTTATTTGTGGTCGGACTTCTTTGAACTACAAGTTGTTGTACTAGCGGGGCGCGAAGATATCAAATTATCCATTGATTGTCATGCACGAGGAAAATAAATGAGGCTTCTCGACGTCTGGAGGCAAACGCAAACAGAAACGATGCCTTTGCTTGATCGGTCTCCGCTTGCGGGTTACCTGGTTGTTCTTGATGCTAGAAAACAAGCGCATAGGAAAATACAATGCATAAGGCCCTAGAAGAAGAATAAACTATCATCTAGCGGACAGTTTATTCACATGGGATCTTTCTCGTAATTACATTGGGAAATTGCAACTCCAATTGGCAGTGGTTTCAAAAAGGCAGCAGGGGCACCTCGGTGATTTAACAATATATGTTCTTCCTCTCTTACTACTATAGTGGTTCTACTCCAATTTCTTGCTTAATCCTGCTTCTCCCGACATTGGTGCTTGAAAATAACCCCCGCCCATTTGTTCTTCCGGGGCCGGCGGCCCGAGAACCGGTGGCGCCATCAAAGCTCCGGAGTTTTTTAAGGCGGTCTGAAACGAGCCGCGTATTTCGCGTAATAATGTGTTTTCCAACTGGAGGAATCTACTGCTCATCTCGCTGTCGCGGGTTAACAATATCCCGGAGACAAACTCGTCCACGGATAGCTCGCCACTTCCATCCGTGTCCAACACCCGAAAGAGCCACTCCAGTTCCTCTTCTTGCACGTGCAGGTTGGTCACCTTTTGCATCAAAGCCTTACTCGATTTTACCGCATTCTTGAACTCCTCCACCGTGACCGACCCGGATCCGTCCGCATCTACTTTGTGGAACACCTCTGTCAATTCCTGACTCATTTTCAGCTGGTTTTCCCGAATTGACTGAATCAGCGTCAAATCCGCCGTGTTGGCCGCGGCGGTCAGCGTGTCAACGAGGACACCGATGAACAAAGACATCATCATAAAGTTCGCCGCGATGATGTAGCAGGTAAAGAAAACGCCGTAGAAAGCGTTCTCCTCGGTCATCGTCCGGGCGATCAGCGTCCAAGATTCTAACGTGACAATTTAAAATATCCTGAGCAAAAACGTCCCCACACCAGAGTCAAGGTGGGAAAACTGCTAGACAAATCAACCAGCTTCGGCGGTTTCGCATGACAAGTTTGTTCTCGTAGTGTAGTCCTGTTTTGCTATTTCAGCAGCATCACAGATCTAGCTTATCATGCTTATTCTCACATCACAAATTCCAAAACGCGACTAGAAAATGCTTCTCATGGGGCTCCGCATGAGAAACTTTCTTGGCATGCGGATTTGCATGACAACTCTGGGGTGGGGACGTTTTTGCTCAGCATATCTATGAAACAAAGTGAACATCGACCCCGAAACCGTTCCGAAGTAGTCGTGCACTTTTTTCCGGTTCAAAAGTTCTATATCAAGTGCAAATATGTCTGGGTCTGGAAACTTGTAATGCAAGTCCGTGAACAATAAAGTGCTCTGTAATGCGCCGCCAAGCATGACAAGTTTTTTCGTGTTTCTGTGCTGCGTATTTCGCATGAGAAACTGCGCTTTTGCATGACAGGCAAGAGGACCTCTTGGTGGCCACGCAATACAGAGTGCAGAGTCATGCTAGAGTAGCATGACAAATCTCGCAATCTTGTTCCAGACCCAGACATTTTTGCAGTTGATATTCTATCTGCTCCTGTTGCGTCGCGACGTCGAGGAGGCAGTTGCCTGCTCCTGCTCCATATGCATTGCAAAAGCACCTCCGCACTAGCGTAGATTGCATTACAAATTGACTTAGCATTACAGATTGAATTTGTAATGCGGATTTGCCTTGAGAAAAAGATTTGTAATGCACAAACGCAATCAGTACGAGTACGGTGCTTTTGCACTGCATACTCCAACTCCAGAAGATGTGGAAAGCGCAGTGTTAACCTGCGCGGCCGGGTCTTGCAGAGAACTTGTACTTACATCCGCGCCACAATTCTGCTGCGCGATTTCGATTTGCTTCACGTCGTCCATCGAAATTTTGTAATACCGATTTTTGTCCCGGACTTGGGAGGTGAGAAAGATCGCGCACGTGTAAATCATCAGAAAGAGGAGTAATAAGATATGACCCAGAAGATCGACCGCAACGCCCGCGCAAGGCCGTTGACCAACAGCCATAAGTCTTTGTAGTACCGGATTAACTTTATGCTCCGCAGTACCCGGAGCAACCGCAGTATCCGCACAGCCGAGGCTTCCTTCGTGTTGGAATCGTCCGGGCTGCCGTCGGACGCCAGCTCAAAACCCCAAACATCAATCGCCGACACGAGAATGACCGTCGCGTCTAACGCCAGCCAGGCCTGCTGTCGGTAGCGGTCGGTACTGGTGTAGGCGTTGACCCATTCGAGCGAGAAGTAAGATTGGGCGTATTCGCAAGTGATGACTTCGTACTCGAGATCTTTATCCGCTTGGTCTTTATTTTCTGCGTCTGTTGCCCCCCCGTTCCAGCGGGAATGAAGGTGATTCCCGTCGAAGTCGTCCAAGTCGCTGTAATTTACCGTCCGCGCGTTGGCGTTCATGAGGGACTTCATCTGGTGTTGAGGCTGGTTGTTTACGTTTTGCTGAGAAGCTGCTGCTGATGCGCTAGTAAAAACCGGCGCAGCTCCACCTCCCGGAGCGAGCGAAGGACCTCCATTTTGTGCAGGAGCTCCTGTTGGACTCATCGCGCTCGCAGTCGACGAGGTTGTTTCCCTATGGGAGTGTCACGATTGAAATCGTCAAAGTTGAAATAGTTTGTCATGCATAAAATCGATACCAGTTGGGAGCCCAATTCCCAAGCGGCGCATGACAATTTTTGGCACCACCTAAGTCCAGTTTGTCATGCTGTTTAGGGACAGAAGGCGTCTGTTGTCATGCTACTTTAGCAGCTCTATCGCAGACCCTAAACGGGCTGCCAGTCGGCCTCACTTGCCATCCCTGCAAGAGAGACACTTCATGCCTTGCAATTTGTGCATGAGAAATTATTTCAACTTTGACGATTTCAATCCTGACGCTTCCATATTCCCTTGCTGGCGAGTAGTCGCCTAATGCGGTGGAATATCAAACGCAAAACTATCTGGGTCTGGAAGAATGCGTGTTTGTCATGCTTGTCTGGAATGACTCTTAAAGCTGTCATGCACGTCACCCAAGAGCACGCCCTTTTTCTGTCACGCAGAAACGCAGTTTGTCACTGCAGATGAATAGGCAACACCTAGAAAAGAAGCTCAAAAACTTGTCATGCTGGGCCAGCACTTGTGGCCTTCGCCTTCTCATGATACGCTACCCAGCATCACAAATTTCGATTTCCAGACCCAGACATACTTATTTGCATTTGATATGGAACTGGTTTCCGGAGAGACGGATTTATTTCCGTCGTTGTAGGGGCGGGGATTACCTGTAGTAGGGTTCTTTGCGATTCTGTCGGAAGGATGAAATTAGTATAGTCAGGCAACTACCCGAAGAACAAGCACATAGAAGCTCTTTGTTCTGTCTTCCGATACAAAAGTAGGACTAGCTGCATCGTCCAGATTATAGCAGCATGAAAAGATGACTCTAGAAGTCTTACCTCCGCCCGATCCCGATCCCGCCTTTGTGACACTATTTCCAATTTCGACGATGTCTATCGTATCGTCCATGCCTCTACCGGTTGTACCATTCCGTTTCATCGCCAACCACTTCGTTCTCACTTTCGGCATGCGCTCAAAGCGCAAGCGGTAGGCCAGTTCGAAAATGAAACAGATCAAAATCACGCTTTCCGCCCACCAAAACGGGTTTTGCAATCCGGGGTCGAACACGTCGGCGGTATCGATTTCCACGCCCAGCACAATCATGTTGAGACAAATCAACCTATGGATGTGTCAGGTTTGAAATCGTCAAAGTTGAAATAGTTTGTCATGCACAAAACAGATACCAGTCGGAAGCCCACTTATCAAGCGGCGCATGACAAAGTTTCTGCGCACCGGAACCGAATTTGTCATGCTGTTTGGGCACAGAAGACTGCTTTTGTCGTGCGAGTTTAGTAGCTCTATTTCAAACCCTAAACAGGCTCACACTCGGCCTCACTTGCTATCCCGGCAAGACAGGCACTTCATGCGTTGCATTTTATGCATGACAAATCATTATTTCATCTTTGCCGATTTCAAACCTGACGCTTCCATACAACCACCCGCAGTAGTAGTCTAATTTCGCGAGCATCTTGTCCTTATGAATTGCAAAAGTATCCTATCGTACTCGTATAAATGCATGACAAATTTCCTCAGCATGAGAAAGAAAATTTGTAATGCTGATTTGCCTCAAGAAAAAGATTTGTAATGCATGATTGCAATACGAGTACGATGCTTTTGCACAGGATAGTCCTGGTCCAGGCGCTTCGTCTTCCGCAACAGATTCATCTTTTGTTCCTGGGTATGAACTGTAAAAATCTCTGGGTCTGGAAGGTTGCAACTTGTCATGCTGTTTTTGGACTCTAAAAAAGTTTGTATTACATGAAGAGCAAGAGGGGCACAGTTTGTGCTACACGGACAGGGCATTTTTCATGCGGAAGGTGCAGCAGGACGCCCTCTGAAAGTCAACGTCTGTGATGCTAGGTCATGCATTACAGGAATCATGGGTCATGAGAAATCTGCATGACAAATGTTGCATTCTTCCCGACCCAGATATTTGTGCACTTGATACTGGGTCATCTGGTATTTCGCGTCCTCAAAGGCCTGTCGTCCCACCTGTATGCATTGCAAAAATGTCTAGGTCTGGAAGATTGCTGAGGTTTGTGCTGCTGTGTCTGCTTGACACGAAGGTGTGCCATGCAAGGCCCAGCATCACAGGTTCTTTTGAGACGGTTTCCCAATGCTTAATCCGCATGACAAACACCTTCCTTCGGCGACAGGAAAAGGAGCTCCCTTTGCTGTCTAAGCATGACAGATTTTTGTGTGATCCAAGTATGCATCACAAGTTCGCATCCTTCCAGACCCAGACATTTTTGCATTTGATAACCTCCCGGTAGGCTTCGTTCGAGTTGAGCCCGGCAGATGAGGAGGTTGTGCGAAGACTGGTCGCGCTCATGCCCCGCATGATAGATGTATTGCTGCCCCGCATGGGGCTTGGACTGCTCATCGACTTCTGGGTCGTGCGGCGGTTTGATGCTGAAAATAAAGCTCAAAGGGCCGCGCGTACAAGGAACAGAATGAAGTCGAACCTTGTTTTTATCCGCGCAAACTAGGTAGAAATTCTTCTCACGAAGGGAGAGTGCTGTTGAGTAGTAGCAAGCGATAAATGCGGTGCTGGTAATTATATAGCTACTGCGGGTTGTACAACTAGGGCAGTCGATAAGGACTACTTCTAGATATCACATCCATGCAAGGGTCGTGGGGTCGTGGTGAGGGAATCTATGACATGCGGGCGGGGTGGAGAACCTGGTGCGAAAATACTTAAAAATGTCTGGTCTTTATCATGAATGATCAAACAAAAGAAACTCAAACTTCAAGTAGGGGCAGTGAATATAGCAAATGCGACTTTATTGTTTAACAACGCGGACCGAGCTTGTGCTGCTGTGCTGGAAGATGACTGCTCATACCGAGTTCGCTGTACCACATACAAATCCAAGAGTTAATACTGTGACGGCTAAGTATCTTCGTGTGGTCCTTAAGTAGTCGACGTGTTGCTATTGTGTTGCGCCGACGCGGCGCGGCCGCCAGCACGATTGGTAGTGCGAGTGCCGCGTAGTACCGAACAAAAGAGCGAGTGTAAAAATTTGTTTCTACTAGTAGTGCTCCTTGTCAAGGTCAAACCGAATTCATTATATTATCCTTTGCGTTACTTACTTACGCAAAACCGATGACGACTTCATGAAAGTCGGACACGAAGGACGGCAGGTTTGCTTCATATCTACGACAAACGCGACCGAGGCATACACCGAGAACCGACACAGAGTCTGCCAAACCGAAACAACCTCCACACGGAAGTACGGGAGAACACAGGCGGATCATGCGAAGCCACCAGATTATGAGAAAACAAAAAGGATAGACCGCCGAGGAAGAAGTAGTTTATTGTCGTTTTCTTTCTAAAAGACGGGTAGTTCACAATGGAGGTACATCACGGTGCAAATCTCAATGAAAGACGCTGCAAGAAGAATTGAGTCGCTTTCGGCTATAGAAGAAGATGAAAATGAATCTCAACATTGTCTCCTGTTGCTGTAGTGGTACCGCGTAAGCACAAGTAGACGTTTCTTCCCATAAACTCACACCATCACACCTCAACATCTTCTTCATCCCCGGCCCCCGCCGCAAAAAAATCCTCGGCCACACTGGGTGCCGGAATCTGTGGCGTTGGAAAATTCGGGCCTTCGCTGGCCAAAGCCGTTGTGCCGCCCTGCAAAAGCATCGGGACAACACTTGTTGGGCCTGTCGTCCCGACCGCAGAAGTACTAGACGCGGGACTAGCAGTTGTGGCAAAAATCAGCGAAACATGGGACGGCCCTCCTCCTGCCGACACGGCGTCGTAGGACACGATCGTCCGTCCAAACGGAACCTGCTGGTTGCTGTCCCCGAAAACAACCAACCGCCGCGCGGGATCGTAATCGTTGTTCTGCGCAAAGTCCTGCACGACCCTTTCTTGTTTTAGCAGCTCCTCGTGCCGGCGACTCATGTAGATCATGCCGAGCAGCAAAAGGAAAACCACGACACAGGCCACGATGAGGAGGACGAGGACACAGGAGTTGCTTGTTTTTGTGCCATTTGTAGTGTTCGTTTTTGACGATTTTGCGCCGGTGCTGCTGCCATCATCTACCTGTCCTGCCTGTTGCTCCGGAAGTGAATCTGCAGATGACTCTTCTGCTTGTGTTTTTTTCTGCTCAGTGGAAGTGGAGGACTTCATCACTGTACCATCTTCACCTCCAGTCCCTGTACTAGGAGGACTGCCGTCCTTTTGTCCGCTTTTTTCATCTCCCAGGTACGACCACGTGCGGTATCTCTTGAACTTGCTAGTGGTACCAGCACCAGGGCTCTCCTCTGAAAACTCGTTGATGTTCTTGCGTAGAGAAGAATTAGTAGGTCCAGTACTAGTAGCATCAAGTGCACAAGTGTCTGGGTCTGGAAAAGTGTAGACTTGTCATGCAGATTTTCCATGACCCGTGAGGTCTGGAATGCGGGACTTAGCATGACAGACTCTGCGAGGTCTCCGCTATGTCTGTCCTGCATGAGAAACTCCCCTCCAACTTGGTCAAAAGTGGATAGCTCTTGGCACTCATGCAACACAGATTTTTGCATGCTTCAGATTTACCATGACAAGTTGCAATCTTCCAGACTCAGACATTTTTGCAATCCATAAGTAGTACCAAAGCCGGCTCGGCCTCCTGTTGTGCGTGATCTACTTCCCAGATTTTGATTTCCTTTTCCACTTATCAAATGTAAAAATGTCTACTGGGTCTGGAAGATTCTGAGACTTGTCATGCATGTTTTGCACGACCCAGGATTGTGTGTGATGCATGCCCTACCATCACAGACTTTTAGAACCCTTCCTGATGCCTACTCCGCATGACAAACGCCCGCCCCGCGTAGCACAAACCAGACTCCTCGTGCTGCTCATGCAATACAGATTTTTCTAGAGTCCAAAGTTAGCATCACAAGTTCCAATTCTTCCAGACCCACACATTTTTGCAGTTGATACCACTCTCCAGTTGCTTTTGTGCGTTCGGATTGGCGTTCGCCAATGGAGAACTATAAAAACGCGGATCCACGCCCGTGCAGGTCTGATTTGTGGAGAGAAAAAAGTTTGTCACAGTCACTAACTTGCAGGTTTTGCATTACAAATTTTCTCAGCATCACAAACTTTCTTTGTATTGCAGAAACACTAGGGAAATCCCTAATAAAGTTTGGCTGTGATGCATTTTTACGCATGACAAACAATTTTGTATTGCAAGAATGCGCATGAGTGATCGTGACGAACTTTTTTTCTTTGATATGATTTGATGTGGTTGTACTGTAGTTCGACGTATGAATTGCAAAAGTGTCTGGGTCTGGAAGATTGCCAGATTTTGTCATGCAGGTTTTCCGTGACCCATGAGGTCTGGCATGTAGGACATAGCATGACAGATTCTGCGAGACCTTTCTCATGCCTATCCTGCATGAGAAACTGCCTCTCGATTAGGTCAAAAGTGGACAGCTTTTAGTAAACACGCAACACAGATTTTTGCATGCTTCAGATTTAGCATGACAAGTTGCATTCTTCCAGACCCAGACATTTCTACATTTGATACGACGCTGCTCGTGTACACAGCACGAAATCCGAAACGGCCATTGCGTACTCCCTACTCGTATCAAGTGCAAAAATGTCTGGGCCTGGAAACTTGTGATGCTAAAATGTGCATGATGGAAACACTTCCGAATGCAGACCAGCATGACAACTTTCGGGAGATACACTTTCTCATAGGCAGCCCGCATGAGAAACTGCGTTTTTGCATGACAAAATGGCTGCGGCTTTTGTCGGTTATGCAATACAGATTTATTCCCAGGAATGTAAAGCTAGCATTACAAGTTCCAATTTTCCAGACCCAGACATATTTGCATTTCATAACTCGCATCACAGCCACTCCCGTACCGCCGTTTTGTCCTCCAGTACCTGCCCTGGCACCACCAAGCCGTTGCGCTCTTCTTTCCAAATTTACACCACTCCGCGTGAGTTGTGGCGTTACTGGGGCCTATGGGCGACCACGCGCGAATCACGAACATGCCACCGGGCTCGTACAGGTGGCGGATGGCAGACGCGAACGATTTGCCACTCGCCCCGGTCTCCAGGTTTGTCATCGATGCCGCGTTCCGGAAGTTGGGCAGGATCTCCCACACAAAAGTGGCTTTGTGCTCAAGTATGTGCGGTGGCAAGGGAGTTTTTTGCATGTAGTTGACCGCCTGGAGGTGGTTAGTATTCTTTACGCCCAGTCTCGGGTCCTCGGAGACGACGCTGTTTTCGGTCTGGTCCCAGGGCATGACCTATCCTGGGCAAAAACGTGGCCCACACCCCAGAGTCAACGATTGCTAAACCTGCAAGAACACAGATGCAAGTCTCGATCTCCAAGTTTAATATTTGGGAGTTGTGCTGCATGAGAAATCTCCATCTGCAGCGTAGTGCTGGTTGGCAAGGGAAGCGCCCGCATGGGAGAGCCACAGCCACTTCCTCATCCTGGTTACAGCATTACAAATGCCAAGACATGATCACGATTGGAAATGCCTGTCAACATGGAGATGCGCATTACAAATGTTCCTGTCATTGCGCATTTGCATATACAACTCTGGGGTGGGGACGTTTTTGCTCATCATATGATCCCTTCCGCGGCATAGTAACCTCCACTTACGTGGACAACGCCGCCTAGTACCTGCTCCCGACAGTATCAAAATGAAAAATCCCCCCTCCTCATGTCAAAATGGAAGTCTGTGATGCGGGATTTGTGTACAAAAGTCATTTTGTCACGCTAGCAGGGAAATAAAGATGCGGACCGTAATACTGGGTGGCGTGGGAAATAAGCCTTGCATCTTCAGCATGCCAGCAGGCAGCTGGAAGTGGGAACAAACAGCATGACTATAATTGCCTGCACACGAGGCCTTGACTGCGCCTCTTGGCGTTCTAAGCAATACAAATCGATTTGTGTAGTTGTACTCAAATACAGCATCACAAAAAGTTTCGTTTTCGCTATGGGGACGAGGGGGGAGTTTTCATTTTGATAGACAGGCCTCGCTCACCGGGGCTACGAACCCAGACTGATTAATCCAGTCGGGATCCCACCAGGCCTTCCCGTACGTTAGTATCAAATGTAAAAATGTCTGGGTCTGGAAGCTTGTGATGCTGGGCGGCGTCTCATGATGAGGCCACAAGTGCTGGCTCAGCATGACAAGTTTCTGAGCTTCTAGGTGTTGCCTATTCTGCATGACAAACTGCGTTTCTGCATCACAGAAAAGTGGAGCTCTTGGGTAACGTGCGTGACAGATTTAAGAGTCATGCCAGACAAGCATGACAAACATGCATTCTTCCAGACCCAGACATTTTTGCACTTGATAGTTAGTTCTTGACCACGATAGCTATCTTTTATTTCGTCTCCAGTTTTGTTCCTCAGTCGTGCCTCGAAGAAAGCTGGTGTTGCCAGTTGCGCGGACAGGTGTTTCGTTCTCTGTATCAGCCAGCAGTTTTGTTGGGGGGTGCGAACGTTATCGGCGTTGGCACTGCTTATTATACTTGGGCTGAGGTTCTGCTGGCGCAATTTGCTAAACGGGTGGTGGAAGTCTTCGTAGATGAAAAGTGTGCATTTATCCTGAGGGAAAAGCGTCCCCACACCAGAGTCAAGATGGGAAATCTGCTAGACAAATTAGCCAGCTTTGGTTGCTTTGCATGACAAGTTTGTCCTCGTAGCGTAATCCTGTTTAGGTAGTTCAGAAACATCACAGATGCAGCACATCATGCTGATTATAGCATCACAAATTCCGAAACACGAATAGAAAACGCTTCTCATGGGGCTCCGCATGAGAAATTTTTTTGGCATGCAGATTTGCATGACAACTCTGGGGTGGGGACGTTTTTACACAGGATAGCATGCCGGCTCCTCCACGCAGAGCTGCAAGCACTGGTCAGGCGTGGTGTCTTTGAAAGCGTCCGAACTCCGCCCGACCGTTCGGTTCGTCAGGTTCTTCGCGCGGAGCACGTACTCGTTCACGTGCACCCCCCGCAAGGGTCGAGTGCATAAACTTTTGTACTTGTCAGTGACTTCGGGAAAGGGAAAAACGAGCCAGCTGCGCGTGTCGTTGTACGTGAAAACGTTCTGGACCGACGCGAAGTAGCCGATCGGGTATCCTACGCAAAAACGTCCCCACCCCAGACTCAAAATGGGGAATCTGCTAGACAAATCCACCAGCTATGGTTGTTGCGCACGCCAAGTTCTTTTGCCCCGTAGTGTAAAAATCCTGTTTCGCTCGTTCAGCAGCATCACAGATCTAGCCTGTGATGCTGATTGGAGCATTACAAATTTTTAAACGCGACTAGAAGATGCTTCGTATGGGGCGGCCCCGCATGAGAAACATTGTGATCCTGATCATGCAGTTTTGCTGCATGACAACTCTGGGGTGGGGACGTTTTCACATAGGATATCGGGCCCTCGTTGATCAGTTCGAACGTCCAGCACGGTTTGTGCTCCAACCCAATCTGGTTCGCTATGGATTGCAAAAATGTCTGGGTCTGGAAGGTTGCAACTTGTGATGCTGCATTTGGATTCTAAAAGAATCTGTATTGCATGACCAGCAAGACGAGTCCAGTTTGTGCTACGCGGGAAGGGCAGTTGTCATGCGAAATAGGCATCAGGAAGCCATCTAAAAATCTGTCATTCTAGCTCATGCATTACAGGCATCATGGGTCATGCTAAATATGCATCACAAACCTGGCAATCTTCCAGACCCAGACATATTTGCAGTTAATATCCGCACGGAAGTCACAAAAGTAGTCCTTCGTGGGTCCGGGGGTGTCGGCCGGGCCCCCGTCGAACTGCGGCGCGATGATGCAGTCGTGGTCCGCGTGCTTCGTTCCGCGGTCTATGGTAAATTGTAACGTCGAGCCCGGCGGAAGTTGCCACTTTGTGATCTTCTGTTTCGGCACCACATCAGGCCCGGCGGGGTCGTCCCAGAAGGCTTCCTCGTCTGGCGTGGGAGCGCCCGGGGGGATCTGTAACAGCATAAACCCCGTCTCGTGCAGCTCAAACGGCATGTTGAACTTGCTTTTCCGGAGTTTGCGGATCACAAACCCAGTCGGCGTTATCGAGAACGCTGCCTTGTCGAAAAGCACTTCCCTTCTCGCCACTAAATAAACCGGTTTGGAAAGCCCGTTCTCGAGCATGCGGAAGCAAAATTTCTCCGGGGTACAGTCGGCCGATGGTCGTTGTGCTGCTACTGCAGTTGTTGTGCTGTTTTTATCTTCAATATTTGATGTCGTGTTGGCGGATGTAGTAGCTCTTGTGTTTGCGCCTGTGCTGCTGGGTAGAAGTCGCGTAGTAAGTCCAGCCTCCGACGCCAGGGTTCTTGACGTCGCCGACGTGGCTTTATTTGACGCTCCTGCTCTTGTTGCGAGAAAAGTAGTCATCCTCGCGCCGTCCTCTGGGAGTAGTTGCTCGACTCTTGCCTTTTGCTGATTTTCTTCTTGCATTTCGTCCTCTCCAGTTGGGGAAATCGCTGTAGTAGTATCTTCGGAAGTAAAAATAGAAGCCCTAGTTGTACTTCGCCAGGGCGTGCCTGCACCTGTTCTTCTAGAGAACAGAGCTGTAGTTTCTCTTCTTGCGCCCCTTGCGGTCGTCCTCGTGACCGGTATTTTTAACATTGCGGTCGGTGTTCTTGTATTGGTACTGGCAGGTGACTGCGGTCGTTGTCTCGTTATAATCCCTATGCCCATATAAAAGTACAGTAGGAGAACAATGAGACACGACACCGGAAGCATGATTTTTTGTAGCTTCGAAAGCCCCCCTTCTCCTCCAAACACTCCTGTAGTTCTTTTGCATGATTCGCCCTGTTCATGCAGTTCTTCTTGTAGTACAGCTACAGGTTGCTCAGGCTGTTTTTCTTCCTGCTGCTGGCTCGTCCCTGCTGTATGTCCTGACACGGCAAAGGCGCACATCGTTTCCTCACCTTCAAAGTGCCCGTCAAGAAGATCTCCCATGCTACTACAACTGGACATCCTAAAAACTAGCCGGACAGGTTCATGCCAAGAACCTTCCCATCCGCATCGGCTTTATCTGTAGCTTTACTGAATATAGTCTTGTGTTTGCGATGAAGTATAAATTTAAATACTTTATTGGAGCATATTCTTATGCTTAAAAATATGGAGGCATGGGTGCTACCCTCTATCGTGCGGGTTTCAACATTCCATTGGCACCATGGCCTACCGAGGGGAATTTTTACTGGCCTCGAAGGATACTGAAAACTGTAGCCATACGGTACGTTGCTGTCGCAGCAGCCACACTAGAGGAAATAAAGCCTGTTTCATTTTTTTTTGGGTGAGACGAGGTCGACGAGCATTTCTGGATTTCAGTCAGTTAGCTGGCCTACTTAGCGACGAAAATGTTAGCACAACAAGGAGCACACGCAGCCCACAGACGAAAGACTGCACGAAAAAAGGGAAGCCAGGACGACAACAAAAAGTACGATGAAAAATACGTATGTTGGTGTTTGTGTTGTCAGTCAGTAAAAAATGCAGAATATGTTGTACAGTTGGTACACCAACACGAGCGTACGACGGTCTGCCTTACCTTACGCACGAAAAAACCTACCACGACTAAATTTGACAGCGATTCCGACTCATCAGCACGATGAATTCCTGATGGTTCTCAAGAAGACGATTTCTTGCAAAGGTGGTTTAAGTTCACGTCACGAAAAAGACGCGCAATGCCGCATGCCTTGTTTCTTTTGTGGGCAACCGCAAGGTGGCAGGCCACAGGTCTTCTGCGGCCATGATCATGCAGCTGCCAATTCGAATTTTTCTCAATCAATGTTCTTTACAAACGGTTCGGCACTAGAATTCGTTTCTTAGGATTAAAGAATTTCTTCAACTTCAACAAAAAAAAATTATAGGCAATCACAAATACTAGGAGCACCAGAAATTTGGATCTAAAAAGAAGATTAACATCGAAACCGCTGCATATCTTGCTTGGGTAGTGACCTGGCGATAAGTACTTATTTACCTTCTTTGCAGGAGAAAAACGAGAGAATTCAGGTCACTTCACATCTCCATCTTCACTTGTAGAAACATAATTGCATAATATCCTTGCTCCAACTAATACACCATAATACTTTCGTAATTCAGGGTAAAACTCTTCCTTTCCAAAAATCTAATTTACAAATCGTACATAGCCGCTTCGGTTCCGAACTTCTTTGGCTATAATTTGCGAAGAACTTTGAGGCTTTTTTTGTTTTCCAATCGACAGAAAAATATCATAAGTACTGCTTTTTGTCTTTTTCAAACAGCAAAGTCGAAATTGAATTTCAATTTTTAATATTCGCAGTTGCAGTAGAAGAAGCAGTAAAATAGTTTTGCTTTTTCACGGAAGAAATTTTGCAGAGAAGGCTTAGTTGAGTTTGGCAAACGAAATAAACTTTGTACTGAATAAAACAAGGAGTGAAAGAAATTACGCTCTCTTTTGCAGAGAGCAAAATTTTTTTCAGTTTAGGTTTTTTTATTTTTGAGAAGATGAGATTTGAGTACCAAATAAGATTAATATTTATATTACGCTGTAGCTAGAAAGAACCATTTAGCAAAAAAGAATACCAATCGCAGAAACTTTACTTTCAGAACGAGCGAAAGATTGATTTTTCGAGAACAGAAAAGATACGTCTTCATGTAAAGACATCAGAAACTTTTTTACCCTTTACATAGTGATAGTCCCAGTAATAATTCTGTGCACTACTTCCTGTTATCAAGATCAAGTGGTCAAACACAAGAAGAACTAGAACTCGACATACAAGTATCGGTCTGAAACAAAAAGAACTGTGAACTGCGATATATTGCAAAAATCCTCCGGCCGGCGTCAGTGGGACTCGAAGCGCTGCTCACTTTTATACTTTCCTATACCAACGCAGGGGAGATGGCCACCGGGTTCGAACTGCCAGTTCCAGCAGCACCGTCCACCAGGATCCTGTCGTCGGCCGGAATCGCGAAGTCGCGTTCCATCATGTGCGGCCCGCGTGGGGTTTTCTCGCTCTTTACCGCAGCCTCAATGCGGGTCTTCGTGATCTCAATCACGCGCGCGTCGAGCTGTTTTTGATGTCGTGTATTGGTTTCTCTTTCTTCTCATCGAGATGAGAGTCCATTTGGAAGATGAAACAAGATCAACTCCGATTAAGCTACGACACACTAGAACACAAAGTCTTCGTCTACCTTTTCATCCCCCCAAAAGGCCTTCATTCCCAGCAAGTGTCGTACGTCGCTCGCGGCGTATTCGATCAGCATAGGATGCAAGGGCCGTCGCGCCCATTCTTCGCCCTCCTCTTTGGTATACAGCTTCTGCCCGGCCTCCTTCAGCCTGTGATATTGAATATTGTTTTGGGGGTTGTGCGTGAGCGTGGTGGAAGTGTAGAGTAGAATGGGATTACGAAAGTGCATGCGTGTGTGCATGACAAACTGAAGCTCGTCAAAGGATGAAGTATACAATACTAGTATGGGTCGTATGCATGATGAAGTTTATACAATAATGCTAATACTTCTGAATCCGCTCTCTTTGCGCTAGTGCCAGCACCGAGTAGTTTCGGAAGCAGCGGCCGAGTCCCACTACGTAGGTGTGCTTCGAAATCGGCTGCCCATACTTCAGGTGAAACAGCACTTGAATGTCATACACGTTCTCCGTTTTCACGCGAAACAGGTGCCACAGCTGTGATTGTGATGTTGTGTACGTGGTGATTTTGCATGACAAAGAAGATTTATCTACGCATAATTTTTGCATGACAAAGTAGAACCACAACTTCTATACCGCATCATTGTCAGCCCGGCCGTCGAAGACAATTTTGCACACTTTCGCATTTTCCAACAAACTCCGCATTCCGCAGACGGAGAACAGCGTTTCCCCGATATTATTTGCAAAAGCGTCCCCACACCAGAGTCAAGATGGGAAATCTGCTAGACAAATCAGCCAGCTTTGGTCGTTTGGCATCACAAGTTTGTCCTCGTAGCGTAATCCTGTTTAGGTAGTTCAGCAGCATCACAGATCTAGTATATCATGCTGATTGTAGCATCACAAATTCCAAAACACGACTAGAAAATGCCTCTCATGGCGCTCCGCATGACAAACTTTTTTGCCACGCAGATTTGCATGACAACTCGGGGGTGGGGACGTTTTTACTCTGAATACCCGAGCGCCTTCACGTCAAACAGGTAGACGGGTGAGAGTTCGTTGCAAATCTGGATCAAGTACACCGCGCCGCTGCGGTATGAGAGTGCAAAACCCCGCCCCTCCCCCTCATTTGTCATGCAAAATACCAAACGCACCCTTTGCCTCTTGGCACTTTTTGCATGACAGATTCTGGTAGCTGCCCAAACAGCACTACAATCAGTCCGAGGTCGTGGATTTGCCATGCAAAACCTGCACTCTTGCCGACGCTTGTATTGCTGCTCATACCCTACACATAAGGGCGGAGGGAGGGTTGTGCACTCTCATATGCGGCACAAGTCCCGGCCCTCGATGTCGATCGCGATCGGGAGATCGTCGCTTAGGAGTAAATATCAACTGCAAAAATGTCTGGGTCTGGAAGAGTGCATGTTTGTCATGCTTGTCCGGCATGACTCTTAAATCTGTCATGCACGTTACCCAAGGGCCCCACTTTTCTGTCATGCAGAAACGCAGTTTGTCATGCAGAATAGGCAACACCTAGAAGCTCAAAAATTTGTCATGCTGTGCCAGCACTTGTGGCCTCCTCATGATACGCCACCCAGCATCACAAATTTCCAGACCCATACATATTTGCAGTTCATAGTAAATCAATCGCCGCCTTCGCGGTGTCGGGTTGGTCCAAAAAACACACCGTTTTGATCGTGGTCGCCACTAACGTGGTGTCCTGGTAGTGCACGGACAGGGACAGACTCGGTGCGGTGGACATGGAGGCGAGATTTTGGGTGGCTTTTTCGAAGTCCGGGTTGCCGATGATGTCGTCGTTGTGACTGGGGAGGGGTAGGGTCAGGGGCGGGTCTTCGTGTTTCTCCACCAGGTTCTTCACGAATTTTTGGAAAAAGGACTCGATCTTGGGCGGTGTCGTGCTGGTAATATTCGGTATGGAATGTAAATATGTCTGGGTCTGGAAGATTCTGAGACTTGTCATGCAGGTTTTGCATGAGTCATGATGTCTGTGATGCGTGCCCTAGCATCACAGATTTTTTGAGGGCGTCTTGATGCCTATTCCGCATGACAATTGCCCTATCCGCGTAGCAAAAATCACACTCCCTTTGCTGCTCATGCAATACAGATTTTTTTGCAATCCAAATGCAGCATCACAAGTTGCATTCTTCCAGACCCAGACATTTTTGCAATGCATATTCGGTGCGGTAGAGCCAGAAACTTTTTCCTCGATGAGCTCGCTGTTTTTCTCGAAAGGGTTGGCGAGTGCCTCGAGAGGAATGGTACAATTATCGGTGTGCAGGACCTGTGGTTATTTATTTTGCTGATGACAATGCTTCTGCTTCGTTCACGTTCTTATACGACAGATGTGATGACAATGCTTCATTCAAGTTTTTTTATACGAAGTTTATTATAGGAAATTTTACGGAACAAAGGGAAACTAAACAATTATAGCTACCTCTTTCTCCTCTCCAATCACGGCAGCAGTGTTGATATCAAATGTAAAAATGTCTGGGTCTGGAAGATTCTGAGATTTGTAATGCATGTTTTGCATGACCCAGGATGTCTGTAATGCACGACCGGGCATCACGGATTTTGAGCTGGCTTCCTGATGCCTACTCCGCATGACAAACGCCCTCCCCGCGCATCACAAACTAGACTCCTCTTGCTGGTCATGCAATACAGATTTTTCTAGAGTCCAAAGTTAGCATCACAAGTTCCAATCTTCCAGACCCAGACATTTTTACATTTGATAGTTGACCTCCTCCGTGGGCAGCTCCGCGTCGCAGCTCTCGGATACCGATATAACAGTGCACAACTCCCCCTCCCCCTCATTTTTATAGCGTGAGCAGCAATGCAAGCATCAGCAAGAATGCCGGTTTTGCATGATAAATTTGCACTGGAGTATAGTGCGATTTGGGGTACCAGAACTTGTCATGCAAACAATGCCAAGGGGCAAGCGGTAGACTGGGTATTTTGCATGACAAATGAATGGGAGGGGGAGTTGTGCACTATCATAACCGAAATACCGCCCACATTGATCGTGTCGGAGACAGTATTAGCGACGGGCAGATTCGATGTAGAAGTAGTTCCCTGCTGCTGCTGCTGCCCGTAAGACGAGTGCATTCGCCGCAAGGTGAGCGCCGCGTCGGAGACGGACCTCGTTATGCAAGAAAAAAACTGTGTAAGTGTAAGTCTGTGATGCAGAAACTGCAAAACAGTTGCACTTGTCATGCTGGACATGCATCAGAGGCTCTTTCCGTACGTGTTTTCACGTACTAGCCGCGCATGACAGGCTCTCTCTGTCATGCAGAGCAAACTTGTGATGCTATTCCTCCAAGAAAGTTACACTAACACAGTTTTTTCCTTGGATACTCGTGCGACCGCGGTTATTTTGCTCGTTGTTGTCACTCGTACCGGATACCCTGTGGAAAAACGTCCTCACCCCAGAGTTGTCATGCAAGTGTGCGATGACAGGAACACTTGTAATGCGCAGCTCTATGAGAGGTATTTCCCATCGTGTTTTGAAATTTGTAATGCTGTAAACACGATGAGAAAATGGATTTCTCATGCAGCTTCCCTCGGTAACCAGCACTCCACTGCAGAGGCAAACTTGTCATGCGCAACTCCCAAAAATTGGAGATTTGTCTAGCAGATTTCCCATCTTGATTATGGGGTTGTGGGGACGTTTTTACTCAGGATACCGGAAGACGATTCTTCATTCAAGTTGATGTAAATCCCATCGGTGTAGTATCCTATGTAAAAACGTCCCCACCCCATAGTCAAGATGGGGAATCGGCTAGACAAATCCACAGGCTTTGGCTGTTTCGCATGACAAATTTGGACTCGTAGTGTAGTGCTGTTTGAGCTAGTTCAGCAGCATCACAGATCTAGTATCACATGTTGATTGGAGCATGACAAATTTCGAAACAGCATCAGAAAATGCTTCTCATGGGGCTCCGCATGAAAGGCATTCTAAGCATGCAGATTTGCATGACAACTATGGTGTGGGGACGTTTTTACACAGGATATGTAGGTCGCGTTCAAACTGTCACCGAAGTCCGCCGCGGAAAGCAACACCGGATTAATGGACTGCAGTTGAGGATGTTCAACACCAGGTTGCATGGTTTGCTGAGGGTTTTCGCGGCCACCGCTGTTGGACGGCTGTTGTTCCCCAGATTGAATTTTGTCGGTTTGGTGTTTTTGCGCCTGCTGTGTAGGAGCATTGGCGTTAACATTGGCTCCCGTTTCGACTGAAGTAGTACTAGCCGGCTCTTGCAGTAAATTGATGTTAGTACCACCAGCGGTTCCTGCTGTTTGGTCCAGTGAAGCCTGGTGTTGATGGTGCGCCATCTGCGGGATGGGCTGCTGGTGAGACCTCGGTAGTTGTACAGAGGGTGGTTTAATATACAGTAACAAATCACGCAAGAAATCAGGGATCTTCGTAGTACCTAATACCAGTGGAAAACGAAAAGAATATTGCTGGTGTTGAGCAACAGCAAAAGAGAAATTTCTATTACGGCAGCAAATTCGGCTGGTGTGCGCTTCCTGGAAATTGTTGAAGCATTCCACCCGCCGTGCCTGTGCCCACGCCTGCTGTCATGAAATCAGCAGAATTCATCGCGGTGGGCATGATTCCAGCACCCGTGGGCGTCCCCGCCCACATCGCCCCGCCATTCGCCATTGCACCAGCCGTACCGGGGAACGCCAGCAAGTCCTGCGCAGCCGTTGCAGCAGCTGTTCCGGGGACAAAACCAAGCGTGGCTCCGGGTTGTAAACCGGGATAGAGAAAGGAATTCATGATGTTGTTAAAATTAGACATCAAGTTTAAATTGCTCGCTGCGGCCATCTGGCAAAAATTGTTCGGGTCCACGAAAGAACCGGCATTTGCTACACCACTGTTCGCGAGTAGTTGCTGCTGCACCGCCGACGTCGTTGGGGCTGGCAGCGTGCTCGGCAGGGCCGGGAGTTGCATCGCGGGAATGGCTGTAGAAGCCATGCTGCCGAGGAAGTTTTGGTGCGGGTACTGTTGGGGCGTAGCAGCTGCAACGAGCGGCATAGCAGCTGGGGCGGCGGCTGCCATCGGGTTGTGCATGATATGACCCTGATGTTGTTGCATCATCTGTGCCGGGCCAAGCATGTTGATAGGATTTTGTGCGCCGTTGTACTGATTCTGCAGGGTCATTGCATTTATTTGCTGGTGATCCATCATCATTCCATTATTTCCACCGTACTGGAAATTTACATTTTGCCCCATTTGCATATTATGCTGCTGGGTACTACCCATGGATGTGTTGCCCATGTGCATCTGAAACGCTGCGTGATTTGCATTTGCGTGGTCGCCTGCGTTGTAGTTTTGGTTCATCTGCTGCACCGTGTTCACACTCTGGTTCGTCGTGCTGGGCAGCATCACGGGAGGCAATTCTGGCTGCTGACTAACCAGGTTGTTGTTCTGCTGCTGGTGCTGACCTTGCTGCATGCTCTGCGTATTGGTCATGTGCTCCGCGTTTTGCAAATTTTGGTTCAGGTAGTTGTCTCCTGCTGCACCCGGCGCCATAGGATTCTGTTCTTGCTGCGTGTTGCTGTTTGCGTTGATCTGCATCTGTTCGCCACTTTGGTGCATCTGATCCATATTATCTTGCTGCTGATCATTCCCAGCAACATGCTGTAGCGCGGACTGTTGCTGGTTAGCGCCTGGTAGTTGTTGTTCCATCTTGCTACTACTCCCAATCTGCTGCTGATGTCCTCCGGCGCCCGCTTGCTGGTCGGCCGTAGCGGTTGTTCCAGAAGTATTTACCACCAGGCCATGCTCCGAACAATTGTTCGCACCACTAGCTCCTGCAACGTGTTGACTCAGGCTCTGCAACTGCGCAGAGGTAACGACAGTCTGCTCCGATGAGGCCTTACTGCTATCCAAAATCCCGGGCTGCGAGTCTGGTTGCATTTGGTTGACGTTTGCGTTTGGTTGCTCGCTATTATTATTGTTTGTCCCCACGAGGTTGATGTTAATCTGTTGGTTACAAGAACTTTGCGATGAACAATTTTGACCCTGTTCCTGCCCAGCACCGGTCGTGTTGTCATTTAAGGGATGTTGACCAGCCACCTGTTGGCAAGCAGTAGTCCCCGCCGGAGCAGTAGAAGTGCTATTCAGGGTCGTATTGTTGTTAGTCCCTGTTGGCTGTTGTTGAAAAAAAACCTGTTCGACGCCTCCATTATTCGCCGCAACACCACCGCCCAGGGAGTTGATGCACCCGCCCATCTCATAACCGGTGATCACAGCACCGTTATTGAAGGAAGTAGACATGTTGTAGTTCGGCGCTATGGCATCATTACCTGCACCTCCGCTGTTGTTGTTGTTGAAAACCTGCTCGTTGAAGCTGTTTAAATTCTATGAGAGTGCACAGCGCCCCCTTCCCTCTCATTTGTATATGCATGAACAGCAGTAGAAGCGTCGGCAAGAGTGCAGCTTTTGCATGACAAATTCACACAAGATTGTAAGTGTTGTTTGGCGGGCTGCCGAAACTTGTCATGCAAACACTGCCAAGGGGCAAATAAGAGTGGATATGGATTGGGCTTTTTGCATGACAAATGAGGAGGAGGGGTAGTTGTGCACTTTGATAAATTCGCAGCGACGTTCATCAAAATCTGTTGCTGCTGCTGCTCCCTTGTGCATCGCAAAAGTGTCGCGCTAGATCTAGCCTGACGTCGCAATACAAATTTTTTCAAAACGAAACGTTAACGTGAATATATTAATCTGTCACGCAGGTCCATTTTCGGGTAGCGGACCACGATTACCATGCACTATCATTGAGTTGTATTGCAACTAGTCTTTTTGAACGAGCGCGACACTCTTGCCTTCCCCGGCATATTATCAAATGTAAAAATGTCTGGGTCTGGAAGAATTCGAGACCTGTCATGCTGCTTTTCCATGACCCATGAGGTCTGGAATGCAGGACCTAGCATGACAGATTCTGCGAGACCTTATTAATGCCTATCCTGCATGAGAAACTACCTCCCGACTTGGTCAAAACTGGACGACTTTTGGTAATCATGCAACACAGATTTTTGCATGCTGCAGATTTAGCATGCCAAGTTGCAATCTTCCAGACCCAGACATTTTTACATTTGATACATATGACTGCCCCCAATCGAGCTGATCGGCAGCGGAGGCTGCCCGGGTTGAAGCTGTATCAAATGTAAAAATGTCTGGGTCTGGAAGATTCTGAGATTTGTGATGCATATTTTGTATGATCCATGATTCATGTAATGCATGCCCTAGCATCACAGATTTTTTGAGGGCTTCGCGATGCCTATTCCGCATGACAAATGCCCTCTCCGCGTAGCAAAAATTGCATTCCCTTTGCTGCTCATGCAATACAGATTTTTTTGGAATCCAAATTCAGCATCACAAGTTGCATTCTTCCAGACCCAGACATTTTTACATTTGATAAGCTGGACCATCGTGCAACCGGTCGTGTGGTTAGATGCTTGAATCGCTTGATAGGGCTGGGTCGTCGTGCCAGCAGGAGCACTTCCGGGATTATAGGTATTGAACACTTGTTGTCCAGGGTACAGTTGTTGAGAACTACAGATTTGCATTTGCTGCAAGGAATTGTTCGTGTTGGAGAGCGAATTGGTGTTGTTTGTTGCAGTGTTGAAGGATGAATTTGTGGCGTTGTAAAATTGCTGCAACGAGTTATGTGCGGAGGACTGCTGCTGTCCTTGCGGCGTATGGACGAAAGAACCCCCGCCGACATTAGTCTGCTGCTGCTGCTGCTGAGCAAACAGGTTGTGCATCCCCATAGTTGTACCTCCCCCAGCAGCTCCCACCATATTGTTCACCTGCGCGGCGGCCAAAAACGGTGCGGGGGGCGGCGGCGGGGGCGGCAGGTTGCGGCGTGTGGAAGGAGATTTTGCGGCCGTCGTCGTGTGGTCTCCTGCTCCTGCCCCGGGAAGGTTTTGGTTATAGCTATACTGGTACTGCTGGTTACCATTACCATAATTTGACGTGCCGTTATTTGTGCAGGACGCAGATCCGTTATTACTGCTGTAGTAAGGCTTACTGGTCGTCGGTCCGGAAAAAGAGCCGTAGGCTCCGGTCGCGCTGCCGCCGCCCATCGGAGAAGTGGCCTGGAGTTGTGACGGAGGGTCGTGTTTTCGATCACTTGTCATGCAGGTACGGATTTAGAACTAGAAGGTTACTTTGTCATGCGGATTCACATTTACAAATACAGCATGATCTTTATACCTGGTACCCACCGCTTTGCTTGTAGGAAGATCGCTGGTACGAAGAAGCTTCCGTGCCCGCTTGTATCCAATGCAAAAGCATCGCACTGCTCGGAGTAATTGCTGCTATGCATTACAAATGATCACCATCCCAAGTTGAAGGTAAACCTTTAACAGCATGACGCATTCCATTTGTCGTGCGGAGCTAATTTCTAATGCAACCTGCTTTACTACGAGCACGACATTTTTGCAGTGCATAGATTGCGACCCGCTGCCATTGTCGTAATTCCCGTGGTAACTATTGCTCTTCCCGTGGCCACCGCTGCTGTGCCCGCTTCCCTTGCGCGTGTACGATTTTCCGCCCCACGAGCTGCTGCCCTTGCCGCCGTGATAGGAGCCACTGGTGCCTTTGTAGCCTCGGTCTTTGCTGCTGGTGCCCTTCTTGCCGTTTGTAGATGCTGCTCCGGTGCTGCTGTAAACTCCGAAGCGGTCGTCAATTTCGCCGGTTTGCGTTTGCCCGTAAATGTACCGGCCGAGGGTATGGGAGTGGAGAAAAAATGTAGTATCTCCCAAAGTTGTGCTGGATATCATGATATTTGCCATGTATATTTATTTCGAACATGCGGACAGTGTCATCCTTCTAGATGCGCGGCATGACGAGGGACGATTATATATGCGGGAAGAATAAAGCTCTTGAACCAACCTGAAGAGTATACGCAAAATTTTTGCTCGCACATAATCTGTATCGTAGTAGCGACGGTCGTAGAGGAGGTGGGCGTTTTTCCCGGTGGCCGGATCGTAGTAGGGCTTGAACCTGAATACAATTTTGCTATGCGCAAGTTCCATAGATGACATAGCTCCTTTTTCATCTAGCGGAAGGGAGGTTTTGTGATGCATGTTTCGGAATAGTCGTTCATAAAAAAATTTTGTCATGCAGAAAAACCGAGCAAAAAACCTATACCCTTTCCCTCCACCGCCTTGCTGGGCCGGCCCCTTTCCACCGCCGAAGGTGGATGAGTGAGCCTGCGCCATTCGTTTTTCTACCCGCAGACTTAGGCTTCAGGTAGTACGAACAAGCAACCTTGTTGAACGCGAAATTGTTTGAAGACTTTTTGAAGACGTTTATCGCTAGACCGAGCGACCGACAGGAAACACAAGACCAGAGCTGGACGACTTTCAAGTGCGACCTATTCTAGACCCTCGTCTTGCCGCTTTTTTTATCTACTCAGGGCTATTAATTGGTTATTGTGCTCCAACATGGAAAGGTTAGGGCAGACAGGAAAAAAAGTCTTTAACGGACGACGAACAAAGACAAACGGGAAGCAAAGAAGAAACAACCACAGCGATAGATCTGCCTGCTTGTATGTTTATCGCTCAAAAGATAGATAGTAGTTTTTTAGAATTCATAATGAGCCTGTCAGGACAACAGCACCCGCATCCAGGTCGTGGACAATTTCCTCTCGGTGTCTCTCGCATCCTCTGAAATGAATGCAGGGACCACCCGCAGCTAAGCTGCAATGGCTGGCGTGTTCAGAACACGAATGTTTTTCTACGACGCGCTGCATATGTTCTTGATTATGGTCGTCAAGAGCCCATGCACAAGGAGTAAGGAATGGCATGTGACACAAGCTCAAGCCCATTTGTCTTTTACCAAATAGAAGTACAACAGTGGTGTTCGAATTTGTACGGGAAAGTAAGTAATATGATATAAAAAGACCTCGTTCTCCTGCTCGTATTGCTTCAAGTATCATCAAAGAACGGCGGCGTTGCTATCGCAACCGCGGGAAGGAATCTCATTCGGATTTGTCACTCTTTCACTTCATCATACTATTGATGTCCAGAAATTCCGTCATTTTTGGCTGGTACATATTCGGCGGGGCTCCATCGTTCGGCTTCTGAACACCGCCAGCACTTGTTTCCCCACTTCCCTCACCTATCCAAGAAAAAAAGACTGTAGGCGTAACTTTCTTGGAGGATTAGCATGACAAATATCTCTCGTATGAGAGCAAAAACCTGTCATGCTCAGATTGTACGTGAAAACGCGCTTGAATGGACCCTATAATGCAGGCACAGCATGACAGGCGCAATCGATTTGCATGTTGCGCATCACAAATTTACACTAACAATGTTTTTTTCTTGGGTATCACCGTCCTTTGTTTCATCACCTGCATGTAGTTGATCCCCTTCTTGCACAACATCCGCACCATTCGACGCTCCTCCTGCGACAGCACTTGTTTTTCCCGTAGTTTTCCGCTTGTTGCGTCGTTTTTTTGCAGGTGGTCCCGAAGATGCCTTTCCCTCTTCCTCCGGCTCTGTGCCTTCTAATTTTCCGGTGTTGTCACTGCCTCCCTATCCAAGAAAAAAACTGTGTTAGTGTAAGTCTTTTGGGAAAACAGCATCACAAGTTTGTCTGCCATGACAGGACAAACTTGTTATGCGCAGATACAAAGGGAAAAGACATAGGAAACGAACCGGTCATGCATGTCGAGCATGACAAGTGTAACTGTTAGGCATTTTCTGCATCACAGATTTACACTTACACAGTTTTTTTCTTGCATACTCCCGAGGGGTGTTGTACTACTACAGCGGGTATCAAATGCAAAAGTGTCTGGGTCTGGAAACTTGTGATGCTGAAATGTGGATGATGGAAAACGTTCCGAATGCAATCTAGCATGACAACTTTCCAGAACGCTTTCTCATAGGCAATCCGCATGAGAAACTGCGTTTTTGCATGTACAAAAGAGGCTGCGACTTTTGTTGGTTATGCAACACAGATTTTCTAGGTTTGGAAAGCTAGCATTACAAGTTCCAACCATCCAGACCCAGACATTTTTGCATTTGATAGCGGGCTTGAGGTTTTTTCCTTCCTCGATCTGCTGCCGCATGAGGTCCATTACGGTTAATTCCTTTTGAATGACCTTCTGGGCGGGCGCTGCCGCAGAACTGGAGAAAGAGTCCCTGCTTGCAGCGGGAACTGCTACAGGTTGTTCTGGGAGCGAAATTTCGCTTTGCACTTTTTCCAAAGGTTGATCTGCAGACGGCGCTTGTTGTCCAAGGATGGTATTCGCATCTGGTTGGATGGGTTGTTCTTCCTTGCTGTTTTCCTTGTTTATTTCGCCGGAGGCCTTTGTTCTACTTTTCAAAAGCTCTTTATTGCTCCCTTTCTTGGTGGCCTTCGTCTTCCCCGCAGCAGCGGATGTCGTGCTGTCAGATGACTCAACGGTTGAGGAGCTGGTCGTGGGTTTCATAGCGTGGTCATCGTCTGCTAGTGCACGAGACGAGGGCTGCGTCGTCGCGGATGCTACAGTGGGGCGCGCTGGGAGGGACGGAAGCGGACCTGAGACAATGGGTTTTTATCAAAATCCGAATACTGGCCAAAAGTACTTATCGTGCACTTCTGTGCTGCTAAATACCACTCTCAACATCATTGGCGTTATGCCGCAAAAAATGAAGCACGTCCAGCGTAACGTAAAGAGTGATTTTATTTTCAGTATCTGTATCACCGTAGATAGGAACCTGCTTCCGCTGCGACTTGAGCCAATTCGTTGTCCAGTTTCGTTTTTTCCTTCTTGAATTCCAGAAAATCTGACATTTTCGGCTGCATGTTATTCTCCATGCCTTTGGTCGTGTACTTGGTTCTATGCATAGCAAAAGTGTCGTACTACGTAGAAATCGCAATACAAATTTGATGAATTTCCTCACTATGGAAAAATGGAATTTGTAGTGCAGCTTACCGTACGCAATTACATCTGTCATGCATGCTTGCGATCATTTCTACGAAAAGTACACGATGCCTTCGCACTGCATAGTTTTCTAAATTCCGCAGCTTCAACCGGTTCAGCAGGGTGGTGGTGGTGTATGACAATGCACAACTCCCCCTCCCCCTCATTTGTCATGCAAAATGCCTAATTTAGGCCTTGGCTCTTGGCACTGGTTGCATGACAAGTTCGGGTAGCCCAAATAGCACTACACTCCAGTGCAAATTTGTCATGCAAAACCGGCATTCTTGCTGATGCTTGTGTTGCCGTTCATGATCTACAAATGAGGGGGAGGGCGAGTTGTGCACTTTCATATGGTGGCGGAGGAAGCTGTTCCTGCGGTCGTTAAAATTGAAGAAGCTGTTGGACTTGCAGTTGATGCAACGCGAGCTTCAGCTTCGTCGTTCGTTGTAATTGTATCAACAGTTCCAGCTGCCTGGTCCACCTCAGACACTGGTACCTTGTCGCCGCCTGTCTCTGGCTCCGCAGGTGGGACGATGGTACCAGCACCTGCAGGTGCGACGCTATCTTGTTCTGGCATGATGTTGCTTTTACAGATTCTTCTGCTGCTATTTTGGGGATTTGGTACTTATTCGGAATTCGACGACGAGCACTTGATGATGCACTTCATACTACTTCCGTGTCTAGAGTATAGAAAAGCCACACACATGGAGCTCTAGTGTTAGCGAACAAGGAGGAATTATCGTGTATTTGTAATGATTGAACCATGGACGGGTAGAAGTCAGCAGTAGCCCCCGAGATGAAATTTGGATTTCACTATACACAAAAATTCAACCGCTGTGTACTCGTGTGTCCGTAGTCGGAAAAAAGATCCTTCAGCACCACCAGCTTTTTCCACACCACCAGATCCAGCGCACAAGATGTGATCCCAGCATCCACGCATCTGACACGAACAACCCAAACTGCCAAACTCGCGCATGGTGAAATGAATCCACACCAAGGCAGCAGTTCGTTGCCTCTCATAAACTACCAGCCAGGCGGTCGTGTTTTTCTCTGAAACCAAAAAAAACAAGCAATTATTCCAAATGTGCATTGCATTCTCTACACGACATCGACTGCATTTGATATTCCTATGGTACCTGTTTTACGCCTACAGCAAAACTTGCTGGTCACATGTGCCTCTTTTCCGTTTCTTTACATTTCGCAAAACAGCAAAATTCTGCAGTACTTTGTAATTTACGTGGTTGACTTTTCACAGACAGCGGATCGTATTTTACTAATGTAAAGTGGCTTTTTCAGGAGATTTCTAGTGTACCTGCAGCACAACGGACTGCACTTCTAAAGGTTTGATTCGAACGAGCGGCCATCACTCGCCGTAAAATCATACTGTAGTACTGTACATTTTGAAATGCAGTTACTTTTGCGCCCAATCCTTAGTTGACTTACGCCTAAACCCGGGGTAGTTGATTCCTCGTCCCTACTTCGACTTCCAGCCTACCCTGCTAACTACTTATATCATCCTCACAACCCCGGAATCCAGAATGCACTGCTCCTTGGGTGGTTTCGGATCGCGGGGGCCGTCGTGGTGGTACTACCGTTTCTCCTGCGGCTCTTGGAGCTCCGCCCACTTCCACCGGCTCTCTTTGTGGCTTTCGCAGGGCGGAAACAGCTGCACCAGGAGCAGTCTATCCTGAGTAAAAGAGTCCCCGCCCCAGAATCAACGAGATGGGAAATCTGCTATACAAATCAACAAGCTTTGGTTGTTGCGCACGACAAGATTGGGCTCGTAGTTTGCTCCTCTTAGCTTCTGCAGCAGCATCACAGATCGATTACGTGATGCTTCTTCCAAAATCACAAACTCTGGCGTGGGGACGTTCTTACTCAGGATACAGTCCTCCTCTTCTTCATCCTGGAGGTTCGGCTGTCGTTTTCCGGGCGTTTTTCTGAGAGTGCACAACCCTCCCTCCCCCTATTTGTCATGCAAATTCCCAATTCTACCTTTTTTCTGCTAGCACATTTTGCATGACAGATTCCGAAAGCCAAAACCGCACTACAATCCTCTAGGAATTTGTCATGCAAAAGCTGCATCTTTGCCAGCGCTTATGTTACTGCTCACGCAACACAAATGAGGAGGAGGGGGAGTTGTGCACTCTCATAGTTTTGCTTTGGCAAGACCGCTCGACTGGCAACCGCGGGACCCGGGCAGGACCTGTGCCGACGTTCTGTTGTTGTAACAATGGCACACTGCGACTGTTTCCCGCGATCAGAGGGGCATAGTTGCGGTGCCAGGTGCGCTGCTGTTGTTGCTGCTGCGGTGGCTGTTGTTGTCCCTTCGTACTAGGCTGCTGCTGCCCTCCCAACGCAGCAGCTGCTCCTCCCGCTCCTCGTAGTCGTCTCTCAGCATCGTCTTTCAGCTTTGCGGCATTGGGTAGCTGCGCGGCCGTAGCAGCGCCCGCGCTCTTGCCGAAGAGGTTGCTGTCGTCCGCATAGAAGTCGTCGTCTTCTTGAATTCCTAAATTCGCCAAGTTGTAATCTGCAAGCGAGCTTCCCGTCGACATCAAAGCCGCAGTGCTGGGAATCGATGAGGACGCGACACTGGACATACTGCCCGGAACTTGCTGTTGTCCTTGCTGTGGTGGCCCACCTCCACGACCTTCATAGGGGTAGTGATCGAGCGTACCGTGTTGTCCTCGTCCGGGCTGGAACCGCCGGTGGGATAAAAAGAGACTGTTTGCAGCTGGAAAAAATTCAAGCAAGACGAGGACAAGAACCAACGACGCCAACATGTTATTTTTAGCAGTTATGAAGTACTGAAAGGAGCCACCACGAACAATGGGAGGGAAAGCACCACCGACCTCTGACTTCTCGCTGAAGGTACTGTACCTATTTCAAGGACCCAAAGAAAACAACTTAACTGGACCGGCAGAAGCAGCAGCACACTTGTTGGTACATTGAGTACCCTACAAATCCGCTCTCGATGAACTAGTATTAGAACAAAAAACCCAGTACCTTGCGTACTAGTTAACGGTAAGCAAAGAACAGAACAAGGAGAGGCTACCAGCAACAACACCATATATAATGCTGCGTTTTATCGGTTTCTTTTTCTCTTCACATGATCCAAATGCATGGAAATCGAAATGGATGAGGTCAAAAGCTGACAAAATACGTACTGTTTGACTTTAATGCTTTTAACGAGCTGACACATCCGCCATCTACTTTGGGCAATCTGCTGTTTTTATCTACCTGCCCTGATTTGTCACAGAATCCCACCAGTCTCTTATCTTCTCGCGATTCAGATATGCGTAGTACCCCGCAATATGCAACAGTCCAAATGTAGTGTCTGGGTCTGGAAGTACTAGAGTTCTACTGAATACTAACTCTGAATGATCACACGAAGCGTGATATATTGCATCTTGAGCGCCCGAGTCAGCAAATACCACTCGCGGACAATGTGCCCAGCACAAAAAATGCATGACAAAGAAGTGCTGTCCCCCAGCACTTCCAGCGACCCAAACGACACAACATTTGAACATTTGGTACACGACACCTGCGATCACCCATCCAATCACACCGGCGCCGAAAAAGAAGCAGCACACCAGAATTCCCAAGCCCAACTGGTAAACAGGCAGGGCGGGGACCAGAATGGTCGTGTTTACGTTGTCGCGTGCAGCTCCCCCAGCAGCCATGCCAACTTCGTTTGGCTTTAGCACGTCGAGTTTCAGACTCCCGTTCACATTTTCTCTGTTAACCCCGATTTTCGTATCGAAGATAAACTCCTTAATCTTCCGCTGTGTCCTCACGTCGATCAAACTCCAGATGAGGAACAGCAACGCGAACTGGACCAGAATAATGAGCAGCATCCCAATGCCGACGTTCACGTACACGAAGAGAACGGCCAGGAGCAAACTTGCCCACTGCCAAACGGGGAGGGAGATTTCGTAGTAGGCGTTTGAATCTTCAGACGTCGTCGCGGCACTAGCAGAAGCCGTGGAGCCGATTCCCGTCGCCTGAAAGGAAACCCGGGGGAGGCAGACGGTGTAAACAGACTGGAAGAAGTCGACCGGCTGGTCGTGGTCCTCTGTGTAGTTAGGTGTAGTAGTTCTCGGCGCCGTAGTACTTGTTGGTGTTGATAGACTGCTGGATGGTGCGGAGGAGGCTGTTTTTTCCTTGTTACGCGCCGCCATGCGCTGCCGGTACTCCTGGAGCTGTGGGTCCATTTTTCTTGTGTTGCGCAGGAGTAGAGCTCTGAGCTAGTACTTCTGCCTGGGATATGGACAAGTTAGGACTCGTCCTCGGGCGAACTACAAAAGTAGTTGCTTCTATTCTTAGTTGCTTGCGCTTGCCTTGCTCCTACTAGCAGAAAAAGTAAATTGGAGCAGCGCGATGTAGTAACGTTGTCCTGTAAGTTGTGCCATCCGGCGTGGTCGAGAAGCGAAGACTGTGGAGCATTGGCACTAAGTTCTGGGAATATCAAAGGGAACACAAGCGGAGGATCTATTCGTTAGTAGCACCTGCACCGAACAGCAGCAGTATTGATTTCTCAATGCGCCGGCGTGGCTTCATTCTGGCAGGATGCTGGCTCCACCGTAAATGTAATTCTGTGGACTCTCTCTTTCTGTTTCGCCACAAAGTCGAATCCAAGGTCCTAGGTCTTTTTGGCAAAGACGGGGAGCAGTTTTCATACTGCCAAAAAAATTTTCTACACGTACCCTTGGATGTCTTTGCAGCGTTCATCGGGATTTTCTGTTCAATACACGACGGGAGTTTATCTTCATACACGATTTCTTTTTCCTCATCTACACCTTCCAAAATATGCGTTAGTACTACTTAACGTCAGAAGTTCAAAATTAGAATTCTTGTGTCCTCAAAAATTTTTAGACCGCACACCCGTCTCCAAACGTCGGTCTCTGCCTTAAGCCGCTTTCGAGTCGCTCGATCGAATTTGTAGTTAATTATCCCTATTTATTTCCGACCAAGGCGTCGCTGAACTGCTTGATCTGCGCCACGGAAACCCTGCAGCTACCAAATGCAAATATGTCTGGGTCTGGAAGAGTCATGCTGCTTTTGCATGTATGACACAGGAGGTCTGGCATGGAAGCTCTAGCATCACAGGTTTCGAGAAGCTCTCGCAATGCCGAATCCGCATGACAAATGCCCCACTTTGGTGACAGAAAGTGGGCACCTTTTGCTACCTATGCATGAGAGACTTTTATGTGTTGCGAGATGCGCATCACAAGTTGGCACTCTTCCAGACGCAGACATATTTGCAACGCATAGCAGCACCCTCCGATCAGCGACGCGCCGGCTTGGTGAAACGCCACGGCGTCCGTGCCGTCCAAAACCTTCATGTGGTCGCCGTCGTGCCAGCACCGGTGGCATCAAATGCAAACATGTCTGGGTCTGGGGGCGTGGAAGCTTGTCATGCCGATTTTCCATGGCCCACGAGGTCGTCTGGAATACAGGACCTGGCATGACAGATACTGTGAATCTCTACCATGCCTGTCCTGCACCAGAAACTCCCTCTCAACTTGGTCATCAAAAGTGGACAACTGTTGGCAGTCATGCACCACAGACTTTTACAAGGTGTAGACTTTTTAGCATCACAAGTTCTTGTCTTCCAGACCCAGACATATTTGCAATGCATAGTTGCCCCTCCGCGGCGTTCCACACTTCCCCGCTGTTGGGGTACACCGCGATGGGGAGCGAGGTGGTCTGCCGCAGTTTACTCACCAGGCCGGGGGCAAAGCTGGAGGCGTGGGCGGGTTTTGGAAAAGATACGGCAAGAAAATGAGTTGGTTGTAAAAATCTACGTAGACAAATCTGGAAGCAACATCGGAAGAAAAAAACAAAGCCAAGATCGGTCAACGTCCTGCAGTGCTTTTTGAAAAATCGTTTACTTTCATCTTGTATGGAATGCAAAAGCATCGTACTAGCAGTAATTGCAATACAAACTCGCTCAGCATGAAAGATGGAATTTGTCATGCTGGTTAGCCTTAGGAACGAGATTTGTAATGCATGACTGCAATTACTACGAGTACGATACTTCTGCAGAGGATATCTTACCATGGATTTATGCAGTTGACCCCAATGGCGTGGACATGCGAAATATCAAATGTAAAAATGTCTGGGTCTGGAAACTTGTAATGCTGGGTGGCGTCTCATGATGAGGCCACAAATGCTGGCTTAGCATGACAAGTTTCTGAGCTTCTAGGTGTTGCCTATCCTGCATGACAAACTGCGTTTCTGCATCACAGAAAAACAGGGCTCTTGGATAACGCGCATTACAGATTTAAGACTCATGCCAGACAAGCATGACAAACATGCGTTCTTCCAGACCCAGACATTTTTGCATTTGATACGAAAAGGGTTCCAACGCCTTCGCGCAGTCCTCAATCGTTTCCCCCGAGTTCGTAACTTTGTCGTCCGGACACCAGTATCAACTGCAAATGTCTGGGTCTGGAAGAATGCCAGGCTTGTAACGCAGGTTCTCCATGACCCATGACGTCTGGCATGTGGGACATAGCATCACAGATTCTGTGAGACGCGCACGAATTCTATCTTGCTTATCCTGCATGAGAAACTGCCTCGCGATTAGGTCAAAAGTGGAAAGCTTTTGGTAATCATGCAACACAGATTTTTGCATGATTCAGATGTAGCATGACAAGTTGCTTTGTTCCAGACCCAGACATATTTGCATTTGATAAGCAGAAAGACACCAACAAGGGAAGATCAAAAGCCGCGCTCTCCTCCGCCGCAACCAGGGCCTCGCGGGAACCGGCGAGGGTCTCGACGGAAAAACCGTCCACGCCAGCCTAAGTAGTTGTTGTATAGAGCGGGTTTAAAATCATCTGTGATGTAATTCTTTTAACTGCACAGAAGGAAATTTACCGTTCTTGTCTTTGTCGTTCGTACAAACATACGTTCACTCAGATTGCGATGCAACTACATCAAACAACAATCTTCATACGACCAGAAGTTGATGTACCTTTTTCAGCATCCCGAGTTTCTGTCGGTAATATGTCCGCATGCGAATCTCCATTTCGCTACCATCGGACCTCGTGTTGGGATCTGTCGCCCCGACAAAAAGCATGGTGGAGTCGCGACAGGGTCCGACGCTGCCGAAGACCAAGGGCTTGACACTTTCGTCTGATATTTCGGCTGTTGCAGGCGGCTTGGATGCCTCATTACTGAGGGCAGTAGTGGTACTTGTAGAAGCAGTTTTCACTGCAACTGCTCCCGACCAATACTCGTCTCTTGCGTCTTTCGCTGCCTGGATGGATCGTTGAAACAACATTTCCGTATGCGATTCCAGCTCTTCTTCCCTCGCGCACTTTTCCTCCATGTCGTTCAGCATACCCCGCTTCCAGCACTCCTTGACGAGCTCCAGGGACAATTTGTACGACAAGGTCCCTATCACTTTCGCGCCGGCGTTCAAAAAGTCTAAATGCACCTTCTTCAATGCCGGTAAACCACCGTCGAGGTTGTACAATAGCTGATGACCCCACAAGAAATGCTTCTCCGCGTTGTTGGGGAGAGACGTGGTGAGGCCGCCGTCCAGAATGCAAGCACCGTATTTGGTCAGAAACGGTTGAAAGCAGTTGGACGCACTGCGGTGGGGAGCGAAAGACGGCTTCATTGTGATTGTATGTTAATATTGTGAACACAGTGTAGATCAAAGAACCGGCTTCAAAAACAAGTAGTTCTGAAGCTGGAATAAAGCGAAACGGAGACCTGCTTAACCTGACACGACGTCGAGAGGAGCTAGGAAATAATCATCTTTTGATTATTAAACGATGACGGTCTTCACTACATCTGGATTCACCCTTAGTTGAAAGTGGCATGGCAGTTTAAGTTTTAATCATGCGGTGACGATACATGAATCAGAGAAACTACTGCCACACGCTTCCGGGCTTTTGGGATCGTGATCAGTGTCAGCCGAATTATAAATCGATGCAACACAAAGACAAACTGCACGGAAGAAAGCACGGTTCTAATTTGTGAACACTAGAAGAACACTTAAGCCTCTGGCACCTCATTCACATATGCTTAAGCTTATGCACTTTCACCAGGACGCGCATTAATCTTAATTCCCTCCAGTTCCGAAAATTATGTTTTCGTGCGTGGCTCTATACACCCCTCGCAATTTCGCAGTTGCAAAATCTGACTCGTGTATCTATGAGTGGTATGAGATGGTACTTGGTACTGGTTTGTTTCAAAAAAATGCTCTGACCACGAAAATGAATCATGGCTTTACTTTGAAAAAAATCCTGTCTGCTGTACATCGAATAAAAACTGAAACCCGTTGTTATCAAAACGCGTAACGTATAACATTGTGTGAGATTGCAAAAAAACTTTCTCCCAAAAACGATGATGTAAACGGATGGCGTCGTGCGCTCAAGGTTTCTTGGAATTATCTGTTCTTTTGGTTGATTTCTGATTTAGTTTTTAAGTGGATCTTTTAAGTAGCAGAAGTTCATTCTTGTGCTCAATGAATACAAACGGCTGAGCCTGAACTACCTCAAGGACGATTTAAAAAAAAAGTAAACAGTATCTCGCCAATATTTTCCCTAGTACGTCATGTTCAAAAAAACCAGAACAGCCATAAATATCCCCAAGTAGCCCCTCATCATGAACGACAAACCCGACCCGCCTCCCCCACGCTTGAAACTCCACGCGGCACTGCAGTTGGCGTCGCACACCTTGTGCAGCCTGACGGGTTCGATGGTAGCCATGGCGGAGGTATGAAAGGGAAAGTAGGAGCAGGGTTGTAGTCCTCAAGCGGATAAGGATCACGCTCACGACACTGGTTTAATATGGTGCATCAAAATTGAACAACGGACGTTGGCACGACGTCACATTATGCAATACTGTCGAGCTCTCATCTTCTCCTCAACAGACATGCATCCCAAGAACCACATGCTATCTCCATGCTTTCCCCTTTCGTACGCGTCTGCAAAAAAGTTTCCGTGGGTTCGTTCGTTCGTGTAGTCCGTTGGGTGAATGGGTACCTGTGATGTTTTTTTTTTCTTTCCTTTTTCCAATATACGACTATGCAAATAGTGCTATAATTTTGGCTCTCACACGACGACAAATCGTCGAACTCATGATCCTGCAAAGCCTGCAACTGCATGGTGTCAAAGAAGCCAATCAGAAATATCATAATACCCCAAAGAAGTCCAGTGGCCGCTTGACCATTTCTTCGCACATCTCCTTGAACGCAGCGACACAGGCCTCGCTCTGCTCCTTGGCACACGCCATACGGCATTTCAGTTGATCGCATGCGTCCGCGCCGCGCTTGCAGTCGAGCAGGGTTATCAGGTGGAAAGAAGGATAAGGTACGAAGCACAGCATTGATTAGTTTTGCCTGGATGTGGATTGCACTTTCAGTTTCACATCAAAAATGGCAGCTGCATAAACTGCCCTTGCTAGTGCCGCTAGCGGCACGCACACCCACACCACAGAAGAACCACAATTAGCATAGTGCTGTGCCTTTGTCCTACTGTTTTCCATGCGATTATCGTAACAAAAAACTGCTTCACTGTAAAGATTTTGCACTACAATCCGCAAATCACAAGAAGTACAGTACACATGCCAAAGAAAATGTGCCATGCGAAAATCCTGAAGAGTAAGACACGTCGGGTAAACAGACCCTTTGATGTAGTTGCATTTCCAGCAAGACAGGCACAACTTGTGTGTTGGTTGCAGATTTATTTGCATCACGAGTTCACAGTAAAACAGTTTTTTCTCCCCATAGCGATAAGACAGTGCTCGAGCTCCTTCTCGTCACAGGCGTGGCGCCACCTGAAAAGGAATTTTTTTTCAATTTTCCAATGAAGATTCTGCATCACAAATTTCAAGGTCCGTAGCATCATGCAGCTGCACCTGCAGCAAAGAAACCGCATGACAACATCCAACATAAAAATCGTGAGAAACCATGTGCAAAAGAAATACGGTGAAGGCAAGCAGTATGGATTGCAAAAGTGTCTGGGTCTGGAAGATTGCAACTTGTAATGCTGTCTTTGGATTCAAAAAAAATCTGTATTGCATGACCAGCACAAGGACTCCAGTTTGTGCTACGCGGAGAGGGCATTTCTCATGCGGACTAGGCATTAGAAAGCTCTCTAAAAATCTGTGTTGCTAGATCATGCATTACAGGCATCAGGCATCATGCAAAAAATGCATGACAAACCTTGCATCCTTCCAGACCCAGACATTTTTGCAGTTCATAAGCAGCGGTCGTTCGTATAGTCGGCCTCGCCCTCGGTGATATCCGAGAAAAAAACGTATCAGTGCAACTTTTTGTTGCAGTCTATGCATAACAAGAGCAAAACAATTAGACCTGTCATGCTGGCTATGCATTATGTTCATGGGCTAGTTCTTTCCTACGCGTTCTTTTCGTGTTCGTGAGCTAGCTACGCATGAGTGGTAGCAAGAACATTCCCAGTGATGCAAAACAAGTTTCTTGTGACGCATTTAACAAGAAGAAGAAGGTATAATTACACGTAGTATTAACACAGTTTTTTTCTCCTCATCTCGTACCTGGGACACGTCAAACACTCGCGTTCGTGAGATGCGCGCGGCAAACTGATTTTTGGGGTGTCCACCACCTTGCGCTCCGCATAGCTCAGGCGCTGCGTCTTCGGGCACTCGTGAAAGTCGTCGCAACCGGCACAGTAGTCGCCACGCGAGATATAGAAGGCGAGGGTGACGGCCATCGCGGAAGGAAGGAGAGCTTCTGGCAACAATTCCAACTTTCTTTTTTGATGTGAACAAATCATGCAGATGAAACAGGCAAGTGTTGCTGGCTAAGCATAATTATGCCAATGGCATGCTTGTCTATTGCATGAAAAATTCCTCTCGCGGACGGCTTTAATTCATTATTTCCGTCGATACTCACAGGGCAGGCACTCGAATTCGCCGCGCAGGGAGAGCTGGAGTGTCCGGTTATTTTCCCGCGTCGAAAAAGACCTTGTGAAGCAGCTCGCCCATTCGCACTTTATGCACTGCAAAAGTATCGCGCTCGTAGTAATTGCTATCATGCATGACAAATCTCTTTCCCAAGGTAAAACAGCATTACAAATTTCATTTGTAATGCTAAGTGAAATTGTAATGCAATTCATACTAGTACGATACTTTTGCAGTGCATACACTCGTGGCAGCAGCGGAAGTACCCTTTGGGGCAGACCGGCTGGAAGCACACGTCTCGGTTGGTGAGCGGGTCCTTTCTGCGGCACTCGCAGTCGTATCAAATGCAAATATGTCTGGGTCTGGAAGATTGCCAGGTTTTTGTCATGCTGTTTTTGCATGACACAAAATGTCTGTCACGGAAGCCCTAGCATCACAGATTTCGAGAAGCTTCCGCATTGCTGAATCCGCATGACAAATCCCCCACTTTGGTGACAGGAAGTGGGCACCTTTTGCTGCCTATGCATGAGAGATTTGTCTGTGTTGTGAAACGCGCATCACAAGTTCGCAGCCTTCCAGACCCAGGAGACACATTTGCAATGTATAAGTCGTCTTCCGGCTTCGTGATGGACTTCAGCAGGGAGAGCGCAGCAGAGCCCGCGGCGGCGAAGGAAGTAGAGGAAAACAAATCGGGTTGCGGGTAGAAGGTGATGAAAAACAGAATGATATTCCGCACGTCATTGCGGACGGCACGAGGACCCCCACCGCGCATCTTCAAAAACTTGTGTGAGGATGGAGAGAACTTTTTGCTGCTTCGGAGTAATACTACGTGTAATCTGTAGTCGCAAAACTGGGAGCGACCCGGGCTCCACCAGCGGGAAAGATCAAAAACGGCGCCGGAGCTAGTACTTGTTATCTCCGCCAGTGCGCGCCGCCGTCGCCTCTATGAGGATGACTAGGTAGCAATACTATCGACCGCGGCGGCAGGCTAATACATTTTTCCTCCTTGCGTAAGTGCTGACCTCAGGGTCATCCGGGTCACAACTCGGAAGCTGCATAGGTGTACTAGAAGTCCTCAGCTTCGTTCAAAGCGAAGTCCAAGCCCGCAGAGGAGAAAGTCGCCAACGTCCGCGCCGTCCCGGGGGCTAGCATCTTGATACACCGGACAATCCCTTTCAAGACAACACCGAATTCTAAGTACCAAGGGATGTTTATTTGGTAGTACCGCCAGAAAAAGTAAAAGCCCGCCCCAGCGGTGTGGAAGAACAAACGGCGCAGCACTTTATTTTTGTGTGAGCCCATCTACTTGTACATTTACCACCACCTCTCACTCTTTTGTAGTTCTACCGTTATTTATTACGGCGTGCTTCTGCAAGAGCTTTCTCTCGTCTCGCGCCCCGCTCACAGCCACACGTCTCACACCGCTTGTGGTTGGCCGGTCGTTGGAAAGAACACAGATCACGCCCCGCTGTGGAAGTCGTGTTTTCAACAGCTTTCAGAAGAGTACTATGTCGCGGCCATTTTAATTTTCATTTTGTGCAAAAATGATTAAAAAACGGTTTATCTATTTGATCTGTGACGTGTCCATTTCTGAACCAACTGTCAACCGAATCCAAAGGCAGCGCACCATCTTCGAGGTCACAAGACATCATGTTCTTCTGTCCGGCACAGCAGACTCATCATGTTTACAGTACGCCTAGTAATCCTCCTCGCCTTCATCCCCGTAGCTCTGACCGTAGTCATCGGGCCTTCGCTTCTTCTGTAGGTGCGTGAAAGCGGCGAATGCGCCGCCGACTGTGAGCACGCCCAGCACCACGCCGAGGCCGATGTATAACTGTGCGGAGCTCTTACTCTCCTCTGGTGCCGGTTTAGGCTTTGGTGGCGGGTCGCACGCGTCTTTCGCTTCCGAGAAAACCGGTCCGCAGCTCTGGGGTGGGGACGTTTTTACACAGGATAGCATGCCGGCTCCTCCACGCAGAGCTGCAAGCACTGGTCAGGCGTGGTGTCTTTGAAAGCGTCCGAACTCCGCCCGACCGTTCGGTTCGTCAGGTTCTTCGCGCGGAGCACGTACTCGTTCACGTGCACCCCCCGCAAGGGTCGAGTGCATAAACTTTTGTACTTGTCAGTGACTTCGGGAAAGGGAAAAACGAGCCAGCTGCGCGTGTCGTTGTACGTGAAAACGTTCTGGACCGACGCGAAGTAGCCGATCGGGTATCCTACGCAAAAACGTCCCCACCCCAGACTCAAAATGGGGAATCTGCTAGACAAATCCACCAGCTATGGTTGTTGCGCACGCCAAGTTCTTTTGCCCCGTAGTGTAAAAATCCTGTTTCGCTCGTTCAGCAGCATCACAGATCTAGCCTGTGATGCTGATTGGAGCATTACAAATTTTTAAACGCGACTAGAAGATGCTTCGTATGGGGCGGCCCCGCATGAGAAACATTGTGATCCTGATCATGCAGTTTTGCTGCATGACAACTCTGGGGTGGGGACGTTTTCACATAGGATATCGGGCCCTCGTTGATCAGTTCGAACGTCCAGCACGGTTTGTGCTCCAACCCAATCTGGTTCGCTATGGATTGCAAAAATGTCTGGGTCTGGAAGGTTGCAACTTGTGATGCTGCATTTGGATTCTAAAAGAATCTGTATTGCATGACCAGCAAGACGAGTCCAGTTTGTGCTACGCGGGAAGGGCAGTTGTCATGCGAAATAGGCATCAGGAAGCCATCTAAAAATCTGTCATTCTAGCTCATGCATTACAGGCATCATGGGTCATGCTAAATATGCATCACAAACCTGGCAATCTTCCAGACCCAGACATATTTGCAGTTAATATCCGCACGGAAGTCACAAAAGTAGTCCTTCGTGGGTCCGGGGGTGTCGGCCGGGCCCCCGTCGAACTGCGGCGCGATGATGCAGTCGTGGTCCGCGTGCTTCGTTCCGCGGTCTATGGTAAATTGTAACGTCGAGCCCGGCGGAAGTTGCCACTTTGTGATCTTCTGTTTCGGCACCACATCAGGCCCGGCGGGGTCGTCCCAGAAGGCTTCCTCGTCTGGCGTGGGAGCGCCCGGGGGGATCTGTAACAGCATAAACCCCGTCTCGTGCAGCTCAAACGGCATGTTGAACTTGCTTTTCCGGAGTTTGCGGATCACAAACCCAGTCGGCGTTATCGAGAACGCTGCCTTGTCGAAAAGCACTTCCCTTCTCGCACGAAAAAAGAGAAGCCAGGACGACAAAAAAAAGCACGATGAAATAAAATACGAATGTTGGTGTTCAAGTTCGTGTTGCCAGTCAGTAAAAAATGCAGAATATGTACAAACAGTTACTACACCAACACGAGCGTTGTACGAGGGTCTGCCTTACTTTACGCACGAGATGAAAACCTAGCACGACTAAATTTGACAGCGATTGTTCCAACTCATCAGCACGATGGATTCCTGATGGTTTATGAAATGTAAAAATGTCTGGGTCTGCAAGAGTGCATGTTTGTCATGCTTGTCCGGCATGACTCTTAAATCTGTCATGCACGTTACCCAAGGGCCCCACTTTTCTGTCATGCAGAAACCGAGTTTGTCATGCAGAATAGGCAACACCTAGAAGCTCAAAAATTTGTCATGCTGTGCCAGCACTTGTGGCCTCCTCATGATACGCCACCCAGCATCACAAATTTCCAGACCCATACATATTTGCAGTTCATAGTAAATCGATCGCCGCCTTCGCGGTGTCCGGTTGGTCCAAAAAACACACCGTTTTGATCGTGGTCGCCACTAACGTCGTGTCCTGGTAGTGCACGGAGAGAGACAGACTCGGTGCGGTGGACATGGAGGCGAGATTTTGGGTGGCTTTTTCGAAGTCCGGGTTGCCGATGATGTCGTCGTTGTGACTGGGGAGGGGTAGGGTCAGTGGCGGGTCTTCGTGTTTCTCCACCAGGTTCTTCACGAATTTTTGGAAAAAGGACTCGATCTTGGGCGGTGTCGTGCTGGTATTCGGTGCACCAGGAGCAGTCTATCCTGAGTAAAAAAGTCCCCGCCCCAGAATCAACAAGATGGGAAATCTGCTAGACAAATCAACAAGATTTGGTTGTTGCGCATGACAAGATTGGGCTCGTAGTTTGCTCCTCTTAGCTTCTGCAGCAGCATCACAGATCGATTAGTACGTGATGCTTCTTCCAGCATCACAAACTCTAGCGTGGGGACGTTCTTACTCAGGATACAGTCCTCCTCTTCTTCATCCTGGAGGTTCGGCTGTCGTTTTCCGGGTGTTTTTATGAGAGTGCACAACCCCCCCTCCCCCTCATTTGTCATGCAAAATCCCAATTCTACCTTTTTCCTGTTAGCACTTTTTGCAGGACAGATTCCGAAAGCCAAAACCGCACTACAAGCGAAAGTCGCACGCGTCTTTCGCTTCCGAGAAAACCGGTCCGCAGCTTTCGTACATTGAACGCACGCGTCCGAGAGCAGGCGGATGCAAGGCAGTAAATCACGGATAGCCCACGGAGGCGATGGTCCCGGCCGAGGCGGGACGCAAGGCAGTAAATCACGGATTGATACGCAGAAGAAGTGTTGTGTCTGCCCTGCAAAAACGCAAGATCTAAATTTGATGATCGCGAAAGCGGAAGACTTTGTTTGCGGACGAGGTCGTGTAAAGATCAAAATGAAGGTGCAGTTTCCATTCATGCTCATTAATTGTTAACAGGATAGATGATGATGATGATGAATGTCAGATCTCCTGTCCTCCACCTCTTAGTTCACTACTTTCCAAATGTGCTACAAGGCAGAAAACGCCGCACGTATGCGCTGTGTGATTTCTTCTGCGCCGACTTAGCCGTTTGCGCGAAGTCGGAGGAGCTGTTAGATATTTGTTACTTTGTCCAATCATAAGCCGTTCGGTGGCCTCACTACAAACAAACAAAAAACCCCGCGACGCTCTAGCGTTTTTGATGTCGCTGGCATTAGTTGTGCGGCCCGCCGTGCTTGTGATTTTGATAGCATGCCATGGCTATTCATAGATCTCTGCAATCGCACTCCCTGCGCAGTTCACCCACCAAGCGAAAGTGCGCGGAAACGATGACACTCAACCAAGGCAGTGCCACTGCGCACTGTAGACATCGCGGCGAGATGCCCTGCGACGGTCACAGTGGAGAGTAAGGAGAGAGCCCGGCCGCGGCCAGCCCAGCAAGCTACAAAGAGCAAGCCGCGCGAGCCACGCGCTAAAGCCACACAGTCATAGCCAAGTCCCGGGCGTAAAATAGCTTGGCCAAACCGACCGGACCCACCGAAAACCTTCCCCGAGTGCTATTCAAGGCAGGGGCCGTAAATCGTTCGTCCGACGGCAGCGGGTCGCACGCGTCTTTCGCTTCCGAGAAAACCGGTCCGCAGCTTTCGGAAGCCCGTCCCGCAAGACACTCCGCGCCGCAGCGCTTACCAAAGGAAGGGCCCGAGCTCTGGCCCCCGCACGAAAATTAGCCCGCGGGCTACGCAGGCAGTGCCGGGGCGGCCATTGGAGGCCGCCGCCCATGCTGGCTTGTAAATTTCCGCTCCTGACGAGAATGGCGCCACGCCCCCGCCCCCAAGAGGCGGCCTATCTTTTGTCGCTTCTGCGTTGGCCTTGTATATTCCGCCGTAGCTCCGGGCGGCTCAGCAAAACCGCCTCCAGGAGTCACTTCTATTGTTTTCGCGGGCCCTTTTGGGGTTTCGTCTAGCCACCCGCCCGCAGACGGAAAATTTCGAGCCTCGCCTAGCTTCTCAGAAATCTTCTTGCAAAACAACCGAGCGCGCAGAATCACGATCGAAGTCCACGCCTTCGGGCTTTAGAAGCTTGCTACGCGCGCGGCATTTTAGAAAGAGCCGGGTGGCGACAGGCTTTCGAAGTCGAAAACAAGGGGGCGGGCAGCGTTCCGAGCCGTTTGCCACAACTTGGCTCCCCGCGGGCCCTCGAGCTGGCCTGCCCGCCTGCGGGTAGTGTTGGGGCATGATGCTCGACATACAGGCCGAACACCATGCCCCATCTTTGAAGCACCGCCGCCCACCCCAAGAGGAAGGACAGAAGTTTCCGCGCCATGCTTGTTGAGATCGGGCATTGGGAGGGTCGCACGCGTCTTTCGCTTCCGAGAAAACCGGTCCGCAGCTTTCGTACATTGCCGGCTCGTCGTATGGCACGAAAATAAAACTGTTGTATCAGTCTCAATTTGTTTTGCGGAGTTTGCTTGCTGCCTCCGGTTCCTGTCATGCTCGACATGGAAGATGAAGTCGGAAGGCCGCGGGGTTATGGTTTTATTGTGTTGCTAGAACAAAATGTCCGAATGGGAGCAGCAGGTTTGAGGCTTCTAAATACAGTTTTTTTTTTTTTTTTTTTGCCAAGGGAGGACTGGATCAAGCATGGACAGTGGTCCACTTTCCTGACTACTAGAAAGAAAATCTACTCATTCGCAAAATGGTTCTGCTCAGGATCTCGTTGTTGGTTGCGCCAGCAAGGGGGATAAAAGTAAGGCTGGTACGCGGATACAGGTGCAAGGTGTTCCAGTGTGAAGACAGATTCAGACCAGCGGCACAGCACCTCCCGCGCCCCGGCCGGGCCCCGCGCGCTCCCCTTCCTGGTCTGGCCTCACTGGATGACTTCTAAATACAGTTTCAACTTTTTTCACGTCCGATACCTCACTAACATCCGCTTTCAGGTCGATTATCTTCTTTTTCGCCAAGTCGCACCCGGCGTCTTGAAACGCCTTCAGCCCATATCAGAGTGAAAAATGCGCCCGCCCCAAAAGTTGCGAATAATTTGTGATGCGAAGTTTCCAAAAGAAAACTCTTTGTCATGCATGAAAAGAGAATGAATCTTTCTGACGCGAAGTCTAGATGAGCATGAGATGTATATAGCATCGCTTGCATGACAAGCGCCGCTCTTGCTGGGGTCTTTTGCAATGCAGGTTTTTGCTATTCACGATAAGAAATCTGTCATGCTGATAGACGCAAGAGGGCGAATGTTTCATTTGGAACGGTTTGCAATACAAATGCTCCCAAGTTCTGGGGTGGGCACATTTTTCATTGTAATAGTCCGCAGAAGCAGCTCTGCGAGATTTGGAGACACCGAAACCGTTCCTCGTCGTCGTATATCAAATGCAAAAATGTCTGGGTCTGGAAACTCGTAATGCTGTGTTGGGAATAGTGAATGCACTGTAATGCACAGCCAAGCATGAGAAATATCTGCGCTTCTTTGTATTGCGTTTTTCGCATGAGAAACTGCGTTTTTGCATGACAGGCAAAAGGGTCTCTTCTTGGACACGCATTACAAGCTTTTTTGTCATGCCACCAGACAAGCATGACAAATCTCGCAATCTTCCAGACCCAGACATTTTTGCATTTGATATCGTGGACCTCGTCCGGATCGAACGCGTCACTTCCCACTTTCCCGAAACACGGCCCCAGTACGTGGTCTTCGCAGGCCGCCGCGTCGCAGCTCGCGAAGGCCCCGTTGCACAATCGGTCGGCCCAGGTGGACGGCGGCTCCACGTCGTATCAAATGCAAAAATGTCTGGGTCTGGGCACTCGTGATGCTGGGTGGCGTCTCATGATGAGGCCACAAGCGCTGGCTCAGCATGACAAGTTTCTGAGCTTCTGTTCTAGGTGTTGCCTATTCTGCATGACAGACTGCGTTTCTGCATCACAGAAAAATGGAGCTTTTGGGTAACGTGCATGACTGTCATGCATGTTACCCAAAAGCTTCATTTTTCACATGCATTCTTCCAGACCAAAAAGCTGGCATGACACCCATGCATTCTTCCAGACCCAGACACTTTTCCATTTGATACGTCGCAGAGCCCGGCCATTTGCTGCAGGAAGAGCAGCGAGTCGGGTTTCAGTACGTCTGCGTCGACGCCGCAGGCGTCCTTCCAGGCGGTGTGCGACGATTTGCAGGGGTCGTGCTGGCAGTCACCTGGAATGATGTCGTCGTCGGGAACTTCCATGCTCGGCTCCAGGTAGAGGCAGTTCGAGTAGTAGCTTTCGGCCTTCGTGACGCAGTCGTCGATCAGGTTTGTGTCTTTGCCGATAGAAGAGAGGCGAATCGCTATCCCGGGCAAAAACGTCCCCGGAACCAGACCTAGAGTCAAAGTCAAGATGCATAACTATTTTACTTAGACTTACACAAAGCAACAGCTTTGTTTTGCATTTGCTGGTTGTCACGTCGCATTAATAAAAGTGTGGGATCGCAGCGTCATCCTGATAGCTTAGCTATTGTAGCTGCATCAAAATAAATCGGCCGCCTTTTCCTGATTTATTTACTGCTCCACCCAGATAGCGATTACAACAAGCTTTTCGTGTGGTTGCGCATGAGACGCATCTATTCGTCTCAGGCATACAGATTTGCATCACAAACTACTTGGCATTGGGGCGCTTTTCCTCAACAGGATAATCATCACATAGACCATGGTCTTGCTCGTCCACAGACAGTATGCATTGCAAATATGTCTGGATCTGGGAAGATGGAAACTTGTGACTCTCTCTGCCGCACTCGCACAAAAATCTGCAATGCACGAGTGTCAAAACCTGTGGCCCACTTTTGGCCACCCTGGGAAAGGATGTGTCATGCAGAATAGGCATTGCAAAGCTATTGCGCTAGACCCTGTAGTACTGCTGGGCCGTGCAAATTAGAACTTCTTGGCGGCGGCGGCCACACAAAAAGAAAAACACAAACAGCATGACAAACTTCAGCATATATCCAGACCCAGCCATGATGTTTTTATTTGATAAACACTCGTTATCGGTATCCGCCGTGCAAGCGTCCTGCGCACCATCATGTACACTGCAATCCGCACCCTTTTCGGAGTTTCGGCTCCTGCAGAAAAACGGGGTTGTCTTTGTAGAAGTACTATCGGCTAGTGTTTTTACCTTCGACGACATCGTTGCGCCGGATGAGGATTCACTCTGGAGCAGTTTGTATGAACTGCAAAAGTATCGCACTCGTATAAATGCATCACAGCATGAGAAATAAAATTTGTCATGCTGATTTACCTAAATAAAAATATTTGTAATGCAAGACTTGCATTTATACGAGTACGATACTTTTGCACAGGATAGTTTGTTCCCGGGTAGACGAGCAGGTGCTGTTTTCCTTTTCTCGACCTCGTCGTCACGAAGGACGTATCCTGTGCAAAAGTATCGTACTCGCATTGCAATCATGCATTACAAATCTCTTTCTTAAGGGTAAATCTGCATATACAAATTTTATTTCTCATGCTAAGGAAATTTGTACTGCATTTATACGAGGGAGTACTATACTTTTGCAAATAATAGGACGTCAACATCATCATCTGCTTCGATTCTATTCTTGTCGGCTGCTGCTGTTATGTTGCTCGGACTGGTTACGACCAGGGAGTTGGCCGCGCGCGGCCCGGACTTAGCTGTAGTATTGCCCTGTAGAAGTTCCGACGAGGAGCGGTTGGGAAACACTGCTGCTGGCGCAGGAGTTTGCTCATGGCCGCCCGGCGCAAGGCCGCGGTCCGATACTGCCAGACGCTGCTTTGATTGCGAAAAAAAATGAAAATCGTACTTATGCATTTTCACAATAACAAATTTCAATTTCTATCTTTATTTTTTCTTTATCTTTTGGAGAAGAAAAAATGAATTTACGCATGAAGCTTTGCGCCGGGTAGCAGATCTGTCACACGACATGCTGTAGCGCAAATAGTACGAACAAGTACGGTAGTTTTGCAATGAATACGCACACCCCTTCGCCAGTTCGCAAAAACGTGGGCGCGAAATCGTCATACTCGTCGGCGCGCACGAACTGCCCATCTTTTTGTTGGACTATTGCTTTTTCTTCGTTACTAACCAGTGGATTTTGGTTGCTTTGGGGCTCCTGCGGCAGCTTCGCTTGATTGTCCTCGCTGAGTGGCGTAGTTCCAGATGATTTACTGCTGGGCGCTTGATGATGTGCAGCGGGGGCCGTTTCCAACTCCCCTGCTCCGGCGGCCGCGCTGGCGTTTAAAAATCCGCTCGCGGCTGCGATGTCGTCGATCTCCTGTTGCGTGTCCAATACTAGACCGGGACCAGCCGAAACTGATGGCACAATAGAAACGGAGTCGCGATAACGAAGCAAAACCGCCGGTGGGTGACTGACGCACAAGTTGCTCGGCTGAACAGAAGTAGATTCCCCCGGCGTTTCCTGGTGCGCTTCCGGGTCTGCAGAGTAGAGCTTGTTGAGCAATTCGGCGTACTCGCTGCTGTTCTGCTTCCAACCCAACGCTTTCTCGAGCGCACTGCGCCTCACGCAGAGTGTTTCTTCTTGAACGGTAAAGGAACAAGGGTCACTGTGCCGTTCAAGTCCACGGACAGGCTTTGTTGCCGTGGCTGATGTCGGTGGCCCAGTACTTGCTGGACCGGCCACGGCTGGCGGTCCCGTGGAGGATGCGGCCATATTGATTTTAGATGTTTTTCAACATTGAGTCGCTGTTGATACTAAAATTTTTTTGCACTTTTTCTTCGCTGTGTTTTTTACGTTTCATATTGCGATAGTCCACGTATTCTAAGCCCCTCTAGAAGACCCTCCGGAGGTGGCTATGGGCCTCTGACGGCAGTGGTCATGTACATGTTTTCGTTTGATCTTCTTCTTCAGATAGACACAGCTGTGTAGCAATTCAGTAGGAAGAAATCGCACTTCATCATTTGTCACCACTACGCATCCTCGCCGCAAGCGCGTGAAACTACTGTGGGCGTCAATGAGATCTTTTTTGGCTTCGTCTGCCCGGCGCAAGGCCGCGGTCCGATACTGCCAGACGCTGCTTTGATTGGGAAACTTCTTCCACAACATGTTGCCCACCTTGTCCATCTTGTTGTGGTGTTCCAGATCCAGTATGATCTTTATTTCTCTCATCCCGCAGGAGCAGCAGCTGGGGTTCCGCTCCGGCCTCCAGAGCGAAGGCGGCGTTCTTCTGGAGAGAAGAAGAAGATGGCTGAAAATGCTCTTGGTTTATTACCTCATTTAGATCCCGCACGGATGTTTTTGCATCGGTTCTCGTTCTCCCGCCCAGGTCGCTCTGCGGGGTGGCGGATGAAGACGATACTAGTGCAGCAGTCTTCTCTTCGCGCTGATGCAACCCGTTTAGCTCATGCTTCCCGTCGTTCTGCTCCGCATCAAAGATGTCTTTAGTGTCCTGATCTGCAACATGCAGCTGCAGTAAATGATCGGTTCGAGAAGTATCAATCGCGCACACGAAGACCAGCTGCACTGGGTGTTGCTGCCGCCATCGCCAAAAAGACGTTCCGCTGCAGCAGGCCACTGCGAACAGACGCAGCAAACACGGGCGGAGAGGCGGTCGCATGTTTCTCATTTCGATTTGTGCTTCATCCTAAAAACCTGCAGCACGTCGACATCGACGCAGCATGTATTTCTATATGCACCACCACCACCACCAAGATGAACCACAAACATCTTCTTCATAGCAAGAGTGCCCCATTTGTTCTACTCTTTTTCCGGAGACACCATGTCCGCTCTTCGTCGCTCAAAAATCCCCAAACTTCAAGCTCACGACACTCTTCACGACAGATTGTCGACCCAGGACAAACAGATAGAAGCTTAAGCTTCAGTTTGATAAACACAAGGGTCAAAAATCTCAATAAACACATTCGCTCTTCCTGCTCTAACTCCATCCAGTCACGAGCGGCTTCAGATGTAGAGCTCCCGCAGCCACTTCGCTTCATGAAAGCACCACCACGGCCCCTTCGGAACAACCCGGAAGTGGCAAACGAAGATGCCGATAAGTTTAATAAGTAGTGCTTGTGTTTGTTCTTGTTGTATTCAAAAAATAAAAAAATCAACCTCCATGACGCGAAAGATCGAGGAGCATCTTCATCCAGCCGAAAATGGTGTCGGTTCTTCGGATTCTATTCGTAAAACATCACAGTTGCACAGGAAGAACTGCCTGCTCCTTCTGTCTTCGCATTCGCTGTTCTTGAAACCAGTATAAAACTAACAGTTATAATCTAAATCTTCTTCATACAGCTTGAGCTTTCGCCTTCTCGGAGCAATAACCAACGCAGATCGAGTGGTAGAGATGGGCCGCTCCAGTTCCAGAAACATCTACGTACTACCGTCCTCCTCACGTCCTCCTGCTCCTGCGACAGCAAAAAAACAGCACAATGAGCGAGAAAAGGATCGACGCGCCGACGATTAGGTGGACCTGGTTTCGCCGCTTGATCTGGTAGTCCAATTCGGCTTGGGCCATGCGGTCTGGCTGTGGAGCTTCTCCTGCACAGGACAGAGAACCGCTCCCGTTTCCACACGACGTGGTCCCTGCGCTTTGTTCTTGTTCCGCTGGCCCATCTTCACCGCTCGTGGTATTTGCGGTATGCTGGGTTTTGTTCTCACCACTGATGTTATTATCCCCTACTGCGTCGGGCACGTACACCGCCTTCGGGAGCCCCGCCAGCGGCCCTACGTTGTTCGCGACAGAACCGCTCCAGGTGGCCGAATCGTCGTACGGAATGGTAGTTCCGTTCGGTGCGCCCTCGGCCTTCAATGGCGCCCGCGGGGCCTTGTTCGCGCCGCCGGTCGGACGGGAAACCGCTATCCTGTGCAAAAGTATCGTACACGTACTCGTATTGCAGTCATGCATTACAAATCCTGTTCTTAAGGTAATTCCGCACTACAAATTTTATTTCTCATGCTGCGGAAATTTGTAATGCAGTCATACGAGTACGATACTTTTGCAATGCATAACCGCAGCTGCTTGCTGCTGTTCCTGGTGATTCTCCGGGGCGTGAGATGCCTATCCTGTGCAAAAGTAGCGTACTAGTACAGTAGTCCACTGCAATCGATTCTTGATCTGAATCTGCATGAGCATGACAAACATCATGCTTCCTAATTGTCGGGCAACTTGTGCTAGTACGATAATTTTTCAATGCGTAAAGCCTCCTCGCTGGCAATGTCGGCGAATTCGTTCACACTGACATGGTCGGTCGCGGCTTTATTGTTGCTGGACGCGGCGGCGGGGCCGGTGCTCCGGGCTGCGTCGGTTTCGACCTTCTCCGACGACACAGCTCCCGGCTGCGTCGTCTCGCGATCCGCGGGGGGGACGACCATGCGTTGATCTTTTGTTATACTCTATTCTTGTGGACCAGCAGATCCAGTATAATTGCCACTAGTGCTAGTCACGTGCGTTGCATGTCAATATGAATGATTGTAGCCAGCTTTATTTGAGTGTTTGCGTTTGCCCAACACTCTGACTTCGCTGTCTTCCGGCCCTTACACAAACCTGGCCTTGTGTCCGTCTCATTTCGCTCCGCAGGCTCTGCTTCAATAGTACGACTTACTCTCGTTTTCACTCACACGTCTCTGCCTTTGCCTTTGGTAACACGCAAACGAAATATCATCTCGCGCTTGTCTGCGCTTTAAAATGAACAAGAATGACGAACAGTGTCGCACTTCTGCATGGATGCGGGCGTTGTCACTGTTAACGCTGATCTCGTCAGTTTTTGCAGGACTAGTAGTTTGGCTGAAGAGTCGGATATAAAAAGAATGGGCTTGCAGCTCGTCTTCGTTTTCTGATGGCGGAAAGGTGTCTTGCTCTGTTTTTCCCCACCGCTTCAGGTCGGCTTTATCGGTCCTTTAGTCACGACGTGGACAGTCACAATTCCAATTGCGGGAAAACGCATCTGATTTCGATTGGCTCTTTCATCGGTTCCTTCCGCCGACGACGTTTCTCGAAAACTTCCGCCGCCACGTCAAGCCAGGTGTGGTCCGCTTTGAGAAAGCCGGACCCGATCTTGTCTTTGTTTATTTTCCCAGATGATGCTGGTTCTTGCGCTTGCTGTGCGCTAGGGGATTTGTTTTTGCCACCGTTGCTGCTGGTGCCATTATTCTCCGCTTCCTCCTCGTCAGGAAGAAGTTTCTCGCGGTTGTTATCTGCTGTTGTGTTTGCCGGAGCGGATGCCATTAACGCGTCTTGTTCACCGCCCTCGATCATATCATCGTCCCGCCTCTCATCCTGACTGGCGTCAACATTGTCATCGGCAGGAACAAATCCCGTTTCATCCTGTAATTCCTCGACCAAAAACTTGACGTTTTCTGGAGCGTACTCTTGGAAGCCGGGAAAAATGTTTTTCCACCATAAATTCTCGCTCTTCTCCCCCGTTATAATGTCCGCAAACCTCGTGCCGTCGACGGCATGCTCCCGAACGATCTTCACCAGCAATTTCAGTTCCTCCAAAAATGTTCTCGCTTCTGCGCCTGTACCAAATTCGAAATCGATCTTTCTTGCAATTCCGCTGTCGGGCATGTTAAGTGCAGGTTGGAAAGTGATGCGCACGGCTTGCTTGTCGTCCTCTGGAGGGACGGCACTGGAATCCGACTCGTTGATAAACATATTCGCATCTGTATGTGCAGGATTAGTGGATAAATCTCCGTGGTCTTGTGCGCTGACATCTTCCCCGGCTACAGCAACTGCCTCGTCGTCGCCGGTGGTTTGCGGCAGAGGCCCGTAAAGAACTACAGCTGCTCCTTCTCGCGCGTGCGAGCTGCTATTTTCACCGTCTTCTTCAACTCCGATTTCTTCGTTCTCCTCGCGTTCGTAGGTCCCAGGCGGCCAGTCGGAAAATTGTAATTCTTGTCCTCGCAGCTCGATCACAATGAAACCGGTATAATAGGTCGCCTCCCGAGCTTCCTCCGTTGACCAAAAAACTGGTATGCTACGGTCTAGCAATCCGAAGTGGTGGCTCAAGCCAAGCTTGACACGCTCGTGAAGATCCACCGACAAACTCGGGATATCGTCCTGCTGGACCCAGCAGTGGTATACTTCGCCTGTATACAGACAAACCCACAATCCCAAGTAAGCTTGCGGAAAAACTTCTGTGTCGCGAAAAGGCATCTCGTGAGGGAATGCGTCCGCCGGCGAGCGGGTGATGCGTTCAACATTATGCGGGTTCGCGAAGCGAAGAAGTGCCGTGTGCCGAAACTGGCGACAATCCCGCTCCTTCTTCAACGCGCTTTGGTCCCAGCAATCCTCGTCCAGGTCCAACAACTGCTCGCGGTACCGGAGACGCCGGGCGAACGTGCCCTCCGGTAGCTGAAACTCCTCCTCCAGCCGCTTCCCAACGTCCGCAACAAACGCTGCCTCGAGCTTGATGGCTTCCTGTCGGAGCACGCTTTCCAGTGTTCGAAGTATTGGCATCGGTTCGGCGAGCAGACAGGGGTGGACCGCGAAATCCCGCACACTAGGACACGGTGCTACGGCCACACTAGACGCCTTTCCTGCGGTAATCTCGTGCTTGCCCATGTTCACCAGGCGAAACGGCAAACAGAGTCCGTCCGCTGCTGCGGCCGCGGTTAAGATATTCTGTCTAGGGTCGTGGACACACGTTCTTAGCAATGTGCCATCGCTGTCGGTTGCAGCGGCGTCCCACTGCCTTGCCATCAGTCTTATCAGCTCCAACCTTCTTTGCCTCTTTTTCACACACCGTAGAACCGCGGCAGCGTACTCGTACTATGCATTGCGAAAAAATCGTACTTCTAGACTAAAGCTGCGCATCTTCACAAATTACTTTATTCGAAGTGCGAGGTAACAAACTCAATCTGGAACTTCGCGGTTGAGTCCTTATCCGCCCGGCCGGCCGGATGACAACTCAACCACTTCTGCAAAAAATACTGAAAGCATTTTTTGAAAAAGAAAAAAGAAAATCCTCGTGAAGTTTCACGCCGGTTAGCAGATCTGTCACACGACATGCTGTGTCACACGACATGCTGCAGCGAAATTAATACGACTAAGTACGGTAGTTTTGCAATGAATACGCACACCCGTTCGGCAGTTTGCAAAAACGGGGCCGCGAAATCGTCATACTCGTCGGCGGACGCGACCACGACCTGCCGATCTCGTCGTTGCACCGATGCTTTTTCTTCGTTACAAGCCAGCCGATTTTGGTGATTGCGGGGCCCCTGCTGCAGCTTCGCTTGATTGTCACTCTCGTCGGGCGGCGTGGTTCCAGAAGATTTACTGCTGGGCGCTTGAAGATGTGTTGTTTTCAACTCCTCTCCCCCGACCGGGCTGGTGCCCGTCAATCCGACCGCAGCGGCGATGTCTTCTATTTCCTTCTGCGTGTCGAATATCAGTTTGGGAGGAATCGAACCTGATGGCAGGATCGAAATCCTGTCTTGGGAACCAAGCAAAACCGCCGGCGGATGCTTGGCTTCCAAGGTCCTCAACAAAGTTTTTTTCCACGTATCATCATGGACCACTTCCAGGTTTGCAGAGCCGAGCTGCTTGAGCAATTCGGCGTATTCGCTGCTGTTCTGCTTCCAACCCAACGCTTTCTCGAGCGCACTGCGCCTCACGCAGAGTGTTTCTTCTTGAACGGTAAAGGAACATGGGTCACTGTGCCGTTCAAGTCCACGGACAGGCTTTGTTGCCGTGGCTGATGTCGGTGGCCCAGTACTTGCTGGACCGGCCACGGCTGGCGGTCCCGTGGAGGATGCGGCCATATTGATTTTAGATGTTTTTCAACATTGAGTCGCTGTTGATACTAAAATTTTTTTGCACTTTTTCTTCGCTGTGTTTTTTACGTTTCATATTGCGATAGTCCACGTATTCTAAGCCCCTCTAGAAGACCCTCCGGAGGTGGCTATGGGCCTATGACGGCAGTGGTCATGTACATGTTTTCGTTTGATCTTCTTCTTCAGATAGACACAGCTGTGTAGCAATTCAGTAGGACGAAATCGCACTTCATCATTTGTCACCACTACGCATCCTCGCCGCAAGCGCGTGAAACTACTGTGGGCGTCAATGAGATCTTTTTTGGCTTCGTCTGTACGGTGCTTTTGTTTGTCGTTGAAGTTGCAGAGCAGCTCATCTCAAGATGGCAAAATGATGTAATAATGTCTTGTAATCATCTTTTTATCTCCACTGCCACGCGAATTCATAGTCGCAAAAGAAGCCTAGAACACCCGGATCCGTTCCTTGCGAGCAGCATTAGTGCCACTTTCTTGCTCCTTCACGAGATATTCTCAGTCTTCATCATCAGTGCTCGAGAACAGAATCCTCCGCCCCAGATCAGTCTATAACTGCGGAAAAACGCACTTAATCTCGATCGGCTCCCTCATAGGCTCCTTCTTTCGCCGCCGCTTTTCAAAGACCGCCGTTGCCACGTCGAGCCAGGTCTGGTCTGCACGAAGGATGCCGGCGTCGTCTTGTGAGCCAGAAACGACTGCGGTGTTGGAAACCGCAGAAGTGCTGATGGCAGTGTCCCCTCCTGCGACGGCAGCAGTTTCTTCGTCGGGGAGCAGCCTCTCCCGTACAAGCCTTCCTGAAACCGCGTCGAGCGACGTTATGCAGTCGATAGCCATCGTCGCCTCGCCACAGGATGAATGCTTTATTTCCTGTTGTTCCAGTGAGTTGTCGTGTTCGTCGGAGGTCGTGCTGACGTCGGGAGAAGCTGGCTCCTGCAGTTCCTCGACCAGAAACTTCACGTTCTCTGGCTTGAACACCCCCGGAGCTGGAAAAACGTGTTTCCACTCGAGGCCTTCGCAGTTGTCTTTGCCCGTGACGATATCTTTCCACGCCGTATCCAGGAAAAAAACTGTGTAAGTGTAACTTTGTAGGTGTAGGAAGAGCAGCATCACAAATTCGTTTTGCATCACACGGAAAACCTCTCATGCGCAGCTAGTACGTGGAAACGCGTATGATAGTAGCCTATGACGCACTTCCAGCATGACAAGTGTAACTGTTTTGCATTTTCTGCATCACAGATTTACACTTGCACAGTTTTTTTCTTGCATACGCTGTCGTCTTGGAGTACTCACGAATGATTTTGTGCACCAGTTTCAATTCGTCGTAGAACTTGATAGCTTCGTCAGCGGTTTTGAAAGCCAGGTCCATCGTTTTCATGTCAGTGTCGTCAAATTCCTCATTATTTGCGAACAGCGTAAAACGCACAATGTGATAGATGTCATCGACGTCATCGAGATCGATCTCATCGTCTTCTTCAGCAGGTGAATGAGACTGCAGGATGCCGTGTTCAACAACCGCCCGCTTGACATCGTCCCAGTCCCAGTCATGGTGGTCGTCGCGGAAACTTGTATGGTCAATCTTGAGTTTATCCACCTAGAGAAACGCTTTTTTATTAATGCAGATACTGCAAGAAAAATGCCTAAAGTATTCGTCCGGCGTGGCCTGCGTGATTCCACTGCAACTTCTGCAATGGCAGATATACAAGTTAGTATAGTATCCAGAGTAATCCAGCGTTTTTCATCGTGGATACAGCTCTATCACCACACAGTAGGTGCCCTCGTATTTCCTCCGAAAAGTCAAAGCCGACGAATCAGTGTCCGCGCAAAACAGAATCGGCACGTCGTCGACCAAAAACGGGAACTCGGTCTCGTCGTTGAGATCGATGACGTTGTCGCGCGACGGGTCCTCTTCCGTCGCCACGAGACTCGTTTTGACAAGGTTGCGCTCCGCGTCGCAAATAATGAAGCACCGCTGCACCGAGCCACGATACGGACACACCCTCAGGCACAGCGACCCTGCTGTAAGGAGCTTCGGAATATCTTCATCTAGTATAGAAAACTCGAGGTCGTCATGCTCACGTTCCCGCACTATCACTGTTGCTCTGTGACGAGAGGAAAAGCGCAGTTCAGGCAAAAATGGTGACTCGGGAAAAAGAAATTCATGCCGCACTATGCTTTGTGCGTCCAACAATCCCCCGGTCCATGCGACACCGTCCACCAACGACGCAGGCCTCACAGGCTCTCGAAACCGGGCTCGCTTGTCAAAATTGTTTGGTGGTAGTTGAAGCTGCCTTTCCAGTTTTTCGACGACACCCACCATGAACGCCGCCTCTGTTGTAGTTGCAAATTGTCGCATCACGCCTTCCAGCGTCTCAAAAACACTGATGAACTCAGCTGTCAGCCGTAGCTTCTGAGCTCGTGAATTCAGTGGTAGACGCCCGGGTGCCGCGACACACAGTGCTGTTCCGTTCGCTATCTCCTGTCCGCCCATTTTCATCAGGCGAAAACTGATTCCCACCCCGCCTGCCCGGGTGACCGCGTCTGAGACGATGTTCGACGCGACGTCGTGTACGAGACATGGCACAATGCTATGCATCTGTTCTGTCATGCTGGTTTCCAAAGACTCGAGTTTTGCTCGGGCGTCAACGATGCCGCCTAAGACCTTCCGTCTCCGCTCATGGCACTGCTCAACCCGTTCCGAAAATTCGCAGGCTTTTCGTGATGTCTCCAAAAGCGGGGCGGCAACCTGCTCGTATTCGTCCTCATGCGCCTCGTGCTTGTTGCTATCCGGTTGCGACTGCTGCTCCACGCGCTGCGGTGCCCCGTTCGCTCGCAAGCCTTGATGCGGCTCTGTTGTGCTGGAAATCGTGGTCTCCGTAACGGAAGATTTGCTTGTTGCGGTTTGATCTTTTGCAGATCCACTTGCGAGCATTGTTGAGTTGCGCGTTGATGCTTGCTCATCGCCCAGCAGCCCGATTTCTCTAGCGGCGTCTCGAAGCTCGCGACTCAGCTCGTCGTGGAGCTTCTCTGCGGAAAGGTCCGGCACGGTGGACAGTGTATCCCCTGGACGGAGAAAGATCACCGCAGGCTGTGTATCAAGATTTGCTTTTTCCCCAGAAGTACTTGCAGGAGAAAAGTCAGCACAGACCGACTCAGCCTTTTCTACGTCCAAGTTTTTCACCAGCTCCTCGTACTGTCTACTCTTTGGTGTCCACCCCAGTGCCTTCTCCAGCGCAGTACGCGTTACGCAGAGGGTCTGCTCCCGAATTTTGACGCAAAGCGGGTCAAGCTGGTGCGGCTGGATGATCGCTTCGGGAGAAGGCTTTGCGGCAGCGGCAGAAGATTGGCTGGGGGCTGCGGCAGCCGCTGGACATGTAGAACTCGTGGACGAGGAGGCCGCCAACATCTTGGGACCAAACAGATTCAACGATGAAATATAAGTTGTGAAGATACGTCTTTATGGTTTTTTCAGCCTGGACTTATCATGCGACTACGAATTTTTTTTTTTGGAACTTCGCGGCACAACAAATTGGAGTTTGGTAGTTTCGGACAGAAGATTACTTAAGGGTTATTATGATCCACGTCAACCATACGACGCAGTGAAATTTCAAGGAGATGAACGGCTGTAACGAAACGGAACGCGTCTGCGTCATCGCGAAAAAATTGACCTGATCTGCTTCCGAAGAAAGAAGAAGAAGAAGAAGATGAAGAACACTGCCTCCGCCTCTGCAAGAATAGACGCAGTGTCGGCGTCTTACGCACAACAACGGGCGCGATCTTTTTTTCACAGAAAAAAATGAGTCCTTGCTGTGATCTGTGTACTACAGAAGCCACTACTTAGTGATGTTTAATTACGTAGGACCAGCTAGAGCAAGCGCTAGCGCTCTTGTGATGTACCACGAGCCACTCAGTCGTTGTTTTCCGCATTCGGAAGCTCAGGAAAGATGCACTGGATCTCGATGGGATCTTTCATGGATCGAAAACACTTTGCCTAGCTAAAACTAGCCTTTGTGCATAGGAGTTTTCGTTCGGTCGAGCAAAGAAGAATTGGTTCAGATATGTTGATTTCGTCATCGATGCACGTTTAGCTTTTTCGTAAAAATATACTAAACAGAGCCGAAAGCATGCAAGAAAAAATTGATTCAGACCACGAGAAAATGAAATTCAAGCGCAGCATTTAATGCCATTCAATTTCAAAAGTCACTAATTCGGGGGAAGATACTCCAAAAATACATATCTCGCGTCGAGAGAAGTACTGTTCGAGAGAAGTACCGCCACTGTCTCTGAAATTGAAGGAGGACAAATGAGAATAACAATATCAGTACGTGCTTATCGTTATCCCATCTACTTCCCATACTAGAGTCAGCCCTTTATTTTTAATTTCCACCTCTATGTATAATTTTTTGTTTTTCCTATATTTTTCAAAACAGTTGCCACCTGGCTGCTGAGGGGTCAGCATACTATATACTTACATATTGATCATCCTGGTCAGCTACACCGGACGGCAGGCGCAAAAAACGGACTCTCAACCGGCACCTAGAGGGTCTATGTTATTGAGGGTGAAGACCAGAGGACCTCGATCATTACCTTTACAGTATCTATAACAATATGCATGTGTACTAGAAGAGAAGTGCTTACTGTTACTTTTTCAAAAAGATAAACCCTGCTAAGTAGTGAGAAAGCTAATGCGAAAGCTAAAGCAAAGCCATGATCAAAAATGAAAAACCATCCGCAAAATAGCAAAAAAATGGCTCCTGCGTACTTATAAAAACAGTTTGCGGTTTTATCTCGCGGCAGTGTCTAGCTATGCATCAGTCACAGTTCCAGTTTCTGGGGCCACCTGAAGATCCGACACCACCTCTACATCTGGCGCCACGACCACAACGCAGTTTATGGCGAACTCGTTAACCATGGCTGCGCCGGCGTCTTGCAGAAAATTCGCCGTGTATTGCTGCAAGATAACCGCTGTCCCGCCCGCGCCCCCGTCTGTAGCGGAAGTTATGTCGAGTACCTGACCCCTGCTGGTACCGTTTTTATTCCGTCGTGTCAGCGGGTCACTAGTACTTCCTGGAGCTGCGGCGCTGAGGAGAGCAGCTTCCACACGGAGTCGCCTATCTTCTTCTTGTGCTTTCCTGGAATTCGCTCCTCTTTGCGGTTTTGCTGTCGTTCGTGCCCCCGTGTCGCCCTTGTTTTTCCGCACGCCTTTCTGCACGACCTGCTGCTTCACTAGCTTTGCGACGATCTTGCGGCTGTCAAGCTGTTCCTCGCTTGCTGTTGGGAGCACCTCCCTTTCAACCCGCGCGATCAGTTTCTCCACCGCTTTTTTACCGCTTTCGTCGAAAAACGTCCCGTCAAAGGCTGATGCCGCTTTGAGCAGGCCGGCGCCGTCCTCGTCTCCGACCAACTCTATCAGCTCTTTCTGCAGCAAACTTGCAGGGACAGTCTATGGATTGCAAAAGTGTCTGGGTCTGGAAGATTGCGAGACCTGTCATGCTAGTCTGGCATGAGTTGAAGAAACTCTGTAGTGCAGGGGAGCGAAGAGGTCCCCTTGTCTGTCATGCAAAAACGCAGTTTATTCTCATGCGGGGTACGCAACGAAGACGAACTCTGAACCACGGAAAAAGAAAAACTTGTCATGCACATGCTGGGGTGAAGCGCACTGCAATGTGCTAAACACTCCCTTCCCTGCGTCACAAGTTTCCACACCCAGACATATTTGCATTTCATACAGTTCTAGTACTTTTGAGGTCTTTCATCCTGGCCAAAATTTTCTTGTATTTCTCGCGCACGAGCATGTTCCTTATGCCGTTTCCGACATCTCCGTTCGCCAGCAGGGCCCCGTGAAGGACAATATTGGGTCGTGGAACTGGCACACCTCGTAAAACCTCCACCGCCTCCCTGCTGAACAACCCACGCGGCATCAGGTTGTCGAGGAGGTACTCGTCCAGAACGGGCACCCGGCTCCCACCCGGCACGCGCAGCCACTGCTCTCGCATCGTCTCAGGGGTGAGCGCCCACGCGCGCTCATCTTCTGCCACTTCGAGAGCCGGGGCGGATTCAGGGGTGCTCATCGGCCCGTAGCGGTAAAAAGGCCCCTTGTCCTCGCGTTGGGTTCTTCTTCTACCTCCGGGGCTGGGGGTCCGACTCTTTTTCCTTGTTTGTAGTTCCGACGGTTTCTTTGCTGCGTTGTTAGTACTTATACTCCGCGACTGCGCGGGAGGAGAGGGCGTACGTGGTCGGTCAGGACCTCTGCCATCATCAAGAACGGCGTGCAACTTGCCCTTGTCCCAGTCTGCCGGCTCCACCCAGGCGCGCTTCTGCTTGAGCCACGTCGTGCGCGAACCCCTCTCTTCGTTCGTTATTGCGTTTGCGAGGGGCGTGCTCAGCGCACTAGGAACCCACGCTAGGCCCCAGGTCGCGGAAAAGCTGGCGTTTTCGTAGACCCCGCCCGGAGTAGACTGCACCGCCGCTTGATGCGTCGTCGGTCTCTTGGGCCAGCCCCTCTCTTCGCCGCCCCACTCTTTCCAGGGCCCTTCCGTGGTGCGCAGATGCGTGCAAAACTCGGCCGCAACTTCGGCACCATTGAAGCGCGCCGTAGGCCTACTCTCTTCACTGGCTGGATCCACTACAGGCCTCAAGTCCCGGACGAAAGGTTGCAAGACACTGTCACCCAGCTATGACAGTGCACAACTCCCCCTCCCCCTCATTTGTTATATTATATCCAAGTGCTGCTTATTTGTGGTACCGTTGGCATGACAGATTGAGATTCTTGAAGCCCAAAAAGAAGTACTTACATTACGCGCATGATGTTGTCATGCGCAGGCTCAATGTGCGCTGGTGGTTTTATTGCTGCTCGTGCAACACAAATGAGGGGGAGGGGGAGCTGTGCTCTCTCATAACAGCAGCGCATATCTATCCGTCGTCTTGCTCTTACTGTCGAGTACTGCGCTATGGTACGACGTAACAGGCATCGCCATCCTGGCCGCACGCTCCCAAATCAGGGTCAAATAGGGGCGCACGAAAGCGTGCTCCCCGTGATGTTCGGAGGGGAGCGAGAAAAACTTTTGCGCCTTTTTTCGGAAGTCTTTGTCAGAAACTGTCACTTTCATGGCGAGCCCTATCTTGGCAGGTTCTAATTTGCCACTAGGATCCGTCGCAATGGTTGGCAAAACCTACATATCAACTGCAAAAATGTCTGGGTCTGGAAGAGTGGCAGAATTGTCATGCAGGTTTTCCATGACCCATGAGGTCTGGTACGTAGGACATACTAGCATGACAAATTCTGTGAGAGTTCTATCATGCCCTTCCTGCATGAGAAACTCCCTCTCGATTAGGTCAAAAGTGGACAGCTTTTGGCCATCACGCAACACAGATTTTATACATGATTCAGATTTAGCATGACAAGTTGCTTTGTTCCAGACCCAGATATTTTTGCATTTGATACTCCATCGCAAACTTCCTTTTGGACTCCTTGGGGAAGAGGCGGAGGCTATCGTGAGGGAAAATGTCCCCTCCCCATATCGTGACGGAGTTTCTGACGCTGGAGTTCCGTACACAAATGCGCGCGGCCTTGCAGCAAGGCATCGCAGCCAGATCCTCAGCCTAGGTAGGGGCGTTCGGGTTTGGGTCTACGTCTAGTTGCTCAGAATTGCAAACGGCTGCCCCCTAGGCCCACCAGCATGCCAAATCGCTTCCATAATGGCCCGGAAGGCTGTGCACTTGTCTTCCTGCAAGACAGACGCGATTTGTGGTCTCAAATCAGCAACACAAATTTTCGGAATCATGCCGTTTCGATATGGGGAGACGGGATTTTTCCTTGTGATAGAAGCTGCGGTCGAGAAAAACTGCCTGCAGCGCGAACAGGGGGAGCGACTTTTCCTCGTTTACTTTCTCCATTAGCCGGTCGGTGGTTCTTTCGCCGCCGAGTTGCACCGCCACGAAAGGAAGTTGCTGCCGTTCGCGCACCGTCGCCCCTGCGCTCGCGAGGCCTTTGGACCCGCCCACGATTCCCAGCACCTGCAGGAAGAGCGCCACCTTCGAAGCGTCGCCAGGTGCGCGTAACGCGAGCAGGAGATAGCGCTCGGGCCCTTTGTCGGTATCGACCACGAGGGGTAGGTGGCCAAAAGCAGCGTTGCGGTGCTGAAACGTGAACAGGAAATCGGTCAACAGCTTTTCAAACCGTTTTTGCTGTTGCTCTGCTTGCTGCTGTTGCTCCACCCGGGCCATTATCAAATGTAAAAATGTCTGGGTCTGGAAGGTTAGAACTTGTCATGCTAAATCTGAATGATGCAAAAATCTGTGTTGCGCGAGTACCAAAAGCTGTCCGCTTTTGACCAAGTTGAGAGGGAGTTTCTCATGCAGGAAAGGCATGATAGAGACCTCAAAAAATCTGTCATGCTGGGTCTCGCATTCCAGACCTCATGGGTCATGGAAAACCTGCATCACAAGTCTTGCATTCTTCCAGACCCAGACATTTTTACATTTGATAGCCATGGCCAGCACCCAGGTGTCGAGCTCGGTTTCGAACAGTTTTTCCATCTTGTCGAGCTTCGAGAGTGCGCGTTTTCTCGTTTCCTTATTCTGCTGCAGCCGCGAGTCCCGTTCCAGCGGGTGGTATCAACTGCAAATATGTCGGGCTCGGCAAATAATTTGTGGTGCTGCTAGTCACGTCGCACCAGTGTTGTAGCTACTCAATACCCGCTTGATGTACGGCATCACAGCATCAGCAGTTTAATATTTCCGAGGCTTGTTGTACTACTTATCGCAAATTCATATGGTAAAACGCAGGACAGATAAAACTCAGTTTCACAACAGAAAAGCAGCGAAAGAAAACCTCGGAAGTGCATCTCAGATCACCATTTTGGTAATTCTTTCAAATCTCGCGTCTTCACAGACGAATGCAGAGGACCACCCAGACGTATTTGCAATGCGTAGGAAAAGTATTTTCTCGACGCGGTGCTCAAACCCATCCGGATCCCATTTCTTGTCCGTCACACCGTGAATTCTGCGTGCGCGGTAGATGAGCGCCAGCGACCGAGGCGGCGGTTTATTATTTTCGTCGGGCTCCAGAACCTCCTGCATGAAGCTCTCAATGTTCGCATCCTGATCCTCTTCCTCATCTGCTTGTGATCCACCACCTCGTCGTTTTTCCCTTTGTGCTGCTTCAACAACATCCCGGCGACCGGAGGTCCAAATCGCCAGCATACGTTTTCCTGCCCGCAGATGCCCCCGCGCGGTTCTATCAAATGTAAAAATGTCTGGGTCTGGAAGCTTGCCAGGTTTGTGATGCATATTTTGGAAGACTCATGATGTCTGTGACGCATGCTCTAGCATGACAGATTTTTCGAGGCCTTTGTGATGCCTTTACCGCATGAGAAATGCCCTCTCCACGTAGCACAAACTGGAGTCCTTTTGCTGGTCATGCAATACAAATTTTTTTAGAATTCAGAGACAGCATTACAAGTTTAGAATCTTCCAGACCCAGACATTTTTACATTTGATAGGTTCGGTACTGTTGCAACAGCTCCCGCAACGGTGCCTCCAAGGTGCTGATGCGCTCCCGCCATCTTTTCTGGGTGTCGCTCACGTGCCTGTGCTGCTCGTTCCCACCTCCGTGCGGGCAGTGGGGGCAGGGTCTTTTGCCTTTGCACGCCGGGAGCTGGCAGCGACACGCGGCCTCATACGTGTGCCGGGTGTCGATGGCGGTCTTCAACTTTACGAGCACGTTCCGGGGGTGGTGAAGTTGCGGTTTATTCTGGAGCTGGTTTTTTCTCGCCATGATTTCCAGCTCTTTTTCTACCGTGCGTTCCAATTTCCGCAAGTCCGCAAGAACTTCATCGGTCACGAACCTTTGCACGCGGCCCGGGGGTACTGGAGCTGCGCTTTTCTCTTCATCCGCAAGAAAAGTCAGTTGCTCCGTCGGATTCGCTTTGTCGAGTACCTGCTTGTGGAACCGCTCGGCAAGATTGGCCACCTCTTGGATCGCGTTCAAGCCGGCGTTGTCGCCTGCCCATTCCGACTGGCTCTGTTCCAATTGGCCGAGCGCGGCTTCTGTCGCCTGTTCCAGCTTTCTCCAAGAATCGGAATTATCGCCACCAGGTATCCTGTGTGAAAACGTCCCCACGTCGCCAGATTTGTCATGCTCATTCAAATTATATGCAAGCCTAACATTGTACTAAATGTTTCCTATCCGCCGCCGCCCCATGAGCAGTGAGAGCGAGCGCGTCGTGCTAAGATCGCGATAAAATCACTGATTCGAGAATTATGCTGCTATCATGACGGAAGTTGAAGCTGACTACACTGCGAGCGTAAAGTTATTGCCATGTTCAACAATTCTGATCTTGACTAGTATACTGGGTAGTTGGTGACGTTGTTACTCAGGATAGTACCGCTGGACGGCTCTTGAAAGTCCCGCTCATGATTCGCAATCAAGGTGCCTGCTCTAGAGCCACTACGACTTCTTCTCTTTCCACGACCACCTGAAGCAGAAGTCTCTCGAAGATCAAAATACCCAGCCGCTCGCAACGCCTCTTTGTTTTCCCGTTTCGCTCGCTGGTATTGCTCCGCCAGCTCGTCGCAGGTCTGGTTTGCGGCGGTCGCAACTGGACCACGTGGTCCTGGGTACGATGGTGACGCAGCGACAAGCACTCCAATCGGAGGAGCAATTGCGAGACCAAGGAGGAGGAAGAGAGCCTGGTTATGACAGAACATGTGCTTCAGTATCAGTAGAGCCGCGGGTCGGCAGCTGGTGCATAAACGTTTCGTCATCTTCTTCGTGTGGATTAGGATTTGTTAATATCGGCGAAAGAAATAAATTGGTTGATATGACGTCAGCTGCACAAGAACGGTGATCTTCACAACAAAATGCGTACTTGCTTTTAATTCTTCGTTCTGGTACGGCGTCGAGATGAAATCTTTCTTTTTGCAAAATAAAACTATGTTGTAATTACGGTCTGCGGTTTTTTCGTCCTCCTCCAAAACAAACTCAAGCACAAGTGCGACGTTGAAAAGAAGGAAATGGATAGAACGGTATAGGGCAATTATATTTCAATGAAGTACTATTTTTGCACGCGTCGCCGGAAATAAAACGCGTCTACGGGCGAGTACGATGTACTACTACTCACTGCTAACGCTAATTATCTTTGTCAGTCTAATCCACTCCAAACTACAGAGCTGGATGGAAATTCTTCCCGAGTAAAAAGCTATGCTGTGCTGTCCTGTAAGACTGAGAATGAGAACAAGTAGGGCGTAATAGTTTCTTTATTTATGTAAAGCAACCTCTCTTGCTACCTCGTCTCTTGCTACAGGCATTTGTGTGAAGCAAGATTTTTTCAACTTGATTTGTTTTCACGAAAAATCGTAAAAATCCCTAATCAGTACTAGCCCCTTAGGCGCCGGCGTCCAGGACGCCGGCTGGGGCTAGTAGTTCTGTTTTAACTTTAAGCGCCCAGGCCTCACTCTCTTCGGCGCAGCTAGCGTGCCGGCGCCCAGGACGCCGGCACGGAGTCCTCCTTTTTTCGCGCGCCCAAAAACCACCAATAGCCTAGAGCCGCCAGCCGCGCGCCCACCTCAGTGCCTAGAGCTGGGCCCTAGAAGCGGCGGCCACTAGCTCTTGGTCCTCACGCTTTCGCCCGTGCAATTCAAAATGATGGCCACTGGTAGTAGCCAGCACCCCTCGCCATCACCTCTGGCCATCACTTTGCCAGCGCGAAAAAGTCACGGCAAAAAGTGGCGCGCGACCAGAAGCTATTGGCCATGCATCCATCGCGCCTCAGGCCGGGCAAGGTGGTCGGAGGTGGTCGCCCGCCCCAGGCCGGGCAAGGTGGTCGTCCTTTGCCATCACTTTTTGGTCGGCCAAAAGTGATGGCCAAAAGTAGTCCCCTGGCCATCACGTTTGGCCATCACTTTCTGGTCGGCCAAAAGTGATGGCCAAGAGCCCCTTGGCCATCACATTTGGCCATCGCTTTCTGGTCTGCCAAAAGTGATGGTCAAGACGTCTTTGGCCATCACATTTTTCTGGCCATCACTTTCTGGTCGGCCAAAAGTGATGGCCAGGACGTCCCTGGCCATCACTTTTTCGCCGGCCAAGAGTGATGGCCAAAAGTCCCTTGGCCATCACATTCGGCCATCGCTTTCTGGTCGGCCAAAAGTGATGGCCAAGACGTCCGCGGCCATCACTTTTGCCCATCACTTTTTCTTTCTGGTCGGCCAAAAGTGATGGCCAAGACGTCCCAGGCCCTCACTTTTCGCCATCACTTTTTGGTCGGCCAGAAGTGATGGAATCCCTTGGCCATCACATTTGGCCATCGCTTTCTGGTCGGCCAAAAGTGATGGCCATGAGCAAGACGTCCGTGGCCATCACATTTGGCCATCACTTTCTCTCTTAAGGAGCTCTCTTAGGGAGCTCTCTTAAGAGGTACCGCCTAAGCAATTTTCTTTAGAATTCATTTTCTAAGAGCCTCCTATAGATTATAAATTAAACGCACAGCTTGACTCATTTCTGAATAGTTATTATTATTGTAGGACCGACACTTCTTCACATCGCGGACGAGAGGGAGAGGGAGGATCTTTAATACATTTCGATCTGTAACGCAATTTTCGTCGCGTCGGCAGTTCTCTTGACCTCAAACTTTGCAACCGACGAGTGAAGTTTTGGCACTGGATCAACTTCGCAAGATGTTATTGTTAATCTTCTGGTTCTTACAGAAAAATACCGACAGGGACAGAGTCGTTTCTTTTGATCTTTTGCAGCTTTGAGTTTCATTCATGATGACCGCACCACGACCCGGAGCAGTCTGATTTATACTGTATTGGAATTTTCATCTCTTCCAGATTTTAAGTATTTGCTCACAACGAAAATTGGAGACACGATTAGACTGTTGAGTCACCAACTTCCGGATAAACCAAGCATCACCTTTCGACCATATCATTTTGGTGTGTGTTTCTCCTTCTGTCTTCCAAAAAGAAAAACATTTTCTAGTCTCCAACGATGCACATTAAATCTTCTTCACAGCATCACAAAAATGAGTTTCATTTCCAGTAGTTCTAGCTGCCCCCAGATTATTGCAATAGATGACATCTACTGCAATAGCGACCGTTGTATTGTCACATATTACAACTTTCTAGTTCTACCACACTTGCTTATAAGATTCGTGAAGATTTTGATTTTCCCATCCGTTTTCATCATTGCCGACGCTACTGTTTCACCTACAACCTGCCCTCGTCAAAGCCGGCGCAAGAGGAGGTGCAACTACACATCAAGCGGCGATTTTTAGGTCGTGACCTCGTGCATTATACGCTCGCAATCCCTCCTCACATCACAGGAGCTTCTTTCGATGGTTGTTGATACACTTCTGCAAACGCAAATTCTACGCGCTCTTTGGATTTCTCCCGCACGAGACGCTTCCAGTCGGTAAAGGACCGATCTTTTGATGTTGCCGGAAGTGGTTTTTGTGTTGTGTTTGCTACGACGTGTTTCTCGTTCTCACTGGAAGCCGAAGCATCCTCGTCCCTACTTGCATCATGTACTGCTTGTTCTTCATGACCCGTAATTGTTGTACTGCTGTTCTGTAGTGTCGCAGTCGTAGAAGCTGTCTCGTCCCCCAATTTCTGCAACAATTCTTCTTTCAAAGCTAGCATGTACCTCACGTCACTCGCACTGTAAAGTAGTAGCAACGGGTGCAGTGGGCGACTTTCGAATCTTCTAAAGTTGCCGCCGAATTTTGGCTATGCATTCCAAAAGCATCGCGCTCTTACAAATTGCAGTCCTGCACGACAAATGTCTCCTCCAAGCACAAGCTGAATCAGCAATACAAATACAAATTTTTTTCTCGCCAAAATTTGTGAAGATGGAAATCATACGAGTACGATACTTTTCCAATGCGTATTGGCTCGAAGAGTTTTTTCGCTTCGGAGTCGAGCCACTGCAGAAAATCTATCAAATGCAAAAATGTCTGGGTCTGGAAGAGTCCACCGATCTTGTCATGCTAAATCTAAAGCATGCAAAAATCAGTGTTGCATGATTACCATAAGTCGTCCAGTTTTGACCAAGTCGCGAGGGAGTTTCTGATGCAGGATAGGCATGAGACAGATCGCACAGAATCTGTCATGCTAGGTCCTGCATTCCAGACCTCATGGGTCATGGAAAAGCTGCATGACAAGTCGCGCATTCTTCCAGACCCAGACATTTTTGCAGTTCATAAACTCGGCCTCAGGACAAGTAGAACTGCTGGCGGGTTTATTTTCGGTTGGTCTTGTTGACCGCCTTCTTTCCTCGTGCTGCTCCTTCTTGCTGGGAAATAGTAGACCATACTGCAAGCTGTCCTCTACTTCGGCCGCGGTCGCGGGCGTGTGGGCCGGAATTGGTGTAGGTACTGGAACAACTCCAGCCGCATTGTTGGCGGTAGCACCTGCGTCAAATGATTGACAGCTACGGCTAGACGAGTACTAACAAAAGCTTTGATCATGAAGCTGGAGACATTCTACTTGTAGGTTTCTCGTACCTACCGCAGAAAAAACTTATAATTTTTTGACACCTCCTTCGCCACGGCCGTTCTGCACCGAGCCGGGTTCTTGCGCGGAGCTCGTGACATTTGTTCTTTCGGGTGCGCTACTCGCATTTGAGGACCAAGCAGGGGAACCTTTTGTGCAGTTTTTTTTTTCCTTTTTGCACGCAACACCAGGAATGTGGAAAAGGAAAGCTACTAGAGTAGAGAAGCACATATAACAGACCGACGTAGATCGGCCACAACATGACAAAGGATTACTACAGAAAACACGTTGGTACGCATTAAACATCTAAAAACGCTGCGTACTATTGCAAATCGGTCGACAGAATGTAAACCTAAACCAGTACTGAAACCACTATACCGAGGGTTTTCCCGTCGATTCCCCGACCATATAATCGAGGTTCCTCGTCCGCTTGGCTGGAGGACAAAATCGAAGCGGGCGACGCGGCATCTGCTACTGCTGTTGCTGTGGTTGATCCACGTTGACAATCATACCCCTTGAATATGGTACCACAACCAGTCGTGTTCTTGTCCTTCTCTGCGGCTTGTTGCGCGTCGCCGCCCTGCGAAGATGTAGTCCCGGCGGTCGTCGCCAACATGGCGGAAGTTTTTAACTCTGCTTCAGCAAATTCTGCGGACCAAGCTCCTGTCGGCAAAGACGAGCCTCCGTCACCTGCCCTCTGCGTCCGCTGCATAAGAACGGCGGCATTGTCGGTCTGCTCTTTGTTCTCGCCTCCCAGGCGCTGGCTATTTTCAACATCTCGGCGCTTCAGCACCGTCTCCCCCAAAACTTTCGCTAACCCCTTCAGCCACTTGACTTCCAAGCCCCTCGCCCGTCGCGTGGCGATCTCCAGGATCTGCAGGTCCATATCAAGTGCAAATATGTCTGGGTCTGGAAGAGCGCATCTTTGTCGTGCTTGTCTGGCATGACTCTTCAATCTGTCATGCACGTTACCCAAGAGCCCCATTTTTCTGTCATGCATCGTATCGTATCGTTTCGTTTGTCATGCAGAAACGCAGTTTGTCATGCAGAATAGGCAACACCTTAGAAGCTCAGAAACTTGTCATGCTGAGCCAGCACTTGTGGCCTCCTCATGATACGCCGCCCAGCATCACAAGTTTCCCGACCCAGACATATTCGCAATGCATAATCCAACACGTTTGCCAATTTCACCCGGAACTGGTGGTAAATGGCGTCGCTGTCGTATCACACAGAAAAAAGCTGGCAGGGCATATTTGTAATGCAAAAATAAATACACAAAACCTGTATTGCATATCTGAAACAGCATGCTATGGGGCCACCCATGACAAAATTTTTATTTTGTGTGTATTTATTTTTGCATTACAAATATGCCCTGCCAGCTTTTTTCTCTGGGATATGTCGTTACGGCAGTCGAAGAAAATCTTCTCGATTCTTTCGCACTCGAAAAGCCTCTTCAGCGTCCATGCTGGCTGCGAGGAGTGGCCGGTTTCTTGTTGTGGACGAGAAGTGGAACTACGGCAGGTAGTACTTCTATGCGTTGATTTTATTGTTTCCATGAAGTTGATATAAAAATCGCAGACCTCGTGGTCCTTGCTAGTACCGTGGGTAGTTGCGTTAAGAGGTCCTGTCTGTCCGTCCACCTCCGCCTCCGGTTTATTTCCAGCCGGTGGAAGAGGAAAATTCACGTTGTTCCTACCCTCTGAAAGGACCTCCGCGCCGCTGGTGGGGGGTGAAGATGATGATGATGCTGCTGCTTCATTTGCTGCAGAAGTATAAACAGTTCGTGGAGATGAGGAGAGTACGACTGCCGGGTTCTTTGACGTCGTGCGACACATCAACGCCGGGACAGCAGATGGTTCACTTCTAAGTGGACGAGCCTCTTCTTGTTGATGTGCAGAAGGAGCAGCCTCAGAAGAAGGAGCGGGAGCTGCTCCTGCGACGGATGATCCTCTGTGCTGACATGATGATGCTGAACATGATCTTGATCGACTGTTTACTAAGTCCGCGAGCGTACTGACGTCAAAGACGAATACCGTATCAGGCTTCGTATTCAGCAAAATTTGCAAGAGGCAAATCTTTCCCCACCGGTTCAGCCGAACTCCCTCCAGGTCGACGCAGATCGTGGTGAGAAGATCACGGGGGTTGTTCTCGTCGTCCTCAGCTCCTACTTCTGTGTTGCTAAGTTCGGCAGGACCACCAGATCTAGGTGGGGGATTACGACGTGTATTTTTCCTTGTTTGTTCTTGCAACCGAACCCGCTGCTCGTGTTCGTCCCTGCGCTCCATTTCCTGCGCGACTAGGTTCAGGAAGTCCACTAATTGCGCAATCGTATGGATAAAGACGATCTCGAAGCTTTTCAAATTCTCTTTCTCATCTTTCGTCTTTTCACGATCTTTATTTGTCCGCAGTATCTCTTCTTCGTCTTCGCAGATGGAAGATTTGCTTGAAGTCCTCTGCGCTATCGCTTTTGTCACGCGGCCGCTCATAATAGGCTGCAACAGTAGCAGGCAGGCCTTCGGGTTCGTTTCTGCACTGGGAGAAGTTCTATTTCCAGTTCCGTTCCACCATCGGGACGACGCAGACGCGTCCCAATTGTAGTTTCGCTGGTTGTAATCTTGTTTATGTGGCCAATCATTATTGGTAGCGATGTCGTGGTTTTGGTCATGATGATCCCTGTAGTTATTTTCAGACCACCAGGAGGACGAGGACCAGGCGCCCTGCTGGTGTTTTTCTACTTCTTGTCCCGTGGCCAGTTCATTCTTGTTCTGATAAGATGGCCAGTTCAACATCTTCTTGTTGTGAATGTAATTCCAGGCCTTCTTCCAATCGCACTGCTGCTGCTGCTGGGGCGCTAGAATTGCCTGTTGACCACTGCGATGATCCCACATGACCCTGCCACGTGAAACAAAATCAGAACCGTGGAAGAATCTTTTCGCCGGAGACAGCACACCGTACCCGTAGTCGCGATGATTGTAATTCCTCGTGCTCCCATGGTAATTCTTATCCCCAAGACGATGGAAAATAGTTGTACTGTCAAGCGCACTGTAGTCGATTCGAACCGTGGCTATCGGCCCTAGCAGGTCGTCCCAGCAACAAATCGCGGTGGCTGAAGAACTAACGTTGTTTATTACGCAAGAACCCCCAGACCCGCCCTCGGCCCCCGAGCAGAGGGAAAGCAGGTTACCCACGATCACTTCCGCGGCGGCCTGCAGTTGGAAAACCAGAGCGGAAATCGCATCCACTGTCATATTCCTCTCTGCCTCATCCAAATCCCGAATCACGCTATCAGCCTGGTTCGCCATCCTGCCCCACTGGCACCACTGCCGCTGCCGCTGCAGCGCGTTTGTCGTTTCCGACGGAAATGCTTTTCGCAGTTTTTGAGTCAGCTCTTTCCGCATCGCGCGAACGGTGGTCTGTGCTGGGAAAAGGTCGGCGGGCGAGGGCAGTTTTTGGATGTGGTTGTTGTGCTGGTCCAGGGTGGCGGGAGGCCCTACCTTGTCTTCTGTCCTCTTGTTTAGTACGGTAGGCCCCAGCACGACCGCAGATGAGGAGGATGATGGAACGGTGCAGATTGACGAGTTTTTGCATTGACTGCCCACGACCTGAGTCCTCGCCGCGGACTCCTCGGCGTGGAAGACAAAACTGAGCAGTCTGTCAAGGTGAGAATCGAGTTTATTGTGTATCAGCTGCTCCTTTTCTGGTTCTTCGTAGAAACTTGTGCCCAAAAAAGCGGTACGACCGCGAAAATCGCCTTCTGCTGTTCGACATTCATCTCGTCCACAGTGAGTTGTCATATTTTTTCCACCTTCGCCGCTGTCCCCGCTCCTGGTACACAGCGCTTGCAGTAAACGGTTTCGACAGAATTGTGTCCAACTCTCCACGGGCTGATGCTGCAGATGTTGAAGACCTTTCCCGGGCGACGTATAAGACAGTGCAGGAGGACGAAGATCATCATCTGCTGCTCCTGGGGCCGCGGACCAGCACGACGACGGAGCCAATGTCCTCAAACTGGACGTCGACTTAGAAGTACAGAACTGCCCCACCATCTGCGCATCAACCCTTTTTGCCAGAAACGCGAGCCACTTTGCGATCTGGAACCACTGTCGGAAGCTTTCCTCCTGCTTCTCGAGGATTTCCATCCTCTTGGCCTCGCTTTTGTCGGAACAATTGTCGGATGATTTTTCGTCATACAGGTTTCTGGCTTTATCAACATCCTCAGAGAGAAAGTCGACGTCGGCGATGAATGCAGAATAGAAGTCTGGTGCTTCGTTATTCTCAGTACCCTGTTGCCGTTCCGCTTCCCCACCACGTGAGCATAAAAACGCGATGTGCCGGACAGTCTCCAGCAGGCTGGTAGGGCGCTGCAAATCTAGCTGAGCATCATGTTTTTTGTACTTTTTCTCCCTCTTCATCTTGTTCAGCGGTTGAAAATAAATTTCGTCCGCCATCTGGCGGAAATGTTCGACAAAATTAGCAGGACTGTACGTTGTATTCGGACTTGAATCCACATCCTCGCAATGATCACTGCCTTCGTAATCATGTTGATGCGCGGCCGCCCGTTCGTGTTCTCGATGCGCCAGCCGGACGTGCTTCTCGAAGGTCGCTTGGTACTGCGCCTTTCGATTCGCCCGCTCCTGTAGTTCCCCAGCCTGCTTTTCGGCGAGCGCCTTCCGCTCCGCCCGTTGCCGCTTCAACTCCAGTCGCCTTTGCTTATTTTCTTCCTCCTGTTCTTTTATCTGGCAGCTTTTCGTCCTCTGTTGAGTTGGCGGTGGTGGTGCCGGTCCTCGGCTACCTTGCGTTTGGTTTATTTGGAGAGCCGGGCGTGCAAAAAGTCTATTCGCCGGTGCTCCGAAGCTACCGGCCGCTCTAGCAGCATTTCCCTCCATTTTTTTGTTGAAGTTACTGTTCCTGTGATCGTCCCCGCCACCTGCCCCGCCGACGGCACCAGCATCAGGAAAAAAGCGATCGTAGCTTGTTTCGCCCACTAGCTTATTTTTTCCGTGCGCCAGCTCAATGTGCCTTAAAGAAGCTTGGAAGTCCTCGTGGTGTTGTTTTTTTCTGTCTTCAGATTTAACATTGGTTCTTTTCAACTCCTCTTCACGCACTTCCTGTTTCCTTCGCTGCGCTTCCTCGAAAGTGGGTGCGGGAAGATGAGCAGCTCGTTGCGTACTTGTTGTTTCATCTCGCGGTGGTTCCCCTTGTTTCGATGTGCAGCTCGGAGCAGCTGCTGCCAGAGTTCTTGTTTCGATTGTCTTTTTCTGAAGATCCGGATCTGGTGCTGTGGGCTCTTCTTCATTTTTTACCCGTAGTATCGCCGGATGAGAACCCAATATCTCGTGGTTTTTGTTCCGCGAAGCGTCCTCTGCGCTGTCCTGTCGGAGGAGTTGGTGCTTCGACGATGCAGAAGTCTCAGCGAGAGCGGCATCGTCTGGCTCTGGGGCTCCAACGACGTGATTTGCTTTTGCTAGTTCTAGAAGCGCACTTGTTTTATTTTCCTGTTCGGCGCGAGAAGTACGAGTTGCTTCTGGTGCTACACCAGCAACAGTCGGTGGCCTACTACACGGCCAGTTTTTGTGCCTGGCCCGGGCAGAGGACGTGTCCGATACATTTTTGTGATCTCCATCTCGTCTCTCGGAGGGGCCGGAAGACCGTGAAGATGAAGCCTCATCAGCATCAAACCCCTTGCTGTTTGCATATCTTGTTCTGCTTAGGGGTACACTTATGGGGGTCTCCTCTGCTAAAAATACCGCTGCCCGGTCGAGACCGCGAGTCCACTTTTCTTCTTCCGTCGAAAAGGAGGTGTCAGAATCGAATAATAGCGGTTTTATTTTGCGTCCACCTTCGTGGTTCTTCTCGTGGTCGTCCTCGGTGTTTATTTTGCTTTTGTTCATCCGGGGCTTGATTGTGGCATTACCTTTGTTTTTGGCTCGTTTCATCCCGAAACAAGGAGTTCCTGCACCGTCGGACATAATTCTACTACTCGGCTGCAAGAACGGACACTTTTTAGCAGGAGAGCGAGGACGATCAGATCTGCTGGTACTCTCGCTTTCCTCATCCGGATCACTTTCAGGAGACAGCGAGACATCGCTCGTTTCTTCCCCGTAACAACGAAAGTTTGGTATTTCCTCTCCCCCGCTTTCACTTCCCGAGCTGGGAGACTGCAAGGTTCGCTTGTTCAATCCCGTCTTTAGGTTTTTCGCCGCACGCACGGAGCTGCCGGGGGTGGAAGAGCAGGTAAAGCCGAACAAGTTCTTACCGTGCGCCCTCTTATTTCCACCCTCGCGCAGGTTGTTTTCCAGGACGAAGCACGACAGGTTGCGCTCCAGCAGGGGATGCGCAGGGCTGGTTTTTCTTATTCTTTGTCCCCTTTCTGTCTCCGTGCTTTCGTCATTATGGTTTAATATTCCGGCGTCAAGAAGTGTTTTATTTTCCTTGAAATTGTCAAAGCCCGACATTATTTTTGCTTTTCCTTTTGCAGCAACTCTACTATATTTCCCGGGATTTTTCACGCCGGAGTTGCTCAGCTTCTCTTGTTTCTGCGCAGCTTTGAAAGTGCTCGAGCTCGTTCCCGGACCTGCATAATTGGGCAAATATTTTCTCGGGTTGTCGTCGTCTTCGTGACCAGCACCAGCCTGTTTTCGCATCTTCTGTTGCTCTCTTGCAAGAACTTTTTCATCTACTGCTTGGCGCTGTTCTTTGTTCGATTTCTTTCTCGTCCGCCGGTAGTTCCAATCCTTAAACTCTCTGTGCAGCTTCTCCCGCAACTGGTCGATCAGCACGAGCCGTTGCTGTTCGTGTTCCTCCTCTCTTTGTTGTTGTTTCTGGGCGGCGTTCTTATTTAATGTCGTGGTGGAATTCCCTATCTGCTTTTGTTCAGCCTGCAACCCGACGTGGTCCCCAGGGCCGTACCGCACCGACTTCCGGCGTTCGAGTTCACACAGGTTTGTAGGGCTGGTGGGTTTTCCCGTCGCGGGCGAGGGAGCCTCGTGTACTTTCTGCTTCTCGTAGGTAGTTTTCATCTCACCAGCACCTGTACTAGTTTTCTCCCCCACCAGTGACCGCAACGCCGCCTCTCGCAGCCGCTCCCCCGCAGCGATGGCAGCGTTGTCGCGAGGTTGCGTCCATAAGGTCGAAGAGGAAGAAGACACAACTGCAGGGCGGGTAGCTCCACGTTGACCATATTCATTTTGAACGAGAACGGCCGCCGTGTCCTGGTAGACGAAATCCGGAGATGATGTTGTTCTGGCGACCTCCGCGTTGTAGTTGCAAGAACTAGTATACTCGTCCTGATTCAAGAACCCCTTCTCGGGGATTGGTGAGAGGGGAGGCTGCAGTCGCAGGATTTCGTCTTGTTGCATCAAAGATTCATCATGGTCCTGGTGAGTAGAAAATACCATCTCATCATCTCCATCTGGTCGTCCTCGAGTGTCTTCAACACCGGCGAAACCCTCGCGGCCGAAGCCACGTAAGGCAAGTCTGCTCGTCGGCCGTGCACCACGGCCTGCAGCGTCGTTCTGTGCATCGAACTGTGCCAAGGCGGCGGCTGTGAGCGGTTGCTGGTGATAACTCGCAGCTTCCACGGAGCTACAACCTGTGCTGGTGTTTTGAAAAACTGTAGTTGCAGCATCGTCGTGCTCGCTTTTCAACATCTTGCCCGGTGCTTCTTGTACCAGTTCGTGCTTTACAACTACGCGCTTTCTCCTCGGTCCCAAGGAGCTGTAGCTTTCTGGCTCGCTCGTGTCATCTGGCTCGTCGCTCACTCCCGCAGGGTCGGGTTGCGCAGCTGCAGGTCTAGTACTTTGCAGCTCGAGATGTTGAGCAGATGAACTCTGCCTATTTCTGTTCCGCTTCGCCTTTTTCCTAGCCTCCTCACGGTCCTCGATTTCCTTTCGCACAACCGTATACGTTGCAAACATGTCTGGGTCTGGAAACTTGTGATGCTGAAGTGTGAATGATGGAAACAGTCCCGAATTAGCAATCCAGCATGACAACTTTCCAGCACGCTTTCTCATAGGCAATCCGCATGGGAAACTGCGTTTCATCTGTATGTACAAAAGAGGCTGCGCCTTGTGTTGGTTATGCAATACAGACTTTCTAGGTATGGAAAGCAAGCATCACAAGTTGCATCCTTCCAGACCCATACATATTTGCAATGCATAAACCGCCTGCTCTTCGTATTCCTCCCAGAGCTTGAGCCAACGTCGTTCAAAATCGGAGAACCCAAACCGCTTCAAAGTGTTTTCGACGATTGCATAATTCGAGTTTTTAATCTTCTCTGGCTCTTTGTCAACATTATCATTCTGGAGAAGAACTTCTTCTTCTCGTGCCGCAACTTCTGCACTCGTCAGCCCCCGGTGCTTGTACTTGTCTAGCATTTGCTGGCCGACCGGCTCGGGAATTTTTTCGCGCCGAAAGCACGAAAAGTACTTCCTCCTCCGGTGCGCAGCGCTAGCTGGAAAGTTGTAGAAAAAAGGCGGAATGAGAATGTCTTTTCTAGACCTACTTCGAGCAGGATTTTCGACGTTGCTTGCCTCCGTTTGGTAATTTTCAGTCAGCAAAAACGTGATCTCCTGCACCCTTGGTCCGCATTCGGCCAGGGGACAGTCGATTGGCCCGCGCTTTGTGTACTGCTTGTGGGATAGGAGGTAAACCGGGATAAACAGCTCCGACATGCGTTGGGAGAGCCTCGCACCTATCCTGTGTAAAAAAATCCCAGTTCCACTTCTGAATGAAAATAGGCAAGCAAAAAACTTTTCTCATGCGCAGAGGTCCCTCCGCCATGAGGACGAGGAGTAATTTTGAATTCTATCTGGAAGCTGGTTGTGCTCAACCTAGAATCAGGATAAGCGACGAGTCGATTTGTTTTTATGTTGTGGCACTACTACTTCTAGCTAAAAACGCGTACTACACTGCGAGCCCAAACTTGTCATGCGAAGCGACCAAATAAAGTTGTTGATTTGTGTTGCGAAAAAGTTCATTCCATCTTGAAAACTCAGGGTTCGTGGGCCTCGTTTTTACACAGAAATAGCGTCGCGCAGTTCTTCCTCCAGAAGCAGGTCTTCTTCGTCTTGAAAAGTAGAACTGGTTTGAAGCTGCACCAAACGAGCAGCAGTCCTCGGGTGCCAATTATTGACCTCCAGATCGAGTAACGCGTTCGCCCTGTCCAAAATCTTCAACTCAGCCTCGCGGATCTCCGACTTGGTGAGGCGCAAAACAGAGCCGATTTTCGCCGCTTCTTGTTGTTCCGAATCATCTTCGACAAAGTGCTCCCGCACAACCCGCTCCCGCTTCGCCCGCAACTCCTCGCTAGCCGTCGGCTCCAAAACGCCCAGCTGGGCGATGACGTTTAAGATTTTCACCGTCCTCCGCCGGGACGAATGGTTTATTTCGGTTTGTTCCTCGTCTGGGGCGTTGTCGGGGGCTGCTTGTTCTGCAGTTGAGGTGTATTTCTCCGGACAGGCCGGGCCGATTGCGGCTTCGCGTGTGTCGAAACATAATTGTGCTGATTTGTATAATTCCAATTCGGTTGTAGCAGAATTCTGACCCACGACACCCGCAGGTCGGAGACCATCTAGAAGAACTCCTGTCGACGGCTCCTGGGCGCAGCTGGCATCCGGCTCAACATCTTTGCAAGGCACAGGGGCCAACATTCTCTTCCCCACAGAACAACTGTTTTCTTCTTCCGTAATTGTAATTTGCAGCAGCTCCGCTGCATCACACGCAACCGGAATGGGGTTGAGTGTCATCAGCCGGCGTTGCCGCTTGCCAGCTTCCAACTCGTCGACACAAGAGACGTATAACAGCGCACAACTCCCTCTCCCTCTCATTTGTGATGCAAAATCCCCAATCCATTTGCTGCCTTGTGGCGCTGTTTGCATGTCGAATCTTCCGGGAAGGCCAAACAGAAGTACTTACACTCGGCCCGTGAATTTGTCATGCACAGCCTTCACGTGTGTTGGTATTTGTATTGCTGCTCATGCCATGCAAATGAGGGGGAAGTGGAATTGTGCACTCGCATAAGACGTTCATCAAATTCACGCCGATGTGTTCCCGTTCGTCAAATGCGGGGTGCCATATCCTTTGCAAAAGTATCGCACTCGTAGTAATTGCAAATATGCATTACAAATCCTTCTCCTAAGGTAAAACAGCATTACAAATTTCATTTTTCATGCAGCTGAGGGAATTTGCCATGCGATTTCTACTAGTACGATACTTTTGCAGCTCATATACCACAGGGTGCCTTGAAACGGCTCGTGAAAGGTTTCGAAGGCGATTTCGTGCGCGTCCAAGCAAATCTTGTCCACCTGCAGCTCGTCCCAGGGAACGAACTTGCTTTTCTCCGCCGCGGCTCGTTCGTACGCGGCGTATTTCCCGCGAAACGGGCCCTGAAACGGAAAGTGCCAGATAGTATTGCGGGCAAGGAACTCTGGTCTGGACTTTATCGAATTTTCCACGTGGAGCGCTGCGTCGTCACTTCTTTTTTCCGTCGACGTCGTCGCGGTCGGTGTTGCATGTTGCAAAACCTTTCCCGCAGAAAAAGCTTTAGTATGCTCGGAGCCAGAGCTCGATTCGTTTTTGATCGACGCAGGAAGAAAAGCCGGCACAACTGTTTCCGCTGCAATATCTTTACGAGCATCCTGCAGCCCGTTTGGTGCCACAGTTGTCGTCGTCCTGGGGCGGGCAGGAGCTACAGCCTTGCTCAGGCCAACATCCACGGCGGCCGTAGAGGACTTTACGACATCCACTCCTGGGCCCGTCGTAGTATCGATGGTGGCTTGCAGTTTCTCCTCTCGTGCTGCTGGTGCCTTGTCTTCTATGTCGTATAGTCCTTCCAAGGTACTGGCATGCGAAAGTGCAACATGTCCTTGACCTCCACGCCCGCACATGTTGTCTTCTCGTGTGCAGGTGGTACGCACTGGGGGTCCTGGTACTCCTTCTACGGTGTTTTTCACACTCGGTACACGGCGTTCCACATGGGTTAGTACTTCTTCACTACGTTTTGATATTTTCGGACGGAGCTCGAGCGCAGGGGAAGATGGGGCTCTAACTCTATCGTCCCTGCTTTCGTCTACACCACGACCTACTGGCGCGGTAGAAAGCTCCAACGACCCACTTTCCTCCTTTACTTTCCGAGGAGAAATGCAAATATTATCGTCTCCTGGTGATCCTCTTCCCTCATCTTTGCGACGGTGGTGCCGCGGCCCCGACGGGTTCTTGCCCTGTTGGGTGCTCTCCGTGCGTGGTAAGAACCGTTCCTCACGCTCAGGAAGCAGGTTCCGATGCTTGGTCTCGCGATGAAATGGCCTTTCCAGGTCGTCGTCTGGCGCAGCTGCGGGTAGTGATCTCTTTGCGGAAGTAGAGGATGAAAATCCTTTATTCAGCCTTGACGACGCCTGGTGAACCAGCACTCCGCGCGCAGTGGTTCTCGTCCTTTGCCGGCATTTCTTTGTGCCAGGAAGCAGATCCTCGCTAGCCGTGCTAGAGAAGGACATAGACGAGGAAGACGTTGACAATGAAGGGCTATAATCTTCTGGATGATCAACACGACCCCGCTGCGGAAAAACTCCTCCTCGCGATTTGAGTTTAGAAGATCCTCCGTTCTTCTCCTTCCCCCGGCGGCAACCCCGCTCGTCTTCACTGGAGGAGGCGAGGAGCGGTGGGTGGCGAACTACAGGTGGGTGGTGTGCCTGTCCACCTGCACCTTTTTCTCTCGTCCCGCTACTGCAGCTCCACCGCATGTTATTTGTACTTGGCATGTATACCAAAGACCGCGGACGCGATTTTATCTGTTCCTCCGACGAGGAAGAATTAGAGGACCCCTCTGACGATGAAGCACGACGACCCCGTGCTGGTGGGCCCCTGCGTAAAGGAAGTAAATCCGGTCTTGCACTGTGTCTCTGGCGTAGTAGCTCGTCGCGTTGCACTCGTCCTTGTCTTGAGGGTGCAGTAGTTTGCTCCATCGGGAGCAGTGCCGTAGATTTATTTCTCGTCGTTGTACTGGCCATAGTGGACGACTGTTTTATCGTCAACTTCGATCTTGTAGTCTTGGTGGTACAATTTCGTTCTTGATGTCTGTAAGGCGCATCCTCTGAGGAATCTGATATCGGGTTGTATTCAACTTCACGTCCGCCCTGGACACACGCTGGTCGATAATGATTGGCACGCTCGCCTTTGGAACTACTGCTTCCAGGTCGGCAAAGGCGCTCCCCCGGTATGTGTAGCTCTTTGCGACTGCGGCGTTCGTGAGGGATTTGCTTCCGTGTGCAGGAATTTCTACTTCTTGCGGGCGATAGGCCGCGCTTGTTGCGGTCCGTAATACTGGAAGAGGACGGCATACTCGCGGTTCCGTAATATAAATGTATGATGGTGTCGTCAGATTTGCTGTACAGAGATGAGAAGACGCAGCTTCAGTACAATCTTCCGGCAAACGCCATGATTTGTAGTTAGGGCTGGAACTTATTCCCAACTTCTTTTTCTTCACACAGAACAAGTCGAAAACAAACTGTAGTTTCTACTTACGTCCTTCCACAGGCTCAAGTAGTTCTGAACGTATCCTTAGCGTTAGCCTGGGTTCATTTACAAACTTCTCTCCACACGATATTTCACTTGTAGCTAAAAGTTTTTTTTTTCCTGTTTCATCACAAATAATGTGCACAGTTCATGTACAAACATACACGTAGATGTACTACACAGTTCCAATATAGACGAAGACGTCTTCGTTCTGTAGGCAGGAAAAAACCCAACGGAAAATAACGCGTCCACCAGATGGAATCCAAAAATGTAGTAAAATCCCATCGTTCATAGATTGTTGTACATCGTTGCGGCGCCTTCGTTCAAGATTGTTGTACACTTCCTGTGTGAAGAAGCAGCTCTTTGGATCCTCCTCCGGGAACGTAGACCAAAAACTCTTTGAAAACAAGATCGTTGCTGCTATTGTGTCAACGGGAGGAGAAAAGCGTACCATTCGATTGGTCCCCGTAACAAAAAAAAAAATCGAACGTATACTTCAAGAAACACAAGCGGCCGCATAGCCGCCAGCACGGCTGCATCAAGAACTTTATCGAGAACTTTGGGTGTCATGATCTACCGGCACCAGCCTAGCTGCGCCTAATGCTGCACGCGACGCGGATTTTTCCGGTTGATTTTGAATACCGTCAGTTCTTTTCTCGTCCGCTGCACTCACTGTGTTCAACATAATTCCTCCTCCAGAAAAAAACTGGAGCAACCACTTGAAACTCGCAAGAAAAATCGCGGTTTGCGGCACCCACAAGGCGCACCGCAGCGTCGCGCCCCGGAACAGCGCCGGGAGGCTATGAGAGTGCACAACCCTGCCTCCCCCTCATTTGTCATGCAAAATACCAAACTCACCCTCTGCCTCTTGATCCTGTTTGCATGACAAGTTCTAGCAGCCCAAATAGGACTACACTCCTGCCCAAATTTGTCATCCAACTTTGTATTTGTGCTGATGGTTCTTGTATTGCTGTTCATGCAATACAAATGAGGGGGAGTGGGAGTTGTGCACTCTCATAGAAGCCTTCGGTCTTGGCGATGGTGAAGAGCGCGTGGGTATCAGCTGTAAAAATGTCTGTGTCTGGAAAAATTCATGTTTGTCATGCTTGTCTGGCATGACGCTTAAATCTGTCATGCACGTTACCCAAAACTCCGTTTTTCTGTGATGCAAAAGCGCAGTTTGTCATGCAGAATAGGCAACACCTGGGAGCTCAGAAACAAACTTGTCATGCTGAGTCAGCATTTGTGCGTCATCATGAGACGCCACCCAGCATCACAAGTTCCCAGACCCAGACATTCTTGCATTTGATAGTGGGGGAGGTGTCGGTAGTTGAAAAGTTTGGTCGAGGAAGGTGTTCTATCAAATGTAAAAGTGTCTGGGTCTGGAAGAATGCAACTTGTCATGCTAAATCTGAAGCATGCAAAAATCTGTGTTGCATGATTACCAAAAGTCGTCCAGTTTTGACCAAGTCGGGAGGAAGTTTGTCATGCAGGATAGGCATGAGAGGGATCGCACAGAATCTGTCACGCTAGGTCCTGCATTCCAGACCTCATGGGTCATGGAAAAGCTGCATAACAAATCGCGCATTCTTCCAGACCCAGACATTTTTGCATTTGATATGTTCCGGTCGTAGCAGAGCGCCGCGCCGCACCTGCTTTATTTCCAGCTTGTTCTCGAGCACCAGAAGTAAATCTTTTTGCTTGTTCGACGGTGGAGGTCGAAGACTCAACTTGCAAATTCGCTGCCGTCGCCCGGTCCACCTGCATCCTGAGTTTCGCCAAATCCAGGGGCGTGGTGACAAAGCACGCAATGCTGCCGGAAACGCAGGCGCAGGCAAAGGTCAGGAACGCTGGTTTGGAGACTGGAGGAGGAGGAGGAGTTCCTGTTGCTCTAGACGGAGAATTTGTAGTAGCACGACCACCTTCACCTGTTGCACTTAATGCAGCTTCCCTCGCCGTTGAGGCCGCCTTCTCTTCTTTTGTCTTCCGCGTACTAGTCGTCGATCTACTTCTGTGGTACACCTCCAGCGCCTTTTCCTCCAGCTGTTCGTACAGTGCCAGGTTGATGTATAACAGTACACAACCCCCCCTCCCCCTCATTTGTATAGCATGAACGGCAATACAAGCATCAGCAAGAATGCCGGTTTTGCATAATACATTTGCACTGGGTTATAGTGCTAATGGGGCTACCAGAACTTGTCGTGCAAACAGTGCCAAGAGGCAAAGGGTGAGTTGGGTATTTTGCATGACAAATGAGGAGAAGGGGGAGTTGTGCACTGTCATATGATGGCCGTCTGCGGCCCAAACGCCGCCAGCGTCGCACCGTACGCCCGGTACAAGCCCCGGACGCCCTCGGTCTGGAGGATTTTCCGCACCGCGTCGCAGGCATTGTTGTAGTAGAAGGTTTTATTCTTGTGTGGTCTCTCTGCAGGCAGCATCGTACTTTGCCGCAACTTCTCCACCTCCCGGAGTGACTGCTGGACCTGCAGTCGCTCTTTCACCACGTCGACCGGCCGCTATGAGAGTGCACAGGAACAAGAACCGCTCCGCGTCCACCTCAACATACCAAATGTGAACTATGGCCCAGTCCGCTCTTTTGGATTCTTACGAAAGCGATACAGTTCGCACACACAAACTTCAGAAGCTGTCCGAACGGCAGTACTGTTGGGCAAGACGCTTCTCATCCACAGGCCAAATGTTCGCTGGAGGTGCTTACTTATACTATTTCTGACCATGCCTCGCTTGCTTCAAATGTTGGGGGGTAATGGGAGTTGTTCCTGTGCATCCTCATCATAGACACCACAAAATGCAGGAAATCGCCTCCGCCCCGAGCCCGGCGAGGAAGTCGCGCGTGATTTGCTGGGACCGGCATGAAGTTGTTGAAGTGGCTCCTGTACTGGAAGTTGATGAAAATAAGGCATTCTCGTAGTTCAAGGGACTCCTTGGATCGGTTCTCAGCATCTCGTACGTGGTCATGTACAAAGCGCCCGCGGGTAAACTACCCAAAACCGCGACGAAAAAGCCCTCGTACAGATTGCCCTTGGAAAAATGGGCCCGCCAGCTCGGCTTCGCCGTGTCGTGGTTCTTGTTGTTCTGCTGCAGTAGTACGTCGACCTGCATGCGCGCCTTCAGCGTGTCCAGCGGGTGCGTCGCCATCTTGCCCAAGCACGCGGCCGCAGAGCTGGCGAGGACCGTGTGGGCGAGAGACGGCTGGCGTGGGGCGGGAGTGGGAGGTGCGGCCGTACTGGCATCCGTAGGTGGTGGTCCTCGTGCGGGGGTGTCAGAGCTACTACTTCCCGTCATCTGTGGCGCAGAAGCCGGTGCTGAGATGCTCTTTTACATGCGAGAAGCACCGAAGAAGAAGAAGAAGCCGAGGGGGACGCGGCTGGTGGGGCGTTGTGTCTATGCTCCGTTCTCTCGCAAGTTCACGCACTGGTCACCAGAAAACGTAGTGGTTAATTTTGGGAGAGTGCTTTCTTACTACTAAGAACGCGTACACAAGCACAACTGGTGAGAGAGATGGTGGTGGAAGCTACTAGCCAACTTTGTCTCACAAGTACACAGTGACAACCACGTGCTTCACAACCGCACATACCGCAGATGCGACCGCGAGCTGGAACACAGACAAATACCTGGTCGGCGAGTACTTCCCACTGTGAAAAGGAAAACGAAGGACAAGCCTTTTGTGACTTCGCTTCCGCAGTGTAGTTGCACCTCAGAGCCGCGCCGGGGACGCGCGGACCCCCCCCGCGCCACGTCTACGCCCCCCCTGCGCTTCTTTGCGCGCGGGGCCGTCAGTAAACGAAGGAGGCGGGAGGGCGGAGACAACAAACACAACGCCACGGGCGAATAACCTGGCCCCTTGCAGGAGGCCGCGCCCGGGCCGGCGGGGCGCAGGCAACACACGAGCCGGCGGGCCCACCGCGGCACCGGCGCACAGGGCGCCAGGAGCGCGGCGCGTTTGCGCCGGCTGGCCAGCCGCCGCGAGCGGGGGGACATGCGTAGCGGCCCGCGCTGGTGTGAATGGCGAAGGCCCGCCCGCCACCCGGCGGGCCCTCCTGCTGCTGCGCCCCGGCTGGCACTTCTTTCGATGGCCGGCTATTTCCTTCCATGACGATGTGCCCGAGGCGGCCGCCCGCGGCTCCGGTGCGTGGTCTCCTTTCAAAGCCTGCCCCCCTTGCCGATGAGGCGGCCGGCTTCTGGCATGGCTTCGGCGCGCAGCACCTGGACCACTGTCGCGTCGTTGCCTCTCACGGAGGTCTTGCCCAGGCCGCAATCCGTAGCGATCATCTTGCGCAATCCGTAGCGAGCTGTGCTTCCTCTCCGGCAACGGGTAGAACGGCTACCCGGCGGAATCCCCAGCCGCGCCATCCTATACTGGCTTTCAATTGCAATTTGCTATACTCGGCACGAAGGGGAACGTGGTAGAAAACATATTCTTTGCAGAGTAGCTCTCAAAACAAGATACTGGCTGCGGTCTTTCGTCTGTCTCCCAAGTCTCAGGTCAGTGCTACCACTCCAAAACCCTCTCCTGCCCTCCAGAAAGCACTAAACACTACTTTCTCTCAGTCCCAGACCAAGTAGATGCGACGGGAAACTCAAGTAGCTGAACCTCGTGGGCCTATAAAAGGCCACACGGCGCGATTGCAAACTGACGTGTGGTGCCAGAAGTAAGTAGACCAACGTCAAAAAGAAGGGACAAGTAAGTATCCCAGCCAGCCTATCGCGGACTGAGTATTGCTCAGTTGACTTGCTTATTCGCGTCTTACGACCGTACTGGTGCTTTCTACAAGGCCTGCAAATTATTCAGGGGTGCAGCATTCACTTCGATTTTTTACTTCATTCTGGAGGCATTTGACCTGGATATATCAATTTCCAGCTCCGCTGCCGCTTTGCCGTTGATCACTGTTTTTTCGGTGCTTTAGGCGCGCGGCTGCATGCAGTGGATGGTAATGGGATCCTCCTCCGATTCGTTGTTCTGCCGCCGGTACTCTTGCACTGCTCGTAAAACATCAACCCAGGTATCTGCTTCGCGCAGGAAGCGGCGCTCTGCTGTGGGGGCAGCTACGGAAGCTTCTACAGACAACTGCATTTCCTCTTCTGCTTCTCCCCACACGTCGCTTTCTTCGTGCGACGGCGTTGGCAAACCGCTGCTACAACTGGGACCGCTGACACACTTGTTCGCCTCCGCACTGGTTTTTCCGATTTTGCCTTGGGCCGCACGGGTTGGCGCTGAATCCTTTTCCTTGGACACCCCTTCCACATAAAACATGAGGTCCTTGAGAAAACTCCTCTTCGAATACCTTGATGGTGCATGAGGTCCTTGATGGTGTAGCGCCGCATACAAGGGAAATTCGCTTCGCAGTTCCAGCAGCGCTTGGCCACGCTTCGTGGTGCAAAACTGGACGATGTTGCAGAACAGACGGAGGTCCTGGATAAATTTGTCCGCCTCCTCCCGCGTTTCGACAAAGAAACTTCTCGGCCGCCTTGTTTCCAGGTGTTTTCCATTCGAAAAGCGAATCGCCCACATCGGTCCAGCCACGCCCATCTCCTCTTCTTCAAGCTGTATGTTCACGACGTTCTCGTCCAGGGCTGGAACCCAGTTGTCGTCTGGCCACGAGATCTGTACCGCCGCGTCCAAAAAGCCGAAGCAGGCCAGATCAAAATCGCGGTCCCTGCGCGAGAGCGGGGTGGTGCGGGCGTAACACGGCTCACGGAGCGTCCCGGAAAGCATATCAACGGCAAAACCGATCAAGCAGCCGCTCCAACGTTCATCCTCGGCCACTGTTCGCGGATCCGGACCAATCGCAAGGTATGCCGGCTGCCGTCTTTGCTCTTCCAAGTCTCGTAGTGTCTCGATATTGTTGGCGGTCCACAAGCACTTCCCCTCGTGGGTCAGCATCCGGTCCGGGTCGGTGGCGATCTTCACGATCTGCTCCTCAAGTACCTGGGTCTCCAGAAAGAGAGTATTAGGCGGTAGCCCGCAGTCCGCTTCCAGTCTCTTCGGCAATGCGAGTGCGAAATTGGCTCCGGCCAAGTCGCACTCTCGGCTCAGTGCGCTGCGCAAAGTATCCAACACTCGAAACTCCCGCAAACAGCCCACCGACGATGGGTATCCGTAGACTTCGTTCTGGTCGTATCGGCCTGTGGGAATTGTAAACACCGACTTTATGATGATGTCCTCCCGAAACTTAAGAACACATAGATGTCGATCAGAAAACCCAAGGTGCCTACATCTACAACTTTGAAGAACGAGCAGACAACTATTCGTATTGATTTCTTAGCGACACTTCTTTCACGGACCACGAAAGTAATGAAGCACATTAAGACAAACCACACTCTCGTGAAGATTCACATAAAAAACGTAGAAATACTATATCGCAGCGGCATGGCAACAATCAGCGAGCGCGCGTTCACCAGCACCTGACCACCGAGGCCGAAAAGGAGAAACTCCACCGCCGGGCCGAGGTTTCCCGGTCGCAGATTGCAGTCTTCGACGCCTTTGGGAATGCACATTGGGAAGCCACCAGACCATCGCTGAATTGCATCGTCCATAATGTCTGCACCCTCGTCGTACAGTTCCTGCAGTAACAAGTCGACCCGATCGGCGTCGAGCTGAAAACTATCCGAAATGCGCTTCATCGTTTGTGCGAATTTTTTCCAGGCGGTATCCTTATCAAATGGAAAAGTGTCTGGGTCTGGAAGAATGCGCGAATTGTCACGCAGCTTTTCCATGATCCATGAGGTCTGGAATGCAGGACCTAGCATGACAGATTCTGTGCGATCTTTCTCATGCCTATCCTGTATGAGCAACTGCCTCCCGACTTGGTCAAAACTGGACGACTTTTGGTAATCATGCAACACAGATTTTTGTATGCTTCAGATTTAGCATGACAAGTTGCATTCTTCCAGACCCAGGCATTTTTACATTTGATAATCCTGCTTTACCGAAGAGACTTTTTCTCCCAATTGGTCCTGGAACGTGAGAAGCTTTTCCGCACGGTGGAGTTGGACCGCCGTCGACCCGAGCGCGCTCGAGCGGAGGTGATTCGGCCAATGAATTTTCGCCATGCGCTCCTCGAAACGGCGTTCCCAAATGTTGTTGTTGAACTGGAAGAGCGGCTTGCGTTTCTTTTTGCTGCCGTTCCCCGCGTCCGCGTCCCCTTGCTGGCTGGAACATGACCCGCCCTCCTCGGCCTTCGCCAGTTGTTTTTCGTAGTCCGCGTCGAACTTCGGCAGCTCCGGAACCGAAAAATTCGCCTTCCGCGCTTCCTCGCGTTTTTCGCAGACAATGGCTGCGGAATCTACCCCCACGGCCGCCGCGACCTCGAGCGCCATGGCCTTCGGGCAGTATTTTGTGCGGGGCTCGCGCGGGATGACCACCAGCTCGTCCCCCTCGCACAGCGCGATCACGGGCTGTGAGGGGACGCAGTCGGCCTTGCCGGGTGTAGCCGTTTTGATCACCTTCTGTGCCGCCTCGGATACCTTTCCGATGAGTTTTGCGAAATCCGGTCCCCCCGGCTCCCAGTTCATGGCCGCTTCCAGTGCGGACCGAGACAAGAACGCTCCCTCCTCGTGTAGACGGAACTTCTGGGGGACTGTCAACATCTTGATGTCCTTGCTTTCGCCCGGGCCGGAAATGGAAGATCCGCCCTCTGCGTCCGACATCTGAATTTGGTACTTACTCCTGCTGAGGCTTTGCAAAGAGAAGTGCTGGCGACACGACAACTAGAGTGTTCTAACGATGGCTGCTTGCGTCGCTACTTGATCTCGGCCACCACTTCCCGCAATCAGGTTTGAGTCACAGTAGCAATTGTGAAATGCCAAAAATTCTTCGGAAGTGCAAAAAGATAAGTCTATTCTCCTATGCATCTATCGCACGTGTTGTTTTCACACGTTTTGCTTTTACCAGCGATGAAGGTTCCTGTTTTCGATGAGAGTTTCGAGCGTCGGTTTGAAGACTGCGGCCAATTTGCAAGACACAATCTAGTTTGGGGTGCGGGAACGCTTTCTAGGTAAAAGACCACAACAAAAACGACCGAGGACGAACATGGACCCTGTACCCAACTCGACCTTCTTCCTCTCTTTTCACTCGCACACAGCACCACGACAGAAACGACAAGAACTTTTGGCCCGCGACAAAAAAAGATGCGCCGTTCTGAGGCAACACGCTTGCGGCACCATTGAAACTGAAAGCGACCAATTGATTTCCTATTTGTATGAAACAATCGCACATTCTCAGGCTGCATTCTGTCGAATCGTGTTGCGTTCGAAACAATCGTAACAAGGAACCCTAGTTCAAAAAAAAATCTCGAAGGAACATCCAGAAAGGGGGTGAGGCAGTACAGCAGTAGATCTTTCTTATTTGAAGCAAACAGTCTTCAGCTTCACTAATTTAAAGTTCCGCCTCATTTGCATTTCATTTCGACTTCCTAGTCCTACCAAGCCCGGGTCGAATAAACAAATCCATGAAATTGTTTTTCTCTCAACTACCAAGAAATAGGCTATTATATATTGACAGTGTGCTCTGCGGAAACCGAGTGTCCATTTTTTGCTATTTTCCCATCATCTCCCGAAGCCGAAAAGGGGGAGCGATGCTCCGGACGAAAGCCAAAATTTTGTATTTTCCCATCATAAAAAATCCAGCGCCCCGCCCTGGAACGCACTTTGCGTTTTGACCTATTTTCCCATCATGTCGGCAACCCCGGACCCAAGCCAAAAAGTTGCTTTTTCCCATCATAAAAAATCCAGCGTCCCGCCCTGGAACGCGCTTTGCGTTTTGACCTATTTTCCCATCATCCCCCGAAGCCGAAAAAGGGGAGCGCTGATCAGGACGAAAGCCAAAATTTTGTATTTTCCCATCATAAAAACTCCAGCGTCCCGCCCTGGAACGCACTTCGCGTTTTGACGTATTTTCCCATCATGTCGGAAACCCTGGACCCGAGCCAAAAAGTTGCTTTTTCCCATCATAAAAAATCCAGCGTCCCGCCCTGGAACGCGCTTTGCGTTTTGACCTATTTTCCCATCATCCCCCGAAGCCGAAAAAGGGGAGCGCTGATCAGGACGAAAGCCAAAATTTTGTATTTTCCCATCATAAAAACTCCAGCGTCCCGCCCTGGAACGCACTTCGCGTTTTGACGTATTTTCCCATCATGTCGGAAACCCTGGACCCGAGCCAAAAAGTTGCTTTTTCCCATCATAAAAAATCCAGCGTCCCGCCCTGGAACGCGCTTTGCGTTTTGACCTATTTTCCCATCATCCCCCGAAGCCGAAAAAGGGGAGCGCTGATCAGGACGAAAGCCAAAATTTTGTATTTTCCCATCATAAAAACTCCAGCGTCCCGCCCTGGAACGCACTTCGCGTTTTGACGTATTTTCCCATCATGTCGGAAACCCTGGACCCGAGCCAAAAAGTTGCTTTTTCCCATCATAAAAAATCCAGCGTCCCGCCCTGGAACGCGCTTTGCGTTTTGACCTATTTTCCCATCATCCCCCGAAGCCGAAAAAGGGGAGCGCTGATCAGGACGAAAGCCAAAATTTTGTATTTTCCCATCATAAAAACTCCAGCGTCCCGCCCTGGAACGCACTTCGCGTTTTGACGTATTTTCCCATCATGTCGGAAACCCTGGACCCGAGCCAAAAAGTTGCTTTTTCCCATCATAAAAAATCCAGCGTCCCGCCCTGGAACGCGCTTTGCGTTTTGACCTATTTTCCCATCATCCCCCGAAGCCGAAAAAGGGGAGCGCTGATCAGGACGAAAGCCAAAATTTTGTATTTTCCCATCATAAAAACTCCAGCGTCCCGCCCTGGAACGCACTTCGCGTTTTGACGTATTTTCCCATCATGTCGGAAACCCTGGACCCGAGCCAAAAAGTTGCTTTTTCCCATCATAAAAAATCCAGCGTCCCGCCCTGGAACGCGCTTTGCGTTTTGACCTATTTTCCCATCATCCCCCGAAGCCGAAAAAGGGGAGCGCTGATCAGGACGAAAGCCAAAATTTTGTATTTTCCCATCATAAAAACTCCAGCGTCCCGCCCTGGAACGCACTTCGCGTTTTGACGTATTTTCCCATCATGTCGGAAACCCTGGACCCGAGCCAAAAAGTTGCTTTTTCCCATCATAAAAAATCCAGCGTCCCGCCCTGGAACGCGCTTTGCGTTTTGACCTATTTTCCCATCATCCCCCGAAGCCGAAAAAGGGGAGCGCTGATCAGGACGAAAGCCAAAATTTTGTATTTTCCCATCATAAAAACTCCAGCGTCCCGCCCTGGAACGCACTTCGCGTTTTGACGTATTTTCCCATCATGTCGGAAACCCTGGACCCGAGCCAAAAAGTTGCTTTTTCCCATCATAAAAAATCCAGCGTCCCGCCCTGGAACGCGCTTTGCGTTTTGACCTATTTTCCCATCATCCCCCGAAGCCGAAAAAGGGGAGCGCTGATCAGGACGAAAGCCAAAATTTTGTATTTTCCCATCAGAAAAACTCCAGCGCCCCGCCCTGGAACGCACTTCGCGTTTTGACGTATTTTCCCATCATGTCGGAAACCCTGGACCCGAGCCAAAAAGGTGCTTTTTCCCATCATAAAAAATCCAGCGTCCCGCCCTGGAACGCGCTTTGCATTTTGACCTATTTTCCCATCATCCCCAGAAGCCGAAAAAGGGGAGCGCTGATCAGGACGATAGCCAAAATTTTGTATTTTCCCATCATAAAAACTCCAGCGTCCCGCCCTGGAACGCACTTCGCGTTTTGACCTATTTTCCCATCATGTCGGAAACCTTGGACCCGGGCCAAAAAGTTGCTTTTTCCCAGCATAAAAAATCCAGCGTCCCGCCCTGGAACGCGCTTTGCGTTTTGACCTATTTTCCCATCATCCAATGAAGCCGAAAAAGGGGAGCGCTGATCACGACGGAAGCCGAACTTGTGTAATTTCCCATCATAAAAACTCCAGCGTCCCCTCGTGGAACGCACCTCGCGTCTTGACCTATTTTCCCATCATGTCGACCCCGGACCAAAGCCAAAAAGTCCAAGTACCTTTTTTCCATACCACGTGGTGCGGGAGGTGCACCACAGGAAATGAGGGCGTAGTGACAGCCTACAGTGACGCACATCAACTCACAACATCAGTAATTAATGCAGCAGATTGATGCCAGTAACAGCATGCGTTTATTTTCCAAAAAGATCGTGGGGCTTCCTTTCCATATTGAATTTTTCTGACGTCAAAATCGAATACGTCCCTTGGGTACTTCAGATGGTCAAGACACACCACTCAAAATGAAAAGCAAAGAAACCGGAGATGCTAGTTTTACTGTAAAAAACCCGAGAACGCACTGAAATATTGATTTACAAACTTCGCATCCCGAGGCGATCATCGCCTACCCGGGGTGGCCGACATTGAAGAGATCAAAAAGAAGATTGAAAGAGCATCCGCGGTCACAAAAGGATGAACCTCTCTTCCTGACAGGATCCAAGTAGAGAATGTCCTCTTGTGTATGGTTTTTACGACCAGACAGTGTTCATCAACTGCAACGACGTTCTGTCGACAATAAAGTTGAACTCATAAAAAGAGGACGCCACCAAGACTTGCAGCATGGACAGCACACATGAGGCAATATGGACCGATGAAAGTCATGCAGTATGGTTGGATACTATGCACATGCACTCGACATCACGATCACGATCACGAACACAAGAAAAACGAACTCTATCGGGTGCGATCAGCACAAGCAAAGCACGAGCACGGCGGCGCCAGCTCTTGCTTCTCCCCCGGGGGGCTCATTTATTCCTCGACCAAGGCTCTAAAATCACACTCAAAGTCACGGGAGGAATTGCCACGAGTCTGTGCGTGTGGACGACCCCCACAGCGCCGCAGCTCTTTTGCGTCCTTTGTCACTGTGTATTCAGCGCTACAAACTCGGACAAAGGAACACAATGGCGCGAACATTCTACGCATAAAACCCCTTATCAAGTGTAAAAATGTCTGGGTCTGGAAGAAGGCACGATTTGTCATGCTGCTTTTCCATGGCCCATGAGGTCTGGAATGTCGGACCTAGCATGACAGATCCTGCGAGATCTTTCTTATGCCTATCCTGCATGAGCAACTACCTCCCGACTTGGTCAAAATTGGGCGACTTTTGGTAATCATGCAACACAGATTTTTGCATGCTGCAGATTTAGCATGACAAGTAGCAATCTTCCAGACCCAGACACTTTTACATTTGATACCCCTTCGGCTTGTACCATTTGCTTTTCTTGGCGTCGACCTTCTCCTTCGCGGGCGTTTTGTTCTTGGCCGTACGGGGTGGGACCGGTTTTTTCTCCTCCGAGGAATCACCCTGCGCCTCCCAGTAGTCATCCTCCTCCGCCTCCAGTTCCTCCTCCAGCTCACGCTTCTTCCTCTCGGCGATGAGCTGCTGGGCCTTCTTCTTCCAGTAAACCGTATTCAGCGCGAGCATCTCGTCAGCCGACCATTTTTTCATGACCATCTTCTTCTTCATGGCCATCTTCTTCATGCTTGCCATCTTGTTTTCCTTCGGCATGATGACGAAGTGTATTCCTTAATCGAGGTGGAGAAAAAACGCGGTGCCCTGCCTTGTTGGTGAAAGATTTGGAATGGCGCAGCAATTTACTACCTTCGTGACGTGAGGATTGGAAGCAGTTCTAACTTCTATGTGTATCTCGATATCGACGAAACTCGAAAAAATACCGACCAAGAATTACCGCGCTCGATAGTGCCACACTCTCCTCACGCTTCGAGGCGAACATCCTGAACTCGATCGATACTATGGCTATCTTCTCGTGGCTGCTGCAGTACTGCCTGTGGCACTGGCACAAACGACGACTCTTTTCCCTCAGGAAAAACCAGGATACAAAAAAAGAACGACGTGCGTTTCGCGAATTAATATCACTGCAAGTCACAAGAGCTACAGTAGAGGACAAAAAGAACCGCACGAAAAGAATGACAGGGGTCCTCTAGCTCCTCGAAACCTGCGCGTTTTCATAGCTGTTGCTTTTTGCGCTGGAGGTTGGAAGTTGAGTTTAATCATGCTTTCTCCAAATACTTATCTCGCCAACCTTCGACTCTCTTTTTACGATATTTCATCAGAGTTATCCGAGGCCTTTGATTTTTCAATAACATGGAAGTGGAACATCGTCCCCCCGGCAAACGCCGGAATAAACAACAACTCTCAAAAATATTCAAATCAGCTCATCTGCGGTCGCGAGAAGATGGAGTTCCTTTGATTGGGGAGGTTCGTCTAAGTTTCAGCTCAAGTGCTTGATGTGATTCCTTTTTATGAATGTCGCGCCCGGAGGGCGATATTGGTAACCAAATGCGTGCGCGAAAATCTAACCAGCGCGAAAGCCTAACCAGCCGCGCGGCGAAAGCGCGGTTGCCACCACCATTTCTTTTTAATTAGAGTCCCACTTTTTTTAATTAGAATCCCACTGCTATCCCGGGTCATCGGAGGCTTCCGGATTCGCATTCAAAGCTTATCGCAGGAGCCTGCGGGCCGCCGCGGGCTCCACCACTTCCCCGCGGCCCTAAAGGGCCGCGGACAACTACTGTCGCCCGCGGCGGCCCGCAGGCTCCTGCGATAAGCATTGAATGCGAAATCCGGTCTGCTAGCTCGCAGCGGGGCATCCTTTCTAGCCCCCTGCATGACAAACTGGCCCCCGGGCCCGGGAGGTATGTGGAAGGCCGAAAACCCGCAAACCCTTCCGGGCCACCAAAATCGGCCATTTCAGACCCGGGGAAGATGCCGAATTTCTGCTCAAAACCCAGGGCAAATGGGGATTTTGTGACATACCCCCGCCCGCTTCTAGTGCGGTTTTTTTTTCCCAATCGCGATGGTACGGCGCAAGCGCGCGCCCGCCGGACCGCCCTTGGTGGCCAGTTTCTAAGCCTGCCGGGGGTTCTCGATTTCTTTTAATTTTCGCGTTTCTTTCTGGTTTCTAAGTGGCCCCAGCGACCTGCACATTTTTACCGCCCGCATCTGACGGGCAGTTTTGAAGCCTGCGGAGGGATTGCGCTTTTGCGCAATTTTTCATCTTTTTTCATTTTCCAAGTGGCCCGGGCGATCTGCACATTTTCACCGCCCCCACCTGGGTGGCAGTTTTGAAGCCTGCGGGGGGATTGCGCTTTTGCGCAATTTTTCATCTTTTTTCATTTTTCAAGTGGCCCGGGCGATCTGCACAAAATCCGACGATTGCTTCCGCCCACGTTATGAAGCAATTTTTTGCCATTTTTTTCCAATTTTTTCCAGTTACGAAGCGGCCCAAGGCTTCCGGACAGGTCGCGGGCCTGCTTCTCCAACGCAGCTGGCCACCGGGCGGAGCAAAAAATAGTCCGTCTCTTTTTCAGATATCAAGTGGGCCAAACCGCAAAAGTGCGCTTTTTTCACCTTCTCCCGCTTGGTTTCTGCCGTTTTTGCGACATTTTTGACCTCCTGGCCATTTTCCCATCTGGTCCGCTTTTTTTCCCTTCTCCCGCTTCATTTCTGGCCATTTCCCTGACCTTCACGCCTCCCGGCGGTTGCCCTATATGGTAACGGCAACTGCCTTCGCGCTGCGTTTGCTAAGCAATATCGCAAGCGCGCAGAGCGCGCGCGCCGGCTTCGTGGGCCGGCGCGCGCTCTGCGCGCGCGCGCGCACGCATTTGGTTACCAGATTACTGAACAACAACAAGAACAAATCAAATACAAATAATTATACTTACTTTTACAAGCCGTACGCAAAAATCTGTCGTATGGGGAGGCTGCCTGGCTTCATGGGGGAAAGCCAATTCTACTTTCTGTCTTTGTCGCAAGCTTCACCAGAAACAAATCTATTGTCGGGTGTGAAATTATTTTGAGAAGAACAAACCTCGCTGAAAGTTCGCTGTCGGTCAGATGTGTGGCTGGTTCGGAGGTGAGTTGAAGTTGTTGCAGAAGGACGCGATTTTTCATTCAAAAGACGAACATTAGACGTATGCAGTCGGCGAGGACGCTTGCAGCTGTAAGGAAGTATTGATAGACCACCCAAATTTCCTGGACGAAATATAGTGTCTAGTAGTGTAGTTCTTTGATTTATTTGCTCAAGCCTTTTTCATCTTCATCTTGCCTTTCTCTGCGACGCCAGCTGCCGGCTGCTCCTCGATGACGGTGCAGTCCAGAATCTCGTCCAAGGTTAGCTTCATCATTTCCTCGTCCGGACTGAACGTTCCCATTGTCGCCGCTACGTGTTCCAAGAACAGCTGCAGGGCTTGCACTTGGCGAACGTGCTGAGCGCCTTTCAGTTCGGCCCAGTCGCAGTGCGGTTTCAGCTGTGAAACATATCTTTGTGACTTGTTGAAGAGCTCTTTCCAGTACTTCGTGTGCTGTACCTGAAAAATGATTTTTGTGTACTTTGGAAAATTTCTGCGCTCGATGATCCCAACCTCGTAATCTCAATCTCCTTCTTCTTCTTCGTGTCTTTGAATCAGCATTACTCTTTCGCCTTCCTCAGCAGGTGACCACTAAATATAAAGTTCGTACTACCTTTCCCATCCACGGCACGCATTCTGCTACCGATGTTTTTTCCGCGATCCTTTGCTTCTGGCCGTCTCGATCCTTAGCGAGACTCAAAGCCCAACTATCCATCTCGGCCTCGAGTGTCGTCTTTTTTGCCGATGCGGCGATTTGTTGCCGGGTCTGGTCAGCTTGTTCGGACTGAAAGTTCACGGACTTCCTTCCGGATGCGCCGCCCATCGCCTGGATCTTTACTTTTTTGACGCAGCTCTGCGACGCAGCAGGAGCCGAACTGGGATCGTCTACCTCTTGCGAGGCCTATCCTGCATAAAAGCGTACCCACCTATGAGTTGAGGCAGTAAGGAAGATGCTCCCTGTCCGAGTAGCGAACTCCAAATTCTGCGAGTTGCGCATGACAAATTCAAAGTTGGATGTATCCCAGTGCACGGGCGCACTTTATTTACACAGCCGCTTCATTATTGCGATGATACAAATTCCTAGAAATAACCTGTAGAAATGCTTCTTTCCTGCTGGAAAATGCACATTTTTACTCGGTCTCTTTTACACATGTTCCGTGAAACGCAAAAGTGATACACAGCACCGTGCGGCCGGATACGTTTTTATGCGGGATATGCTGCGCTTCATGCTGAACTTCTTCATGCCTCCCTGGAGCGACGCTGCACCGCTCTCCTGTAGGAGCACTTCTTTCATGCCTGTCTTTACCGCGTCGGCCCGTGAAGCAGCAGCGCCGACATTCCCTAGCGAACCCCGCTTCTTGGCGCCGCTCTTGCCCCCTTGACCCTCTGCGGCCTTGCCGTCCGCGTCCTCCTGTGTGTTTTTCAAATACACACCGTTTTTGCTGGAGACGTATATTCTCATTTTTACGGTCCAAGAACCACGGTACAAGATCTTCATCGATAAAAACCGCCACGACGGAAAACATCCAATTTGTAATGCGAGATAAAGAAAGTTGCACAGTTTTTATAGCTGTGACTGCTGCCTTTATGTCCGATTTTGAGTACATGCTTGCAAAGTGACACCACAACTTGAACTATGAGTAAAAGAGAAGGACTTTATATGTACCAGAAACGGTTCCTGCTGTGTCCCTCCCGCGCCTCCAGCGTCGCTCTTCTCGCTTGGAGCCCCGGAGCGCATGTCTTCGACTAGTCCTGCCAAAAGCTCTTTGGCCTTCCGCATAATGGCCTGCGGCCCGAGGTACCGGTACAACTGCTTGGGCACAAAGGGGTGGACCGCGTTAAGCTCGGCCATGAGGCGGCCCAACCGTCCCTCGAACAGAAATTTCATCGCACCGTCTGCTCTTTTTCCGGTCGTCATACCTTCGATTTTCATTTTTTTTTATTTCGACAACAAGAACACAAACACTAATTTGCGTTCACGTTTTCATCCAGGTAGGTCTTGAAGCTGGACCTGAGGCTGTAAGAGTAAGAAGAGCTTCAGCATGAGAACATTGTGCTGCTGCAGCCCCGAATTCAAAGTGAAGTACCCTCGTGCTCTTCGCCAATTTTTCCCACTTCAGAAAATTTTGTCATTGGTGCGGATCCGGTGAAAAAACGTCCCAACCCCCTATTTGTTATGCATATTTGTATCGCTACAATAAATATGTTTCTCCTGCGCACACTCCAAGAAGTATTCCTAATGCTGCTCTTTCATGCTAGAATCAGGATAACACGAGAGATCGATTTGTAATGCAGCGCGTGCAGTAGCCAATAATCCTTTTACCCTACGAGCCCAAGAAACTGAAACTTTTTATCCGCTGCAGCCAAAAATTGTCGTTTTGTCGTGTACAAAGCATTCTTGCCATCTTGCGTATGCGAATGTGGTGGGGTTGGGGACATTCATTTTTGCACAGGATAGTGAGAAGTTGTACTTGTCGAGGATGGAGTTTTGCAGCCAAGACGAAGATCCCACTAGGCCCTCTTTGTCGCTGACTTTTGGAGTGAAAGACACCATGACCATGTTCATCATGTCCTCGGGCACGTTGCAAGACGTACAGTTATCGACGAATTCCTCCTGCCACTTGTTGATTGCTACGGAGATTTTTCGCAGTACCGTTTTCTTGTCGTCGTTGGTGCCGAGGTCGTTCGTGCAGTCACTGCTCTCGGACTGTTCGACCTTGGCCTTCGCATCGGCCTTGCTTGCCTTGACTTTCTTCAGGTACTCGAGGTGATTATCGGCCAGCTCGTCGATCATTTCTGCATCGAGGGTGCACGACGTCACGGACTTTTGTTGACCGAGATAAGACAGGCACATGCGAACGTACCTCCGGGCTTCGAGGTCCGCACCTTCCCAACGGGTGTCCTTGCCTTTGAGGTAGGGCTTGATCAATTCGACGAAACTCATCGCCGAGTCCTTCTTGCCACCGATCATGGTCCAAATCACGAAGGCGTTACTCAAAACGTCATTCGTGTTTCCGTCAGCATCATCCAGACGCCACCAAGGCGTTCCAGCGTTGTTCTGCTTCACGGTCTTGTCTCTACCCTTGGTCAACACCTTACTTTCTCTATCTAATGCAAATATGCCTGGGTCTGATTCTGAAAGAACGCGATACTTGTCATGCAGCTAGTCTGGCATGAAACTGACGACCGAGGTCTGCATATTCATTATTCGTGGCCAGCAAGAGCCCGTCTTTTCTGCCATGCAGAATACGTAACGCTGTTCGTTCTCGCGCGGAATACGCAACACAGAACTTGTCATGCTTGGAAGTGCATATGCAATGTTTCTTCTACTATTGACCGACATGCATCACAAGTTTCCAGACCGAGACCCAGACACATTTGCATTTGATATTCTCCAAAATCCAACCATTTGACGTTCTGCGAGATCGTCAGCGCGACCAACCCCTGCTTCTGGGATCTTTCCTGGAAAGTGTACTTCAGATCCCGCACCTTGGTAAAGGGGTCCTTGTCGGACGTGATTTTCTGGAAGATGGAGTCTATGGGCACGTAGGATTCTTGCTCTTCGTATTTCCATATCATGCAGAAGAGTACACCCACCATAGCATATTCGAGACAAAATTCATTTAAGTAAACCTGTCTCGCTCTTGGATAAAGACCCTGTCAGCATGTACACCGAAGAGAGATACACAAAATCCATACTTTGACGTCGAATCTTCTACAACGCAGTGGCCCGAAATAAAAGTAAAACCACATGAATATGTGTGTGGGTGTATTCTTCAACAGGATATTCTTTTTTTTACCATCCCAAAGCCGAATGGAAACGTTCTCGACGTAGTGGCCGTCAATGGTGTACAACCTGAAGAAAGTGTGGAAGCTTTTATCAAGAGACAACATATGCGTCAATAGCTAGAAAGAAACATCGTAATTTCATCCCCATCCGTTCCATGCAAATGATTTGTTTGAAGTAGGAAGGGAACAGGAGAAGCCTGATGAGAAGTAAGTGAAAAACATGAAGCAGCTAGGTTTTGCATCTTCCTATTGCTTGGTGATCTGCTGGCAGTTAGCTAGGAACGGTTACCCCCGTGCCTCAAACTCTAACTTGCGCTAAAGGAACTTCCCGAAAATAAAGAAGAACTTGTGAAGGTCAAAAAGTTGATGAAAGCGTCTCACTTTTATACCTCAGTTTGTTTTTGTACTTGCCGTCCTTTTCGGCCGCATCCCAGTGTAGCACGTTGGGCAGGAGGTGACGGTCTCTTTCGATGAGCTGCTGAATTGTGGTCCTCTTGTCCAAAACGAACTTCTTTCGTGGCTGTTCCGCTGTCGTATGAAAGCGTATTAAAACACCCTATAAACAAGGACGTGCATCAAAATCTACAGTTTTCATCACAGCACGTTGAAAGCCTGTGCGAAATGTACTTGCTACTATTTCTATTTTATTATCTCGAGGAGAAGCGGCCCCCTTGGCTTTTTTGAACATCCTGAACACGGTGATCCACGTCCACGGTAGCGGTCCCGGTTCGCGAAGCTGAACGACCCGAATAAACCGAATGCAAATATAGGCCCTGTGGCTGTGTGTCGCTCGTTTAGGGGTCTTCATCTTCCTAGTCGACGTCCGCATCCAACAGCCCAAAGTTGTCCGGCTTCAGATCTCGGTGGAGACAGGAAAATATGACCTGCGTTGTGTAAACGTAATGGTAATAGTTGTGACGATATCTAGGTTCAACAAGCTGCACACTGAATAAATTGTTGGAGACAATACGCACATACATGTACAAGCATATTTAGGTATAAAAGAGGATGAGGGAGCAAGCAAAATCAAAGATATAAAGCAATACTTGGAATGCATGGAGATTCCGGAAGCACATATCCAAAAAGGCCGGTATGTGGATCAGCTTCATCAGAATTTGTATTATCCCGTAAAAAAGTGCACCTGCACCAAATACAGATGCAGAAATATTTGTCTTGCGTTTTTACTGTTCTGAAAATAGTGGCACTTGATGTGGCAGGACAGGTTAATGATCTATAAAAAGCACTCAGAGCAGCTGTAACGCATCAGAGGTACAACTTCGGAGGATCATGCCGCCCGGAGGATGATCTCCTCAAAACTTATCAAAAAAAAAAAACGAATTGTGCAGCTCCACAACAAGAATCTAGGTTTTCGTGGCAGCAGAAGCGCAAACGATTTTGTCTCAAATGTGGTGCAGGTGGATGTTTCTACGTTTTTGATACCCAGTGGCATTTTCGACGGGTTCTTGATCTCGTTTTTCAGCTTCCAATAGCGGAACTCTTTCACAAGGGAGTCGAGCTCCTCCTGTTTCGCAGCTATCTCGTTATCCTTCTGCTGCTGAATCCTTAATTTTGCTTTCCCCAGTTTTTTTTGCTCGTCTTGGAGTTGCTTGAGTTCGGTGTCGATCCGCTTCACCCGGGGGGCGACTTCCTTGTACTTCTGACCGAGTGACCACGTGTCTTTGCATATCCGGAGGAAAAAAAACGTCCCTACCCCAGAGTTGTCATGCTAAACAGAAGTACGGACTCCAAGTATGCCCACGCGCGGTTAGGCTACGTGGCCAAGTTTGTCATGCGTGACTCCGAAAACTTGAACGTTCTGCAGCTGTGTTTCAAAGTTCCCCTCTTGGCTCTGGGATGGGCACGTTCACACACAGGATACTGAACTTCTCCGGGATCGCAAACAACGCACAGCTTGCGGGAGGCTGGGCCACGTAGAGCCACTTCATGTTGGACGACGTCCAGGCAGCTTGTGGAACGACGAAACAGGAGTTCATCAAACGCTTGGCATATCCTGTGAAAAAGGGTCGCCCCAGTCTCACGACATGCAAAGTCACAAGCACGTCGAATGCAGACACACGGAGGTCGTTTCCAGCGTATCCGTATTCTAGTTGCGGGGATGTGAAATAAAGTTCTGTACTTAGTTTATCCATTGGCGCTCCTGCGCTACACCAGCAACAAAAATTTATTCGAAAACCTCGGTTATAGCTTGCAGTTATTCATCGGAGTCACGAGCATTTGCACAGTAGAAGGAATAAATGCACCACAAACAAAGCATCAGCGGGGGCATTTGCATGACAAGCCTGGCCCTTTTCTGCTGCCGGGGCCTTTATCTTTTTCACAGGATAAGACGTCGGGATTCCTCAAACTCACCGTTGCGAAGACCACAATTTCCCGGATTGCGCGCTTCTTCACCCCTATCAGCGGCTGATATGTGTTTGTTTGTCTTTCTTGTACTACTTGTGTAACCAATGCAGCCGAAATTTCCATCAACATATGCACCTCGGTAGAGCAACACCACTCCTTCCCTTTTGCATGACTAAGTATGACGACAATGCCTTACAAAAGCTGCGCAGGGGCAGAATAAACATACCGTAACTGACTCGTCTAGCGGTAGTTTCTTCACGATCAGCTTTCGCCCGAGTGTGGTACCCTCTCCGACCATAACGAAAAGGTCGTCGCGGTCGGTCAGGAGCGGCTTTACGTTCAACACATTGTATGCAAACGGCGGATCGTCGAAACGCAATTTCTCCTTACCGTTGATCTTTGTCTTGGCGGAACTAGCAAAAAGAATTCGTCGTCTTCGTTCCTAATATCCAAGAAAAAAACATTGTAGGTGTAGTAACTTTCTTGGAGGATTAGCATTACAAATTTCTCTGGCATGACAGCTACAGCAAAAACCTGTCATGCGCAGATAGTACGTGAAAAGGAAAACGCCCTTTAGCTTAATGGACCCTATGACGCATGCCAGGCATGACAGACGCAATCATCTTGCATGTTGCGCATCACAAATTTCAACTAACAACATTTTTTTCTTGGATAGTTCCTGCTCTGGTGTTAGTGGCTCGACGCTGTCGTCTTCGTCCTCGACTTCCTCGACGTCCTCAACGTCGGTTGGGGAGGGCGGCTCTTCCATCCTACCCATTTTCGGCGGCATCCTATTGACGTGCAGGTGCTGGCAGCACCAAGACGGCGGTCCCAGTGACTATAGTGCTTCTAAGGGCACTATTGCTAGTAGCTAGGCGGGCCGCCAAATATTATAAGTACTTGATGAAGTAGAAGATGGAAAGTCCTTAGCTGAAGACCTTCCGCTGAGCAGGTCAATACGAGATAATAATTTTACAGAGTCGTACAAGTTTATTTTAGTAAAGAAAATACCAAACCTATTCTCGAAATCAAAGATTTATCATACACTAACCAAGAGTATTGTAGAAAAAAAACCGCCATCAGATTCGCGAAGGAGAAACTTGCTCAGCCCCCGCGGTATCAGAGGTTTTAACAATACAAACGCCTTGTTAAGCTCCGTTTGTCTTAGTACACCTAAATAAAAACCGTTTTGCACTGCAAAAGCCTTCGGCTTCGAGGCGTTCGGAAGAATACCGTTGCGCCATTGTACATTGTGGTACGAATATACGGCACCCGTGTGCAAGTACTTGTTCTAGTGCAATGTAGAAAGAATCAATATCAAAATGAAAATAGATATTTCAGTAGGTCACTGTACTAGTCGGGGCGCGGAGCACGATCTTAGAGCCAGTAGGCAACGTAGGGGGCCTGGTAACGAACCGAAAGCAACCTGAGTTGCAACAGCCTTTTAGTGTCAAACAAGAGCGTAACGTCAATGAATAACAATAACAAGATCAAGCTCTAAGATAGTACTTAAAACCACCTGCTTCACATCTTAGAAAAAAAAGGAAGGCCTTGACTTTGAAATCGCTCGCAGGCGTGGAAGTCGAAGTTTTTTTCGCAAACGCAAAGAGTAAGAGCGAAGAAGATTCAAAAAAAATGATCGTCAAAACCGAAGTCGCGGTGTCGCCGTAATGATAAAATCCATGGATGGAGGGAGAAGTGTCGCCGTGATTGGAGATTGCGCTCGTTTGCTGGACGCGCAGACCATGAGAGTTTTTGATACCTATGCTGCAAGTACAAATTCTTCAGCCTTTGCTCTAGGACGTACAGCGTGCATAATATCTACTTACTTTCACAAGCCTATACTTGCTCCTTGCGGACGAAAATTTCCAGGATGGTCAGTGCTTCAGCTTTTGACGTTGTTGATCACGGTACTAAAGCTTCCATCAAGGCTAGCAGAGGATGACATGAGACGAAACAAATTTGCCTGGTGTTCCGAGCCGTTGAAAACTGCGACAAGCTTGTCTTCCTTACGGGAGATGGGTAAGCCGCAAGAGGAGCGAAAAAATAAACCGTTCCGCTAAGCACACACAGACAATGGGCTCGGCAGTCTGTGAGCTTCTCAACAGCAAGAGCAAGTTGTAGAAGTTGGGATCGCGAGGGTACAGTACTTACCCACAAGGCGCGCTGTGTCTAGTCGCCAAGCTGTAGCTAAAATGGAAAAGAAAAAAGCACCCAAAGGTCGGTGTGGAAGGACATATAATCTGCGATTTCTGAAAAAGCATCGTTTGAACCGCTAAGAAAAAACGGCTAAGCTGATCGTAGAATGGCGTGTGTGGGTGTGACTATCCTTATGTGTGCTTGTCGTGCTTCCAATGAGCGACGCGAGTACGAGGGAGTCTCGCGTCCACGAACAACGATACGAGTGTCCTCGGTCGACCCGACAAGCCGATCATGTCTGAGCTTGAATTGCGAAATCGACAAAATCGAAATCCTGCCTGAGTATACAAGGAAAATCGATCCATCTTGTGTGAGGCTGCGGAGGACGACACAATCAAACAAAGCTTTTTAGCTTCCGGCTTCTTGGTGCTGAGGACCAAATCCAAACTGAGTGAACCAGGAACAAAAGCGCTGCGAGCAACGATAACGCCATTGATCCACATCAAGTTTTAAGTGCACAACATTACACACCGCAGGTGGTCCAGAGCATTTTCTATACACCGGGGAGGCGTGATTGATGTCATGGTCAACATCGATTTCATTCTCAGCAAAAAGGCCGCGATTGTCTTCCGTAATCTTCTTCTAGGTCATTACAGTATTCCTTGAGCAGGACGGGCTCCTGCGATAATAAATCTCTATCTTTCGTATTTCCGTTTCTCAGATCTACCTCGGTACCTGATTTATTCCTCACCGGCGGGGTTCTCGTCTTCCATTCCTCCTTCTTCGTCCTCGGAGCTCTCTTCCTCGGCGTCCTCCGAGTCTTCTTTTGAAGCAGATGCAGTGGCTTCGATTCGAACTGCAACCGTGATGTCGAGCGGCTTGTTCTGCGAGATGCCATTCGTGCGTCGATGCTTTTCAACAGAACGCACCACATCGAACCACGAATCATGAGAGCGGAGAACTCGGTGCACAGGCGAGGGCTCAGACGCTGCGTCGATCGATACTTCTTGTTCTTCCTGCTCCTCCTCAGTCGAGCCTCTCGCGCATGCAGCAGAGGCTGTGGTTCCCACGGGGTCGTCACTACCCCATCTTCTATCAAATGCAAAAGTGTCTGGGTCTGGAAGATTGCAACTTGTGATGCTGTTTCTGCATTCTAAAAAAAATCTGTATTGCATGACCAGCAAGAGGGGTCCAGTTTGTGCTACATGGAGAGGGTACTTCTCATGCGGGATAGGCATCAGAAAGCCCGCTAAAAATCTGTGATGCCAAGTTATGGCGCATTACAGACGTCATATGTCATGTAAAATCTGCATGACAAGTCTGGCACTCTTCCAGACCCAGACATTTTTACATTTGATATCTTCCGCTGGCGCACAACTTCTTGTTCTTTTTTTCCGGCACATCGTCCTCGTACATTCCGTCCACCCAAAACGTCAGCTTGTGCGAGTGCCACTTCGTGTAGTCCTCGTCGTTGCAAAGGGTCGAGTAGCTGGGAAAGGCTTGCTTGATCCGCGGCAGAATCCGAAGCAACTCCTGCGACGCCTCCGTCCGACTTTCCTTGATAATCCGAACAACCACGCGCAGGTGGTCCGCGAAATCGGTGGCGCTTGGCTCCGAATCCGGCAGGAATTCAAATTCTTTGTGGGCGTACTGCACTACACCTTGCTCCTCGCCACAATCTGTCTTTTCTTCATCTGCAGTTCGGTGTCGCGGATACGAAATCCTAACGATTTCAAACTCTTGCACTACCGTTTCGGTTTTCTTGTGCGCTTGTAATTCCCGACTTGCCGATGCTTCTTGAAGATCCTGCTCGGTTTCCAGAAAGTCTTGATGGCTGCCGGCGGATTCTTCTTCCTCACTGCCTCGGGGAGATGCCGGTGGCGACAAAACTCTGGAACGCCGCTCGATGCCGATCTTCATGACGTCCAACCCACCTGCCTCTTCGTCTCGTTGGGTCGTGTTCGAACAACACTCGACTCTGGCTAGTATCGGAACGCGCACCACCTTGTCATCGCTTCGCGGCATGCAGCAAGATGGTACCAGCGTTGGAAACGCGGATTCGCGCGCGGCCGCCCGAAATCGCCATTCGCAGCCAACCAGCGTTCCAGCGACCGGATCTAGGTCAAGTGCAGTGCTGGGTGAAAAAGATGGGGTAGTGAACCTGATTCGCGGATCCCGAAACCAGGACTTGTACGACAACTCAAAATCAGTACACTTGTCCTTCATTTCAATGTCAAGCGATCCTGCAGGTAGAAATCCGAAGTGCTGCTGCAACTTCTCCGATACTGCAGCCACCTCCGCTTGCGCCATCGCATTACACTTGCGCGACAGCGCGCTGCACAATTCCTCCTCTGGAGAATCATCAGAAATTTCTCCGCGGCTATCGAGAGTTTCTAGAAGGTCACCTGTTGTATAGAAATCGTTCATTGAATTATTTACAATGTGAATAAAACTGAATAGTACAGATTATCTAGCCCCAAAAGCAAGAAATCTCACGACTGTGCGCGCCTCTTTTTCAACGAAACGAGTTCTTACCAGCTTCGTGATTTTCCATGTACTGGCGATAGCTTTCATCCGTAAATTTGAAATCCGCATCATTTATCTGCACCCGTATTTGGTCGCGCAGCAGCACTTCACCACCGACGTTTTTCAAGCGGTACTTCACCTCGAAACTCGGGTTCCAGCTCTCGATTCTTCGACACAATAATCTATGATAAGCCATTGCGTGCATCGAGTCGGGTGCTCCGTGCAGCGTCTCGTCGTCGTCGCCGAGGTCCCCGTAGGCGTGGCTCAACAGGACTTCGAAGCCGTCGGAGACGCGCCGCAGCCAACGGAATGCTCGGTCCAAGATGTCTTTTTTCTTGTGCAGCTTCTCATACAGGCTGTCGAAGAACGGTTTGTTCTGCAGCAAGAACTTGTCGAACTCGATCAGCTTGTCAATACGGTGCAGTTCCAACTGGAGGCTGCCGTCGTCGGATAACTCGCTGTCGGGAACAGACTCGTCGGATAACTCGCCGTCGTCGGATAACCCGTCGTCGGATAACTCGCTGTCGTCGGGACCAGACTCGCTCGACTCGTCGGATAACCCGTCGTCGGATAACTCGCCGTCGTTTCGGGAAGTTTCATCTTGGCCCTGCACCGCGGTTCCGGAAGAAGCAGATTCGTGTGGCTTGGCATCATTCCCGGATGTTGACATGCTGCAGGGAGGGTCCTCGTCGAGTCCAACGGAGTTCGCCACGGCATCCACAAACTTATGTTTCGACAAGTACTTGAACCCTGGGGCGACGACGGTCAGCGAAGTGCCACTACCCATCCGGAAAGCTGGCGGCGCCGGGTCGCCCACGGCTTGTTTCGGCTGCACCCCAGCGGTGACGCCGGCGGCGGCTCGCACCTTCTCGATGAGGGCGGGAAAGTCCGCACCGCCCGGTTCCCAGTTCATGGCCTTTTCCATAGCGGACCGGGAGAAGAAGGCTCCCTCCTCTTCGAGGCGAAAGGTTTGCGGAAGGGCAAAGATCTCCTCATAATTGGCGTCCTCCGCGAAGAGGAACGCAACAGATGAGTTCTCTATCATCTTGTGTGCGTCGAATGACATCGTGTTGAACTCTTCAACTGCTTAGAAATTATGGTTTCCAATCAAAATAAAAGACTCTCAGCGATTTTCTAGCGAGAGGTTTGGGGTTAAAGTTAATAAAACATTCCTGTTCTATGCTGTTACTTACTCATCACCAGTGTATTCCGAGAAAACATCAAACAAAACCTGTAGTTTGCTGTGTCGATTTTGATGCAAGGTTTCGACTTCCACTCCAAACGAAGCCTGTCTTTTTCGAAGTACTTACACATGCGGACAGCGAAGCGTTTCGAATACAGCAAATACGCCTTCTCCTTGTAATTCCGCCACGTTCGACAAACGGACAAAGGAGCGACCTCATGAGAAACAAACTACAGAAAACAAAAGCAACCACCACTTGGCTGACGACACATTGCTCGCTCTTTTTTCCTGCTTTCACTCGCACGCCACTACGAAGAAACTCTCGTCTCTACAAACAAAAGAGAACCGAGTATCAATTTGATTGTGTTACAAGATGAGAAACACAGCCGCATGCTCTTTCAAGGCAATTCTGGTGCGGCCAAAGTGCAAAGATGCCGTGCCTTTCATGCGCTTTCTTTCTCGTCTGTGCGTAGAGGAAGCTGCACCCAGCGGACAACTTTGCACATCACATATTAAATTTGAAAACTAACAAAACGAGCTGTTTACCCTGAGTTTTGCTCCTTCGAAACAATCATACAGTGATTCTCTCTGGTTTTGCGTTTTTCGAAAGAATCTATACACTGACATAGGTGCGACGGTACATAGCGGTCGTCCACTCGAAAGTGACAAGGGTATAGGAAGAGGAGCGTCAAAACTGAAATCTAGGAGTAAAGGGTGACGTTGAATCAAATCTTCGTCCGTGCCTCTGAACTGAAGGATCGAAGCAAGGTTTTCCCCGCGGCTTGGCACTTACGCACGACCCATAGATAGGTATATTGTGTTCGTCAAAGGTATCAGCAAACGTTCGACTACTTTTTGATGATGCTACAGCCTATGCACCAATTTTCACAGCTTATAGAAGGCCTGCCTCGCCAAAACCGCCCCACGGGGCAGTTTGAGCGCCTTCGGCTTGACCGCCATCAGCTTCGGCTTGAGCGCCTTCGCCACCCGTTTCAAAACCACCGCACGGGGCGGCTTCGGCTTGACCGCCATCAGCTTCGGCTTGACCGCCATTTTAGGCGCCTTCTGCATCTTTGCCATGACTTTCATGGCCTTCTGCATCTTCTTGTTCTGCACCAAATTTTGCTCGGCGCCCGTGGAAGGATTTTCTTGTTTCGCAGCGCCGGTGTTCATCAAATCCGCCCAAACCTTGTCGAACACGAACTTCTTGTTCGGAACATGTTTTTTGAAGACTTTCTCCAACCCGGAACGGGTGACAAAGAAAACAGGACCTTTCACGCGGGGGCCGGCCTTCTCACCGGAGCTGGTCTGTTCGGCGGAGCGCGACGTTGCCATTTGGTGGGTTGTTTTTCAGGTAATAGTTTTTCCTTCTCAACAAGTAGCCAACTGCAAGTGGGACAGCGTCGAGGAGCAACGATGCCTACAGAAAAAACGCACTGTACAAGAATTGGAGTCGGTCTTGTCGATGTTGAAGTTCGATTTTGTCCACCCTCATAAGTAGCACGTCCATTGTTTTTCGAATGAAGAAAAAATACCGACGACAAATAACGAAAATCACTCGTGGTCGAAAAACGAAGAAGAATGTCCAACAGGTCTCACCAAGACATCAAGTACACAAACTACAGAGTCCATAAGCGATTTATTTGTCACTCGTGGTCTATCATTTCAACCAGCTGCTGCTGCCCAGGCGGTCTTCGATGCAGTAAAAAACGACAGAAGAAGCACTGTGATGGACATAACGAGGACAGTTGAAGAGAAAACAACAAGATTGATTAGCTCATTCAGGTCAAGCTTGACACAGAAATGCAGCCTCCAAAGTCGTAGCTGCAAGAAGCCATTTTTTAGGAATCGTCGTTTGCTGTTCCAAAAGTTCTACAAAAAAAAAACACGAGCTGGCTCGTTCGATTTATTTTCATAATTTCTAAAAAACGACGTGCATAACTCAAGGTCATTGTCATTTGTTCTCTGCATGTGATTGGTGGAGGTGGGACGACGATCAGGAACTACATGAGTACTCCGCACATTGGCGAGCGTCAAATCCATTTAAACAAGCTTTGGTCGGAATCCAGGACAATACTCTTCTTGATTTTACTATTTCGAGACGTTCCTACCGGGCTATCCAGAGCCACACACCCGTCACGCCCTATGGCATGATGGGAAAGAGAGCGAGGGCCGAAGGGTCCCTCACCGTAGAGACAGCCAGAAGGGATGCCTCTACGCCCCCTCCACACGCCGCAGCGCCGGCGGCCCGAAGAACCCAGGGAAGCATGCTGACATGATGAATTCGGGCAACCGGGCTGAGGGACCAAAGAGCCCTCGACCAGCTCCACGGAGGGGGCGTAGAGGCATCCCTTCTGGCTGTCTCTACGGTGAGGGACCCTTCGGCCCTCGCTCTCTTTCCCATCATGCCATAGGGCGTGACGGGTGTGTGGCTCTGGATAGCCCGGTAGGAACGTCTCGGAAGACCGATGCACCCCGGTGCACCATTTTCGAGTAAGTGACGGCAAGTGCTTTCGCACATCGGAAAAGGGCTGGCAGATCCCTGGTAAGCAAATGCACGGGGTACGACTGGACCCGCTCTCCATGCGGGGGTCGTGCCAAAAATCTTTACGTCCCACCCGCCCACCCGTTACGCTGTTTCTTCGCGCCCGCGAGCGGTCACTCGCGGTGACAGAAGAACGATCAGGGAGGGGGCGTAGAGGCATCCCTTCTGGCTGTCTCTACGGTGAGGGACCCTTCGGCCCTCGCTCTCTTTCCCATCATGCCGTCGTTGTCTACACATCTCCCATCATGCCTGCGAGCTCCAATACGAAACGCGTGTCGTCGTTGACCCAAGGCATTCCACCACACACATCATAGGGAGCAAGTGTCGTATCCCGATCCCACTCCTTCGTCTTATCAGAGTCGACGCCATTTGCTGCAATGATTTCACTGCGCCGGACCGCGATCCGCTGGGCAAGCCGCAACGAGTGGAGTGTGTAGTGGAAAGCGCCCCCGTGAAAGTTTGCAAGGGGAAGTTCGGTAGCCCGAGCGAGACATCGGCAAGGCATCTTTTCATTTTGCTGTGCAGAACCATCGGGACACGACAAAGTACTGGCCACGATTGTTCGATCCGCGGCGTCGAAGAGCCGCTTCTTCAGGTCGACCGGGGTCCAAATCAGGTTGAAGGGTTCGCTCCCGGGATGCTGTCCGATGGCGTACCTCGCCGGCAGCTCGAACTCCATGTCCATGCGGTCGAGGTTCATGTACCACTTCGCGTGGTTCCGGAACTTCAAAATCTTCGTGGTGACCACGGCTGGGCGCGGGGAGTTCTTGCGGTCGGTTTCCAGTCCAGCACACCGTAGCAAAACTAGGTCGCGCAAGCGCTGCAGAAGCTTCGTGCCGAGACCGAGGTGGCGGAAGTCGGCGTCCACTAACCGGTAGTCGATGTGATAGCGGTCGACGAAGTCCAGCGCTTTCACGTCGCTTTCATCGTCGCCGAAAAACACGCCATTGCTGGGTGGCAGCGTCGACATGAGCAGGTCTTTCTCTTCCAGTTCCTGGAGGGCTTTCTTGTTGTACTTTAGTTGTTTCTTGCCCTTGCGGCTGCGAAGTGCGGCGGTTTCCTCCTCGGTCGCTGGACGGTCGAGAGCAAGTCCCCCTTCCAGAACGTGGTACTGCAAAAAGCCGACGACCCGCATGGACGCCCGGTCCGCGACAAAAAACGCCCGAAGGTGTGGTTGGGGGGCGAGCACAGTGTCGGCTTGTTCCGCTCGTTGTTTCGCCGCTTGCCTTTTTTGCAGCGTCCCCGCAAACTCGTCGCCAAAGATCTTACATGCGTTCTCGAGCGTGCGACGGGGGATGTGATCGCTGTTGAAAACTGCGAAGGTGGGCTGTGCGTGAAAGTTGTTTTTCACACAGAGTTGCAGCAGTGTCTTTTGCGCACTCCGGTCGCGAAACGGATCGGCTTCGAACACGACAAACTGATCGCCCTCGTCCGCTAAGAAAACCAGTGGCGGAAGAAGTGATTCTTCAGTGACAGTGGCAGACGCAGAAGACGACGATTCGGCACGACCAGCAACCGCTGGACCAGCGTCCCCTCCGTCCCCGGCGCGGTCCCCCGCCTTCGTCAATTCCGCCTTTCCTGCAGGGGCAAACTTTGCCTTTATCTCCGGCTGGGAAATTGCTGGAATGTCAGTGTAGACTCCGTGCGCGAGCTCGAAGGCAACGTCGGCGGTTGCGTGTTTCCGGTCACACCCCAACTTGTCGTAGTCCTCCTGGTCCTCTTCCTGCAGAAAATCGAAGGGCTTCTTGCTCTTGCATTTCAGTATCTGCAAACTCCGCTCGACGTACCGGATGTACTCCTGCGCATCACACGTCGAATTTCTTGTCAAATAGCAGCGCTTCATCACCGGCTTGGGCAAGTCCTTCTCGGCGTTGAAGTCGACTGCGCCTTTCCCGCAGAAGGGCGACAGGTCCACGACCTGCACGCGGAACTTCTCGTTGAGTTGAAGAGAAGCATCGCTTGTTTCTCTTGCAGCTGCGGAGCTGGTGTATTTTGCGGAGTGGTCGGCATTGCTGTTCGTAGAATCGGCGCAAGTGATAATTTCGTCGATGATACCTATCTTCCCGTTCAGTTTTACTGCGTTCCTCAAGCCGGCAATATCCACCGTCTTCCTATGCGGAGAAAAAGTATGGTACTAGTAGTAACTCCTGCATCACAAATGCTTTCAGAATGAAAGATGGAATTTTTCATGCAGAATTAGGTAGCAACGCACACCTTCACCTGCCGTGCAAGAAGGCTGCGAGAATTAGCACGAGTACGGTACTTTCGCACAGGATACATCCCGACTTTCAACACGTCGTTCCTGCCGGCAACAAGGTCACCCGACGCTGGAGACACCATCTTGCTGCCCCTGCCCCGACCGCCCGCGAACGAACGCCAAATATCATTCAAAGCTGCTTTTTGATATGATTTCACAAGAGCTCTTCAGTCCAGGTGCAGCACGAAAAAAGCAATGAGGTGGACACATTTCCTTACCTTTTGTGGTGGTCGCGTAGAACTTACCGTCTCTCATCGCGCACTCCACTTGTTCATCCATCTCGAAACACTCATAGAACAGAAACTGCCCCCTCGCACACCAGCAGAGAAAGCGTTTCACCTTTCTTCTACGAAAGCACAGGAGGCGGAAGGGAAGCCTGTGCATAAGCACGGCGCCGTGTCTGTCAGAACGCACAAAAACAGAGTAGCGACAGCCAGATGTTGAGAGGCACATCACACTCACACGCCAGGCCCGCGGCGAAGAGCTTTTCCGCACGCGCCGCGCAGGGCGCCTGAGGGGCCACGGGGCGGCCGCTGCCGTGCGCCGCGCGAGCCCTGTTCTGGCGCGCAGCTGGGTGGGTGCAGGAGTGGGCCCGACATAGCCATGGCCCGAAACAGGTTGCGTAAGATGGTGGCCGCGGCCCGCACCGGCGCCGCGAATTGGGGCCCGGCGGTTTGTGGCTTTGCCATAAACCTGACGCGGGCCGGAGACGCGGATTGCAATCAGCGCCCGCAGTTTTTCCGGGCCGGGCTGGGTCGGGAAGCGGCTTGCGGCTTTGCCATAAACCTGACGCGGGCCGGGGGCGCTGCTTGGAATCAGCGCCCGCAATTTTTCCAGGCCGGGCCGGGTCCGGGAAAATACTTTGATGCCGCTGTGAAACAATTGAAGCGCTCCGGCCTCTGGGTATTGACTAGGGTCCGGCGCTCCGCTGTCAAAATCCAGAGTGTGGCGTTGGCAGTGGAAAAACCCCGCTGTGCCCACCTCCTTCTGGCACCACTCCGCCTCTTCCTCGGTTCGGGATCCTGCATTTGCAACGGACTCGCCTCCTCACCCGACGAAGAGCTTGCGCCGGAGGCATGAAGCGCCTCACCCAAGCAAGGCCCTAGCCCTCCTCGCCGCTGCGCGCAAATGCACGGGACGCCACGGGCCAAAACTCTCCTTCCTGGGCTGTTTTTTCTTGTTCATCTTTTTCAGTGGCATTTTCTTCGTGGTTCGCGTTTCTTGATCATGATGATGTTACTAAAGGGTTTGAAAGAGAACGAGTCTAGTTGTTCGGGTCAGCAGCAACTAGTGCTGCTTCTTCGGGATTGACGCCCTCCAGGACCGCCTCCTCGCTTGATGATAAAGAAAAAAGGTCCTGCGACCCTCAACTGCTGAGCGGGTCGTTGGACTCGGACAGCAATGCACCATCTGCGTGACTACGTGGACATTCGGAACGGGCCTCGCTCAATATTGATCGGCCAAAATTGAATAAATATTGCCGCTCTCGGCAGGCATTGACGGCCATGAAGCGCTCCTCTTTTCGTCCATCTCTTCTCCCGCCGCAAGAATAAGTAGCCGCAACCAAGCACTCTAGAAAAGACACCGGGGCAGCTCGCTCTATGCAATAAGAAACCCCTCCTCAATTCTCCAGAACATCAAGAACTTCTTCGTGCACTAAGGAGGGTCCAAATCCGGACCCCTATTCATACGGCGAGAGGACCAGCAATTAAACACGACATAAAGGCAGCAAGACCCCCCGGCACGCAGTCAGCCCGCATCGGGGCGAGGCGCCAGCGCCCCGAATAGATTCGTAACAAAGGGCGACATCCCGGCCCCGGCGGAAAGCACGCGGGCAACCCGCGCACGCCGCGGGGGTGCTGGTACAGCAGGAAGAACCCCAAGCCGGCAGGCGCGCCCGCTAACAGCGCGGCGGGCTGGGGGGGGTGCCGGGAAAAGAGGGGCGCAAGCCGTGCGCGATTTGGTTGCCGCCCGGCGCACCACGCAGCGCCTGACGAATGTCCCGGGCGGTGGCACATGGCCGGCCCATATGGCTCGCAACGCGGGCCACGGGCATGCGCCCTTCCTGGCGCGCCAGCACGGAAGCCCGCCGCCCTCTCACGGGCGGGCCCGGGATAAGTTTGGGCTGCGCCCGAATTTTTCTTCTTCGCCTCCTCCTCCGCCTTCCGCTCCTTTTTCTCCAACAGAAGCCGGGCTTTGTACTTCAGCTGCTTCCGTTCCGTCAAGGGCAATTCCTTGAAGTTCTCGCGGAAAAGGGTCGCCCTATTTTTCTTCATGACCATCTTCATGGACATTTTCTTCATTACGGTCATCTTTTTCATGAAGACCGGCTTTTTGTTCATAAGGGCTAGACAATTGTGACTCTCGGAAATTTTTCTTTTGCGCTCTCTTTTTTAGAACCCGTCGCGATTTCTGATGAGCTGACTCTCTCGGACTTTTGGCTTCTGCTCTCTCGGAAGGTCTTTACTCGGTAACTTTTCGCTTTTGAAATGGTTCGGCCGTACACAACGAACAGCTCCCGTCGTAAACAACAACGTTCCCTCGGAGAAGCAAGATAAATACCATGCGGCATGATAAAATGCGCTGGACATTTTCTCAAGAGAAGGTCGTTCTTGGGCATATATTTTCGTGTTGTCTGGCCATCGTACACAAAATTTCGGTTCAACAACTGCACTGGGCTACGACTACGTAAATCGTGAGTTGAGGTGTGTCCGGGAAGGTGGTTGATACAGATACTAGGATATATACAGATTTTACAGGAAGATGTTGACCCACCTTATTCTTATAATATCGAGAGGTGCTAAAAATATTTGCTGCCATTCACCGTGAACCTCTATATGGATTTGAAACGTGTAGTACTGTGCTCCTACTCATGTAAAAATTGTTTGTGAAGATGATATTAATCTCCTGTTGATTGGGCACTACATTTACATTTTGTATTAAGATCGTTGATACAAAGTGAAAGTAGACAGGTACACTACAAATCTGTTTGTCTACGTATTTTTTGGGAGGTAAAAATCGAAACCCGGCGCTTTGATGTTTCCGTGAAAATAAAGTTACCACTGCTAGCGCTGGAAAATGGTTGTGAAGTCGAATTACAAAATTGTAGAATTGGGTGAGAGCCAGCAGTGGACCAACAACTTCACGTATACTACTCACCTGTCGCATCGAAAGATAGAGAAGACTCTTGAAAATATGGTTTAGGGCAGATCAACATACATTATCGTTATGGGACGAAGGGGCCAACATTGAAATAACGGTATAGAGGATCATGAGGGTCATCACTTCTTGTAAGAGCACATTGACCACGACCTCGGCCTCTTCGCGCAGTTACAATTTCGCCGCGACCTCCAACGTTTTCCTCCTCTCGGCGGTCTGGTCCACAACGTCGCCCCTTGTTTGCACCAGGTTGGGGTTCGTCTCCCGCTCCGGATGGATCATGTACTGCAGGTGATCGTAGTAACCGTCGGTGATATCCCGCTTGTTGAGCGGCTCTTTCTTTGTCTGCTCGTACAAAGCTTCGTAGACACGACCTGTCGTATTTCATCAATATTGTATTCGTATTGCGTCTGCACAACATTCACCCGCATTAGAAACTGCTTCCTTCGTGATGACCGTGTCGCACGAAAATGCATGACAAATCTTGACACATTTTCAATTGAAACTGAACAGCACAAGATTTTGTGAAGAACTAACAAATACGTGAAAAATAATATTACCGTCGTATCTGCCCAACACGGAGTTCAATAAAAAGTCCGGGAAGTTTATCCAACGAAAAGAGTGCCGCAGTTACACATTTAGAGTCAGTTTAGCAACACAAATTTCTCTGGATGAGAGAGAAAACTTGTAATGCAGAAATCCTACGGGAAAACACCTATGAAACGAGGCTGCTATGCATATCCGGCATGACAGAGCTTGTCTGTCTTGCTTGGCCTGCAACACCATGTGTAACTGCAACACTTTTTTCTTGCGATAAAGTTCCATCCGTCCACCAACGCGACGGCCTGGGGCCGGATCATTTGCAAACACTTCTTGATCTCCTTCGTGATTAAAGCCGAGATCTTCCGGTCCCCCCCGGGCAGCGCCCCGCAGGCGATGAAGTCGCCCAGACCGCCGCCCTTGTCGTACCCGGAATCGATCACGGTGAGGCAGTAGAGCTGGTACAAGGGGTTGAGCGCGGTCTGCACGGTCTTGGACGCCTCGGCCAGGGTCTCGCGGAAGGCCAACGCGTACATCACGTAGGCGTGGGAGTAGGTCATGCGCATCATCTCGATCTTTACCTGTGTTCAGGAATGAAAAACGTTTTTGGCATTTGTTTTTTGTGAAGATCGAGATCGTTCTGTATGTGTATTTACCGACTTTGCATGTTGAGAAAGAACCCATTTGCTGGTTTTCGATGTACGTGTAGTAGTCTTTGTCGCGTAGAAGCAGTGCTTGTGTTGTTGCCTCCAGGGAGTAAAAATGACAAAATCAAAGACTTTGTTCTTCCAAATACGTATATCCGTTGGAGTACCTCATCCAGTGTATTCGGTCCGATTTTCCCGCCCGCGGCCATGACCGCCTCCTGAAAAACTTCCGCCGTACTGTAGTGCATCCAGTTGGCACGGCGCTTGAGGCAGTCAAACAGGAAATCGTGGTTCTCGAGCAATTTCTGCTCCTCCAGTTCGTCGACCGTCGGGGGCTTGTGCTCCGCCATGGGATCGAAGTCGTAAATGTACTGGAGGAGGGGAGTGTGCGGATTCGTCTTCTTGCCCTTCATCATTTTTGCGGTCACAGCGCCGAGGAGCACTTGGCCAACCTGGATGTAGTTTGGGATATGAAGATGAGAAATTTACTTTTACGAGCGAGCGCAATAGTTTCGTCTATCACAAGCATCGACCCACCCGGAGATATCATGCATTTAAGGACAATTGACCCACAACATTTATTTTCCAACTACATCAAAGATCAACGATGAATGTTACGTTCAATAACACTCGAGATTCATCATGATATACCTGGATACTGAGCACCACAAAATCGCCCTCATACGTGGCCTGCGGCAAAACGGACATGGTATTCGGGCCGACCCCCGCGCAGTTCAGGTACCCGTGGCCTCCGAGGGACTTTATCCTGAGTAAAATCGTCCCCACACCCGAGTCAAGATGGGAAATCTGCTAGACAAATCGACCAGCTTCAGTTGTTTCGCATGACAAGTTTGTCCTCGTAGTGTCATCCTGTTTAGCTAGTGCAGCAGCATCGCAGATCTAGTGCAGCATGCTGATTTGAGCATGACAAATCTCAAAGCACCACTATAAACTGCTTCTCATGGGGCTTCGCATGAGAAACATTTTATGCATGCACATTTGCATTACAACTCTGGGGTGGAGGGGACGTTTTTACAAATGATAGACTTCCGGCACTGTTCCATGCCATCGACCGCCAGCATGGTGTATCAAATGCAAAAATGTCTGGGTCTGGAAGAATGGAAGGCTTGTCATGCTTGTCTGGCGTGACCCATGATGCTTGTAATGCATGACCCAGCATCACAGATTTTTGGAAAGCTATCTGATGCCATTTCCGCATGACAAATGCCCTCCTTGCGTAGCACAAATGTGGCTCCTCTTGCTGGTCATGCAATACAGATTTTTTTAGAGTCCAAAGTTAGCATTACAAGTTCCACCTTTCCAGACCCAGAAATTTTTACAGTTGATATAGTGTTCACCGCTTTTAACGTGGAGGTCAGACAGTGCATTTCCTGCAGCTTGTCAAATTTGTTGCCCCGGAATTCCCTAATTGCGATGTCATACAGTTTCCCCGCCATCAACCCTGAGAAGTGCAACGCGAAGGAGAGCGCCAGCTGGGGGAAAATCAGGAACTGCTGACTGGAATAGTCGAGGATCTAGAAGTAGGATGCTTTTGTGAATTTGTGATGCGGTTGCGGATCATGCAGAAATGGGAGAAATAAACCAAAAGACTTGACTCGAACTACCAAGAACTGCTGCATATCACCAGATTCAATTCACATTCATCATGCTTATGCAGACACATGATATCAACATGAACATGCTCTTCACTTTTATAGTACCTGTGCCTCGCTCCGCTTGCTTGGTTTGGTGATCTTTTGCAGCTGGGACACAACGTTTTCCTCCCCGAAATTGGCAGAGTGGTCGTCTGACCCGAGTTGGACCCGCTGCATCTGAAACTGCCTGCGCACCGCGGAGTAGCGGACGGCGGTGGTGACCGCTTTCGCTAAGTGCACGCCAGAGGAGGAGGAGATTTTCAAGCGTGTGTAGGTCATGGTGCCGAACAGCATCTTTTGGTTGCCGACTTTTTTGTAGTTCCCGTCCCGGTCCACGTATCCTTTGTAAAAACGTCCCCACCACAGAGTCAAGTTGTCAAATCTGCAACACACATCCCCAAGTTTTGGCTGTCGAGCATGACAAGTTTGGGTTCGTAGTGTAACCCTGGGGTAGCTAGTTGTGCAGCCGCATGACAATTTGGCTACCTTATCCTGATTCCAGCATGACAAAGTACCAGATAGCATTAGAAAATGGCTGTCATGGGGCTCCGCATGAGAAACGTTTTCAGCATGAAGCCTTGCATTACAACAATGGGGAGGTGGGGGCGTTTTTACATAGGATACGACGTTCACAAACTTCATTAACAAGTTTCGTCGGGGGATGATAGCTTCGGTAATGTACAAGCCCCCGTTGTCCATGCCGTTATAGCCCAGCTTCTGCCCGATGTCACGGAGCTCCAAACCAGGGAGCGTCGCGTGCGTGTTCCAGTCGCGGATCTGGGGAATAGTTTTCGACGGTTGTAATGAACTCTTGCATCATCTTCTTGTTGTTCACAAAAAAGTATAGTACCAATGCCTTGTCGTCTGCTGGAAGTTAGTAGATCACGTGCATCACAAAGCAGTAACGAATCAATCTATTACCGCAAAATTACGACAAAAATCTGACGGTTGTTCCACCTGAAAGAAGAATGGATGGGGTCCGTAATCCTTCCCCTTGATGATCACCCGGGCCATCAAAATGACGCAGTTGCAACTCTTGGCCATCCCGCCGGGCCACCACTTCATCGCTTCCAGCGACGGGGTGTGCACCCGCCACCCGCCGTCACCGTTGTACAAAGTCCCGTCCCAGACTGCCTGGGTCCCCATCCCGCGCACGTTCGACCCGTGGGTCAACTCGGTTTGGGCGTAGGTACCTGAAACAAAAACAAATTTTTTAACGATGATTTTAGCTATGGAGATTTTTCAAATTTATGCAACCCAAATCATAATTGAAAGACGTCTACTGAAAGTAGAGCCACTGGAAGATGGCATGACGAAGCAGACCCTTGTTTCATCGGCACCAGCATCACAAATTTTTCTATCCCATATAATACCGACGTATTCGTAGTTGAGCGCCTTCTCCAGCCACCAGGACTGCTGCTCTTCGTCCGCCAAATTGATCAACGAGGGGAGGAACATGACGTCGTGCAGTAAGATGAACAAGTCTTCGCCCAGCAGCATCTCCAGCGGCCCCCTTTCCTCGAACGGAATGCGGTTCTCGCGCACAATCTTCACGAAAATCCGCGCTCGTTCGCAGGCTCGGTAGTACCGCTCTTGCCGGTTGATGTACCAGAGGTCGTCTGCTTGCAGGCGGGGCTCCGCCATGACGAGCTTGACCTGGTCCTCAACTTTCTTCAAATTCTCCTGGCCACCGTAAATCAACTGGGTCAAGTCCCAAATGTCAAAGTTCGCGCGGCGACGCTCGCGGCGCAAGTCGGTCATCACCGGCTTCGACCACTGCATCGGCTCGAACGTGGCGGGCTTCGACATGGTTTGTGCTGATGGGCTTGGAAGGGGGGCTCAGAAGTGGGCGAAAATTTTTAGGTGGTCTTTCGGGAAGATGAAATGAGAAAGTAGAACTACGAAGACTACAGTGCTGTATACTATACACGACACTGCGAGATCAATTACAATTGTAGTACAGAGAAAATATTAATGTGAAAGTTAAGTTTAATCGCGGAGCCAAATTTGGGCCACTGGAGGTGTCATGATGGGTTCAGAATCAAATTGTACTAAATAGAAAAAACTGCTAACTGCACTGCAAACTACTTACTCCGACTCTCGACCTCTGAAAACCAACAAAACGTGAGAAGATCAGAAACAAAAAAACCGATGTCGTCTTTATCATGCGGTCGTGGATGGCTAGAGTTCTTCTTCTTTCTCATGCGCTCGGACAAAAGAATAAACCGAATTGTAAGTACGCTGTTTTCACCTTTCATAGTGAGGTGTTTGCAGGCAGGACCGATCGAATATCTCGGAAAGCTCGAACCGATTCTTGGCGGTTGCGGTTACGTGGCACAAGCGAAATTGTAAGCAAGAAAGCTCCGTCTAGAGAAATCAAATCAAAGCTAACTGCTTTGTGCTGTGTTGTATTTGTTCTTCTCTTCGTATTTTATTCCTCACTCTTCTCCTAGTATACACGCCACAATGGCTGAAAGAATTGTACATCAACCCGAGTGTCTTCTCAATAGCACCGTTACTGTTCTTCAAGAATGATATTGTACAAGTGTAGTTTTTAGCTAAAATACAGATTGATACCAACAAAAAAATCCAATTCCAACGAGTCATATGTTACATTTGATCATATTGTCTCTACTATCCTAAAAAACTGCTATTCAAGACGATTCTAATACCAAAATTCATTCGAGAATCTCTCTCTTTTTCATCTGTGTCAGATTGATCTAAAAACTTGGCTAAATGGCACTCCTGTGCCTGTCTTACCTTGAAATAAAACTCGTATTTGGAAAAATTTTGCAAATTGTTTACCATAAATTCCAGAAGATTTTGTTATACGTTGTACCGTAAACGAATACGCAATAAAGTTTGTTTGAAATAAATTTGCTCACATTACATGCAAAGGGTGTCAGAAAGTTAGGTTTTGTCGTACTTGCTTACCACTGTGTTGTTGCACAGGATAGTACTCACTGTGAAGAATCCAGCCTTCTTTCCCGCCCTCTTCTCCATATTCCTTACCGCGACGGCGCCAAGTGCTTCAAGTACGAGAAGGTTTTTTCTTTTCGCTCATCGTACCTTAACACGTTCAGCAGCGATTCGCACTGCTTCATCGTCCGCGGTGTGTACGGGGACACGTCGTACAACAAGTCCACGCAAACCTTCCGCTGGTGAAAGCCCGCTAAAAACAGAGCCGTCCGTCCGTGCGCGTCCCGCATATCGGGGAGAGTTTCTTTCGTGTTACTGGTCGCCCGCTCGCTGTCCGTCACCAGCAACAAGTCCAACACCGCGTCGGAACCGTGTGCATTGCAAATATGTCTGGATCAGGAAAAGTGCAAACTTGTGATGCGTCCTGTGGGTCACACAACAATCTGTCTTGCGTGATCACCAAAAGTTGCCCATTTTTGACCAACACTACAGAAAGTCTCTCATGCAGAATAGGCATGATAGAAAACTCGCAGAATCTGTCATGCTAGGTCCTGCATTCCAGACCTCATGGGACCTGCAAATTCTGCATGACAAGTTTGCATCCTTCCAGACCCAGACATTTTTACACTGGATAAACCATGTGCCGCGGCGATGTGCAACGCCGTCCGGCCGAACGAATTATCAAATGTAAAAATGTCTGGGTCTGGAAGAATGCAACTTGTGATGCTGAATTTGGATTCCAAAAAAATCTGTATTGCATGAGCAGCAAAGGGAGTGTAATTTTTGCTACGCGGAGAGGGCATTTGTCATGCGGAATAGGAATCGCAGGGCCCTCAAAAAATCTGTGATGCTAGGGCATGCATCACAGACATCAGGAGTCATGCAAAACGTGCATGACAAACCTGGCAATCTTCCAAACCAAGACATTTTTACATTTGATACGAATCCACCGCGTACAAATCCGCGCCTCGCTTCAAAAACAGCTCGCAGAGCTCCACGTTGTCCACCAGCGCCGCGGCGTGCAGGGCGAGGCCGACGAAGTTGGATTTCGATAGCGGCGGGAGCTCGCAGTCGATACTGTTCTTCTTATCCGAGAAAAACGGTTGCTGGCGTGTCGTGCTGCCGGAAGTGGGACTGCTGGTTAGTAAGCTTCGGCTGTTCGGCGTGGTAAAACCCCCTGCCCCTCTCGTTGACTTTGGCGTGGAGTGATTCACCAATGTCGGTGAAGTAGATGAGCCGCCGAACGAAACGCCACGATTTGTTGGTGAATTTCCGCCGCTCGGGCTGTTCGCGTCGACCCCGCCGTACGCTTCTTTTTCCGCGTCGGTGAAGTAGTCCGTCGGTAGCACCCCGTCGTCCAAAAAGTTTTGCTGGACCTCTTCCGCCGGCCTGCACATGTAGATCGCGTCCGACAGCTCCCTCGCCCGTCGGTACCGCTGCGTGCACTGCTCCGTCTTGTGCGGCTTGAACAAGGCCGCGGCAATGACGCTTTCGTAGCACCAGTTGCAGTCGACCTGCCGCTGTGGGCAGGTGGTGTCGTGCTCCGGTTGCAGGATCAGGGGGAACTCGACGCCGCAGAGGTTGCACTGCGTCGGCCGGTGGGTGCAGTCGAGGCCGTGGGCGGGAAGGTCCTTCGCGAGCACGACTTCGTGGCACATCGGGCAGATCACGCCGCGGTTGGGGCACTCGATCCCGCAGTGCTTTTCCATGTCTTCGTAGCTGGGATGTAGTGTTTTTTTTTTTTCTGTGGGCGGTTTTGGTATCATGATCGATACTAGAAAAAGCCGGCTTCGAAGGCAGAAGCACACTTGTTTCTATATGCAAATAAATTCAACAGACAAAACACGAACCACACACCCAAAGCACTATACACTAGCTTCGCTCCACATCCCAATTCGCACTCCGCGTTGCGTTTCTTATCAAATGCAAAAGTGTCTGGGTCTGGAAGGATCCGAACTTGTGATGCGTGTTTCGGATCCTACAAAGATCTGTGATGCATAAACGTGCAAAAGGTGCCCACTTCTGGCCATGCTGAGAGGGCATTTCTCATGCAGAATACGCATCACCAAGGAACTGCAGAACCTGTGATGCTCGGCCCTGCATTCCAGAGGTGGGGGAGCTTGGAAAAACTGCATGGCAAATCTCGGAATCTCCCAGACCCAGACATTTTTGCATTTGATATTTCTTGCACAGCTTCAATTTGTGGATCGCGAGCTGGTTATGCATTGCAAAAGTATCGTACTAGTACTAGACCATTACGCCGGCGCCCAGGACGCCGGCGATAGGTGGCCTAGTAAATCTAAACGCAACTACCAAGCAAACTAACAACAAAGAGGAAAAAACTTGGAGAGCGTTGGGCTGAAGACTAGTCGAAAGAGTCCCGCTCTTGGGAATCTGCTAGCGGAAACGCGGCCACTATTCGAAGCCCTTCGGGCCGCGGTTGTAGCATGACAAAACGGGCCCGCACTTGCTACTGAAGCCCTTCACTAGTAGCGGCCCACATTAGTGGACGCGCGCGCCTTCGCTGCCGGGGCTTCTTCCTAACTAGCTCGCCCCCGCCCGGCCCGGCCGTCGGCCTTGGCCTTGGGCTTGGCCCGATCCCCCGCTTTTGGGCGTCCTGCCCTGCCTGATGTCTAGAGAAGGCCTCTCCCCCAGATAGGTCCCCGGACCCAGATGTCTCCCCGGATACCTCCCCAGATATATCCCAAATCCCCAGACATATCCCCAGACATATCCCCAGACATATCCCCAGACATATCCCCAGATATATCCCCAGACATATCCCCAGATATATCCCCAGATATATCCCCAGATATATCCCCAGATATATCCCCAGATATATCCCCAGACATATCCCCAGATATATCCCCAGATATATCCCCAGATGCGGGACGGGCCGCCTTTTTCATTTTGCATGCCAGCCGAGCTTCATCGCCCCCCCTACCCCCCCAAACGGGGGCGGTCTTTGGGGGTAGCCAGAATAGACCTGCTAAAAACCGGCCGGACCGCCCGCGTGGAGGACACACCGGCAGGATGTTTGTTCCCCGCGATGCCTTTTTTTTTCTTACGCGTGTTCCCTTAGAAGCTTCCCTTAAGGGCTCCCTTAAGGGAAGTTTCTAGATGCCCTTTTTTCTAGAATTCATTTTCTAAGGGCGCCCCTATAATCTATAAGGGCGAAAAATCCGAGTAAAAATTCTATAGTGTTATTTTATAAACTGCACGACAAATTTGCTCAAAAACAAAAATGCAATTTGTAATGCTGTTTTTCCTTAGAAAGTAGATCTGTCATGCAACATGGCTGCAATTACAACGAGTACGATGCTTTTGCACAGGATACTGGTGGTCCACCATGTCCACGCCGCACTGCATGGGGCAGGCAACCATCCGCTGCAAGGGGATCAGCTCCCTCGGGACTTCCTCGTGGCCCTTCTTTTTCGGTTTTTCCCCCGGCTTCAGTGGTTGGGAGTGCAGTAAATCGTCGAACCCACCCCGACACGCGACGGCCTGCTGGGGAACGAATTTCGTGGAGGCGGACAGAAGGGGGTACTTCTCTTTCAGTTTTGCGGATAAGGCGGCTTGGGAAAGCGACGAGCCGGAGGTTTCGATGACCTTTAGGGCATAATTGTTGATACGATTAGAAAGTTTATTCATGTGTCAAACTCAAATCAAGATGACACAACTCGAGCGATAAGTAGGAGTAGGACTAGTACACTGCGCATTTCAGTTTATTTTGTATACTACACCACACTGCGCTAGTACAACTAGCTGAAGTTTTTAATCAGTATACTTTTCCGTCCCGCATGACGCCAACCGATTTCCCGCCTGCCAGCGTGTCCTTCTGCAGCCGGTCCATCTCCGCCCAGAATTTGAGGATATCCAATGTAAAAATGTCTGGGTCTGGAAACTTGTTATGCTAATGTCCGAATGATACGCAAACTGTATTGCGGAGCTACGCATGACAAGTTTCTGGGTGGCTACGTCTAACGTGAATCGCATGACAAATTGCCTTTTTGCATGGCAAACAAGTGGCGCTGTTGCTGTAGCGCAACAAGCATGACAGAATTTTGTGCATTGTCGGCCGAGCATGACAAGTTTGCATTCTTCCAGACCCAGACATCTTAACATTTGATAGAGGAACATGCCGAACAAGTCACTGTTTTGCGCCAGCCACTGCTTCCCGGGCGTCTTTGCGAACGCGGTCCGGAAGTGCCTCGACATAGAGATTAGCTGCTTGAATCTCGGGTGCACCAGCATCACGTCAAAATACGTCTGCAGTCCGTGTTATGCATTGCAAATATGTCTGGGTCTGGAAACTTGTGATGCAAATTTCCGAATTGTGGGCGCACTGCAATATGGAAACCCAGCATGGAATCTTTCTCTTTTTGCGCTCCTGTTTTTCGTTTTTCGCGTGACAAACTGCGTTTTTGCATGACAGGCAAGAGGCCCTTTTCCTGCTCCTGCATCACAGATTTAAGAGTCATGCCAGACAAGCATGACAAACTTCAACTCGCACTCTTCCAGACCCAGACATATTTGCATTTGAGACGTGTGCCTGGTCCGCTGCGCCCACGATGAGGAGCTGGGCGGGGACGCCGGGCTCCAAAATTATCACATACAAATATGTCCGGGTCTGGAAACTTGTAATGCTCTGTTGTGAATAGTGACTGCCTTGTAGTGCTCAGCCAAGCATAAAGAAATATTTGCGCAGCGCAGCGTTGCGCTTTTTGCATGACAAACTGCGTTTTTGCATGACAAGAAAAAGGGTCTAATCTTGGACACGCATCACAAACTCTTCAGTCATGCCAGACAAGCATGACAGCTTTTGCATCCTTCTAGACCCAAACATATTTGCAAAGCATAAAAATCCCCGCCTCCTTAAACAACTCGCCGAGCTTATCCTGTGTAAAAACGTCCCCACACCAGAGCCAAGATGGGGAATCTGCTAGACAACTAAGCCAGCTTTGCTTGTTTGGCATGACAAGTTTGCTCGCGTAGTGTAATCCTGTTTAGCTAGTTAAGAAGCATCACAGATCTGGCAACGGATGCTGATTCTAGCATCACAAATTCCAAAACACGAATAGAAAATGCTTCGCATAGGGCTCCGCATGAGAAACTTTTACTTTTTTTTGGCATGCGGAATTGCATGACAACTATGGGGTGGGGACGTTTTTACTCAGAATAGAGCTCGTTCAGAAGGCGGGTGTCGCACTCGAAGGGGTTGCGGAGATAGTCTTGGAACCGGAAGTTGAGATGGACCTAGAAGTTAATAGGACGGCAAAAATGAAAATCGAGGAGGCGTTGCATGGAATATTATTAGCAAATATTACAAGAAGCACCACGACGTGCAGTTCAAGAACAAGCATACCTATTCTATAGCAGGACAAGCAAGATGAAGCTGTTCTTTAATAGTACCTGAAACCGGATAAACGACACGGGGTTCACGTCCGGAGCGACAATTGGGAATTTATGACACAGAAAAAAGCAGGCAGGTCACATTATGATTATTTGTAATGCAAAAATAAATACACAAAAAAATCTGTATTGCATATCCTAAACAGCACGCTATGGGGCCTCCCATGGCATTGGCAGATTTTTCTGTGCGTTAATTTTTGCATTACAAATCTGACCTGCCTGCTTTTTTCTGTTGGTTAGAATTGCAGGTCTACCCGGGAATAGAGCTTCTCGCGCTTCAGGGACTGCTGGTGGGATTCCTTCAGCTCTTCGTCGATCTTTTTCCATTCGTCGGCACAGTTCTCGCAGATACCTGTTTTTTTTATTTGTCTTGCACTTTATCAGTGGTGTACTACGCATATCAACATGTTCACAACTATGCACCCGGGTCGCTTGCTACGTCCATGCTCCGGGTTAAGAAAGAACGTAAACTCATTCTTTGTTTCAGACAAGTCCGCAAAAAATCACAAAACCTCATTATACCATAAAACTCGCATCTTCTTTTGCACGTTTCCATGCCGTACGTCTGCAGCCTTCCGCACCTATCAACTGCACATATGTCTGGGTCTGGAAGAATTCTAGACTTGTCATGCATCTCGCGGACCACACACATAGTTTGGAATGCACACACACAAGCATCACAGATTTTGCGAGACCCTCCTCATGGCTATTCCGCATGAGAAGTCCGCCTTTTGCCTAGCAAGAATTGGGCAACTTTTGGCGTTCATGCAATACAGATATTTTCGTGATCGAGTCTAGCATGACAAGTTGCCATCGCATCTTCCAGACCCAGACTACATATTTGCAATGCATAGCACACACGGCACGGCAACTCTCTCTCCTCGCTCCACCGTACGTCCTGGTAGGTCTGCAAGAACAGCGAGTGCCCCCGGGAGCAGGTCGGCACGTCCTGGGAAAAGACCCGCCGCTTGATATCTTCTGTCCTCCGCAAGTTGATCGGGCCCACCTCCCAGTTCGCCGCCACCCCTTCCCGCTTCGTTTCCTCCACCCATTTCTCCAGGCTACTCGCGTCGTATGACAGTGCACAACCCCCCCCTCCCCCTGATTTGTATTGCATGAACGGCGATACAAACAACCGCACATGTGGAGCCTGTGCATGACAAGTTCTTCATGCGCGTAAATGTAATACTGTTCAGTGCTCTGGAACCTGGCATGCAAACAGTACCACAAGGAAGCGCTTCGATTCTGTATTTTGCGTGACAAATGAGGGGGAGGGGGAGTTGTGCACTCTCATACGTCGAGCGTGCTGCCAACCGCACCCGGCTTGCCCACGCCCATGGCGTCGCGTTTTGTGATCGCGCGGAGAAAAGTCCTCCGGACCTTGGAGATTGCGGATTCCTTCCGCCCCAGGACTTTATTGTGCGCGTCGACGTCGAGCTGGTTTTATTTTCGTATTTTCGGGTTTTTGATCATTGACATGCATCGTGTGTGACAGAAAGATATCAGCTGTGGGAATAATGCAACCCTAGGCCTAGCTGAACTAAGAAAATAAATAAAAAACGCACTAGATATTCATACTCAATACACGTGATCTTCGTGAAGCCTTTACATTATACCTCACTCCGCACCGTCTTACTTTCGTGCAGCACCGTGCCAGTTTGTCGATCGATTTCCAGTCTATCAAATGTAAAAATGTCTGGGTCTGGAAGAGTCCATGTTTGTCATGCGTGTCTGGCATGACTCTCAAATCTGTCATGCACGTTACCCAAGAGCGCCACTCTTCTGTCATGCAGAAACTCAGTTTGTCATGCAGAATAGGCAACACCTAGAAGCTCAGAAACTTCTCACGCTGAGCCAGCACTTGTGGCTTCCTCATGATATGCCACCCAGCATCACAAGTTTCCAGACCCAGACATATTTACATTTGGTACAGTCGGCAGCCGAGCAAGAGACTTTCGACAAAGAGTAGGTCGTATGCATTGCAAATATATCTGGGTCTGGAAGAGTGCAAGATTTGTCATGCATATTTTCAATGACCCACGATGCCTGTAATGCATGACGTAGCGTCACCAACTTTTAGAGGGCTTCGCAATGCCTATCTCGCATGAGAAATGCCCTCTCCGCGTAACTAACAAAAACTGGACTCCTGTTGCTGGTCATGCAATACAAAGTTTTTTAGAATCCGAAAACAGCATCACAAGTTTCAACTTTCCAGACATCCAGACATCTTTGCATTTGATAGGTGGGTAAACACTGCCTCCTTGTTCAAAATTTCCCGGTGGTCGGGTGTATCCTGTGCAAAAGTATCGCACTCGTATTGCAATCCTGCATTACAAATCTTTTTCTTAAGGTAAATCCGCATTACAAATTTTATTTCTAATGCTGTAGGAAATTTGTAATGCATTTATACGAGTACGATACTTTTGCAGTCCATAGGGTGTGCGGAAGACCAATTCGGCGCAGGGCTTGAAAAAAATGATTTTGTCCTCTGGGTGCAACGCGTGCTGCTTCGTGTAATTGTAAATGTCGTTCCAATTTTTGTTTTTCGTCTCGATAGGAACCCAGGAGAGAAACAACCTGTGATAGAATTTTTGTAAGTAATATGATGTGACATTTCATTTAATATCATGTGGATGAACTCTGCGTAGTAACATATGAGCAACCTCTGATGCAACGTTCTGCATGACAAACTTCTACCTGTCATCCGGTGCCACCCCTGTGTCCTCCGCCGCATCCGGCACGTTATTCTCGACTATGCTGTGCAAAAATTGTATTGCGCTCATGGTGATAGCAATCATGCATGACAGACATGAAAGAGAAAGTCTTTAGCATTTGATTCTGCATCACAAATTTCATTTTTCCTCTTGAACAGTTTATTGTCATGCTATTTGTACTAGTACGACACTTTGTTTTTGCACTGGATATCGACTACCACCACCTGATTTCTCGTTTTTCTAGCGTTCCTCTTCTTCCTCCTTGCCTCGTGCTCCTGCGGTATCCACGGCAAATATGTTGTTGTCGCGGATTTCTCTGGAAGGGTCTGCAGTTGCGAACTTGTGATGCAAAGTCTGGATCACGAAATCGATCAGGTAATGAAAACTTGTGTTGAATAAGCGCCAAAAGTTGTCCAATGCTGGCTACGAAAGTATTGAATTTATGGTGCGGAACAGGCATCAGCGTGCATTTTCCCCGGTTGTCTATCTATCATTCAAAAGACCCAACTCGGACCATCATTCACACTGCAGCTCTCCAGACAACTCGGACTAATCATTATTTTTGTCGATGTGATAGTCCGGACCCTCTGCTTAAACTCTTCGGTCACGTTCTTGCACAGTAGCCGGTTCTCCACTAACGCCTCCCCGTCCACCGGATTGAACCCCGGCCCCCCGTTTACTTCCAGCAAGTACAACCGGGTTTCGTTCTCCGGCGAGAGGGGTCGCAAGTCCAAATGATCCGGCAATAGCACTTTCTGGTACTGCTCCCAGACCGCCAGCTGCCAAGCGCCGTCGCCCACGTCCCACCGGCAGTAGGTGGGAGCCGCGGGGGGTGGGGGTTTGTCGTCACTCGATTGGGAGAGCAAGTGGGCGAGCCCCTTTTGCTCCTTCTGCGACTTCGGCGTCTGGCTAGAGCTCGATGCGGAAGAACTGTTCGCTGAGTTGTAGATCACGGTGTTGTCCGCGAGCTCCTCAAACGTGTCAAAATCCAGGCACAACCCGAGCAGCTTCGAGGCGGCCCTCTGCAGTTCGAAACACCGCAGCCCGAGCTGCTGCCGGAGGATGGAAACGGTGGAGGGCACGAGCTCGTTGTCGTCTTTGGAAGCCATAGACTCGTGGTGGACCACGGCCATGGACTCCGTCACGGCGCGTTTCAACATCTTTTTGGACTGGTGGAGTCGTATATTTAGATGATGTTTGGTCAGTTGCTTGGTTGTCCTTCAGACCGATGCTTCACTATCATTTGGTTTGCCGTAGGTACTAGCCCCTGCTTTCTTTAAATTTTCTCGTTTATTCCCCACCCTGATTTTCGAAAAAAAACGTCCTGCTTGGTGATAATTGTAATGATGAGGCTGAGACCAAGTAGACTCAATAGCCCTGCTTCATATTCATCAATGAAAAGCGACAAAACAAACGAGCGAAAAATGATTGACGGTGCAGTGCAGACGACTGGATGCATTGTTTCAACGACGTGGTGCGAAGATTCCAAAAAAAAAATGTTGCGACTTCTTGCCCTATCAGTCTTTTTACGAGAAAAAACGACGAAAGCTTTTTGGCGACAAAGAATCACGATAGGGAAATACGGATCCTCTAGCCTACTTGCGCAGTTCACGTAGACATTCCTCCAGCACAGTCAGTGGTTCGACGATGTTGTACTGCTGGGCGGGCAACACAATAAAGACACCGAGCAAAGACGAATAAAGTACTTTTTTTTCACAAAGGAACAACTGCAGATCATCTTCATCGTGACCCACGTTGTATCTGTCTACGCTGGTGCCCCTGACTGTTGTTTCAACAACCATTTTTGCATATTCATTTCGTTCTTGGTGCCTCAACCAAGATTTTCAAATTTGAAGTAAGTTCATTTTATCGATATTTCGTATTTCTAGATTCCGATATCCGCGGTGAGTCAGAGTTTTTGAAGTTGGCGTAAATGTCGCTTTTTGTCTTCACATGCACAAGCTTCTACCGGTAGTTTGTTCTACAAGTAGAATTTTTTACCAGCGAACTCATGCTGCCAACCAAAGAGATAGCAGGCTAGGGAGTGATTCTTTCTGTCGTTCTTAAAATTCAAGTATTAGTATTCGAAATTTCTGAAGACCCGGATTCTTCACAAAGATGAGGTCTAAGTATAATCAAGTACTAGAGAAGAGCTACCCAGATGAGACCGAAATAAGCGACTCAGCTGACAGGTGCTTCGAAGCTGCTTCAAACGAACCTCCACGAGGGAGGGTGCTGCTAAAGTGTTATAGTTGTTTCGTCAGCACTTCTGTCGAATCTTCTTTAGGGATACGGTCTAAAATCAGTCACCCGTCCTTCGTTTCGTTCCCTCCCCATGAAGTATCAGTACTTACCTCAGAATAGTGATGGCTTTAGGAAGTGGTAAATAGAGCGGTTTATTATCTCACACGCAGTGGTAGAAATAAACTGGAACCTAGAAAAATCTTGTGTAGGCGTTAAACTTAAGTTCGGTGTGGCGCCTAGAACTAGAAGTGAAACTATCGGCAGAGAGAGCTAATGTCATTGGCCCGATGATAGAGCTCGACAAGCACTAGGAATACGTTTCGACAAAGACACCGCTTGCGAGAACATCCCTGTGCGAGTTGTAGCTACGGCATCCTCTGAGACTTTCTAAATACGTGTTAGCATCTTCCCATTTTGTAAATTTGCTATTTCCCGTCGATAATATTTCCCTATCTAGTTGTACTTAGCACCAGGAGGCAGAATTATAGCAGGCGGCGTTTTTAGTGAATGAATTTCTAATACGAAATAAAGTTGGAAAATTCGGTATAGTGTACTTACTGCATAGAAAAATGCAAAAGCGAAAGCTCGTTGCTCCGAAAAGGGTAAGCTCAAGTGCCGTCTTCACCGATGTGGGACACAACGAGAGCATCGTTGTGAAAACGTCGGAGTTGTGGCTGTAATAAAATTCAGTGTATTCTCGAGTTGCTTTTTTGCTGAATACCACTTCTGTGCTGATTTAACACTGTCGGTTTTATAGATTTGTTGATTTGTGTTTGTCAAGGCTAAATTTGTGATAATTTGCATTACAGAATTGATATGAGTGCAGACCGTGACGACCATTCGCATTCTATCCGAACTTAGTGTAAAGTAAAAGCAGTAAACGCCGTTTTTCGCTCGTGCCGTATTTTTCCTGCTTTTCTACGATGGCGCCGAAAGAAGAAGTGCATTTCGGAAGATCTTTCGACTACGTCCTCGTGTCATCGCTTTTACGGAACTTTAACCCTGTAGTCCGTGCTGCTGCAATCGCTGTTTTTATTGACACGTCGCTAATAAATTACTTTTTAGCACTTGTATGAAGAAAACCACTTCATTCTTTTACACCAAGATCTGAGATAGAAGGCGAGCAGTCGTTTTGGAGGTTGTAAAGTAAAGTTCGAGTTCCTGTAAATTTAGAAAATACGAAGCTCTCGACCCGAAAGACGGAAATCTTTGACATTTTGTTTTCGATTTGCACGCCTTTGAGGTAGTAGCTGATACAACAAGAAGTCGCTGATAAGCTACAGCTTTATTTCTTCACGAATATCATATAGAAGTAGAAATTTTTATCCGTTGATTGAAGCAAAACAACTTTTTGAAAACAATAAATTCAAAAGTTTATGTCTACTTCCCCAAACCTTGTCTTTACACTGTGTATAATCTAGCAATATACTGATTTACTGTCAAGGTTACGTGGGTTAGGTTTACTGGTAGCATTTTTCCTCTTGTCACAGGTCCCACTCGTCCCATCGTCGCAACCATTGTTTGGACCCCCTCGCTGACACGAGAACAACCCAGGAGGAACACCACCTGGGTCTCCTGGGTCGCAACCGCGTCGTCGAGAGGAGAAGAAAAACAAACCGTGCGGCAACAGGAGGGGACTGCTCGAGGCCACGAACCTGGAATGTACAAAAGTTGATGCGCACCGCTGGATATCTGTACAAAGTTTGGCGTAAAGGCTAGTTCTCCGGATCTCTTTTACAAAGGACTGCAACGTGGACACTGTACAAGAAACGAAATATTCTGCAACTTCGAGAAGGAAAAAATGCAGGTGTAAAAGGTAGTCGTTCTCCTTCGTACTCTTTATTTTCCGTGAATAATACAAAGGTTTGGCGGAAGTCGGGTGCATTTTTCCTTCGACATTGGATGTTCTTGCAGCGATGTCTTCGACATGCGATGTCTTCGAATTGGTAAGTTTATCTTCAACATCGTGCATGACATCTTCCAGAAACAGCGGACTTTTCAATTTCCCTGTCTGTTTCAGCAGCACTGTGCTGTTGTTGTTCCTGATAAAGTGAAAATTCGTGTCTGGTAAAGTGACATCTGTTTTTCTTCTCTTTGTTGTAATCTTTTTTCCTGGTAAAGTGAAATCGGTTTTTGATCTGGTAGTACAAGTTGTACTCAAGTCCTGTAGTTTTCCTGGTATCCACTGCAACTACGGTACTGCGTCTGGAAAGTTGTGATGCATCATGTCTTAACTGTCAGCGAATGTTGATATACCGCACTGGAATGTTGCACGGCCAAGCATGACAGATGTTTTCGTGCTGGTGGACCCGTGTTGCTCACAAAAATTTTTACGCGTGAGAATATTAAACTGCTTTTTTGATACCAGCGTCATGCCAGACCAGCATGACAACCCTCGCTGCAATCCTGTTCATGTTCCAGCCACACTAGCATATTTATTGCAGTGGATACCTGGTAAAGTGTGACAGTTTTTCATCTCTTCCACTTGGAAGACAACTTAGAAGTCTTCGTCCATGGAAAAGGCGTGACTGCTCTCGCCCTCCCCGGACGTGGCCGTCTCCGCCGCCTTCATTACACCCGCCTTCTGGTAGTCCCCGACCCGCTTCTCGAAGAAGTTTGTCTTGCCCTGCAGGGAGATCAGCTCCATCCAGTCGAAGGGGTTCTTTACCTCATACAACTTCTCGCAGCCCAAGGCGACCAACAGCCGGTCCGCCACAAACTGGATGTACCTGATTTTTTTGTATCAGGTCGGGTCATTTTTAGTGATAAGTAGTACAACACAGAAGCACAACGTTGGACGATTGCGTCTCACAAACGTCAACTGCCTTGGTGGTGTATACATGACAAATCTTCATTCAACAACCCTATAGAAGAAACAACAAGTACGTTCCCATCAACTTCTTATTCATGCCGATGAGGTCGCAGCTCAAGGCATCGCAGATGAATTCCTGTTCCACGGCCACCTATCAACAGCAAAAGTGTCTGGGTCTGGAAGATTACAACTTGTCATGCTGTTTTTGGATTCTAAAAAAATTTGTATTGCGTGACCAGCAAGAGGGGCACAGTTTGTGCTACACGGACAAGGCATTTCTCATGCGGAAGGTGCATCAGGAAGCCCTCTAAAAGTCTGCGATGCTAGGTCATGCATTACAGGCATCATGGGTCATGAGGAATATGCATGACAAGTCTTGTATTCTTCCAGACCCAGACGTTTTTGCATTTGATACCACCGCTCCCTTTACGATCTCGTGCACCACCGCCTGTGGGAGCTTCTTCTCCAGCATGCCATACAACAAACAGGCGAAATCCGCGTGCAACCCTTCGTCCCGCGCAATCAACTCGTTGGAAAACGTCAGACCCGGCATCAAACCTGTAGTGACGTTTTGTTTTATGTGAAGAAATCTGCATGACAGACAATTATGTATCGTGATGTGATTCTGCAGGACAATTTTTTTTTCCTGTGTCGTGAAATCTGCATGAGAACCTCACTTTCCACTTTAATTTATGAATCTGGATCATCTGCATGACAACCGCTGTCTCTAGCTTAGACTCGTAGTAAGTACCTCGCTTCTTCACCCAGTAGATGGCACAGAACGAGCCGGAGAAGAGAATCCCCTCCACGCACGCGAACGCGACCAACCGCATTGCGAAACACAGGTCACTGCTCATCCAGCTGGAGGCCCACTTCGCCTTCTTTTCGATGACCGGAATCGTGGTGATTGCGTTGAACAGACGGTGCTTTTCCGCTTCGTCGTTACCTGGAATGTAGGAAATAAAGTTGACGTGCATCTATCAAACAAGCACTTTGTTCATACAGTAACAGTTACACTTACACTTACAGGCAGAGCTAGAGCTGCATGATAAAATAAAATGACCATTTGTTGACTCATGCGAGGACATCATCACGCTTGTAATACATTCACATCGGAGAAGATCAAGATCTATTTCATCCGCGAACAAAAATTATAATTCAAAGTACGGCAGTATTGGTCGATGAGCAATGAGTAGGTCTCCGAGTGGATGTTCTCCATGCCGGCCTGGAACCCGTAGAACGCGCGGGCTTCCGGCAGCTGCACTTCGGACGCGAAGTTGCAGTTAATGTTCTCCAGCACGATACCTTGTTCAACATCCGATGTTTGTCTGGTCTTGTGCATGACAAACTTCGTCTACAAATTTGGTACTTAGATTTGACTGCTTGTACTTCTGGTTCTGCTCGCATCACAAATTCAGTCCCCTGCTTTTACGTGTTTTCGTTTTGCTTTTGCAGAAAAAAACAGTATAAGTACCATCACTCCCTGCGAAGAAGGCCAAGATGTGTTTGATGAAGTGGTGTTCGTTCCCTGTATGCAAAGGAAAATAAAGTGCTACAATTAAGTACACATTGGGCTCGACGTGCGTCGTACGTGCAAGACCAGCATGACAAACACCCTTTGTCATGCAAGACATGCTGACTACGTGTTATTTGCAAGACATGCAAGAATTTGTCATGCAAGTTTGTCAAAAGTGTAAATCACTTTTTTCCTGTGCATACTCTGAGAGCTTTTCCCAGTCCGTCATGTCCTGGGTCAGATCGATTTCCTCCGCTGTCCAGAAGGACGCTTCGTGTATCGCCAGAGAAAAACTATGTGGGTGTAAGTCTGTGATGCAGAAAATGCAAAACTGTTACACTTGTCATGCTGAATCTGCGTCATAGGCTACTTTCATACGTGTTTCCACTTACTAGCTGCGCATGACAGATTTTCCCTGTAATGCAAAACGAATTTGTTATGCTGCACTTCCTACAAGGTTGCACTCACACAGTTTTTTTCCTGGATATCGTGCTGCTTGTACCTGATAGTGAACAAACCGCATCAAAGTAGAGTTGTTGTTTTTAATCTTCGAATAGGTTCCCTTAATTTCTCATGCAAATCTATGCATGACAAACAAAGTAGAAGTAGGTACTATGCATGACAAACAATAATAAAAATCCAAATCTAGTAAGTACATCTCCCACACTTCCGGGTACTGGATCGGGAACATGACCCATCGCTGCGGATTTTCCTTCAGCAAGATCTCATTTGGTTCGTACGTTTTGAATTCCGCACTAATGGCCTTGGCGTTCATGCTGAGCTTAGACGCGTCCACCTGCTGCTCTTCGTCGCTACTGCTCGAGGCCGCGGTAGACTCGTCGTCGCTCGGCGCGGCAGAACCTGTGTAGTATTAATTTTCGAGTATTTTACTTCATGATGCATGACATCAGACATGACGACCTGTAGTATAAAGAAGTAGTACCTTGTCATGCAGGAGGGGTACGACCTTATCACGAACGAACCAGTATCGCGTTTTACTTCTTTACCATCAAAACAAAAAACCCAATAGATACTGAAAGAGAGGCTCTGCAAATCGACATCTGGTCCGTTGCCCACGACCACGCCGCCCTTTACCACGCACTTGTGTGGGATTCCCTTGATGCCGTACTCCTCCGGGATTTCGTCATCGTCCACAATAGAAGAGATGCACTGTATAATTTTCGTTAAATTTGTAATGCATAAGATTACATAACAGGACTACACTGTCATGCAAGTAATGCATAAGATCTTCGCTATATACCTTTGTGATTCCGTGGTCCTTGCAGAATTTCCCCGCACCCTCGTCATCGTTTTCCAGGTTGATCAGGAGGAATGCGACGTTTTTGTCGGAGAACTTGGTTTATGAAATGCAAAAGTGTCTGGGTCTGGAAGAGCGTGAACAGAACTTGTCATGCAGCTTTTCCATGACCCATGAGGTCTGGAATGCAGGACCTAGCATGACAGATTCTGTGCGATCTCTCTCATGCCTATCCTGCATGAGAAACTTCCTCCCAACTTGGTTGAAAGTGGACAGCTTTTGGCACTCATGCAACACAGATTTTTGCATGATTCGGATTTAGCATGACAAGTGCAATCTTGCCGACATCCAGACATTTTTGCAATCCATATGGTTGCCAAACCCTCGAGTTCCTTGGCGGTATCCGGGCATTTGGTGCACCAGCACGTGTAAAAGTCGAGGACCAAATGCTCGTACTGCTGAGACAGTTCCGCGATGGAGCTCGATTTGCCTTTGCCCGTCTCCTTATCAATCTGACAGAGTTTGTTCAGTTAATTTTCTATGATGTATTTTCTTCTTTATGCAAACACGTTGTGGGGAGCGGGAGGAAAAAAAGCGTATTCTGCATGACAAATTCAATCCATCATGATGATCGGTGTTGCAGTTCAAGTTCAAGTTCTTGCAATTTTGCATTACAGAATAATGAAAACAAAATTATGATAAAACAGCAGCAATTATGGTGTGTGTACCACGGTGATCGGGAAATCCATCAGGTTCTTGCCCACAAGCTTCTTCGTGTCCGACATTTTCAAGGTTTTTTGGGTAGTTTCTTGGGTAGTTGAAAAATGCAAATTTATGTTTTCTTTTTTTGTTCTTTTGCAACGGTAGAGATTTTTGTTTTTCTACTCCTCTTCGATATTTTTCTTCTGCAGCTATAGAAACAGTGATAATTTGTTTTTTTGGACTTTTCTATCGCTAGTGTATTTACTTTACTCTTGACTTTTTTAGCACAAAAGCACTGGTTTTTCTTTCTGTTATAGTTGTTTTTTGGTGGAGATAGATTGATTGTGTTTTTTTATTTTTCTCGGCACTGGGCGGAAAAAAAAGACGTGGCTAGAGGGAGTTTTTGGATGAGAAGAAAAAATGGCGTCAGAAGAAAAAACCGTGTCGAACTTTATGGCGTCCTTTTTAGCTTCCGACAACAGTCAACAACACACTACTATCGAGATAGTACAGCAACTTTCTTTGTTCCACAGCAACATTCTTTTTTCCACAAGTACGACATCAACCGGGCTTCTGACAGCTTCGACTTCACTTTGTTCATCACTCGGCGGGGTGGTCCTTACAACGGGGAATTTCAATGACAAGCGCAGCAAATTCGACTCTACTGCACTTTCTTTATCTATCACACATGTTGTACTTGCAACAGCAGATGATGCAGAGGAGGGGGGAAACCAGGTACACAAGACACCCAAACTTCATGGAACAAGGGTACTTCTTGTTCAGCGGCCGCAGACACAGACAACAGCAGGGGCAAGTAGCGCTACTATACTTCGGGGACAACTTAATCTTAATCTTAATCTTCTTCGTATATACTATCAACAATCTTGTTCGCTTCTTCGATGCAGCAAGTAAGCTTCAGCAATCAGACACAGTTGGGGAAGAACTACTTACGTAGAGCTACTTGTTCGACGTATCATCATCTTTTCATCAACATCAAGCACATACGAAGCTCCAACTCGGACGGTGAAAAAAAGCAATTAAACAACACAGACGGGTCGACCACTCGTTCATCTTTTCGTTTCGTCTCTTTGTCCCCAGCGAAATCCTTGCGAGAAAAGCTTTTTCTAAATCGAACTCAATCGAAGGAACACGACGAAAAATGATCTCTCTCAGCAGCTCGTTTGGCTTTCTTTTTTCGGAGCCATAACAGCCGGCGATAGTTTGACAGTACAGTCGATGGTGGAATTTGAATTTCCACTTTTAATGTAGCACGAGGAGGAAGCGCTTTAGCTCGGCAGATCTTATACTGAAAAAATGAAAAATACGGTCGTCGGTCGTTACTATTCTTGTCCTGTTCTTGTCAGAGTTGTGACAGTGGTTTAATGTGGATATTACTGACTGGCTGACTACTATTTCAGTCCGCTCGAAATGACTGTTGCAAGATAAATACTGTCGCAGAAATTCATAAACTCTTGCACCGTTGTAGCCGTACTATCAACTTTGATGGTGCCCCTTCGGTAATATTAGAATTACCCTCGTCATATTAATGCCTGCTGGTCTTACTGCGCGTACTTACTCATCCCTGGTGCACGAATCGCAACTTGTCGAATACAACTTGTCGAATACAAAACTTGAACTGTTTCTCTTTCTGTCGCTGCTCGCTAAAAATTATAGACCTCCCTTGTCGTCTAACTAAAACAACTCTGTTTCGTTCTTCGAATCAGATTCGTATAACAAACATTTTGCTTGATTGGTGTGCTGACGCTGAGACCACTTTCCAGCTTGTGGCATAACCTTGCTTGCTCGCTGGAGCTTGTGGCGATAAAAATTTTAACTGGGTCACTTTTATTCTTCCAAACCTGTAACTTGCGCAAAAGCTTAACAACCAGATGAGATCCTTTCATCAGCTGCAGCTTCACGTCTACCCTAGTACCAATCCTCCTTCACCCGACGCGCACCCGCTTGGCTTGCGGCTCGTACTGCTGGTCGTCCCCGAGGTCGCCAAAAACGATATTCCCGCCCGATTCCAGTCCCTCGTCTACGTTGCTGGCGTGTTGCGGCTCGACGTCCTCGAACTTGGCGTTTCTAGGCTTCGTCTTGCCCTGCTCCAGATCGTCGAGTAGGACCAAGTCGTATGAAATGCAAAAGCATCGCACTAGTACAAATCGCATGAAAAATCTCCTCAGCATGAAAAATAAAATTTGTAATGCGGATTTCACTTGAGAAAGAAATTTGTAATGCATGAACGCGATTAGCACGAGTACGATACTTTTGCACAGGATAAGTCGTTCGCTTGCGGCTTGCCCCGCTGGTTCAGGACGATCATGAATTGTACCTGTTTTCCGACTATGCATTGCAAAAGTATCGCACTCGTATAAATGCATTACAAATCTCCTCAGCATGAGAAATAAAATTTGTAATGCGGATTTAGCTTCAGAAAAAAAAATTGTAATGCATGATTGCAATATGAGTACGATCCTTTTGCAGTTCATACCGACCAGCGAGGGGAGATTCTGGTCCATGGGCGTGTCCGCAATGTCGAGGTATTTGCTATCAAATGTAAAAATGTCTGGGTCTGGAAGAATGCAACTTGTCATGCTAAATCTGAAGCATGCAAAAATCTGTGTTGCATGATTACCAAAAGTCGTCCAGTTTTTCCCAAGTCGGGAGGGAGTTTCTCATGCAGGATAGGCATGAGAGAGATCGCACAGAGTCTGCCATGCTAGGTCCTGCATTCCAGATCTCATGGGTCATGGAAAAGCTGCATGACAAATCGCGCATTCTTCCAGGCCCAGACATATTTGCATTTGATATTTGCACAGCTTGATCAATTCGTTTTTGTGGAGAAATACATCGTATGCATATTGCAAAAGTACCGTACAACTCGTTGTAGTCGTACTTCTAATTGCAGTCATGCATTCAGAAATATCCTTCTTAGGCTAAATCTGCATTACAAATTCCGTTTCTCATATTGAAGGCATTATTTGTCATGCGATTTATACTACTAGTAGTAGTACGATTTGCTTTTACAAAATGCATACGTCGCACCCAAAGTGGTCAAACAGGTCAGGGCACTGCAGAAACCCGAAGCCCTTGCTATACCCTGCTCAGCTGTTACAATCTCAAACGTTACAATAGAATATGGAAATCTGTGATGCGCGAGTGCATGATCTATCCAACTCTCACAGGATTGCGCATGACAAGTTTCGGAGCCCCAAACCGCACTAGAATCTGGAGAAATTTGTGTTGCAGAAAGTGGAACGCTCTGCGATTCTGTCATGCTCATCATGCAAGACAAATTCCAGACTCTATTGTAACGTTTGAGATTGTAACGTTTGAGCGGGTCATACTTGCTCTCGTTGAAGCTCTTGATCAGCCCTGTGTGCGGCCCCGGCGACACTGTCTGGAGCTTGCTCTCGGCTTGGGCTACCAGCTCCGCGGTTTTACCTTCATCAGAGATTTGAGTTTATTAACTTTACGTGACTTTTTCATGGAGTTTCTGAACCTGTTCATCAGGAGGAACTAAGTTTCTACTTGAAGAGTGCAACATGAAAACACGAACTCTATCATCTGATGAATCGGGATAAAAATAGTACCGAGTATGACCGCCTGTGGGTTGTTTGTCTTTGGGCAGAGGCGGACCGTGAAGGTCACCTCGTCTCCCACTTTCAATCCGTGATTCTCCACTTCCTGCTTATTCAAAAAGGTGTCGCGCTGGAAGTGCGATTTCACGTCGCTGCAGTCCACGAAACCGTACCCCTTGTCCGTGTTGTATTGTGAGGAAAAATCCCCCCTCCCCATATTGAAAAGGCGTGCTCTTCAACATTTGTGATGCTGATTTGTGGCAACAAATCGAGTCCGTCTTGCAAGAGAGCCAAGCCAGGGCGTCCGCTGCATTTCGGAGGCGATTTGTAATGCTGCTACGCTACTAGGGCAGACGTCTGCCATGCTAAGGACCTACACCAAGCCACCCCTTTCCGGGCTGAGCACCTACACCCATCTGTATGCAGTCCTCCACCGCAAGACAAATCCGATTTGTGTACACAAATCCTGCATCACAGATTTCCATTTCGATATGGGGAGGGAGGATTTTTCCTTTTGATATGTTGTAACTCTTCACGACGCCCGTGTACTCCTTGTTAATGTTAAACTTGTCCGCACTGTTGTTCGTGCCTTGCTGAGACTGGTGGAAGTGCGACCCGTATGGATTGCAAACATGTCTGGGTCTGGAAGAGTGGAACTTGTAATGCTGTCTGCGGATTCTAGAAATATCTGTGTTGCATGAGCAGTAAGAGGAGTCAGCTCTTGGCACGCGGAGAGGGCATTTGTGATGCGTGATTAGCATCAACAACCTCTCAAAAAATCTGTGATGCTAGCACCAGCATCACAGACCTCACGGGTCATGCAAAATGTGCATGACGAGCCCCGACTCTTCCAGACCCAGACAGTTTTGCAGTTGATAACCCGCCGCCGTGCTGCTGGTATCGTGCTTGGCCCACCGCCGCGGGAATCACCGTAGTGGTCGGGTACCTGCAGTAGTTGAATTTTTATGGGTAAAAGTATAAACGGAAAATAAACAGGTCTGAAATGCAGTGGGAATGTGAATGATCCGACCGAGGACTGTATACTACATCTAGATCTTCTACATTTTGAAGCAACCTCACAAGTACAATCTATGTCAACTATACATACAAGTATAAAAAGTAATTATACCCTCCATGTCCGTTTTGTGGGAACATATCCTCCGCTTTTATCAGTCCCCGCGCCTGCGGTTTCCCCTGTTCTGACAGCACGAAGTCAAAGTAAACGAAGTCGCCCACCCGGAAGTTGAGCGCTTGTGTGTAGTGAAGGAACACGTCGGAGGAGTTATACATGCGGCCGGCCTGTTGATTTTAGCATTTTTCCCTCAAAGTAATCCAAACGAATTTTTGAGTATGAAAAGCTGGTTGTACCAAAGGTTCTTGCATAAAAAAAAAGATACTACGATGTTGAAGTTGAACCATCTATATTTTTTACGCATGATAAAAGGCACCAATAATCTATCGCCGCAAAATAAACAGGTAAGTAGGTAAGTACGTCATCGCTCTGCACGAAGCCGAAGCCTTTCTCCTGGTTGAAGGTTCGAATTTGTCCAAACAACTTGCCCTCTATCGCCGTTTGCGCGTGCGATCGTTTGTTCTGCGGCGGCTGTATCCTGGCATTGTTCTGCGGCGCGTGGAGGTAACCGCTGTGGTGCGCGGGGAAATGCGCTTGGGGCTGGAGGTTGGGAGAGTTGCTTGGGGTGACGTATGCAGGAGGAAAATAAAAGCGGCGTTTTAGTGTTATGGCTTCTTGGACTAGTACGGACAACATGCCAAATTATGTGCAGCGGTGCGTCGCGACAGGGATCATGACCTTTAATTGCTGTCGTGCGTCGCTCGTATTTTTAGTGCAGACCAAAACAACACAACAAACATCCATATAAAAAGAGGATATTAGTATAAAGCGTATTGGTGGTCCGGCATGACAATTTTCACTGGCTGCATTTGTTCTTGCATGTGGTTCGCAAAATTACAGACACTTACACTAGAACAGTTTTTCACACAACTTGGATACAGTGTACTGGGAATGCACCGAGTGGTTGTTCGATGCGTAGGAATTATTGTTTTTCCCTCCTCTGTAGTTTCCGCCTTTTCCGTATCCAAAAAAAAAAACTGTGTCAGTGTACAACCGTTCGTGGATGAGGCTGCGTCACGATTAATAATGAATTTGTTCTGCATGACAGAGAAAACAACCTGTCATGCGTTGCTAGGAGACGACGCGACAACATACGTATGACGAACTTGCGGCTATGATACGGGTGCCGTTCGGCAAGCCAAGCTCTAGTTGTAGTTTTGCTCCATACTTATGCTATGCAAATGGAAATCGAAATGCAAGTGCAACTAAACGCAGCTAACACAATTACACAGTCACAGTTTATCTTTTTTGCATATTCCGCCGGTCGTGTAGGTCACCGGCGGGTTACTCACGTGACCGTTGTATCAAGTGCAAAAGTGTCTGGGTCTGGGTCTGGGAGATTGCCAGGTTTGTCTTTGTCATGCATATTTTGCATAAACCCATGATGCCTGTAATGCATGACCCAGCATCAAAGATTTTTAGAGAGCCTTCTGATGCGTATTCCGCATGAGAAACGCCCACTCCGCGTAGCACAAAGTGAACTTCTCTTGCTGGTCAGACAATACAGATTTTTTTTACCTTCCAAAGACAGCATCACGAGTTGCAACTTTCCACACCCAGACATATTTGCATTTGATACGTTGCCGCCGAAATTTCTCCCGACGTTGCCGCCCCCGCCTCCGTGCGGAATCACCTTGCTCACATTGATATGCAGTGCAAAAGTATCGTACTAGTACTATAAATTGCATTACAAATTAGGCCAGCATTTTTCCAAGTTAAACTTCCAATGCGGATTTGCCTTAAGAAAAAGATTTGTAATGCAGAAATGCAACTAGTACGAGTACGATACTTTTGCATTGCATAATTGACGGCACGCGGCTGCCCACGATCCGACGTCTGCACCTCAAACCGAACCTCGTTCGCGTATCCAGTGCAAAACAATAACAAGCGCACTCATGCCTAAATCCCAGAAGTATCCAACCACTCCACAGTACGTGCCCATCGAGATAATATCGCTATCGATATAATCATCGGAAAAAGGAATTAATTCAAGAACATCGAAAATAAACCATCGCCTCTTGTGAGGTCGACGTGCGAAGAAAGAATACAAGTTTGCATGCCAACATCAAGCATGCTGAAGCCGAGCTGGAAGGGCATCTGGAGGTTGTGTGGTAGAAAGAAAAATTTGATCTAGTGCACATCGATCTTCGATTTACACAGGATATCCCGACCTCGCACTTAGCGGCTTCGAACTCCATTCGGTGAAGAAAAACATCGCGGTGGTACTCTTGGTAAATGTATCACTTGGAAAACAAGTAAAAACCCAAACACGACCCATGATACCACTCAAGACTTTAATTTTTTCTTTAATGCGACGGTGACAAGGCAAAAAACAAGAGGCAAAAAATAATCCAGCTGCATTACACAAAATTGTTCTCTGAGCTGAGCCACGGGAGTTTTGTTGTCCTTTTTCCATTGGATAAAGTGTCGGGACAGTCAATGAAGCCGTAGCCGTTACCTTCGTGTTTTTTTTTTGCAATTTTTTTTCCTCAGGATTGAAAAGAAAAAGCACATCGGCAGTAGCATTGGGAGATCAGCAAGCTGTTGTGGGCTAAATTAGTGTCGTATTAATAGCAATCTCGTAGTTGTGTACCGGCATTGTAGCTTTTCACGATTCCGATGTAGGCGCGGCTCATTGTCGCTATGCATTGGAAATCCGCCGATCTGGGTTTGGATGCTTGTGAACATGCAAGAGTAGAGTTGTGTGATTCAAGAGCTGCGGACGCTAAGTTGTGGAAAAGAAGATCTGTATTTTTGCATCAAGAGGATTAAGTAGTACTAGTAACAGTAAGGTTTTCTCTACTCTTGCTGTGAAGCTTAACGCACGACGCATAAATACAGCCATGACTACAACTCGTCAACATGCATTACGGAACCATGGCATCAGGACCACCCAGAACGGTATCATCTCTTTTGCAGTTGATAGTCGCTAGCAGGGGTACTTATTTACTATCCTTCGGTTTTGTTGCCCCTCGCGTCGAACAAAGCGCCAGAAAAAAACGAAACACCCTCCACAATCGGCGTCGAAAAAGAACGCAAGTCTCGAAAAAAAAAACGCCCCGCCGCCCGAATTTTTATAGGAAGTACTTATCGCCGCCCCAAAGAAGATGAAGAAGGCAGTAGACCCCCGAAGATAATTCTTGTCGTTGTACTACAAAAATTGTAAACAAAGGTTGTGGCCTGCTCCGTGGCGGTGAAGAAGATTATCTTTCGCGTCCAATTTGGAACTATGAGAGTGCACCCCTCCCCCCAGGCCCTCACTTGAATTGTAGTCGTAGTGCATTCTGCATCACAATTCTTCTGAAAATGGGTGATGATACTTACTACCGCATGTCAACATGCAAAGCAGTAGCACAGGTCAAGGAAAAGAACCTGCTTTTCTTAAATACTCTGCAAGGGTGGGAAGATGCTGGTGGAGTTGTTGTGCACTCACATACAAAAACCGCCGAAAACAAAACGCGGACCTCCAAATTCTTGCCGTGTCCTCTGGAAGGTCCAAAAAGTTCTAAATGTTCCGGAAACAAACGCGGCGCGGGAAAGGTCGCGGCGGTGAAAAAGGGCAATTTGTGTATTGTTTCGGTCTTTTGTGAAAATTGGAAAAAAAAACACAAAGAAATCCAAACGGCAGAAAAAAATAGCTCGTTTTGCACAAAAAAATTTTTGACTGCAAAGAAATTTCGGGTCAGTGCGTGAAAAAAGTTGTGCCTTTTGAAAAAGAGATGAGCCTGGTGATGTTGTTTTTGAAAAATCTCAGAAGATGTATACTGACTTCGTAATTCAACATAATAGTGATTTGTAATGCATGTTTTCTGATATTTTCACTGACAGTCAAAAACGTCGTCGTCTTTATTCACGTCGCTTTGTAATCATTTCTCACTTTTCCTTCTGTCTGGTGTGACGAAATCTTGCGAGCGAGGTCCAGAAAACAAGGTCTTTTTCGTTTTCAGTGCTTGATGCTCTGATAAAAGGGACAGCTGCAGAAATAAAACCCTCTAAAAACACAGGATCTTTCGCGGGAAAACTTATGCAGAGTACAAAGGAACATCAGAGCAGTGGTAAGTACCAATTTCATTTTCGAATTTTTTGAAAAGACCCAGGGTACTAGTCTCCTGCAAAAGTTTCTTTGCAACAGGTTCTCCATTTCTTCATTCCTCTAAATTTGTTACATCGTAAACGCACAAGAACAGAAAGGTAGCAGAAAAAAATCCTTGGGCGGCGGGTCGGCTCATTTGACAAAAAGAAATAGTAAAGAACCCAAGTAGCCACTTTTTATTTCATTTCGCATGCTGCAGCATCAGAAAGAAAGAAAATTCGGCGAATCACATTAAATGATCTTGCTCGTCCTTTCGAGTCGCGCTCGCCTGGAGTCACAACTATAGCTGCGCGTAGTTCTGCAATTTCTGTTTGTCGCTTCCCTCACTTACACTTTCATAGCTTTACATACTCACTTCTGTGTGGCTGAAGAGTTCTTGGATCAGCGATGTTGTAGCAATGTACTTTACTTATCTTTTTGTCTGGCTACTTATGTGGTACAAAAATTCCTTTCGGCCCTCGCACCAAGGCGTGTTTTTACAGCATAGCTCCACCTGCGCAGTGGGACGATAAACATCCACTGGTCTGTAGTACGTTTTCATTTGCTCCTTGAGCCGACAGAGAAATAATGAAGGAACTACAACACGCGCATTAATTCCCGATGAACGCCGGGCATCAGGCCCCGCTCCCTCCCATCCTGCGGCACGCAGCAAGCGGCAACACGGGTCATTCGGTTCCTTTCCGAAAGCATTTCACTATTTCATCTTCCTTTCTAAAACATGTCACAGCACCGCACCCCTGTTTGTGTTGCAGTTTGCGTCATTTGCCTGGTCACGGTGGTCATCTCTTCCGGGTCATGATATCAAAAGAGACGCCAAGACAAATTAAAATGCGTTTTTCAGGGAAAAGATGTCAGGAGTGCAAGGGGTGTCCTTGTTGTTGGTTGTGGAATAAAATAGGTAGAAAATAGGTAGTTCTTTAATTACGAACTGGTGCGCGACCAATAACAGCTTAAAGTTCGGGGGGAGTTGTTGTTGTACCCCTCCTAGTTACTACTAAGAGGGGTGCAACCTATGAAAATTGTTCGTTTTTTTTTTGCTGCGAGAGGTGGAAAATTTTAAAAGATGTAGTTTCTGCACCCTGTCTCTTACCTAGCGCTTCTCCAACAAAAAAGCCTCGACGAGCAGATTATGTCCAAGTGATCAACATCTTCAAACGCTTCTAAGATTACTGTATAAAACTTATTATAGTGAGGATATAAAGCTGACGCTGACTTGAATAGTACTGCACTCCAAAATTCGACGAGTCTGTGATTGCGCTGCGGTTCTTCCACAAGCTTGTTTGTTTGTTTGTTGTGAGTGGTCACGTGGAATCCTCTTGAAAGTTTTTGCTTTCTCCTCACGTGGTTAGCGCTACTTCAACAAAAAGACAAGCTGGGCAAGCAACTTTTGGCTTGGGCCCTTATAGAAAAACTTTTTCTGCTGGACAACTACCTGAACCTAGTGGAAGACAACGACACTACCTTACGTAAAGCTCTGAAAGTCATTTTTGAAAAGTAAACTGTTCTTGTTGAAAAAGGGAAAGAGAAAGTCTGAAAGTTGAGACGAGAAAAATAGAAGCTGTTGAAATTGAAAAGCTAGTTAAAATTTTACTGCAAAGTTGAGAAGGTTACAAAGCAGCGCAGTTCTAAAAAGTTAAAGCTTAGTCCTGTTTTTCGCTGTTGTAAGTTAAAACTTTGGGGCTTGTGCTTGTAGGAACTGTTTTTGTTTCTTTTTTAAATTTTAGTTATTCATCTTGCTTGTCGCTTATGCTGCAGGTCGTTGCGGGCCTGTCTTACGCTTTTTGCTTGTAGTTGCTGTCGTACACTAACACTTACGGATTGATTAAGTTTTTCTTTTCTACTTTTGCTTGCTGCTTCGGAGTTAACTTTTCCAAAAATTAAAATCATACACGACATCTTCTAAATGATAATGAACATGTTAGTAGCAAAGGGTGAATAAAATATAGGTAGGGCCAAATCATAACTACAGAGCGGGTTCGTAACATGTAAATACGTATGTTAATCAGATCTTCGACGAGGTTGAGCCTCTTATTTGCAGCACTAACTTAGTGCTCGACATTTAGTTGCCGCATTTCAAACATGATGCTCTACATTTACTTGCACTCGCTGCAAATGTGATGAATTCTGTTGCCACTCAAGCACTGCTTGCACTTGCTCAAAATGTTGTACTGCTCGTCGGTCTATGGTAAAGAAAAATAACGGACTTCACTGAGCAGGAATCAAAAGCTCAAAAGGAGCTGCACCGTCTCGACGCCGTTTGGGAAAGCCAGACCGTAACCTTCCGGAGGCATACTCGGGCTGGTGCTCTATCCTGAGAAAAAACATCCCCGCCCCATAGTTGTCATGCTAAACAGAAGTGCGACCCGCTATGCCTCCCCCTGTGCAAACGGCCGCAGATGGCTGTCACGCAAGGTTTGCACCTACAGGAACGGTTGTCATGCGCGTTCCCATGAGAGTTAGTTGTCATGTTTGTGCATTTGTAATGCTGCAAACAGGACAAGCAGATAGATATGTGATACGGCTGTCCTTCTCCTTATTCCCCTGATGTACTACAATACAGAGGGAACAAATAACTTGTGATGCGTCTGCCTTGCAAAATCCCAAGCTGGAATCTGTGATGGGGATGTTTTTACATAGGATACGTCCCAGCATTGATTTAGAAAGTACCCGTGCTGGTCCAAGGGGTTTCTGACGTACAAGGTATCCTGTGTAAAAACGAACCCACCCCCGAGTTGTCATGCAAAATGGCATGCATACAAATACAATGTAGTTTCTCATGCGCAACCCAATGAGGAGCATCTTCTAATGCTACCTGGGTTGCATCATTTCCGATGCTCTAATATGGATAAGGTAATGGACTTGTGATGCGGCTGCGCTAGCTAATCACGACTATGCTGGAACTACCTCGCAGACTTGTCGTGCGCAAAAATACTGATCCAAACCTTGCTGATTTGTGTACTTCCTAGCAGGACCGCGAAAATCTTGACTCTGCTGAGGTGTCGTGAGCCCCGGCTTTTACACAGCATACCAGCGTTTCCCTTGACTTTCTCGCCCCAGCTCCTCATCGGCCTGATACTGGCCAAAGCGCTCCATCAAGTTCCTCCACTTGCCCTCAAAGGAATTGTCGTAGTTTTCCCGCAAAAATTTATGGGTTTTTTCCTTTTGTTCTTCCTTCTCGCTCAGGGAAGCCGGGAGTTGTAGTCGCGAGCAGGAGTTGTAGTCGCGAGCAAGAATTGTTCTCATTTAGATGTAGAGACATCGAAGAACGAGGACACAAAAACGCAAATAAGCGACAAAGAAATGAAGAGCAAGCCGAAACGACGCAACATGTTCGTGACGCCGGCGTTGCGGGGTCTTTCCGTGTTTGTCATGACTGGTGGACTGACGTTGTGCTTCGGTTCGGTCTTTTTCTTGACGAATTCCATCCTCGTCGAGTTTGTGCTGGATCCGCTTGCGGCAAATACGGCCATCGCCCTGCCAGTTCGATTGGCGATCGAGCTTGCCATCTCCCTCCTGGTGTTTCTCATCTGGGTCCCCTTGGCGGCGCACTACTGGGGGAAATCCGTCGCGATTGCGATCTTTGTACCGCTGCCCTACTGGATTTCCGCCGAGGTCTACGAGGAGAGTCAGCAGCCGGGTAGTCATTTTGCCGGCGAGGGTGATGATGCAAAGCGGGAACGCGAAAAGCAGCGCAAACGCCGCATGAGGGAAACCTTCGAACATATTCCTTGAAAATCAACCATACCCATCCAATTTGTCACGTAAAACATGAAGGAAGTTCTGTGTTTGTCATGCAGATGCAAAGAAAGAATGGGGATGGTCAATTTTCAGGGAATAGAACAGATTAAGATCGTCTACTTCTTTTCGACAGACTTGATTCGCATCACGCTCGGACGGGGTATTTTGATGCGGTACAGTGGGTATTCGGTTTTGCTACTCCTTCTCACCGACTTCGTCTACCACATGTGGCACTTTGGATTTCGCCAGCGCGAGTCTCTGCTGCTTTTCAGTGTGGTCGCCGCAGCAAAAAATCGCAACGTCCGGCGAATGCAGTCGACGCGTTTTCCCGTCTGGTTTCGTGTGATCGACCTGTGGACGCAGTTTCGCAACCGCGCCCCACTCTGGTTCACGATAGGCTGGCATGAGACCTGGGATTTCGCGGAAATGCTTAGTATTCGGGAGACCGGGGAAGGGTTGAAGAAAACAACTGACGTATCATATGTAAAAACGTCCCCACACCAGAGTCAAGTTGGGAACCTAGGAAGACAAATCCACAAGTTTTGGGAGCCACGCATAAGAAGTTGCAGTCCGTAGTGTAGTGCATGTAAGCAAGGACCACCGCATCACAAATCCATCTGCTTATCCTGTTTACAGCATTACAAATTCTAGAACTCGATTGGAAATGCCACTCATGGAGATGCGCATCACAAATCTTCCTGTAATCGCAAATCTGCATGATAACTATGGGGTGGGAATGGTTTTACTCAGGATATGACGACGATGCGCCCGATTCTGACGCCGACGATGACGACGACGATGCTCAGGATATGACGACGACGATGACGCATGAACAGAACAACGATTAGCCCGATTCTGTCTTCGTCCACGACTCCCAGGACCGCGGTGCACGAACTCAACAAGGAGCACCAGCAGCACGTCGATTCGACAACGCCGAGGGCGGTCGGCAGAAGCGAGACGGGGCTGAGAAGTGTCGTCGGTGAAAAGGACAAAGGAGAAAATGACAAGCAGATGATGTCGATGAGTACCGACTACGGAAAATCAAACACAAACACCTGCGACAGCACCCACCCGCCCCGGCCCGATGAGAAGCACCAGGACGTCATGGGTTTTTTCCTTTTGTTCTCCGTTCTCGCTCAGGGAAGATGACAAATTTGAGTAGAGCGGAGACCCAGTTTGTCATGCTGTTTGGGTAAGGAAGACGCCTTCTGTCATGCTACTTTAGCAGCTCTATTTCTACTTCGAAACAGACTTACAATCTGCCTCCCTTGCCTACTCTGCAAGACAGGCAGTTTCTGCGTTGCATTTTATGCATGACAAACTATTTCAACTTTGACGATTTCAATCCTGACAATTCCATAGCGGCGGTGGGCCAAGCACGGTACCAGCAGCACGCCGGCGGGTCGCACTTCCACCCGTCTCAGCAATATCCAAAAAAAAAAAATTGTTGGTGTAACTGTAACTTTCTTGCTGGAACAGCATGACAAATCCGACTGGCATGAGAGCAAAAACCTGTCATGCGCAGATAGTACGTGAAAACGCAATTGAATGGACCCTACAAGGCATGCCCAGCATGACAGACGCAATGATCTTGCAGGTTGCGCATCACAAAGTTACACTAGCAATGTTTTTTCCTTCGATCAGCAAGGCGCGAACAACAGTGCGGACAAGTTTAACATTAACAAGGAGTACACGGGCGTCGTGAAGAGCTACAACACGGACAAGGGCTACGGTTTCGTGTATTACAATGAAAAATGCCCCCACCCCGGAACTTGGGAGTATTTGTATTGCAAACCTTTCCAAATGAAACATTCGCCCTCTTGCATCTATCACCATCACAGGTTTCCAATCGTGAATAGCAAAAATCTGTATTGCAAAAGACCCCAGCAAGGGCGGCGCTTGTCATGCAAGCGCTGCGATACACCCCTAGACTCTGCATCAGAAAGATTCATACTCCTTTCAGGCATGACAAAAAGTTTTCATTTGGAAACTGCGCATCACAAATTTTTGCAATTTTGGGGGTGGAGGTATTTTTCACTGTAATATCGTGGACTGCAGCGACGTGAAATCGCACTTCCAGCGGGACACGTTTATCAAATGCAAAAATGTCTGGGTCTGGAAAGTTGGAACTTGTGATGCTACCTTTGGACTCTACAGAAAATCTGTATTGCATGGACAGCATAAGAGGTGTGGTTTGTGCTTCGCGGAGAGGGCACGCAAAAATTTATGGGTTTTTTCCTTTTGTTCTCCGTTCTCGCTCAGGGAAGCGGGGTCGAAAGCGGTGAACGCACGGTCCATCTCCTCGCCCTCGACATCGTCGGGTGGTTCTGCTACATTCGCATGGATGGCCTTCGGCAGCGAAAAACCAACTTGGGGGATCAACAGAGGAAAATTGGGGTGAAAGTGCGACGGGTCAACCGATAATAACTTACGGCCATTCGCCCACCCCTGTTGACCCGGCGTGTCTTCTAGATAGACGTCCCCCGCGTCTTTTAGTTGCCTTTCCGTGAAAAAAAACTCATTTCCTCCGCGCAGCAAGACGTCTTTGTGCGCCAGTATTGCAAGGAAAAATCCCCCCTCCCCATATCAAAACGAAACTTCTCATGCTGGATTTGTGTTACACAAGTCAGCTTTGTATTGCAGGAAGGCACTGCGGCCAGATGCCCAGGCCAGGTAGGGGCGTATGGGTCTAGTTGTTCAGCATGGAAAACGGCTCCCCTTTAAGCCCACCAGCATGACAAATCGCTTCCCTAATGGGGCGGAAGCTTCTGCCCTTGTCGTCTTGCAAGACGCATGTGATTTGTGACCTCAAATCAGCAACACAAATTTGCGGAAACATAGGTTTTCAATATGGGGAGGGGGGATTTTCAATTTTGATAGCCAGCCTCGCGTAGTCGATGGGGACCGGCACCTCATGTTGGTGCAACTCCGTGCCTATCAACTGTAAAAATGTCTGGGTCTGGAAGATTCTGGGACTTGTCATGCACGTGTTGCATGAGCCATGATGTCTGTGATGCATGCCCTAGCATCAACGGCCTTCTGAGGGATTCTTGATGCCTATTCCGCATGACAAATGCCCTCCCCGCGTAGAAAAAACTAGAATCCTTTTGCTGCTCATGCAGCACAAATTTTTTAGGCATCCAAATGCAGCATCACAAGTTGCATTCTTCCAGACCCAGACATTTTTCCAGTTGATAGTGCCCACGTGGGGAATTGACTCAGGTCGGCCGGGGAGAATCCGCAGGCGGTGGTTTTCCGACACAAAAGTCAGTGTAGAAGTACTGTCCGAGAGCGGGCCCCCCAGGTTGCGAGCTTCATCTTTCGCCTGCTGACGCACGGTGGCTTGATGATTCACAGCGCCGATCCGCTCGCTCAAATCCTTGCGTTTTTTTCCCTCGTCCGCTTGTTGCCCGGCTTCCGCCCACGCAACAAAGGCTGCCTTCTGCCGCTGATACAAGTCTTCATCCCACGCAAACCCGGCTGCAGCAGTCCAGCCAACAAATTTCTCGCGGAACTTCGCGAACTCGATCTCCAGGTCGCTCTCCTTCGCATCCGCCATGATCGGCGGTAAAGCGGGCGCCTCCTTCGGCGCGCGGCGTGCTGACGAGCCCTGCTTCGTCTTGGATTTATTTGTCGTCGGTGGTTTCAACACCACGTCGGCGGTGGTTTCTTCACGTCCTAGCCACGTCCGGAACTCTTATTGTGAGGAAAAATCCCCCCTCCCCATAACAGAACGGGATACTTCTCAAAATTTGTGATGCTGATTTGAGGTCACAAATCGTCTCTGTATTGCAAGCAGACAAATAAAAGAACCCCGCCGCGTTCTGCAGGCAATTTGTGATGGTGTCTGGCCTACAGAGAATGTCCCTACCTTGCTAGGCGCCTACACCAAAACATCCCTAATCCCGCTTTGTATCTGTCTGCAGTCCTCTACTGCACGACAAAGCCGATTTGTGTACACAAATCCCGCATCACAGATTTCCATTTCGATATGGGGTGAGGGGATTTTTCCTTTTGATAACTCTTCTCGTTTCTTCCGGTCCCGTTCGGAGAGCAGGAGCGTTTCACCTGCTTATCCTGAGTAAAGACGTCCCCACACCAGAGTTGTCACGCAGATTTGCAATGGCAGGAACATTTGTAATGCGCATCGCCAGGAGAGGAATTTTTAGTCGTGTTTTGGAATTTGTAATGCTGTAAACAGGATGAGCAGATGGATTTCTGATGCAGCTGGCCTTGCGAACCTGCACTACACTACGGACTGCGACTTGTGATGCGTGACGCCCAAAAGTTCTAGGTTTGTGTTGCAAAATCCCAATCTTGACTCTGGTGTGGGGATGTTTTTAATCAGGATACTGCTTGCTTCTTATTCTTTTCTATCGCTAAAGATTTTACTAGGACGCTTCCCTTTTCGTCCGATGCCTGCATGGTTTCGTCGCCAAAGCGAAACAGCTTCCACAGGGAAAAATGTCCGGAGTGTTGCCCTTGTTCCATTTTTTCCGCCGGTAAACCGAAGCGGTTTGTTCGAAGGAGGTACGACAAGAATTTGGTCAAAAAGTGGTCGTTCTGCGTCCACTATCCTGCGAAAACAGGTACTATCGTTCCTTCGTATGAATTATTATGCCATCTTGCATGACCACAAATCTGCTTTTTTTCTCCTAAAATTCTGCATGACACATTCAATTTGAAACTGCACTTTTCATTTTGAGAAAAATGCGGTTATGCGACTGTCATCAGTCTGATGAAGATGTTCATACTAGTACACGACAGTGTTTTATTTTTGTTGCATATCCAGAGGTCGTACTCGTAGCTCCGCTGGCCCTGAATGTGGAGGGAATACCCAGCGTGCAAGTAATCGTCGTCCACTGCTTCCACAGGCGTGCTTTTGTCCGGAATCAGGAAGGGCCGCACGGCAAACAACATATCTTTATCTTCGTCTTTGACGGCGACACTGCTGGCTCCTGCTTCTTGTTCCTGGTACAGCGTGTTTCTGTCCGCGCCAAAATGAATCTTGCGCCGCTCCTGTCGGTCTCGTTCAAAACTCGCTTGCCAGCCGTGTTTTTTGAAAAATGCTCCAAACTCGTTGTTTTCCCTTTTCATCTCGACCGGCAGCTATCGATTGCAAACAAAAATCTGGGAGTAGATCCGGAAAAGAAAAGCACTCAACTGGTCATGGTGAGTAGAAGGGCATGACAGAACGATGCATCACAAAAAATGTTTCGGCCGAAAGTGCACGGGTTTCGCACGACGAACTCTCTCCCAGGACGACAGAAAAAGCGGTCACTCCTCGTCCTCCTGGAATCATGCATTTACAACTCCGCCGGATTCAACTCCTTCTAATCTCGCATCACAAATTACCCGGACCCAGATCATTACTTGCAATGCATAGGAACGGATCATCCACCCATTTACGGTGCTGACTAAGACGCAGGAAAGCGAAAGGAGGTTCGTCACTAATCCGCATCTCTATGCACTGCAAATCCTACGCCCTGGGCCCGGAGGAATAAAATCAGGCTCGTCTCATACTCGACGAGCATGATGACTCTCAAGTCTACTGTCATGGATGCACACTGACGTTTCGAAAAGCCTCATTTTCGTGCTATGCAGAAACGAAGGAGTTTGTGACGCAGAATTGCCACCGCACAGCGACCTAAAGAAAACCAAAATTTGTCATATTTGGCCGTCAACATATATGCGCATTTTATCCTCGTCGTGCTTTGTTTTTATCGATCCACAGCATCACAAGTTTCTTTTTCCAAAAAATGGACCCAGAGAGCAGGAACTATTCATTGCACGTGGATAATCTGCTTATCAAAAGGAAAAATCCCCCCTCCCCATATCAAAACGAGGTCTCTGATGCAGGATTTGCGTACACGAATAAGATTTGTCTTGCTGGAGAGGAATGCAGCCCCATACTGAACCTAAGTAGAGAGGCTCTGGCCTAGGCGTCTAGCATGAGAAACGTCCGTGCTGTAGGCCCATCAGCATCACAAACCGCCTGCACAATGCTGCGGAGCTTGTGGAGTTGCCTTCTTGCAAGACAGACGCGATTTGAGGTCTCAAATCAGCAACACAAATTTCCGGAAACATACCTTTTCGATATGGGGAAGGGGGATTTTTCCTCTTAATACTGCTGATGCTGGGATTTGTAGTACCGCTGCCAAGCCTGAAACTCGAACAGCTGATAGGGCGTCTCACCACCTCCCGCTGCATTTTTCCCCTTTAGCAAATGGTCCCTCTCGCTTTCCAGGAGCGTCTCCTGATCCCGGAACGGAATTTTAAATTCAATGGACCCATTTGCACCGGCCTCGCGGAGATCTTCCCATGTAGGCGGCTTTGCAGATAAGCGTCCGCCGTGCATCCACGGGAACGGAGGGGTTGTCTTCTTTTTACTTCTTGTTTCCCCCCCGTCCGGAGTGGCGGAGGTCAACTGCTTCGCCCACAGCAGGCGGGCAACAAAGTCTGCCGGTATCTCCGTCTCTTCCCCTCCTCCCGGCGCCGGAAGACGTTGTTGTTCCCCCATCCGAGGTGGAGGAGGTGGTTCTTGCCGCACATAGTTGTCTTGCAAAACTTTTCGGGTCACCAGCAACGGCACGCTTTCCGCTTGCATTCTTCTGCCTCCGAGGTCGCCCAGGTGGTCCATACGGCTCACCACCTGCCGCCAGATGTACTCGCAAGCGTTGAACATCGCATCTGTCTCCAGCTGCCTCTGGTACTCTTCTTGCTGCGTCGCTTTGTCAGCCGTAATCAGGTGAAAGTAGCGACCAAAATGCTCACAAAATTCCAGGTAGGGCAATTCTCTACTCGGCCCTTTGATGTGGTCCTCCTCGTCTTTGCCTAGATGCTTATCGGCAAACTTTTTCAATTCCTTCCGGTTAAAGTGCCGAAACACACCGGGATCGTCGAGCAGGAATTTCCGGAGCGCCTTTTTCGGCACCCTCTTGCCCTCCCAGTTACGATCACCGTGCCCCTTCGTGCCGATCCGTAAGACGAACGGTTTGTCCGGGCTGACTTTTAGCGTGAGCCGGTCCGTATCAAATGCAAAAATGTCTAGGTCTGGAAGAATGCCAGGCTTGTCATGCAGGTTTTCCATGACCCATGAGGGCTGGTATGCAGGACATAGCATTACAGATTCTGTGAGAGTTCTATCATGCCTAGCCTGCATGAGAAACCGCCTCACGATTAGGTCAAAAATGGACAGCTTTTGGTAATCGTGCAACACAGATTCTTACATGATTCAGATTTAGCATGACAACTTCCACTTTTCCAGACCCAGACACTTTTGCATTTGATAGGCCGCCTGGCCGTCGTACTCGTAGGCGTTGGCCTCGTTCATCTTGTCCTCTAGGGGCATCTATCAAGTGCAAAAGTGTCTGGGTCTGGAAGGATGGAACTTGTGATGCGCATTTCAGAAGAACACACAAAAATCTCTGATGCATAGGCAGCAAAAGCTGCTCACTTTCTGTCACCAAAATGAGGGATTTGTCATGCGGATTCAGCATTGCGGAAGTTTCCCGAAACCTGTGATGCTAGAGCTTCCATGCCAGACCTTCTGTGTCATGCAGAAGCAGCATGACTCTTCCAGACCCAGACATTTTTGCGGTTGATAGCATCACGTGCATCAAGAGGTCATTTTCCCTGCTCTTCAAAACGACGATCCCGTAATTTTTCTGCGGGTACTTGGACGGCTTCTGCTGGCGACTGCGCTGAGGCCGTCGTGGTACTTGGACGGGTTCTCCCTTCTGCCTTGCCGGTTTCTTATTTCCGCCATGATCCACTTCTCGGTCGCTGCTGCCCTCGCTCCCGTCTTCAGCGCCGGCTCCGTCCGAACCGTCTGCGCCTCCGAGCAGCGGGTCGGAGGACTCTACTTTGGTGGATTTGAACCGAAACAGCCCAAAGGTGGCTTGCCTTTCCGCAAACAAGCGCAAAAAGTCTGCAAACTTCTTGCCCACGCGGATCCGCGCGTCCCACAGCAGCCCGGCTTGCTGCTTCTGGATATGGAAGCGTCAGGTTTGAAATCGTCAAAGTTGAAATAATTTGTAATGCATAAAATGCATGACCCGAGGCACGTGTGTTGCAGAGCAGGCAAGTGAGGCCGATTGTAAGCCTGTTTGGGGTTCCAGCTAGAGCTGCTAAAGTAGCATGAGAAAATCGCTCTTCTTTGCCTAAACAGAATGACAAAGTGGATTTAGGGACCACCAAAATTTGTCTTGCGCCACTTGCAAACTGGGTTCCAACTGGCATCCATTTTATGCATGACAAATTACTTCAACTTTGTCGATTTCAACTCTGACACATCCATACTGGAAACTCGCGAAATAACTATCCTCCAGCCTGTATGCCTTGTAAACATGTCTGGGTCTGGAAGGGTGCAAGCTTGTGATGCGGATTCTGCTTCTGGCACAGACAATAAAAATCTGTGTTGCAACATAGTCAGCGAATGTATCATGATGTGCGTCTTTTTGTGTCCAGGACGTCGAGAGGGCATTTCTCATGTCATGGTGCCCTGTGCGGCGCATCACAGATCTTCTTCTTCTTCGAAATGCAAAAACTGCATGAAATGCGCTTGCTACCTCTTTCCAGACCCAGACATATGTCCATCTGGTAGCTTGACCAAAAAGTCCGACGCACCAACCAAGATTAGCTTGCGCAATTTCGCTTTTTTAGTCTTGTTCTGTTCTCTTTTCACTTGTGGCTCGTGTGTCGCAACCTCTTGTTCTAATTGCCTCAGCCTATCTTCCAAGTTTTTCACGTGTTCAAGCCTCTTTTCCAAGTCGCTTCGTGTCTCTTCTGCCATGAAGGAAAAGACCTCTTTTTCCCTCGCCAGAGTCGCCCACCGGGCCTCGAGTTCCGTCGCCCGCAGCAGGCCGGCGCCACCCGTAGAAGTACTACCCAGGAGATCACCAAATGCAGAGTCATCTTCGGTTTCTTCCACCTCATCGTCCTCCACCTCGTTTCTTGTTACCAGTGCCTCGTTTGCTTTTTCTGTGGACGGAAAAAACTGCTGCTGTGCGTCCCCCGTAGATGACCCCCCGGTCGACTTGTTCCACCGTAGAAGCTTCCTTTCCGCGTCCCGCAGTTCTTCCATCTGTGGCTGACAATTTTTCCCGTACACCGAGCTAATTTCTGCCAGCATTGCCACCACCAAAGGGAGCCACCGCATGTGGACAATGTTGGCGTGAATGTGCTCCTTGTCCGACGGGAGCTTCCCGTGCGGGCACTGAATTAGGTGCCGGGACTGTGGACCACCGCTGGCGCACTGTGTGAGTCCTCCAGGGGTCGTGCTGCCATGGTCGTGTTCTCCAGTTTGATCACCCGCCCCCTGGCCCGAAACAATGCACGTCTCACAGCGGCATTCGCGCTGGTACTTGTTTCTCGTGAAAATCGCCGTTTGCACAGCGTGCAGATGCTTGCTCCATTCCAGCGTGTGCGTACACAAACGCTGCTTGGCTTTTTCCACCCTGGTTCCCAGGTTTTTGACTGTCTTTTTTCCTTTGTCAGTATTAATCAAGTTATCCTTTATTTGCAGTTTTTCCTGAAACTCTCCCACATCCCGCAAGACGCTTTCTGCGTCTTGGAGGCTTTGCGCGTCTTTATTTCTTGCTAGAAGAAAATCAGAAGCGAAGCTGGCCGGTTCACTCTTGTCCAACACCCAGCGGACGCAAGTGTCTGCGTTCTTCAACTTTTTCTTCGATTTCACGCCCGTTATCAAAAGGAAAAATCCCCCCTCCCCATATCAAAACGAAACTTCTGATGCTGGATTTGGGTACACAAATCAGCTTTGTATTGCAGGAAAGCACTGCGGTCAGATCCCAAGCGAGGGAGGGGCGTATGCGTCTAGTTGTTCAGCATGGCAAGCGGCTGCCCTTTAAGCCCAACAGCATGACAAAGCGCTTCCATAATGGGGCGGAAGCTTCTGCCCTTGTCTTCTTGCAAAACAAATGCGATTTGTGACCTCAAATCAGCAACACAAATTTTCGGAAATATGCCTTTCCAATATGGGGAGGGAAGATTTTTCCTCTCAATACCCGTAACAGCATCCTTGCAGGCCTGTTCTACTTCAGGGAACGAGGAAAAATGCCTCCCCATTCGTAAATAGTCCTTGACCACTTGCACCATTGCCTGTAACGCGGCCCGGAACGGCATTTTGGCCTCTCGGTAAGACTCGTACAGCCGTTTGCAGTCGGTTGGAGGTGGATTAATATTCACCTTGCTATGGCCGTGGGCGCCAACATCGTCCACAGGGTCGGCTTCCACCGCTCCCCCTACACTTGGCAGCGGTGCCGGTGCGACGAGCTGGCCTGCGCTTACTGATGTTCCGCTTTTCATGGTACCAGTATCCGGGCCGTGAGGTCGTCGTGCACGACTGGGCGAGCGAGATTTACGTTTACCGCTGCGGCTCCTACTGCTTCCGGACCGCGGGTTCTTCTTTCCGCGACTCCCAGAGCGACTCCGTCCACGACTGCTTCCCGGGTTTGTGCCTGGTGGAGCCGTAATGCGGCAGCGAGGGCTGCGGGGGATGATGCAGCTGCCGGAATTCCCCCCTCCTCACGTGGTGCTCCCGCCGGAGCTCCTCCTGCCGATGCGCTCCGGGAACGAGGAGGTTTCTTCTTTTTATTTCCTCCACCTTTCTTTCCGCGTCGAAGGCCGACCGCGTGGCTGCCGTGTGGCATTGTACTACACAACAGCAGTCCGGCCAGTGCCACGGACGCGGCAGCTGCGCGCGAAATAGTACAGCAGGACGAGGAGAGGACAAACTTCGGCATGGTATAGATTCGGAGGAAAAGAGCGAAATAAGCTGCGTTTGAGTTGGTATTACTATTACTTTCCAAAAAAATGGGGACAAAACAATAAATTTGGGAACAAAACAAAGCCGTCGCTTTTTGGAAAACTGATTGCGTTCGAGCGCTGCCCAGATGAAAATATGCTGGTAAAAAAATTTGTTGAAATTTTTGCGTACAATCTTCAGAGTGGGTTTTTTTAAGTAAAATGCACCAAAACAGGAGGCCTACTTACATGTACAATGCGAGGCTACCAGGTAGAATATTCGACATCAAAACCCGAAAACCAAAACTAGAATCAGGATGGGATTAATCATCAGCGTTTTTCGTTCCCGATGGAGATGAATATGACTTCTGCTTGTTCTATACCGATCGGGGGCCCGCGTCCTTGCTTGATCGACAGGCAATTGAACCCTTTGAATTTACTCGCGCAGATCTATTGGTGATCGGATTTATATTTATTTCCGCGGATCCTTGCATGAGATCGTGGTCGTGTGAAGAACTTTTTTACCGATTTCTCCGTTGGTTTATAATGGAAAGCACAACTGCTCTGATGCTCTTGCATTGAACCAAAGAACTGCGCATCGGGTGAATAGCGCTAAGATCCTCATTTCACGTCTCACCTACTCAGGCGGATAAAGTACACCGATATCCTCGTCAAAGATCCGATCGGATTTGTCATTTCGACTGGACGAAGCAAACTTACTGGAGCAAGCTAATTTTTGGCGCAGTACAACTCTGAAGAAGAGATGTTGAGTGATGGTCCGTTTTATTCAAAAGAAGAAAACAGCACTTGGAAGGCGGACGAAAGCACTTGTTCGGACGAACACCTTTAGTGCAAAACGCTGCGTCCCCGCTCACTACAACTACCTCGTGGTCTAAAACTAAAGCGCATCGGTCGGGAAACAAAGAGATCAGGAAGATGGTCACTCGCCTTGAAAATCTTCATGTCGCTTGAATATCACTCAAAAAAATGCAACTAAATCTTAATAGTTGAGAAGGATTCTTCAGAGATCATGATGTGCAAAGTACGTCCACAAGGTTCTGCTTCTAGTACTACCTGCAATGCATGTAAAACTCCTGCCTTAAAAAGCTACAAATGAAATGATAGCCTTTGAGGCAATAAACTGCTATGCAGAGAAACAAATAGCCCTGGTTCAGTGGCGGGCCCTAGCGGAAGAGGAGCTCAGGCGATTTCAATTTTATCTTACTTTCCCTACGGAACAAAAATATTTTTTCATACTAGTAGTTTGATATTAGTGTCCCTCGTAGGAGTTTGATTCCCACTTATTTCTTCTCAAACAGTTTCCGAAAGTCCATCAAGTAGGGCGGAAATTCCAGCATGTGGCACCAATCCTCGTCGTAATCCCGCAGGCCCAGCTGCTTCCCGTTCTGAAAGTGTTGAAACCCGCACTGGTGTTTCAGAAACTTTTCGCAGTTCTGCGTGTGCTCGCTGCCCGCGTAACACACAATCACCACGTTGTCGGAGGGTTTCTCCAGAACCGCCTTGCCGATGTTGAGCAACGCCGCACAGTCGACGACTTTGTTGTTGAAGGCGTCGATCAGGATCTTCGCGTACACTTGCCCCTTGTTGCTGCAGAAGTTGGGGTATGGATTGCAAACATGTCTGGGTCGTCTGGGAGATAATTGCGAGATTTGTCACGCTAATCTGGCATGACTCTGACCTCTGTATTGCGTGGCCGCATCAAAGAGCTCCTGCTCTTGCCTGTCATGCAGAAACGCAGTTTCTAATGCGCCGGAGTACTACACAACTCAGAACCACGGAAAAATTTGTCATGCTTGGCAGTGCATATTGTAGTGTGCGCATTGTTGTTCTTCTCTGACTTGCATATCATCACAAGTTTATTCGAGACCCAGTCAGACATATTTTTTGCATGTGATATGGGGTAGTTGGTTTTCCAGTCGCTTTTCCTGCTCAAGTCGTTTTTGCCTTGCTCGTATGCAGTGCAAAAGTATCGTACTCGTACTAATTGCGTTTATGCATTACACATCTTTTTGTTAAGGCAAATCCGCATTACAAATTCAATTTGTAATTATACCTCAATTTGTAATGCAATTTATACTTAGTACGATAAAGTTTTGCAGTTGATAGCTCGTACTCCTCCCGCTGCGCTTTGTACAGCATTTGGTATATCAAATGTAAAAATGTCTGGGTCTGGAAGAATTCATGTTTGTCATGCTTGTCTGGCATGACTCTGAAATCTGTCATGCACGTTACCCAAGAGCTCCGTTTTTCTGTGATGCAGAAGCGCAGTTTGTCATGCAGAATAGGCAACACCTAGGAGCTCAGAAACTTGTCATGCTGAGCCAGCATTTGATGCGTCATCATCAGACGCCACCCAGCATCACAAGTTTCCAGACCCAGACATTTTTACATTTGATATGGTACTCGTCCCAGCAGTTCAAAACCTCTGAGAACGCCTGCGTCGCGTTCTTGGCGTACTCGATCTTTTGCAAATTGTACTTTTTGTTCTCGTACTTGAGACTTCGCATGTTTTTCGCCTCCACCACCTGCACGCAGTCGCTGTGGTCAATGTCGTGGTAGATTTCCGGGTGGCAGGCACGCAGGAACGCGACAAAGTAGTCGCCCGTGCTGTCCGCCTCCTTCAGCGTTAACCCGGTTTTTTCGTCGCTCCCGAGCTCCGCATTCACCGCGTCGACGTAGAACTTCTTCACCTTTTTTACGTACTCCTCCCGCTGCTTCTTAATTTTCTCCATCCTGAGCTTCATGGTTTGTTCAGACGATGTAGTGGTGTTCTTGCCAGAAGGCCGCACGACCGCTGCATCTTCTTGCGCAATTTTTTCTGCCACGTTACTGATCCAGGTCCGGGGCGGATTCGACCCCTTGGCCCGCATGCAGGCGGAGAGCGGCGCGTGGGAGTCAGAAACGATGGCTGCATACGTATCGTCGCGCCGCATAATATCGCGCTTGAACGTTCTTCGTTGCGAGGGGGTAGTGGTGGTGGTGGGGGTTTTATTTTCGGTACTAGTGTTGGTTGTTGATGAAGCTCCTACTGTTGTACTTCTAGGAGGAGCTTGTTGTGATGTTTTCTTCTGCTCAACATCTCGTCCACCCTTTATCATGTTGCTGGCCACGTCGCCCCAGGTTTCCGTGCTGGAATTCGGCTCCGCGGTGCTCGCTATCCTGAGTAAAAACGTACCCACACCAGAGTCAGGATGAGGATTTTGCAACACAAACCCAGGAGTTTTGTGAGTCACGCATGACAAGTTGCAGGCTGTATTGTAGTGCAGTTTAGCAAGGGAAGCCGCATAACAAATCCACCTGCTCATCCTGTTGACAGCATCACAAATTCCAAAACACGATAAGAAATGGCACTCATGCGAATGCGCATTACAAGTCTTCCTGTCTTTGCAAATCTGCATTACAACTCTGGTGTGGGTACGTTTTTACTCAGGATACTCGCCGAGGAAGAGTTCCCTTTTTCGTCGTCTTGCTCCTCGTCAGCAGTACCCTCGTCGTCCTTCGTAGTCTTTCTCTTCTTTGGGGAGGTAGCTGTTGAGCCGCTAGCGCTACTGGTGTTTTCGTCTTCAACATTTTTACTTCTGGTGTCCTCGAGGCTTTTGATACTACTAGTACTACTTGCGTCCACGACTTTAGTATGATCCGTCTTGATGTTGTCCTCTACTTTTTTGACAAAGTCTTTCCCCCATTTGTGGTCACTGAACTCCAGGATGCTGCGCACGAAGCAGCACCGTCCCTGGTCCTTGCTCGTCAAATCCAGCACCTTCCGCGCGTCTATCAAACGCAAAAATGTCTGGGTCTGGAAGATTCTAAGACTTGTCATGCACGGTTTGCATCACCCATGATGTCTGTGATGCATGCCCTAGCATCACAGGTTTTTTGAGGGGTTCTTGATGCCTATCCCGCATGACAAATGCCCTCTCCGCGTAGCAAGAACTACAATCCGCTTGCTGCTCATGCAACACAAATTTTTTGGACATCCAAATGCAGCATCACAAGTTGCATTCTTCCAGACATCCAGGGATTTTTGCATTTGATAGCGTCGTCGATCGTCCCGAAGTACAGCGTCGTCATGAACCGCATCAGGTTCGGCTATCAAGTGCAAAAGTGTCTGAGTCTGGAAGATTGCCAGGTTTGTCATGCATATTTTGCATAACCCATGATGCCTGTAATGCATGACCGAGAATCGCATATTTTCAAAGGTGGGCCTTCTGATGCGTATTCCGCATGAGAAACGCCCACTCCACGTAGTACAAACAAACTGAACTCCTCTTGCTGGTCATGCAATACAGATTTTTTTACCTTCCAAAGACAGCATCACAAGTTGGAACCTTCCAGACCCAGACATTTTTGCATTTGATATCGGCCACGTTTTCACCACGTTCGCGAGAAAGGGAACGTAGTTGGCCCGGACGTTCTGGCTGTACAGCAGCAGGTCCGTGGCCTGGCCGAAAAACCCCTCCCAGGAGGGAAAGTGCCAGTCCTGCTCGCTCATGTACCTCGTTCGGTTTTTCATCAACGCGGATCTCGGTTTTTTTCGTGCGAGAATGGAGAAATCGCGGCTGCAGCTGCCGTCGCTTCTTGTCACTTCGGGATAATTTCGCAGCAACTCCTCCTCCGCCGACTCCGCTTCCATAAAGTTCCTGATGACCTCAAAATATGAATTGCACATGTATCGTACTCGTACAAATGCATTACAAATTTCCCCAGCATCAGAGATAAAATTTGTAGTGCTGATTTACCTTAAGAGAAAGATTTGTAATGCATGACTGCAATACGAATACGATACTTTTGCACAGGATACAAAACCCTCGGGGTCCATGATTTGCTCGAGTTGGTCCCGTATCAAATGCAAATATGCCTGGGCCTGGAAAGTTGGAACTTGTAATGCTAGCTGTACATTCCTGGGAAATCTGTATTGCATAACCGACAAAAGCCGCAGCCCTTTTTGTCATGCAAGAACGCAGCTTCTCATGCGGACTGCCTATGAGAAAGCGCTCCGGAAAGTTGTCATGCTGGGCTGCATTTGGACGCATTTCCATCATGGACATTTTAGCATCGCAAGTTTCCAGACCCAGACATGTTTGCATTTGATATCCCGCTCGGACTTGGTCCACCGAAAATCGCTCAAGTCCCGGGGGTCGATGCACGACAGGAAATCCGGTATCAAATGCAAAAATGTCTGGGTCTGAGAGATTCTGAGACTTGCGGCCATGCGCGGTTTGCATGAGCCATGATGTCTGTGATGCATGCCCTAGCATTACAGGTTTTTTGAGGGTGGAGTCTTGATGCCTATTCCGCATCACAAATGCCCTCCCCGCCGTGTAGCAAAAACTAGAATCCTTTTGCTGCTCATGCAACACAAATTGTTTAGACATCCAAATGCAGCATCACAATTTGCATTCTTCCAGACTCAGACATTTTTGCATTCGATATCCGGCTCCTTCCCGCCAATCTCCCGGATCGAATTGTAGACCTCGTTCGCAATCCGCGCGATCTTGCTGTCGCCCGATACGTCCATGTCCGCCAAAATTTTCTCCTTGCTGGTCCGGTCCCGCCCGTGCTGGCGCAGGCGCCGCTCCAAATAGGTGAGAAAATGCCCCGTGCCGTCGTCCGGATCCTCTTCGTCGTCCGTGTCCTCGTCGCTGTCGGACACGTCGTCAATCAACATCGGGTGCGCGACCAGTTGCCGGATTTTGTTTTCCTGCACGTGCTGGTAGGTGAAATTCAACTCGACCTCCGTGCAGGGGACCTTGGCCTCCAGAATGACGTGCATGGAATAGGGAGGTCGTGGTGAGCCAGTTTCTTCTTCCTGTTCTTTCATCACGTCTTCCGCGTCTTTCAGCCGGTCGATGCACCAGTCGTCAAACAGCATCGCGTTGCTCACCTGCCACAGCCGGTCCTTGCGCACCTCCAAAACCGCATCCATCTCCTCGTCGTACACGGTGTCGCCCCGCAGCCGCCGGTCGTTGTAGATGCGCGCCTCCGTGTCGTTGTCCGTAAAGGCGAACACCCGGAACGCTTTGTTCTCGGGGTCGGGCCGTCTGGGTAGCCGGAAGGACTGATCTTCTTGATAGTCGTCTTTATCTTTCCGGCTAGAAGTTTTTTCTACTTTCCTCGAGGGCGGCGCAGTGTAGAGTGTCGACCGGGCGGTGACCTCCTCCAGCGGCCAGTTCTCACACTCGAAGCTCAGGACCAGGGGCGTTTCGAAGTCGTCATCGTCTTCCGAGGATTCTCAAATGCAAATATGTCTGGGTCTGGGAGATTGCGAGATTTGTCATGCTAGTCTGGCACGACTCTGAACTCTGTATTGCGTGGTCGCGAAGAGCCCCTCTTGCCTGTCCTGCCAAGCTGCAGTTTCTCATGCGGAGTACAACGCAACCCAGAACCACGGGAAAACTTGTCATGCTGGGCAGCGCATTACAGTGTGGCCATTAATATTCCCCTCGTTGCATCACAAGTTCGAGACCAAGACATATTTGCGTTCCATACGGATTCAGATTCCTCGCCGTCGTTGGAAGTAGTAGAACAACTACTACTATCCTGTGCAAAAGTATCGCACTCGTAGTAATTGTAGTCATGCATTACAAATTTTTTTCGTAAGGTAAATCCGCATGACAAATTTTACTTCTCATGCTGAGGAAATTTGTAATGCATTTATACGAGTACGATACTTTTGCAATGCATAACTACTACCGGAAGTCGATTTATTTTTCGGGCGGTCGTCTTCCTTGTCATGATCCTCCTCCTCGTCATCTTCAATATCCGGCTCCGCGATGATCTTGTTCCCCGAGAGCAGCAAATACGCCTTCCCGGTCTCCACCCCCTTTCGATTTTTCTCCAAAACTTGCCACACCAGGAGCGCCTCCTCCAAAAAACTGCCGTCTTCCGTATGGATTGAAAAAGTGTCTGGGTCTGGAAGGATGTAACTTGTCATGCTGGTCTTGCATTCCTGTGAAATCTGTATTGTGTGACCAACAAAAGTGGTAGCCTCTCACGTCATACAAAAACGCAGTTTCTCATGCGGACTTCGGATGGGAAAGCGTTCTGCAAACAACTTGTCATGCTTTTCTGCATAAGGAAGTGTTTTCCTCTTGCACATTTTAGCATTACAAGTTTCCAGACTGACCCAGACACTTTTGCATTTGATATTCCGCCTCGTCACCCGAATCGGGTTCGCTGGCGTCCTCGAGCTGGTCCAGCAGCTCCTGCCCCCACTCCTTGGCCTTCGCGAGGACTAGCTTGTTGCTTTTGGACTCGAAGATCGTGCGGTTTTGAAATTTCGTCTTCTTTCCGTTCGGCTTCTTGGCCTGCTCGGAGTTGTGTGCGGACAGGGCTTTGTCGAGCACCGCAGGCCACTCGCTGGCGGGGAGTTTTGGTGTAGGGCGGCTAGTTGTAACTCCTTCGTTATTTTTTTGATCACGTTCCACCTCTCCGACGAATTCTGTCACCGTCTCACCCCCGAACCGAACTTTTTTCTCGGCTGCTGCCTCATCTTTTTCGCCTAAAATAGATTTGCCTTCTTTTTTCATCTTTTCCCGCTCCTCCCAAACCTGCAGCGGGATCAGCTGCAGGTCCTGCGCCAGCTGGTCGCAGGCAGGGCACGACTTCTCGCTAGTAGTATTGTTTGCCTCTCTACTAGCAACTGCTGCCGTTTCTATTTCACGTTCCGCAGCATCTACTTGGCATGGTTTCATATTGCTCGCGCTCGACCTCGCAGTTGCACGGGGCCCGCACGACCTGACCTCGCACGGCTTTTTGTCGGCCGCGGTATGCCCGCTTTTTTCGTCCGCCTCTGCCTTCCAGTACTCGCATCGGCCACACGGCACCGGCTCGTACTTTTTCCGGCATGTGAACAAAGCTCTCTTCTCTCCGACACAACTACCAGCGGTACTTCGGGCTTCCTCTTCCAAGGCCAGTTCTTTTCTCTCCTCCTCGTGCTCTTCCCGCGTCCGCAGGCGGTCGGTGACCTCGACCCAGTCCAGAACCGGGTCGCACACGGCGTTCTTGCGCGTCAAGTCGACGGCGTCCTCGTGGGCCTCGCCGCACACCACCACCACCACGTTCTTTTCGAACAATTTCCCGGCCAGGGTGGACACGACGGACGGCCCAACGACTTTCTGGCTCAGGTTCTTGTCCTGTTTGGGTGCGGAAGAGTTCCCAACTCCACCGGGCTTCTTGTTCTTCGTGGCACCATTGGGCTTCGGCTTGTTCCCTGAAGATGAACCAGAGGACTTTTTCTTGCTTCTAGACGTCATCATGCTGCGGCGGTTTGATAGTACAGCTAAAGCTGCAAAAATACTTGGATTGGGACTGCGAGTTCTTGATCTTGCGAAGAGTCCATAAAAATTGGGTAGTTGTACCAGTAGCAGTACTTTGTGTTGCAGCAAAATAAGTTGTGTGGGAGTTGTGGGACCACGGTGTACTAGAGCAGGAGGATGTTTAGTTCGACGAAAATAGAGCAATGGCGAGGTTGGTCGTAGAAAAGTTCTTGCGGACAAAGATGTAGTGTTATTTGGGGATGTTATTTTCGTTGTAAAAGAATAGTTCCTACTAGTGGGTGTGCTAGTGAAGGTCTCGCGCCGTCGCCTGCTGCAGGGGAGATGGGTTGTGAGCAATGCGGTGGATGACGATACGAAAGCGAAACACGTATTGACCGTGACATTCACACTGTAGGCCGCGCATTCATGATGTGTACGACAATGTAAATGTATTTGTTTGTGAACGAAAGATTTTGGAACGATACGAGGGACCGTACGATTTTGGCTGACGAACATTTCTGAGTAGCCAGCGCTTTCTTTGTTTTCGTTAGTTTCATGTACGAAAGGGGATGCGCCGTGCCAGCGGATCAGAGGGGGCGAGGAGCGCCTCGCATATGTTTTTTGCTCGCTGCAATAGCAGCCGTCAATACGTACACACACACAACACAGTGTCCGCGAATTTGGGCTGCGGAGTGCAAACAGCAAGAAAAAGCAGGCCGAGCACGGCCCGGCGCGTTAGTCTGGCGCGGGCGCGCGCGGGGCCGGGGCACTACGACAAGGGCGCGCTAAAAAAAAGGATCACAGTGGCCGCGCGCGCCAGGGCCGCACAGGCAGAAAAACAGGGGCAAAGCAGAGGCGCCAGCGGGGTTGGGCGCTCCGCGGCCTACGACACGCCAGAAGGGCGGGCCGGGGCCTGCACGCGCAGCCCAGCGAGCCGCCCGGGGCGCAGGGCTGACCATACGACCTAGGCAGGCTTGCTGCTATCGGCGGCGGGCGGGGGCCCTTGCCGGGCTCCCCATTACCAGGGGCCTGCCGTCGAGTGGGGCCCCGCTGGCCTTCCCACTTCCCGGGGCGGCCCTCCTACGGCCGCCAGCTGCAACTCCGCACTACTCCGCGCCCTGTTTTGCGCATCTGCGCGCGCTGCCTTGTGGTTGGCGTCGCTTTCGATACTGGCAGCCTTTTGCCGGGACTGTAGTCGGCCAGCCACTAGCTCCGCGCCGGTCTGCTCCGCGAGATGGAACCTGACTACCTGGCCCATCACCGGCTCCCGCTGGATTTTCCGGAACGAGGGAGGCCCTGCGCTTCGCCCGCCGGCCCGGCCGGCCGGCTGGCGGCCGGCGCTGGCGCCTCCGCCCGTTCTTTCTGATGCACGGACCCGGCCCAAAGCCTTCGGCGCTGTGGAGGTATTGCACCCGCCCCGCACCCCGCTGCCCGTCGCGCCCAGTTTGGTACACCCACGACCACGAAGGCCGCCGCCCCCGGGGATGGAATGCCGCGCCGGCGGCCCCGCCTTTGCCCAAAGGCGCGCGCGCGCTGCGCACAGATTGGGTGGGAACTTCAATACTTTGGCAGCCCCGAGGCGACGGCCTTCATCGCCGGCGTGCTAAGCGCAGCCCCGCTGTGCTGGCGCTGCGTGTCTGCTTGGAAGCACTCGCGGCAAGCCTCTGCAGTGCTGGCCTTGAAGTCCTCGAAAAGCGCCCCCAGCAAGTCCGCCGGGGGCCTCTACGACCCCCGGCGGGCCGGCCAGAAAAACTAACCGGGACGGGCGCAGGCAAAACGCCCCCCGGCGAACGGCCGCAAGGCCACAACTGTCCGGGCTGCCGCCTTCGGGCCGTGGATCGTTGCGCCGCCCAATATTGGCAGCGCCGAAACGTGGCCGGCCATGGCAAGCGCACTAGCGTCATCCGCGTACCCGATTGCCGTGATGCCTGCGCCCGGAGGCCGAAGCGCGCCACAGTCGGCCAAAGGGCTATTGTGTAAATGTTCCACAGGTACGGGGAGAGTATACCCCCCTGCGGGAACCTCGTGACGACCCCGCGCGCGTCCGACAAAATCCCGCCCGGCCGCACCCGGAAGCAGCTGCCGCCGTCGCCGGCGAGAGTGCGGCGCGGCGGCGGCAGCGGCAGCGTTCTTCCTCGCACACCCCTCCCCAAGCTGCGGGGCGCCCGCACGCAGGGCCGGGGGCGGGACATGCTGGGCCCTGCGCCGCGCCGGCCAAGTCCCTGCGCCGGCCGCGCTCCATTGGCTTGCGCCAGGCAACACACGCCCGCGCCACTTGTTCGCACGCTATCCCCGGCCGAACGGACAAAGACAGCGGGAATGGCGGGCCCGAGGGGCCCGCCTTGGCCAAACACGCGGCGGCCCGAACGTGGGGGAGGCCCTGACCATCGTGAACGACACGAGCGCGAGCAATTTGTTTCGGACTTCCCGCGCATTCCAACTCCGTCTACTCGCACATAGACGGAAAAAAGCGGGTGACAACGTAGAACACCTGTTACTTATTTCCACTAGTAGACGAAGCATGTTCAACTTTATCAATTCCAACGCGAGACAGCAAGCTTTTACATCATCATCTGAGCCTGCCCTGCAGTTGCCGCAGCCGTCAAAACATTTTTCATTTGTCGCACAAATTGTCGCTCGATATCTGTTCATCACGGATCTATTTTTTCTTTCACCTCAACAACCTCGGAACAAGGGGATCCAACCAGAATGTCGTTTTTCGGGGTACAGGAACTTGGGGACATTTTCAGACTCGTCAACCTTTCATAGCCGTACGCCTCCGCGACGTATTTCAGCCGGTCCTGGTGCACCACGAACTTCGCGAAAGCGATGCGACTTGCACTCGTCGGAGGTGGAGGTGCGACCGTTGCAATTTTTCCAGAAACCGCTCCTCGAGAATTTTCCCCTGCTGCACGACCAAGAATTTCATTTATCGCTGGGTCTGTCGATCTTTCTTGCTGTTGCTGCTCCCGCTCTGCTTCCTCCTGCGTACTTATTCCGAAGTCTTCATCGCCTTCCTGCCCGTCGTGTTCCACCTCCTCGTCACCGCCGCCGAAGTGGCTCGCAAAGTCCGCCGCTTTCGTATCACAAGGAAAAATCCCCCCTCCCCATATCAAACGGAAGTTTCTGATGCTGGATTTGCGTATACAAATCAGGTTTGTCTTGCAGTAGAGGACTGCAGGCTCCTGCCAAGCCTGAGTAGAGAGGTTTTGGCCTAGGCGTTTAGCATGAGAAACGTCTATGCTGTAGGCCCAACAGCATCACAAACCGCCTGCATAATGCGGCGGAGCCTGTGGAGTTGTCTTCTTGCAAGACAGATGTGATTTGTGGTCTCAAATCAGCAAGACAAATTTTCGGAAACATACACTTTCGATATGGGGAGGGGGGATTTTTCCTCTCGATATTTCGCCACGACACAGAAGTCCGGAAAGGTGAGGAATTTCTGCAAAAACTGGCTACGCGGGTAGGTGAACGAGAGGTTCCAGTGTTTCCGCTTACCCTTCTCAGGAGACCCATGAGGGAGTAGATCAGGAACTTGTTGTTCGGCTGCTGTAGTCTTGTGTGTTGAAGATGATGGTTCAATAATATCAACCTCGAGACAAAACTCCGGCACAGCTGCTTCTACCTGCGCAGCACGACCACCCAGCTGCACATCACGAGGGCCAGCGTTAATATCATGATTCCCTCGAAACCGCCTCACATCCTGCGCCAACCGCCCCACGCAGCAGGGCGCGACGACAAAGGTCGCGCTCCGCGCCGCTGCCAGTGCCATCACTTCGTCGCTGGCCCGTCCGCAGGCGTGGAGCGCGATGGCGAGGTCGAGAGGGAGGGTGTCCGGGAACTGGGCCACCATGCAGTGCAGCAGTCGGATGCGGAGAGCGGTGTGGTTCGTTTTGGGGTTTACAAAGATGAACAACTGCTCGTTGTTTACTTTCGTCGCTCTCGCTGCTGCGTGTGCCGGTGCAGAAGTACCCCCGTGTAGAAGTCCTCGTCGTCGTAGTCTTATAATTTCCTCTTGGTCTTCTAGCTTGAGGTCGTTCTCCTTCTCCTTACGAGAAGAAGAAGTAGCTCTTGCTTTATCATCATTTCCAGTCGCGATTAACATTTTGTAGCCGAACTCGCGCAAAATCGGTTCTTCCAGTGCCCGAATCCGTTTTCCCGCAGTCGCCAGCGCGTCGCCGCTCATATCTAGAATGCTGAAATCGAGAATCGTGTTGCTTGGGAACGTCTTCAAAGGGGACGAACCATTTGATATTTCCTGGTCATCCGCTATCGCCCGTAACAACACCCACAGTAGGGGAAACGCCACGTGTCCACTCCCCGCACAGAATTCCACGACGTGGAAAGTTTTGGAAGATGATGATGTGGATCTCGTCGTTCTTGTTGTACTAGCAGCACGTGGTGGTCGTAGTTCATCCGCTTGTGGTACATCAACTAGGGAACAAGTAGAAGATCGAAAAGACGGCACCACCTCCTCCACCTGCCCTCGCATCATCACCCTAGCCTGCTCGTAGCAAACGGACACCATGTTCTCGATCTGCAGCCTCTTCCGTCCGACCCGCGACTCCGGCACGCCGCCCGCAGCTCCCGGGTCGCACGCGGTTCTCGGCGCGGCGGTGCGGAGTTCGCGTGCGACAAAGGGGTCGACTTGGACAGAAGAAACATCGGTTCTGATGGCAGTAGATGATGTTTCCGTATTTATGTTGTTGCTGAAAGATGACCTACACCCGGAAGACCTCCACGCGTCTGTGTTGTAGCTCTTTTCCAGCTCTTCCAGCACAATCTCCTGTCTGCTCTTCTCCTTCTTCCGCGCGCCGCCTCGGTACTTGGACCGCCGAGAGGTGCGAGGTGGTGGAACTACAGGTTTATTGATGTTCTTGCCAAGGGCATTGTCATGCTGCGAATATACCAGTCCTCGCGCTGTCGGTCGTAGGCAAAGCTGTGGCTCCTCGCCCCAAGAAAACTCGGTTAAAAAACTGCTCCCGTTGTCGAGCAGCATGATTTTTATCGTGTTGCTTGCTTCGTGAAGATCTTCGTGGGTTCGTTCATCGGCGGACTAGGATAATCATTGTTCTGCTAAAAATCACAAGTAGTACCACTAGACCAGTCGCTTCAGTTGTTCATTCCTATGGTCCAGTCTTCAAGATGTAATTAGACACGTTCGTCTTTCTACCCAACACAAGCCTGTCATAGAAGTACGATGAGTGGAAATGACTTTACTATATAGAGAAGGGAACAGCAAAAGAGGCGCTCGGTGAAAAAAAAAAAACCGGCGTGGCGCTTGCGTTAATCGATTGAAATTGACCTTCGTTCGTAAAGCGTGCCGGCGGGATCGGTGGATCTTCGGATTATCAAGATCAAGATCTCTGTACGAATTCTGCTGTTTTTCAACAGAAGATCTGAACTTTGGTGAGCACTTGCAGCACTTCTGTGCGGAACTACCGCTCGAAGATCCCTGTAATATTCTTTCCAAGGAGCTGGCTAGCAAAGTGGTTGTGCTGCTGCTGGTGCAGCAGCTCACGTAATTAATTTGCCTGATCCGGTTCCAACTCCACGCAGGCAGGACCCTATTCTAAATTTGCGAAGAACATCAGCGAAAACTCTACTGCAACTCTTTGCTTCAAGCTTTTATCTCGTCCACGTCCACCGTTGTTCTTCCTGTTCCTACCCATTACTTCTTATCATACCTCACCTTCATCTACTTCTTTCACCACCTGCCTAAACGCCGGCAATTCGGCGGCAAACAGCACCGAATGCGCCCAGCCCGAGTATTTTCCGAAGCGATCGACAAAGCACTGCTGGATCTTTTCATACATCCAGGGCGTTAGGCTCTTCGGATCTTCTGTCATTTGCGACTTCTTGCCGTTTTTACTGGCTAGTACCTTTTTATTTCCAGCTCCCGTAGCTTTGGATGTTCTTGCAGTAGCTTTGCTAGCGGTCCCAACGACCTTCATTGGTTTCACCTTTGGCAAATACCGCTGCTTCGCGATCTGCCACACGTGCGTGTCCACCGGAACTAAATCCAAGCAATCACATATCCAAGAAAAAAACGTTGTAGGTGTAATTTTTTCGGAGGAACAGCATTACAAATTTGTCTGGCATGACAGCAAAAACCTGTCTTGCGCACATAGTACGTGAAATCGGAATCGCCCTTTAACGGGCCCTACAATGCATGCCAAGCATGACAGACGCGCAATCATCTTGCATGTTGCGCATCACAAATTTACACTTACACAGTTTTTTTCTTGCATATCACAGCTGAACAGAGCGATGCAGTCCGCGACCTTGTGGCCAATGCCCGGGTAACGCATTTATCAAATACAAAAATGTCTGGGTCTGGAAGATTGTCATGCTAGTCTGGCATGACTCTGCACTCTGTATTGCGCGGCCACCAAGAGGTCCTCTTGCCTGTCATGCACAAGCGCAGTGTCTCATGCGAAATACGCATCACAGAAGCACGAAAAAACTTGTCATGCTTGGCGGCGCATTACAGAGCACTTATTGTTCACGGACTTGCATCACAAGTTTCCAGACCCAGACATTTTTGCCGTTGATAGCATCAGCTCTTCGACCACTTTGTCCGTCGAGAGGTCGGAGAAAGCTTCCAAACGGAGGGTCGGAACGTCGGGGATCTTCGGTTGTAGTTCTTCGGGTGTTTTCCTTTTGTCCTTCGCAGCTACTGGTGTTGTACTGGCCTTGAATATTTTCATCGCTATTTTTTGACCCTTGTTCCCTTTGTTCGCTTTCTTCACTGTTGACTCCCCCTTCCTCGTCGGAATGGCTTTCAGAGGTTTTGCTTTGTTTCCTTTCATGGCCGACTTGATAGCCTTCGCGGCTTTGCTCTTCAGAAGTACTGCCATCGCCTTCCTCGAGCTCGTCTGTCCAGTCACTACTTTCATCGCCCCTGCGGCAGATTTTGTTCCCGTCTTGCCGCCCTTCGCCGCAGCAACTGCGGCCTTCGCTGCTGATGTCCGTGTAGTTTTAGAAGTAGGCTCTGTGACTGCTGGGGCAGTAGTTTTATTTGTTTTCAAAAACTCTTCCAATTCGTAAATTCGTGCCAAATATGCATTGCAAATATGTCTGGGTCTGAAAGGGTGCGAACTTGTGATGCGCATTTCACAACACAGACAAATCTCTCATGCATAGGCGGCAAAAAGTGCCCATTTCCTGTCACCAAAATGGGGCATTGTCATGCGGATTAAGCAATGCGGAAGCTTTTCGAAATCTGTGATGCTAGGGCTTCCATGACAGACATTTTGTGTCATGCAAAAACAGCATGACAAAAATCTGCATTCTTCCAGACCCAGACATTTTTACATTTGATACCAAATGCTCCAGAATCTGCCGCAGGTACTTCGCCCGGTAGCCCAGCATCAACTGCAAATCTGTCTGGGTCTGGAAGCCGCGTGAAAGCTTGTCATGCAGATTTTCGATGACCCATGAGGCCTGGCATGCAGGACCTAGCATGACGGATTCTGTGAGACCTCTATCATGCCTATCCTGCATGAGAAACTCCCTCGCAACTTGATCAAAAGTGGACAATTGTTGGTAGTCATGCAACACAGATTTTTACAGCGTGTACACTTAGCATCACAAGTTACTGTCTTCCAGACCCAGACATATTTGCAATGCATACCCAGACCTAAGTCGCGAAATTCCTGCTCCGACGGGTTGTGTTTCACGAATTCCGCAACTGTGGGAAAGGAGTAAAAGTCGTCGACGGCGGTGGCTGGATCTACAATCTTGTGCCCGTACTCCCGGCGGATCCGCCCCAGAATTTGCGCGATCCGCACGACGTTGTTGTTCTGTGACACGATATATGCATTGCAAAAGTATCGCACTCGTATAGATGCATTTTTGTTCAGCATGAGAAATAAAATTTGTAATGCTGATTTACCTCAAGAAAAAGATTTGTAATGCATGATTGCAATACGAATACGATACTTTTGCACAGGATACGAGAAAAGAAATCATGGTCTCAAACACGTCCTGCCGCAACAGCCTCACGCCAACCAGCTTCCGCGCAACCTGCCGGAACCACGGGTCGGCCGCGCTCCACTGGTCGCATCAAACAAAAAAAACTCGCCACGATCGCTCATGCGCATTTTTGCAATACAAAATTTTCTGTCATGCGTAAAAATGCATCACAGCCAAACTTCATCAGGGATTTTCCTAGTGTTTCTGCAATACAAGAAAAAGTTCCCACGCTAAAAAAGTTTTTCATGCAAAGCCTGCAAGTGAGTGACTGTGACAAACTTTTTTCTCTCCATAGGTCGTAAAGGGATTTCAGTGGCAAAGAGTGGTCCAGCCGGAAGTAGTGGCGGACCGCGGTGAGAGCGTGGTTTTGATTCGTCCTTTTGCCGTGGAGAAATGTTGTCGGAGCTGCTGTATGTTCTTTGCTTGTTCTTATTTTTTCCTGCGGAGGCTGCTGGTTGTGCTGCTGTGCTACATCTGCAAACGCGGATGGTGGTGGTGGTGGTGGTTCTGGGTAGAAAAGCAGTGCGCAGGACGAGGAGGAGGAAGAGGGTAGGTTTTTCGGTTTTACAGGTTTATTCCCGCCGTGGATTGCAACTAAACCCGAGGGTGATACCCCTTCGTCTCCGCTCGCAGATGATACTATCCCGGATGAAGCTCCTGCGTTCTGATTTGCAAGTAACGAATTTTTAGCACCATTTAAGTTAATCTTTGCGTCACCCGCGACTCCTCGTAGACCAAAAACAGGCCGCCCCTGCGGTGCAGGTCCAACTGCCCCGCCGCCGTGCTGAGGTGGTTCTAGTAGCGTCTCCGTCTTCAGTTCTACTTGCACCGCGCTTGTTTTCACCCTAGTAGTACCAGCACCACGAAGTAGGTCCTCTCCGCTGGAACAGGGAGCAGGATTTCCTCCTCCCGCTAAAACCTTGAATCGTGTCGTGGTTGGCAGACTCTCCAGCACGACCCCAAACCCGGCAATCACGCCGAGGTACTGTCGGGAGGTTTGGTTCGGAAGGACGGGAACTTTTACTCGCCCAGCATCGTGTTCCGCGGGTTTTGCTGCTTCATTTTCCTCCACCCGGATTGTTGTATCAGCCTGCTTCATCGCTTTTGCCTTCTGTTTTGCCTCCACCTCTTCCACCTTTGCCTTCTGTTTTGCCGCAGCAGCGGCACCACCGACTTTCGCCATTTTCTGTTTATTCCCCGGTGCAGCAGCAGCAGCAGCACCTCCACTCGATGATGTTCTTACGACAGGCGGCGTGATCTCTTTCCAGCCAAAGGTTTGGCCGATGGGTAAGGTGTGCTCCAGGCGGAGCTCCTCCGGGGGAACTTGCAAGTCGATCCACTCATTCGCTCGGCTGAGGGAAGTAGATGGCAGACAGTTTATCGCTGGACTACTTACCTTTCCGGGCTGTTTCGTCCGGTACAGCTTGGTTCTTTTTGGAGACCGCTTGTGGTCGTCCGAAGTAGGAGCTACTGCAACCCGTGCTCCGGCCGGCAACATGTTTTGTATCGAATTGTTCATTTCGCTTATGGACTGCACTATGGAGGTTTTAGTATTTCGCACTTGTAATTTGCTCACAGTGAAGATTCTTCTTGTTCTTACGAATGGTCTTGATTTGATATCTTCCACTGTATGATGAAGCAAAAATCTGCGGCTCTGATTAATTCGCCGCATATAGTTAAGTACGAAAATTCATGCACGTTCTAAATTACGCTCACACCAACTGCCGCCTCTCAAGGGGTGCAACGAACAGGTTTATTGTAGGCTGAAAGGAGAAAATGAAAACCAGACAAGACGTGCCAAAAATCGATGAAGTGGCAAAAAATTCTACCCCGCTCGTTCATCAGGACGCGTCCGCGGAATATTCGCTTTCATGTAAACAAGTACAACTCCAAATTTCTCCGTGATTGATATTTTAGGTTCCGTTTCGATTTTCAAGAAGAGCAAGAGCTCGCAATAATGTAATACTCCTGCTCGTCCTCTGTATACGTGTCGATTTCCACTGTAAAAAAAGTTGTTGTATCGTTCGGCATGGACCACCAGTGTGCTCTATTTGACTATCGTACGCGGACCGCTCGCCTCGTACATTTTCCTCAATCTGCACTGTGGTACCGTCCCAGCGTGTTTTTCTTTTTCCGCGGCTTCGCCGGGTCCGGCGTGCCGCCCACTTGTGCCTGCTGCCCCGAGCAGACTGCGACGGTTCCAACAGCCGCTGGGTCCGTGCTCAGGGCGGATTCCAACTGCGGTGTAGAGTAGTTGCTCTCCGTGCCACACAGCGGCGTGGAGAAAACGTGGGACTGCGGGTTGTTTTGCAGGTTCACAGCCTGTGGCGCCCCGTTTTGTAATATCGACGTCCCTGTCGCAGTAGCTCCTTTATTTTTCACATTCACCTGGTCTACCGTTATTTCTCCCTCGTCCGCGGTGGTACTCATTTCCTCCGCCTTTTTCTCTGTAGAAATCCGCTTCCCCAGCTTCACCCACAGCTTTCCGTCGACAAACTTGTGCTCCCACCGCTTCAGCCGGTGCCCGTCCGGCACGTTGTTTTCCAGTTCCCCTTTCGTACTCACCTTGCGCCCGTCGCTCACGCGAAACCGCCAGTGGTGCATGGGGCACCGAATCGCGACCATGTCAGGAATCACTCGTTCCTGCTGTTCCTGCACAACTACCCCTGCCTTCGAGGATGAAAGTGAAACCTCAAAAGCGCTCGGATTCGACCCCGCGGAGGTCGAAATCGTTGCCGCAGAAATCAGTTGCTCATCCGAGAATTTTGATGCCCCTGCTCCTTTCGCATGATGTTTAGTACTACCCGCCTGCAATCCCGCCTCCTCCGCGACGACAGCTAACTCTGCCCGCATCCCACCGACGTTGAACGCCCGGACATCATGGTCGTCTGGTTCGTCGGACGAGGAGCTTCGGCTGGGCAGAATAGAAGAGTTGACGCCATGCTTATGCTGTTCCTCAACACAACGACCGGAAGAGACAGACGCATTTTGTCCTCGTAAATCCTCCAGTCCCGCCGCCCCGGTATTAACCACCTCCATGCCCTCCTCCGCCGTGCCCGTCTCTGGCACGGCAAACAGCGCCTTCCCGAGCTGCGCGTTGCTGCTTGACCCCGGGATCGAGGGCTGCATCCTCAGTGTCTTCGGTTCCATGGGCGACGCCGCGTGGTAATTATTATTATATTCGCTGGAACTACTAGAAGTTGTACTGGTTTGGTGAGTAATATTCGCATGTAGTTGGTCCACCTGGTCGCGCAGGAGGCCCTTGTTATTCCCGGAGAGCGACAGGCCGCTGTTTGTCCGGCTCCGGCTACCCCCCTGTGTCGAATGGCGGTCTCTTGCAGCGGATGGGGGCGGGGTAATCATGTTACTACCGGAAGTTCCTGAAGACGAAGCAGTTGCACTACCTCCAGCAGCAGGCCCGTGAAGCTGCACGGGTAGAGTAGAGGAAGAAGATCCGCCCATTCTATTGAGAGGAAAAATCCCCCCTCCCCATATCAAAATGGAAGTCTGTGATGCGGGATTCGTGTACCCAAATTATTTTATCATGCTAGAATGGAAAAGATGCGGACTGTAGTGCTGGGTGGCGTGGGAAAGCCTTGCATCTTCAGCATGACAGGAGGCAACTAGACAAGTGGGAAACACCATGACAAATTGCCCGAAAACGAGGAGGCGACGGCGCCTCTTGGCCTTCTAGCAATACAAAGTTGATTTGCGTACTCAAATCAAGCATGACAAATTTCGTTTTCGATATGGGGAGGCGGGAGGATTTTTCCTCATGATACATTCCGCCCGTTAGTTTCGACTCCGGTTTTTTCTTTTCCGCCGAGCCGCTGCCTCCCGAGGTCATATCAAAGTGAAAAAAGCCCCATACTCAGAAGACAATTTGTGTTGCTGGATTTGTGTACACAAATGAGCTTTGTATTGCAGCAAGTAGAGCCTGGTGGCATATTCTAAGCCCATTTGGGTGCGCATTCGGCTAGCAGCTGAGCATGAGAAGCAAGTCTGAAATATGCGAAAGCGCATGACAGACTCGCTGTACAATGCGCCACATGGGTGCCGTTTGCCTTGTACGCAAGACAAAGCTGATTTGTCTCCACAAATCAGCATCACAAATTTCCTTTTCGATATGGGGAGGGGGGATTTTTCCTTATGATAGGTCATGACATGCCTTCGCAGGTTCTCCTCGGCCTCTAACGACCGTTCATATTGTGAGGAAGAATACCCCCTTCCCATATTGAAAGCGCATCCGTCTGAAAATTTGAGATGCAGACTTGTGAGCACAAATCCTGTCTGTGTTGCAAAAGGGGCAAAGCCAGAGAGTCCGCCGCGTTATGCAGGCGGTTTGTGATGCTGTTGAGCTTACAGCATAGACGTTTGTCATGCTAGTCGCCTACGTCAAAACCTCTCGACTCAGGCTTAGCAAATGCCTGCAGTCCTCTCCAGCAAGACAGACCTGATTTGTGTACGCACATCTAGCATCAGAAACTTCGTTTCGATATGGGGAGGGGGGATTTTTCCCGTTGGTAGTTCGCGCTTTTTATTCTTGTCCCGCTCCGCGGTTTGGAACTGGTCGCTGACGTATCAAGTGCACAAATGTCTGGGTCTGGAAGATTGCCAGGTTTGTCATGCATATTTTGCACAACCCACGATGCCTGTAATGCATGACCTAGCGTCATAGATTTTATTTAAAGGGCCTTCTGATGCGTATTCCGCATGAGAAACGCCCACTCCGCGTAAGTAGCACAAACTGAAAAGCTCTTCTTGCTGGTCATGCAATACAGATTTTTTTTACCTTCCAAAGACAGCATCACAAGTTGCAACCTTCCAGACCCAGACATTTTTGCATTTGATATGACGCTGTTGCTCGCGTTCGACCCGCAGCTGAGGCGATTTTTCCGGGCGTTATCCTATGTAAAAACATCCCCACACCAGAGTCAAGATGGGAAATCTGCTAGACAAATCAACCAGCTTTGGTTGTTTCGCATGACAAAAAATTTGGCCCCGTAGTGAATTAATCCTGTTTAGCTAGCTCCAGCCGCATCACAGATCTAGCATATAATGATGATTTGGGCATCACAAACTCCAAAACACGACGGGGAAATGCCTCGCATGGAGCTCCGCATCAGAAACAATTTTCATTTTGGCATGCAGATTTGCATGACAACTCTGGGGTGGGCATGTTTTTACTCAGCATAGGCGTTGTGCGCGTGGTAGTCCCCGTTGGCGTCGGGAAAGTCCTTTGCCGGGAGTTGCGGCATCACCTTAAGATTATTTTTGACAAGTACAAGACCTCACAGTCACACCACGTCATATGAAGCCACAGCTTCAATGAAACATCAAACATACATTTTCTTCTTCATGAAATTATGTCATGCAATGTTTCTGCAATGTTGTCGAAGAAGAAAAACTTTCATTATAGAGGACTCTCTTACCTCCAGTATCGACGATTCCCACTTGCTCTTCGGGGTGGGCGTCATGGGCAGAAACTTCTGCCGGTCGTTTAATGGATCCAACGCGTCGTCACAGGCCACGGTGTCGACCCCGGCAACGATGTTGTCCTGTTCGCCAGTCGCAGGGTCCTGGTTCGTTTACGTATCATTGGAATCAGCATTGAAATTGGAAGGAACAGTGCGCTGCCGCGCACAAATCATCATAGCTATCGTCTGATGTTGTACTACTTAAATGCACCAGGGAGATCTACTTAAAACGGCAGAAGAACACTAAACACCTCGCCGAACAACGGTTCCACACCAGTTCCGCCGCCGGCCCTTGTATCACGCAGAAAAAAGCAGGCAGGTCATATTTGTAAATGCAAAAATAAATAGACAAAAAGATTTGTACTGCATACCCTGAGCAGCACGCTATGGGGCCGCCCATGATAGATTTTCGTTTTGGTTTTTCTCTGTATTTATTTTTGCATATACAGACATATGCCCCGCTAACTTGGATTGTTTGCCAAGTAGGCTACAGACATATACCCCTCTCTGGGATGTATGTATGCACATACATATCCTCCAAGTCTGTACAGACTGGGCATATCTACTTGTAGTAAGTCTGGGCATATCTACCATGCAAGACTTGTATACATACAGACTCTGCATGCAGTAGTGTACTACTGTATACATGACCATGCAGTCTAGTCTGCCCAGACTTGTATACATATATGTATGTATATGGCATATCTATCCATGCCAAGTAGGCTACAGACTTATACCCATCCTCTATATGTATCCTCCAAGTAGCTACAGACATAGCCGTGACATGTGCTAACTTGTATATTCTCTGGGATGCCTTGGATTGTTTGCCAAGCAGGATTGGTCCATCAAGTTGCATTGCAGGAACAGGAAAAAGAGCGAACGCCCGGCAAGCCATTTCAAACGGGGTAAGGGGGCCCCTAGAGCCCCCTGGAGCGCCCCCGTTTGGGTCGTCCGGGTTTCCTCGGTTGGGGGTCATCCCAACTCCAACCGATTTCGAGCCCTAGGGCCCAATAAAAAGCCCCCTTTCTGGGTGTTCGGTTTTCGACTGTTGAAACGGGGCCGAGGAAAAAGAGCGAGCGCCCGGCCTCCCATTTCAAACGGGGTAAGGGGACCCCTAAGGCCCCCTAAAAAGTCCCCTTTTGGGTCGTCGGGGTTTCTTCGGGTGGGGCCATCGCAACCCCAATCGATTTCGACCCCTAAGGCCCCCTAAAAAATCCCCTTTCTGGGTAGCGAGCACACCCCGCCGTCGCTTTTTTCCTCTCACTCTCACGAAAATTCTGCACGCCCCTACGTGTTGGGTGAGGAAAAACAAAACAAACGAGCGGCGCGCAGCGCCGCGCCAAGCCAAAAATTTTGGGTGGCTGAGGAAGGCGCGGCCTTCTTTTTTAAGAAGGTCACGACGCGCGCGAGTTTTTTTCTTTGTTTTTTCTCGCTGCGATGAGGGCCATTGCTCTGGGGTTTTGGCGATCAGGTATACTATTTGTGAGGGGCGTCCCGCCGCGGAACCGCTTTGCGAAGGGCCGCGACGAATAGATACAGAAAGAAGTAACCAAATCACCACCCTACCGTGGGGGGAACAGCGGCGCGGGCCACCTTTTCCCTGCACTGAGTAATGGGGGGGAGGGGGGGGATCGGGATGCATGCATGGTTTTTGGGGGCATTACTTGAATAATGGTCCGACTTTTGTTGGACGAGATCTTACAACAAATATGCCCTGCTAACTTTTTTCTCTGGGATACCTTGGATTGTTTGCCAAGCAGGATTGGTCCATCAAGTCGCTCATCCGGCGGGCCCGCGGCGATCCGTCCCGACTTATGCTGAGCAAAAACGTCCCCACGACCCCATAGTCAAGCTGGTAAATGTGCAACACAAATCTCCAAGTTTTGGGTGTTGTGCACGACAAGTTTTTCATCTGCAGTGTTGTGCTGCTTAGCAAGGGAAACCGCATGGGAAAACCCTTTTCTCATGCTGTTTACAGCATTACAAATGCCAAAACACGACTGGAAACGCCTCTCATGGGGATGCGCATTACAGATGCTCCTGTCATTGCACATTTGCATTACAACTCTGGGGAGGGGGGGACGTTTTTACACAGGATACGACTCCGCGCCGCGCCATCCGGAGTGGTTTCCAACGAACCGGTATTGTTCGTATTCACTTCTTTCGACGACGAAACAGAGCTGCCGGCCTTTGGCGTGCTCCTGGACCGATTCGAGCTGCCCGCGTCTTGGTTGAGAAAAATCTGGTTATTTTGCGAGGAGTTTGCAACGGAACATCGGCTCAGGGATTGCAACGCGGGGTCCAGAATGATCGGATCCACCACGGTAGCTGCACCACCTCCTCCCGATAAGCGCCGCCGAGGGTCAATTGTACTCCCGAACAGTAAAGGCGGCCTGGAAGGGGAGGAGGAGGAGGAGGAAGAACTACTACCTTGTACTGCTCCGAAAGTAGGACCTCCACCAGCTGCACCGAAGATTGGCGCTGTTCCTGTAGTAGTAGTTCCCGCTGGTGTAGTCACCAGCCCGCCGCCCCCCTCCTGCGGATTTTGCTGCTGCGGAAAAAGCTCGATTGGCGCCGCAAGCAGGTTGGCGGGCGGTGGAGGTGCGGAGGAGGAGGGTGACAGGGCGTTTTTTGCTGAAGAAGACGACTCCTCCGTTTGCGGAAGCTGCGCGACTTCCTGCTCTGCTTCGAGTGCGTCGTGATAGCGCGAGGCTACCGTTCCGGCAGAGGACGAGGTAGAGCTTGACGAAGATGGGTCAGCAGCAGGAGTCGGTGCTGGAAGGATGTCGTTCACACTTGGGGCCCGGTCCATAAACAGAGGTAGCGTGTTGTGCGCGGTGGATGAGGTGCTTGAAGTAGCACTAGCTTGTTGTGCCGTGACAGCACTGCCGCTGCCGCTGGTGTTATAATTTTCCCCTTCTACATTAGCCGTATCTACTCCCTGTAGAAGTTCCTGCGCACCTCCAAGAAAGCCTCCTGCACTTACCATCGGCCCGGCTTCCCGCACCGGGCTCGCTTGTTTCGGCACTCCGCCCGCCTCTTTTAGCATGTTGACGAAGCTCTCGTCTGCCGCGTCGTCGCTCATTTTTCGGTCTAAATTCGTCGTGGAACTGTCCTCAGGCTCCGTGTTGGCGTATCCGGGGGAAAAACGTACCCACGCCAGAGTTGCAATGCAGATTTGCAAAGACGGGAAGACTTGTAATGCGCATCCGCATGAGAGCCATTTTCAATCGTGTTTTGGAATTTGTGATGCTGTGAACAGGATGAGCAGACGAATCTGTGATGCGGCTGCACTTGCTAACCTGCACTACAATGCAGAGTGCAACTTGTCATGCGTGACTCACAAAACTCCTAGGTTTGTGTTGCAAAATTCCCATCCTGACTCTGGTGTGGGTACGTTTTTACTCAGGATATGGCGTGTTGTCGCGTGAGCTTCTTTTTCTTTCTCGCGCGCGGGGGAGCAGCTCCGGAAACGTTAGAAACCTCAAATGCGCCAGCTGCTGCTCCGGAGTTATTATATGTGTCCACCCCCCCGGCTGTGGATGATACCACACTCGGCGAGGGGAGCAGGCTGGTGGAGGTACTAGACGCAGCTGGCCCCGCTATCCTGAGCAAAAACGTTCCCACCCCAGAGCCAAGATGGAGATTTTGCAACACAAACCGAGAAGTTTTGCGACTCACGCACGACAAACTGCAGGCTGTAGTGTAGTGCAGTGTAGCCTGTAAATCCGCATAACAAATCCATCTCCTCATCCTGTTCACAGCATTACAAGTTCCAAAACACGATTGGAGGTGCCTGTCTCGGGCATGCGCATCACAAATGCTCCTGTTGTTGCTAATCTGCATGACAACTCTGGTGTGGGCACGTTTTTACATAGGATACCCGCGGCAACCGAGGAGAGGCAGGACTCGTAGGGCGACGAAGCGGAGGTATCCTGTATAAACACATCCCCACCCCAGAGTCAACCTGGGGATTTTGCAACACAAACCTAGAAGTTTTGGGACTCACGCATCACAAGTTGCAGTCCGTAGTGTAGTGCAGGTTAGCAAGGACAAGCGCATCACAAATCCATCTGCTCATCCTGGTTACAGCATTACAAATCCCAAAACACGACTAGAAACGCCTCTCATGGAGATGCGCATTACAAATGTTCCTGTTATTGCAAATCTGCATCACAACTCTGGGGTGGGGACGTTTTTACAAATGATAGGAGGAGCTAGAATTCGAGTTCGCTCCGGAGGAGCTGCTGGAGGACGAAGAGGTCCCGCTCCCGCTGCTGCTGTTTCCCCCCTTATGCATTGCAAACTTGTCCGGGTCTGGAAGGTTGCAACTTGTGATGCTGTCTTTGGATTCGAAAAAAATCTGTATTGCATGACCAGCAAGAGGGGTCCAATTTGTGCTACGCGGGGAGGGAAATTTTCATGCGCAATAGGCATCAGAAAGGCCTCTAAAAATCTGTGATGCCAGGTCATGCATTACAGGCGTCACGGGTCTGTCATGTAAAATCTGCATGACAAGTCTTGCACTCTTCCAGACCCAGACATATTTGCATTTCATACCCCTGGATGGTCGGCAACGAGCCCGGGGTCGACGTCCCGCCAGGAAGATGAACGCAGGGCGGGGACGACGGTGGCGGAATTTTCTTCTTTCCCAGCATGTCCTCGATGTCTGTTAAGTCGCCCCTGCACAGATCGCCGTTGTTATGCGGACACCGGCCCTGGTACACCCGGTCGACGCCGTCGTAGCGGATCCACATCAGCGAGCGGGCCAGGGTGTTCGTGACCGGTTTCACGAGCTCGCCGGTTTCCAAATTCACCTCCGGTACGAAAAAGCTTTCGCCATATTTCATGGCCACGTCCTCGCTCTTGAACAGCCAATTGGCCACTATCTGCCGCTCCGGGGGCTATCCACCGCAAATATCGATCTGGGTCTGGATGAGTTGTAGGTGGTACAACGAACTTGTCATCGATTATCAAATCTGAATCATGCAAATAAAATCTGTGTTGCATCAGTACCAAGAGGTGCCCACTTTCGACCAAGTTATCGGAGGGAATTTCTACTCATGCAGGATAGCCATGATATTAGAGAACAACTCCTCACAGAAGAGTCTGTCACGCTAGGTCCCGCATTTTTCCAAATCTCCATCTCTTGGTGGTCAGGTTAAACCTGCATGACAAGTCTTGCATCACTCCTCCAGACCCAGATCGATATTTGCAATGCATAGGGGCAGCAGGTCCGCATTTTCCTCCATGGCTTTCTGTTCCGTCGCTGTGGTCTATCCTGTGTAAAAACGTCCCCACCCCAGAGTTGTCATGCAGATTTGCCATGACAGGAACATTTGTGATCCGCAACCCCACGACAGGCATTTTCAATCGTGTTTGGGAACTTGTAATGCTGTAAACAGGATCAGCAGATCGATTTGTGATGCGTGTGTCCTTGCTAGCCTGCACTACCTTACGGACTGAAACTTGTCATGCGTGACTCCTAAAACTCCTAGGTTTGTGTTGCAAAATCCCCATCCTGACTCTGGTGTGGGTACGTTTTTACTCAGGATATGGTCCGTCTCTTCATCATCAAGTTCCGCCCCAGGCTGCCTCCGGACCCGGTTCCTGAAATTTTGTTTTGGATAGTGTCAACAACTATATTAGGGCGGCTAAGTAGGAGTACTTAATATTACCACTATCAAAACACCATCCAGGAGATCATGCGGGTCCGCGAAATTATCGTTCCAATCATGCGTTGGCAACAAGACATGTAGAAGTTCCAATTATACATCTGTCATGCAGTAGTTGCAGGACCTCAAAGAGGACTTCTACGTAGGAGCTATAATAAATCACTTATTCATCTTGCAAAAGGAGTGCTGCAACAGAATTTCTAACTGTATCTCTATCTTCTTCAAGAAGGACTGCATAGTACGGTTCTCGGAAATGGTTCTTTTCTGTTTCTTATCAAATGTAAAAATGTCTGGGTCTGGAAGATTACGAGATTTGTCATGCATTTTTCGGATCACGCAAATGGCGTCTGATGCAGTCAAAAGCATCACAGGTTTTCAGCACGCCTTATGATGCCTGTCCCGCATGAGAAACTTCCTACTTGCGGACCAAGAAATGGACAGCTTTTGGCGCTCATGCAACACAAGTTTTTGCGTGTTCCAGAGTTTGCATCACAAGTTCCAACTCTTCCAGACCCAGACATTTTTGCATTTGATATTTCTCGGGCAGAATACTCCGGTCCTTCTGGGCCATCAACGCCCACTCCACAAACCTCTCACCCCAGGTCTTTGCGTCCTTCGCGTCTGCATCAGTGTACTTCGTTTCCCACCAGAGCTGCCCGTTGGGGTCTTCGTGCAGCGTCCCTACCGTCGCGTCCATGATCTCTCCGCGCGTTTCGGTAAAAATAGTGCCGCGCAAAAGAGGTTCTACACCTACGCTGCGGTGGGGGTAAGAATGGGAAAGTTCTTCTTGTGCCAATCAGATAAACTCCGCGGAGTGGCTCGCAGCTTTCTTGAGTCGACGCAGCTCGTGATGTTCTTCCAGGTACCTACCTCCAGGAGCGCGGCGCGGGCCGCAGCTTGTTGCAGCTTCTCTTGGTCCTGCTTCTATTTCATCATCTTCAAAGACGCACAGAAGCTGCTCAAAAAGTAGATCTGGGACCACTGGCTGTCACATTCTTGCGCCTGCTCGACGAGGAGTTTCTCTACGACATTCTTCTCATACTTGACCTTCGACGAGAACCACCGTCAGAGACCAACGCAGTGTTCTTGACGGCCTATTAAAGCTATGTCGTTTATTTCAACTACACTTGCCTTTTGTTACATTTGTTCTCTGCGTTGTTCAAAGAAAAAAAAAACATCTGCATCCATCAATACAAACAAACCTACCAGCGCTGATGATGGAGGTCGTGCACAAAATGACAACCTCAGTCGGAAGACCTACGTGAAGATGGCAGGGAAGAAGCTGGTCGTCCGGTGTGGATTTCATCACTTTTCCAGAATCAGCAACAGCAGTTGTTGCGGAGATTTTGAAACAACACTTTCGCATTATTATCTCCAGCAGCACGTCGCCATCGCCATGGCCGAAAGAACACCAGGATAAAAAAATCGCGTAGAAAAGGGTAGAGAACCTTTGCTGTTCCATCTCCTTCACTTGCTCTCTGTTTTGCTTTGATGTAAAAATCGTTGCTGAGTTGTAAGGTCGCAGACGAAACCAAAAATGTCAGACAATCTAGTATCCGCGGCCTTCATGTTCTTGCATCGTCGTCTACTTCCCACAATATCCATTGTTCTAATAGTTTTAGTACAGATACCACTTGCAAATGTATGGAGTCGCGCGGTACTTCGCAAGAAAAATCCGGAAAGCCATCTGAATGGCGACGAAATACTTTTAGTGCTCCTCGATCCTTACTAGTGGGTGGTAGTTAGTCGTAGTACTCACGTTTCCCCTACGGAGGTGTCGGAAAAAAAAGCCGCGGATACGCTTACCACGACATCATTTCGATTCAAATAATTTAGCTTTTGCGGCAGACGAAACTAGTGTATCTCCAAATTTTCAAGCCATAGCGAGAGCTTCGACCTCGCTGCTAATATTATACTTTAATATAGTCGGCGAGAAACAAGCTACGTGATGAAACGTCTTTCCCTTCGAATCTTTTGTCAGCATTTTCATCCGCGTGACAGTTCTGGAAGCTTTTTTTAAAAACCAAAAAATGAGCTTCAGCTCAGGGGAAAGATTCCGGTAAGAAAGTGCGTGCTGAAAAAAATTCGAATTGCAAAAGGTGGTTTCAATTTCATGTGAAACGACCTGTATTCTTGTCGACATCGGGGCCACAGGTGGACATCAAAATACTTTTACTTTTAGTTTACACAGAATTCAAACTTAATGTACAAAATTTCGCAAACGCTTTTGAGCACAGGTTTCATTTTTGCAAGCAGGAGGTACTATCAGTGCTTCTAGTTCTAGAATGAAGAAACGAATGGCATTTAGAAGTGCATTTTTGGAATTAAGTAATATAGTTTCTGTTGCCCGCTGTGTAGAAGCGTCAGGACGATGGATCATTATTTTACAGTACTGTAACATCAAACCAGTTTCGCGCCCCGGTGCGCGACCCGTGCCGCCTGGCTGAGAAAGCTCGCTTCCAACTTCGGAACCGAAGGCACGCGCTGCAGACGCGGGGTATGCTGTTCGCGCAGCCGATTTTGCAAAAAATCCCAGTCGTCCTTGGCTCGCTCGCGGTTGGGCCAAGCAGACGGACTGGAGTGCCGTCTTTTCGGAAGCATCTGCTCCAGTTTGCTCGCCGGCTGCGGCTCGAATAAGCCGCCCGCACTGTGATTTTGCTGCGCTGGCAACTTCGCCGCATCTGCAGTACCCTCTACTTCTGCCGCAGCCGCACCCCCTGCAATTATGATTCTCCCCGCACTGCTGCCCGGCGCCGGTAGGCTGTTGGCTCGGTTCCGCGCAGAAGCCACCAGCGGCCCTCCGGGGTGATAAGGCTGCGGCAGGCGCGCCGGCGTGGACGCGCGGCGCGGGGTCAGTGCGGAGTTATTTACGTCGGGCGGCAGTCGTGGTGGCAGCTGCGGACTGCCCTGCCCGGGCAGCTGCCCCCCATGTGCCCCCGCGCTGGGACCGCGGCTGCGCACGCGGCGGCTCGGGTTGTTCGGGTGGGCGTAGTGATCAAAAAGTGCAGCTGCTTGTGGCTGCGTGGTTGTTTGCTCCACAATTGGGATCGTGTGCTTGCCAGCTTCCAGCCCAGCTACTGGCGAAGCAGTCGGCAACATGCCGATGCCCCCGCTCGGGTAGGAGGACGCAGGCGTTGCGGGTATTAACACTAGCTGCGAGGAGGCGGAACTGCCCGATGAAGTAGAAGTGTGTCCCATCGCCGCTCCCCCCGTCGCTGCAAGTTGTGCTGGTACCTGTGCACTAGAAGTGGTTGCTGCTGTTGTACCCGGAAAAACGGGGGGCTTGTTTGCCGATGTTGTCACAGTGGCTCTGAGAGGAAGAGAAGGCGTTTGCGGGCCACTTCTGCTGCTACCTCCCGCGGCGCCCGCCGCCAGATCCCCGGCATTTCTTGGTTGCTGCAAGTTTGGGTCCACATCCATCACAACCTGTGCCGCCTCGCCGCCCGTCTTCATGGCGTTTGCGTATCGTGTGGAAAAAAGCATGGTCCCTATCCCAGAGTTAAGAGGGGCGTTTTGGAAGACCTTGGGACTTACGCATGACCAGTTTGGCCTTGCAGTATGGCCCTGCGAAGCCAATCGTCGAGACGCATCCTCACAAGTCCGCTATATCATCCGGATTAACGCATGACAGACACATATTCCCAAGCACGGCTTAGAAAAAGCCTCTCACGAAGAGCCGCATGAGAAACCACACATCCTATTTCTATGCATACAAATTTGCATGACAAGCCTGGGGAGGTAGGGACCACGTGTTTACACAGGATATTGCGTACCGCTGCATCATTCGATTCATCGTGGGGTTCAGGTGTATCAGCGACGCGGCCCCGAACAGAGGCAGCACCGGAGTGTGGCTGAAAGCTGGACCAGCACCGGAGACTTCTGGTAGCAGCGTCACCCCCTCGGTAGTGCCGCCCGGCAGCATTGCACGCGGTTCTGCTTCAGGAGGCAACGTCACCCCCTCCATAGTACCGCTCGGCAGCATGGTGTGCGGTTCTGCTTCAGGAAGCAGCGGCAGCCCTTCAGTCCTGCCTCCTGGTAGCATCTCCTTTTTCTCACTTGCTGGTAGCAGCGTTAGCCCTTCAGTCCTGCCTGCTGGTAGCAGGTCCTGCTTTTCGGTTGCTGGTAGCAACGTCATCCCTTCAGTACTGCCTCCTGGCAGCATCAAACGCTCATCTTCGTGCGGCGCCAGCGTCGCCAGCCCTTCGACATCGCCCCCACCTGGTAGCAGTGATCGTGTTTCCGGCTCCTGTGACAGCAGTATAGAAGGACCTTCATTGCGTCCGCCGGCCAGCAGCTTTTTCTGCTGCGTTGGATCCGCCGCGGCCGCGTCTTTTCTCGCGCCCGGTTCCAGCAACTCCGAGACGAACACCGGCGTGTCGTGGCCTGCTGGCGCGACAGCACGAGCTAGTTTTATTCCGGCACTCGCTTCCACTAGAACGCGCTCCTCCTCCGGAGACAAGCTGTCTGGGAGAGCGAGATCGTCGCTGACGCGCCTTGTTGTACCACTTGGAGCTCCTGCTGCTGCTGCTGTTCCTCCTGCTGTCCCAGTAGAAGTACTGGAATACCAACTTTCATGTTCCACCGCGCCTCCCGTCTCCCTGCCTGGCCCGGTCACAGCAGCATCCCCGCCCGTCCCTGCGGCCAACGTCGTTGTCCCCGCTGCTGCGGCGTTGTGGTCCCAGGCCCCGTGTCGTCCAGCGGGAGCTTCAGCAGCCGTGGCAGCAGCTGCCCCCGCGGCAGCAGAAGTGGAGCCTGCTCGTTGCAACCAGGACCAGCCCGGAACAAACCACCGTCGCTTTTGGCCCACTTCCTCTGCCCGGGCTCCTGCCATGGCGCCGGCCTGCGCCCTCGCGGACTGCGCCGCGCTGCTGTCCTTTTGTTGTTCTCCTGGGAAATAAGTGCTACAGCCTTCGGATTGTTGTCCACCTGCCGCACTGGATGAAAACAAATCCGCCGACGTCGGTGAACCTTTGGCGTCGCAGTCCACGGCACCGGAAGTGGCAGCGGTTGTAGAACAACCATTTGAAGATATCCTATGTAAAAACGTACCCACACCAGAGTTGTCATGCAGATTTGCAAGCACAAGAGCATTTGTAATGCGCATCCCCATGAGAGACATTGCCCATCGTATTTTGGAACTTGTAATGCTGTAAACAGGATAAGGAGACGGATTTGTTATGCGGCGTCCCTTGCTAAGCTGCACTACACTATAGTCTGCAACTTGTCATGCGTGACTCCCAAAAGGTCTAGGTTTGTGCTGCAAAATCCCCATCTTGACTATGGTGTGGGGACGTTTTTACAAATGATAGAAGATACTCCTTCCTTCCCGGCGACCTGCGGATTTTCTCCCCCGCTGCCGGCGTCGGCGCTGTTAGAAGTACATGCCGCGCTCGACGAACTTTTTGTTGTAGTACAACTTGTTGCTGGTTGTTCATTATTACCATCAGTGTGGGGGCCCTTCGCCGTCGCCGCCTCGGAAGATGAATTTTGATTTTGTTCCTGTTTGCACGGCTCCTCCTGGCGGATCGGTTCCTCCTGTTCCCCGAGCGTGGCTTGCTCCTGATGATCCACGGGCGGAACGAAGCCGGGATCTTCTCTTCTACGGAAAAATTCCCCCTCCTCGTACGTACTTACTATACGTACCAAAACCAAAAGTGTGATGCTGAAGAGTTGTGTACCGTACATGATAAATGGAACTGCGTTCTTGCTAGAGCGCAACGAGACATGCGAGCGGCCTAGCTTGCAAGCCATTCTAAATGCTATCTTGAGGATGTAAGGCCTGTTGTGGACTTGTTCCCACGCCCGGCAGCACTACAGTCTGCCTGTTGATGCTCTTGATCTCTTCGCAGCTTCTAGCATGACAACTTCTCGATTTGTGATCCCAAATCATGCTCCGTTTCTTGAAAAGGCCGGCGGGGGAGGGTGTGTAATTTTTCATTTTGATATCTTCGTCGTCTTCTTCGGGTTTCTTGCCAGGTCCTCCTCGGCCTTGCCTGAGAAGATCTTTGTGCGGCGGCGGAGCCCCTGCTCCTGGCGGCGCGTCCTCTTCAGGTCGAAGGAAAGTTCCGGTCGTCGTCGTCCCGCTCAGGGGGAGGCTGGAAACTCCGGAGCCAGGAGCTCCCGCTGCGCTCTTCAGTGGAATCATCGCGGACAACGGCCTGAAATTCATTTTGTTTTGCGAATACTCGTAAAATAATAAACCAAACTCAAGCGCACCCTCATCCCATAACGTCTGAATTTGATGCAAGAACTTCCTGTGCAACGCAGAACAAATTTTCTGTACCACAGAGGCTTTGTGAGTGTCCCGCCGCGCTGCAGAATCTGTGCCAGCGTCAACCCCGACTGCGTTACAGGCTGTATAATTCGCGCGTCTGGAAGGAAGGGCGGAGGGGGAGCACCTGGGGCGGGCTCATTTTCATCCCCCGTTGTACTAGCGATCGGGACCGTTGAGCTCGCATTTGCGTCTTGTAGTGCCGTTTTTTGTCTTTCAGCTCCATCTGGGAACGAAGTTGCAGCTCTCGCATTATTTTTTGTGTCCGCGCCATCTGCTCCTGCGCCTTCCTGCGAGGATTCGTGCGAAGAAGTACTGACTTCGATAGTAGCGGGGGCCGGCAACATCTTCGATGCCACATCTATCTTGTTGTCCGAAATTTTGTTCTCGCGACCACGAAAAGCAAAAAGAACGCCACCCCCTTGGCTGGTGTTGTTCGCGTCCGCGCCAGCGGGGTCGAAGCTGTTGTCTCCGTCCGTGAGCGCACTTGCTTCGGAGGAAGAGGCGAATTCGATCTTGCCGCTCCTGTGGACCATGTTGGTATCTGCAACCGTAGTAGAGGTTGTTGTACCTTGATGCTGTAGTACGTCATCAGAAGATGTTGAAGCAGCTCCTTCTCCCGTCAGTCGTGAGGTCGTTTGACAGGAAGCTGCGCCCCCAGACGCGGGTGGAGCTTGGTTCCCGTGCAGCCTGACGTGGTTGCCAGCCGTGGACGAGCACTTCTTGCTGCCGTCGTGTCCTTGCTCGTCGTCTTGTTGACCCGCGCCCTCCGCATCCGTGGTCTGTGTCGCTGCCGATGCCGACGCGCCTCGCCGCGCTGGGTGGACCGCCGCGGCGGCACCAAAAATCCCCAGGTCGCAGGGGTCGAAGGGCAGCTTGATTCCTCGCGACGGGTTTTTATGCATGTTGCAAACACCGCAATCTCGGTCTGCGGGTGCTTGCCATGCGTGGCCGCTGACAGAGAAAGATAAAACTGTGGCCATGCGACGTGTTGCGATCATCCTGGGGCAGTTGGTGTTTTGTCATGCATGTATGTGCGTTGTCATGCACTTCACGGAAGACGTAGTCGCCCAAAAATTTCTCATGGCTCCGCGTTAAAATTCTTTTTCATAATATGACAAGTTTCCAGACCCAGACCACCTGTTTCAAGTGCATAGTCCTTCGGGCTGTCAGGTGGCGCGGAGGACGCCCGCTGCTATCAAGTGCAAAAATGTCTGGGTCTGGAACGCTGGAACTTGTCATGCCAATAAAACTGAATCGCACAAAACTCTGTGTTGTATGAAGACCAAAATATACCTAAAAATTCAATTCTTTGCATAAAAAAAAGCGATTTTCATCTCATGCGGAATGGGCCTGAAGATGAATCTCTTGCGGAAACATCTGCGAAGAAGATACTTCTGAGTGCATGACAAATGAAACGCGCCTACTTGTCCCAGACCCAGACCTATTTGCATTCGATAGCTGCGACGTGGCTCTCATTTCGCGGTCAACGAAGATCGTACGTCCGCAAGGTGCGGCCGACGACTCTACCGGAGCAGCGTCTGGTGCAGCGGCTGCAGGGACGACACAACCTGGAGAGGCAATCTCTCCTCCTTGTCCTTCTCCTCCTGCGCTAGAGCAGGCGCGGTCTTGCGGATCTTGTCGCCGCGCCGTGGCGCCTTCCTCGCTACTCGGTGGAGGTGATCCGGATGCAGCACCGTTGTCCAGCGCGTTGGAAGCGCAAAACGCTTGCTCCCGTCCGCTCGTTCCGTTTACCTCCACGTGGAGGTCCTTCTGTGCTGGGGGAGAAGAAGAAGAAGAAACCGGAACATCATCACAACCGGCTGCGTGAAGATGATCCTTCTGCTCACCAACAATAACCGGACCACTCCCCGATCCAGCACTTATTTGCTGCTGCGTACCTAGTACCGGCACGCCTTCCCCGGCAGCACCGCCCGCGGCGCTGCAGACCGACCCGGTCGCCGATCCGGACCGGGGCAGCGTTGAGAACAAGGGCGGGGGGGCTAGGGGTAGTGCTGGTGGTAGCGCAGCGGCGCCGGCAGCTGCACCGGCAGCTACCCCCGCGCCGCTGTAATCGTGCTTTTCTTTGCTCGAATTTCGGTGGTCGCCGCGCGGAAGGGGGGGAATACGACGCGGTTGTTGGTGGTGGTGGTGGTCCGCAGCCGGCGGCGTAGAAGGGCTACTAGTGCCTGCATTTGTAGTTCCGCTTGCCGCGGTCGTCGCAGCTGCGGGTGAAGAAGATGTCGTGTGGTCCGTAGTGCTGGGACCTGGTGCCACCAGCTCCGAGCCGCCACCTCCGCTGGTTGGAACGCCGAACCGCTTCTGCTCGACGGTCTCGACACGGTTATAATTTGTGGGCAGAATTACCTCAGCTTCAAGACCATCGTCGGTGGAAAGATGTTGACCACGTGCCAGCAACTCAGCCTCGCTTTTACTACCGTGTTCACCCCAGTCCGCCGCACGCATTCGCTCCACGCGACCGTGAGGCGAGGTAGCACCACCCGCCGGCTCCGCGGGAAGGGTGGATCCGGGCGGGGCCCCCTGCTCGGTCATCTTTTGGTCCAGTTGCAGCCCCCGGTGGAACAAGGGAGCTGCATCGCTGCTGTCCTCATCCTCTGCGCGTTCCTCGGCACGGCCGCGAGAGCCTCGTCTGGTAAGGCCGCTGCTCGCCTCAGCGTCGTCCCCCCGGCTGTGCAGGCCAAACCCACCATGCGACGAGCTGTTGGAAGACTCTTGCAGGGAACTGTGCAGCAGGATAAATTCGCGATCGTGCATGCTCTGTTGGCCAGCAGAGGCGAGTTGCGGCGCGGAGACGGAGGATGGTAAAACCGGTCCTGCTCTCGTCCGGGGGTTATGCGCATCCGCGCTGCTGCCGCTGTTGAAGAACAGCCATCGGAACACGACCGTGTCGCGCACTACGTAACCCAGGAGAAAGGAAACAAGGGCGATCACACAGCCTGTACCGAGCAGACACTTCCAATTTTTTCGGTACTTGTCGTACCAGAAGTTTTTGTTCCCTTTACCTGCTCGCCCGCGCCCAGCCGAGCTACTACTACCCCCGCTGGACGAGCTGTCGCCGCGGTGCCGCAACGGAGAGGCCTTGCACGAACTTTGGTCGACGCTGGAGGTCTCCGACTCGCTGCTGTCGACAAGAAGATGCAGCTGGTCTGGGTTTTCTTTGGGCGAACCATTGTCAACATCGTCTTGCAGTAAACGATGCTGGTCGGGCGACGCGCTGGCTTGGCTGGCGTCCGGGGAGGGAGAGGGGCTGGCGGGACCAATGTTGACGGGGTCGTGGGCCTCCGGAAGCAAGGATGGAGAGGACATCTTCGCGGTCTGTTCCCGGCTGGCGTAGCAGCTTCTATCTTTCACGAGGCTGGGAAGCAGCCTCGAAAAGGAGGCGCAAGTTCTCCTTCCTCACCGTTGCACTCTGCAGCAGTGCTACTTGTTCGGGAGACGTCGCCCGGCGTCGTGTCGGACGAAAGACTACAACGGCCCACGCATACTTATCTCTTCAACTCGCTCCACCAAGCGCAGAAGCTCTGTTTGAAACTGAATGCGTATGCTCTCTTTCAAAAAATACACCTTCGCAAAGCTGTGCTCTTGATGCTTCAGTTTCGGTGCGGCCAACATGTTGACAACTGCGACTTTACAGCGAATGAACCAAGCAATGCTTGAACCAGGAACGAGTTTTTACTTGGCACTGAAAAACAAAGACGCTGAAAAACTGCGCAGCTAGAATGGTGCGTCGGACGGGAAAAACGGAGTGGAACACGCAAAAACCACACGAACCACAGCTGCGCCTACAGCTTCAACCGCAATTATGCGCGTCGCCTTTTATTTTCGGGGGACAGTGCAGAAACAAAATCAACAAGTCGGGGGCTTTAGTAAGTAAGTAGTAACATTTGGCAGCGCCTTTATTGGTATTTTTTTCACGTCTTTCGCCCTGCCGGTAGTGTCAGTCTCGACCGAAGACCGGCAGAAGCTGAGTAGGCTGGCCCTTTTTAATACCCACGCCCACACCTGCGCCTGCCGCTTCGACCGCAATGCGTATTGTCTTCTACTTCATGGGGGCAGTGCAAAAACAAAAACAAGTCGGGGGCTTTTTCGTAAATATGAATGCTTGGCAGTGCCTTTATTGGTATTTTTTTCACGTCCTAGTTCCTTTCTTGCTATTTTTTTCGATACCCGCAGCGGGTATACAAGCTCGTCAAGGTCAAAAATAAAGTCTCCGTCAAAAATAAAGTCTTGCATGAGTAAAGCTCCTTCTTGTCAGGGACGTTATCGAGGTTCGCGCCCTTCCCTTGTACTGGATCATATTGACCGCCTTTACCATCCTATCGCAAGAAAAAACTGTTTCACTGTCAACTTGTAATGCAGAAAATGTATCTGAGAAGTATTTCTTGGCTTGCTACACATGCAAGAAAGTGGATTTTTAGCTGTGTTTCCACTTAGGAAGCTTGCATGGCAAATTTTCTCTGTGCTGTAGAACAAACCTGTGATGCAAAACGTGCAAAATCCTTACAGTGAAACACTTTTTTCGTACGATACATCCTTTCGTAGCGGTCGTAATAACGACACGTTAGACTACTCGTGGGCAAGCTAATCGGATCGAAAACCTAGCCTAGTCCGCATTTCTTCCGTCAAGCTGTCGAAGAAAGCTCCGCTCCAGTTTTTGCGCCAGTTGAAGCTCGTCGCCTGACCGAGCATGTTTTCGTAGGTGCCGACTCTTTCTCTTTGTCTTTTAATCAAAGACTCGAATCCCTGCATGTTCTGATCGAAAGACTTGGCTCCGAATAGCATTTCGCTCACGTCGACGTCCCCCTGCCCCCGGGCTCCATTGGGCCCCAGCTTTTCCCCCCAGGCTGCAATGGGTTGGTTGAACGCGATCGCGTGCAAAAACATCCCGCGCATGCTTGTGACGGCACTCACGTCCCAGGCGCCAATGGGTTGGTTGAACGCGATGGCCCCTTTGAACATGAACTGCATGTTTGTGACGGCACTCACTTTCCAGGCGTCAATGGGTTGGTTGAACGCGATGGCCCCGTCGAACATGCGTGCCATGTTTGTGACGGCACCCACTTTCTCTTCCCAGGCGCCAATGGGTTGGTTGAACGCCTCGGCATGGAAGAACATCTTCTCCATGTTTGTGACGGCACGCACGTCCCAGGCGCCAATGGGTTGNGGTTGGTTGAACGCCTCGGCATGGAAGAACATCTTCTCCATGTTTGTGACGGCACGCACGTCCCAGGCGCCAATGGGTTGGTTGAACGCCTCGGCAAAGGCAAACATGCCCCTCATGTTTGTGACGGCACTCACTTTCCAGGCGTCAATGGGTTGGTTGAACGCGATGGCCCCGCCGAACATGTGCGCCATGTTTGTGACGGCACTCACTTTCTCTTTCCAGGCGTCAATGGGTTGGTTGAACGCGCTGGCATCGTAGAACATCCCCTCCATGTCTGTGACGATCCTCACGTCCCAGTCGCCAATGGGTTGGTTGAACGCGATGGCCTCTTCGAACATGCCCCTCATGTTTGTGACGGCACTCACTTTCCAGGCGCCAATGGGTTGGTTGAACACGCTGGCCCCGGAGAACATCCGGTCCATGGCTGTGACGGCCCTCACGTCCCACGTGCTCAGATTCTTGTGCGGAAAAATCCTCCATCCCCATACCCAAAGCAGACGTTTACATTCTGTGATGTTATTTTCGTACTCCTTGTCCTTACTCCTTCGTCTTCGCAAGAAGGCAACCTGCCTTCGACAGAGGTTGTCAACGCATTCTTCTGATGTGGGTGATTTCTTATGCTGTTGGGGCCACGGAGCTGCATACATAAGCCTGACATGTTCAAAAAATACGCGCAAGTGTCCCTAGTACTCAGGCCCACAATCTGCCTGAACTTCAAATGGAAGTGGTGCGAAATATTTCTATTTGTGTACAGAACGACGAATCCAGCATCACAGATATCGCTCGGGTCTGGGAGTAGTACGGATAACAATAATTTTTCATTCTCATACAGGTCGCCGTTGAACATCGCGGCCTCTTGAAACATCCTAGACATGCTCGTGACTCTACTCACGGTCCAGGTGCTCAGACCTTGCCCGGTGAATGCGTCTGCGTTCTCGAACATCTCGTCCATGTTCATAACAGCACTCACGTCCCACCCCCACGTGCTGAGGTCCTGGTTGAGGTCCGACTTACTAAACATGCCCTTCGTGTTATCCTGTTCAAAAATATTTTAACGACGCACCGACATCATAGTACCTGGCAAGCAAATCTGAATGCCCCGAGCAAGTGTGTGCCCACGCAGCCTTTGAGAAGCATAATTCTCGTCTTACTTTTCTTCCTTGTCTTTGTCATGCTCTAGTACTTGTTCTAAGTGAGCACTTTAACGGGGGGACTTATTTATAGCTCGATTTGTAATGCAGTTGTACTAGCTCGGATTCAATCGTGATTTCAGCTCTGTGGTATCATGCGTGAGGCTTTCTATCAAGATTTCTACTTAGTATGACAACCAGCGATGTGATGCAGAACAAATTCCGAAGTCTTGAGGTGACGTGGTCAATGCGTCATCAAACAATATGTTGTGAAGGATATATGTCTCGCGCCTTCGAAACATCCCAGAAAAGCGGAAAAGACATGCCGGCCGTACCTTCGAACATCGACTCGAAGCTTATCACCTGCTCATGTGTTTTTGCAATCTGAAGCGTTACATCAACAGAACAGTCTGACTCTGAGTTATATCGTGCATCATAATCATCATGAGGCCCACGACACAGAGCGTTCCGCTTTTTGCAATACATTAAATGTAGCCGGGTTCTAGTGCTGTTTCGCACTCCGAAAGGCGTCATGCGTATAAGTAATTCCTGTAAGAGTGAGCCAGATCGCCATCGTGCCCTTCTTGTATCACAAATCTTCGCTTTTATTGTAACGTCTGAGAGTGCAAAACCACTTGAGCGGGCCATAAAACTTTTCACGCCGGTCACTCGCCAGTTAGTGACTTTGAATTCCTCCATAAAGCACGTGCTCCATTTGTACACACCCGTGCTTTGTAAAAACGTACACACCCGAATTCTTTTTGGGAAGCCTGCAAAACAAATCCAGTATAATACTAAGGATATTCGGACCCACGTATGAGACGAGACTCGACAAAAAAAAAAAACCTGTGCTATCATGGTCCTGTTGATTCGAGAACGGCAACTTTTGAAAAACGTCAACTAGCAAACGCTTTTCATGTTGGGGAGCGGCACCCAAGGTGTAGTTGTGGGCAGCAGGCAAGACTGGATGGAGACAGGCCTGCTCAGGCGGGTGCTCCGTTTTTACACGGGATAAGTTCTGCATCTCCTGGAGTGCGCTCACAAAACTCCCGAAATTGGAACGTCTCGGGTGGCCCTGCTTGCAACGCGGCCGCGACGTTCCAGGTGTCTGGCATGGAAGCGTCAGTACCGAAACCAACGAAGTTGACTCAATTTGTAAGTACTCAGATGCAAAACATTTTTCACGCGAGACACAAAAATCACAAAAGACCTGTATAAAAGAAAAGGCAAATAAAGCCGATTTCAAGCCTGTTAACGCTTAGAGATAGAGCTCTGAAGGAGCATGGCAAGATTTGTCTTCTTTGTTCCAAACAGGATGACACATTGGACTTAGGTGCTTCGTTAAAAATTTGTCATGCGCCGCTTAGAAATTGGCGGTCGGGGTTCTAGTGCTGCTGATGTCGTTATTATGCATGCAGAAACCCGGCCTTGCCGTGGTCTAGACCCAGGCTAGTTCGGTGCATCACGCTGGTACGAGCCGCAGGGCGCTAGGGTATAAATTCCCTCTAGGGTGGGGCGCGAAATGCTGGGGGTGCTTTTGGCCATGTTTTCTTTATGCCCCACCCTAGCCCGCGGCGCGTGTGAACGGTATAAGCCAACTTTCGACACGCTAGCCGATCGGGTAGCCTCGTACTGGCCTAGACCAGGACAGGCACCCTAGCCGCAGTAGCCTGCCTTGGCGATCAGTAATTTGCGCGCGTGTTTTCTCAGCTTTCGCTTGTTGTGGGCGTTGTGGCGCCTTTGAGTGAAAGCGGCCCGCCGGGCCCTTCCCGTCCTCGCCCCGCGGGCTAGCCCAGCCGCTGGCTTCGGCGCGGGGCGGTGCTAGCCTTGGTCTTCGCGGGGCCGGGCTTGGGGCCGCGCAAGACTGCCCCCCGCCCCTCCCACAAGTCATAATTTCAGCTTTGTCGATTTCAGATCTGGAGCTTCCATATTCGGCTCGCCGTACTTCTCCACAACTTCGTCGCGCTTCTGTTGCCGCTGCTGTTGCAAATGTTCGTCTTGCGCAACTCTGGTCCAGAGCATGCATCGCAACCACTTATGTTGTCTGGGTCTGGAAGAATTGTTCCAGCTTCTCATTCTAAATCCCGAGCAGAAAAAAATCTGCATTTCATCAGTGCCAAAGCCCAAGGCCGTGGCTACCTACTTTTTCCTAGACAAGTAGCGAGCAAACTTCTCATGTGGAGTAAGTAAGGATTAGTAAGCGTTCGCAAAATCTTTGCTGCTGCGTGTGCATTCCTGCCCATCTATCTGCTCAAGAAGATCATGCATGCACAAACAAGGGCACTCTTCCTGGCCCAGACCATAGGTAGTTTGCATTTGATACAGAGCTTGACTGCGTTCTTCAAAACGGCGATGTCCCGCGGAAAGGCCTTCCCGCGCTTCTTTCCGTCCCTGGTCAACTCTGGGTCAGCGTTAAGAAGTCTTCTTGAAGTCGTGTGCGTACCCCCTGAAACCATTCCGAACTGCGCGAGGTCGTGGAGCGGTAAATGCCCACCTATCAGTTGATTGAGTAAGCCTTCTTCAAGAATGTCCTGAGCCTTTGGCGCAGGACTGGGTTTGCATTCGCCTAACACGTCCCCGAGAAGGGGGATGACCACGTCCCGCTTAAACACGTAGTCGGTCCAGACCGTTCTCTGCAACGTTCTCCACCAGGAAGACACAGAAAACCAAGACGCGTTGCTCTCCTCCTTCCGCAGCGCTTCCTGTTTCTTCTGCTCGATAAGGTCGTGACAGCCGTGAAGTATCAGCTGCAAAAGTGTCTGGGTCTGGAAGATTGCAACTTGTCATGCTATTTTTGCTTGTATTGCATGACCAGCAAGAGGGGTCCAGTTTGTGATTGTGCTACGCGGACAGAGGATTTCTCAAGCGAGAGGGGCATCAGGAAGCACTCTAAAAGTCCGTGATGCTCGATCATGCATTACAGGCATCATGGGTCATGAGAAATATGCATGAAAAATCTTGCATTCTTCCAGACCTAGACATATTTACCGTTCATATGAAGAGCTTGTTCGCCAGATGGGGCCCCCGCGGCGCTTTCGCCAGTAATCCTCGTCGCGGCGCCTTCGTCAGTAGTCCGCGCGGTGCTTTCGCGAGTAGCCGAACGCAACGCTTGACTCAGTGCTGTCACGAATTCGCCCACGTTGGTGTGCCGGCTGCTCGGCGTCGAAGACGGCCCGGTGTTCTCTACAACCCACGGGACCAACTCTTTCATGCATTGCAATTTGGAAGTGTCGCCCTCCGGGTCGGAAAGGTTCGGGTTGTTGAGATAAGGTCGCCGCGCGTTGCAGGCCTCCCGAACGCCATCCTTTCGGAAAGCCTCCCAGTAAGCATTCAGGACGGGGTTGACACGAAACGGAGACCACTTTTTTTCGTTCTGCTGGTTTATCTCAGTCTGCACTTGTTCTTCGTCCTGGCGGAACTGTTCATGAACCGCGGGCGGCCCCCCTTCGGCATTGTTGCTTGCAGCAGCGATATGCATTGCAAATATGTGTTTGGGTCTGGAGTAGTGAGACTCGTAACGCTGCTTTTATTGGATCCTAAAAAAATCTGTATTGCTGGAGCAGCAACAGGACTCCAGTTTTTGCTGCGCAGAGAGGGTATCAATTTCTCATGCACAGTAGCCGTCAAAAATTCTGTGATGCTAAGACATGCATCTTGTTCATGGTTGGGCCAATCATACAAAACACGCATGAAAAGCGTATACACTTTTCCAGACCCAGACATAGTTGCATTTGATACGCATTGCTCCCGGGAACCGCCGGGGCCAAAACCGCACCCGGTGCGGCGCTCGTCGCTTCCTCGAGAAACAAGTTTGCCGCCGCGCTCCCCCCGCTGCTTGCGGGAACGGAATTCTCTTCGTCCAGGACGGGAGGGAAAACTTCGTTGTCCACTATGCCAGCGAACAAACTCTTCAAGCCTGTTCTTTATCTTTCCTCACCCATAGAAGTATTTAATACCACGAGCCTCGACATCAAAAGGCGGCCCTCTGTTAAGAACTTCATGTAAGCTTTTCTGCTGCGGAACGTGAGTACCAGCAGTAGACCCCGAGCTGCTAACATCATAGAGGACCTTCACCCCGAGCAGGTGTCAATATGCTCGTTATAGAAGCCGCCTGGCCGACAGTTCGTACTATTGCATCTCTTTTTTGTCTTTTGTTTTTTGCATGATTCAGCATATCGATACATAGCGCGTTACTTACTTACACTTCTCGTGGGTGCAGGCTGATGGGAAACAAGGCTATATGATTTATTTCCCCAGAGGTTAATTTTCGTCGACTGCGTAATCGTAGTTTCGTCGCTATGCATTGCAAGTTTGATGTCCGGGTTGGAAAGTAGAAGCCGATAATTTCTTATGCCTGGTTGGGACCATACTGAATTGATCTACACTCCAGCGAGAACACGAAGGCTTCATTTCTTGTTCAAGTTCAGTTTAAAAGGTAATTATATTTAGTTTGTTTGTGTGGTCCGCCAGATGGGCTGTACTATGACAACCAGCCCGCCTCTACTTCCCGGACCTCCGGAGATATTTCTTCACATGCATACTCGCCGTTCGCATCTACACTCACCGCAAACTGCTCACCGCCACGACCCGCGTCCCGCTCGTGCTGCGAAGGCTCCAGAAAGTGCCTCGCCACCCCGGAGACAAAGAAGAACCCGATGGGCCCCCCGAAAATCAGGTACGCGCAGAGCGCGCCGGCCACTTTTCTCGCGGTCGACTTCCGCCACGGGCTCTGCTTCGCGGGGTGCTTGCAGGTGAAGGTCACAAACTTGCTGCAATAACAGCGAACGCGACCACCGACACGACGGCACAGGAGGACGAGACTCGCCGAAACCCGACGGGACAAGCCCGCCATCTCCGCGAAAACGCGGGCCAGAAGGTCGTGGACGCCCAACAGCACCATGCACACCGCAGAAACGGCCCAAAGAAGAGAGGCGGCACCAACGGCACATTGGATGCAGGTCACGGCCGCTTCACTGCAGCTGGCGACGAGCCGGCAGAGGCGTTCCCATGCGGTGCACGCGACGCGTCCGGTCAGTAGGTACAGCGAACCGGCTCCACAGGATGGTGGACCGGCGTCCTTCGCAAGCAGGCATCCCGATAGCTGCGCGCAGCGCAGCACGTCGGACATACGCGCCCAGAGGCCTTCACCAATAATCGTCGCGCCCCCTTGCTGCATTGCTTGTTCTTTTTGCTGTGGCGTTTAGTATACACCTGTGCAAAGACAAGAGCTGTGCAAAGACAAGATCAGGCTTTTCCCTTACTTTAGAAGAGCCCCTAGACTTCAAAAAAACAGAAGCCGCTTTTGCGTCACGCAGGAAAGAAGCACTCCGAAAGACAAAAACGATGTAACGCTGAAGACAAACAAGTAAACGGAGCAATCGAGCAGGAAAAAAAAAATGCTTCACAGAAGTGTCGCAACGGCTAATAGAGGAAAAGAAAAGTATCATAAAACAAAGACTAGACGTAACAAAGGTGGGACAAAACAATTACAACAACAAGGGGGAGGTTCCTCTGCGAAGAAATAAATAAGTAAGTATGTCTACAATTATCGCAATTTTCACAAACACGCACGAAGCGTTGACATCTGTTTCTGTGGTTGGATAATCAACGAAGCCGGTATAATGCTGTTTGTGTCACGAAGTAGATGCTGTGGCACGAAAGTCGTCCGGTAAATTTCGAACGGGCAACGATGCTACTGTGCCTGGTACGTGAAGAACTTAGAGTTCTCTACTGCCAATCTTCACAACTAAGTCTCATCTACATCTACTTTGCGTTCGCTATAGCACGAATCCGACGAGGGCGAAACGAAGATATAAATAGAACGTGACCGAAAAAGTGAAGAAGACGAGCTACGCTGCATGTTGACCGAATCTCGCGGCCACAGCGCATGTCTATCCAATCGGACGAAAAGGAAATAAACCGAAATAGACCAGTACAGGAATTCCTCATACTAATACCCGAGGCCTTGCACCTAGTACTTTATTTACGTTTAAGATTGCCTACGCAGCTACCGAGCTGCCAATGTGTACGAAATACAAATAAAACAGGAGAAAACCGAGAAAAAGAAGTCACAGCGATGTCGTGGTTGGTCCAGGTTGACCTAGCAATTTCTTTCACGAGAACGGGGAGTAGCCTCGAAAAGGAGGAGCAAGTTCTCCTTCCTCATCGTTGTACAACTCTGCGGCTGTCCTACTTGTTCGGGAGCTTTCCGTCGTGTGAGAAGCGAGCTCGAAGATCTTGGACGAAGCACTACAGGGGCCGCGACATATTTTATTCATTCAATTCGCTCCACCAATTCTTGCAGCTCTTTTTGAATGCGTACTTCCCTCACGCCCACCTTCGCAAAACTGTGCTCTTGGTGCTTCAACAGTCTCGGCGCGGCCATGAGGGCGACTTTATGGCGAATGAACCGAATTCTTGAACCAGGAACGAGGTTTTATTTGGGACGAAACATCGAAGAAAGACCCTGAAGAAAAGCTGCGTTGCTAGAATGGTGGGTCCAAAAGGGAAAGCGAACAAGTGGAACACGACGTAGTTTCTTTTCAATGTCAGTACCTCAACCGCCGAACGGGAGTGTGTCGTGTGTCGACGTGCTTAAAACTGCAGTGAAAATCAAACTACTTCTTATCTAAACTCGTCCCCATGAACTTGCAATCATCGCATGCGTGCTTCTTGTCTTTGCAATACCAATCCAGCGGACAGAAACCGGCGTCAGGAGGCGAAGTAACTTTCCGGTACCGGCACCACATGGCCGTCCCGGATTTCGATTTCGATCACTTTTTCCAGCGGCAACTCATGAATTTTGAAGGAGCCACGCCTTTTGCCGTTCGCGAGAAGATCTTGTTCGGCCGCGGTGGTGCTTGATGTTCTTCCCTTGGCAGAGAACTCAAAATCCAAGGAAACGTCGGGGTTGCAGTCCTTTCCGAGCTATCAAATGCAAAAGTGTCTGCGTCTGGAAGAATGCGCGATTTGTCATGCAGCTTTTCCATGACCCATGAGGTCTGGAGTGCAGAACCTAGCATGACAGATTCTGCGCGATCTCTCTCATGCCTATTCTGCAGGAGAAACTCCCTCCCGACTTGGTCAAAACTGGACGACTTTTGGCAATCACGCAACACAGATTTTTGCATGCATCAGATTTAGCATGACAAGTTGCATTCTTCCAGACCCAGACATTTTTACATTTGATACGAGCGCGTCGCAGTTCCAGTTGGTTGTTTTTTTTGGTAGTTCCCACTGGTCGACCAAAAACTCTTTGGTGAATTTGTTTTCCCCGACCGCAAATTCCACGTGCTCCCAGCCGGAGGGGTACTGTTTCACCGGTTGTACAGGTTGAAGAAGATCTTGTTCACAACTACTGTTGTTCCCTTTCAACATCGTCTTCCCGAACAGCTTAGTCCCATTTTTTCCCCCCCCGGCGCGCTTCTATTATGAGGAAAGATCCCCCCTTCCCATATCAAAAAGGTACGTCGCAGAAAATTTGCAATGCTGATTTGCGACCACAAATCATCTCTGTCTTGCAGGAACGCAACTCCACAGGCTCCGCTGCATTCTGCAGGTGATTTGTAATGCTGTTGGGCCTACAGAGCAGCCGTTCCTCATGCTACGAGCGTTGGGCAAAACCTCTCTGCTCAGGCTTAGTATGGGGCTGCACTCCTCTCTAGCAAGACAAATCTGATTTGTGTACGCAAATCCAGCATCACAAACTTCGTTTTCATATGGGGTGGGAGGATTTTTCATTTTGATAGCTTCGGACAGGGAATCTCGAGAACCGAGCAGGGGAGAGAGACTTCTAAGCGGCCAGAGCAGGAAGACCTTTCGACGGCAATTACATTGAACACGAGCGGCTCTCGCAGCTTCCACGTGGCGATGGGACGCCCACCGATCATGGACTCCAGCAGCAGGTCATGTGCCTCGAAACTATTATGTCTGGCTCTGGAAGGATATTACAAAATTGTACATGCTGATTCATTTTGGAAAGACGCATTAAATCTGTCTTGCATAGGTACTAGCAAATCCAACATCGGAAGCCTCTGCAGCGCTTGCTCTGCTCTGTTCTGGGAGATACAGATCCGCAAGCAGCCCGAAAAAAAAACAACCAACGCTACTTCCGGACCCAGACATCACATCTGCAATGCGTAGGTGAGCGTGGTTTGCGAACTGTGCTCGTAGAACAGCGTTTATCTTTCTGTACTCCTCCTCCGAAGCGCAGCGCCAGCAGATATGGTCCATCTCCCAGAGTGGACCCGAATTGGTCCTGGTGCCGTCGATGCCTGTAGGGGTACTAGTAGTATCAACCCTTGCACCTACTGCACCGTGCAGGGCATCCTGTCGTCCTCCATCTCCCTCCTCCACTCGTGGCACGTGTGGTCGCGCTCCCACGAACGGCAGCAGCATCGACCCATACTGGCTGAAAATGGCGCCCACTAGGTCGGTCGCCAGAATGCCATTTGTGTTGTTGAACGGACCTCCACCCTGCGCAAAATTGGTGTCCAGCAGTGCGTGGGAGTTCACGGTGCACTCCACGAGGTGGGTCCTCGCCGACGTCTGCGTATCTTCAAAGCGAGTTGTTTCGGCCTTCGCATCTTCACTTTTGATAGCGTGGTCGTGCTCGTCCTCACCTCCGGCAGCAACGAGCGCTGGGGCTGGACTTCTTCCGGGGGCAGAAATAAAACTGTGCAGCAGGTCCTGGTCGACAGGCATGATCTTGTATTAGCGTAAGTAGCTCCTTCTTGTGCGAAAAAGAAGAGGTTGGGCGAGAAAATGTTTTGAACAATTCGACTTACTACAACAACTTCATATTCTTATTGCAGCACACAATAGACTGCTGCTTTGCACCAGTACGGATAACATCAACCTATCGCTGCGAAGACATGAAGCTCCTGATGTGGAGGGCTTGCGTTCATGCACTGCGCTCACCTGTTGTCATGTAGTAGACGTAGGAGGCACGTCGATTTTGCATCATGATCCTCGATCCAGTATAATCACTCCCGTCGTCGCGGTACCAACCCTTCGATCGCAGGAGCAGAGCACCTCCTGCCCAGAAGCAAGACTCCAACAAAAATACTTCAAGCACCTCTTGCCCAAAAGCAGACTCCAAGTACTTCAATGAATTGCGCATCGCGCGCTACAAACGTAAGTACCCCCAACTTTCCTGAGACCGTTGGCCTCCTCGAGGCTGAAAACAACATTCTTCGTTGCTCGTCACCCGGCTCACAAACCTCACATAGTAATGGCGAACAAACAATCCCCGGTGTGAAAAACGAATTCTGTTATTTGTTTATGTTCCACAAAAAACTTGTCTTCAGACAGTAGTTCGATATTCTGAATGTCGCAGGTGGAAGCTACTGGCTCGCTAAGAGGAGCTTTCGTTCATTTTTTGAGGCCGTGCTTCTAGTAGAGATTGTATCAGAGCTGTTCGTCGTATCCACATTGCCTTTACAGCCTTCTTCGCGGTCCTCGTCGGCATCGTCAAAATAGGCCAAAAAATACAGAAACGGTACTATGGTGTTCATTCTATTTCGATTACCACATCGTTCTTGCGGCAAAAATTAAAATGTAATAAAAATCTCTTTAGGTTTGGTCGTACGTCTCGATGTGCTGGTACTTTAGGGGTGGAAGTGAAGGAACAGAACTACGTTCTCGAAATAAAGTTTACCAGTGGACTACGGGCGCTCCCCGGTCCCCCTCCAGGGATCCGGACTCCCCTTGGGACACACGGAAAAACCGAAGGCAGCTGAGGTGCACGCGCTCAGCTGTCAGACAAACCGATGATACCCCTTCACTGGCAGGAAGTCCCTCAAGGTATCACAACACTTCCGGGGGGAAGCGGCAAACCGAAAGGCCGGATGGAAGAACGAGACAACGAACGGACGAACGGGAAAAGAAGAAAATCCTAGAAATTTCGCACCTTTTAGTAGTAGTCACAAGCTATGCCCTCCGGGCTACGTCAGGCCATCAAGAATGTGTCCGCACTACATGAAGCTAAAAAAAGAAAGCGAGTACAAACCGACAGATGGAATCGACAAGCAACATGAATATACAGAATTTAGAGGAATGCGTGAAAAAAGAAAATAAAGATGAAGAAATGAGAAGCGCAGTGAAGTTCTGGAAAAGATGAAAAAAAGTCGACGCGTAGGCAAGATAAATAGTTAGGTCGCAGAGCAAAGGAATAAACACTACCTGAGAGCATATCCTTAGCTTGAAACACAGAGCAAAATGGTAAATAGCTACGCATAAGCCTCGGACCTATAAAAAGTTACAACGTCGAGACTTCTGCACCACCCAGCATGGTGTCGCTCGTCTTCAGCGTGTGGTGGGAGCCAGCTTGCGACGCGGTATGAAGACTGAAATCCAGGCAGAACCAGTGGGGCCTTTGGCTTCTTTCCAGCCATGGTGTCCAGAAACCAAAGGCCGCTTGGTTCTCCCTGACAACGAACAGCGCCCGATCTAGATAGCCCCGCGCGACTCGCCGAGAAGACACCCGAGGAGCCCCCGTGGACGGCTCGCTGCGACGCCCGAACGAAGTGCCTAGCTAATACCCTACAAACATTGAAGCAATGGGGTTTCGAGGTGCAAACAGGACGACCGACGACACAACAGCCCGCCTTACCTACATACGTACCGACGAGAACTACATGCTGGCCAGGCAACTTAGAATGGGAAAGCTGGGATAACTTACCAACCCGGAACAAGAAAAGATAACAACTGACCACCGCAAGAGGCACCCTGCTGGAAAATAGTAAAAGCCGCCCGCGGGCAAGGACTTACCTACCAAAATACATCGCCATGCAAAATCAAAACCGCTAAGATAACACCGAAATACTCTAAAAGCTATGCCCATTTCCCAACTCAACTGCAATACTCCCGTCATACAAAAAGCAGCGAGCAAGGGCAGCAGCCGCAACTGCCAATAAAATGAAAACTAAGGCAGGAAGGCGTCTAAGCAAACCAACGACCAGAAATATCAAATTTCATGAAACAAAGTCTATCTAATAGCATAGACTTTGTTTCGTGCAAGATGATGCTTTACACTCCATTGTGTAGCAAGAGGAGCATGCACAGGCACAGCCAAGCCTCATAGGGACAAAAAGATGCAGACATGCAAAAGCATACAAAAGGAACAAGCAAATACAAAAAGAGCATGACAAAGGACGATGGTATGGAATGCGTCGTGGTTTGATAGAAAGAAGGTCTGCCAATAAAAATAAAAGCGCTGAAGGATGAAAGAGCCCGGGCGCGGCAGCAAAGATAAATGCGAATCGGAATGCTGAGTGCGATGTAAATCTAAAATAAAAAAAAAAACCAACTTAAAGGCAAGCACTGGGGAAAGTGAGATGAAGTGCGAGCGCAGCAAATCATAGAAAAACAGCTTAAAGCTAAGGGGGGAGTCATCAGCAAGCAGACAGAACACGACTAGACTGACTACCACGACGGCACAATGCACCACCGAAACCGAATACCTCGAACTGAGCGATGACACGAAGAAACCATGAAACACGACAAACATAAACACCACATAGGGGGGGCTTCTAATCAGCAGGAAAAGTGCTAGAGACTGCCCGCACATCAGGGACAAGAGCAGTACATCTTTTCCCGCCGAATTTGTAAGCAGGCGTGCAATATTCTAAACACAATGAACCAGAACTGTACCTGGGAAGCCAAGGTAACCAAACAGCGAGCACGCAGCTCCCTAAGCACCGCCTAAGGTTCCCCTGGGATGCAGGGTCCCCTATGACCTACACGTCGCGTTCCGGCTTATTCACCCGCTTCTGGAACGGACTATCTGAGGGAATCATGGCCTTGGGAGCACCTCAGACAATCGCAGAGGGGGAAAAGCCCGGCGGGAGGGCTCTCTGCTGGACCTTTTTAAACCTGGCGTCGCCCCCAGGGGAAGAAGTGAAGGAACAGAACTACGTTCTCGAAGTAAAGTTTCATTTTGTTTGCCAAAACTCGTCGATACTAAACCACTGTTTGTATCAAATGCTCCTACTTCTTCTACGCTTCTTTTATTCCGCATTTGCCTTTTCATCTTCTGCCTTGGCAAATTATGATTTCGGCGGTCGCTAATATTTCCCGTGCGTTTTTCTTCGCTGACAGACGCATTAATATAGCCACTTGGTGGCCATGAGGAACTACCTGGATTCATGTTCGCACCAAATTTTTCTCAACGCGGCCGTCGTAAGTAGAGCACCATCAACAAATCATCACGATCCACATTTTTCAAACGATAGTGCAACAAGCAGTGCCTACGCTAGATCATCATGCTGAACCTAGGTTCCTTCCACACAATAATCCACGCGAAAAAACCACTTAAAGCTTCACAAATACCGTTGTGCCGCGGCAGTGCTACCGTGCAGTGCTACCGTGCAGTTCGTCCGCCAGTGCGTCCTGGTTCTCTCCCGCCTCATCCTTCAACGAGGCCAGCCTTTGCTCCAACCGAACTCGCTGCCTACGCCAGGTCTGCCGGTCCGCCACCGGCGCCCGGTCGTCGACGAAAAGCTTCCGCCTATAATCAAGGAAAAAACCTGCTGTGTTGGTCGTGTAACTTTCGTGGGCGAGGAGGAGCATCACAAAGTTCTTCCTCCGCATGATGTTGACAGAGAAATAAATTGGTCATACGCGGCTACCAGCACGTGAAATCACGCTTGAGAACAAGAGGCCCTGATGTACTTTTTTATCGGGCATGACAAAAGTATTAACTGTGTTCCATGTTCTGCATATTATTAATACAGGATTTACAGTTACTTAGAGGCTGTGCAACAATTGGACCCCCTTTCGCCAAGGCGAAAGGGGGGGGGTAGGTTGGTCCAATTCCGGAGGACGGAAGCTGGCACCCCGACGCAAGGGTGAAAGGCGCTCCCGACGGTCTCGCCTCACAACAGACAGTCGAACGCCCGGCGGCTCTTCTTCGTGCTGCGCCTTCGCAAGGGGCGGCTAGTTGTTGGTTGGTTGGCAGTAGGCGCACAGGCGTACTACGCAACGAGGCCGAAGCCAAACGCATGCCATCTATGGCCGCGCTCCGAACCCGGCGCGCCGTAACATGTGGGTGCGCGCAGGACCAGGAGGGCGCGCGCCCGCGCTGTTTTTTTTTCGCATTCCGAGCAGGAAGAGGAAGTTGCATCGGGCCGATTGCGGACGCCCCATGTGTTGGCCCCGGGCTCCACGTGCTGCTCGGGGGTGCTTGACAAGTCGGCGGGCGCACGGAGTGCGCCCGAAGTTTTTTTTTGCCCCTTGTTGTGAGGCGCTGGCGGAGGGGAGGGAGGCATGCGCGCGCTGTCAGGGCCGGCGACTACAGATGTAGGCATGCTGCAGCGCGATGCAAATGTAAGTAGCCGCACCGGGCGCGCGCAGCGCGCCCCGCAAAATTTGCTACATTACGCGCGCGCAGGAACCACAAACAAAAGGAACATAGCAGGGGGCGCGCGCAGCGCGATTTTTTTTTCAGTTCCGGCAGCACGAGGACGAGCACAGGACGCAACCCGAGGCCCGCTCGCAGCGGGCACGCGCCCCGCAATGTTTTTTTTACTGCGCACGGCTCCCGGCGAAAGGGGGGGGGAGGGGGGAGGTTGGTCTCCAGCGGGCCGCTACCCCCCCTTTCGCCATGGCGAAAGGGGGCCCAATTGTTGCACAGCCTCTTACACAGTTTTTTTTTCTTGGATACCGCCCCTGGGCCGGCGCCGCCGACTGAGGATTCATAAGCTCCGCACACTTCAAGACGAAGGCGGGGAGCCCCGAGGATCCGCTCCCGTCCTTCGTGCCGCACTGCTTCTCAAAGACCACCTTCGCGGCCTCCAGTCCGGGCGCCCGCTGGTTGCTGTTGCCAAGCACCAACTTCAGCAGTTGTCCGTTCCTGCTCTCGATCACTTGCACACGCTTCCTCAGCGGGCTTTCGGCCGGCGTCCACTTCAGCATGGCCCAGTCGCGGAAATCCGGCTGCAAGCGGATCAAGACCCAACAGGGAGTCAAGGGGTCCAAAAGCCTGGAGAGCGTTCGCTGCAGCAAATTGCGGTTGTTGTCTCTGGGTCGCTTCTGGTCGGGTTTCACTTCGTATGGAATTTCATTTTTTGCGCAACGACTTTCTTATAGTAAAGTACCCCGGCATTTTAATTTGCATCCCCAATAAAACCTTTGAAAGGCAGGAGACAGAGCCGTAGCAAGAAAAGCGATTTTCCGCACCTGCCGCATGAGAAACCTTTCCTTACAGATTGCAAGGGCGCAGCATGAACGACTGACTGGCGTTATCGGAAATAGAAAGTTTGCATGGAGTTTTGACGAACAAGGGGTCGTAAAGATGAAGGCGTATTGTGCACGATTTAAATTCTCATAGGTTTCCCTCATGCAGCAGAAAGCGCCGGATGTCGACCACGGGCCCCAAGCCGATCTGCGGCAACAGCTTGCCCAAACCGTAGAGCGGGCGTGTTTGGTCAGGGAACTCTGCTCTGGCTTGCTCCGCCGGGCTGGGTGGCGGCTGATTTCCTGTAGTCGCGGGTGGTCTTGCAGCAGATTCTACAGCAGATGAGTTGTCGTGCTGGTCCTGACTTATTTTCCCGCCACGTCCTGTGCTGGATGAAACCAAGACTACAATCACCGCGTCGTCCTGCTCCAAAATGTCTTCCAGATGCTGTCGGACCGGCAATTCTGCTGTCGGACCAGCAATTACAGTGCCCGCTGGCGCCGGCTGTGGACTAAAAACACAACAAGCAGGACCAGGAGGCGATTTTTCAGGATCATCTGTAACAGCCACTTCCTCTTGCGCTGGTTTCCTCTTCGCAGTATTTTTAGCCGCAAGAGTGATTCTTCTCGCCTGTGGGTTTGCAAACGGCACCTTCTTCAAGACAGCGGGCATCTGCTCACTATTTTCTGGTGGTTGTACTGGAGTCACAGCCTGATGTCCTGCCATCTCCACGTCGCTGTCTACGCTCAGCTGCTTCGAAGGGTCGTTGTGGGCCAGCAACTCCAAATCTTCCCTCTGACCAGCACGGCCGGGAGGGTCCTCGGGTGCCGCGAAGTTGTCGCGGCTCTTTCTTGCAGCTGATATTTTTGCCATGATTTGTTGACCGGAAATGAAAGCGGCTGCAGTTTTATTTTCAACAGCGTTAATACCTTGAAATCCATCATCTTCGGCCCCCGCCACGTCGACCAGCATCTCTACGTCGTTGATAATGCCAATCGGTCTCGATTCTGGAACAAATTTTTCTGCCTGGGAGAACTCCGCCGCCGCCGTCGCGTCCGCGGCCCGTGCGGAGGTCACGACCATGGGTACTAAAAGCCTTCCGCCGTTAGTGTCCAATTTGTCGCTCAGCTCGTACTGAGTCCCCGCCCCGCTAGCCGTAAGAACCCCCTCAGTGCGCCGGACCTGCAGCTCTACTCCTGAGTCGTGGATTTTTTTCCCCAATTCGTTTTGCGCAAAGAACGACGCAGAGGCCAGCTCCGCTTCCTCGCGTCTGCGCTTTAATAACTCGAAGCTGCTGTTTACTTCTCCCACCAGCTGCGTGGAAGGATGCGCTGAAAATGATGTGCGGGTTTTATTTTCCTGCTGGCGAAAACTTCTAGTATTTTCCTCGTTTTCGAAGTTCTCATTTCCGCTTGTCCTTTCCTGCGCGACCACTTCTTCTCGCAAACCCGCAGCCGGTAGCTCGCTCAACACACTGTTGGGTCCTCGGCCTGCTACGGTAGAACGAATTTTTGTTCCAGCAGCAACATTTGAGGTGGTCGGTCGGGAGGGAGAACTTTCCTCCAAAAGAGCTGCGGAAGTAGCTGTTGAGCCCAAATCGTGTGCCAAATAATTATAGCCGTCTTCCATTTTGTTCCTCGGAGTTTCTGATTTGTCCATTTCAGCAGAAGTAGTTCTCGTGGCTGCTTGATGTGCAACCAGCACTTTCTCCGTACAAAAGTTCATGACTTCGCTCTTTTTTTCTCCTGGGAGGAGAATAGATCCCTTCGACGCTCCTATTTCTGGCGCTGCTGACCGCACGCTGCTACCCCCCTCCTCCTTGTCGCCGCAACGGACCTCTTTCGAAAATTCCTCTTCCGCTCCCGCCGCAACACGAGCATAATTAGCAGCGGCTTCAAGCACCGGCTCCTCCGCGCGTCCCGCGTCTGGTCCTCCTCTCACGCCGGGTAGAAGATGTTGCGGCTTGTTCATCTTCGGTGGACTGTTTTTAGAACAAGAACCCAATACCTTTGGCGCCGCCAGGAAATCCCCAAATGCCCCGAGGAGCGACTTCTCCGGCGGCGACGAGAGTACTTCTAGAGGCGCTGTGGATATTAAACCTTGTCGCTCAACAACATCTTCAGAGCTGGTCGTCGTGTGAAGGGGCTTCATTGTTCTAAACCGCGCGGAGGTGGACACCTCTACCGCTTTCGCCGCCTTGCCGTCGAGGCTCTCGGGTTCCAGTTTGCTGGCCGAGGTCGAGGGGGTGGTCGTGAGCGGTAGAAGAGGTCGAAAGGTGGCTTTTTTCGTAGAAGAGGCGCTGGTGGTGTTCTTGATTTCCTCACTGCGCTCTTTGATGTTCAAACGCACATCAAACCTGATTGGCTCTTCTTCCTCTTCTTGTTTCTTACTGGCAAAATGCAGTAAAAAGCGCCGGTCATGATGATCCGTGTTGCGGTCCTTTTGCTGCTCGTCCCTCGGACTAATGGTGTTAGCTTTCTTTTTTTTCCGCGCCGGGTTGAAAAATCCCAAGCCGATTTGCACTTTCGAGTTGGAACATCCCAAGTGCTCGTCGTGGTCCTGTTCACGAATAGAAGGAACTTCGTCACGAAGAAGTTCTTGATGATGTCGTCGAGCACTACGATGTGCTGAGCTTGTGCCTATATTCAACAAATTGTTGTCAACCACTAGTACCTCACTATCCCGATAGTGATCTTGCTTATTTTCCCCATTACGACCCGCCGTGGTCGTTGCAAGAACTTCGTCGCACGTCGAAACCGCAACATCGTTGCCGAGTCCTACTTGTTGTTGCCCCTCGTTGAATGTTGCAGTAGCTCCCACCATTTTGTATTTGTATTTGTCGCCGCCTGCGGGTGCGGGGGCTTCTTGCGCGGGAATAGTGAACCCACCTGTCGTCTCGGTCCGGCTCGTCTCCAGCGGCAGAGCCACCCGCTCCGAGGGACAAGGCATCACCTTGTTCACGCGGTAGTCTTCACCGCGATTGGTCGACGTCGCTTCATTTCCTTTGGAAATTTTGGCTTCACTTGATAGCGCGGCTCCTGTAGGAGTACAAACCGACTCGCATAATTGTGGGAGAATTTTCATCTCCACGTCGCCCGTAGAAGTGCCAGCCGCTTTCGACTGGTTGTTGAGATCGGTAGGAGCACTGGTGACCTTATCCATTTCGCCGACATGCCTGACGTCCTTCTCGAACTGCAACACCACGTTTTTATCCGATGCAGCAACTGTTCCTGTCTCCACTTCGATTTCCATTTTTTCCTTCCCATTGCCGGTCGTGGGAAAGAAGACCTGGGCAGCACCTTCCTTCGGCGCGGCGGTGCTTGTGTAGTCAATCTCGGAAATGGTTTGCGTCTTGTTCCCTTGTCGTTGTAGTGCTCCTCTACCAAGAACGGCGCTCGCCCCATGGACGGACGGTGTTTGCCCCGTCGAAGTCTCTTCCTTCGTTGTTTCCCCCATGCTGTCTTCGGAGAATTCTCCCGGTAGTTTCTTGCCCGCTTCTTGTTGTTGTGCCACAACGGTGGGAGGAAACATTTTCATGTCGTTTACGTGAAGTTCATTTTCAGGTGCTCGAAACATATTGCACACACGACCTCAGATAGGATACAACATATTAATCGCATCAAAGAGGAGTTGAAAAAAAAACTTGTTGTCAAATAAAATCTGCGACCTCGCCGCGCTTACTAGACTTCACGGCAATAGAGGCAGACGAAACTTCTTTTTATTTTGTCCATAGGTCATTGTCGCGACGGATATCGCTAACGCAAACGCTATGGAAAAACTCCTTGTCGAAAAACAAAAATAAAACAAATTTGAAGCTCTATGCCGCAAAATTATCTACTAAAACAGTTCCCATCGATCGAAAAACCACCAGCGTCCGGCCTTCTTCAGTAGAGACACAAGGCCTCTAGATCTACTTCCGGAGCTTATTAAGAAACTGCGCAGTGTCTACTGCGTGGTCACAGCTAATACCCATCATCAAACATCAGCACCATGATAGATCGTCCGCCGAACAGTAGCACGAAGGACCGCCGAACTAGGAGCACGACCACAGTACTATCCAAATTTTCTTCCAACAAAGAAAAACTTCATCATCCAACACCACTCGGATACGCAGCAGAACTTGAGGACAGCTGCTTTGTCCAAAGTGACTGAATCAGACACAGAAGCAGTAGAACAGCGCTGTTTGTCTCTTTTTCAACACCTTCGTCGAGAGGCGTAGGTCGGATACGGGTTTGCTCAAGGTCGAGTTCCTTCAAGGTAAGAAAATTACCTTGCGTTCTCCGCTACACAAAAGATGAAACCTCGAACCGCAGATTCGGGTCCGGAATGAAGAATCTGTCATCGGCTAACGTTTCGCAGCTGCTTCTGCGGTTTATTTTTTGAGAAGATGAATCTTTAACTTTATCTTGTTCAGTAGAAGTAACCACACTAATTCCATCTGTTTTGGTACCACGACGAGGACCGCCAGAAGTAGTACTATTCAGCTTTTTCCGCGCAGCCAAAATCTTCTGTTTCAATACGTTTCCGAACTCTTTATCCTCTTTTTCCCACTCTTTCACAACCGCGTCGGCGTTCATCGAGGAGTAGAATAAGGGGTGCTGGTGGGGTATCAAATGTAAAAATGTCTGGGTCTGGAAGAATGCAACTTGTCATGCTGGTTTTGGATTGTAAAAAAATCTGTATTGCGTGAGCAGCAAAGAGAGTCCAAGTTTTGCTACACGGAAAGAGCCTTTGTCATGCGGTATAGGCATCAGGAAGCCCTCACAAAATCTGTGATGCTAGGGCATGCATCACAGACATCAGGAGTCATGCAAAATGTGCATGACAAGTCTAGCAAAGTTCCAGACCCAGACATATTCGCATTTGATATGGGGGTAATTGTGATCCGAATTATTTTCATCCGACAGGTACGCCGCCTTGTAGTACTGCTGAATCTTCTTCTGTTCTTCCGCACTGTCGCTTGTGGCGTCGTGGTGAGATGAAGATCCTACTGCAGTAAAACTCTTCTTGTGCTGGTCTAGTAGCTGGTCTAGTACTACTACTTTTCCATGGGGCTGGTGTTCTTGCGAGACGTCTGAATATGAAGACCCAGCAGCCAGCCAATACCTTTGGTAGCCGCCCGTCCGGTCCCATTTTTTCGCGAAGCCCGCGGGGTGGTAGACCCGGTTGAAGCTGTAAAACAGAAACGAGCAGGACAGCCACTGCCACTGGCTGCAGTTAATCGCCCAGTCGTAGTCCAGGAGAAAGGAGTGGAACAGATCGCGCCCGAGTTCCCAGTGCAGGTGCATAGTTCCGGACCCCCTCGTCCAGTAGCAAGCCAGCATGTGCCGCATGATGTGGTGGATCCAACCGGTGTGCATGGATTGCAAATATGTCTGGGTCGGGAAGGTTGCAACTTGCCATGCTAATTCTGGATCATGCAAAAATCTGTGTTGCATGAGTGCGAAAAGCTGTCCACTTTTGACCTAACCGAGATGCAGTTTCTCATGCAGGATAGGCATGATAGAACTCTCACAGAATCTGTCATGCTATGTCATACATGACAGACCTCATGGGTCATGGAGAATCTGCATGACAAGTCTGGCACTCTTCCAGACCCAGACATTTTTACATTTGATAGTGTGGCGCAGTTGCTGAAAGCCCGCGAGAACGGCTTTCGGGTGGAGGGGATCAACTGCATTGGAGGCTTGCTGGATTCTCCTTTTCTCATTCTCGTCCTGGTCCATTTTTGTCGTCCCAGTCGTCGTCCGGGGCACCACCGCAAACAGGGAGAGAATTTTTGCTTCCGTGGAAAGAATTGATGCTCCACTACTGGTGGTCCCTCTGCCTTTGTAAGTTCCACCACGCGAAGCGTTCTGCATGATCTCACCCGCCCCAGCAGCATCTTCTTCTTCATCGTCGAAGTTATTCCATTTACTATACTGCAAGCAAAACGGGTTCTGCTCCATCGTCTCAAATGCTTTACCCAGAACAAACCCGAGAAAGTGCGCAAACTCCCGCCAGAAGAGCTGGCCGAGCAGGCATTGCTGGGTTGGCGGACAATTTGGATCCTTGGCATTGGTGGTCTTCTGCGGCTCCGTGGTGTAGAGGTAGCAAGCGACCATCTTCACCGACAAAAACCCGTTCGCGAAGTACGGCGACAGCCCGGTCGTCGCGATGTTCGGCGGCAGGGCCATCGGGTTGGTCTTCGGCTTTTCAAAGTCTCTGACAAACTTAGGCTGCTCGAGAATGACCTTCTTGAACCGCGCCAACGCCGCACGCTCGCCGCCGCGGAAGGTATAATTGTGGTGGGGGTGGGTCGTGGTGGCAGCTGGTGCGTCGGGTTTCGTATTATTGCCTGGTGCACCAAGTAGTAGATCCTGTGCTGATGTCCCCGCTTGTCTAGGTCTTTGTGTCTTCTCCTGTTCGACGTCTCCGCGACCCGCTGGACGCTTTTCATAATTTTCGTGTTCTTCGTGAACGATAGTAATCACCCGGATTGCGAAAGTTTTCACTTCCCCATTCCGGTACGCGACGGTCAGCCGTACCGTGGGGAGGTTGTTGCGTAGTTTTTGCGGCACGATGGCGGGAGAAATAAACATGTTCTTTTCCTCTTCGCCAACAGCTGCCTGAGGTTGATTGCCCGTTCCCTGGTGCGCTTCTGCCACCGCCGCCGCCGGCGGTCGAGGTTGCGGCGAGAACAGCCGCTTCTCTGGCTGCCCAGGCTCCCGCGGCGGGACAGCTGCGGACTCTTCTGCCTTCTCCTTCTTGCGCCACCTGCTGGCCTTAGGCTTGGTTCCGCCATTTTTTCCGGTCCCGATAGAACCTGTTTCCGCGGGTTGCTCATCTTGCGTAAAAACAGCACCTTCCTCGAGCCCCTGCGTGTGTGCATTTCCTGCTGTACTGGCACTAGTAGAAGTTCTCGCCCAACTCGTCAACTCACTTGTCAACTCGGTCACCGTTCCCACGTCCGCCCCACAGTGTTTTCCCCAGTTTCGGTGGAGAAACCGTGCGAACGGTGTAAAGGACACCGGGATGCTGGCTAGCTGCAATTTGGGAGATTTGTCGGACGCTGTGCTAGAATGAGTAGTACCTCCGTCGTCAAAGACAGCGACGTCGTGCGTGAACCTGCCAAAGTCCGCGATCAAGTTGTGGCAGCCGGGGATGGGATGGATAGCATTAGCACCTGCTTCCTTCGTGAACAGTAAGCCACAGTTTTTCACAACGTAATTCTCTTCGTCAACGGAATGCGCATCGTAAAGCCGGTCGAAGTACAAATGAGTCGTAGGAGTTTTGCTTGTTGTTCCAGTCGTACCACTGGAGGTCGTCGCAGGATCATTTATTTTCCCCGGCACGATGGCCCCGATGACCTCCGTCGATAGTACTAGTAGCCTCAAACATTCCGCCGCCAGCTTTCCCGACGCCTCCGCGACGGCGGCATGCAGCTCCCCGCTGTCCGGCTGCGGGCGGAAAGCGCTCTTGAGACGAATCGCGATATTCAGAGGAGGGGCGCAGGAGGTGCTAGTTCCTGCAGAAGTTGTACCGGCAATGCAATCGTCTTTATTCCCCTTTTCATCTTCTTGTTCTTCCACCACTTGATACGAGTATCGTGAAACAATAAAAGAAGAGTTTCCATTCGCTCCGCCGTGGTTTTTCCTCCTGCGCTGCTGCAAGGCGGCTTGCAATTCTTTGTGGAATTCCGTCACCCCCTCCTCCACGAACTGGCGCCGCAACTGGGAAATGTCTTTCGTATCCCGTGTAAAAACGTACCCACACCAGAGGCAAGATGCGAAATCTGCTATACAAATCCACCAGCTTTCGTTGTTTCGCATGACAAGTTTTTCTTCGTAGTGTAATCCTCTTTCGCTAGTTCAGAAGCATCACAGATCCAGCATATAATGCTGATTCTAGCATCAAAAATTCCCAAATACGAATAGAAAACGCTTCGCATGGGGCTCCGCATAAAAAACGTTTTTGGCATGCAGATTTGCATGACAACTCTGGTGTGGGGACGCTTTTATTCCGGATATTTCGCCCGGAACACTTTGTCGGCGAGCTGGTACTCCAATTCGTGCGTGTTATCAAATGCAAATACGTCTGGGTCTGGAAAGTTGGAACTTGTAATGCTAGCTTTACATTCCTGGGAAATCTGTCTTGCAAGTAACCGACCAAAGCCGCAGCCCTTTTTGTCATGCAAGAACGCAGTTTCTCCTGCGGACTGCCTATGAGAAAGCGCTCCGGAAAGTTGTCATGCTGGGCTGCTGCATTTGGAAGCCTTTCCATCATGCATATTTTAGCATCACAAGTTTTTAGACCCAGACATATTTGCATTTGACACGTGTCGAAGGAAAGGAAATGTGTTGTTTCTCGACTGGGATCGTCATCTTCTCCTCCACCACGGTTTTGTGTCTTCGCGAAACACCGATCCAGCAGGGGGTTGTCGATTTGGCGGTACGCTCGTATCAAATGTAAAAATGTCTGGGTCTGGAAACTTGTGATGCTGGGTGGCGTATCATGAGGAAGGCATAAGTGCTGGCTCAGCATGACAAGTTTCTCAGCTTCTAGGTGTTGCCTATTCTGCATGACAGACTGCGTTTTTGCATGACAGGAAAGTGGGGTTCTTGGGTAACCTGCATGACAGATGTAAGAGTCATGCCAGAGAAGCATGACAAATCGCGCATTCTTCCAGACCCAGACATTTTTACAGTTGATAGCTCGGCGAATCCAACATATTTTTCTTTGCGTGTTTTCATTCATCATTCCACCGAGCAGGAGCAGAAATTATTTTCAAATAAAAAGCAAAGAGCAGAGAAGATCAGCGTAAAAGACAAATTGGAAACTGGGTAAATCATCAAATGGGATGAAAAACACAAAAAGGTGAACTTTATTCATGGCGGTTTGAGGTCCTGTGTAGTTTTGGTAGTTGCGACGGTATCTAGCTGTACAAAAGAGATCATTCTACTTATACCGTGTCGCGTCAAGACAACGGAGAACGCTTCTATGCAGCCTGGTCATTGTGTCATCGGCCACTTTTACCTTTTACCAAGCCGCCACGATTATTGATTGCCGTTTTAGAAGCACTGCACAAGATGCAGATTCGCCCAAGGATTAATATACATCGCCTCTTCTTATTTGTATGTGAAAACTTACGATGAGCATGCGCATCAAAAGTCCTCCTGTACTTCTTCGTCATATGCGAAAAGAAAGATCACCCACGAATCGAGGCTGACAATAAAGCAAAAAACCGACTTCTGTTGTACAGTATCAAAAACAGATATCAACTATGTCGATCAAAAAACCTCCTTTTCCACCCCGAGAAAGCCCCGCTCGATTTCCGCAACTTGTTTTTGCTCCTCGGCAAGTGTTAGGCCGGATTTCAACTCTTTACTTTGATTCGACCTTTTCTCCAAGAGCGCCCGCGCGTGTGTGATGGGGAAAGCGACGTAGTGCGGCCCGTGCTGTTCCGGGACGAAGCTCAACGACCCCGCGCTCCACGGACGGTACATGCCCTCGGTTTTTCTGTTGGACCGCACACCAAACCAAACGTAGATGTGAAAGGGGATGAGACAGGAAACGACCACAATCTGCATCACCCTGTCGCACCGGTCCGCCTGCCGGATCTGACTCAGACTGTACTCCGGGACCCGCACCTGGTTCACGATTTCGTCCAGAGAATAGTTCGAGCCGTCTATTTCGTCCGAGAAGAGCGAAAACTGCTCGCGAGACAGGATCACGGCGGTGACAGCGAAGCCCACGCCCATCAGGAGCAAACTGGCGTTTACGATGGTGATAATCGTGTCCAACACCGTCATGTACGGCACCCGGGGTAAGCGGTCGAGCACGATCCACTGCAGGGCGAAACAGGTGAGAAACATCGCGAAAATCAGGTTGAGCCGGCCGGAGAGGTCGGTGACTTCCAAGCAGTAGGAGAGCGACCCGAAAATGAGGATGGCGTACAAGGGGAAGCAGGTCTTGAACAGATAGAATTTCGGGTTGCGCTTCACGTGCAGGGACAGCAGGACGTCCTCGTAGCCGTCGGTGGGGTTCGTGGGGGTGTAGTGGCGTCCCTTCGCGTAGGAAATCCCCTTCATGTCGAAGTCGCCGGAACTGCACTTCGAGGGGGGGAGAACCGGCACCTTCAAGATCATCTCGCAGGTTTTTTCCCAATCGAACCTCACGTCGCAGCTGCCCTTATGCAGTGCAAAAGCATCGTAGTCGTATAAATGCATGACAAATTTCCGCAGTATGGGAAATGGAATTTGTAATGCGGATTTACCTCAAGAAAAATATTTGTAAATGCATGACTGTAAATACTACGAGTACGATACTTTTGCAGTGCATAACCCTCGAGCCGTTTTTCCCCCGACAACCCCAACACGAAATCGTAGCGGACGCTGTCGAACGGAAAGGACCTCAAGCCGTCCGCGGACGACATCACTTCAAACGTGGTTTCTTCGGTGTCCTATGGGAGTGTCAGGACCGAAATCGACAAAATGGAAAAATTTGTGATGCATAAAATGTAGGGCACGGAAGGCCTGTATTGGGGAGCCGGCAAATGAGACCGATTGTAAGCCTGTTTGGGAGTATAAAACGCGCACGCGCTGGCAGAGTAGCATGACAGGGGCAGTCTTCTTTGCCCCAACAGCATGACAGACTGGATTTGGGCTCTCCCGAAATTTGTCATGCGCCGCTTCGAAACTGAGGCTCCGACTAGCATCGATTTTGTGCATCACAAATTTTTCGACTTTGTCAATTTCGATTCTGACACTTCCATATGTCCACAATCCACAATAACGCCCCGTCGTTCCGGTCCCGGCTAGCTAGCGTGGGCTTGCTCGACGAGGCCAGGTTCGTGTCCCCTTGGTATCAAATGTAAAAATGTCTGGGTCTGGAAGAGTGCGCGATTTGTCATGCAGCTTTTCCAGGACCCATGAGGTCTGCAATGCAGGACCTAGCATGACAGATTCTGTGCGATCTCTCTCATGCCTATCCTGCATGAGAAACTCCCTCCCGACTTGGTCAAAGCTGGACGACTTTTGGTAATTATGCAACACAGATTTTTGCATGCTTCAGATTTAGCATGACAAGTTCTAATCTTCCAGACCCAGACATTTTTACATTTGATACTTGGTCGGTGAATTTCATCTGCTTGTTCAGCGCGTCCGCGAGAATGAACAGCTCGGGGCGCCAAATGTTGTCCGGAATGTCTTCGTCGAGGACCCAATTCGCGAGTCGGTAGTCCACCCACCGGAACTGGATGGAAAACTTCAGTATGCATCGCAAATTTCTTTATGTCTGGAAGATTCTGAGACTTGTCATGCACGTTTTGCATGAGCCGTGATGTCTGTGATGCATGCATGCCCTAGCATCACAGATTTTTTGAGGGCTCCTTGATGCCTACTCCGCATGACAAATGCCCTCTCGTCCGCGTAGCAAAAACTTCTACATTCCCTTTGCTGCTCTTGCAATACAGATTTGCTAGGAATCCAAATGCAGCATCACAAGTTCCACTCTCCCAGACCCAGACATATTTGCAATGCATATTCAGTTTCACCATCTCGTGGCCCCCCTCCGCGTACACCTGCCACTCGCGGATACTCAGGTGCGCGGTCACCGGTAGCGCGGTGGCCCGGGATTTTTTCCCAGCGGTACGCTCCTCTTGCGTCGCCGGACGCATGCCCCAGTCCGGAATTTCCGCGTCGGAGAACGTGCGGGAGGAACGCCGTGTCCCGAAGGAGCTGCGGTTCGAGGTGCGGCGCGCTTCTTCTCGAACAACACCAGCGGTGGAAGTTCTTTCGCCATTTACATTTCTGCCCTCCTCGGTTGTAGGAACAACACGACCCGCGGCTTCCTCTTCTGGCGCGACTTCCGTCGTGCCGAGTTCCTCGATCGACATGGCTGCGGCAGCAGGCGGAACAACTCCGTAGAGGACTATCTTCAAGCAACTTCAGCAAACCAATGGAGTTGCAAAAACTTCACTACCACAAATGGAAACCAAAACGGACGCATTGTGGGAGATGAAACAAAAATGACTTTTCGGTATGTCCTAAAGCTCGATGAGATAAGCAAACTCACCTTTTGAATTTGGAAAGAAGCAGCGCAGATCTGGTGTCGTGTTCTCAACAGAGTTGGGATCGGAAAAACGTATTTCGGGACTTCTTCGACTTGCTGTGTATGTGTTACACGTGGCGAAAACGACACAAGCCGGACAGTAGTAGTTGGCTAATATGGCGTTCAATCAATTTCTTCAGTATTACCGTATTATTAAACGTCATTTTTGATAGCTAGACGAAAAGCACCGAGGTGCTACTAATGTAGAGAAAAGCACGTTCATTTCAGCAGTCATTTTATTCACGCAACGACCAATGCGGTCGTGCCTATATTTGTGTATTCCAAATGCAAAAATAGAGGTTTTGCGACAAAAATAACAAATATCATTTGATTACACAACGGATATGCATTTTTGACGAAATAAATTCATTTGCCTGTAGCCGCTTTTGCATACTTCTCTACGCATCTTTCCACACCCCTAGAGAGTTGTTCATTTTTGCAGAATTTTCATTCATTCCGATATCTTTTTAGGATTGTAAATACTGGCAAAACTTTTTCCTTGTCGACAAGTACTGGGCGGTTCTGTAGTAATGTACGTCTTGTTCTCAAAAAACTCAGACTTTATTCTTATCATGGTATAGCATTGGCACACTTACTTAGCGCATTCTACTACTCCTTCATAAGTAGCCACGCACGCCTGGCACACTTCACTCATCCCTTCGGCATCGGCGTGGCCCGGTGGTCCCCTGGCACGAAGATGTTGAGCCCAACCTTGTCCGGGTTCTGGTCCATCGGTCTCGGCGAAGAAGCGTCTGACCCAGTTCTCCGCTGGAACTTGCGCGTGCGAAAAGCGGCACCCGTTGTGGAAGTAGATGTAGAGCTGGCTGCTGCCCCGGTCGGTGTCGCATGATCTAGTACTCCGGTAGTACTACTACTGCTCCCTGCTTCGTCTGACGGGTGCTCTAGCAATTCAGCCATGGATGTGGATCCAGCATGACCCGCTGCCACGGAACTACTACTTCCACCCGCAGTCGCCCGCAGCCTCCTCCCCGGCTCGATGCGCATGACGGCGTCCGCTACGTTGGCCGGCACTTTGTCGCCCGAACTGTCGGAAGTGGGCGTTTATCGTCATTGCAAAAGCATCGCACAACTGGTAGTATAAAAAACCGCATCACAAATTCTTTAAAAACAAAATGCAATTTGTCATGCTATACCAGGTAGAAAGTTAGATTTGTCATGCATAACTGCAATTACTACGTCGGTACGATTTGCTTTTGCAGTGCGTAGCGTTTTGGAGGAGCTCTCTTCGCGTTCAAACCGAAAACCGTCGTGGGAGAGGAATACCTCCGGAAGCGGAAGTTCGGTGATGGCAAGTTGCAACTCCGGCTCGACGACTACTGCGCTGGACGAAGGATTTTCACTTTCACCGGGGCTCGCTTCAAGATGTAAAAATTTCTCGGCGTGATTTACTTTGGCGGTACCAGGCGAAGAATCTTTTTCTTCACTCATGTTTAATACCGTGCTCTCGACTTCCACCTTCTCTTCTACCGGCACGACCGGCTGGTTGGACGCCGGCGGGTCGTGGGACTCGCGGCTGAGCACTTGGTCGTCGTCGTGGTCCACAACTACCGGTGTTGTAGTAGTCACCGGCCGCGGCGGAGTCTCATGGTCATTCTCCCCCACAAGGACCTGCTCGTCGTCCACCAGAGGAACGATCCCGTCGACAGAAGTGGCAAGCGAATCGACCGTCATCCGATCATCACTTCTCTCCAGCTGGTGGTTCGCCAAGTCTTCTGCCTGCTCGAAGGGGTCCCGACGTGGTATATCGTTGATTTGATGTCGCACGTCTTGTGATATGGATGCTGCAAATATCGATCTGAGTCGGGAAGAATGGCAGACTTGTAAAAATGTCAAACCGGCATAGGTACTTAAGTACCCCTGAACTCCGTGATGCATGTGCTGGAATAGCGCTACCTCTTTGTCATGCAAAAAACGCGCTTTCTCATGCGGGTGGCACACTACAGAAGCTGAAGCGCTCAGGAGTTTCTCATGCGTGGCTCCGTATTGGAGTCGGTTTCTTGTCATTCGTGTTTTCGCATCAGAAGTTTCCGAAAGCAAACATATTTGCACTGCATATGTAAATCATCTTCCAACTCCGCCTGCTCCTCATCCGAGAATGACGTCTCCTCTATGCATTGCAAAAGCATCGCACTCGTATAATAATGCATCACAAACTTCCTCAGCATGAGAAATGAAATTCGTAATGCGGATTTAGCTTCAGAAAAATATTGGCAATGCATGACTGCAATACGAGTACGATACTTTTGCACAGGATATCCTCCCGCGGAGTCGCGATGTTGTGCACCGTGGGCCGCTTTCGCGGCAGCTGGAGAAAGGAGGAGGGGGAGCTACTTGCGCCCGCCGTCGTGGAGCTCGAACCAGTAGCCACGGCTCCCATAGAAGGCGACATGAGAACCTCCTCGGGGATGAGATTCACCTGCGCGTGGAGGCCCTCGCGACTGCGGGTGAGTAGTTGTTTCGAGGTAGAAGAAGTACTTCTAGAGGAACTATGTTCATCGCCGGCTCCTGTGGTAGAAATTTTGGCGTCTCTGTTGGGCTCTCCGCTGTTCAACACGGAATCCCTGCTGCTTTCCCCTAGCACATCATCAGACGTGTTTAAAACACCTCCATCCCCTCGGGACGACGTTCTTGAGGCCGAACTACTGTGCGGCCAGATCAGAGACCCCGTGGAGGTTCGCGGCCAGTTGTTGTCGCCGGTTGTTGGCCGCGGGGGGTGTTGGGACCTTTGTTGCTCCTGCTGTCGTAACAGGTGGAAAACCTTTTCCGTGTAGCTGACTTCGCGGGGAGGTGGAGGCGCGGTGTGAGAAACATCCGGAAACTCGTCGTCCTCTTCTGGAATCACTCCCGTTCTACCACTTCTCGCCACCGTGGTATCGCAAGAAAAAAGTGTTACAGTTACACACTGTACTGCAGACTAAGCAAGACAGACAAGCTCTGTCATGCTAGATATGCATAGCAGCCTTGCTTCGTACGTGTTTTCCCGTAGGATTTCTGCATTGCAGGTTTTCCCTCTCATCTCGAGAAATTTGTGTTGCTGAATTGCCAACAAATGTGTAACTGTAACACTTTTTTCGTGTGATACGTGGTCTGCTCTGGCGAGTTCTCGCGGCTCAGCATCCTTTCCGGCGAGTTCACCGGCGGTGCGCACAGCCGCTGCCGGCTCGCGTCCAGCGGGGGCTCGGGTGGCAGTACTGGAAGATCCTCAAAACTGTCGCGGCGCAGGTACCTATCGTCATCAACTCGAAGCTGCTGCTGTTCCTCTTCCACATCCTCTAAACCGCCCTGCCTATGCCTGTGCTCGGCGTCTCGCATCTCTCGCAGGCGGAGGAGAAGGCCGGAGTAGCTACGATCTTCGGAGGTGTTATTTTCGGGCGGATTGTTGATCGTAGCGGGAGGTGAAGTTGTTGTAGTACTGATGTTCATCTCTGTGTTACTCTCCGCCGGGAGGCCGTGTTCGTGCTCGTCTTCCGGATTGTTCGCACTCGTGCCCCCGCTCACAACATCGGCCGCGGGGGCGGAATAGCAATAGGGTAACGCAACTACCGTGTTTTGCAGGCTACTAGCTTCCAGAGCAGCTGCTGCGTCCTCGTGGTGCTGCGCCAGCCGGGTTTCCAACTGTGCTAACACCGTATTTAGCCGCGCGTTCTCGCTGGCCATCTGCGCGTTTCTTCCATGCCAGCGGCGCTGGCACTCCTCGAACTCCAGTCGCGCACGCAGATGTCGCTGCTGCGCGTGCAGCTTGCAGAGGTAGGCCGTGAGCCCGGTGAGCCACACGGTGGTGACCCCGGTCGCGATGGCCGCAATGCTCCCAAACCATTTGTTGTCCAGGTTCACTTGGTAGCGGAGGCAAATGCTGCCGCTGTCATCGTCGTCGCCTTCGAAGGAATTCGCCTCCTCGCCTGGATGGTTTTTGTCACTAGGCACCAGTCCTTTCGAAATTTTCTCGTCGTCTCCCGGAAACAGGTCGACCACGGGCGCGATGTCTTTTTCGTTGTTATACTGCACGACCACCGAACTGTGGCCCAAATGCGTCAGCGGCGTGTTTGGGTACCACTCGGTCGCGAACTGCAACAGGAACTGCACCAAGTCTTCGCCCTGTTTCGGATCGGTTCGGAGACGGTTCAGGACTTGATCCAGGAAAGAGTCCAGGTCGGTCGCCTGTGACAAGTGATTGCGGTACAGTCGCACTTGCATTTTTCCCAACGACCGTTGCAAATGTTGACAATGAAAAACACATAATAAGATCAAAATGCTGTTGAAAGAAGTTCTTGTGCATAAAGACAGAAACAATAATAAACGTCGTGAAGCCGTAAGCCAGAAACAATACCGTTTCCAGCAATTTCCGCAACGAGTCTCGGTCCACGCCAAAGGGCAACAGCCTGAGAATCCCGTTGATACTATCACACAGAAAAAAGCAGGCAGGTCACATTTGTAATGCAAAAATAAATACACAAGAAAATCTGTATTGCATATAATCCTAACCAGCATGCTATGGGGCCGCCCCGAACTTTCTGCATTACAAACATGCCCTGCCTGCTTTTTTCTCTGGAATAGATACTGTCCTCGACGTGCCCGGTGCCGTCCTTCAACTGCGATAACACCCGCACGATCTGCTTCACTTGGAAACACGGCCCAACGACGAGTGGGGCGCGGGTCGTGGTTTGGATAGAACTGGTGAGAGTCCTCGTGGTAGAAGTACTAAACCACTTCTCGGGGGCCGCCTGGTGGTCGGGGCCAGTTTTGCTTGTTTTTCGGGAGAGGAAATTTTCGTACCTGTAGTTTTCTCCTTTGGAGGAGGAGCCGTCCAAAATAGCAGCGTGGTCCTTTCTACTTCCGTCGTGTCCAATCAACCCCGGGGGCAGAACTGCTGCTGCGTCATGACCCCCCGTGGAGGCCGCGGCGTCGGAGACAACCCAGACCGGGTTGACACCACCGGCCGGCAACACTGGTACGTAACCGCCGAGACGGGCCGCGTGCAGAAACATGCGGTCCACCTCTGGGAGCTGCTGCTGAGAGCTCGTCGGCGAGAAAAATTTAGAAGTACTGACACCTTTAGAAGTGCTGGAACCACTTCCGGTCGTGGATGGGACTTCTGCTGCGGAAGCATTCTGGACAAAGCTGCGTGGAGTTGTGATCAAGATTTTGGGGGCTCCTTTTTCCAGTTCGCGCTGCTGCTCTCCACCAGCGGGAGAATAATTGGAGTGATTCCTCTCAAAAAAATTCTCCGGCTGCTTCATCGTCCCCGGCGGCGTGGTCCTCCCGAATAAATGCAAGCTCCGCAGCCCGCGCGCCAACTCGTCCTCCACCTGCGCGTCCCCGGGGTACGGCAAGTCCGCGAACAAATTCATATCTTCGCTGTACGGAATTGCGGTGGAAGCTGCTGCATGATGTCCTTGTCTTGGTGGCGCAACGGGGGCGGCAGAAAAACGTGGTAGTACTAGAGATGGTGGTGGTGGTGGTAAAATATCATCGGAGAAATGCTGTTGACCACTACGTGAGCCTCCTGCTCCCGATATTCCTTGTACGCCATAATCTTCCCCCGCTAGTTGCCCTCGCAAAAACCCGCTCTGCTCGCCGGCTGCGGCCGTCACACCGGCGCTCGAGGCGGCTAGCAAGGTCAGAAGCTTGCACGGAGTACTAGCAGGTCCAGCAAGAACGGACCACGCGTGTTGTTTTTGACGGTGCCTGGTAGAACAAGTCGAGCCGCGCGACGTCGCTTTTAAAATGGACGGCTTGTTTATTTTCTGGTGCGAGTCAACATCTTCCGACGACAACAAATTATCGCCGCTTCCTCGATCTTCCTTGCAGGAGGTGCTTGTTGCGGGCCTGCATTTTTGTTCTCGCCCACCGCTTGGGCCCCCGGCACCAACTGCGGTAGCCACAGGTGCGGAAACCAGGAGCAGGGGAAGGACCCTCGCCAAGGGTCGGAGCCTCAGACCGGGCAACATTTTGGGAAGATCTTTATCGGACTCTTCGCATGCAAAACGAGTCCATCTACGGAGGAAGCTACGATTTTCACTACGAAGTAGATGCCTCCCCTCGACATTCAATAAAATTTTAAAAAAATCAGGTGGCAAAAAAAGTGACCTTCGAAAAGCACTTCGAGCCACGTACTTGTCCTACAACTTGCAGGATTGGAAAAAACACGCGCTTCACCGCTGGGGGCGGCAGTGCGACAGTTTATCACCTCTGGGCCAGGGTAATAATCGGCTCGGTGCCTTTTCCGTCCCTGCCAGCCTTTCGTATTGGTTCCCTAAGACTACTTGGCATCTGCTTCCTATTGAGCTGTCTTGTGAGTGAATCAGTGAACTAGGTTCTTCCTTCGATATTGATGTTTGATCGAAGTTTTCTACTTTTCTCTGTACAATTTCATGTTTGATCGGAAAACAAGCATGTTCTTCGATTACGCTTGCGACGCAAAAAATGTGTAGATCGCCACGCACGAAGTTTTTTGCAAAAAACCCACAACGCTTCCTTTCTTCACTCCTTTCGCTTGCCCGTTTGCGCCATCTCCACGCTGTTCTTGGAGTTCTTGCCACCTTCACTGTCCGACAGTGTCACGTTGTAGGTTCCGAGGTGCGCGGGCGGGCTCGTGTACTTCAGGAAAGCAACCAGGCCGGCCAGTTGCAGCAGGAAGAGGCACAAGTTTATCATGCAGTTCCGGAAGGCGATCTCCGGACTGTGTGATCAGGGGGTTTCGTTGGTATACTTGAAATGTAGATGTAGTACGAAGCGAAAGCTCAACAGCTGGGACATGCGCATGATGACAAAAATGATTTGCTCCTCTGATGTGATCGACTTCTTCATCACAAATTATCCGAAACAAATTCTATACGATAGTCGCGCCCTACTTCCGCCCGTCTTCACGTCGTCGTCAAATATCTCCGCATCCTCCGGGTTTGATATCATTTGGAAGAAGCCTTCTAGGCCTAGCATAGAATAATAAATCAAAACAACTTCAATTTGCCATGCACATACGGGCTGAGAAAACATTCTGTCTTGCGCGGACAACTACAATGATCATCTGCGAATAGAAAAGAATCCTGCTGCAAACAAAAGAATTCTGGTGCGCTGGTACTCTAATATTCATCTGATGCCTACTTGCAAATCACAGGTTAAAAGTGCGAACATCAATTCTGCTAGCCAACATCGAATATTTTTCTGCGATATCCACAACATCCCTGAGAGCAGTGCCGGAGGAAAAGTTTTCGTGCGTCGCGGGCTTGTCTACGTAGCCCTCGACGATGGCGTTAACCTGGATCGTAGTATGATTTTCATTGCTTCAAGTTTGTCGTGCTAAAAAACTATGCAGACACATTGTGTACTACCTGTCATGCAAGCAGTACCCCACCATAACACTTCCAACGTGAAGACGAGCTGAAAAACAATGACAATACCAATATCGCCGTCCTGGCCCCCGCGGTGAGCATCCGTTCGAGCATGTTGTGCTTCCAGATTTCGAAGTCATGCTCTGGAATGGTGTACCCCTCGTCGATCATCCGCTTCGCGACGGGGTCCCTATAACCCGCTCAGCTGTTACAATCTCAAACGTTACAATAGAATATGGAAATCTCTGATGCAAGAGTGCATGATCTAGCCAACTCTTCTAGGATTGCGCATGACAAGTTCTCCTGGAGCCCCAAACCCCACTACAAGGATCTGGCGCAATTTGTATTGCAGATAGTGGAACGCTCTGCGAGTCTGTCATGCTCATCATGCGAGACAAATCTACCCAGAGTCTATTGTAACGTTTGAGATTGTAACGGTTGAGCAGGTCATAGTCCCGGTACACATTTTTACACGCATACACCGCGGCGTCCCGGGTCCATTTCTCGAGAAACTCAAACGCGATTTTTGCGTTCTCGTTGGCCTGCAAGTTCGCGATTTCGCCGGCGTCGGTGGTAGACTTCTTCGCGGATTCCAGTTTCTCCTTGTTCTTCTTGATAAAGTCTTGATTCTCCTTCTCGTACAGCGCCTGGGCGTCGAAATTGACCCCGAAACCCCGCCCCCGGTGGATGTTCGTCCAGCCCCCGTCCCACCACATGGGGTTGCGCGTGCGGATCGTCTGCGTCATGTCTTTGTCCCAAAGTTCATAGAAAGAGCCCTTGCCCGCGAAGGAGGAGACTTGCTTTTGGAAACAGGGAAGGTCCTGCTTTTTCTTCACCGGGGCGTCGGACCTGATAGATATAGATTGGGATAAAATTGCATAAGTACTTTGGATTCATTGGTTTTGCACAGTGGGACCACAAGTACATGCATCGCGAAAGACCACATGCTTGAGCTAGAGGTTGTTTCACCTACGTCCTGTCGATGACCACAAACTGCGGTTTATTTGTTGAACTTGAAACATACACGTTCTATATACCCTAACGGTCCGTTGCTGGGCAAGAAGTGGAGCGGTTGGTGGACGTCGCCGAGCAAATTAACCAAAAACTTCATCCCATCGGCGTCCGTAAACGTGTGGCCACCGGGGAACGAGATCGCCGGGGCCGCGGGCACGTTCTTTGCCTTCACAATGTTGGCGTAGAAGTGCTTCATGGCGGGCAGAAGACACATCTTCCCCGGGCAATGGGCTTCGTCGTCCAAGAGGGATAAATTTTCGCACTGCTGTTCGTAGGGGTCGGTCTCTTGGCCGCCTGTGAAGAAATTTATACTGGGGGAAATTGCAGAAGTTGGTACTAGAATGCGCCTTCGATCAAAACGTAGTAAAAGGTCATTGCAGACCTGGATAGGAATGCGCAGCTTGGAAGAAGTAGAGGTCCCGTGCGGAATCAATAATGCAAGGGATGCATTACATACAATACCGAGTTTGTATGTCTGATAGTGCATCTGCTGTGCCCATGTGAACTTCTCGTCAACCGCGTGCGCCCACCCGCTTATGTCCATGATGTCCTTGCCTTTCAAAAGTTTCTTCATTGTCGTTAGCACCTGGAGGATTTATTGGGGCATATTTCAAATCAAATATATCTTACGCGGCATTTTCATTTTGTCATGCACTATTTCATGAAGAACAAGCTATCAACCCCTCACCTTCCCCCTTTCGATCGCACTCATCGCCGTCATGCCGATTGCCTCGTGGCCGTCGCGATCAAAGGCAGACGCGGCTTGGAAAAAAGTCCCTCCCTGATACGAAACCGCCGCTACCAAGGCCGTTGTTGCGGCAAGCGGGCGTCTTGCAGTGGTCCTTCTTCTCCTTCTGCCACGTGACGGTCTGTTGCTTTGGCATATCTCATCCGACGTGTGCTGGCTGAGTACTATCTCGATTGACTTTGTCACGATGCCCCGTTGGCAGAAGTCACGCTGCCCGGCGGAGGTTGTACTCCGCATATTACTTTGGTGGTTGCTAGGAGCAGTAAATACCGTAGTTGGCATGATGAAAGCGCCCCCTTGTGTAGAAGCGAGACGGCATGGCACGAAAGACGACGACGAGCTGCGGCTGTAATGCGCGCTCAGATGACTTGGGACAAGGTCCTCGTTCATTTCTGCCATCTTTGAATACTTTTCGGTGGTGCTTACACTATCAGTCTTGGACGATGAACATCAAGTATTAATCCTACCAACATTACAGTTTCATCTTCACCATACTACCAGGGAAGCTTCACACGCCGACATTGTGCCAAGGGTGGTCTACTGCGCAAGATCACGTATTAGTAGTCGTTCTTTCACAACCATAATCTTTACAAGGATCTTCATCTTTGCACAGACAAACCAACGACATGCCAACACTACCACAGTATCTTCGGTATAGCGAAGCAATAGCAAAAGCAGCCGTGAAGATCCTGAAACACTTTGATGCTGATTCGTTGTCACACAAAAGAAAGTGCTACTACGTTCCGGGGATGAACAGCACAACTCCTATTCATTTTGAACCAGCCCTGTGCGGTACGCACCACAACTCGCGAGGGGGGGCAGAGCTTTTGCTCTTCTCGTCATGATTTTAGTCGGAGTTATTTCTTCGAAGCGCTTCAGATATGATGCGAAGTGGATTTCGGTTCATTTACCTGTACCCCGTCGGGCTACGACGGGGCCGGTCGTAGCAAAAACAAAGTACATCCACGCAGAATTTTTATCTGTACTGTTGCGCGATCAAGGTCATACAATGTCAACTAAAAAAATGTCGCTCGTCGCTAATGCGTATGCCGCAAGGCGGGGGTCGCTTGATGCTTATAATAATCCGATGATACTGTGCCCGTCGCCCGTTATTTCCGGAAGTATCGGTCGGGCATCTCGAGCGGCTCGCTCTCGATAAAATCCGACTCGTCCATCATACCTGTTTGTATATTTTCTGTCGTGGTTGTTCTTTCCGCATCACAACAAAGGGGGTTTCCTGCTATATTGTTTCTGCATAACAAAAAGAACAAAGTGTATGTTCTAAAAAAGTGAAATTTTTCATGCAAAACCTTCATGTGTTTTCTTTTTCAAACTTGTCACAGAAAAACTACATAGAAAACTCATCTTTACCTATGATGGGCATCCTTCTATATCGCACCACCAGCTTCGCTTGCTTTTTCTTGAGCTCCTTGAACTGGTCGCGCAGCGGGTATTTCGCCTCCAGGCCTTGGAGGCTGAATTTTGCCTCCTCCTTGTCCCGGAGTATCTCATCCCAGATAATCACTTCGTTCAGGTGGCTCGTTTCCGTCTCGTATTTCACCAGGACCTGTACACGCAAATTTGTCATGTGGAAGAGCATCAAACGAATTTTTTGTCATGCAGCACACCACATCAGATAGCACAGTTGTCATGCAAAAGAAAGCTAGAGAATGAAAATGCTTTTATACATAGAGAAATAGCTGCTTCTGGTTCCAGTGGAATTCGCTGGTCAGATATCGCAAGAAAAAAGTGTTACAGTTACACATTGTGTCGCAAGACCGGCAACCCAGACAACCTTTCTCATGCGGGAAATGCTTGGGGGCCTCGTTTCCTTCCTGTTTTCCCTTATGATCTTCGCATTACAAGTTTTCTGTGCCGCACAGAGAAAATTTGTGATGCAGAAACTCCAACAAATGTGTAACTGTAACACTTTTTTCTGGTGATATCAGATCCGCCTCGAAATCAAAGCTCAGATTTGCTTGCTCCTGGCCCAGAAAGCTGTTGACGGTGAAGTCATGGAGGACGATCTGTGAAAGAGTTTTTCTTTGTGCCGATACAATTTTTCCCTATGATTATTTGCAACGTGTTTAGTAGATACGCAAGAAGATTATTTGCAAAAATGCTGATAACGCTACCAAAATCCTATTCGGATTTCTTTTCAATCAAATGCACGCAAAACAAGAAAATTTGAAATCTCTTACGTTTGATATTATCCCGGTGGGTTTCGGGTAGAAGCAGACGTAGGCCGAGAAGTGGTTTAGTATTGAGGCGAACCCGAAGGCCGTGACGAAGGTGTAGAAGATCGTCGTGAGACGATTCACGTAGGAATCCATGTTGTGGGCGTTTGTGGTCTTTTATTGGTGGATCTTCTTCCACTAATCACGTACAGGAAGGAGAGCGCGGCTACTGTGTTGTACACAAAAATTGCCTTCGGATGATAGATCCGGTGTGCTAAACTTGAAGAAAGGCGTAGTCACACAATAAAATTTTCCCGCTTCTTTTATTTATCCTGCTCTCCGACACTGTCCCGGTAGAAAAAGTTCTGAGCTGCGCGGGTAGAAACCGCTGCGGCGTTCTTATCACCTCCAGTTGGGAGGGCTACGAAGTCGCCTCTGTTTCCTCGCGAGTGAAACGGATCTATGACCCGGAGTTCGGAAGCACTTTAAAGCTACACAACATTTTCCTGGGCGGCATAGCGGTGTTTGTCTTCCGATTTTTATAGCTACAGAAATAGTACTTACCTTTACTCCTTGGCCAGTTCCTAAAAGTGAAAATCGCTTGGTTGATATTCGACGGAAAATACTAAATTGCCTACACAACTTGCCGTTTTTTCGAAACAATGAGCTAGGGAATGATGAAGTAGTGCGCTGAAAAAGGATTCGTGATGTAAGAAATAAAATACTTACTCGTGGTTTTCAGCAAGGACTAATGAATCAGCAGCTGCAAAAGTCTGATCCCCTCAGCAGGAAACGAGTGTTCCTTGTCCTGCCAGGCCGCACAAGTTTTCCTTGTCCTGCCAGAAAGAGCTGCTTCAGATCTCTTGCGGGATGGTCTTTTTTCTCTACTAGAAGTAAAACAAATCGAGGAACGACGTTGACTAGGCAGTAGATGAGAAGGTGATCTTCGTTCAACATGCTTTGTTTCATGTTACACGGATTATATCACAATCCGAAATCGTAACCAAGTACCAGGAAACGAACACGACACATTGCCTCTTCATCGAGGTCTTTGTAAGTGTGGAGGCCCCTGCGCTCCGTCCGGGCATGCGCCTGCTATCAATATTTCATGTTTCATTTCATCTAAGCTGTTGATCCTTCAGAACACTCGAAGCAATTCGAGATTCGTGCGAAAGATTTCGGCATTGATGTATTCCCAAAAGACTGTCGAGTTGGAAAATTCCGTTTCTTGTTTTGCATTTTCAGCGAGAGAAATTCATCCTTTTTCTCGTCTCATTCTTCTCGCGAAAAAACAATTTTTCATCGGAAAAAACTCAACAGATGTTTTTCGTTTTCTTCACAAATAGCTGTGGCTACACATAAGCTTGTTACGACCATATCATTTATTTTAACTTTGATTTTATATTTAAGTTATCACTTTTATCAAGTTTTATATATACGGAACGTTAGAATCGCATCTCAAGTCGATAAAAACTTGATCATTGACTTCCACCGAACACGCATGCTACTGCGAAAAACAAACAAGAACTCCCCGAGACGTCACATCATGATTTTTTGCGTTTTTTCTTCTTTTTCATCATCACAATGTTGAGGTAAACGAGAGCATTCGGAGCGGTTCGATATTTCTTGTCGCCTACCGCGAGCTTCTTTCAGCGCGACAACCTCAACTACGAACCGGGAAGTTTTGTTTTTTCATTCAACGAAACTCGTTGCAGCAAGTCTGTCATGCACGAATGACAGGAAACGCACCTGAAAACGGAACGCATATACGAAAAGCTGCATCTTTTTCAAAAAGCCAAACAGTTGTACGAAATTGAAAAAAGAAAAACGTAAGACATATTTCCGAGCTTCGTCAGCGACAAGTTGAACAAAAACATCTTTTTCGTTTGGCAAGCAACAGCATCTGTTTATTTTTCTCCAGACTACAAAACTTATATCTTCATCTTCATCATCCCCTTCTTTACATCCTCTTCCAGTTTTTCAAATTCTCCTCTGCACTTCGGCAGGTGTCGTTCGTTTGCGTTCAAACCGGAATAACAAATCCCAATTCGGTTTTACGGGTGGGTGGAAAAAGAACAGGCAGATGATCACTGGAGAGCCGTGCGCTGTACTCCAAAATGGACTGGTCGTGTGGATCATCGTCACCAGGTAGTTGCTAGTCCTTCACCCCTGTATTCCCGATCCGGTTCGTCAAAAATAAATCTTCACTGTCAACTTCGATCTCTACACTTACATCCTGCTTCCTTACCGTCGTACTTAGTTTACATCAACACTGCGCGTGGTACCATCGTGGAATCACTGCACATCATTTCCTTGCAACCAGAATTACATCGGTCATTGCAACTAAAAACTGTCTTCGAGGATGTAAATGCTGGAGATGAAGTCGATCGCCTCGGCCTTGATGTGCATCCTCCATGTCTCCGCCTGGGGATGCCCGTTGTCGATCCGTCGCTGCTCACACGCATCCGCATCACCCTGCGGGACCAGTGCGTAGATGCATCGCAGTTCCGGCATCGTCAACTCCGCCATCTTGTCCACCGCGGGCTCGTCGTCGTCCTTCCAGCTGATGCGGTTGATCATGCTGATAGTCATGTAGCGCGACAATTTCTCCTTGTCGCAGGTGTCGTCCTCGTGCTGCCGGAATTCATCCGGCGCGATGTTGAAGTTCTGCGGCACCTGGTGGTTGTTGTTCATGCTGTTGTTGGCGGGGCCGTTCTGGTTGTTCATGTTGTTGTTGTTGTTGTTTTTCGGATTGATCGGAATGTTGTTCGCGCGCATCTGCGCCTGCTGGTTCTCCAGCACCTGCCGCAGGAGGTCGTCGCTGTTGTCGAAGCGGCGATTGACTGTGTCGAAACGCCGGTCGACATCGGTACGGAAGGTTTTTAAATCCTTCACGTCGGCCTTCAAGGCCGCGATATCCTCACGCTCCTGCTGGGTGAGGCCAGATGCGGGGGCAGTAGCAGTAGTACTAGTAGTAGTGGTCGGGGCGCTGTTCGTGGTGGGGTGGTCACACTCGCCACGAATTCCGGTCCGTATCATCTCGGTGCACTTCACCAGGCACTGCTCCTGTGCTTCGAACCACTTGCGATCGGCTTCCTTCTTCTGGTGCTGTTTCCAGTTGTAGCGGTCCTGCATCTCCTCAAACTCGTCAAAGGTCAACTTGTTGCCCTTGCCGTAGTTGTTGTTGTTGCGCCAGGGCTGTTTCCCTGTGTTCTCGTTCGGGCCGCCCATCTCGATAAATTTGAGAACTTGCAAAGAAACTTTTACAGCCGGATTTTTCGACAATGTCGGGGCAGCATACAAATACTGCCGAAGTGTGGAAGCTTGGAATCGTTGAACCCACTTGAAGTTCGTCACTGTTAGTTGCTCTACTAGCACGCTCGTCTCGCTGTTCGTATTGATCAATCTTTGTACTGTTGCTGTGTAACACGCTCGGGCATAACTCAAATCCTCACTGTTGTACGGGACTCGCTGTTTTTGCATAGAGTTACTCACGCGCAACTCTACCGCTTCTAGACAGTGCGCGTTGATCACCTCGTTGCGCATGTCCAGCCACGTCACTGCTACTGATGATCTCTCCACGTTTTCAAACGGCACGGAGTACACAGATCGCGTATTTTGGGACAGACACTCTTCGCATAGCGTAAAACTGATGCCAAAGCAGTCGTCTACGTATCTCTTCCGCCTGGTGATGTCTCCGACTAGTAACGGGGATGGGCTCAGGTAGGCCCTGTGCTCGTCGCCGCATAAGGTTACAGATGCGACAACTTTACTGTTGATCCCGCCAATCGGCGACCCTACCCCCGGCGGGAGGGCGTACACGGTGTCCGAACCGACCTGAAAATAGCGCAATGCTGGAACTACTCCTCTGAGAGTGTCGATCACTTGTTTCGGTGTTTTATTTTTAAAGCGCGCGACTTTATCACCTTCGGTCAGCTCTTCTAGGTCGTCACATCTTTCGAAAAAACTCTCGTGCGGGATCTTCTCAAAAAACGAAGTGGCGTCCTCGCAGGTCATGCTGACGAGTGACTTGGGTTTTCCGCAGCAAATACAGACGTCCGGGCGGTAGGCCTTGCCTTGCTTTTTTGCTTCTGCTTTCATTTCTGCAAACATCTGCAAAAGTTCGTCCTTCGCCTTGGAGAGGTCGTTGCATTCGTTGTGGTGCTTGAATCGTTTCTGGATGAAAGCCGAGACCTCCCAGTTGAGTTTACGCAACCGCAACCGGTTCGGTCCCTTGATCGCGGTGATCATAGAAACGATTTTTCGCCAGTGGTTGTGTCCGGAGTCTATTGTCTTCGTGCAAACAAGCTGGCCGTCCTTGATGCACTTATTTTTCAGGGAAGGATAGAAGTACGGTAGGGAGGTGATGGGCTTCAATGGTATTGGGAGGCTGGTTAGTTGTTTGTTGATTTCGGCTAAAACTACTGACGTGGGACGCGGCTCGGGCACCATGTCCGAGCGGGCTGCTAAGACTAAGATATTCAGAAACTCACAGCGGGGCAATGTGTAGAAGTTGTCGCGTGACTTGTCATCCGTTACCGGTACATGATCCGGGGGAGGACACTCCTGCACAAACCGCCGAAAGGCCTGGGAATCTTTGCCAAACCCGACCAAACATCCCTCCTGCTCTTTTGACAGCCACTGCGGCGTGACTGTTGCTTTCTTCCTTTTACAGAAGGAGCGGAGGCGCGTCAACTGTTGGAACAAAAACTGGTTGCTGACTGGGGGCATCGTGCTACTCAGGATGCCCTGGGAGTCGTGTCGGAAGGTGCTGTAGTTCGGTTCGCGTGGTTGGACGTTTTTCAAACTCGCGCGGCGGGCTACGCGTACGGCCTGTAACAACATTTCTCGCATGCGTGGCTTGGGTAGCTGTACGAAGGACAGGGATCGTAACAAAAAACGGCGGCACTCGATTTCGGACCTTGCTAGGGCCTTCCTCAATGCAACCGCGAGGGCCTTGCGTTCGTGCTCGTACCGCCAATAAATGCGGGCTCGTTCGCATGTCGGCAGACCCATCAAATTCATCACGAATTTGACCTTTCTTCGTGCTCGCGTGCGCAGCAAATTCGACAAATTCGCTGAAACTACTCGGAGGATTTTAAATTCCGGGAATCGGGTGGGGTGTGCGTTGCGGCGTAACGACAGGACGTCTAGGTCGTGCGTGCGTTCTCTTTTTCGCCCGTCCTTAATCGTTAGCCATTTGGCGAGTAGTACGTAGTTGCTGGGGTGGTATATGTTCAGTGGCGCTGGTAGTTTCTTGGCAAAGATGGAGTATGCTGTGGGGAAATTTGCTTTCCGTATCTCCTGGCGCAGCTGGTGTCGCTGCGAGTTGCGTGTGGCTAGGATGAACGCAGTAGAAACTGCGTGGTCGTTGGGGCTAGTTGTGTGCTTTTTCTGTCGCTGGTGCTTTGGTGGCCTGCGCCGCCTCCCTCTGGCGCGCTGGCACGGGGCTATTATTTCGCTAGAATTTGGCATGTCCTGCAAGATTTCTTTGGGAAGTTGCATGCGGTTCGAATCTTCGTGGTTGTTGTGTACTTTGTTCATGGCAGGGCTGTAGGTTGCAATGAGGTACCGCTCGACTGCACGCATGTGGTCGATTGGTCCGTGGCGAAGGGTGAGAAAATACAGGGCGCGACTGGATCGAAACTTTTCACGTTTTTCAAACTTTCGGAGATGCTCGGTCCACCTCGTGAGCGGTTCTCGCTCCGTTGATCCCAAATAAAAATTCCAAGAATTGTCAAAAATTAGGTAACAAACGCCGTCCGTTTTGCATGTTCCCGTTTGCTGTCCATGCTGCTGAAGCTGGAACAGGCTGGAACGGGGTCGGTGCTGGGCCTCGAAGAGACGGTAGATGCGCTCGGCTTTTCGCTTTCCCGCGTGTACTGCGTCCAGCAACCTGTTGGCCGCCAGAGTTGTCAAAGCGGTGTACCGGGTCACCCATCTCGTCGCCTTCCGGATTGCCATGCCAGTCGTCCGCTTGGCCGGTGTTATACTCCGCCGCCGTTGGTCTTGTTTCGTACCCGGAATCGGCAGGAGTGGTTATACGGAACGTTAGAATCGCATCTCAAGTCGATAAAAACTTGATCATTGACTTCCACCGAACACGCATGCTACTGCGAAAAACAAACAAGAATTCCCCGAGACGTCACATCATGATTTTTTGCGTTTTTTCTTCTTTTTCATCATCACAATGTTGAGGTAAACGAGAGCATTCGGAGCGGTTCGATATTTCTTGTCGCCTACCGCGAGCTTCTTTCAGCGCGACAACCTCAACTACGAACCGGGAAATTTTGTTTTTTCATTCAACGAAACTCGTTGCAGCAAGTCTGTCATGCACGAATGACAGGAAACGCACCTGAAAACGGAACGCATATACGAAAAGCTGCATCTTTTTCAAAAAACCAAACAGTTGTACGAAATTGAAAAAAGAAAAACGTAAGACATATTTCCGAGCTTCGTCAGCGACAAGTTATATATATTTTTTACGCATCATTTTTTTATTATCTTTTTTGATGTTTTGCAGGAGGAAGTGCGAAAAAGCTGTGGAAACATCTGCCGCTTAAAGTAGCTCACGGTAGGGCAGTGCATCGAAATAAAGATGTAGGCTGAACCGTTGCGAAAGCTCTCAACGTCTTCACAGCAGCACAGGGAAAGACCAGAAAAAACCAAAAAAGCAAAAAACAGCTCCTGCATTCGGCTGCAGATGCATTTCTTCTTCTACTCGCGGCGTTGTTCAGGAACCAAAAAAATCGTCTTCACATGATTCGCTGAGATCCTAACACTGTCGCATTTTTTAGTTTTTATTATTCTTATTTTTATTTAATAAAAGGTAGTAAGTAGTAAGAGACCGGTACGCGCTGAGGCCCAGATTTTTTAACACGGCGGCACGCTGAAGGTTGCTATTTTTGCGTCGAGCATACCGTCGGGGAAAACAGGGGGCCCCCGCCTCCCGCCCTTTCGTCCGCTGGGTATCCTCCCCACAGGGGGGCCCCCGTCCCCGGCTCCTGCCCTCCCGCCCGCTGGGTATCCTCCCCACAGGGGGGCCCCCGCCTCCCGGCCCACCCGCAAGGGGGCCCCCGCCGGCCTCCCTCTTTCACTGGCCACGCGCAGGGGGCCCCCGCCTCCTTGCCCGCCCCCCCCCGCACGCCCTTTCGCCCGGTGGGAATCGCGCCTGCAGGGGGGGCCCCCCGGCTCCCGCCCTCCCGGCCGCTGGGTACCGTGCCTGGAGGGGGGCCCCAGCCCCCGCCGCCCTCTTTGCCCACAAGGGGGCCCCACCTCCCTGCCGCCCCCACTCGAAGGGGGCCCCCACTCCCGCCCTAGCAGGTCCGGAACGGGCCTCCGCCTTCGTAGTTACCTGACTCCCGGGAAGGTAGGGGAAAGCTTGGGGAGGCCTCTCCGTCACGCCCAGCTTTGGGGAAAAGAGGCGGCCTGCCCTAGCCTTTGGGGCTTAGGGCCGGCTGCCTTGGTGGCCTACGTAGGTACTCCGCCCGCGTTTGGCCGCGGGCACGCAGGGAGCCGCCCGCGTGCGGCGCGCCTGGCTTCCGGGCCGCCCGCCTTGGTGGTTCGTTGGGCGGGGGGGGGCGGGTGTTGTGGGTGGCCCGCTGGTTTGCCATCTTGTTTGGTAGGGGGGGGAACTTCAGCTATTGTGCCCGCGGGCCTCAGACCGGACCTAACCAGTGCGGGGCTTTTGTTGAACACAGCTATTGTGCCCGCGGGCCTCACCACGGACCTAACCATTGCGCCGCTTGCTTCTGTTGGGCGCCTGGCCGGTCCCCTCGTTGGTGACTGTTCTGGGGGTGTTCCGCTCGTCCGCCCGAGGGGCCGCAACCGCAGGGCCCGAGCCGTAAGGCAGAGTGGCGGGGAACAAGGCCCATCACACTGGGGCGCCCGCGCGCGGCGGCGGTGGACGGGCCCCAAAGCGTCCCCAACAGTAGCGCTGTGGCGCGGGCCGAAGGGAAACGAAAGAGAGGCGCAGCGGCAATACTGCCCGCGCGCGCCATCACATTCCCGGAAGCGGAGCCGTGATACTCGGGCGGGCGTGCCGAGGAAGTTCGCGACGCACGGCGGTGCTGGTTGTGGGTTGGTTGTCAAGTTGGCTCGTTGGCAATGCGTCAGTTTTCAAGTTGGTTGCCAATACGCCCGAACGAAAACTCAACTGACAACCAACAACAACCAACCGAAGAGGAGACACCGCCGACATGCGCATGCCCATTCTCAGCGCGACACAGTGGGCACATCCCCCACATGCGCAGCAGCCAGCGTGCGCGCGCTGGAAATACTGCCCACATGCGCCAGCGCTGTCCCGCGTGGAAGTTGGGAAACCGGGCGCGCCGTGGTTCGCACAACAAAACTGCCGAAGTTGAGCGATTAGCACAAGTCGAATCGAAACACGACCCATACCGCCCTGGTTCGGCGCAAAGTGTAGGGATAGTTGCGCGGCGAGTTGCACCGTGCAACTTGCCGTGCAACTCGGGCCATACCATCGCGATTCGCAACGCAAAACGTGCAAAAGTTGCACGAGTTGCACAGGTTTCCGGGAAATCTCGGAAGGGCCATACAATCCTGGTTCTGCGCGAAGTGTTGTGATAGTTGCACGGCGAGTTGCACCGTGCAACTCGCCGTGCAACTCGGCCGTACCGTCGTGATTCGCAGCAAAAACGTGCAAAAGTTGCACGAGTTGCACAAGTTCCCGGGAAATCTCGGAAGGCGAAAACTCCGGGACCCCGGAAAGAGGTGAAGAACAGCAAAGCGAGCGGATTGGAAATCCGTGCTGCCACGAATTTCCAATCCGCATGGTATGGTGGGCGTTGGCCAGTAGAATTGCTATGCTTCCATAGCCTAAAAAAAGGCGCTCCACGAGGGCACCGCGCCCGGGTATATACGCAAGGTTTGACCCCAATCAGGGTGCTACGATGGATTTTTCTGGGCCTCAGCGCGTACCGTTCTGGAAAATTATAGTAATAATCACTTTAAAAATTTTTTACTATTAATTCCACGCTATGATTTTTTGATGACGGCTTTATTCTCGTACGGTGGAGGACTCCTTCTACCGATGTATTTTGTCATCAAGCTTGCCATCATACACTAGAGCATCAGTTCACCATACATGAATGGACATCAAATAAACCACTGCACAAGAAAAGGTTCTGCGAAGTAAAAACCCCCTTCATCTCTACCACCGGATGGCAAGTGGAGGTAGTTCTAGTTCTAGAAATAGTTTTCGCGCTTTGACAGTACTAATTTCTCCACGACAGGTACTACCATGTGGACGCAGTACAAGGACCGACATCGAGATCTAGATCTACCTTCGCAAAAAGCCGAAATAAAAAAATAACAAAAAACGACTTTCATTTTTCGACGACGCCTCGGCACTGGACAGCCGGCACGGCGAGAGAGGGGTTTGGTCAAGATGGAAGTGAAAAAATCCAAAATAAAAATTCAATAATCGTAAGAAAAATTATGTATGTCACTGTTTGTCCGAAAATGTTTCACGTCTAGCGCCTTGGTGCTAGAAAAAGTTTGTTGAGATGAAGATGATGGAAAAGTTGGACTTGTAATGATCTTCCCGCGCTGATCACCATCACTAACGCTTGAATTTGGCAAAAATGGGTCCTCAGGAAAATGCTGAAGGTAGCGCACGGCAATCTCGTGCGGAATTTCCAGACGCATTACAAATCTGACGCTTTTTGCTTTTTCAAAAAACCAGTGACAGGACATAAAGCAGCAGTCACAGCTAGAGCTGTGCAGTTTTTCTTTTTACCGCATTGCAAGTCCGATGCTCCCCGTCGTCTTTTGTGCGTGTAAGCGAAGATCTTGCACCTTGTTTCTTGGAATGTAAAAGTGAGAATATACGTCTCCAGTAACTAGAAATAATTCTGTGATAGACAAAAACCAAAACGTTCGAAGGCTGCGCAATGCGTCGACTCTGATTTTTTGTTCAGGAGCTCAACCTGCAACCATTTCGAAGAGGTGTGGTGTTGAAATTCAAATTGCGTTCGCGATGGAAGGTTCTTGTAAAATGAAACGATCTCCATGGGTTCGTCATCGTCTCGGGGCACGAATTAAAATTGAATGATGTTTATGCGTGGCCTGGGCTTCTGCACCTTGTTCCAAAAATAGATACTTCAGGCACAATCGGTGTAGAAGTTCACTGTAGATACTCTTCCCACATGGCCAACAGCTCGTCGATCTTTTCCTTGGTAACGTGCTCCATGGTAAAGACGTGGATGTGCGCGTGCTTGTTCGCTTTGTCCTTGCTGGTCACCTGCACATACTCGGGGAAGGGCGCCAGATGGAACTTTCGGAACAGCTCCTTCGGCGGGAGGGGGCACATGACGCACATCACGCCCGGCGGGTGCCACGCGTCAAAGGGAAGCGCGTTTTTCCACAAATTGATTTTTCTTGTACAAGATGTATTTGAGTCATTTTCGCCGTGGTGCCTCCTCTTGTTCAACTCCGAAACGAAATAATCCGCGGTTTCCAGGCACTTCCTCGTTCTTTCCACCATGTTTTCGAAGAAATTCTTTTCCATCAACTCCTTCAGCACGATGAAGGGCGCTAGCCCGTTCCGGGACCCCGTCAACGTGGTGTCCGGCGAGCCGATCTCAACTGCAAATATGTCTGGGTCTGGAAACTTGTGGTGCTGACAGTTGCAACACAGGATGGCCGCTTGTACGGTATAACAGCATGAGAAGCTTTCCTCGGCTTCTTCTGCATTCATTCGTAAATAAGTAGCACGACAAACTGTCTTCCAGCACGACAAAAAAAATCGCAAATCCTCTTCATGCATCACAGATCCAGCTGTCCTTCAAATTTCGCATCACAAATCCAGACCCAGACATATTTGCAATGCATAGCCGATGTAAGCCACGTAGTGGTGCTCCCGCATCTCCTTCATGCGGCACTGCCGCAGCAAGTAGATCGAGCAGGGGAACGGCGTCCCCAAGCGCTTGTGGAAACTCGTGGCCTGGGAATCGACGAGCTCGTTGCTCACGTCGCAGTCTTTGTAATAAACCCGGCCTTCCAGAACGTCATGGCTCCT